GGGTATCAAAATAGGACCAAAAGTCAAAACCTAGACAGTAACTGCAGTTTTACATAGAGAGTATCCGGTAACAAGAAATCGCGTGCGGCAGGGCCGCGACACAAGTAAAATTCTTTACCAGGAAATCTTCTCCTCGTAGATGGGGGGGTTGGCCCTTGTCCATGTCCCAAGTGATCTTGGCATTCTCATCCACAAACGCATCTTCGTCCGTGATGGGGATGACGCGGGAAGAGTGGGCAACCTCCTGGCGACTGATGCCAAGAGGGTCACGGGGAATCCAGAGAAGAGGAGCCTGCGAGTTGATGGCAGGGTTGAAGTAAGCGTTGCGCTCGACTTCCTCGGGGTAAGGAGCGACATCGAGCGGGTTGGGAACCAGACGGCGCAGGGTGACGTAATCGGCATGGATATCCGGGCGCAGGAATTTGGTGAAGAAGTTCGCCTTCGCCTTCGGCTTCGCGTCCGAAACCTCGGTGTAGCCGAGACCCTTCTCCGCCTCGGCGGAGTCGACAACCGCGACGCCGCTGTCAGCGTTGCTGACACCATTGTCTGTGACTGAGACGCCGTTGTTCACACCGTTGGAGTGCGACTCGGTGCTGAGCTTGGTGCGGTCCTCGGCCAGGAGAGACTCCTCCTCATGCTCCATGTTCTTAGGCAGGTAGTTCAGCAGAGGCTCCATGGCGCTGTTCATCGAGAGGTGGTACAAGACGACGAAGACCAGGAGGATGATCATCAGGGCCAAAGGACCAACGGCAATCTGGTTAGATCCGGAGGCCATGGCGAACAGACCAATCAAACACACGATAAGCAGGTACACGCCGACAGTCAGGTGCTGGAGGGCACGAGTGTAGGCACGGCCCTGAGTATCAATATCGGCGTTCGAGACATACAGCAGGTTGTAGCGGTACGCGAAGTAGAACAGATACAGGCCAATGGCGGCAAACCCCATGACAAGAGGAGCAATGCAAGAGTAGATGATACCTGAATTACGGATTAGCAACAGTGGTTGATGGGATTCAAGATAGGCATCACATACCAATAACAGTCAGCAGAGTGAAGATAGGGTAAACAGTGCCCCATCCGAGACCCGCCAGAGTCGACCAGCGCTTGTACATCTTACGGGGAGTGTTATCCAGGAACTTGCCCAGAATCTTGCCAATAATCAGGCCCGCAATCTGGAGAAGAGCACCAGCGCTGAAGGACAAGCCCTGCAAGATAATGTAGGAAATGTAAAAGTTGGAGGCTTTGGGAATGTTGTTGGCGAGCAGGCTGGCGGCGTCGGAAGGATTGCTGATAATCTGGGTAACCACACTGGTGGCAGCAGATGCCAGAGTAACCACCAGGAAGACCTGAACAACCTGGAAAGCAAAGAAGTAGTTCTGGGTAGTGAGTTCAATGGAAGCCAGGCTGGGATCACCACCCCATTTGGCGCAGACTATGGATTCGGTCAGTATGCTGAAAAATAAACAGGGTCGCAGAGATACGTACGTCGCATAATGATAGGCACCAGCGCCATGAGAACCGCCATCAAAATGGAGGGCAGCAGACCGGTAATAACACCAAGAATGACTGGAGGGCACTTGAGAATGAACTTCAGGAAAGGAACCATATCAGTCAGGCTGTTGATGTTGGAGATGGCACCAACAACCGCCGTCGGAATGGCCCAGAAGATGATAAGAGCGACGATGAAGGCAATAGTGACGGCGTGTCGGATTAAGCGCTCCCACCACTTTATGCGGAGGTTGGCCCAGATGACCTGGGTCGGGTCCAGACCAATAAAACGAGGAGCCATATGCAGAGGCAGGTTGTGAGCAACAGACTGGAAGGCAGACTGAGCATCAGCCTGCTGGTAGAACTCAACGAAGACAGAGGAAACAAGCTTGGCGTCACCGGCACGGTGCTTCGCCTGGAGCTCTTCGATTTCGGGGCTCAGGCGCTCGATCTCGGAACGGGCCCAGTTAATGGTGTCGACCTTCTTGCCAATGAGCATCTTGAGACGGTGAGTCGGGCGGTCCTTGGCTTGCACCCAACGAGCAGCAACGGAGCCAGACTCGTCGTCAAACTGGCCGAGATCGGCATTCTCCTCGGAACCTTCTTCGGCGGAGCCATTCTTCTTCAATGCCTTGTTGCGCGCCTTGTTGGCCATCATGATAAGCTTAGTCTCGGCGCCCTCAAGCTTCATAGCAGCCGCGTCGCGGTCCTTGACCTTCTCCTCGAGCTCTTTAGTGTCGGTAGCAATCCAAACATTCTTGACCTTCTCAATGCCAAACATAGCACGAATCTTGTCCGTGTTCAGATAGTTCTGGCTCACGGCGCTGAAGAGAACAGTGCGCGAAGAGATACGGTTGGCATAGGCGGGCGAGAAAGAGTATGCCTGGCGCAGGTTGATGTAGAAAATGTGCTCACGAGTGATGAGGAAGAAAATGAAACCTAATTGCAAGTCAATGGTGGGTTCAATGGATCGCGGGAAACGTACATACCAACGAAGACCCACGCAAGTAGCGCGTGGGCAAAGTAACGCCCGTAGGTATTAGATGCGACGTTGGAGAAACTGAGGATATCCAACTGCTGCTTACCACCGCCGCCGGTGGCATTTACCGGGAACAGGATGGGCCAGGTGATACAGCAGCCGACGAACATGATGGTAGACGCCAGCTTGAGGAATCGCAGCAGGAGATACGCATCCATAGAGTGATGTTGGAGAACGTAGGTGTCAGGGAGCTGGTACATCGCACTGATCCAGCTCCACAGGCCGGTGGGGGATTCTGGGGTGCGCTGCCATGGCTTGAGGTAGCCAATGTAGGTTCGGGGCATGTACTGGCGACGCTGGCTCTTTCGCAGAATGATAAAGACGATAATCATCACGGCGAAGATGACGATGTTAACGACCAAGGTGGTCAAGAAACCCGACAGGGAATTCGAGGTCTGGCTGGGGTCATCCTAGGGCAAATTAGCCAAATGTCATCGCGTCTTTAAATATGGCCAATACGTACGGCACGGCTGAATAGCCGGTGCATGGCGCCGACGTCTGCCATGGTGTAGGATAACCGAGTCGAAACTCGAGATTGAAGTCGAATTCGAAAAGCCTCAGGTGTTTAGAGGTTAGGAAGCTGCACGTGTGTGTCGTATGTCGAAGGGGCACGATGTTGGCCCGATGTTGCCCCGATGAGAATGGATGGGGAGGAAGAAGAAGGGGGAAAAATTCCAGAGAGAAAAGAAAGGTAGGGCGGGTTTAAGCTTCACAGAGGGAGGGGCATCTGAAGTGATGCGATCTGCGATCTTGGGCTACGTAATAGGAGCATCTCTTTTTTTTGGTATTTTTTTCTTTTTTTTCACAGGGGTCGGGGTCGCGAGCTCCCTCCAAAGGTTACCAATGAGTAAATAGCGTCTCCTTTACCCCCTGTCGTGGATCCACTTGGGCGTGGCGAGTGAGCGGTCGATCCAGATTTACACCCGCACTGGCTTCGTCTTTTGATCGTCCGGTTCCTTGGATACCTCGGTGCCTTTGGGAAATCGATGACTCTATGAGATTGGATGTACATGTGGTACTCGTATGCCACTGACGTTGAAACCGCCAGCGCTACCATATGTCAGATCGTTTCACGCATCGGATGTTTTTTTTGCGGGCGGCAAGGGAGAGAAGCAAGAAAAGATTCGGAGAAGACCGCGCCCAGCCACGTCAAGCCACAGCTGCGTCACAAACAAATTAAACCCCCAGCCGTACGAGTTCTGGGCAAGCAGGCCGAAACAGGTCTGGCTTGCCGATCTCCTCAAAGAAAAAGCACTAGCATGATCACCCTTTCGTTCAATTCGAAATCCTTTGGTCTGCTGAGAGAGTATAATGTACGAGTATGCGATGTATGCGGGACAACGACATCAAGTCACACATTGAAACTGCGGGAATCCAGGGGTTGTTTGTCCACCCTTCCCACATTTGCGAAACCAAGCTCAGACCCTAGAAGAGATTCGTGGGGAAGTAATTTGCCGAAGTGACTCGTAGGCTCGTAGGCCGTGGAGCTCTTAGCGGTGTGTTGATCTCGGGATTGGAGAGTGAGTGTGAGAGTTTCGATGATATGCGACAAGGAATATCACTAATAGTCCGTACGGAGTACCCATCGGCCAGCTGGAAAATTGCTGAGCTGGATCCAATCGATCGGACCAGAGATGCAACAGACGCTAGTGGTAGCTAGTGGGCTGCGCTATTGCCTAGCATTGAGCTACCCATGGGCCGCGCTTGGACTATCAAAATTTGCCATGTCCACAAACACACGCGATTAGGAGGTTTTTGTTTTTTTTCTCATGGCGCTGTTCCTAATATCTTCTCGGTTTGTACACGGTTGAAATGCCATCGGGTTTCTCTTGACGCACCCCGGATTGGATTGCATTTCGGGCTTGCTGTCACAGGACCCCTTGGAATGTGGGCAACCACGGACCACTCGTAGGGATAATATGCTATCGTCATCGTTGATGAGACTGGTGCATAACGATCGACAGTCCTTTTACTGAGATAGTCGCATGAATGCGATCTCGTTCCTGGGTATCTCCAGGTACCTTTCGTGGGAGTTTTGTGTGGGAAGTAACCTCGGAGAACCTTTTTTCGGGGCTCCGCTCGATCCCCACCGCACACTGCATTCAGCGTGAACCACGATCGACATGGACAGGTCATCCATTTCTTTCTGATATCAAATTCAACCGTGTTAGGAGCCGAGGCTGAGGGGTGCCGGCCCTGGTACCTCTCTGGTACCCCCCCACTGGGGCTCGCGGTGGATGACGCTTATACTTCCCATCCTGGTTGTCGGGTCCTGCCAAGCCCACGTTTGCTCGTGCCTGTTCCTGATGGCAACGCCGATTTCGTACAATCCACCCCCAAATTGCTGTTCAGTTGGCACAAAAAGTCACACACATGTGGTATTTTTAAATGGAATCAAACTCCGAATATGCATATATATATGTATATATAGTATTCAAGATAATATCATCATTTCTTCATTGACTGGGCCCTACTACAGGAGTCCGCCCTTGTTAAGTTCCTTCTCGAAGATGTCGATGCCACGGATGGGTGCCCGCAGGGTCAGAAAGCTCATCAAAATTTCGTTGAAGTGGAATTGTTGGTCCGGTCGCAGCTGCTTGTGTGTTAAGAGCAGCTCTCCTGTCGACCACGCTCGTTCGTGGGCCTGCAGGTCGGGATCGCAGCCTTGCTCAAGTAGTAGCCAAAGCAGCGTTTCGCAGGCGTGCTGTCGATCGAGCTGGTGGTGCTCAACCGTCGTAGATAGGTATTTCATGAAGCGGCCGCATTTGCTGGCCGAATCCTTAAAGTCCCAAAGGGCAGCGGTGATGTAGATTAACGCTGCCGTCCGACTGATTTCTTGTGTTTGAGCATCACGAACCACGTACATCCGAGCAGCTTGCGGAACCTGGGATGGTCGTGGCCCACTAGACAAAAGGGAGAATAGCGGACTCTGCATTTCAAATGCATCGCGTCTTTGTGGCGTGTGGGCCAGGTAATCCGGGGAGCTGTGCCTTTGCATGAGGCTTTGTGCACCCCATAAAAATGATACCAGCCATTGAAGGTCTGCTGGGTCGACCTCGGTGTTTTGGGGTAGCATAATAAACCGAACGTAGTGGAGAAAGACCTCCACAGGTGGATTGGATCCAGGACGCGGTCGCATCAGGTGGAGGGCCTGATCAAGACAACGTCGACCCTCTGATTTATCGCCGAAGCGTTCCTCTCCGAGTGCCATTCCAGATAGAGCCATGGCCAATTGATCGGGAGGGACTTGTATAATACCTCTGGTGGCGTCGTCGATGTTCTTTCGCGACTGTCCAACATGCCGAATGACCTCTGGGCTGTCTGTAATTCCATATATTTGAGCTTTCCACCGAGCACAATAGGTTAGGATGACGGCTTGAAAGGTGACTGGATGGTCCATGGCTGTTCGGAAGATCTGGTTCTTGACGTAAGGGTTCTGACCGGACCAATAAGTCAATTTGGTCGTCCAGTAGTCCACCAATTCAAGATTCTCGGGATCGTGGGCGATCGGTAGGCTAGAAAAGGGATCTTTTCGGGACGCATCAAGCATCGTCCTGGGTGAGCCTAGTTGTAAGGACACGGCCGACTGGGGAGCCGGGTTTACATTTGAAAACCTAATTCGCAACTGTACATTCGGAAAAATGTAAGCATATGTTTTGACGGTATCATGTCTACCTATCTGCCTGCCTGCCTGCCTGCCTGCGCAGAACAGGTCGACGAAGCGGCATCGAGATTGGGTTTGGTATCCATACCGAAGAATTCGGATCGGGCGAAGGGCCCTGGGCACCAGACGCTGCCGGTTCCATCTGAGGGTCCGTTTCATATTCCGGATCCTTCGTCGTCTGCCATGATAATGCATCCTGGATCTGTTCAGGCTGTAGGGATTCGTGGGATAATTTGCGCTGCTTCCGCTTTTCCTGGACATGGTGGCGCATAACATGAGCACGTTTCTCCTTTGATGATGAGGATGAGTCAACAAAGTAGAATTGGTTCTTCGGTTGAGCCCCCGACTCAGCCGGACGCCGTCGTCGTCTCGGTTTGCCGGGCTGAGCCGTATCTCCGGGTTGCCCTAAAGAAGGTGGGAATTCACATTAGCAATGCGGTATCATTGAAGGTACAGTCGAAGGATCGACCTACTGGAAGGATCCATGCCCGAAGGTTCAGACGAAACAGGGGCTGTAAAAGCCGGTGTGGGATCTTCCAACCTTGAAGTTTTACCGGACATCTCGCGATAGAGGACAGAAGTGGTTGTCGACGTCAAGAAGCACCTGCTACAGCATGCCGAACCGACGATCACGAATGCCGAAATTCCTCCAGCTTGCTCGGGATTTGGTGGGAAGCATCGCAGGCTCCCTCGAGGGGCGACCCAGGCGAAAAAAGGGCGGGGCGGGTTCAGCAAACGGTCGGAGCGTAGGAGAGCGAAACTAGAGCCGGATGTCGGTGGATAGTATACGTTATAGTCGGGATCGGTAATGCAAGGTGGGCGAGGGAGCTGATCACCACATATAATAAAGGATTTGGGGGGGGAGGCGAAGAGAGGGAGGAGAGGAGGGGGGTTCAGTTCTGGTAACACGAGGTCAACGAGCGACACGAACTGGGGCCTTAGAGAGTGGTGCACCTCCAATGACCGAGTTGGGTTAGAGGGGAGATTTGGCTATTTCCTGATGTAGGCTTGTCGGCGGGGAGTGGAAGGAAGTGGGTCATGGAATATGTAACACCCTGCAAAAAAGGGGAGTGAATGAAAATGAGGGAGAGTCATGATTGGTTGGAAGGCGGAGAGAAGCAAGTCAGAATGGGCAGTTTAGCCCTCTGATTGGTTGGCTTCTCTAAGAAGGCGGTCTTGACGAGTGTTGACGGTCTTGAACCGGTCTTTCTTCGGGAAGGTGCGAAGGGGGCGGCATCTACGGAGTACAGCTGCAGCTGCAGAGAAGGCGTCCCGGACGAGTGGATGGTGGACTCGGTGGATACCGGGTTGATACATGCATACTGTACAGTGGCGCCGCAAAAGTTTCAACCCCCTGGTCTCCGCCTTCCTAAAGTGGAACTAGTAGATACCCAATGTAGAATAGATTGGCTAATCCTGTCCATCTTAGGAAACTACTAGTCTCCCATTAGAAGGCGGTAAATAATGGTGAGCAATATGCGGGCACCACTGTATATCTATACAGATTGGTTAACATACATACTAGTAGGCTTCAAGTCAAAGAAGCGGTCATCACCCTATAAATCCCTTCAAAAATATGGTAGAATTATATCCGTCTCAACCTTACCAACGCAGCTCTCAACTATGATTTCATTTGGGGGGGGGGGGGGATACTCATTCCGCCCGCCGCTCCTTCCAACTTGTATACCTTCCTTTCTAGTATGATCATAACTACCCCCCCCCTCCTCCTCCTTCTTCTTCTTCTCATTCTTTATTTCCTTGTTGACATCCTTTTCTATCCCTTATGGCTGGTTCTTATGTACGGCCTCTTCTACTCGCTTAGAGGCTGTTCAGCTTCAACACTACTCTTACTTTTATCTCGTTCCATCATTACAAATCAGCTTCGTGGTAAGGACGGTCAGTTCTTTATCTTCCAGATATGTGTTTGCCAGGCCAGCCCTGTGTTCTGCCATTGGAATCTATAATGTATATCCATCCCCTATGATCCCAGACAAGATCGACACTACAGGACATCACCAATGTCCAACATGACAACTCACGGAATGCGATGCCTCCTCCTCGTCCCAAAACGACCCAACTCCACAAGAGATACCAGAATTTCGATTATTTTCCGAAAGAAATTTTGCAGAATTTCGAAGCTGAAACCAAAAGTCTCGAGCTACCAATGACCACTGCAGCTCGTACTTGTGAGAATAAGGTTGTTGAAAGTTGGAAATCATTCTTCAATAGCAAGGTTACAGATTTGTGCAATTCTCTTTGTTTCATTTTTCTTTGCGGATGCTGACATAGTTCAGTGCAACCACCGAACCAACTCAAAGTTTGTTACATGGATGGATCACAGAAACAATCCGGATCAGTCAGAATGGAGGATAGCTATCTCCAGTTCATTATGTGTCTGATCCTACAAGCCGTATCATATTATTGAATTGGAGAGATTCTCCCAGGTCCTCATTACAAGACACAATTTATGGCATGGAGTGACATCCAGATCCAGATCCTTCATGATTACTTTATGACTCAGGGACAATTAAAGATGTCTGACCTTGAGTGTCTGGTCAAAATACGATGGTCAAAAGGACATACGTGAGTTTTCATTAGTCTTCTTTCTTATGTTGCGATGCTAACTTTTCTTCTCTCTAGGGAAAGATCTAATACTAGGGATTCGAATAAAGATATTCAAGAAATCTTCCTGGTTACGATTAATGAAGGGGGCTGTATCTGTAGCTGTAGGGGATGGGAGGTCCCATAGTTATGATATATCCCGGACAAGTGGACAAAGGGTTAATGGACTACTGCCAGACTCGGTGGATACTTGGGTCGCCCCTTCCCGATTAGGAACCACTTAACGCGTTCGGACTATCAATCCTCCGGTTACGCGTCTCAAGTCGCGTCTCGCGTCGACAGGGGAACTTTGTGCCCGGGCGTGTCTGAACGGGTGAAAGGTCCCATCAAAAATTGTCGCATCACCGCTTCCCCTCCTCCTCCAATACCTCATCATCCTCCCCTCCCCCCCAAACTCTCCCCCACCTCGGTGTCCGCGCAAGAGCATCAATTCATCACTGCTCTCTGCCAATGTCTTCCCTTTTCGACGCCGTTCTCCAGTCCGAGCTGGGCTCGGGGTCAGGCGCCCGCGAGAATCTGCAGTCCGACCATCTACCTAGCTCACGACGCTCCGAGAGCAATGGCCCCATGAGTGATATGAACGCCTTCCCCGATGATCGTGTTGTCGGAACCAGCACTTCGGCCGTCAGTCGCTTACGAAACCCATACGCTTCGGCCCCTCCGCCCGTCGTCGATGAGGCTGGTGAAAAAGTGCAACAGGCCTTCGAGGAATTGCTCGAGACATTCATGGAGGAGCCCTCGTCATCAGCCCCTCCATCGTCCGGAGAGATTCTCAGCGACAAATACTATATTGCTCAGATTCGTGGCATGAAGAAATTCGAGTTGTCAACCCTCTACGTGGACTTCACCCACCTGACCTCCCTGGAAAACCCCATTTTGGCCGATGCCATCGCCAGTCAATATTATCGATTCCTCCCCTTCCTCACCAAGGCCCTTCACAACCTCGTGGCCAAATATGAGGGTGATTACTTTGTGTCGCATCGCATGGCCGCTAGCGCCAACTCGCAACCCAGCACCTCCATCGCATCTGCTTACGCCAGCGTCTCCGATAACCCCGACTTGGAGCGCCAAATTCGCGAAAAGACTCGCCACCAACAGACCGATAAGCTGTTTGCTCTTGCCTTCTACAACCTGCCCCTGGTTTCACGACTCCGCCAACTTCGCACCTCGCAGATTGGCAAACTTCTCTCGATCTCCGGAACGGTCACACGGACGTCAGAAATTCGTCCTGAATTGTCGCTGGGATCATTCATCTGCGAGGGCTGTAAAACAGTTGTAAACAATGTGGAACAGACCTTCAAATACACCGAGCCCACCGAATGCCCGAACCACACATGCGGTAACCGCAACGGCTGGCGCCTGGATATTGGCAAAAGTACTTTTGTTGATTGGCAAAAGGTTAAGCTTCAGGAGTCTTCACATGAGATCCCTACCGGTAGCATGCCGCGCACGATGGACGTCATCTTGCGAGGCGAGATGGTTGATCGTGCTAAGGCCGGTGAGCGTTGCATTTTCACTGGTACCTTGATTGTCGTCCCCGATGTGAGCCAGCTAGGTCTCCCTGGCGTGCGCCCCGAGGCAGTTCGGGATAACAACTCTTTCCGTGGAAGCGAGGTTGGCGGTGGCGGAGTGTCTGGGTTGAAGGCCCTGGGTGTTCGTGATTTGACCTACCGACTCGCTTTCCTGGCCTGTATGGTGACCCCAGATACCACTACACCCGGTCAGAAGCCCGAGCAGCAGCTCAGTGGTCAATCAAACAACATTCTCGCCTCATTGAACCAAAATCAGGACCCTGATATGAATGATGACAAGGCCCAGGAGGCTTTCCTTCAAAGTCTGACTCCCACCGAAGTGCAGGATCTCAAGAGACTCGTGCACTCGGAGTACATCTATTCGCGCTTGGTTGACTCACTTGCGCCGATGATTTGGGGTCACCGTCAGATCAAAAAGGGTCTTCTCCTACAACTGATCGGCGGTGTTGGCAAGAGAACCCAGGCGGAGAGCTTGAAGCTGCGTGGTGATATCAACATTTGCATTGTCGGCGACCCATCCACAAGTAAGAGTCAGTTCTTGAAGTGAGTAAATTCGTAGCAACCCATTTCTTGTTTTGATTGCTGACATGACCATCCAGATACGTCTGCTCCTTGCACCCCCGTGCGGTCTACACCAGTGGTAAAGCCTCATCGGCTGCTGGTCTGACAGCATCCGTGGTGAAGGATGCCGAGACTGGAGAATTCACCATTGAGGCCGGTGCCCTGATGCTGGCTGTATGTTCTCGCCTTATCCAAGAATCTACCAAATTCCCACAACTAACTCTCTCTTTTTTAGAACGGTGGTGGTATTTGTGCGATTGACGAGTTCGACAAAATGGACATCGTGGACCAAGTCGCCATTCACGAAGCAATGGAACAGCAAACCATCTCCATCGCCAAGGCTGGTATTCATACCACACTGAACGCCCGGGCCTCGATTCTCGCTGCCGCCAACCCCATCGGCGGTCGCTATAACCAGAAGGTCACTCTTCGCCAGAACCTGAACTTCAGTGCACCCATCATGAGTCGTTTCGATGTGTTCTTCGTCATCCGCGACGAGCCCAAGGAAAGCGTCGACCGCAACTTGGCCGAACACATTGTGAACGTGCACATGAACCGCGACGAGGCTGTCGAGCCCGAACTGAGCACCGAACAGCTGCAGCGCTATATCCAGTTTGCGCGTACCTTTCGCCCTGTCTTCACCGATGAGGCCAAGGCACTCCTTGTCGAGAAATACAAGGAGCTGCGTGCCAACGATGCCCAGGGTGGTATGGGTCGCTCTTCGTACCGTATCACGGTTCGTCAACTTGAATCCCTCATTCGTTTGTCCGAGGCCGTTGCCAAGGCCAACTGCGTCGAGGAAGTTGACCCCAAGTTCGTCATTGAGGCCTATGATCTTCTGCGCCAGAGTATCGTCACCGTCGAGAAGGACGATGTCGAGATAGACGATGATGTTCCCGCCCCGAATGGCGAGGACCAGGAAATGGGCGACGACCGTGACCGTGAGAATGACAGCCCAATGCGCGATGACGGCGAGCAAGCACAGCAGCAGGAACGCAGCAAGACGAAGATCACATACGACAAGTTCTCCAAGATCTTGAACCTGATCGTGCGCCGCATCCGCGAGGATGAGGTCAATCAGGGTGAGGGTGTCGAGCAGGAAGATTTGATCCTCTGGTATCTCGAGCAGATTGAGGGCGAGCTCAACAACCACGAAGATATGCAGCGTGAGCGTGATCTCGTCAAGAAGGTCCTGAAGCGTATGGTGAAGGATCACGTCCTGCTACGCATCGCATCGGATCTCATGGAAGATGAAGGCAACACCCAACAGACTGCTGAAGATAAGGTCCTATACGTTATGCACCCCAACGTTGCGTATGAGGAGATGTAATGTCGCCATCGTGTGTTTTCTGTCTGGGCTTGGGTTTGTCTGTTTCTGGGATTGGGTCCAATGTTTAGCATTTTCGGGATGGAATAAATGGAGCATAGGGGTTACGAGTGATGATATCTGTTCCTGCAATTTAGTCGTTCTTGAGCACGAATGTATAATTCTTCTATATCTTCTAGCTTGACTTTCAAGTTGTTCAATTATTACTGCCAGTAGCTTGGGTTCTTGCATGGCTTGAATTAAGGAAATCCAGATGCGACTAGTACTTGTTAGGCTGCAGTAGACACGAAAGGCCAGCCGAGGCCAACCTTGGAAGATTGTCGACATACGGCCTGGGGCGATCGAATCTTGCACGAACGATTAACTTCCAAGGTTCAAGCTTGGCTGCCATGACTGTTACGCGTTACTTGTCGAAGGTTTCTGGTATTTCAATGTGACGCGGGGAACCTTGGAAACTATCGCTAAATCCTGGATCTCAACGCCAGGCATAACCGTCTCATCAATCCTTCGCAACCTAACTTGAGTATGACAATCTATATCAATTAAATCATGAAGGAACTAGCTAAGCTACTAGTAAATCTCCTTGCTTGTGACTATAGCCGTTGATCATCCCTACCATTGGTCGGTTTTACGAGCTCAAAATAACCACAAAGATGCAACAGGTCAGCAGTCAAATCAGCCTGAGTCTGGGCTTGTCTCAGACAGAACTGAGCTACTGCTTGTAATGGTGATCTACAAGATCTGGCTGCGGTTCCTGACTACTCTGTATGTAGACTGGTGGGGATTCCCAAGTTGGAGGCCTTACGCACCCTGTGGCGTCGGCAGCTGCCGGGGTACAGAAATAGATCATTGGACCAAATCGATTATTATGCTGGGATATGCTTTCCAGTAGTATGTTGTGGCTCTGTTCTAAGAGGCTCTCCCGATATGTGGAGACGCTGGCAAAGGCGTCCCAGTTTACTGCTGTTCTCGGATCCTGCATCTTTGTATGCATGCTCAGCCCCAGGGTCCTCTCAACTGACTGACTGCGGACTACAGAGGGCACGGCTTGACAGACAGGTTCCATTGGAATGTCTCATTCAGACTAGAGCTGGCTCTTGGCACATCAATAATACAGAAAACAAAGACCAGATGAAAAGTGTTTATAAAGGGAACTGGTCTCCGCTAATTCTCTCTCGATCAGACACAACAGCATCTCAAGCAATTGCAAGCACAAGCCTTCTATTTCTCCAATCACTATAATATCCCAGACCAAACATTTAATTTGATTCCTTCAAAATGAAGTACACCATCGCCTCCGTTCTCCTGGCTGCCAGTTCAGCCCTCGCCGCTCCAGCCTCAACCAAGCGCGAAGCTACCTCTCTCCAAATCACCGATTTCAACGCCAACGTCGGCCTCGACGCATTCATACACTTTGTCTTGACCGATGCCAACTACCCAAATGATACTCCCACCGACTGCAACCTAATCTGGTAAGTCTCAGGCGGTGCGGATGGCGAACAGGTAGAGTTATATTACGTGGGCATCCTAGCTGATGGTTGAATCAACAGGACGTATGGACAAAAGCCCGAGGAGCGCGCTCGCTGCAACAATGGAAAATACCACATTCAATTCCCAGGCGGCGCACCGGATTTGCACCAGTTCACTCTCGGCCTCAAACGCGATGAATCCGACCCCATTCAAGAGCAGGGTCGGGTCCTGGTGGACTCGAGTGCGGAGGGCAGCAACTGGGTTTGTGTGGATAACCCTAGCGATGGCATTAAGCTTCACTGTGAATATAGTGGTACCCTTGAAATGCCGATCACTCTGGGTTAAGCGGGGGAGAGGCCAATATTTATGTTGGAAGCGAATTTTTTGTCTAATTTCGTTGGCTAGGAAGGAGGTAGATGTAATTAATGATTCAAATAGAACGAGCATGTGACCCGTGTCCGGCTATTATGAGTGCCTTCTATGATTTAAGATTAATTTTCTATCTATTCAGCTCACCTCTGATAATAATAATTATTATTATTATAGAATAGAATATCCACATGGCTGATATTCTAGAGTATAGTAATAATATAGTGTCCCAATCATATATATGAAGTGTCTCTATCGCCAGAAAATGGTCGAAGCCACCGGAATGTGAGTGCTGACGTGACCCGATCGCTGCCTGCCTTGGGCTGTGCATATCAACTCGGTTCGGCCCCATCAAGTCACTTACTTCCAGAACACACATACATCATTTTCCCAATGGACGTCGAGCTGTATGTTTATGACCTCTCCCAGGTAAGTTGCTCTAAAATATCATTATTGTGCATCCAAACTGACTCACCTCACAGGGTCTTGCGCGTATGGTACGTACACAAAGCATCAAGATGGCACAGCATGAGCTTTACCTAACCGGTCAAATCAGTACTCGCAACCCTTGACGGGAACCCAGATAGACGCAATCTATCACACGGCACTTGTGCTCAATGGCGTGGAGTACTTTTTTGGCCAAGGCATCCAGACCGCCAATCCCGGCACCACTCACCATGGCCAGCCCATGGAAAAGGTGCACATGGGACAAACAGAGCTTCCGAATGAAGTGATTGAGGAATACCTCGGATCTTTAGCCACGATCTATACACCCGAGGTGCGTCAACTAGGAATTCATCCATGGTCCACGCTTTCTTAACACTCTGGCAGTCCTATGATCTCTTTCTTCATAATTGCAACAACTTCACCCAGGACTTTGCCATGTTCCTAGTTGGAAAAAGTATTCCGGAGCACATCCGCAACCTGCCGCGTACATTTTTAGATACTCCGTTCGGGCAGATGATGAAGCCACAGATTGAGAACGCCTTGCGGGGGTCCACACAGGGCACTGGTCCCGGCACCTTTCCTGGGCCCAGCTTTCAGCCACAGGCTGCACAGCAACCAAGGGCCACACAACATCCAGCGCCCGCCTCGGTCCGCAATGTCAGCAGCCTATCTCAGCTAGAGAGTGAATTAGCCGCGGCATCAAACACGTGCGCCGTCATATTCTTTACCTCGTCAACATGCCCGCCATGTAAGGTCGTCTATCCGACCTATGATCAGCTGGCGGAAGAGGCGGGCGATCGAGCTAGACTCATCAAGGTCGATATTGGCTCAGCCTACGATGTCAGCATGAAGTACGGCGTGCGCGCCACGCCGACTTTCATGACATTTTTGAAAGGGCAAAAACTAGATCAGTGGAGCGGTGCCAACCCAGGCCAGCTCTCAGGGAATGTCCGCATGCTCTTGGAGATGGCAAATCCAACCCATCCTCATCGTCAACTAAGATTGCCCAGCTTACAGCGGCCTATCTCCAACTTTGTTACCTATAAGAAGGTTCCACCGCTGGATAAGCTTGTGCAAAAGCTTCCTGCATCATTCCGAGAGACACCGGACGTCGCTTCAATCATAGACTTTGTCAAACAGCGCCAGTCTGCCAGTAATGGTAATACCCCAATTGCAGACATCAGAGTTCCAGACCTTCATGCTTTCGCGACGTCATTGCAATCAACCTACACAACACTCCCCAGTGACTCCCTCTTCGCAGTCGTCGACCTGGTCCGCCTACTCTTCCTCGACCCCCGCGTCAGCGGTTACTTCGCCGAGGAGGCCCAGCACAAGACCCTCCTCACACTTCTATCCCCTCTATCCGCCGACGATCTCTCCAACTGCCCTTACAACCTACGCATCGTTGCCCTCCAGCTATCCTGCAACCTCTTCAGCATGCCATTATACCCCGACCAACTAACCTCACCGACCTCGCTCCTCCGTGAAACCACTCTACGCCTGGCAATCAACTCCCTCCTGGACTCGCACTCCAACCTCCGCGTCGTGGCAGCATCCTTCGCCTACAACCTCGCAGCCTACAACCATAACGCCCGCTTCGATGGGAATCCCGATCCCCTCACAGAGGAAGATCAGGTCGAGATTACGGCATCATTGCTGGAGGCCATCTCTCGCGAGGACCAGAGCATCGAGGCTCTACACGGCCTTTTGTTCGCACTCGGTCTATTTGTCTACGAAGCCCCGCTTGACGGGGCCCTGGTTGATCTTTGTCGAGCGATGGGTGTCGCTGATACCGTGCGGGCCAAGTCCAAGATCTCGGCCGTGCAGAAGGAACCGCTTCTCAAGGAGATTGGTGGTGAATTGCTTGGCAAAGGGCTATGATTCCATTTCATGTGATATCTGTAAACCCCTCGGTCCTTTGTTTCTTTGCTGCGTCGTCGGACCAAATCTCTCGGTATCTTGCCTTTGACTCAACCTAGGATTAGTGTATTTCGACAAGGTATTAACCTGGTTCGCAGCGGTGTTATTGTCCATAATTAGAAATGATCTTTTTTTATAATAGACGTACAGTCTTTGTCTCTTCTTTCTACTTTTTCCTTCGAGACTTTCTGCCTACCGCAACGCGGTCTTCGGTCAGCGCGTATGTAGAGATTTGTCTTTGTCTTTATTTTATTCTTTTTTGGAAAGAAAAGGGTTATAATTCCTGTTGCCATTTTTGTTTCTAAGGCCACCAAATATCATGTATAAGCAAGAAAAGAAAATAGGCAAGGCAGCATTGTACATTTTCAGGTTAACTTTATTCAATTTCCAAATGTGTTAAATGTGAGCATTATTGCTAGAAATATGGTTTAATTCAACATTTGCTTTCCCTTTTACGAAAGCGACGGTATCGCATGGTCTCTAAAAGAGATTCTACAAAGGAAAGACACGCCCTATCCTGGTACTACTATCCGTACGTCCTTAAGGCCGACTTGGGATCGATATACTCGATAATCTAGTATATTACATATCGCAAATATCACCCACTCTATATTCGATATTACCTCCATAGCTAGTAATAAATGCCTTTCGTGAGATTTCAAACTCAAGCCCACATGATGAACGCGTCTCCTCCGTGTCCGTCTACTAATAGTACTAGTAGTATCTCTTCACCGAACCATCAGACGAAACTCTCGGATATCTCGGCTTGGAGACAGGCCAGGGTCAGGGATCTTTGATATCGTATAATTCTGACTCACAGTGACAACTTCAAGGTATATGATTGGAAATCACCGATCGCCTCTGAACGGTGCTCAAGGTATCTAGTATGTAGTACTAGTACATGGTACCTCGTCCATCCCAGATCAAATACATGCATGTCAGAGATAGTAGTATAGTAGCATCTCTATTAACAATGCCACCCTCACACACCCGGGGCCAAGGCCATTCATCCGTGCCCAGTCCAAGTCAGACAAGATTAGAAATCAACTTGGAACATACCAACGAACTAACCCTCTTTCCCAATGAAGTAAGTGATTGATATTCCTCGCAGGCATCCCATCCTCCCCGAGCACGTTATGGCCCAACCCCAAACAAGAAACTGTTCTGCTGACAAAGGACAAGCCTCGTGTCTTGCACCATGTTGCTTTCAAGTTTCTCGCCTTCCCCTCCCCTCCCCTCCCCTCCCCTCCCCTCCCCTCCCCCCCTCCCCTCCCTCCCTCCCTCCTCACTCGCACAAAGCAAAAGCCCAATCTCACCGTTGCATGTAATCTGCAGGGCCGGCCGTCCGCCGTCCGCCGCAAGTCACAGCCCCCGGCCTGAAGAAGGTCCGAACCACTGATCTCGACACGGGGAGGCCGAGCCAGAGCACGACAGGACGGACACGAGGCGAGGCGAGCAGGGCTGAACGGAGCCGCTGGCCTTAGACGCGACCGAGTCACGGTGACGGGAAGTCCAGGTCCAAGTCCAGGTCTAGGTCCATTTTTAGACTTGTGTTGTGGTGCGACGGTGTGCTACGCTGGCATCGCATCGCATGGCATCGGTGACTAACTGACTACTTGTAGTAGTAGTAGTAGTAGTAGTACCAGCACTGGCATCTACGTAGGTGGTTTAAACTACAAAGTACATACATGCAGGTGTACCTAGGTATACATGTATAGATTTAAATATAATAACATGATAGGAATAAATGCAGAGATAGTGTGGTAGATCAAGCAGATTGTTATTTCTTCTAAACTAAAGTACCGATTGCGTGCCCGACCTGTTCGCGCCAACTCACACCGACACTCGCGAAGAGGACAATGTGGCTTTGGTGGCGTGGCGCTCAGGCGTCAAGGTGAGATAGCGCGGAGCGCGGAATCGGATAAAATGGGGTCTTCGAGGGAGGGGCAGCGCGGACCTTGAAGAAAAGCGGGCGGGAATGGGTGATCAAAATACGGAAGAAAATAATATCCCAATGGGGAAATGGAAAAGATTAAAAGATAGAAATAGTATTGGTATTGGAATTGGAATTGCGCGGCGGATGTCGGGACGAAAATGAATAGGAAAAGAAAAAGGATACAAGATGGGGTATTCGGATCGTGGGTATCTGCGGAAAATCAAGCGCTAGAACGGGTAGAAGGAAAATGGAAAGGAAGAAAAAAAAAACACCGGGTCCGCTTCGGAAATGCAATCAGAAGACCGTGAAGAATCATGTGAAATGGAAGTGGGGAAATAATGGAGGGGTAAGAAAAGGAAAAAAGAAGAAAGAAAAAGATAAAAACAGGAAAAGACGGAAGCGCTGCAGATGCGACAACGGAGGAAAATGCAAAGTATGAGTCAAAGGTGAAGCGGCGGTGTAGTGTGGGGGTACATTAAAGATACTCCGGGTGGGAGGGGAGGAGATCGGAGCCACCGGGGAGATATGGAGATGGCAGATGGAGATGGCAGATAATTCTGGAAGCCGCCGACAGCGATAAATTAGGTAAGCGCGGGGCTGGTGTGGAGATAATCAACAGTGGCAGCTGTCGCAATCTTTCCTGCTGTTGCTGCTGCCACGGCTGTTGGCTGCCCTTTGCTGGCGTCATCGGCGCGCCGTGTGGAAAAGAAAGAAAAAAGAAATGTGTACCCCCCCGGTGCGCCTGGGTGTGATCGGCACTGCTGACGGCGATCTCGCAGCTGCCTGAGCTTTATCATCTGATTCGCTTGGAGCGTGCGGGTATCACGGGTGATTGAGAAACATTAGGAGCTCCAACCAAATGCATGGAAGGGCTGGTCGTTGTAGATATGGAAAAGTATTGGTGGGTAGAAGACATGAGGAAGAAGAGAAGTGTCGTCGTCGTAAGTGGTAATCTGATCGTTGTTTTGTTGAAGCGCCCGCGCTACAACCGACAGTGGTGTGGGTGTAGTGTAGGTTCTTAGTTGCTGGTCATGACCTTGGCCGATGACGAGTGGGCGCGACGCTTGGTTGTCAGGACGGGACGACGCTTCTTGCTGCTGCGCTTGGGGGTGGTAATAGTGGTGGAGCTGGTGTTGGACTCGGACTCGCAGACTCGAGCCAACTGGGCTTGTCGCACGACTTGAGTAGCTCGGGCATGGGCCTCGACCTTGGCCATGAAGCGGGCGCGGTCTTCCTCCTCGGCCGCAGCGCGGACCAGCTTGAGCTGTTGCTCCATGGTCATGGAGGAGAAGATCTGGGGCTGTTGCTCTTTGGTGGTCTCTTCGCAGCATTCGGCGATACCCGCGTTCTCGGGCATCCAGAGTAGATCCTCGTCGGTCAGGTACGCGTTGTTGACGAAGGAATCGCTGGAATCGCCGCTGTACAACGAGGGGCGATTGGGCCAGGATGGGAAGGCACAGGCGGCGCCCATCCCATACTCACTGGAGAAGGATGACTTGCGAGGGTGAATATCGGTCAAAGAGTCGGTGGGGGTTGGTGGCGGAGCGGACGGGTTGGAGAGAGGAGAGCATTCAAAGGAGCTACCGCTGTAGCTGAAGCCGAACTCAGCAGAGTCGTTACTAGCAACAGGTGCCAGGATCGCCGATTTAGTCGGCGACAGGCCGCGAAGACGCGACTGGATTGGAATCACCATTTTGGTGATGTGTGTGATGTGTGTAGATGTGGTGGAAGTATGGAGATATCGTGTAGTAGCTGAGATAAGAGGTGAGAGTAGTGGAGAGTGTATGAATGAGAAGAAAGGTCAAGTCGAGAGGGGCCGATAGGAAGATAATGTAGTGAAAGGGAAGTGGAGTGAATGGAGTGTTTATCAAGAAGACGGTGTGAAGGGCGGATGTCTAGAATCAAAGCCGGGGAAGGCTTCTAGACTTGCCGCGACACCCTTGCAGCCCCGAGACAAATCCAATTTATTTCGATTTTTGCGCCCAAAATGGGGCCCTGGGCTTTTCTTTTCTTTTTCTTTTTGATTTTTCGGGTTTTGATTTTTCCCTTTTTTGATTCCCGTCCACTGTGTGCCCACTTTTTCCGAGGCGGATTGCACTTCCGGCGGGCGATCAATCAGCGTCTGCAGCTGCAGATCTGCTCGATCGGGCGGACTTTCGATTTTGGTTATTTCTTTTTTTTCTGGTGTATCCCTTTTTGCCCGATGTATCACTTCCGGGGAAGGTCGGATTGTATCCGTCTGACACAGAGTACTCACTACTTGGGAGTAGAGAGAGTACTTTGTAGGAGTCAACTGTCAACTGTCAACTCTGAAGTCTGGGATATCGTGTTGTGTTGCTGTGTTGCGGTGAATACACACACACGGAGTAGCCTGCGGGATTCCGGATTCCGGACAGCAAAGAGGGATTCGTGCCTAGGGTACGGAGTATCGTACTTTTCCTGAGATGTGTGTTGGTTTGGCGGTCAACGGTCGAAAACACACGTCAACACCGTTTCTTTGTTCGGTCGATAGTTGATAATATGACAGTTGATCGTCCCTGTCGGGATGGGAGGCCCTGGTCGATATCCTGGTAAATCGATAGTTGATACGGAGTACAGTGGACTAGGGTTGCGTAGGATCTACGAGAAGCACCAAGGGGGATCCGGTGATTATCAAGGGCGGTTCTCCTTTCACGCGAAGAGTTCTTCCGCACTCTCCACCGGTCCTCCACCTCGGGACGGGTCTAAGGGTGGTTTGTTCGAAGCTAGAAGCCCTCGAAGGAGCCCCCGTGGAGAAGTTGGCCCTCGCATGTGGATAGAAAGAGCCGGGGCTGGGCCCGACGGGCGGGTCCGGGGGGGAATTCCTGCCTAAAGGGGGAGTGGTAGTCTTCTCTTTGAGTGTGTGTGTTCGGGCTTGTGTTAACGGTTCCCGCGGTCCACTGGCTCAACGCTCAGCCGAGGTGTTGGAGTACCGGAGTATAGCCTAGGGTATGGACTCGGGTACTACCACAACCATGCAACCATGCATTCTTTTACTACAAGATAGAAGACTTTGTATAATTGCTATTCAATTAGTTATTCTATTACTCTGCTATTCTATTATCCTATTAATTCTTTGATTCTCTATTCTACTCTCCTCTCCTCTCCTCTCCCTCGGTACAGTAAACCAGTGAACCCCAATTTTCCGCGAATCAGCGTTTCCCCATTTATCCGTCTCCAACTCCCGCTCCCATGCCCACACCCCCCCTCGTCCCTCTTTGTCCCGAGTCCAGACCAAACATCGGCCATCCACTTATCACACTAACACGGCCACGCAAAGAATCAATGAAATGAACTCCCATTTTTGATCCGACCTATGATCGACCACGCATTCGAGATGATCCAATACTCGTACTCTTGTCTTTCATACACACCAACTAACCCCTCTCCTCCCCTCCCTTTTCCGAAGTATGTATCCGTAATGTACAATCAATCCGAACAGATCGCGGAACCCAGCAATCCTCCCCCCCGATGCACCCAAGTGGATCAATCCATCTCCCCGGTGCCCCTTCTTCAACATGATCGTCGACAGGTCAATAAATCACCACCCTCGCGCAGGACAACCCGGCCACCAGGAACCTCCATCTCCAGATTCCGTACTTCCGCGCTGGCCCCCGGGGAAATATAGAAATAAAGGGGGCCGGCCCGTCGAACTTGACATCAGATACATCATCTCGCTGGCCCCGGCAACCTCCTCTCCGCCACAGAGGCCATTGGAATTTGACAGGTTCAGCGTACCTTTGTCTTAGAGAGACGATCACTCGAGCTGTTCCACAGGCTTGGAGACTGACTCTAGCCCCGTGTCTTGCCAGAGTCTGGTTCTTGGGTCGGGCCGCGGCCCATAACTATCATCCATACTGTAATGTTGATCGACGATCATCAGCATCGTGGCCCTTTTGCCCCTTTCCCAGGCCCTCGGTGTTTCATCCGCCTTCCGTCCGTTCCTGCTACCAATGCCTCGGGTAGACCTATGTCTCTTCTCCTCTCCTAATGTGAATATTGCGGCCTCACTGTGGACACAAATGGGGCGGCGGCGGCGGTTTCTCCTTAACGAAACCCTCGAAGAGGCAGGTCAATCAAATTTCGTAGCCATCGAGTACGTATGTGTCCGTTCCCGAAGGATTCAAGCCCGCCTCCTCCGCCTCCTCTTCTTTCCTCCCCTAATTAACTCCTAGCCTGTCGTTGTCAGGCGTGTACAAAAGTCCCTGTTCAAAGAAAAAGCGAAAGCGACCAGTAGACAGGTCTACTCGCATCGCAGCGCAGCGACGCTTATTTCTTTGTTTGTCAATGGTACGAAGGGCTAGCCCGCACGGCTGCGGTCGCGCGCTTTCCGGGCACTATTGGTTGCCATGAGCTCCTAGCAAGTCTAATCGACTGGCAAATCGGATGGCAGGACTCGATCACATTTTTGAGCTCCGCTCTCCTGTCAATGATCCCCAGCCGGCGTGTCAATTGGTCCTACAGTACATACATCTCGTACATACCCACCTCCACCTCCACCGATTCCGGCCTTCCCTGCAGCTGCAGCAATAGCTGCAGCGCATATGCAAGATCTCCAAACCAAATCGTGAAAGCAAGGTGGCGCTTGGTCCTTTCTTTGTGCTTAATGGCTGAAAGCCCGTCGATTCGATTCCAAATATGCATCGCTCGATGGTGGGAGAAAGAGCGGTTGGAATTCGAAATCCAACAGGTCCCAACTCCTTAGGTACTTGGTAAAATTGATCTTGACAGTGCAGGGGCGGTTTACTCCGTAGAATCAGGAGCAATGTGAGTGCGTCGGAGGCCACCGCCACCCGATAATTGTAGCCACCGCCGTAGCCACCTGCGAGTATCCCAATCCAGGGCGCCTCTGGAGTTTGGAGCCCCGATTTGCGAACTGACAAACATTCCAGGCAAGCACGAAGTACGGAGGCCGTGTACAATGACGACCTTGGAGTTCTCCATACTCCATTACTCCAGACTTGACGGGAGGCGGGACGGGCATAACCCCCCGAACCATGGAACCAAAGACCAAAACCCCATGGGGCCGGGTAGATTGGATTGGCTTGATCTGATCTGATGTGACCTCATCTGCGAGGGGTGAACATTCCAGCTGGACAAGGAGCTGGCGGTACGAGTACTCCGTGCTCAGTACTTCGTACTTCTGCAGACGCTCTGTCCTTTGGTCTTTGCAGTGTGAGTAACCCAATCCCCCGGAAGCGCGTCCGCTGCCCGGTCGGGGCTTGCAGCGATCGTCTTCTATGGTGATGGGCGCGACTCTTCACCGCGAATCCGAGACGTGTCGCGGGGCAGCTCAGTTCGGTGCCACCGAATACCTGGCGTCTGTTGTGGAAAGTGAGAAAAAAGCCCCTGACTCATAGGCTGTCTGTCAGTTGCGATGCGATGTGTAGAGGCCGTGATGTGATGCGATACGATGGCACTGTTGCAGTTCTGATCTGACCCCGGATAAAACACAACACGACTGACTTGACATGGCTCGGCTCACGACTCGATTTGATTTGATTTGTTCTATCTGCTCGTGACAGCCATCAAAGTTTGAAACCTGGGGGCGGAGCCGCTTTCTTTGATTCGATTCGATTTGATTTGACTTGCTTTGATTTCCCCCAGTCTCACTCAACCGGGTAATATCCTTTCGCCACTACGGAGTAGACGTCTCCCCGAAACAAAGAGAAGTCCGGCCGGGCCAGACTCATCTAGCCTCGCCTCACCTCTGGTCTGGTCACCTCGTCTCGTCTAGGGTCACGACGGGGTTCGTAATCTCCCCGAAATAGAATGTTTCCCTCCCTCCTGACTATTATTACTCCCGTCCTCCGGAACTCCGTAATATCCTACGTATCCTGCGACGGACATCTCCCGCGCCCGTTCGAGAATGCTTCTACCGGACGCGCTCGGCATCCTCCCGACTGTGACAAGCCGGGGCCTGAACCTGAAGTTCGAAATTCGCACTGTGGCGGACGGTGCGTCTTCGCGGCCGCTTCTTCGCTTTTCCGCCTGGGTGCCATCCACCTCGCTCTCTTCCTTTGATTGGCGCTGAAGGTTAAAAACGGCCCGAGTGTACTGCACTGTGCTGCGCTGCTGCGTACTGCGAGTTTGCGGATAGGTTGCGGATGTACTTTCATATCGGGCGGATACTTCTTGCGTCCGTCTGGTAGATATCCGGCGGGTAGAGCACAGCGGGTGTCCTACATATTCCATGTATAGAATGTTTGAAAATTGGAATTAGGGCTACTGGGACTAAATTCTCTGGTGGTGAGGGGCTGCCCTGCCCTGTCCCTCCCCTCTCGGATCTCTCTCTCTCTCTCTCTGTCTGCCTGAGTCCGAAGCGTCAGGCACTCGGGGGTACAGGTTCAATATGTACTTTGTTCCGACCATGCATGGGATTAAGGGTCGTGGAGGGTGGATGGCACAGGAACTTGACATGGGTTTGGCGGCAGGTCAACTGGCGGTGAATCCTCTCTTTTGGGAGGCGTTCTTCCAGGGTTCGTGGCAACATGCTTTGTGCAAACATTCTAGAAGTGTCAGGTGTTGTGCTACTAGGGTGTGTTTCGCTGTCCTGGGGTTTGCCCTACTTGATACCTAAGATGAACAAACTGGTCGTGCAAGGCGAAATCGCCCAGTGTGTTATCTGGCTAGCCCCTTCATTCTGGATTATACTGTAGGGTAGGATTCAAATTTGATTGTAACAGCCTTATCTTTCTATCTCGCTAGTATCTCTAGTGCAGTCTAGTGTTCCATGTTTTTAGAGTACCTCCGTGCACTCAATCGGAGTACGCTGATAAGGAAATATATCCATTGTCTCGCAGTCGCAGGACAAGATTTGCACCCCTTCCAAGGTTCAAGTTCCCTCCAGTGCTTAAGTTACTTCAATCTCAAAACTAAAGCTTGGAACGCACTCCCACATGATCTTTACTATGAACGTGCCCAACTAGCCTGACGATGCTACACTCGCTGATAGGATGGTGGCGCGGGGTTCAACCTGCCATCTCGAGCTAAGCTCCCGTTAGCGGCCAACAACTCCACTTTCCAAGCATCACAACTGCCTACAAGCCTTATCTCGATGCTTCCCCGCGTTCTCATGATTACACTAGTCTCTTACAGAGTCCAGCTTGGTGCCATGGCGAGAAACGGGATAAACCTGGACGGCACACGCCGGTGCAATTGCGCGGCCTTTTGACCCGACGCATTCCTCGATTCCTCGCAGACATCTTGCGCGTGCTCTCCTCAATCTTTCCACTGCATCATGGCCGATAACATGGAATCTAAAGAGCTCGAAGTTGAAAAGGTCACCCCTACCGTGAAAATGGAAGAGGAAGGGGGAGAGGAGACTTCTGACTTAAAAGAGCCAGAGGAGATTATTGAGAATGTCGAGTACAGCTACGAGTCGCATCGGTCTCCGTTTCCCGAGGGTGAGTGCTCATCCACAGCCTTGTGGATGTCAATTTTGAATACTCACAGTTTCAATAGTCAGATCTGTTGTTCCCGAAACAGACGATCCCAGCATGCCCGTCAATACCGTGCGCATGTGGGTTCTAGGAGTGATGTTCACGATTCTTGGCTCCGGCATCAACCAGTTCTTTTCACTCCGATATCCATCGGTGCATATTGTTGCCCTAGTCGCAGAGCTACTTGCTTATCCGATGGGTGTCTTCTTGGCAAAGACACTTCCCCTGGCTACCATTTCGTTTGGGCCCCTAGGCAAATTCACGCTCAACCCAGACCGGAAATTCAATATCAAGGAACATGCACTGATTGTGATTATGAGCAATGTTTCCTTTGGTTATGCAACTGCCGACTCGACAAACATTATCCAAGCCGCCAGCGCAAATTTCTACAATTTCAAGCTGAAGACGGGTTTCTACGTCCTGATAGTCCTATGCGCACAGCTCCTCGGCTTCGGAGTCGCTGGGCTCGCGGCTCCGTGGCTGGTTGAGCCAGCTCGTATCATTTGGCCCGGCGTCCTGTCCAACTGCGCTATGTTGGAAACTCTGCATTCGCGCAGCAACACAGTGGCGAACGGATGGCGCATCTCTCGTCTGCGCTTCTTCCTCTTTGTCACGGGGGGTGGGTTCCTCTGGTACTTCTTCCCGGGTCTGATATTTACAGCATTGTCCTATTTTACATGGGTCTGCTGGATCGCCCCGAAGAACGTCGTTGTGAATCATCTATTTGGAATGCAAACTGGACTAGGACTTAGCCCGATCACGTTCGACTGGAGCCAAATCGCGTACAACACCAACCCTCTCCTCTCTCCGTCATGGGCTGCAATCAACGTATTTGCTGGATTTGCCTTCTTCTTCTGGATCATCGTTCCTATACTATACTACACCAATGTTTGGTTCACAGCATACCTTCCCCTCATGACCAGCGACGTCTATGATCGTACCGGCGCCTTGTATGATACTGCCCGAGTCATCGCCGCAGACAATAGTCTCGACGAAACCGCGTACCGCAACTACTCGCCGCCCTACCTCGGCGCAACATTCGCCTTTGTGTATGGCCCTTCATTTGCCGCCATCACATCCGTTCTCACTCACATTGGTCTCTGGCATGCTCGCGACGTCTGGGCAGCCTTCAAAGGCCGCAACAAGCTAGATATTCACGCTAGGCTTATTCGCGCATCCTACAAACAAACTCCATGGTACTGGTACGGCGGAATCATCCTTGTCATCACAGGCATGTCTATCGCCATGGTCGTAGTCTACGACACTAGACTCCCTGTTTACGGCATCTTCCTGGGTTTGATCATTCCCGCTTTGTACATGATCCCGTGTGGGATCGTTCAGGGTATTACGAACGTCGACGCAAACCAACTTAACGTGTTATCTGAGTTCATTGGCGGATATCTATTCGAAGGGCGCCCGCTCGCAAACATGATTTTCAAGATCCTTTCCACAGATGTCGTGGGACAGGGCGTCTATTTCGCCATGGACATGAAGTTGGCGCATTACCTCAAGGTTCCGCCTCGTACGACATTCGTGGCACAGGGCGTCGCGACGATTCTTGGCGCCCTCACCCAGGCCGGTGTCACGCTTTGGATGCTGGGTCATATCGATGGGATCTGCGAATCCGACCAGTCAGATAATTTTACCTGTCCCAATGGGCGGACGGTATATTCCTCTTCAGTGATCTGGGGCCTTGTAGGCCCGCGTCGGCTCTACTCTGCCGGCAAGATTTACTCGGGACTTCTTCATTTCTTCTGGATCGGTGCTATTGCTCCTGTTATTACGTGGCTCATGTACCGCTATACTAAACAGCGGTTTTGGAAAATGATCAATTGGCCTCTGATTTTCGTGGGAACTTACAATGTCCCACCTGGTATGTGCTTACCCGACATTCTGCATTTCTCCATGCCAATACCTTTCATAATAACTAATCTTTCTGATCTGTTAGCTACTGGAATCAACTACTCCAGCTGGGCCCTTGTCAATTTTCTCTTCAATCATTTCCTGCGTCGCAAGTTCTTTGCTTGGTGGACGAAGTATAACTATATCCTAGCTGCTGCTCTGGACACCGGTCTCGCTCTTAGTGGTATAGTCATATTTTTCTGCATTTCCTATCCTGGCGCGGTGTTCCCGGATTGGTGGGGGAACACGGTCTACCTAAATACTGCGGATGGACAAGGCGTGCCGTACAAGGCTATGCCAGATGTCGGGTATTTTGGGCCTGCCAATGGGACGTGGGCTTGATTGAGGCCTCAAGTCACGGTTTGTTTGTTTCCCTCTGTGTTTGAAGGGATTATTTGTCTTTCATGTTCAAGTCAGCATTCTACGAACGCGTACTGTGTCTTGAAGGAATATTGCAATTCCCAAACTACTTGTAGAAATTTAAAGAATACTCCCCCAGGGCTGATTCTAGTAGTAGCATACGTTTCTTAGTACTGGCTGATGTTTATATGGTACCGCCCGGGGGGGTTCTCTTTTCTTAAACAAGATGACTGCCGGCCGGAAATTACATGATTTTTCTAGAAATTGAAATCCGAAAAAAGCTTTCAACTCGAGAAAAAACCAAATTAATGAACACCTAGAACTCAGGCAGATCCTGTTGAAAGAGCCCGATAAGCCTGGTTCCATGCCTCGAGGTGGGTGGTGGCTCATGCCTTAGGCACCCAAATCTCCAAAACGCCCCCAAAAAAAGATATCCCGCTTTTACCCTGAATTGAACGGAGGCATAAAAACTTCAATCGTGCACCCTACCTCAACAAAGCATCTGTAAGGAAAAAAAAAACTGGTAGCTTCTCTTTGATTGAGCGTGTCATCCTTAGTGCAGGGGCCATGCTAATCTTCTCTGTATATTTTCATTTGACCAAATGTCCCGAAGGACGTAATAGTATCCTGATAAGTGTGTTATATACCCCCAAAGTCACGTGATGCACTCTCCACTATTGGCTCCCCCAAGCATCGTCATCGCAATCACCTCTCGGCTTCTAGATCTCACCTTCTCGACCGCCAGGAACCGCTACGAGATTCTCACAGCCAGAGAAATGGTATGCTCCTGCTCAATCCAATGACTCACTATCTCGCGCTGCACATTCTAACCTTGGTACTTTCAACTAGCCTCCCAAGAGGCGCGGAGCTCCCGCCAGCTCCTCCGCAGCAGCTCCCAAGCGCGCGCGCCAATCCAAACTAGCCAAGGAGAACAATATCTCCGCCGAAGAGGAGAACGAAATCAAAGAAGTTTTCCAGCTATTCGCAGATAAACACGAGGATTTCCCCAAAGAGAAAGAGGGCGTCATTCCCCGCGAAGATGTGCGCAAGGCATTAGTGTACGTCCAGTCCTGACCAGTCCTGACCACCCCATCTCCCCTCCGACCATTACTCTGCGTGCTTCTGCGCCGACAACATCGCAAACCCACCTAGACTACACATTACTATTTCAATTCGAGATAAAACTAACACCCTCACTTCTCGCAGAGCCCTCGGCCTCCCGCCCTCAGACTCAACCGAACTCTCCGACATCCTCTCCGCCCTCGACCCAACCTCAATCGGCTACGTACCCTACAGCCCATTCGTATCCGTCGCAGCGGCGAAACTGCGCTCCCGCGACGACGACGCCATGGTCGCCGAGGTAGACGATGCTTACCAGCTCTTCACGCGCGGGTCAACCGGGCCGATTTCGCTGGGCCATTTGCGTCGCATTGCGCGCGAGTTGAAGGAGGACTCTGTTGATGATGAGTTGCTTAAGGATATGATTCTGGAAGCGAATGGTGGTGCTGGTCTTAGTACTGGTGTTACTTTGGAACAGTTTCATGATGTTATGACTCGTGCTGGGGTCTTTTAGGCCTCTGTTCGGGGACGACCCTTGACTTTTGATGGTTCTGCGCTGTGTCGCGCTTTTGTACAGTTTCTTTCCTTTTGTGCGGTTGATTTGTAGGATGGATATATGGGTGTGGGTGGCTCGGTGTTGGGATGGTGTTTGGGATTGGCGTTTCTACTGCATAGCGTTGGAAATACTTTCTTTGAAGTTTTGACTTTTATCATGCTAAATCCAGACGATGAGTATTGTCTGTCCTGTGTTTATTCATCAACCAAGACTATGGATCAAATCACGATGATAATAATACGTGAAATTGGTTTGTTCATCATCCATTGATGACAGTGTTATTGTAGATACATTTCACCCTCCAGCCGCAATAGCAATTTAAAAGAAATTAAGTCCGATACCGAAAAGAAAGAAGAAGCCTGGAAGAACACACACATGAAGAAGCAAAGAAAAAAGAGGAGAGCAGAAGACATGACCCGCGCATCAACTATCAAATTCCTCCGAGATAAACCAAGCAAGGCTCATACCACCATCCACGTGCACTAGGCAAGCGCAAGCGCAGACTACTGTAAAGTAGGCGATGTTTAGGAGATCTCAGCCATGCCAAGGTCCTCGCCACCGTTGGCCTGGGGAGCAGCGTTGACAGGAGCAGCGCCCTGAGCAGGCACATTCTCGTTGCCGCCGGCGAAGTAGTCGACCATCTCGGCGTCGAGCTCCTCGACGGACTTAGGCTTGCCACGGCCGGGGTTACGGCCCTTGCGACCCTTGGCACCACGAGCTTGACCCTTTGCTCCTTCGTTGGTGTTGGTGTTGGTGTTGGTGTTGGCGTTGTTCTTCTTGTTAGCTCCGCGGCCAGCCTTGGCAGCGGTGGCAGGCTTGGGCTGGGACTTCTGATGACTATGAGAAAGTTAGCAAGAGGCCGGATTATCGAGAGTATGTCCAAGCTTACGCGATGCGCTCGTTGAGCGGCTTGGGGGCGGGAACAGTCGGGGCGTGGGAGGCATCGTACACAACCTCAATCTATAGAATCGTCAATAAACCTCTTCCATAATAGCAGAACACAATGCTTCTGACCTTCATGGGACGGCCATCAACATGGAGACCATTAAGCTCCTTGGCGGCCTTGGCGGCAGTGTCGGCGCGGCCGAAGATGATGGAGGCGATGCCACGGCTGCTTCCGTTTTGGTTGTAGGTGAGCATCACCTTCTTGACAGGGCCTGCAGACTTGGTAAAGTATTCCTATAGCGCAGACGATCAGTATGCTGCGTCTTGTAATTTCAGTTGAATCAACGGCAGTCGAATCTTGAATAAAAAACGACAGCGACAGCGCAAACGAAAAGAACTGCAAGTCCGACGAATCAAAGAGCATCAGCGAGCACATAGCGGCGATCGGTCGAATGTTGTGTCCCAAGAACCGCCAAACCACACTCCGCCTTCGCGGAGACAAATCCTCTACATTCCAGTTGCACAGACACGATACCAAATCCCCCACCGGCATCAAATGGCGCCCCATCCCTCATCGTTTGACCAATCAAGCGCGATAAGTCTTCGAACGACACATGGTGGCCTCACAGTGCTACCAAGAATGCACGCCTTTGTTGCTGCAATGGATAACAGAGTGTTCCACCCTGCGTTCTCATGATCGCCCTCGGTTGATAAACATAATCGCATGATAAAATGCCGTACAAGCTATCCCTCAAGATTCACACCAATGGGATTCACCCCACCGAGTAGTGCAACTGGAAGGGAAGCCGAAAAAAGATCCCGCGATTTAGGGCGCCCGGATTTGTTCACAAAAAGATGCCCGCTGTGTCACTGATGCGCTCGCTGATGCCCTCTCCGAAGCTCAAAAGACGAGATAGGAATAGTATGAGCGGGATTTCGAAAACAAGGGTAGGATGAAGATGGTCATCTTCAATCCTCGGCACAGTACTCGGATGATAATAAAGCGGGTGGATCACCTCTGGGTAGGGATCGACACGAGCAGTACACATCTGGTCACTGAAGTGACAACGCTTCAACTTCCTGTATCACAATATGCCAACCAGGAAAGAGAGAAAATTTTTGCAGATACATGTGGAAGGAGCATCTGTCTGTGCCGGGAGCGCGCTGGGCGACTGCCAACAGGCGGGGAGGGTATAGAGGAACAGGACAAGTCGGACATGCGAGTTGAAGTCGTTTGCACCTCGAAGAGTTCGAAAGCAAGATGGCGATCAAAGCCAAGGCGAAGGCCTCTAGATCAACATACCTTGATATTGGCCTCAGACACATCGGACGGCTTGAAGAAGTTAGCAAATGCTGAACCATGGACTGGAGAAGGGTGAATGGATGCTTACCAGTCCGCTCACGATGATCTTGCTGGATGCAGCTGGAACCGGGGTAGGGTGAACCGCCTTCGCAGGGGCCTTGGGGACTCTGGAGGACTTCTTGACGCCTCCGACCGTGGGGGCCTTGGCAGTAGCCCGACGGTTTCCGCCGCGACGACGAGCATTCTGGCGACGGTTACCGACGAGATCGTCAAGCGACTTGTCCAGGTTGGCAGACATCTTGTGGGAGAGCGAGATGGAAAGGTGGTAATTTGGAAGAAGAGGAGAAGTCGCGATATGAACGCGTTGTCGAGATCGGATGCGCCGCTTGAAAAAACAGCACTTGGAGAGAGTAAGAGAGTTGGTGCGAAGTATAAGTTGTCCTTGGTTGGGAGCTTTTCCTTTGGGTGGACAGGGAAAAGTAGGAGATAAGAGTGAGAGGGAGAGTCAGAGAGAGGTGAAATGGAAGAGGAGGGAAGGGGAGGGAGACCTGGCAGGGCGGCCTGCGGCCACAGCCACTGGGGGCGATTGCGACCACTGAACAGGCTAATCCTCTTTGGGCGTTGGGCACCGGAGGGTGTTTACTCCGTTTGCATCGAGGCTGAGCTGACACTTTGATTCTCCCGTTCATTAGGAGCTGCAAGTTGTTTGAGAATAAATTGCACTTGCAGATGCTGATTGTTATGGGAAATGTAAGGTCATGCATGTAACATGTTCCTATGTCATTGAGATTGTCTACTACTAGTTCTAACTTGTATGCCCACCTGGGCACCAAGAGTATGATGACATACACTTATACAACTCCAATATAATGCAGTCAAAGCTGGTTTAATCATATGTTTGGCCCCAGTGTGAGTGAAAACATACTACTAGTGGTACTAGCAGACTAGTAGTAACAGAGTGCAGAGCCGTCAAAGACAAATACTGGCCGCTGGGTGAATGGTAGAATTACTTTGTTTCGTTCTATATGAGGTCCAGCTCGCGAAGAAATCAATAAAGAACTCCCGCCAAACTCCTGCCAATGGGGAAACGCAGAATTAGATCAAAGACTCTGGAAACAGGGCAGTGGATGGTGCGGCGTATTCAATGCCTCAATCACTGTAGAAGGGGGGGTATATCAGCTCTTGAGAGCCTCCAGGCGGCCTCGCATCTCATCGAGAGTCTTCTCTTGATCTTCAAATTCGGGCTCCTCGGCAACTGGGGCCTCCTCTGCAATTGGCTCGGTGGGCTTGGCGGGTGCTTGGGAGAGTTTGCCCTGCAAAACCTCTTGCAAGATCTTGTCCACCTCTTCTTCTGCCTCCTCATACTCATCTTCAAATAGCTCATCGTTGGGGATTGCGTCATCAATGACTTCCTCAATAATACCGGCTCGGACTAACTCGGACGATAGTTGGTGCATCGTAGATGACAGCTCCGGTAAGCGCACCAGCGTGTTCACATCTTTCATGATTCCCGTAGACTTCTGGAGGCTGCCCTGGATCTTGCGCACAGAAAAGGCCTCGTTCACCTGCATCCCGACACTCTGTAACTGGGCCCGGCTTGTATTCAAACGGGTGGTTTGTTTCCGAATTCTCATAAGCTCCCGCGCAAAGGTCTTGGTTTCGCTTGTTGCCTGTTTAGCCTGTGAGGGGTTTCGTTGCGCTCGTTTGGATGAATTGATGATGTGTTGACGGGTTTTGGTATCGAGACTTTTGAGATGGGCGAGATCACGGTCGAGTTGTCTAGTATTTGCGCGAATGAGGGTATTGCATTTTCTCATCTGGCCGGGCGAGTCGTCGTCAGCCGCTTTCTCTTGAAGCAAGTTCGCCACAGATTAGACAGACTTACCTGGACCGCAGGATCGGGCCCAAAGAAAACAGCCTTCAAGGACTCCATGGTCGTAGAAATTGCAGCTTTAGGAGCTGCGAAAAATGACAAGGTTAATCGGCTTCTCCAAAAGGCCGATCGATAGCAATCGATTTGCGAGCACTGGGTTCGTGGTATTCAACGTGGGGGGTGAGGAGAGATGCGCCCAGGTGTATTATCCTCCCACCGATATGTGTGAGAGTTGTGACAGAGTCACAGATACTGTTCCAAAAGTGAGCTTCAATCAAAGCCAGGCGGACCACCAGACTGCTCGACCCTTCTCTGTTGCGTCTTATCAGTTCGGCGATGCCTGCGGCCACCACCCGAGGAGGGGCGTGGGGAGCCATTCCTGCTGAGTCAGCTTACTCATGCCTCAGGCCCCCAATATGACAAGGCAAACAAGGCAAACAGGAGTGCCAGTATTCCAGTACCTTCTAGCAGTGTGAATGCGGGCGCCAATGCGTCTTTGAAGTGAGCTGCTTCCCTTCCCCAACCACACACCTCCATCTCTTCTCCCAGTTCTTTCTTCATCTCCATCTCTATACTACTCTAATCTATCCCCTTTCTCACTCCTCACCTCTCACCAAAATGTCCGGAACTGTCCACCCCGAAGGTACGTTTTGTGTTAGCTCGACTTCCCCGCTCCGAACAACTTGACCTCTGCACATTTTGCGCGATCAGCCCGTGATGACGTTATCTGATTGCATGGGCCATGTTGTAACCTGGAGCATGGGACAGTCTCCAATGCTGTATCCCATGAATTGAAAGACCTGAGAAAAGCTAACTTGATCACCGGGTAGTTACCTGGGCCCAGCGCTCCTCCGACTCGGATCCCGAGCGCAACTACCTCTACGTGAACCTGAAGACTGCCGATGTCCCCAAGGCCGATGCTAAGCTGAGCATCACCCCCAACAATGTCTCCTTCACCGGCCCCTCCGGCAAGGGCGTCACCTACTCTGTCTCTCTGGACCTGTTCGGCGAAATCGACCCTGAGAACAGCAAGTCCAACCACACCGACCGTGAGGTCGAGCTCGTTCTGCGCAAGAAGGAGCTGAAGACGGAGTACTGGCCCCGTCTGCTCAAGGAGAACAAGAAGGTTCACTTCCTGAAGACCGATTTCGACAAGGTATGACCTGCATCATGGGAAGCGGGGTAATTTTGGCGATTGACGATTGGCTAACGAAATTCTCAGTGGGTTGATGAGGACGAGCAGGATGAGGCTACTGAGGACGACTATGCCAACAACTTCGGCGGCATGGGTGGTGGTGGCGGCGAGGAGGGTGGCCTGAGCAACATTGACTTCTCCAAGCTCGGTGGCATGGGTGGTGCTGGTGGCATGCCCGACCTGAGCGCTCTGGCCGGTGGCATGCCCGGCATGCCCGGTGGCATGGGCGGAGCTGGAGATGACGAGGGCGAGGATGACGATGTAAGTGATTCAATTATATTCCGCAGATCTCCCATATTTGCATTGTGATACGGACGGATTGCTAATGATATGAACAGGAGGAACTTCCCGAGCTGGAGGAGGCCGACCAAAAGTCGTCCAAAATCCAGGAGGTCTCTTAAATGTCCTAACATGTAACCCCTCCCTCTCTCTCTCTCTCTCTACAGAAGCTATGACGACCAGAAATGAAAAATACCGGTGCTTTTGAGGCGCCAGTGGGAAGGTGTGCCGGAGATTTTGGTTTTGCTTTAAATTTCCTCGATTGTTTGTAGAGCACAGCGACCAGGCTCAAGTTTGCTACTGGCAAGTGCGTGGCCTTATACATGTGTAGATCACGAATGTGAGGAGCCTTCCTGATGAATGAATGCGGTGCCTATTTTTCAATTCTTCAATTTTCAATTCTTTTCATTTTCAGATCTTTTCAGTGGTCTTCCACCAGGGCACAAAGGATCACCTTGTAAAGACAGTATTTCTACGAGATACTGCCACCAAAGAATCACCTAATATGTACTCGTAGTGTACGTAGTCTGTATGTTACCCAGGCCCAAAGTCGAGCAGTTAGGGTTCTGCTCGAGTCCTCCACTGCGCACTGTGCGTCCACTTAATTGGGGCGATGACGCAAAGGGTCGACCAGCCGAGAGCGTCAAGTCACCACGAGGGAGATATTGAATTGGTATATACCCTAGGTAGATACAGAATCTTGAAAGTCTCATTGATGTTCATTTTATTTTTCAAAATCGAAATTCCATAAGTTGTACAGAAGAGACAAACCAAATCTCTGAAAGATTGTTATACTCGGAGGGCATCGTCATTGGTCAGTGCCCAACTGTTTCCCGCCACACTCACCCCTCGGACTCAGATTTGTGGAGGCTCCTTCAATCTCAGGGCTTTTCAACCTACTCAACCTCTCATACCTCTCACTCATACGCGCCTGGGCCTTCCCGTGTCTTTCTTTTGGCATCTCAGCGTTTTCTTTCCTACCAAGCGACCTCGTCCAACCCGCGCATCTCATCTCACATTTTTATCCCACTTTAAAACCACAAAGCCTAACCAGGCAAACTCGTCACCATGGCTCCCAAGAAGGCCGACCAGCCTAAGAAGAAGAAGACCACCGTTGATGATAAGGTGAGTTTCCCTCAGGATATCCACACAATGTTTCCTTCGTGCAAGAAATCTTTTGCTAACCTTAATTTCCCCCATCATTAGACCTTTGGCATGAAAAACGTACGTCAAAAATTCCGATCCGCCTCACCCCTCCCCTCCCCGCGCAACGATAACACCCTCCCCCGCTCCAATGACGCCCAATCACACTAACCCTCCAACAGAAAAAAGGTGGTGCCGCCAAGAAACAGATTCAACAGCTTCAAGCGCAATCCGTTTCCAACAAGACTCCCGATGACAAGCGGAAAGCCGCTGAGAAACTTCAACTCGCAGCCGAGAAAAAGGCCGCCGAGGATGCCAAGAGGGAGGCAGCAGACCTATTCAAGCCCATCCAGGCCCAAAAAGTGCCCTTCGGTGTCGATCCGAAAACTGTGCTGTGTCTCTTCCACAAGAAGGGTGGTTGTGAGAAGGGCCGCAAGTGCAAGTTCAGTCACGATCTGAACATCGAGCGCAAGGCTGCCAAGAAGGATCTGTACACCGATTCGCGTGATAATGAGGGTGAGGGCGAGGGAGAAGATGAGGAAGGAGGAGGCAAGAAGGCCGACAAGATGGAAGATTGGGACGAGGAGAAGTTGCGCAGTGTTGTGCTCAGCAAGCACGGAAACCCCCGTACGACCACCGACAAGGTCTGCAAATACTTTATCGAGGCCGTTGAGAACCAGAAGTACGGTTGGTTCTGGACTTGTCCGAATGGAGGTAATAAGTGCATGTACAAGCACAGCTTGCCGCCAGGGTACGTGAAGAAGAGATCCAATACAACACTCACATTCATATTGCGCAAACACTGACATCTGCAAATAGATTCGTTCTGAAGACTAAGGAGCAGAAGGCGGCTGAGAAGGCATTGATGGATAAGTCGCCACTTGCTACTCTCACCCTGGAGGACTGGCTCGAGTCTGAGCGTCATAGGTTGACCGGTACTCTCACACCTGTCACCCCGGAGACATTCGCCAAGTGGAAGAAGGAACGTATCGACAAGAAAACAGCCGAGTCAGATGCCCAGAGGGCCAAGGAAGCCACTGGCCGTGCCATGTTCGAGGATGGCGCCTGGAAGGAGGAGGATGAGAGCAGCGACGAGGAGGATGAGTTTGCTGATCTGGTGGAGCAGATGAAGCAAACCCAGCTAGAAAAGGAGAGGCAAGATGCGGAAGAGTTCCTCGAGAGAACTGGCCAGGAGCTTCCCCCCGGTGATGGACGGAGATGCGCTCGCCCAGAAGGCCGAGGCCGAGGCTGCGGCTGCGGATTGATTACATTCTTCTTCTCACGAGACTACTATCATGGGTCTCTAGGCTCTCTTTCCGGCTGGATCTCGGAAAATTCGACTTTTGTCAGTCCGGTTCGTTCTTCACAGGCTCAGATCTGGGTGGCAAGTTGATCGCGCAATCGCAATCGCCTGTCTGACCTGATGCATAGACCATTGGCGTTTTCATGGGCTTTTTCATGTCTCTAGATACCCGGTCAATCACTTGTTGTCCATTAAGCCTTGGGAACCAGGATGTCTTTCCACGTCCTAGGGATTGAGAGTGAGTGAGGGTTATGGCAACAGGGAGGGACAGGATTTAGATCTTCTGTTATTTGTGACGGAAGAATCAACGAACTGAAATATTGTTATGGAGTCTTGCTTTGGGTAGCAAAAAGTCCGTTTATTTCCAGTGTTTGCGTGAGTTAATACGATGATTCCCATTGTTTTTTGCAAAATTTGAAGCCATCGGAGACGTTCCAAGTCTTCTTCCTCTGCTATTTCCATTCTAATGGAAACAAATAAGTGTGCGTAGCATCATGAATTTTTAACGTTTTACCCTTGGAAGTTCTGAACATTCAAAGCACCTAAACATGGGAGCTGATCTCACGGTGCACTGTGACTATCTTCAAGGTTCTCATCCATAGTTTATATAAAATGTTTGCTCGGTACCTGGGCATACTTCGGTAAACCCTTGAATAGGAACTTTGCATCTTCAAGGATAGTATCAGTAGCTTTCAAGTTATGCATGTTCTATTTGGTTGTGTATTTACAACGTTACCTCCCTGGGTATCTCTACAATACTGCTCTAGCCTGGAGCAGTCCATTCTCCAGCATCAGCCCTGCTGTATCTCCTCCGCAACACCCCAAGAGATCTCAAATCCCCGCCCGCCAGCCCCATACGCATGAACTATTTTCTTCCCATCGGCCAACTTTTCCACCTCCATTCGCATCCCGCCTTGGCGAGCAGGTCGGCGTCCCACGATGTCACGAATCACGTCGAACTGACCTCCGCTTTCCGGGGCAAAAGGGAACCATTTACTTGCGTTGGCAAGAAGTCGGGCCCTGATATCGAGGGAAGGATTGGGGTCCCACTCATGGGGTTGCTTGGTACCTCCAATGATGGTTCCCCCATCTAGCGGGCGAGGGATACAGAAGGACCAGGAACCGTCTGTGTTCTGGCGAGTAATTGTTGCAGAGACGGGGTTGCGTACTAGACATGTTTGGCCTGTTCGGCGTCAGTCACTGTTTGAGTACCAGAGGGTCTAACAATATGACTTGTAGCACATACCTCTGATGATGAAAGATTCAGGGTCTTCGAATCCCAGTCCGGAGCAATTAACCACCGTTCTTATATTTTGCGCGAGCGAAAAGGCTTCCTTCACGTTGGCGAGTTTATACTGTTTCGTCTGACCACCCTTGACAATAAATTTACGCAGCATATGCGCGCAGTATACTGGGGAGTTAATCACCCATGTCCCGTATTCGACACCCCATTTCACACCCACAGGCAGCTCATCCCTTGTCAAGCGTCGAAAACCATCCATACTGGCGTAAACGTTGCGCAAACTCTGGGGATCGGAGTATTCTGCAGGCGGTGCTTCGAGGTGCTCGACGCCTTTCACGAACTTGATCCCGGCGGCCGGCTCATCGGCCGCCACTCGTTTGAGGTACTCATATGTTCGCTCTGCTTGGTTTGCTTCTCTAAGGACCTGTGGAGATGAGCCTGGCACGGGTCGATAATGTGCGCCAGCCCAGGGTGATGCGTAGTCGATCGATTCATCGGAGGGGAATTCTCTGGCTACGAGAAGCACAGACTGCGATGGCGAAAGCCGTTGCTGGATGCAGAGGGCAGTTGATAGTCCGATGACACCTGCACTGGAAAGTTCTCATGTTAGTTAGAGGGCATATCATAGGGTAGCTGCAGACAGAAATTGATATGGACCTACCCAATCACGACGATAGTCTCTGGGTTAGCCATGGCAGATCATATGATTTTAGCGGGACCCAAAAATAGACTTGTAGCAGGGTATCGGCTGTGTGGGAAAGGCTGAAGCCGGAGGACCCTCAGCAATGGAATTCTCGTGAGTCATGGGATTGGGATCGGATGGAATCCGGGGAAGATATGAGCCCCGCCATTCCACCCTCCAGTGGTCAGATGATACGCTGCCAATGCGGCATATGGTGGGCCTGCAGTTCATCCAGTATGATGGGTTGGGAGAATGATTGTATGTACTCGTACTTTGTAGAATTCAAGCATAAAAAATAAGCTGTTTATCTCTGTTTCTGTTTATGGAGTACTTAGAATGTAGTCAAATAAAGTGTTCCTAAGGTTGGCGGTGACTTCTCCTCTCCGCCTCTTTCCTCCAATTTCCAACACGACGTCTTAGATGGCGGTGATCACACGTCGCGCAGATTCTGCATCTCAACTTACCTTACCAGGCTCAATTGTGAACTCCTTGTGCTTGATACTCGTACTGTTATCACAAAGGGCCCAAGCTCCTACAGCAACACAGCAAAATGTGCCTGATGTGCATGAGGAACCCGGCGGGTTCCTCCAGGCACATAATCACATCACACAGTGGGGACGAGAACTCTGAACTCCTGAACGGTTCCCAAGCAATTCTCGAGGTGAAATTAAGGGCTCAAAAAACATGCCTCCGGGGCTGGCGGGTGAACTATGTTTTATGACTTTGTGACAATCGGCACGACATCACCGTATGAAACACCCGAGACGGAACGGCCAGAATTCTCCGCAGCAACGATGGACTCCACCAATACCCACCAACAGTTGCTCAATGGTTTCCAGGGCTTGACACTTGGCACGCCTGTTCTCTCCATTTTTCACTGAAAAGGTGAAGCGGCGCTGGCGATTGGCTGCCCGGTGTGATATAGGCGCCGAGGGATCAGCAGTGATGGGATGTGATTGGATGAGTGAGGTGATGAAGGTGCAGCTTGTCAACCACTGCACGGATCCTCGTCACATCAAGTGTCTCAGAACATTCACGGTTTCTTGCATTCGTTTGGTCTCTCGAGTGCGTGATCCTCGAGCCTTGAGGGAAGAGGGTATCAATGAGGGAAACAGACAGAAATGCCCCATGGAATCGAAACATCCTCCTTCGGCAGTTACCAAGGCTGGTCCTCTGCGTGCAACAACAGAGTCCGGGATCGCCTCTCCAGATGTGCAGACATGCAGACTTGTGCTAGACCCACTCGACCGATGATGAGGGTTCCCGTCTGTGATTCGGGAGCCTCCTGCATTGATCTAAACCTATAGCTTTTTTTGCGACCACCCGTTCCGCTCTCTCGTTGGTGCACACTCACAGCATCAGAGCCACGCTGCCCCAGCCACCCAAGGCTCGATCTCACCGTCTCCGCTAATGATGTGATGCTGCAGTCTCCGATCCTGGACACGGGGGTTAGAGTGGATGCTCGAAGTGCTCGGTCGCTTCCCAACCCGCGCACTGTATGGTCGGTCGTGAAATGAAGCGCCTTGCCCTTCGCACCGGGCGCCAACCCCGATTGCTCGATGGCTGGAGATATGGATCGTCTGTTTGGAAAAAAAAGGAGAACTTTGCTTCTGTCCTACCAGCTGTCAGAATTTAACCCCCTGTTCATATCCTGGCTCCACGCGCAGGGAGTGGCGCCAGCTTTTTTATATCGCCTGGCGATATACCAGCGCATATACTTAGGGCGAAGGGTCCCCCGGTCACCAACTTTCCACCCCGCGTCCTGTGTCCTGTCGCAACCTTACGCCCCTCAACGCTAATAATTTGGGAATGTGATAAACGTGGTGCGCAAAGAAAAAGAAAAAGAAAAGAAATTTAATCCTGGTTCCTTCTTCTATCACTTCCCAACATTCACACGCACCCCGGTCTGTTCGCTGTCCGCTCTACCCCATTCTCGCCTGGTCGCATATTCCCTCGCAGCTAGTTTTTGCCTTTATAGGGCCCAGATCATCGCTACAGCTTGCCCGCTCGATTCTCCTGCAGGCACTAAAATCGCGAGGCGTTTCTCATCCCAAATGCCTGGTGCTACCCTAGCCATCTCTTTCTCTTTGCCTTGAGCGGTGCCAACAGGGTCGTGACCGATTAGTAACCTGCCCCTCTGGAGCTGGTCAGGTTCGTGATCTTTCTTCCTTTTTCTTATCCTTTTTGTCTCTTTACACTCTTGAATCCACTGGCCTTGGTGCTACCAAAGTCGGGCAGCTAGCGCTTGCCGAGAAAGCTCGCCCTGCTAGACTCCAATTCCTCCTCTCCGCATGCCCGGAATTTACCCATATGTTAGCAAGGCAAAATGGTTGAATTAACATGGAATAGAAGCTTGCAGCCAGCCTCGCGACCCTCGAGAACCGTAAAAGCAATGGCGCCGCAGCCAGCCCCCCGAGTCTCGTTTCGAGGCCTGCGCTTCGACGGCGTCGCTATTTCTTTATGCCCAAGGCTCGACAATATTATGTCTCCACCATGATACACTAGCAGTGGAGCGGCGCTTTACAAGTCACCAGGAAAAGATCGATTTTATCTCTGTAGACAATGTGAGCGAACGTGGCGCAGGGAGATTGGTTGTGAGCTACGATGTCGGCCAAACGGCGATTGTATGGGATATTTTTACCGGAACCGAGATTGCGCGATTTGCTTCTTTTGAACAGCTGCGAGTTGCGTCATGGATGCGGAATGGGAATGTCGCATTTGGTATGGGCTTTCTGCGCCGATTAAAACTTGAATCTTTTGCTGATGGCAGTGGAATGCAGGTAATGGGAAAGGCGAGGTCATTCTCTTCGAGCCTCCTACCTCCGAACATATATCCGCGCGTACCATCTTCGATCCTATCACATCTCTTGCCCCGGCTACAGATTGTCGTACTTACGCGATCGGGTACGTTTCAATCGCCAGTCGACCTCATGCCATTACGACAGGACTAACAAAATTTAATTAGCTATCAAAATGGATCAATTTTGATTGCCAATCTTCTCCCCAATTCACTATACTCCACACACTGACTACTTCACGTGGGCCATCCCCAATCATTTCAATTGCCTGGCATGCCTCTTCATCAAAACAGAAATCAGACATGTTGGCAACGCAGGCGTCAAATGGCGATTTGAGGGTTTGGAGTGTGGCAAAGCCCCCCCGGGAAAGAGTCGCCCAGGGTAATTCGAGTCTTGAAACGGTCCGACTCAACTTCTGAGGATCCTAAATGGATGTCATGGTCTAAAAATGGTCGAATTGTGCAGTATCTCGAGGGGTGAGTATTATCTTTTTTTAGCACCGCAACCCTTTGGTGATATTTGAGTATGCTGACTCAAGTCTTTCTCTTCTTAGTGAAACATGGTCATGGGACGTTCGAACCAAGCACGTCACCTACGAGCCAATTCCCACAGTAGAAGGCGTACGGGGTCTCGCAAGCTATGGTCCTACAGCCACACTCTTTACTCTTGGTCCCCAAGACACTGTACAACAGTATGACTTGGATAATCCGGCAATGGTTGCAAATGTACAGCATCTCCGATTAAGTTCTCGATCAGGAACATCAGAAGGAAGTCGGTCACGGACAATGTCTCCCAGGAGCTTGCAAGACGCCCCGGAGATTCGGGAACGAGGATCTGGAAGACGAACGCCATATGATACAAATGGGATCGACAGCGCGAAGCAGCAAAGATCGGACCTTGTGAGTCCTGCTTCATCAAGGAGCCGAACAGAATCTGTTAGCTCTAAAGCCTCATCTGGGAGGTACAAGGTCGAGCGACCTTTTTCACCACCTACCCGATCTGCTCAGAGTGGTACTTCCTTTTCGATGACATCCATCGGTCGCGATACACCGCAACCATCCGCCACCTATCCATATGCTTCATCCGTGTCAATGTCATCGGTAAAGAGTTCTCGTGTTGGGTCTCGACTAAGAAACGAAGTCCAGAGGAGCCCCGCAGAGAAGAGTGTTGTCGACTTGTTTCCCTTTATCCGAGCACGACTAAATGATGTTCCTTATAAATCACATCCGCCTATCGATGAGAACCATCTGACACCCGAAGATTTACGACAGCAAATGTTGAATGTTGTATTTGGCTGGGAAGGAGATACCCAAGACCTTATTAGAGATGAGTGTATGTCTCTGTATCAAATCATGGACCCAGGTCTACCTACTAACAAAGCTTTTAGTGGCTCGACACGCACCGGAAAGCCAAAGTGCCGTTCTTTTGGCACAATGGCTTGGTGAGACCGATACGGATCAAATGGCTGGCATGATCAAGCCAGGGCAAGTGACTGGATTTGACTGGATGGTTCTGGCTCTGAGCCAAATGAGTCGACAAGCGCAAGCGAACAAGGTTGGACAGGCATTCGTGCAAAAGCTGCTAGAAATGGGAGACATCCACACCGCAGCCTCTATCCTATTAGGTCTCGGTGACATCAACGACGCTATTGAGGTCTATGTCTCTCAAAATCATTTCATGGAAGCAATCTTGATGACCTGCCTCTTCCTGCCATCGGACTGGCAACGTCAGTCATACCTTGTTCGTCGATGGGGAGAGTATGTTGTTTCGCACTCCCAACAACAACTCGCAATCAGGTGTTTCATGTGCACTGGCGCTGAGCCTACTGAGCCTTGGACCTCTCCGGCTGCTCAACAGGCTGCCTCATTTGCAGAGGTGATTAGAGGAAAGTCACCACTTGCCTCCCCTGACATCAATCAGCCTCATAGCGCAGGCCTACTCGTTCCACCTCCACCTCGCCCAAGATCAGCTTCCAACCAACAACGTCAAGCTGGAAAAGGACCTGCTCTCAAGCTAATCACATCATTCGACCCGCAGCCGCACAACCGCTTCAAATTCCCAGGGTTGAAATCTGATGATCGAACTCCGACAAATGCACCTGGCGTCACCCCAATAGCGGAATCAGCCGTGGCTGACTCGGCTCTGTCTCCTGGGGGCCTTGGGTCGTATAAGCTCAATAATATCCAGAGTTTGAGCCAAGCCATGACTTCACGAACAAATACACCTTCCTTCAATCGCCGACGCCTACCTTCAATTGGAGAGACTCCAGTGGATGTCCATCCTCCGACATTCTCTCGATCAGGATCTTACAACAATGCTAGCGGTTATGGCTCAACATCGGAGAATGAAGACACAAGCGGCCACGAACAAAGTCGAGAGGAACAAAGTGATAGTGGCTTGTTGACACTTTCAGCAACCGTATACAAGCCTGGACAGGACTCGTTGAAGCCAAGTCCTCAGACTGCTGTACAGGCCATGGACAGATTTGCGTCCATCAAGGGACTTCCATCTCCCGCGGCCGGTGTTTTTGAAGCTTTGAAGGATCATTCTGACCTCCGGAATGGCTCGCGTGATCGCAAGCCAAATGGACTCCAGATCGACCTGGTAGATGCTGAAGAGGGTCAGCCAGATCAAAATGACCAGTCAGGTTTACTCCACAGTGCAAAGAGTGCCCATAGCTATGCTTCCACAACCAAGAGCCCGAGTGTTCGAAGCATTGATCAATATATCAGCAGTCTGGACGAGGCAAGCTACCACGTCCATGCAAAGAAAAGTCATGGTCATCGCTCAAACGGCCGCGGGAGACGAAACACAGATGAAACTGCCAGCCAAGGCTCACGCCCTCATCACTCTCGGGAAGCTTCCCAGGAAGTCCGTGGCAGGAATGAGCGTAGATGTATACAGCCAGCCAAGCGATCACCCTCCTCGCCAGTGCCCATGTCACCTGAAGAGCTGGCCCAGTATGAAACCGCAGGCACCGAAAGGGTCGATGAACCCGGAAAGAAGTCACGCTCTCGCGCTAGGAGTTCAAGCAAGATGAGAAATCCAGGGTCACGCAGTCGCCAACGCTCTTCTAGCAAACACGCGACGAATCGCGCTGGGAAAGAGGCATCATCCCGTGGCCGTAGTGTTGATCGTCAAGGATCTACTATGAGATCACCCTCTTCGCCGCTTCCCATGTCGCTGCCTATGACACTTCCCAACCACGAGCCTGTCAAATCGAATGAGACAGATGATCCACTTCGAATTGTTGCCGGGAATCGGGAGCGGCTTCGCTCACAGCACAGAAGTGCCAGTCGCCGCCGTGCAGAGAAAGGAACTAGTTCTAGAAGAGAAGGGTCCACGGAGTCCAGACATCGACCTTCCTACAGCCAACCGGAGATTCGACAAATTCCGGAGCCAGAAATACCTGCTCATCCCGCGGGGTTTGAATTGCTGAGCAGCAAGACATTTGGTCAGGAAGACACCTTCGTCCCTGTGAACAGCCAGGACGTATACGATGCCGACGCCGTTGCTGCCGCCGATGAGGCCCAAGACATAGTGTCTCCCATTGTATCCCCAACGACTCCGTTCGTTAGCCTGGCTGAGAGAAAGAGGAGAGAGTTGGCAGCTGCAGAACTAGAAGCACGCCGCCTCTCACTTTCCCGCAACCCTTCTGCTCCCAACATCCCCTTCCCGGGTGATCTGCAGTCCGCTAGAAGCCCAGTCTCTGTTCGAAGTCCTGTGGAAAGCCCTCCTCCATTTTCGGGCAACTCCTACTTCCCTCGAGTTCCATCTCGAAACAACATCCCTCCGAGCAAGAATTCGCCAGAATACCAAAGTGGATCCGACTCCAGCTCTGGTCGCTCTGGTCCTCCTCTTGGACTCCCAGCAACACCACGAGCAATGCGACACCCCAAATACGGTGGTAATGGCATCGAGCAAGAGCGTCCACCTTCTGTGCCTGCACTTCCCACGGATAGCTATGGCGCAATTCTCCTCTCCGATGCACGATATCAAGGCGAAGCTGAAAGAATTGGTCGGTCAATGTCAGTCCCCATGCCAGAAGGCCAATTCAAGAAATCTGCACCGGTGCCAACGGACATTCCAATGCACCCACGCTTCAACCCCAATCTCCCTCGAAGCCGTTCAAACAGCCGTAGCCGCAACATGGGTCATCGACGCACGAGCTCCGGTGGGTATATCTCTGGTACATCACCGAGCGTCACGGTGAGCATCGAGGAGACAATCGAGGCCGCAATGCAGAGGGGACCATCCGCACATTATATTGAGACCATCCCACCTCCACCTCCACCTCCGATCCTCCCAGAGCTCCAACATCTCAACACACCCCCTCCCCCACCTCCGATCCCCGGATCCAACGACCCCGTCTCGCCTCGTGATTCCTCTGCTACCATTGACGTTGCTATTGAAAACGTAGACATGGGCCGCTTACTCCCTCGTGCAATGACCGCCGCTCCAACATTGAATGCAAGCGAGGCCCGTCAGAGTATCGGCCGGCGCATGTCATTCGATCACCGGCGCAACCGCAGCTCCAACGAGAGCTTCACCAACAAGCTGCGCAGTCTAACCCGCATGCGCAGTAACAGCCGAAGCGTGGAGCCGTGGACAACACACCAATACGAGAACGAAATGCCATACGAAAGTGTGCAGTCGCATACTCTGGCACCCGGACAGAGTTACGGCATCTGATCGAATGACCCCAATCAAACTCTACCTCTGATGACCTTGCATGAATTTTTACACCTACTACCCAACCACATTTGTTTTCAGTTTTGTTTTTGTTTGCCTTTTTCTCTTTTTTCTTGGGCTTCAATAGCGTTATAACATGATTTCCTCTCAACTCTTTCTCCCCTTGGTCATTTATACCCACCCTCGCTATCTAGTTATTTTGTGTTATATATTTTCCTTCGTGAAGTTCTCACTAAGCAAATTGTTTTCCCGGTATTTGGATAACGCCATGGTAGACCCTTAAGGGGTCTTGTTACTTTTCTCGAAATTTTCTTATCGTCATTGGCTCCCCAGACGCGACAGCCAGTCTTCTGGTTAGGGGGAATTCGTGTCAATAAGAACCGAGTATATCTGAAGCCCGACGCGCGAGATGGATGCAACCTGCAAACAACAGAAGTCGAGATCCATCAATCACCATTGATTAAACAATCAAGGCGATCATCATTAATTCACTTGGTAATCGGACCAAGAGACAATACGACAGAATCAACAGCAGATGTTCAAATAGAGGAACAACGCAAGTTTTGGGTGATGAAGCTGTTATATCAGCTGAAGTTGAGTTGAGTTGAGTTGAGCTGAACTGGGTTTTGGAGGCTTGAGGGTATTACGTTGGGTGTTGTCTAAGATTCAGGGCCCAGAGACCATCTATCTAGAGTGGGCAATAAAAGTAGTCAGGACCAACAATTGTATTTTCATTCCGTCCTCCTATATAACAATTTTGTCTTCCGTAAATTCTGTAAGGGTCATCTAGATATTTTGAGGGCTGGCGAAACTGCTTAAACAACAGTTTCCTTGCAGGCAATGCCGTATTTCTCCTAAACATGACCGATTAGCATACTGAGCTTCCTGAGAAACGATTGCGTTTCTTGCAAGCAGGAAGAAAAAGGCTACTAGCTTACCTTAAGCTCCTTGATGAGAGGGTTGTTGATCTTGCCGTTCATGGGGGCGAGAACTCCCTTCTCAGAGAGGGTACCGTTCAGGACCTGCTTGACAGCGACTGCGCAGGGAACACCGACTGTATATCATTAGTAAGCATTCAAGGGCACATATTTATCGTGAGCACTTACCAAGCTTGGCCATGGCGGAGTAGCCGTTGGGGTCCAGGCTGCCGTACTCGACGAGAGTGGACAGGCGGGTCTCCTTGGAGCCGTCCTTGTTCTCAACCTCGAACTTGTGTTGCAGGCTTTGGATAAATGTTAGCGTTGTTTGTTTTTCTGGGTCTCGAATTTCTGAACTTACATAACGATATCACGCTCGCCCTCGCCGTACTGCATCTTCTTCTCGAGGGTAGCGCAGATGGTGTCCAGAGGGTTTCCACGGGGGATGGTCTGATGAAGTAGTGTTAGTAAATTACTCAAATGATCTCGCCATGATTGAAGCGCCCGACGAGACAAAGTCGCCACGGGAAATGCTTACCTTCTCATCCGAGAAGGCTCCGAGCCAGCGCAGTCCACCGATGATGTGCTGCTTCTGGGTCTCATCCTTGAAGTTGGTCTTGGCAGAGATAGCCTTGACCAGGGTCTCCTCGTCAGAGGCGGAAGCGCCAAGCTGCTTCTGCAGGACGTCCTTCCAGGCACCGGCCTGCTTGAAGGTATCCTGCTCAACGTCATCGAGGAAGCCAATGTCGACAAGGACCTTGACGAATTCAGGGAAACCGGCGTAACGGAGAGTACCACTAGATGAATGTTAGGACACAGGCCAGCAAACAGATAGATATGTAATATGTACCGGACGATAGTCTGAGCCTCGGGGATGTTGTAGCGCTCCTTGTAGGGAGTAGAGTCTCTGTTAGGGTAAGCGACAGTGGCGAAACCGGGGTAGATGTGGTAGGGCTTGGCGGTAGCCATCAGATCTACAACGAGTTTTAGTGTATAGATTCCCCAAAATCAGACCATGGAGTCATCTTACCGGGGCCAGCAACATCGACGATCTTGCCGTCCTGGTAGAAGCGAGCAGCGTTGCGCAGGGCAAGCAGAACACCACGAGGAGACCTGGATCCATATCTTGTTAGTCTCATATTCCAATGCTGAATTCTCGCAGCTTTCTTACCAGGAGAACTTGTATCCGAGAGGGTTTCCAGAGCTCTCGGGGGCGGGGAGGCCACCACAGTATGACAGGAAAGAAATGATCTTTCCACCCTCCTGGTGAACTTCCTCAATGGTCTTGACGGCGTCTGGACAGCATTAGTATTGTATAGAATGGGTTCATGCAAGGACTCAATACTTACACAGGTGGTCGACACCGGGGTCAACACCAATCTCGTTCATGACGGTGATACCGGCCTTCTTGCACTCCTCATCAAGCTCCAGCATGGCAGGGCTGACATAGCTAGTGGTGACGACGTGCTTCTTGGTGCGGATAGCGGCCTTGATGACCACAGCGTGGAAAGCTGAGTATGTTGTTAGCTCGGCCCGGGGGATGTGGTTGTAGGTTCGGTTTGTAAGACGCACTGTAGGGAATCAAGGAAATGACAAGGTCGTGCTTGGCGAGCTCAGCATCGAGGGCCTTCTCGTCACTGACGTCGAGGGAGATGGGGGTGGCACCCTTAACACCGGCGGAGAGAGCCTTGGCGGACTCGAGGGTTCTGCAGGCTATTGTATTGTCAGCGCATTGATCCAGTATGTCTATAAACTGAAATCCATGATCGATTGCATACCAACAGTCACGGCAATGCCGGACTCAGTGAGGATGTCGAGGGTGGGCCGGGTGACGAACCCCGCGCCAAGCATCAATACCCTATATTATGTTGTAAGTAGGGTTCATTAAAGCGTCAAATAGGGCTAGAATGGGTCGAACATACTTCTGGGCAGCCATTGTGAGGATATGGGATCAATTGAGAGAAATTGACTTGAAATCCGGGATCGGAGGGGAATGTTGAAGCAAAAGAACCGCCTCCGAGTCATCGACCCCACCACTGGCAATATATGCTGGGCCTCTCCGAGCTCGCTTCAAGTTCTCGATTACTCATTCTGCCCCGCCGGGGCGGGGTCCATTAGGGGCAGGCGGTGGGGAACAACCGGCCCGGGGTATTCAATCTATACGCGTGCTATTGGGGTATGGATATACTAGTAGTGGGAATGCGCTTAATTGCCATGGGAAAATATAGATAGATCAATGTAATAGTACACGCCTGTGCAGGAAGAAGTTTCAAGTATGCGATCACCAGTTTCGACCGCGGGACGGCCCCTCGCTCGACGCGTTTCGCTCCGCATCCATCAACTTGTCGAAGTCGGCCTGGGCTTGGTCTTTTTCACGTCTTCGATTATAGCCATACCGATCCTGATCAATAGGAAAGGAATCGTTTGTCGGCCCGGTGTCGCTCTGTGCTTGTGCTTGGCCCCATTGACGAGGTGCTGCTGATCGGGAGCCCTGTGCCGCCGAGTTCTGTTGTCGGATACGATCCCAGGCACTACCAGTGGACATACCAGTCATGCTGGTATTCCGGTATTCCGGTGCAGTGGGGCTTGCGGCATCCTCGTCGCTAGAGCCGAAAAAGTCCAACTTGGAGTCTGATTGAGAAGACCCGTTGCCTGAGTTCTGCACGGAGCCATACGAAGACTGAGGGGCAGAGGCATCCTGGCCATTTTGACTCGTACCGTAGGCAGTTTCATTCTCGGATGAGACCGTCGCTGACGAGGCACTATCATACTTAGACTGCCCCTGCTCTCCTTGGCCAGTCATAGTATGGCGAGTATAGCCCAGGTCCTCTAAAATTCGACCGGCAAAACCATAATCGTGAGCTTTCATACGTCTGTGGCGATCATGCGCAAGTGCGCGCTGTCTCATTTGAATAGCTTCCGGTGTCGAATTCTCCGTAGCTGACATATATCCGCTCATACGCGGGTCTTGCAAATCTTCAGCATATCTAAACGCCGCAGAATATCGCGTGACGATGCCGCTTGCAGTGAGGATGAAAAGCATCATAAAGCATTTTTGACCGAGCATTGTCCTGAAAGCTGCCGGTTCCTTGAGACGAAACCCATTCAGCCCAGTGAAAAAGTTGGCAAGCGAGGGTTTCTTTGGATAATAGGGCGATTTGCGTGCCCCCCAAAATAGATATGACGAGCCTAGAAAATAACCTATTGGGAAGCCCAAGTCTTTGTTGTAAAGCGCTCGAGATCCTGCTGCGGTAAAGACATCGAATTCGTCTTGCGTCGGGATGCGACCCGTCTTAACCCACCAATTTTCAACATCATGAGCCAACTCCCCTGCGACACTGAGTTTCCAGATGCTGGTACCCCAGAAGCCGAGATACAATGTGATAGGGTCGGGCTTCACAAGAAGCTCTGGCCGCAGGCGCACCGGATTGCTATGTAGGAGAGCCGGGTTCTCGATGATTTGAGGGTTGGCGGTTGAGGTAACCCCCCCCCGAAGTTCCCACTTCCCTGAGGGGAAATATCGTCGAGAACCATGACGTTGTGTTCGGGAGGTGAATGATGGGAGCTTTAGCGGAAAGTGGAAACTTGGGAGGTCAGAAGCTCTCAGAAGTGACGTTATGAGATTAGTCATCTAGATATTAGTCAGGATGCATTAGGTCCGCAGTCAAAAGGACTTGTACGAAAACAAGGACAGTTAACGTGTCTTGCACTAAGTTTATAAGAGAATAATGCGAAATATCAGAGACACTATTAAGATAGATCTAAGTATAATATCTATTAGTAAAATAACCTTCTCATACAAGCTCCATACCTGGATAGTGGAAACAAAGTAGGAGCTCCGACTTAAGGAGTGATGTATTAGGATCAAACCCACGAGTAGCTACTGGGATACTGAATACAGTATGAAGGAAAATCAAATCATAGATTAAAATAGTAGGTCAATCATAATAAGTTTACCACTTCTCAATATATGGCCGCAGATCCAGCTCGAATGCAAAGGTCGTCCGCGGCTGAGTATGCAAGTGCCAATACGAATCCGCAATCTAGTAGATATGGTCAGCTCCCAATGTTTCGAGCAGGGGGAACGTCATATTTCTCAATTCCGACTTACAGCATCAGGACTCAACTTGGCATCTTCATGCTCGAAAACCCAGGCCTTGGTGCGTGGGATATCAATCACACCGTCAATGATGGCATGCGAGACATGGATCCCCTGTGGTCCAAACTCCCGTGCAAGTGATTGCGCCAATGCTCGAAGGGCAAATTTTCCAGTGGCAAAGGCTGCGAAATTAGCTGATCCCTTCACGCTGGCTGTGGCGCCGGTGAAGATTAAAGTTGGTGGGTGAGTTAGCTTTTCTTTCGCTTCGAGGAATAGAGGCAGGGCACGCTGTGCGATGTAGAATGCGCCCTTTCTGTTAAGGCCAAGCAGTTAGTACTGATTATTACCATTCTATATTGAATTGCTTTGATGGATCGGCACAGGGGACAACACTCACGCCTGTGCCTCAAATCCCAGAGAGAACTCCTCCTCTGTCAGTTCCAAGAATGGCTTTCTGGCGAAACCACCGCCGGAATTAAAGATCGTAGCAGCGAGAGGGGAGTCTGGGAACTTCTTCGCAATTTGGTCAAATGCCGAATTAACGCTCTTTGCGTCTGCGACGTCGGTGCTAATGCCGATAGCTTGGCCGCCATTACTGTTGATCTCTTGCACAACTGGATCGAAGTTTTCGGGATTCCGAGATAGAACAACTACTGAATATTCTTTGGCGAAGCGTCGGGCAATGGATGCACCCTGTACGTTCTGCATTAGATGGGTAGACTGGAAGAGATCAGACGCCTTGGAAGCATACGGTGCCTGGGCCGACGCCAGCGATAACTGCAAGGGCCTTTGATGCCATGTTGAAGACCTTCCGTTTAAAAAAATTGTTTCCAAAACTTATATTTTCCACGGAGCGGGGGGGATAAAGTAGGATTAAATAGGATGATGTGTTCGGGGTGTCATCCCCGACGCTTAGAAATGCAGCGGGGGATTGATCATCACTTCGGTGAATGATACCATCCGTGGGGAATGGGATTGGCATCACGCTATAACCTCGGGATATTGATGATAATATCAAAATTCAGCCGAGTATTTCCCATGACACCATGATTCTGCAATATCTCATGCTTGCCTACAGGATAACTACTAACTAGCTAGTTACTAGTTAACTAGTAGATTGATGTAAAGTGGATCCAAGTGGTGCCTGAGGCGGCTATCGCGCGATAAGCTCCGGATTTTTCCAGCTTCATCGCATCTCATCGCATTGCATTACAACAGAACTTGAGCCTGAACATCCCATACAATATACAACCATGGACCCTCCCGACCCTCTCCTCACCGAGCTCTGCTCAATATGGTACTTCCCACCCATACTACCTCCCATAACACCAACCCCACGGTGTCCAATTCTAACAACCACCCCGAAACAGCCACATCAATCCCCCCCAAATACCGCTGTCCACGCTGCTCAACCCGAACCTGCTCCCTACCCTGCACAAGACGCCACAAACTCTGGTCCCAATGTTCCGGCGTCCGTGACCCAGCCGCATACCTCAAGCGCAGCGAACTAGCCACCGCGTCCGCCTTCGACCGGGACTTTAATTTCATTTCTGGCATTGAGCGCTCGCTCGAGCGTGCCGAGCGCGATGCGGAGAATCGCGGTATCGATCTCGCGCAGACGGCTGCTGAGTCTGCCGATGCTGGTGGCGGTGGCGGTGGTGAGCAGGCGCAGAATACTGGCGCTGTCGCTGGACAGAAAAGAAAGCACCCTGGTGGAGGTTTGGTCAAGGGTGAGGCCGGTTTCTTGCGTGGTGCCGAGGCTGGTGGTGTGAGAGTTGTTAGGGCGCCTAGGGGAATGTCAAGGAATAAAGCTAATGGGTCGAGGTGGCATCCCAAGTAAGTTATGCTATGCTCTTTCTATCTCCTGCGGAACTTTTGGGGACTAATCGGTGGCTGTGGTACTAGGCATAAATGTTTGAGTTGGTCTGTCGAGTGGATCTCTGCGTCTGGCGAGAAGGTTGTGAGGAATTGTCTTGAGACGGGCATTCTCTCTGAGGCTTATAATCGTGCTTTTGCGCTGCCGAAGGAGGACAGACCTGGGAAAGAGGGAAAGGGAGAGCAAAAAGAAGCCGCTCCTGAGAGTCTGGATCAGTCGAATCCACCTTCGACTTCTGAGGCTACTCCAACCACCGATGCCGCAAAGGAACAACAACAACAACCCGTGCCGTCGTCAACCTCAGATCCGGTCGAAAAATCTACAGAGACAACAGAAACAAAATCACCGACGCTACCGATCGGCCCGCATCGTGATGTTTACTTCTACATCCACCGTCCACAAACGAAGACAAAGAAGCCGGTTGTGGCTCCCTTGCCCCCATCAGCAACACTAGGGTCCGTACTACGCGAACGTACGGTTCTGGAATTCCCGACTATCTACGCGCTGCCTGACTCGGTTGGGAAACTCGGCGCTGAAAATGAAGACGGGAGGTTCATTCTGGAAGAGGAGTATCTACGGACCGCAGATCCCGAAGAGATATGCGGCAAGTCCGGTGAGCTGGAGCTTCCGGATACGGGCGCTGAGCAAGATGTGGAATCAGAGCTACGAGATCTGGATGAGAAGAAGGTGATGGAGGTCCTGACACAGGATCTCTTTGAGCCGGTTCCTGAACAGGGGACATCATGATTACAGATGATTTGGACTTGTCGCGCCCAGCTACATATAGGCGATTGATACAATATCAAAGAAGGGACATTCAATGTACAGTGTACTATATTCAGCGTCGATTTGGTCAGTCATACACATAGACGGTCAAAAATAATAACTATGGGTGATCTTATCTATATCCAAGTCATTGGATACTTCGGTCGTTTGCGTCTGCAACTCTGCTATTCAAGTTTACAACGTCCGGACTCTCGACTGGGACAGCAAGCTTCGACAGGACGTCGACTCTTTCGTAGGGATTATAGGGTACGAAGAGGCAGACATCTCGAAGTCTTTTTCGGTGGCCCTGGAGCCAGCGGCTAGTCGTTTAAAGCGAGACGGAGCGCAGGCCCGTTGGCATACAGTGTGAACGAATGTTAAGACGGTTTCAAGTTCACTCGGACGAGGGTACAGCCTGTACCATCGAGGAGTTAATCAGATTGATCAGGAGGATCGAAATAAACAAAAACACCCAAACACCAGCACCCAGAAGGGAAAGGATGCCCAGGGGTATTTAACTAATTCACAAAAGTTCACAAAAAAACAGGAAATGCCAAATGTAACACCAAGGGGGTATGCAAATGCCGCTATGCAATAAGAAAAATAAACCAATCAAATCAAAATGATAACACCAAGACATATATGCAATGATCAAATGCAAACTGATACTCAGCAAGGTATGTGTTGAGGACAACGCAAGCCTTAAATGAACAATCGCTGATGCGAATGCTATTAGGTATCCTGTGCCAAACCACAGGATATTCAAGAGCCCTTGGAGGGCTGGGTTTGCCTGTTAAAGACAACAAAGACGTCTTTACTTCCTCTACATGGACAAGTTTGACCAAAGTTCTGATTCCAAGAGGTTGCTGGCAACACTTTCAGAACAGTCCGAGGGTCACACAAAGTCATTCAATCGGTAGTTATGACAGAAATGGACCTGCAGGTATGTATCCTTGGAAACAAAGCCTGTGGGTATGAGCAATCACCTGCGCGACTGCATGATATTCCGTGCAATGGTACACAGAATTAAATTGCCCCGGAGGGCTGGTTGTTCGAAGAGAACGAACCGGGTATCTTCCAACCCTGGCGGATGAAGTGTCCGCGCTGGACGCCAGTATAGCAGAGCAGAAGGAGCAGACTCCATTCAGTTGCGGAAAGCAATTCCAGAGGTTGAGAGAGGTTTCAAAATCCTGTAGTAGATGGGATATATCTAGAACCAATCTAGGAGCAATCATTCCGAAGAGGCGGTGCTCGAGGTGTCGGCCACAGAGCCACCCTCCGGGTATTCTTGCTCAGGTGCCTTGACGGCGACCGAAGCCTTCATTGAGACCCTCATGGCCTCAGATGAGGATATCGGCTGAGTGGGCACAGTGTTAGGAATGGTAGGAACGTCCTGAGCCGTTGGCTCAGGGACACTATTCTTACCAATCCGATGACTGGCCTTTGAATCGGTAGGCGACATGCCTGCCTTCTCGGATCCGCTAGGCTTCATCTTCAACCGGCCTTGTTCAAGGGCGCGGAGGACGTTGCCGATATCTTGCGGATCGATGGATCGGAGTTTGCTCATAGCATCGTCCGAAACATCAGAAAACGGGTTCCATCCTAGCTTGTCCATCTCTTCCCCGGAGGTTGAAGACTTCGAGGCTATAGATGGACCGGTAATCAGTCGGTGGAGGAAGGTGTCCGACACGCTGGGACGGCGTGGGATCTTCACCGGCTTAGACTTGGAGCTCGTGCTTGTCGAGGTGACTTCGTCTTGTTGACGCTTCAAAGGACGAGCAATGGGGACGTGACCCGTGGGGCCATCGCCCACCTCATTTCGGATTTTATAGTATATTAAACCAAGAGTAGCAGCTAGGGCCTGGTGAGCAGCTTCGGGGAAGTGACGAACAGCTTCCTCGCGAGTCAAGTTGTTTGACCCGTCACTTGAACTACTGGAGTCACTGTCATCGGCGAAAAGGTCGGCGGCATTCATCCGACACCAGTCCTGGTAACCACCCAGCTGGTAAAACTCAGCCAGTTCAACCAATCGATGAACTATACATATCATGGTTAGAATGGAGACGGGGGACATATCTATACTTCTTAAACGCTTACCTCGACTGCGTTTCTTCAGGCACCAAAATCTCCACACGGTACGCGGGAAGTACTTGGGCCATTCGAGGGGAACCATCATCAAGGATGACGGGGACAGGGTTGATGGGAGCATGAATAGTGTGTGCCAGCGAGTTGAAGCGAACCCGTTCGGAGTGCCGCATTCGAGATTCCATCGAGTCCATGCGCATGTGAAGACTCGTTTCCATCGCGTGCATTTGGCGTGTGAGTTTATGTTCAAGAGTGATAAGATCCGTACGAAGCTGGTTGGCAGTAGACTGGAGCTTGCTGATATCGATTCGGGAAGCACAAACATCCGATCTCATCTGCTCAGCATCGATTTGAAGCTGCTCCACGCTCTTCTGCAACCGATCAACATCTCCACGCAGGAACACAGTCTCGGTACCGGACTGGCCGATACTAGACTTGAGTTGGAAGATGCTTGTCTTGATCTGGTCAACATCTGAGCGAAGAGCCACCACATTCAGATCGATACGGTGAGAGATGATGCGGTGGTTCTCGAATTCACGGCGAATGTGCTCATCCTCGCGGTTGCGGCGGTCGACGTAACCATCCTTGGTGAGGACGTTGGAGCGTAGCTCGAGTACACGCGAGTCCAGCTGATTCATGCGGTCATGGAGATGGGTGAGAGATAGTTCGTTTCGAGGCGGTGTGGTTTCGCGTCGAACAGATAGGCGAGGGCTTGACATGGAGAGAGAGGTGCTGGAGGTACAGGAGTGACTCCTTTCCAGAGTGGTCATGGAGGACATTTCGAAAAATTCGGCAGAATGCGGCGGTCTATATGAACATGGTATATGATGGTGATGATGCTGGTGATGATGGTGTTCGCGAGAGCGATTCTCTAGACAGTGCAATCGTCCATTGTGCCGGATGTGTGGTGGGTGGATGATTCGGGGGGGGGGGCGAGCAGTAGAAAAGGGCGGGCGACAAAGGGAAGGGGGGTCGCACACAGCCTTTTAGGACCGTCAGCCGGTCGGGTCGGATTGCCTGCCACGCATCATTACTCACCCACCATCGCCCCCCCTACTTCTGATTTAAAAGAATTTCATTTGTTCATTGACTTGACTCATATTATTTGTTCTTTATTTTCAATTTTTCTCATTATTTTCAAGCAAGTCAAAGGCAGAAAACCACAATGAGGATAGAATACAGATTGTGACCAACACCATACAGCAGCCCTGCGCATGGCTTGGCGTGCAGTAGTGCGACGCATAGCCCGTAAAAGGCATTTCCGGTGGGGCGCCTCACCCTTTGATTGGTCATTATTGGCTGTCCAGCGGTCGCCACCGGCGGCCGATTGGTGCAACACTGGCATCTTAGTGCAGCGGCTTGCAGGACACGATGCGAGGGCCGAGCGCATCCGGCACAATGATGACACCGCCGTATTCGTATTACCTTCAACCATAGCCCATCAATGATAAAAATAGACAGCATAATCAATAGTTTTTCAAGTATGAGTATTGCTTCGAGAATGAGATGAAATTTAAAAAGAAAAATATACTACATTAATGAAAATCAACCTAATACTACCGTGATCAGTAGTACTTAGACGTTGTTAGTCAAATGGAGTCACGGGGTCTGGATTGCATCGCAGCCCAATCCGGAAATCATGATGCCCTAACTCGACGGGACTACTGAATAGTCACCCGATCTCACAACGTGGTCACTGTCTGTTTGATGGCGATAACTTATTTTATTTTGTGATACAAAATAGAGTACTCTCCTCACATCTCGATTATATTTTACAATGTTCACACAGGGCTAGGCTTCTTGATATACACGCAGCTTTGAATTCACCTCGATCCTATCTAGGATGCTACTAGTATCATATAGAGTAGCTACTGGATAATGCAATGCCCATAGATCTTGATCTGAGAGCAAAGAAAACTGCCCCGGTGATGTCCAATTTCAAGTCCATGTAGTCCGCCTTGGGCACTTTGAGATCGCAACTTCCTCACATCAACCACCAGCGTAACTGCCCCAAATGAAGCAGAAAATGAAGTGACTTGAAGCGATGGGAAAGCTTCAAAGATGCTCCGCCTCCGCCTTCTTCGATCTTTCACTTTCCTACGTTCATGCCCAACTTATTCACCATGAAATCAAGCTGTCTTTCGTCAGGCATACTGCCGCTTGCCTCACTCTCACTCCTCTTGTACAGCACACTCGTCTTGTCCAATCCAGACCTTCTCATTAACACCACATCGATCCATCCTTCTAACAAAGTACTTCATGGTTGCGATTGCTTCACCGTCTCCGGTCCAGATCCGGGCTACTATCAGCACTACAAGCTCTGGGACTTCCGCGAGGTCTCGTTCGATAGACGAATCGATCCGATACTACCACCACCTGATGTCGAGGACGTAGGTGACGAAGAATTCGCAGACGATGATACTGAGTCTTCCCCCCACGAAGGAGGTAATCAGTCCATGTGGTTCTTCGAAACGGACTTCGACAAGGATTGGATGAGCCAGCAATGGGACCGCCCAGGCAACTCTAAAGCCCCAGTGGACATGATCAACTCCAAGCGAAACGTCTTCTTCACCAGAAACTACGAGCTGGAGGATCCCCACGCAACATATCTCGTTCTCCGTACCACCCGCCACGAGCACTACACTTCCACGGCAGAAATCGAGACCCGAGTTCGCAACATCTACCGCTGCTCCCTCCGCGTGAGACTTCGCATCTTGCCAGCAAGTATCTCGGTGGCATCGCCATCCAATGTATCAAACGACAGTTCCTGGCAACCTTCCATTACAGCTCTGAACAATATGCCGGGGACGGTTACCAATAGCACCACCGCACTGATAGGGGGTAGACCTCACCCCGGCGCCTGCGTCGGCATCTTCACATACCATGCACGGAATTGTGAGTCGGATATTGAAATCTTAACCAGCGATCCCCCCCTACCGCATCCGGTACGCAAATCAACCCGACTACGACCCCGTCACCGATGAAATGATCCCCGGCGCAAGCACAGTCGCAGACCTACCAGTCCCCTGGACCCGGTGGTCTACGCATCGACTCGATTGGCTGTCAAGTGCCTCACGCTGGTGGGTCGACGACAACATCCAAGATTCCAAAACATACCGTGTCCCAAATCTTCAAAGCAGGCTGGTCATCAACCTCTGGAGTGACGGCGGCGTCTGGACCGGCGACATGGCGCTGGGAGATAGCATTTTCCTCGGAATCGAATATATCGAACTAGCATATAACCGGTCCTCGGATGGGTCGAGGGGAATCGATATCCCGCCCTCGCAGCGACATGGTGGACATCAGAAGTCGAATGATAAATTGTCTATCTCGGATATCGAGGATCTCGAGGAAGAATCGTGGGAGCCGGATACGGACTTGGTCACTGGCAGCACGAAGAAGGAAAAGAAGAAGAAGTGCAAGAAGGGTCGTAAGGGGGATAAGTGTAGGAAGAAGCTCCCTAGGCCTAGGCCCAAGAAACCGTCGCACCATGGTCCAATGGAGTCGCCTTGTCGACGCGCTTGTTATATCGATGGCGAGAACTTCAGACATGATGTTTTCGGTTAAGATGTTTATCTTTACCTATCTTCAAGTTCTGTTACTGTTCCAGTGAGAGATGCCCTAGTGCGTTTGAGAATGTATTCTTATAGACCAGTCGAACACTTGAAATACCGAATTCGGGTCTTTAGTTCGTTAAAAAAAGGTCTTTTGTATTTTTCTTTCCTTGAAGTCCTATGTAGCCAGTCGGTAGTGTTTGTGCGTCGCGAGCGTAGAAAGGATCTAGATAGAAAAACGAAGCGGAATAACTTAAAAATAGAGTGAAGGTGAACCAGACAGTGGCTTGCAGGATTGTGGGTGGGTAAATATGAAAAAAGGCCAATGAAGACGCCGTTTGCACCTTTTAGACCGTCAACAACATGGGGTATCATGTAAATTCATTCAAAGCATCAAAAGTCAATGAAAAGGAGTAAAGGGAAGAAACAGCCGAACCAAACCCATGACCGTCCGATCCTGTCTTTCCCAATTCGCCATGCGCGCCGAAGTATGTTTTTAAGTGGAAGCCATAAACGCCAGACACGAGGTCTTGATGAAGGGTAATAAGAGAGCTGCCTTTGGTCGAGGTCAGTCCCCTTTTATGAGTATTTTATGATGGGATGGTTGTGTCGAGACATTCTGGTGTTCAAAGTAGAATGTTCCCCATCTTATCAACGGGACAAAAGTCCCCATGGAGACCACCGTTCATGAGTTCCGCGACGATTTTCTTCCGCAGATTTTGAGTGTCGTTAGCCCCAAAAACAGTTGGTTCGATTTCAAGCGTAATGGCCTTTGCGTTTGTGAGGAGGAATACACCGCAATCACTACCATTGTCTTGCTGGGAAGACTTGGATGGGATAACATTCCACTCATCGTCGTCATATTTGGCGCCGAGTTCTCCACGGAGCCATTCCTTGATATTTTTGACTTGTCTCGCGCCTTGGCGACCCATCCGGTCGAGTGAGTCGAAATACTCGATCGCACGGTCTGCTGGTCGCACAACTAGGAGAGTCCAATGTGATGACTCATGGACCGGAATGAAGACTGTCTGTACATCTAATAGACCTTCGCCGCCGATTTTGGCACGGTTCGCCCAGCGCCGTACGCCTTGGTACCCTTTATCTCGCAGGGTAGTATAGAAGAATGTGTTAAACGCGTGGAAGCGCGGTCGTTCGTTTCCGGTGTTACCGGCTGATTGGCGAAGGTATTGAACGAGAACTGTTAGGTAGGAGTTTATGATCTCGTCATTGAGCCATGATAATGTCTTGAGACAGGTTGCAATATCCCTGGGGTATAGGTCATCTCCAGATGGAGTTCTTGCAACTGCACAACCTGATGAGCTTCTCATGGCGTCGGAAACTCGATTTAACCACTCGACGGAAAGTTGGCGCACGGCTGGTCCTTGCGGTATGATTCGGTGGGGTCGGAGTTGATCTCGCTCTAATTCTCTCCGTTCCTTTTCGTGCGCTTCCCATTGCGATGAGTAGATTGACGCGATACGATTTGGTGGTAATGGTTTCCTCTCCCGGGCGAATAATTGTACCGCTGAGACTGGTCTTCCAAATGGCAGTCTTTCATATGCCATCGACCGCCGCATCCAGGGGTCATCAATATCTACGTCATCTTGAAGAGATGGCCTGGGAATCGCTTTTGCGGGAGCAGACGTTGGCGGTTCGACCCGTTTCGGTGGTGGCGTAAAAATTGGTCGCGCTGGATGTAAATGCGACCCCAGTGGTGTGTGTAGGGCTGGAAGGTTTCTGGGGGTTTCTAATCCCAGCCGTTCCAGCCTTTCCGTTGGAATATCATCGTCGGAGGGAGTACTCGGCCGTTGCGGTTGTGGCAGATGCGCCGAGGGTGATATTGACGGTGATGGAGGGAACGCCCCTGGCATCCATGAACTGGTTACTTCGACATTGTGCGTATCTGAGGCGGCGACAATTAGTATTCGCGACGCGAGCAGTTCTTCCAGTGTTCTTGTCGATACCTCTTAAATCTTGGGCTAGGCGTTGTGAGCTAGTCCCTTCGCTGGTATCATCAGTTCCTGTTGGGGAGCCAGCATCGAAGACTGGCTCCGATTTCTCTCGCCATGGGAGGAACTTTTTGAGCGTTGTGGAGAGCCACATATTGAGTGTTCTGTAAACTGGGGTAGGTGGATTGGATGACGAGGTTCACTAGGTGAGGCGCGCGGGTGGGTGGAAACAGGGGTGGTTAAGATGAATGAATCGGATAGTTGAGGGAATCTAGATATGAGATTGGAAGACAAGAACAAGCATCAGCGCCCATCATTGAGAGAGACAGCTCAGCGAGTTAGTCCTTGTCGCGGAAGTTGAAGAACGACGGAGCGCGACCTCTATTCCCCATAATGCACAATTATGTCAGCAACTTTTTGGCGATCATAAGCCCTGCAGCCACGCGTGATGAAATACCTTTAGTGCCTTTACTACCACGAAAAACAAGGTTGGTATGCAATTTTGTATGTTAATCTACAGCGTTCTCTCATTCCAATTCGTCGATTGATTTTAATACAGCTATGAAGGCATAAGGATACAAGATCGCGGTCACATATGTACATGCGTCAGTCCGAACTACATCTGTCTCCGAAGGGCGCGCTTCCAGCACAGCCCGCTGAACTGGAACGGACCCAGCAAGCTAGTACTCGCGAAGAAAAAAATAGTGATTCACGCCATGCAATTAATTCGGGACGCCGAGCCCACACAACTCGAATACGGGGGGGTGCGGTATTGATCACGACCCAGGGGATTCCTATATAACACGATTAGAGCGAGAAATTGAGCAATTATAGTCAACTGCACATACCTGCATATACAACCAGCTTGGTCACAACCTCCACGTCATATCGCACGCGGGGCTTCTTGATCTGAGAGAAGACCTCCTTCTCTTCCGTTCGGGACGTATTGAACTCGGGGGGTGGGAGTGGCGACGATCGGGGGATATTGGCATCCTCCTCCACAGCGGCCGAACCGGGGCTACCCCTGCCCATCATTCCCTCGTACTGATCCAGCTTGGAAGTCTTTCTGGCTAGAAGAGAACTTCCATTGGGTTTGACATCCGAATCAACAGGAGATTCACGGCTGCTTCCGGACAAGCTTTCGCGTCGGCGCTTCTCCCGATATGCCAACGTCTCATATGCATCGGCTTCAGATTGCGGACCGATAGAGATGGCGCGACGTCGAGGATGTCGAATGGTGGTGATGATGGACGGGATATCAGAGAAGCTGGGAAGGACATCGTTGTCTTTCAGATTGGATGGAACCGTTGTATAGCGGCTGCGCACTAGGGTTAGAATCTGCTTATATTGCTGGGTATTAATGGAATACTCACGAGGCAGTTGTGAAAAATCGCCGAGGTAGGAGGAGACCGAGTTTCTCCAAACTGCGAAAGACAGGCGGAAGAATGCGAAGCAAGGTAGGCTTTGTGATCTCTCTCCAAGCAAAAACACACAAAACTCCAACAACCAGGCGAAGCGCTGTCTTGGCGATTCCGATTGTCTCGTAGTCGTAAGGAATAGTACCAGGTAGGGGTTCATTCCAGGCAAGGCTAGACCCAGTGAAATACCATGATCCCACGTCCACGCCGAGAGTAACGCCAGCAAAAGCGACGCTGTCATCATAACAAGGACAATCATCCACCGGCTCCGGGTGAATGCGAACAAGAACCAGAATTACTATCGGGATGACGAGAATCTCCTTCAGGTTTGCCGCGAGGAGATAGTCGTCGAATGCGGGGCCCAGGCTGAACTGCGCCAGGCCAATCAACACGCCCAAGATGCAGCCCACGACAACATCCAACATCCCATGCATACCACAATATAATCGGCCCAGGACGATCGATGTGAGGTAGAGATATGTAACAATCTGAAGGACCAAGCTCGTTTGTGGGTTCACGGTCGACTCGGGGGAGTTAAGAAGTAAGATGGCGTAAACTGCCACCGAGACAGCATTGGTTGAATGGGTCGAAGGAAATCCGTATTCGAGAGCAGCAGAACCAGAATGAGTGATGCGCTGAAGGGGTGGCGAGAGTGGCCGGGGAAGACATAGCAAGTCTTTGATGAAGCCGCTGAAGAAAACGCCGGCGGCCAGGATGTGTACAAGTCTGCGCGGATGTATATCAGTAAACCATGATTGACCTTCCAAATATTCTCAATGACCCTCAGCGACAACCTACCCACGACCCAAGCTAGTATGGCCACACCAGAAAAGGAAGGGCAAGAAGACCATGAAAAACGTGTGGGTACCGAGGTTCGCGGTAAACGCAAAGTACGAGTCTAGTGTCGGCGTGCGAACTTTCTCCTGCGCCCAAGCAAGATAAGGAGTCTCATATCGGATTAATGGAAGTAGCTTCTGTCGAGGCCAGTAGCGCCAGAGGGGTAGTCGGTTTGAATCTATCGCGAGTCGCAAGCAGAGTTTAGATTAGCGATGGTTGTAGTGGGGTGGGGGTTGAAGACCAGGAGCTAGTATGGGTAATGCGCGCGAGACAGCTGGAAGAACTAACAGTGATTAAGACTCTTGAGCCCAGCATCGGGCTGGTCCTTTATGGGGTTGCCCATCGTGTGCTATCGATCCGGGGTGCGATTGGAGGGTCCTCCATATATGGACAGGCCGGTGCCTGCCGCTCGATTCGGAAAGTTGAAACTCAGCAGAAGAACATAAGGAGCGGTTGAAAGTTGGATTGTGAGATGAATATAGGATGGGCTTGGGATGTGATCGAGGGTCGAGGGTCGAGGGTCGAGGACTCGGAAAGATGGATCGAAGATCGGGGGATCCCAGCTGGAGACATCGCGGCCGCGGCTCTTGGCCCCTGACGTGCCATGTGTGGGCTTAGTCATGCCCGTTGAGAGGTGACGGCAGCTGCGGGAAATGGGGATGTACCTAGGTAGGTATGGTTAATTGTTATTTGAAGAGAATGTGATTAAATAAGTTTATTGGTTGAAGCTTCTGATAGACTATTATGGCAAATTCAATTGCGTGGTTGAGACTCAACTTGAATCGGTGGTGAAGATGCCTAGGATATAGATACATATTTGTAGTGGATAGAGTATGTAGATCTTGGTATAGGTAGTACTATCAGAGTACTACTAGGGCTAGGTAGTGAGTGCCACTGCTTGTAATACTCTATGGATGATCACAAAACGACTTCCAAGGTTCATGTTGAACGTAAATATATCTAGGTAGTAATGCTATCCAACAAGGGGAAATTGAACATGTGGTGGCACCTTAAAGCCTCAACATCCCAACCACCGGGAAACAATACTCTCCGCTTCTCAGGCACCATCTAGTACTTTCCAATGCCCCTCACAATATCGCTTAGAATCACTCATTACCAGCCCCACCAGTCTTGGTGGAAGTATATCATATCACATGACGCGGCCGCCCCGAGGCAGAGACAGCGATCCGGTTTCCTGGAGAGCTGAACGGTGGGGATGTTTGGGAGGGGCATTTTGTGGACAATTAGTGGATGTCAGACAAAAAAGAAACCGGATCGAAGTCTAGAAATCGAATCAAATTGAAACTGACAGGCACAGGCCTGGTAAATCGAGGGCCGCTCCGCCCTGGCGTCATCGAGGGACGGCCGTTGCTATGGCAGCCGACGACTTCCAACAGGTAAACACGGGTCTCGCCCGGACGATTTGACCCTCCCAGCTTGGATGTCGATCAAGATCTAAAATCGATACACCACCCTGCTCTTCTTTCTTTTTCATCTCCCAATCTCGTTCTCCCCAAAGACACCTCACATCCATTCAACCCCCACCACCCACGAACTTCAGCCGGTTGCCGTCATACTCGACCACGACCCGCAACCCGCATTACTACAACAAGAACAAGAACAAGGGGGTTCCATTCCAACCTGCCATCCACATCATGAGCTCCATGTATGACGACCAGTACTATGCGGCTTCGCGACGCCGCTCGATTGCAACTCCTCCTCCTCCATCCATGTCCCCTCATCACAGCCGTACCCGCAGCCACAGCGTGCGAGTGAGCAACGGCACCGCCAGCACCCACACCAGCTTCTCCAGTGCTCAAATGTCCGAAGCCACAAATATCACCCAGCCACCTTCCTACTCAAAAAAGTTTGTCGTCGTCGGGGATGGCGGCTGCGGCAAGACTTGCCTGTTGATCAGTTACTCACAAGGCTACTTCCCAGAGGTATGTTCCCTACAATTTTCTATACTTTTTCTATACTCCATGTTCCTTTTTGTGATCCATGGTTGAGGCGCGGGGCGATTCACTAAGACTAGTGCAGAAATATGTCCCCACTGTGTTCGAAAATTATATCACCCAGACCACCCATCGACAGTCAGGGAAGACCGTCGAGTTAGCGTTGTGGGATACTGCCGGCCAGGAGGAGTATGATCGTCTTCGTCCACTGTCATATCCCGAGACAGATCTTCTATTTGTGTGCTTTGCCGTCGACTGCCCTGCATCGCTGGAAAATGTTGTAGACAAGGTGAGCCGTCAACAGTTTTCTGCCATATCGTGCTTGATTTCAATTCTCTAATAATACGACCAGTGGTACCCCGAGGTTTTGCATTTCTGCCCGACAACCCCTATTATTTTGGTCGGCCTCAAGTCAGATCTCCGCGGCAAGCGAACCTGCATTGAGCTCCTCAAGACGCAAGGCCTGACTCCCATCACACCGGAGCAGGGCCAAGGAGTAGCCCAGCGCATGGGCGCGACCTACGTGGAGTGCAGTAGTAAGGAGATGCGCGGCGTGGACGAAGTCTTTGCCAAGGCAGTAGACACCGTTATCAACATCGAGGAGCAAGGCTACACAGCGCAAAAATCCTCGCATAGCCGCACAAATAGCAAGCCTTCCGCCGGCGGGGGTCGACCGGGAAAGAAGATCAAGAAGCGAAGTTGCAAGATCTTGTAAAATCATGCCATCCCATCTCGCTTTTCCCTCCATTCATGACCGACCCTTTCTTCATTCCCTTCTCTCACATCCCCTGGTCCGATATGATAAAGCCTGGTTGCTTCATCGGCCGTGCTTGTTTCCTGCTCTGTGGATGTGCCGGGTCACCGCGCCGCAAGCCGGAAAAAGCTGGACATGAACTGCAAAAATTTTCCTTCCCTTGGAATCGGGGGACGCTGCGCGCTCTCAACCGATCTGTTTCTTTAACGGCGGCTTTCTGAACTTTCTCCATCCTTGCCTTGTTGATCGATGACTTGTTTGCCTTTTCTTTTCATTTTCTTTTCCTTTTCTCCCATTCTGTGTATTTTCATCTCATGACCCTTGTTCCTTTTCTCCCGTTGGCTCTCATGACCTGGGTCTTTGCCCTTTGTTGGCATGCATGGGACTGGTGTTCTCGCTTATGTTACCTGATACGAATTTAGCAATACAGCCTTTGCATTTCATACTGAGCTACTTCTCGTAGGCATGCGTGTATGGTCGTAGAATATCCGTAGATTTGCTCTTCTTTACTGATAGAATGCTATGTAAAATGGTATCTCAAGTAAAACGTAATCAACACCAACGCCAAAAGACGATCAAATCCAGTCAGCTTCACCGAAGCTATCACTGGTTGACCATTGACTCTCCTTCATCTTCTTCATGCTTATGTTGTCTGCCGGAGTTGCCGTGTCCGGCGCTCTCCCCGCTGACCTTTCGTTTCCCTTGGCTGGCTTCCTCAAGCTCCTCCTCCTGCCGGCCCATAAAGTTCTCGAATTGTGACCAGAGGGCTTCCACAGAGCCAAACTCATTGCCGACCTGGCGGAGTTAGCGATTGAATTCAATGTGACCTTCCATAGCGAAGATGAGGTGGGAAACGTACTGTAATGATGCTCTCAAGGTTTCGGTTCAACCGGTTCATGTTCTGGAGGACCTGCTCCATACCCTAGCCCCAGAATTAGAGTTCAACACAAGTAATGAAGGTGATTGACAGTCCCGGCGGAAGACCTGCACTCACCACCGCAATTTCCCGAACCAATTCCTCGCGTTGTTGCTCAAAGACCGTTGGGGACGCGCTGCGTCTGCCACCGGGGGTTTCAGAGATCCAGGCCATGGTGTAGCTCGAACACAAAAAAGAATTCAATGAATTGTAAGACGCAGGCGAGTTCTTAACTGGCAGTGAAAGGTCACGGTAGACTGTTCAACAGGAGAATGGTGATGCGAGGTAGGTTGTGTGAGGGGCCGGGTTGGGCGGCGGACGTCGAGCCACGGGGGACTAGGGCTCTTCAACAAGACTGAGCTTGGAATGCGGACCGAGAATGAGCTGTGTAGTGTCGATTCACGTTGACGCTCGCTCTGCAGCTGCTGTGTCCTGCTTGAGGTTGTCTTTGCTGGAGTGTTTGGGGGAGAAGTTGTGGTGGGGCATTGGGTATCTGATAAGAGACCCGATTGGTGATAGGACGCGTTCCTAAGGTAAGGTTGGTTGCGGCGCGCAGCGGGGAGAGCATACTTTTCTTCAGCCAAAGCAAACAAGCACCTAATTTCTGCGAGCGTTTGCTAGCAGAATGACTTGACCTCGTGCTTAGGTCTAGTTCGATGATCCCATGGAGGACGCCTAGATTCCTCTAGCATCGGTTGTGGCTCTAGGTCGTGGGCTGGGGGGGACAATAGCGAACTTCCACAACGTGTTCACCACTGCAGTCGAGGCATCTGGCTCTGGCTCCTTGGGTATCGTTGCCGTTCATATTCGCCTACTTTAAATGTTTATCTTTTCGATTTTCCAATACCCTTGTATACTGTGCCATGCTTAAAGTTACCAGAGAGAAATCTCATAATGTTACTTGTTGATTTCTTATTCTGCATATTCGGTCGCTGCACCACTTAGAGCATGGATTTACTACATTTTGAATCCTTGATAATTTTCTCCTAGGAAAGGAGATATCTCCAAACCAGCAAGGGCACCGCCTAGCTGTTGTGCCTCGGCTAGGAACGCTCAGTAATCTACGTTCACTAATCTACGTTCAGTCATCTAAATTCTTGGTCTTGGCAATCCGATACCGAAACCTGAACCTGTTAGATTTTGACTGCATGTATGTACAAACTGTAACTAAATGAGCCCTGGAGGGGAACTTCACACTTTTGCCGAGGCCCGGGGTCGATTGTTTGATTCGGTTAATAAGTCATCAGTCATATCTTTAAATATCAACTTTCTGTTAACCCATATTTCATATTCTTCCGCAAAAATCAACATCCTTTCAAGTGATTGAGAAGAATCAATCCATATCCGCAAGATGGTTGGCGGTTCTCGAACTGTCGATCTTCCTGATACCTACGTCAATGCACCTGATAGCCATATCCGCATTTCTAATTCCCCGGACTCGGCATGTGGAGTGACACCTATCCAGGTCGTAACCTTAAATAGACCCGACAAACTAAATGCAATTACAAGGGGCATGATCGATGCTCTTATTACGTTCTTTTCGATCGTCGATGTGGATGATCGAGTCAAAGTCGTCATCCTAACAGGTGCAGGTAGAGTATTTAGCGCCGGAATTGACCTGAATGGGGACTTCAGCCAGGCGAAAAACAAATTGCGGCCTAGTGAGATGCGGGATCCGGGAGGCACACTGGCACTTTCCATGTTCAATTGTACCAAGCCCATTATAGTGGCGTACAATGGCCTCTCCGTCGGCATCGGAATGACATCCACTCTAGCGGCCGCGATTCGGTAAAGGCCTATCATCATCCTCATCACCTTCTCCTTATGATTTCAAAAACTAACTCAGACCCAGTATTGCACCACGTAATGCAGAATTTGGGTTCCCATTTTCAAGAATTGGCCTTACAATGGAGTCATCCAGTTCCTTTTTCCTCCCGCGTATGGTTGGATATAGCAACGCCACATATTTGCTAGCGACTGGACAACGATATCCCGCACATTCGCACGTCCTCCACGGAATCTTTGCGGAGCTTCTTCCGGAGCCTAAGGATGTTTTCCCCGCGCAGTTGGACTTGCCCAAGACATTCTGTCTAACGTTAGCACCATGGCAGTTCACGTAAATCGGCAGCTCATTTGGCGGAACCCTGGCTCTGCAGAAGGCGCACATCTGGTGGACAGCCCTCTCCTTTACGACATGTTTGGTGGAAGGTAAAACTCCCTCACAATATAGTATATTGTCCTCATGGTTATGACCTTTACTGACTCACTCAGGGACCATCTTGAATTCAAAAAATCTTTCTTTGAGAAACGTCAGCCAGAATTTACAGATGAATTATCAAAGGATGCGCCTCGAACCTATCCTTGGTGGAGCGAGGTGTCGGTGGAGACTAAGCCGACGGCTCACAGACCACCTAGCAGTAAACTCTGAAGATGCTGGGATCAAGGACCAAATTGTGTTATTTCTTGAACTCCCTAGGGGGATGGGACTGGAACTTTAACCTAGCTATGTTTGTTCAAGACCCGAAACAGGGAACCTGAATTGAGTACAAGGCATACTACACAATTCTTTGCTTTAATTCATAAAATAAGCACCATGAACTCATATAATATGAGTCATAATCTTCTAGTAGTGATGGAGGCTGACTGATATCTGGAATAGAATGGATACTCATGAAATAGGATGGTTAGAAAAAAAAGAGATTTGGAACAAAGTTGTTGAAGAAGGTGAAACCCATCAAGGTAAGAATTGAGGCTACTTAGACGATAAGTGGACTATGAACGATGAAGCAAAGAAACGTGAGCTACAGACAGGCCTTAGTAGGCGGTTATTTGAAGATCTAAAAAGCGAATTAGAGAGGAGTATGATATGTGCAACCATTGCCCCCCTCCCCGTGTAAGCATGGTTGTCCTATTCGCATTTTCTTATAATGTTTACTGAAAGGGGTTCTACGGAGTATAGCCACCGGAATTTCCAGATTCCATGGCTGCACGTCGACTCACGGACGAAATGATCGGCAGTGCCAATTATCAAGATGCCGTGGTGCGGTGTATCCTGGATCTAGACGCAGCTTATAGATCGCTACGAGTAGCCGAAGAAAGATTCCAGAACGACGTACGGAGTAGAGAAAAAGATCATTAGCCTAATAGCCGAGGATCTCAGGGTCTATTGTGCTAAGACATCTGTTGAGGCGTGCTTAGAAATGGGAATGGGGGCGAGTGGGGGGCAATGGCAATGAAAGGGCCGTGGTAGCACGAACGTAATTGGTAATTGGGAAGGGGATGGGGATCTTTTGAGATGAACCCCTCACCCCCATCTAAAACCCGTCAAATAAGAATAGAATAAGAGTGACGGTTTGACGCAGCCACCAGAACGCCTTAATTTCAGTCTCAGGGACAATTCCCACCAGATCCGAGCCGACCGGTCTGGCCAGTCCCCGTCGAAATAGCGTCGCTAGCGTCTCCATCCAACCCCAAGACGAGTTCGTGACGGTCGCACCCTGTGCCACGACTGGGCCGAGGGGCACGCCAGGGTCCACCGCGTACCTGAAGAGCCATGGACCAGCAAATTCGAGATCCAACGCTTTCCAAGGGCCCAGCCCAGGGCCTGGTTTCAGATCCACCAGTGACCAGGTACGAAAATGCTCGAGAGACACAAACAACCCCTCTGTCCAAAATACGGATACCTCGTTTCTGTGTGGCCGAATAAATTACGGCTTCGGGCAGGTTGGAATTTGCCCGGCGAGATACTACCTCGGGGCGACGAAGTGGAGATTGAATCCTGTCCAGCAGGGCTCGTGTTCAACATGTGAACGAAATCTGAATCAAACACCGTGTCCGGTCCGGTCTAGTCTGGTCCATTTAGTGCAATTTTGGGAGGTAATAGAGTCATAACAAATAATATGATCCAGTAGTCATGAGAGTAGTAGGGAATGATAATAATCATACTCATCATCATCACGATCATCTTCTTCATCATCAATTGGGATATGGATTTCTATCCACTCCAGTAAACCAGTATGCCCATGAAGAAAAAGAAACAAAAGAGAGAATAGAGAAATAATTTGAAAAAAAGTCTCATCACATCGTAATTCCAAGCCAGGCAGGGAAGGCAAGCCAATCTCCTGCGTCCGGCGCCTTCATGTCCTTGCCAACACGACTAGCATCATCAAACCGGTCGAGGGTGCAATCAGCTCTTGCAACCGATTACATTGGGGCTTTTCCACCCGAGTCCAATCGTGGGAAATGAGGACCCGTTTCCTTCTCCATGTGCACTACATGCGCATGGGTCCGTTACTCCGTTTTACTCCTGTATTCTTTCGTGGAAGGAAAAGAAAAAATACCCCAGGATCATGGATATTCGTTATCGTGCCATTCGTATATGCTCCAGCCGTGGCGGGGCGAAGAGGAGGGGGGAGTAGGGGGATGGCGTGGATTTGGGTGGTGAGGGTGAGAGTAGAGTGTTTAGGTGTATAGTCTCGGTGGTGCGGCGTGGAGTGGAGGGTTAAGAGTTTCGTCGAGGCTGTGCGAGCATGTTGCTGAATCTCTTCCAACGCTGCGTCGGCGAGGTAGAGCTGGCGCGTCCCAGTTGTGCTTTATCCATGGGCTTAGAGGAGGAGGAGGTGGTTGAGGAGCGTGGGCGGCTTATGGTCGCCTCGTGATCGGCGAGGACATCCTCGAGGCGGACATCTGAATCAGACATGCGGGGGTGCGCGTCCTTGGGATCAAGGATCTCGATGAACTTGGAAGGTGTATCACGCATCGTGAACGAGTGTAGATGTTTTTTGTTTTGGTAATGGTGGGAGAGTATGCGGATAGTATGTGTTTATACTCGATGGATGAGACAACGAATGTCGCAGGTAAGCGCGGAGCTGTACAGCACGTTTCACTCTGAAGAGAGGGGCAAGCGAAAGGATTGGTTGAGTTCAAGAAAGAGGAGGGGGAGAGGAGATCTAAATTAAATAGAACAAACAGAAAAAGTTCTAGGAGATTACTCGTCCCGAGTTTGGGGAAATGCGGGTAGTCCACGGTTTTCGTTTCCATGAGGAAGTGGAGACCGCAGATCAGGGGACAATTGGGTGAAGAGGGTCCATTTTTTGCCTTTTTCCTTCTTGTACTCCGTCATTTATTGACATTTTGATTTTTTGTTCTTAGCGAGTCTTCAATCTTCAATGGATATGTACACCGTAGTACACCGTAGTACACCGTAGTCCTCCGCACTGCTACAGGCTAATCCTCGCCTAGGCGGACGCCTAAAGATCTATTCTTTCTGTTTCGTGCAACATCTTCATATCAATAGAGTACATACGAGTACTACTACATAGTACGGAGTACTTCGTACCCATGGTAGTTGCCTTTCCCCGATAGCTCAGACTGATGTATCATGCACCTGCACACCAAGGATGAACAACCCCACAAGCAACCACAGACGCACGCAGGGTTTCCTCATTTGGCACAGGTCGACCTGCTGATGAACGCGGTGGTGGGTGATGGGTGGGTGGCCCAACGTAAATGGGCCAGGATCAGCGTTGACCCTCCACTCGAACAGTGCCGTGGCGTCTGAGTTCTGGCCACTGACCGTTAGGGATGCAGAACCCCCGGGCAGTCATGGTTCGTCCGATCAGCGTGGATTCTGAGTGGAGGGGCACTTGCGTGGCCCTGGTCAACTGAGCATGTGGAGAGTTTCGCCTGTTGGGTTTTCTGTGTGCCCTGAACACCGCAACTTCTGCACGGAGGGGGACCGGCGAAAGAGACGAAAAATCGAACCACCCTTCCTCCTCCCCTCCCCTCTCTTGTGACAATGCACTAAATAAAATGGCCAGGTCTCGGTCGAACTTTTCCTTGACTGGTGTTCGACTAGTGTTTGGCCTAGCGCGCGATGACCTCGCGGGCATCATCGATGGAGGGTAGTTAATGGCCCCCCCTTTCCAAACGCTTGTTCCACTTTCGCAGGTTCCCACAGTAGGGATATCGCCATGACGTCGGGGGCTCCCGATCTTATCAACCCATAGGGCATTGGATGTCGATGTCGGTACTTTTGTGTTTGCCTCGCTATAAAAAGAAATGCAATGGAGAATGAAAAATGCCGACTTCTTCGCCATTCAAATTGCGTGCCCTTCCCCAGGTGGATTCCACCCCCTCCATCGTGGAGGATCATTCCATCGCTGCGCAGCAAACCCCCGTCAGCCTACGTAGTCAGATTTGCCTCCGGATCGCACCGCCACTCTGAGCTGACTGCCCGAAGGAGTTGATGACAGTAGATGTGAGATGTGAGATTGCGAGATGATAGGCAGCAATTCTCTTTAAACGATATGGTGGCCGATATACCCGAAACCGAGGCAGGGAGACGAATCGATAAGGCTCAGCAATTGACAAGGCAGAATGGCACAGCCGGGGTTTGCAACCCTGTCTCGGCGATTACCGCCAGGGCTTGAATAACCCGAGGCTGATGCTCAACCAATTTGTATAATTGGTGCAAATCAATTGCTGATGAGATTTGCGCAGCATATGGAGCACCTCATACATGCTACGGAGTACTCTGGCCGAGGCTGCTCACATCAGATTTCCACGATCCTGATTTGATCCATTTGGACCAGTAATAAACAATATGGAAATAATAAGCACTAAAGGGATGCAGCATGGCCGAATAGCGAATTGCTATGTACAGTCCATGGCCATCTCAGTTGAACACATTTGGGTAGTACCTGATTGACGGGCGCAGATACCATATAATGTCTAGTAGGCTATCTACAACACTCAACTCGAAACACGCCATATTCCAAGATTGCCTCCTAGATCGAAAGCTAAAACATCTACCCGCCACATACTAGTAACAGCCTGAGCTACACTAACTTTCACCTCAACAATGCAAATGCTATCTATATCTTCAGCCACGTAATCTGGGCGCGTGGAATCCCGCATATGAGAGATACGATGCACCGACTTGAGCACGCAAGAGCACAGCATGGAAGGAGGCGACAAACAATTACTATTCAACACATAATTTGTACACAACAATCTGCTACGCCCTAACTTAATTGTGTATCTAAATCTCCGATACTACTATGTACTAGTCACCCAGATACTATGTACCCATCCGGAAATCGGTGAGAGGGCCATACCGTAGATAGAACCCCCCCGCCTGGAGCTTGGGGCTCCCTGTCCCCCACTCAGCCTGGGGCCATGACGTTTTGGCCTTGGACGTGAAAGGTCAGTTTGTTGGTCATTTGAAGCTTCATGTCGATCCATCTCCCACTTATCCTCCACCACAGCTATAAAAAGAAACCGAGCTTTGCGGATATCTTCAGAGATACCCACACAATCACATTGGATTCAATTATATTGAGCAAAGCTGCGGGGTTAGGTACGCATGGACGTAGACTTAGACCTCCACTGGCACCTCGTACATATGTACAAACTCACTCCTTCGCCCTGTGGAGCTAGTACTCGCCTCTCAACATGGATCTGTCGCACGGCCTTCCACCACATTAATTCCTAGCGGGACGATCAGATGATCGACAATATCGGATTCCCGCTACAAGCATTTCCGAGAAGAAAGGTGTTGGTTCGTGCGGTGGGATTGGCTTGGAGTCAATGTCCTCTCCAATTGGTGCATGCCTTGCAGATAACCCCTAATGGGACGGGTCTTCCCTTTCCTCTTCAGTTTACGGAGTACTGTTGCCACAAATCTGCTATGTATGTGTTGCATGTTCGATTATTCGTCACCGGGATATCGCAGAATGGCTTGAGTATGAGCAGCTGCAGGATTCACTCGCCACAAAGACATACGTACTCTGGGATGAGTACAGCCAGGCAGTGTAAATCTCCATGGAAAACTTTATGTACAAACACCTGACATGCATCGATTGATGAATTTAATGACGCGGCGTCTACGCTGAACTGTAAAAAGGAAGTCGGTGTCGAAATAGTGTAGTGTATTGATTTTGGCCAGTACCACAAGGCAGCCATGCAATAATATCGCACTGGAAGAACCATCAAAACGCCTCGTGAATCAAAAAAAAACCAGCAAACACATGGACAAGAATCCGCCCGAAGGACCGGCGAGTGGTCCTAATGGCCCCAGTAGTCCACATCCTTATTTCCCCGTGTCTCGCAGCGGGCATCAATCAACTCGGCCATTCCCCGACGCAATGAAGTCAGGTTTTGGATATTGAGGAGAGTAGGCCCAGTTCCTTCAGGACAAGACCACTCCCACAAGCGCGGGCCCTAGCCCGCGGAGTACTGTGCATCGGTCGGTACTCGCACTTCGATGACTTTCAATTATTTTAATCCGAGGTCCGTCATTTCGACGTCTGACGCCGAGCCCATCCAGAGGATGTTGTTACACCTATAAGTCATTGTTAGCACTTTGCCCCTAACACGAAACCTCTATGACTGAGTAGCCATTACGGCAGGGTGAATGCGTACCGAATAAGAACCAAGCCCAAAGATCCAGTGTGCTTTCCATCAATGTGTTCCTCCGTATCCCGCAGCAGAACGTTCATGTAGGAATCGATGCTCTCCAGGGTACCCTTGTACTCGGTTTGGCCCCACTTAAGACGGATGAGGACCTCAGTGCCGACTCTGCAATGAAGATGAAAGGTTAGCAATTTGATGAGTTAGAGGAGGGAACGGATGGCTAGGTAGTGGCGTGAAATTGTGCTGGGTTGCTCAATGAGGGAGGGGGGGTTGCTCAGTAGGGTCGGGAGGGGAGTCGCGTACCTAGCCTGGAGGAACGGCCGAGGGTTGACGGGTTGCAACTGTAACGCAAATGTCAGCGGTAGGTCTTTTCAATGTCATAGATGAAGATCTTGATCGCTTTGAACGAGCGCATCGCGGAGCTTGATGCGGCGTGGCTTGGGAAGACGTACGCTCATTGTGATGGGTGTGTGGGTGGTCTTGCGCTGAGAGCACAGACAATGGATGAAGGGAGTTTGGTGTGAGGTGAGGAGCTTAGCGATGAAGCTTCTTTCCTTTGGGTCTGGTCGTTGGCGCGCGAGAACTGGAGGTTGGCGGAGTCGACAGCACCGCGAAAATGTGAGCTGGTCGTGATGTCGGGTAGGCCAATGGGGTGGGAGTATTCCTCACCGCCTCTGGTGTGAGTGACGAGGTAGTTACTATTGGGGATACTACTTGATAAGCACAATTGCTTCTTTCCGGCCTTTTATTTATTTCGAATAGGAGAAAGAGGAAAATCGATGTTCGTAACTGTGTTTTTTCCGTTGTGTAATTTGGCTTACTATGGCTTCGTAATCATCATATCGCTTAACTCTCCACACCAACTCCTTCTCTCCACACCACACGCCAGGCTCATCAGCCTCCTGATAATAATACAACGAAAAGACCATGAGAATGAAAGTAATGGACTGGTATCTTGAGAAATATGCCATAAAATTCCATTCTTTTGCACCCAAGTTCCTTTGCACCCAAGCTCGTCAGCGCTGGCTAGTCACCCATACAGCAGCGTGCCTCCATCCTCATTTATGCCCGACCAACCGACCAGGTGATATCCTTGATGCTGACTTCCTCACTGGTCTTCTCATCGTAGTCATACCATTCGCCTTCATCGAGTTCAATGTCAGAGAACTTGGTGGGTGACTCAACGCCCTTGGCTTCCCATTTTCCCTAGATAAAAGTAAGAATTCTGAACCAGCTTCGATGGGAAGGGTTCGCTTACCTCGGCGGGCTTGAACTCGATAAACTCCAGACCACGGCAGTCCATCTCAATAATCTTCTGACCGGTCTTCTTCTCCTGGAGCTCGTAGGTATTGGGACCAGAGATGATGGAAGCAGAATGGGTTTTCTGCAGATTGCAAAGTTAGCTCTTTGCTCGCCATCTCACCCTAGAGTGAAATGATAGAAACAAGAGACATCGAAAAGATAATCTTGGTCTGTGAAGGGTATCAAGTATCTTGACGGGTGGAATCACATACGGTGCAGAAACGGCATTTCCAGACAAAGTTTGCCTCGCCCCGGCTACCGGGGATCTCATGTTGCTCCTGCAGATAAAAAGTTAGCATAGTATCCATGATCACAGACTTTTTCTTTAAGGTTACGTACGAAGCGGTTGAAGCCCACCCAGTTGGCATGGATCTCGTGGCAAGATGTGCACTTTACCCGGAATGTGTAGTAGTAGGGGTCCTCCTCGGTGTCAATTGGTCGAAGAGAAGTAACACTACCAGAAGGAGTCAGATAGGGGTGTCGCATTAACGATCCTTAGGTCAAGGAGAGAATTTAATGCTTCTGCGCGCCTGCATCAAAAATTGTTGCACGATGCGGGGAGCCTTGCGAGGGATTTCAAAATGGGTGTGGACGAGCTTAGCGGACTTACCCTTCCAGCTCGGCTGTGAGCACAAGAGAGAGCATCTTGGATAATTTGTTTTGACGTGATCGGAGATGGAGGGGTTGTAGAGGTTTCTCGAAGATGAAATGGAAGGGTGCCGTAATGCGGATGCGATGCGATGCGGGGTGGAGACAGAAAATAGATCAGGTCTTGGCATGTGACCACCAAGCTGGCAGTATCACCTAGTACTTATACTGAAAGACTACAAATTGATATAGAAGAAAAACTTGGGAGAGAGTGATAATGAAGTGATGAAATTCTATCGTAATCATATTGAATAAATCGAAACGCCAATGATGCTCAAGAACTCGCTCTGAAAGAACGATATAGACAAGCTATTTACAACCAAGAAATAAGATCATACAAAGTGCATCACCTGAAGTTTACAGACGGCTCTGTTGGGAGTCCTGTCCCAAAGCCTTCGTAGCGAAGGAGCCGAAGTACTCATTCAGGGCATCAGCGGTGCCACTGCCCTCAACCAGCTGGATGGTGCAAGCGACGTGGCTGTCGGGTCGGGTGACGATGACACCGCCCTTCTCAGCGTCGAGACCAAGCTTCTCGTGAGCCGCGAACTTGGCATCGGGGACACGAACATCGGGGATGTCATCGGAGTACAGGTGGTGGTGGTAGTCACGCAGAACCTGGGGGATGGAGTCCACGTCGACCTCGTTCTTGGCAGCGGCATAGATGAGAGAGAGGGTGAAGAGCCTGGAGTGGGGGTTGTGACGCTCGAAGAAAGAGACATTGGAAATGTCAGGGCGACGATAGACGGAGAGGAAAGAGCGCTCCTTCTCCAGATTGGCGGCGAGATCGGCAATAGCCTTTTGGGTCTTATTCTGGTTACCACCGAAGATGAAGATGCGGAAGGAACCGTTGGTGGGGACCTCCTGCTCAAGCTCAACGAAGTTGGCATCAGCAAGACGAGTGACCATGGTAGGGGTGAAAGCGCGGCCAGGAGTCAAGCGGACGTTGGGGATGTTGAACAGGGCCGACTTGGCAGGGTGGCTGGCGTCCCAGTTGAAGACGTTGGGCTTGTAGGCAACTCCGTATCCACTGGTGAACTCGCAAGAAGACTTGAAGGTCTTGACAAACTCATCCTCCTCGACATCGCTTTTGGAGACAGCCTTGCTAGCAGACACCTCGCCGGCGGTGGGACGGCGCTTGGAGAACAGCGCGGCATACTTGGCGTCGAAGTCCAGCAGAGTCTCGGCAATATCCTTGCGCTCACTCTCGTAAGTGCTCAGAATAGAGCGATTGGCGAAACCGGTCTCAACGGCGTGGATCTTCCAGGCCATGTTGAGAGCATCGTGGAAGGCAGTGTTCATGCCCTGACCGGCCTTAGGGCTGTGGGTGTGGCAGGCGTCTCCACCCATGAACACACGCTCATCCAAGGTGTACTTCTCGGCGATACCCTGTCCAATTGGATAAACGGAGTACCACTCAACACGGTCCCACTCAACCCAATAGGGCTTCAAGATGTTCTTTGCGGTCTGTTGAACCTCCTCGGCGGTAGCGGTCTTGCGAGGGTTCCAGTCGGCATCTGTTGACGAGGCGATCTGGACGTACAAGCGGACCATGTTGTCCTCGCGGGGAATAACCATGATCGAGCCAGCATCGGAGTGAATAGTGCATTTTGTCTGAAGAAAAGTTAGTTCTATGTCCAGTCACGTAATCTGTCTGGTTCTTTGCTCACCTCAATATCGGGGAAGTTGGTGCGGACAACACCGTCCATGACACCCCAAACGTAGGCGATAGGGTCCTTGTGGCGGATCTTGATATCGAGCTGTTCACGAACGAAGCTGCGAGCACCCTCGCCACTGAACAGGTACTTGGAGCGGACGGTCTCAATAACGTTGGTATCAATGCTCTTCAACTGCACCTCAACGGGGTATTCGGCATTGGCGCCATCGTTCTTGAACCCGTGAATAGTCCAGGGACGCTCGACCTGGGTACCGGCTTTTTCAATCTCATCAATGAAGACACGCTCGATCTTACCCTGGTGGACAAGGGTAGTGAAAGGGTAGCGGGTGTCGATGAAGCGAGGGCAGCTGGGCCAGCTTCCAGTGCGGCCGATGCCAGAACCATCAGCCTTGGGATCCCAGAAAGCGACATCGTACACCTTGGCGGGCTCGTAGGCCATGATGGCGCGCTTCAGGCCAAGGTTGCGCAGAATCTCGGTGGAACGCGGCTGAATTCCGTCAGCGCGGCCAGTGGCGGTTGGCACAGGACGGTTGTCGATGTGCTTGACCTTGTAGCCCCAGCGAGACATACAGAGGGACAGCAGCAGGCCCACAGGACCGGCACCGACGATGACGATGTCATACGTCTCTTGCGCCATGTTCGCCGATGGGAAATGAGGTCGGAAGGTAGAAGGGGTAGGGTAGGAGGTAGAATATACGGAAAGCGGCGGGGTCGAAGTCAAGTTTTGTGCAAAGAAGTATATAGTCTGTATGATGTATTCACGATCCAAGAGGAGACTCGATGGAGGGCCATGGCGAGCTCATAAATAGTTTCCTGCAGGCCGGGGTAAGCGGGCCGACTTGGGCAAAATTGAGATGACGGAGAACAGCCACGGCATTGGGGATCGGTTGTATCGTGGGGAGCTGCTGGGAGCGAGCTGGGGTGGACCAATCAGAGGCTCTGGAGAGTGGTTTATACATGTATGAGCGTGTGGGGACAACCCTGCATCCAGCGCAATGACTGAGTTGCCGTCGTTGATCCCGGATGACCTGGCGAGGGCGACGAGTGGTGGAGATGGATGAGAGTGGAGTCACTTGATTCCCCACTGCTGCCCGGCTGCGCGAGTCGGCAAGTGGAACTCGGTTGCTTGCCCGGTACATACACTCACATCCTGCGTGCTACTGTACTGTACTCTTGGTTGAGATTTTGAAGATTGTGCCTGTCTATCACAAGGACTACGAGTATTCTGCCGCTTGCTCACCCTGCCCACCGGCTCCCCCCACTTGACCGTGGCAGTTTGACTGGCAATTTGTTGAAGGGAAACCCGGTGCATAGTGCCAGGCTCATTTGGAGATTCCGAGAATTCGTCTTTGATTGGCCTGATAATTCTACCGAGCACCATGTCGGGTTGCCTGGCAAATTGGCTCGGTGATTGTCGCTTCATTGTCCCGCCACCACTGTACTGTATATCATGAATAGTTCTAATACTAGTAGCAACTTGCGAGCCCACTTTACATTGCGGGTGGACTTCATCATAGCTCATGCCCAGGTGTCTTCCATTTTTTATTCAATCTCACAGCCTGAGAGTATGTAACTGCAGGATCTCCGATGATCTCACTGATAATTTCATCCCGAGAAACTATCCGCAGGGGGGATTTCCACTGGCTACTAGAATCTAACAAGGTCAAAAAGTTTCTTTCTGATATCCTCGGGCCCAGAATTTTGTTCCGCTCACTTCCCTTGGGCTCGTATATCCAAACCGGGAGTCAAGCTGGCACTGGCAATAATAACGGCCACCCTCGCCAGGGCCGGGGATTCCGATGTATCCAACCCAGTGGGGACTTTGGAAGATCGGCAAGAATGCCGGCTGCCGCTAAACCCCGGACACCTCAGCTTATCTCCGTACTATTCTCGCCTACAGTAGTAGTGGTATTCAGATTATTTCCAAGAATGCTCAGCTCGCTAACAAAGTACAGGTTTAGCGTTGGCAAGGACCAATATTCCTAGTATCTGTCAGAACAAATTTATAATATCTAGAGCATAATGGACCTAGTAATAGGGCTGTCCAGCTGTTTAATTTCGACCTGGGGCTGAATTCATGCCTGGTTAGTGCCTTGAGGCAACGATTATTTTACTTTACACAAAGCAAGAAAACTCCACGGATTTTTCAATATTCTATAGCCTTTTCTGTGATTGATGTCTGAAATTGTATTCAGGTTGATTGGTTCAGCTCTTTCAAGATGTCAATAATGCGACACCGAACTATAGAACAGCCACTCCGCAATTCTAGGCAGTGCACCAGGGAAGCCCTGGAGTAAGACAATCGAATGCTATTGTAGCCTGATCCTCTGACCCCATTCACTTTGAATATCTCTGTTTATGGGACGAATTTGGCATGATGGCACGTGTCGCATGGAATTGGCGCATGACAACGAGTCGCAATCACCCTCCCCTCAATCCTAGGGACGCTTCCAACATTCAGACTTATGAATATGGACGCTGGAACTTTTGAGACACTTCTCGCTAAGGCTTACATCCTGCCCGATCATCCTCAGCGGGGGATAATCAGCTTGTTGTTCTTTCTGGTACGTGAATGGAACTCCCCCAGGCCCCAAACCCGCAATGTTATTGAGCCCTCCACGGAACCGCAGAAGCCCCAGTGAATTATTTTACACTTTGAACGTCGAACTCTGCTAACGAATTTCAAACCATGTACGGGAATCTACAACTCAGAATCACTTTTTCACGATTCTCAGCCTGTTAGCACCCTCGATCAATTCCCTGCCACGGCTTCGTCTGAAGAGCAGAACTACACCGATAACATACCAGAGAAAAGATCTCAACAGGACAGCTCAGGATTTCAGCACTCGATGACTTCGAACTGGGAGGAAAGTCCCTTGGAGATGCAGTATTCGATTCATCATGTTCCGCTCATGCTGCATGGATCGGCTTCTCTTGCTCAACTGGGCCCAGTCTCTCCTACCGATGTTTACGACGAAACCGCGAGGTAAGATTCACCATGTGGAACAAATTCGAATTTGACTGGCTCATAATCGAAGCAGGGAGTACTGGAGTGTCGCCAACAGTAACCCTTACATCGACTCTATGAATGTCGATGAGCTACTCGCTATCCCATACGGCGAGTCATCCCCATGCCTCGAAGAAAAGGGCCAGCAGTCGGATCTGGAAAATTCCCCGCAGATACGGAATATGATCCGATCTATCAGTCCTGATTCAATGGAAGCATCTTTCCCTCCTCATGATGAGACCCTCCAGGCTTTGGTCCCAGAGGGCCTGAACCTGTCCTTCAAAACTAGACATAAATTTCGACCACATCTGACCATCCCGGAGAATTTGATACGACCATTGAGTCGGACAGCTTCGGTGTATGAAGTGAAGTCTCCTTTTTCCATCACCGCTAGAGTGGTCAAATCACCCGATCAATCTCCATTGCAATCCCCGAACCAGTCCCCTCAAAGGTCTCCAACTCGATCTCCATCCCGTTCACTAGCTACCATCGAGGAAGAGTTCGGCACAGACATCGGTCCAGGTCTGAAAAGAAAATTCGCGGCCCACGGCGGGCGTGTTCACAAGAAGCTTTTCGGGGACAACGGTTGGCTCGATGATCACAAGCCAGCGCCGACCCTCCGGCGAAGGCCAAGTGTGATGCGAGAGCTTGGAAGAAAACTTAAGGGACTGGTAAGTGATCTTTTCCTTTATTTGCAAATACCTTATCGGAATCTCACGTCTACCCTGTATAGAAAGGAGATTACCCCAAGAGTTCCAGCCCGACAAGCGGTCCCGGTTCGCCGGTGGGCTCACCCAGCCCCCTTACACCAGTCTCTCTGACCTCCTCGCAGCAGTCGAAGCTGTACGCCGAATTAGAAGTCATGATCTGTACCACCGCGAACGATTTCATCTCGAATCAATACTACGACGGTCGAGTTTCTCGACAGTCAATCTCGAAGGTCCACGACTTCTGGAGCTCGAAAAATCGGCCACGAGTCACCGGGTTCCGTTTCGATCAAGCGACTCAGCGAGACCTCATCATGGCAAACCGCCGAAGTCTCAGATTTGCAGGTGAAAGCTCCACAAATCCAATCATGCTCGAGTCCAATCTCTCCAACTGGAAAAAAATCGCACAAGAGATGAATGTTCGCACTTTCTGTTTGCCCGATAGCGCGATTCGCAAGCATCTTCACGACACGCGTAACCTTTTGGACATGCTTGATGCTTCGCTCGATACGCTCCAGCAATTCCGCGGTGTGAGCCTTCAGGCTCAGGATGAAATGATGGACGAATACATCAAGCGCCGCCCGCGGACTACCAGTGGCTACAGTGCTCTACCAATGGGATAGTCAAGGAATGATATCAAATGTATCGGGCCGTTGAATTTAAAAGATTGATTTCGGAAGGTAGGAAATTATGATTTACTCCATGCGTTCTTTGTGAGAATTTAAGAGTGGGGAATGGGTGCGAGGCATAGGATGTATGGCCGATGATAGTACATTTCCTAATTCGTCTATCATTCAGTTGACAATACACAAAGAATAAGGTTATTTCCTATTTAAGTTCTACACGGTAAAAAGGAAAAGGAAAGGAAAGGAGATAGGCCAGGATGTTCCAGAGATGCTTATCCTTGTCCTTGCTTGCACCAAACCATGCGGCACGTGCAGCGACGTCATCTTTCATAGGGGCGCGCCAGGCAGCTCTCGCAGCTTTTTACACACGTGGACAAAGAGTCATTTCCATTTTCCATTTTCATTTTCCATTGCTTTCACGCCCTTATGCAACCATCCAACTCTCCTCAGATCGGTTGTTTCCGATCGGCGTAGGGTGACCAGCCACCTTGGCAATGACCATCTGGCGATCGGTGTTTTGATCTCGTCGCAGATTGCTGGACCCTTGGAAAAGTGGAACCTCGTCCTTCGCCATGACGGGCCCTTTCCATACTTACGGCTCGACCTGCCTGCTGGCCGACGAAGAATCGGAGCTGTCGACCTGGTATTCTCGCGATACCCCGCCCGAAATTCGCTCTCAATTCTTCTACATCTCATCCGTGCCAATTGACGACCCCTTGGCCCCTCTGCCCTCGGCGAGTGGGCAAGGGTCTGAAAATGAAAGAGCTCCACCCAAGCCGTTTACCGCGATAGACAACCTCGCGCTGGAAACTTCGTGGCAGAAACTAGGCAAAGCTCGCCAGGTAACGGGTGCGAGTGAATCTGAAGCTCGAGCGGATTCGTCAAAGTCGCACCACGGCATTGCTGTTCCCGGCCGAGCATCTGAGTTGGGCATCGGACACAACCGCAAGACAGCAAATAGAAGAGATGAGCCAGGTCTGATCAGCAGTCGAAGCACCCTCAGCAACTCGCCATCCTTTCCTGATGAGACTCCTGGACGGCATCTCAAGAGCCGATCAGGCTTACCCATCGGCTCTGAACCCCGGATTGGGAGTTCCACACGAAGGCGTGTGACTCCATTAACGAGTGATGATTTTGCCGAATACCCCCATAGGAGTGATTTAAATGATCGAAGGGAGCGAGAACGCTCTTCTTCGTTGAAAGAAGTGCAATCGAGCAAGAGAAGAAGTGACTCGACTCTAGGAGACAATGACGGGGCGGAAGATGCCCAAGATGAGACTGGGAGTCTCCGTGCCAATCGATCCCGTGATGTGAGTATCAGTGGATCGCCCTTCATCAGAGCGCCTATTTCCCAATCCCACAGTCAATTTGGGAGTTCGGTCGAGTCTTTGCCATCGAAGGACGGACCCCAAGAATGGCAGGGCGAGATTCGAAGCAGCGCGCCAAACCATGGAGCTCCTAAGCCTTCGGGCCTTAGAGCCACCGTCAGTCTAGACGAGATGACCCAAGACACTTCCGAAGAGGATCGAGATAGAAGAAATTCGAAGAAGCAGGACAGCGATGTCAAAGCAAAGATTCCTGTTGGGGCCTCACGGCTTCACCTAGTGGAGCTTCCAAATCTGAAAGTAGGTGCATCATTTCTTGCCTGTTATTCCTAAGCTAACTCTGGTCGCCAGATGAAACCCATATATTGGAGCCCGCTTCATGATGTATCAGTTGTCGTCCGAGCTACATGGTTCTACAAGAATTCGATGTACCCTGTGGAAACTGCATTGGCGAACAAGCTGGAGGAGGGCTACACCTACCTGAAACCATGGACTGACACATGGCAGGATGAGTTGAATAGCTGCGTGGAAAATGGAGCCGATGCAGAGCTCAAGATCGTGCACCGCCTCTGGACGAAGGAAGAAACAGGATCAGCCAACCCGCCCGGGACAGCCCAAGACCAAGGAATGGACACCACCGAGTCGACAGAAGATGATGCACCAAGTGGACCCTCGCCTGATCTCAACCAGGCCGCTGGTGGGAACACAGCCTTCCCCGAAACGATCAAACCCTATCTCTCTTCGAGTGCTGTATATGTGGATGCCAGAAACGCTCAAATTCTCCGACCAAGCTTATTACCGTCGACCTCCCGTGGCAGACGGCCACTTGGTCCAATCCGCAAGGGACGACAGATTGGCATACCTGTGGTGCGCGGCTTTAGTCGAAGACTATGGGACAAGTTCAATCCTGCCAAGGCCAATGCCGTTGATGTACGACAATACATCCGAAGAAATCAAGCTCAAGAGCCCGCTCCAGCTCCAGGCGAGCAAGTTTGCTATGCTTGCAAAATGGAGGGACTGCGGCCAAACCCTACAGACCTGGTACTTGTCATCCATGGTATCGGGCAAAAGCTATCTGAGCGGATGGAGAGCTTCCACTTTACCCACGCCATGAATTCTTTCCGTCGCCAAGTAAATGTGGAACTAAATAACGAGCCTGTCTGGCCCCATGTGGACCAAGACAATGGCGGCATTATGGTTCTGCCTGTGAACTGGCGAACAACTTTGTCTTTGGAAGATCCGACTCTAGAATCAACGGACACCGATGATCCCACTTCCAACAACTTTTCGCTCGACGACATAACGCCTCAGACTCTTCCTGCTGTGCGTTCTTTGATCAGTGATGTAATGCTTGATATTCCGTATTACCTGTCTCATCACAAACCGAAAATGATCAGGGCTGTTGTCAGAGAAGCCAACCGTATCTACCGACTCTGGTGCAAGAACAACCCTGGCTTTCAAGAAAACGGTCGAGTCCATCTCCTCGCTCACTCCCTCGGAAGCGTCATGGCGCTTGATATTCTAAGCCATCAGCCAACACATGTCCCTCACTTTGACTTTCACAACACACCCTTGCATAGCGATATTTTCGAGTTTGATACACGGATTCTGTTTTTGTGCGGGAGTCCCGCGGGGTTCTTTCTCCTCTTGAATAAAGGTATGACCCGAGTACACAAATTTTGGCGTGGTATAGCTGCTAACAACACTGTAGCGAGTCTACTACCCCGAAAGGGTAGAAATAAACCGGGCAGCGAGGGCGAAGATCTAGTACGGGGTGTAGCGGGGGAATCCGGCAGCTACGGCTGTCTTGCTGTCGACAACCTCTACAACATAATGCATACTACTGATCGTGAGTATCTCCCATTGACTAAAATTCTATCTCAAATTGCTAAGATAATCAGCAATCACATACCGCGTCAACGCTGCTGTCGATTCTGAGCTTTCCAATTCGCTCAAAACCGCCTCAATCCCCAGCGCCACATCTTCATTCTGGACATCATTTGGCAGTGTCTTCAAATGGGGCTCGACACCTGGCTTCATGCCTTCTACAGCCCCAGTCCGTCCCGCAGCAGTCACAAAGCTACCCTCGAACGTCGAAATGGAGACCCACGACTTCACGCGTGAAGAAATTGCCGAAAAGCGCATGCTTCTGCTGAACGATAATGGCCAGATCGACTATTATCTTTCTGGTGGAGGTGGCCCGTTGAATATCCAGTACCTCAATATGCTCAGTGCACATAGTAGCTATTGGACATTGACTGATTTCGTGAGATTTTTCGTCGTGGAGATTGCTCGCAAGCAAGGGAGGGAGGGGACGTTGCATATTTTGAGGGCTGAAAAGAAGAAGGGTTGGAAGTATCCCCGGAATTGACCTCATGCGCCCTGGAAGACGTTACATGACTGCCACTGGCCTTATAATTACTAGAAATATTTTTATTTCGGTTGCTTACATCCATGGATATTAACTAGCATATTGCATCTCGGATTAAGAGAGAAGATTGATTGATTGTATTGTGTTCTCATTTCATCGATTGATATTTGTAGTGGCCAGTCTAGCTATCACAGATCGTGCATTCATTCAGAGCGAAGCAAGAGAGGAGAAAAGGACCCAAAAAGGGTATATAAAAAAAGACACATGAAGAAATATAATGAAGAGAGGAAAGGATAAAAAAAAGCGCAAAGCAGAATCAGAATCAGAGAGATCTAGGGGTTCCAGCCCCCAAAATGTATCGTTCTAGTCGTGACTTTCTTTAGCATATGATTCGAGTATCCGAACCGTAAACACTGCCCATCATCAATGCTTCCACAATCTCGCCCTTGATACCGACACCACGGCCAGGACGCAGTACAACCAGTGCATTCGCGCTGGCGAGACTACCGACACGCGAGCTTCGCTGTCCCACGCCCTCGACGCCGGTACTGGTAGCATATAGTCGGCCATCTGAGCGTGATCCGGTTACGATAGCACGGTGGTACTCCGTGCGCTTGGGGTCGAGTGGGAAGTGGTGTGTCAGGACCACGGCTACACGGGGCAGGCCGAGTTGTGGTGCCAGCCAGGGCTTTGAGCTGACTGCTCGCGAGCTCTCGCCGAGACCGCAGAGCTTGTGCAGCGATGGCAGGACGAATAGATTGAGAGTCACCAGGGCTGAGGCTGGGTTGCCGGGGAGGGAGAAGATGAGTTTTGATTTGCGTTCTTGCTGTGTGTTGCCGTCGCCTGCTTCTTTGAAGGGGATTGTTGCGAAAGTGGTCGGCTTGCCGGGTTTCATGGAGACGCGGCCGAAGTGGATTGTGCCGCCGAGAGTGCGTTCGATTGTTGGTTTGAGAAGGTCCAGCTCACCCATTGAGACGCCGCCAGTGGTCACGATCACGTCCACGCTGGACGAGGCACGGCCTACCCCGCGGAGGGAGTCTCGTAGGGCATGCTCGAGCTCGCTGGCTGGTGTATCGCGTGCGATTCCCAGGTCCACGGTTGGGAACCCCCAAGAGGAGAGGCAGGAGAGGAGTGAGGGTCGATTGGAGTCGCGGATCTGGCCGCCAGTGAGTGTGCATGGGTCGTCGTGTTCCACAAGCTCATCGCCTGTGCTTAGGACGCCGACTCGAGGCTTTCTAAAGACCTTGACTGTTCTGATACCAGTTGAGGCGAGTAGCCCTATCTCACCACCAGCGGGCGAGATGATATCTCCGCGAGTGAGAATCTTCTCGCCGAGGCGGACGTCGCTGCCGGGCTCGCGAACGTTCTCGCCAGGCTCGATATCTCCGGTCAGGATCTCGACGGTGGCTTCTTCGGTTCCATCAGCAGTGGAGGAGACCAGGTCAGTGTCTTCGACCATGACTACGGCATTCGCGTTGGGAGGTAGAGGGGCCCCCGTAGTAATTCTAGCAATGGTGCCTGGCTGGAGGGGCTTTAGGGATCCGCCGACGTTGGCGTGAGTGATCGATGCTACAGGGAAAACGCCTTTCGTACTCGGGGCATTGTTCGTAGAGTCCGGGGCAATGACGGCGTAGCCGTCGACGATACTGGCTTTGTATGCTGGGACCGACTCTGCAGCATAAACATCTTCAGCCACGACAGAGCCCACGATGGCAGTGTTCACTGGGGCGTCGACGATAATGGGCTCGGGAGTGTGCTCGCTGATCTGCAGGAGGGCTTCCTCTACAGAGAGCATCGGGTAAGGTGATGAGCGGTACCTCCGGTTAGGACCAGCAGAAGGGTCATTTGACTGTTGGCGGGTTGACGAGGTATGAGCCTTGGGAGCTACGTGCCCCGGACCGTGATGGTGGCTGCAAATACTTTGCTTTTTTTGCAAATGAGTGCCGGAACTAGAGTCGGCACTCACACCAGCCTCCGCCTCGAGGCTCTTGATACCGGCAGCGTGCATATTGCGTGAATTGGCGCCGGCTGATTGTAAACAAGCGTGTGGTAGAAGCTTAACAACGGCTTCGAGGTTCTCTATGGCTCCTTTGGGAGATCCTGGTAAGGTGATGATCAATGATTTGTCTCGGACTCCAGCAACTGGTCTAGACATCATCGCAACTGGGGAAGGAAGGGGGGGTTAGCGGGATGTTTATACTTGGGCTCCAACTAGTAAAACTAGTATAGGCCTCCAAATGTCTTGGGATTTCCCAAACAAATTTCCAAGGAGGGTAGGGTGATGTCATCTCACATGGGGTTACTTTCAACGAAGCGGCAATCATGCCATGGCTGAGAAAATTAGTCCATGCTCTAGCGTCAACCTTCAAGACGCCTAGGGACGCCATGGGAAACGCCATGAAAGACTTACACTAGGCCTGGAGCGTGACGATGAATCAGGGGAGAGACCGCCTGTGATGTCATTAGCGCGGACAGGGACAGGGAACAGGCATATGCAAAAACACCGAAAGACTCATACTTCAGGAGTGTTATCCTTGATGGCAAAACCAGTTCCTCCGCTGAGTAAAATCAGGTTATACCAATTGGCACTATCGCTCCACTCGCAAATGGCCTGCTGGATCTGGAACACATTGTCCGGCACGATCTTGATTGCGGGGGGGTTCCCACTTACCCTCCGCGGCGAGGATGGGGGCGAGGGCATTGGCCGTCTTGTCCGAAGCGGGGTCCTGAGAGGCGGTGTCAGAGACGATCAGAATGGCAGCCTTTAGTTTGTCCATGATGGGCGGGAGGTGGATGGATGGTGAGTGGGTGGTTTGGAGACGGAAGAGGGGAATGAAGTGGGGGGGGGGTTGCTGCATGGTTTTAAGGAAAGCCGGGGAACTTTGTGTACTCGTGAGTACGAGCATCGCGAAACTTCGGGTGCCCTGTGGTCCGTGCTAGTTACGGAGTACTAGTGCTAGTACTACATACTACCCCAGTACTCCTACATACGGAGTCAACCGAGTGGATTCCCCCAGTTCCATGGTCTTTGGTTCAAGTTCAAGTCCAAGTTGCGGGGGTGGAGTTGGTTGACTTGGGTTCCATTTGCTGTTGTAACTGTACATACATATTGATCTCCCGATGATCAATGCTAATCCAGCGTCATCCCCTCCTTTCCCTTCCCTTCTACGAGATATCGAATTCCAGACGCCCCAATGCTGTGTATCAAAATAAGACATGACAAAAGTTTAGGCAAACGAGAAGAGGGAAAAAGAAAAAAGATCAAATAATGTTCCGAGATCATATGCGGCTGGCCGAGCCGAGCCAAGTGTGTGAGGTGCCCCCCCGATTGGGCAAGCATAGCCATCCTACCCTTTCTGGTTGGATGCTTCGTGTTGGTGGAGAGTGTCGCGGACTCTTAGGCCGCGCCAATGTCCAAGGCCTTACCGCCCACTAACAGACCAGTAATAAGACCGAACAGTCCCAGAACGGAACTGAAAATCTCAATAACAAGGATCTTGACAAACCTAAGATACAGAGAAATGGTAAGTATGCCGAAGCTAACATAAGTGCACGCCCAGAGGCCCGTTGAGAGGGGGTGCCTAGACGAGAGTCCGGGGTGAGACGACTTACAGGGTTGGGTCGGCAGCGTCGGCGAGAGCAGCACCACTGCCATTGATACCCACAGAAATACCGCAAATCAGGTTGCAGAATCCAACAGTGATGCCGCCCCAGAAGAGTGCATAACCCGTATAGTAGTTGCTCTGAGTGTAGATCTCGCTCTCGGGGACCGCGTTGAGCTTCGCAGAGTAAACGATCGCCATGATGACGCCGTAGATAGCCACGACCTCACAGAAAATGATAGAGATCAGGTTCTTAGTGCGGATGCGAGGCGCCCGCACACCACCACCCACGATCGATGAGCCAGTCAGGAAGATACCCCTGCAATAGCGTTGTCACCACATTAGCATCAAGCACGCCCAAAAGCCTAACATAGGCAGCTCGGCAGGCGAGAGATTCGGGAAGCATACCATGCAGCTCCGACTACCGAGCAACCAATACACATCGCAATACCAATGTTCGCAAAGGCGAAAGGAGATACCTCCTCAAGGAAACGGCCGACCTAGAAGGTGTCGTGTCATGTCAATATGAAGCTCGCAGAGAAGTTTCGGTCGGATTCGGGTCTCGATATCATCGTACATTGAAAGCTTCGCCTTCGCCCTGGAAAAGCATATCTGCATGTGAGATGCCCCATGTTAGCTATTGACATTCCAGCTCGGGGGGGGGAGGAGCGCTCCAACGGGCCCGGTGGACGTACACAGTCCGACTACCACAAGGGCAGTCGTGGGAACTCCAAGAAAATACCTGACAGCCATGGCGACCTCGGACAACCTGAAGACGAATGAATGAAAAGGCCGGTTGGAAACAGAGGGGAGTTTGATAGCTGTTCGTTGAACGGTTGGAGGAATGGACTCGGTGGCCGGAGCGGATAAACTGGTCCGAGGCGGTGGACAAGACGAGCGTCCTTGTTTCCCCAGATCCACGGATCGTTCCAACTGTCATTGATCCAGCGGGGCCATTGTTTCTCGGCTGAATTCCTATCATCGCAGCTCCCGATTCTGTTTGTGCTTTCTTTGCTGCCTGCCGAACTCCCTATTTTGGCTCCGCGGCGCATTTCGAACCCCTGAGTCCCCTCCCCCTCTCCACATCACCAGCACAACACCATGGCCTCCTCCTCTGGGGTAGGGTCGTATTCGAACCCGCTAAAGAAGTTCAAGTGAGTCTGATGTGACCTGGGAGAAACCACTGGAGCTGTTTGGTACTAATGCGCCATATATAGGTTGGTATTCTTGGGTGAACAAAGCGGTATGGTATCCTCGAACTGCGCGCCCAATACACCCTCAATGAGGGGGGGGGCAACAAGTAGCTCGAATCGCGATAACTGACAATCGTTCCAGTTGGAAAAACATCCCTTATCACCCGATTCATGTACGACTCCTTCGACAACACATACCAGGCCACCATCGGTATCGATTTCTTGTCCAAGGTATGATGCCCCTCCAACCCTTCGAGATTACGTCCCCAAGCAGCTTGAGAACTAATCGCGACTTTGTCAGACTATGTACCTTGAAGACCGAACTGTGCGCCTTCAACTTTGGGATACCGCCGGCCAAGAACGTTTCCGCTCCCTGATTCCTTCCTATATCCGAGACTCCAGTGTCGCCGTGGTCGTCTACGATATTTCGAATGCCAAATCCTTCCAAAACACTCGCAAATGGATCGATGATGTGCGCGGAGAGCGTGGAAATGATGTGATCATCGTTCTTGTGGGCAACAAAACCGATTTAAATGATAAGCGCGAAGTCACAACCGCGCAAGGTGAGGAGGAAGCGAAGAAGAACGGCCTGATGTTCATCGAGACCAGTGCCAAGGTCGGACACAATGTGAAGCAACTATTCAGGCGGATTGCCCAGGCGTTGCCAGGTATGGAGGGTGAAGCCAAACAGGGCGAGAGCCAGAGTAAGTTCGGTCGAAATCGTTGGTGCTATTATCCGCAAATCCTGACCGTACTCCTTCTCTGCAGTGATCGACGTCAACATCCACCCGAAGGAGACCACCACCAACGACGGCTGTGCCTGTTAAACCCCCTTCTTCCATATTTTCCTTTTACACACTTGTGACCGATGATGATGCTCGCGTCCTTCCATGATATTGCACCATTTCTTTCAAGATGTACATGTTCCCTTTCACTTTCTGGTTGCTCGTCGGATGAATAGCGTGTGTTTAGAACTTCCAGTGGCTCAATCTGGCTGCGTTGAAAGGCTTTATAGGCTGTTTTCTGAAAGCCTGTTGCTACCATTTTCTTTTTCTACTGCCGCATTATATCTTTTTTTTCTTGTCTTACTGGAGCCTTCTCTCCCTTCAATCCCTTTCCAGATGTCGTTTGTCTCCCAAATAGCCTCCAGGGCTGGTATGTTGAATATGCTATAATTGACGAAGCTGTACCATATGGCGCCACACAGCACAGTAATGATCATTCGACTGGTAATATCTAGAAACCACTATTATGACATTAGTTAAATCAAGCACGGCCTCTTGGTAGGCCCCAATTCTCATACTTTCACTCCAGTTCTGGTCGAAATGTCTTTTTACTCGGCCTGTTGGGCGGCTGGTGCATCTTCAAGTTCGATATCGAAACTGTGAGACAGATATTGATAGCGGCCTCCCCACCGAAGAAATAGACGGCAGCATTGCTCCAGCCTCTAATACTAATAATGTTCCCAGGGGAACGGTGAATGAGTTACCTATAGGTATCGGCTGAGTAAAGTTGGGACTGTCTTGTGGTATCCATGGAATGGCCTCTGCGCTGGTCCCTGATGAACGGATGATGTTGACATTCTTCCCGGACTGGCCGGATCTCTTTTCTCCAATTTGAATCCATTTTATTTTATATTTTGTATCCTGGCCCCATTCGACTTCATTTTTCATGTATACTTCACTTCGTTTCTTAAAGCCAGTTGACAAAACCTCCGCGGGGGGTTAGGATGCCCAGGACAACCATCGTCCCTGGGCAGTCAATCACCATGAAGTTTTATATTCCAGGCAATTCTAGCAAACGGTAGGAGTTGGTCATGTCATATTAAGTGGCATAGATCTAACACTAGAAAGACCGGCCCTCTCAAGTCCGATCACCTCTCTTCACTCATTCGCATTTTGAGTGAACTACATCCATCAACCCCACAAGACCAGGGCACGGCTCGAACTGTCTCGAACTTCCCCATCAATTATTGACTCCTTCTATTTCCCCTCTCATCTCACACTCTGCACACCGAGGAAGGACATTCACTATGCTAAGGAAGGACTTCTTCTCACTCTTTCGTCGCCAATGGGTCTACCTCGCCCTAGCGCTTTATGCCTCTGATCTGCTCTATGTTACGTTGCATACTCCACTCATTTTCGAAGACGAAGGGTCAAAATCTCAGTATTTGTTCCCTCCCATCTAACCCCTCGAGTTCAATACTGAACAAGTCTTCCAAAGGGAAATGGTGTCGCGCACATCTAAGAGCCCCTTCCCTTCCATTGCTCACAGCCTCGATGTCTTTCGCCATCCCATCACTGCACCAAATCTCACACTCACGTCCGGGGATACATTTCTGCTCCCATATTCCTCTTTACCAGATGGTCATCGTTTCAAAAGGTCTTTGGGAAAAAGAATACTGATCCTCGACGTCGATACACGCCCTCTAAACAATTCGGGGGGAGATTCTCAACTCGACATGGTCTCCTGACGAGACTAATTTGTGGGCAACGGCAGGGCGACTCAATCATTATTTGTTCGGTGAGTACCTTTGGGAGATCTTAGGATCTAGAACTAGCTAACTGTGACAGCCCAACTCCATGGCTACGACTATAAGTTTATGCAGATGGCCACTTTTTTCGGGATGCATGGGACATGGTCGAAAGTCTCCGCAATGAGAGAGCATCTCTACCTTTATGATTTTGTGGTATTCATGGACGCAGATACGATCTTTCCTCACCCTCATGTACCCTTGGAATGGCTGTTCAACTACTGGGACATCGTCCCGGACAACCTTATCGCCATGGCCCTCGATCCGCGAGACCCAATCAATAACGATTTACGAGGCCGAACTCTGCTGAATACAGGCTTTATCGTTGCACAGCAAAGCCCTCGAGCTCACGAATTGTTCGCGGCGTGGGAGTCCTGTCCTCAGGAAGTGAAATATCCTGGTTGCTCTAATTTCAGCTACAGCTGGCCGCATGAGCAAGGTGCTTTCGGCAATTTCCTCCGATATGACTTCAATCAACCCGACGATGTCAAGTCGCTCAATTGTGCGGAAGCAAATGGATGTCCTGAAGTGGCACATCTCGGTTGTTCGGGGAAATTAGTATGCCATTACTGGGGATCAAAGGCGTCGGTTCCTTCTGCCGTGCAGGAATCCATTGTGCAATATTTCCTCTCGTCGCTACATGAGGAATTTCACCAGGACTATGCCAACATCGTTTACACCACTTATGGAAATCCGATCCTTCCGGCGGGAGATGGGAACTTTAAGCCCGATATCTCGCAGGAACTTGGGAGTGAAATACCGGCGCTGACTCAAGAGGATCTTCGAGGAACGACAGAATATTCACCAATCTTGAATCCTTGATTTTGGGATACCTTAACGAAAGCAAACGCCTTCAAGGCAGTACATTCTGATGATTGTCATAAACAGACAGATACCTAATAATAGCTCTTAATACATCGCAAGATCACTGCTGCACTGCGTAGCTTCCAAGGTTTATTAGACAGGTGCCTGGAAAATACCCAAGTATTATGTACATCAGCATCTGGGCACCTGCCAGTGGATAAAAGCTATATTCGGTGAAATCTATGCTAGAAAGCTCGGTTACCTGGGAGCTTGTCCGTCTCGAACATAAAGGGTTTTCATTAACATCAATCTATGTCGGTTTCTTAGTAACTACTAGTAGCAGTATTCCCTCGTGTGTTCATACTCCATTATGGGAATCAATCTATGTATTCAATCAAAGTCATAGAGATACATACATCCGTGAGTAAAGAAGAGAAATGGATGACATCAAAAAAAATCGGCGGGTTTTTGCACGAGCGGAATCATCGATCGCCAAAAACCAATGCGTCTAGAGCGAGAAAAAAAAAAGGACTTGCACATGAATATTATCAACAGAAGATACGTAGAAAAAAAAGAAGACAGATTTTGGTTTTCCGTGGCGGTCATGACACGTTGTATGGTTTTGAGAAATTCATTTCCTCTGGCATTTACTCCTCATCCTCCTCATCCTCTTCGGCAACCTAGAGAGAAAATTAGAATGGAGACCATTGAGTGAGTAGTATGGGGGTTTATATTTCACTTACATCAGCGTGGAAGTTCTGTCCATCGGTGGTAGCCTTGATGACACCGGCGCGGATGCAGAAATCACCGAAGCGCTCGGGGGTCTCGCCGTCAGTGTTGCGCTCCTGGGCGTACCGCTTGAGCAAGTCCTTCATGATCTCCAGGATTTCATCTTCCTTGATGGAAGAACGGAAGAGCTTGTTCAGACGTTGGCCGTGGTAGCCACCTCCCAGGTACATGTTATAGGCACCGTAGGCCTTACCAACAAAGGCAACCTCGGCGAGCCATGGGCGGGCACAACCGTTGGGACAACCAGTCATACGCATGACAATCGAATCGCGGGCCAGACCGTTCTCCTCAAGGGTGGACTCAAGCTTAGAGATAAGGACGGGCAGGTATCGCTCAGACTCGGCCATAGCGAGACCGCAAGTCGGGAAGGCGACACAGGCAGAGGAGGACAGACGCAGGCCAGAGAAGGCGGTGTTGTCCAGCTTGTACTTAGCCATGACCTCCTTGATGATGGGAAGATCCTCATCGGTGATGTTGGAGATGATCAAGTGCTGGTTACCGGTGAGACGGAACTCTCCCTTGCCAAGCTCTGCCAGTTCACGAAGACCAGCGCGCATGGCGAACTCAGCGGTATCCTCGATACGACCGTTCTCAATGAAAAAGGTGAAGTGGTTCAATCCCTTCTCGTCCTTCAACCAGCCGAAGGTGTCGACGTTTGAGGCAAACTTGAAGGGACGAGCCTCAGCGAAGCGCAGGCCATCCGGCATACGCTTCTCGACCTCAGCCTTGTACACATCGACACCCATGTCGTCAATGGTGTACTTCATACGGGCGTGCTTACGGTTCTTGCGGTCACCGTTGTCACGCTGCACAAGCATGATCTTCTCACAGAAGATGTGGACTTGGTCCTTCGGGACGAAACCAAACATGCGACCAGTCTGGGGGTAGGTCTTCTTGTTGTTGTGTGTGGAACCCATACCACCACCGGCGAGCAAGTTGAAACCTTCCAGGTGTCCGTCAGCGCCCTTGATGGCAATCAGACCGATATCGTGAGCATAGACATCGGTGTCGTTGTGGGGAGGAATGGCAATTGTGATCTTAAACTTTCGGGGCAGGTAGGTGGCGCCGTAGAGGGGTTCGTGGTCAACAATAGCATCGCCAGCAACCTGAACCTTCTTGTCGTTCTCATCCTTCAACCAGATCTCGTGATAGGCGGTGGTGGAAGGAAGAAGATGCTCGCTGATCTTCTTGGAAAAAGCCCAGGTCTCACGGTGGAACTCGGACAGCTCAGGAAGAGAACTGCACATAACGTTACGGTTGACATCACCGCAAGCAGCAATCGTATCCATGAGAGACTGGTTGATAGCGCGCATGGCACCGCGGAGCTTCTTCTTAATGACACCGTGGAACTGGAAGGTTTGGCGGGTAGTGAGCTTCATGGTCTCGTTACCATGAGAGCTACTGATAGCATCCATCTGGAGCCACTGCTTGGGAGTAGCGACACCACCAGGGAGACGGCAACGAATCATGAAGCTGTAGGCGGGCTCCAGACCCTGGGCCTTACGCTCATCGCGGATGTCACGGTCATCCTGCATGTATGTACCGTGGAACTTGGTCAGCTGAGCATCGCTGGCCGAGATAGCACCGGTGCTCTCGTCAACGAGACCCTCCTCAATAGTACCACGCAGGTAGTTGGACTGGATCTTGATGTCCTCGTTGGTCAAAGGAGCAGGCTCCTCGGGCAGACCCTCGACCTTGTCGACACCCAAAGATTGCCAAAGACGGGGCTCCCAATCAGAGTAGCCAGTCTGGTAAGCATCAGGGTCTTGGTCATCACCAAGGCCGATGTCGGCAAGCTTGCGACCACCCAAGAAAGCAACACGAGCGTCCAGGTCCTTGGCAGGCTTGTTGTAGTAGAGCTTGTCCTCCTTACGGGGCCAGTAGTGGCTGTCACCCAGACCAAATACGGAGTAGTTGATGGTCGACAGGTCCAAGTCTCCGGAGTTCTTGACGTGCTCCCACAGACCGCGGCCGTTCACGGGGAATTCACCCTGTCCGGCAGTACTGGTGATGAAAACAACGTTTTCCTCAGTAGCCAGATCCTCAATGGGGAAATCGTCCATGGCGATGACAGTGGTCTTCAGGCCACGAGCACGACCACGGTTGCCCAGACGCTTGGCAATGTTTTCCGCGTTACCACCGTCAGAGGCAAAGAGAATGGTCAAGGGAGCCCCGAAGAGACCATCCAGAAGCTTCTCGTAGGCATCCTTGGCCTGACGCTTCTGCAGGGCACGAACTTCGGTACCGTAAGAGGCAGACAGAGCAGATGAGAATTTCGGGTGGCGGTTCATGAGCTGGGTGAGCTGGTTGTCCCGACGAAGGAACTCTTCAAGTTCACGCTTGATGCGCTCGGAGTCGAGAGCAAACTTAGGCTCACCCTTCTCCTCGTTCTCGGGGTTCCAGCGGTAAAGAGGCCAGTAGCCGAGGTCAACAGCCTTCTTAGTCTCCTGGAGGACGCTGAGAGCAGAGTCATTCTCCTGGTGGTAGGGCAGGTAAGCCACAACGACGGATGGACCCTTGAATTGCTCGGCCTCGGCCATAGCCTGCAGCACCTGGGTGTAGGAGCCGTAGACAGCAGTGGAGGCAACGTAAGCATTGCCGAAGTTCATAGCATAGAGACCAATGTCCTTCTTGCGGCGAGTGGGGTCCGCCGCAGTACGCTCAGAGTAGGGCTGCGAGTCAATGATCAACATGTTGACATTGGCGCCAGAAGCGAGAACGTGGTGAACACCCGAGTTTCCGATATCGTAAGCCCAAGCATCGGAGCCCACGAGCCACTGAGACTCCTCGAAGAAAAGCTTCTTAGACTGCAGCAGCTGGCGAGATAGCTGAGAGCCATCATTAGAGAGACGAGCGATGACATCCGGGGCAATCTTGTTGGCCTTGGCGGCCTCGTTCACGTTCAGAGCCCATCGTGAAAGCCAGGATTTGGGAACATCGGTAGCAAAGTTGGAGGACTTGGAAGCCTCCTCAACTTCACGAATGAAGCGCTTGCGGTGCTCCTTGCGGGCGATCAAGGAACCAAAACCGTACTCGGGGCTGGCTGCGATAGTGGAAGAGATACCGGCATTCTTGGCGCCAAGCTGGTTGGCGATATAGAGGCGCTCACCAAACAGCTGGTGGAGAATCTTGAGGTAAGCATTCTCCACGTGGGGCTGCTCGAGAGCTTGCTCGGTAGAAGGAACGTGAGGGCTTCCAATGTCAAGGTTCTGGATGGGAGAGGAAGCTTCCAGGTTCTGGAGAATTCCTCGGAGGGCCTGGACAGCTGTTGAAGGCTCAACATATCCAAGACGATATCCAACAACCTTGAGGGTCTGAGCACGGACACTGGAGGGCGTCACACTGGAAAGAAGATCCATGAAAGCGGGACCCCACTTGGTGGTCTTGCGAACTTGTTCCAAAACAGCAATCTTCTCCACCGAGGTAGGGATGGAGTTAACAATCTGGCCACCAACCCACGGGCGGTAGACACGGGCGGTGATGAGACCAACGTTCTCAAGCTCAGTGGCACTGGAGTTGGACAGGGCATCCACGAAGACTCCGGTAGAGCCAAAGACAAACACAGCAGACTTGGCATCTGCAGGGCCGGTATATTCAATAGCATTATAAGTGCGGCCAACCTCCTTAGAAAGAGCGGTCCAGATCTGAGAAGTCCACTCAAAGATATCGGCAGCGTTGACAGGGCGAACACTGGAGTTATCCACAGTGGTGGCAGTCGAGCTAGGAGCCTCGCTTCCAGCGATACTATCACGGCGAGAGGAGCCAACGGAAGAGTTCTCGACGCTAATGGAGGGGGTCTGGGCCTGAGAAGGGACCGCCAAGGTGGCAGGTGCCTCTCCCTGGCCAGCGGGGATGGCCTGCGATCCCTCGGCGGAAACGGTAGCCTGACGGCCAGACTCGGTGTACAGAGTCTCCGCACCAGTGGTGTGAATAGCAGCATTGCCAGCCAGGTTCAGGATCTTCTTCACGACCTCGACATCCTCGGTGGCAACGGCAGAGTCTTTGGTGGAGTTGGCGGGATCGAAGAAGTGAATAACACCCTTTCCAGACTTCAGAGCCAATGCATGAGCAGTGAGAGCAATGTCCTGGGCTTCTTGAACGGTCTCCGAGTGCAGGAATGTGAAGCCGCATTGCCGGATGGAGCTAATCACGGAATAATCGGGGAATGGGGACGGCTCCAGAGCGACGTGGAGGACCACGGGGAAGTTGGCGAGGCGGTAAAGGTGAGGAACAGATGAAATCAGGATAGAAGAGCCGGTGACAACAGAGACGTTCTCGCCCTTTTGCAAAGGGTAGAAGGTAGACAGAAGGGGGGTCCTCGTTATAACGCACGGCTTGCACCTGATCAAACTGTTAGAGTATATCCTTCTTCGAATACGTATATATGGCTGAATTGGGATTTCAAATACCTCGGTGGTACCCCTTGAGACTGCGCTGGGAGTCTTGCTTGACTTGAGAGTCTTCAGCGACTTTGAGAAGAGTGAGTCGCCCTGCAGAGAGGGTTGCACTGAGAGGACGAGGTCGCTAGCCAGATAGGCGATTCTGGCCACTAAGCAGGGAGAGGAATACGGTTAGCAATTGGGCATGTCATGATGGGAAATGGTAATGTTTATAGGCAACTTACCCGCGTCGCCCGCATTTTGAACTGATGCCATAGCTGGCTAGTAATGCTGTGAAAGTTACGGCAAAGGTGGGATGAGGGGGGAAAATCAGGCGCGATATTGGGTTATCGGCGCATGCAACGATCTCCCACGCTCGATGCAGATCCACCACAGAAAGGAAGGGAATAGGAGGAATATGACACAATTGAAGTCCCTTTGCACTCTCTTAAGATCTATCTCTCAACAAGAAAAAAAAAGTCGGCAAGATTCCTCCAACGAGTTCTCCGCCATCGGGGTTAGATCAGCAATGCTCTTATTGGTGCACGATCACGACATCAATGCAAACCCCGGCAGCAACGGATGCAAACTTACCACTTTGGGCCATAGTGCGGGGAATCTCGTGACCGGTCGAGCACGTCACCGCGCGGGCGGCTTTTGGGGGGGGCACTTTTAATGCCCTACAAGTATGTACCCTAAATTTGTGGTGCATATCTGATTGATATTGTCAATGCCGACTGAGGACAGAGTTAGAGAATATCTTGAGACCAGGATATCGAAGCTAAAAACCATAGTAATACAAGTAGTCTCCTGGTTGCCCTATTTCTCCTATTTCTTCAAAAAGACTCGGACTCAATCCTCTCAATTACTATCCTTTCCCATGTCCCCGTCTCGAGGTACCTACCGCACCTAGAGTACCAATAGCATCGCGGCAATTACCGATTCTCGGTCGAGAGTCAGCGGCACAAAGTGATCACCCGGCCAATTTTCAGTCACCGCCAAATCCCTACATGGCGTGATCCCAGCAGAGCCCGATCAAAAATATAATCAATTATATAGCAGATACGGATAGCTAGATGCCCCAAAGTGTAGTGTAGTATTTTATAGATGATCCGGGGCTGCAAAAGCAAGAAAAGCCTCCCAAAAAAAAAAAGCAATTACCTGGCGGCGCGTACATGTAGCAAAAAGTTGATGATAATGTTCGACGCAGGGTTCGAACCTGCGATCTCCCGTGTGTAAGACGGGCGCCTTAACCACTGGGCCAGTCGAACTATCGGGGATGACTAACAACATCAAGGCTATATGACTCTCATAATTATCAACCAAGCAGCCTGCATCCTGCATGCTGTTCAGCGAAAATTTCCATGAATATCTTGAGATCTGAGCTGGAGAACTTGAATATTAAGACCGCTTATAATTTAATATAAGCTACCCATTCATACTAGCGTCTTGTCCTGCTTCGGTTCTCTAGTAATCCCGACAGTGTTCATGACACCAAGTTCGATTTCAAGGTCAGCTTGAACATCCAGGGATATAACTCAGTCAAATCAATCAACTCCGGTATTCCAAAAGATCCTTATTAAATCGACGTTGAACCAAATACTGTATTTAGGCATATGCAGCATTTCGGTGGCAACTAGTATTTATGTTCGCAAAGCAAAGCAACACACACCACGAAGCAAAAGCTTAGATATTAGTCAAAGAAAGAGGGGGGTATTCAGAACAAAGCAACAGTATACCGCTACTAGCATGTCGTCAACCCTGGAGATTCATTAAAATGGGATGAAGGTCTTTTTGGTTAAATTTCAAGTTGAAGGCAAAAATAAAAATCTTACTACTAGCGCTATGGTAGTACTAATACCATACTAGTATATATATCCTGCGAGTACTCCCAAAGGCAATTCAAGTTTGAACTTTGAACCTACCGGAGGTGTGTCTATTCTCGACAAGGACCACAGTACCCTATAATATTAATACACTACAAGCAAAGTACTACTAGTACTAGTGCTGTCACAAACATGACTGGTCCTGATCGAGAACCTGTGCGAGCCAGGGAGAGCAAGGATTCAGAAGCCGGTAGCGGAGCAACATCAAATGCACCCATTGAAAGGGGTATTGATCAGATGAAGGCGTCAATACGTACAATTGCAAGCAAAACATGAATGACTTAGCACTTGATCAATCGACGAAGGTGCTAATCACGAATATGATCAAGTAGCTTCCAGAAGATCATGTCTTGGCCAGCCCCTTTGTCGAACTACGATTAAACCATGCAACTTGATTGAACTACCCGTAGAGTAGTAGACGATACACAGGAAAAAGGGCGAGCCATACAGAAAATAGGCAAAGTCCCACAGCGATAGCATTAGCAAAAAGCCTCCAATTAGCTTCTGCCATCACCCAAATCCCATTTTCTGCTTTCAATGTGTTCTGATCCTCCACTATCCTGAATCCGTCGATTATTATCGTCTTCTTGTCCAAATGATTTATATTTCAGCCCTTGGATTTTGGGGTTCGATATAAGAACAATCTCCGCCTTCGATTCGGTCATGGTGTTGGATAGCCCGGGACTTTGTGGCGGGAATTGTCGGTCTCATAGTCGGGATCGAGTGGTCTTGGCTGGCATGTCAATTCGGCGACGGAGTGAAAGACTTGCGAATTTGCTATGGCGATATCATCCGTTTGGCGTTAGAATCACCAAGAAGTGTCTTCGTCCAGATCTTGTTCTGTATCCGGGTCTTCAGCTTGTAGAGGAGTAAATGTATCGGGGGGGTTCATTTGTTTTGTCGGGTCAAAACGAAGAACCTGCCCATCAAAAGGACCTTTTCTTCAGTCGCCGCAACAAGTTCCTCCAAAGACCAACGAAGAAAGCTTCGATGACCATTCTCACAACCCAAGAGGTTTTCAAGCCGGTCATTCCACCATCCCAGTATAATTTGATAGCTTTGCCGAATCGAGATGTCTCCAGTTCTTCTGGACAGATGCGTAGATACTCCAAGCCGTGGCGAAGCTCGTATAAAACAGGTCCGGAGTTATCGATCCATATCGCGGGCTGTGTGTCGATTGATGATCCTGGATGATGCCATAGTCGATGTCGAGTTCTGCCTATTGACCCCTTCATGACTTTCCACGCCAGTCCGTACTCCAGGAGACCAATGATACCACCGGTGAAGGACATCATTTCCTCGAAGGAGACGTGGAATTGCTGGCTTCGAGTGCCGACCTTGTAAATACCGGCCGCATCGAATTGAATAGTGAACATCTGGGAACTGATTTAGACCACGAGCGGATCGTCCATAGCTGTGCGTCATACCTTGAGCATTGGGTACCAATATGAATCGATCTGCCGTCGATTTTTTTCAATTGAGATGCACTCAGCCCTTGGGATCGTAAAAAACTCTATAGAATCCTAGGATCTTTAGTGCCTGGCCATAAGAGAGATCATAAAAGGGTAACCACCCACCAGCAGTTCGAAAGGATTGATAGCACTCAGTCATTGTGGTATAGGGGGGTTGGGTCATGAGGGTAAGGGGCGACGAGTTGGAGTATAAGTTTTATCAAAGAGGTACTAAAAGTAACACGATCCATATTCTCGGGAACATGACAGGCGCTCCGCCACCCGCCGAGCGTGCCGGCCACACTAATTTAAACTTTCGACGAAGAAATTACCTTTCCGGGCTAGAGATGGCCCCAGTCGGGCGTTATTCGGGGAAATATTTTCTGATATTGGGTATCAATTGGGCATTTTTTCTTAATTTACGCTCCGTCATAGGTCAAATATCGCTCAAAAAGGGGGTCGATCAATGCCTGGTCGCCATGCGGAAGTTATTTAAATATTTTATGCACCCCTGCACACGCGCGTCACCATCGTAGATCGCAACACCCGCGGGCCTGGGGGTCTCTTGGGTAGTTTCAGCCTTGAAAATTGGACGTGAAAGTGGATGTCCTACGCGGGGATATGAACCAAATGAAAATTTTCAAGTAGATAATCATCAGAGTATGCATGTGTGGTATATAAGCAGGACCGTGTACAATGGTGGAATATTTTGAAACCGTTGTCATATCCGTCCCAAGGCGCCATAATAGTAAGACATTAACCCCATATAGAAAGCAATATACAAGATCTGACGCCGGAAGATAGCAAATGCACATGAAAGGCACGACGGCGGATTCGCCTATGGAGCCATGTTCGTTTAGACGAACGCCACAATGGTTATGGTCAGCGTGCATCGCTGAAGTTTGTTATCAATCGATGCACATGACAGGGGTTGAACCTGATACAGTGCCTAAATGTTGGGCTCAAAGAGATGCCAGTTTTAGAGCGTCATCTCGAAGAGGTAACAATCAGGGACGTAAAGCTCGCAGCGGATGGTTCATCACATTCCGGTCAGCCGACGAAACGATGGAACGGACACAAGAGCCATAACGGATTGTGTCCATGGGGTAGTAAAACGGGTAGGTGTCAGGCGTCAGTCTACAACTGGTGAAAAGCGCCCCAGTGAGTTGCTAGCCGAGAGCGATTCCGCAACTTGTTGTGCTGTGAAAAGAGTGACTCGAAAAAGCAGAGACAACGCTTGGCCTGGGCCACCACCGCGAAAATCGCACAAGAAATGGTTTACCGAGTCTCGCCCCAGTCCTGCATCTTAACGTTGGTTCCCGGGTGTTCGTGAATTGGCTGTTGCATGAGACCAGATCGGACAACCGATTGGGACGGTTGTGGGGGGCCGGTGCCTGAGCGGCGTCTGCGCTCACGTTCCAGAGGTCCAGGTAGTTCGACGTTGCTGCTACGACTGCGGAACTTTTGGTTGATGCCACTGAGCCAGTTTCCATCCTCTTCTTCACCCAGCCAATAGCTGTGGCCAATGCCGACCATGATGCGGCCAAGCTTTCCTTTCCAACCTTGTCCATCGGGGCTGTAGGCAGAAAAGGGTTCACGGTCAATGTCGGCCACACTTGCGATCGAGACATTGCGGCTGTGGGTTGGGAGCGAAGTGTGCTTGGGAACGGCGAGCCAGAGACGGAGAGTTTGGCGGGCGAAGGCGAGCATCACCAGGACAAAGTAGACACGCATGGCCCAGAGAAGGGCGATGAAGATGATGCTCTGGAAGCTCTCTGGCTGAGAGACGGCGTTGCTGAGATGTTCAGCACTGCGAGGAGGGTGTGCGACGAATTCGTTACCCTCACTGGTGTGCTGGATCTCGACATAGGCCGCATCGTACTTGGGGCTGGTGAAACCGGCCGTTTGCGCGATGGTCTCGCTGCCAGGACCGGAGATCTTGCCACCGTCCATATTTTGCGACACGACCAAGAACCAAGTGACACCAAAGGCAGCGGTGTAGGCGGCGTTGATGAGACTATCCAAGAGATAGAGCCAGGCGAGACCGAGACACTCGAGAGGCGACTGTTTGCGGATGTGTGGGAAGAGTAAAGCAGCGAGGGCGAGGGCGACGAGGGAGTACAGGTACATAGAAAGCTGTACAGGGGAGAGGTGATAGCCGGTCAGAAGGGCAAGCAGGCCATAGAGGCCACTAATCTTGTTCAGTAGTAGCGAGAGGGTGATGAGAGACGCGCCTGTCTCCAGGCTCATCACATAGAGAAAGGTCTGCGAAAGTCACGAGACAGTCAGCGGGCGTTGGGCGTGGAAGAAGCAGGGGGAGCGGGCCTACCTCTGGCCGCGGAATGCGGAGGAAACGGGATGAGAACCCCATAGTGAAGGAAGAATGTATGTGATGAAAGTGTGTGCCACGATTCCAGGTCCAAGTTCAAGTCAAAGAGTAGGAGAGAGAATGGCTGGGACTTGGGGAGATTATGGGATGCCAAGTGGTCCAGGGGCGCAGACGCTTTCCGGCAGATCCGCCTTGTCGATCTCTTCCGCATCGATCGATTAAGTACATCTGCATAATTTGTGCTACACAGGGAAACTTGAACTACCAAATTAAATAATTGCTCCAGGGCTCTCATTAACTATTGAACAATTTAGATTCACCACAAGTAATTCTCTAACTATCATATTGTACGTTATGTGGCGATTCCAGGTATATACTAGTAGTGGCCATCTCCGCCATGAACTTCTCATATAGTACAGTGGCGATAAACCTTGCAATTTACATTCTACTGCGCGGTGATTAGCAGTACATATTTTCTATATCCAAGATACTATTCATTTTCCTTGAATGGAAGATTGAAACAAGGTCCAGCACTTTCGCGGCTGGTCGGGACTTTTTCAGCTTTTGGTCGCGAGATTTCCCGCCGTATCATCTCCATGAGTTCTTCATCGGGTTGAGTCGTGGCAGTGCCCCGTCTCTGCCTAGGAGCAGCCTCTCCACCCTCTTGGTCGGTTTCTGACGTCTCTGTTTCCTCTTCTTGACCCGGCTCATCAATATGAAATTGAGACTGTCGCTCAAGAACCATTGCTTCAATGCGATCTTGCATGGCCTTTTCATCCACCTCATGTTTAATCATAGCGTAATGTGACCTCCTGTACACGCCGACGGTGCTTAGTATCAGACCGACAACTTCATAGACGAAGAGAACGGGAAGTGCGTAGTAGAGCTGCGGATTGCACCCTCTGGACCAGATGTCGATCAGAACATTGAAAATGCTGTGTGCCGGCAGAGCATAGCCCACACGGTAAAAGGCGGGGGAGAGTTCAAAAGGGAGAAGAATAGATGTGATGTTCGCCACAATCCAGGAGATCAGTGCCATAGGAACATATGGAGGTGGCAGCCAAATCGTGAACACGTCCAGGACAAGGAAATTCAAGTGCGCGAAAAGCCACAAGGCCATCCACGATATGACAAATTGGCTACCGCCAACATGCCAGCCGTGGCGGAACGCCCAGATCGCGCCGGTGGTACATAAAGAGCCAATGAATGTGTAAGTACCCGAAATTATCTGGCGCACAATGGCAATTCGATGCGGGTAGAGCGTGGTATAAAGCTGGAATTGTTGGTACAGACCATTCACATAACCCAAGAAGAAGAATTCCTGGATCAGGATCAGAATTATGACCAGTGTATTATAGATCAGTCGGGATCCTTGTGTTGTTGGTTGCAGGTTCACCGAGGATAAAACCCATGGATTTGAAAAAGCAGCCAAGGCAGCAGTGTCAGATGTGTTCAATGTCGGGATAATTTGTTTTCCATCCGCTTGTGTATACACGACTCGTGCGGCTTCCGCCAGCGCCTTGAGATTATCGGATATGGCGGAGTCAACAACTGTGGGATAACGCGCCTCGTTCCAAACCATAGTCATCACATCACTTTTGTTGTATGAGGCAGCTGCTGATCCGCCAGCAACTGCAGCCGACAAAATATTCGAAGCGTTTGGGGTGACGTAAAGAGCTGCCCAATAGTCGATATCACAAACAGCACCAACGATGCTACTGGGATCTGGGTAAAGGAGAGAGGGCCGCTCAATAAGGGTCGGAAAGCCGGTGCTCGCCATTTGGGTGTATGCGCTGCGCACAGCATTGCCAATCGCACCGCCGTCGTAGTCGACGAACAAAATGCTGATGTTGTGAGTGTGCCCGGTCAGCTGGAAAAGAGAGCCGAAGAGGTAACAGAAGAGTCCCAGGAAAAGGAATTGCAGCAGAAGCAGATTGATTGTTGCGGCCTTCAGCAGCGCGAGACGACGCGGTCGAACAGCGGGATCATGGATGCTGGGCCGCTGTTGGCGGGCTCTGGGGTAGAATTTCTCCAGCTTCATGATCACTTGACAGCGGGAACTCGGGACAGTCAATCCCGTCGGTATTTAATGAAGACCTAATGACAAGAATGAAGCAGGAGAGAGAAGGGGTGTCTGTGAGTCAGTGAGAAAGCTTGAAAGCATCAAAGGCCGAAGATTAGCAAGCAGTGAACAGATCCCGGCCCGCCAAATCCCGGATTAGAGGTCAAATTGAAGTGAGCGAGATCATATCGTAATGCTGATGGCGAACTCTCAAGGCAATACGAGAAATTTGGCTTGTTCGGCTGCCAGCGGGGGGAAGAGGGCAAATAAGCGTCGGGTTCTTTGGGGGGTTTTGGTTCTTGGGGTCTGGACCTGCCAGCCCGCATTAGCAAACCCTGGTTCACACCACCTGATTCGTCCAAGCCTGCAACAGATGGGATATTATTTTCTCACATGCATAGTAGATATTAGAGATAAATATAGAGCTCGATTAGACAAGGAGATAGATGCCATGGGACATCGCAATAGGATCTACCATGACTGCCAAGTTTCAGTCTAGGAGGACCGACGAGATAAACCTTGGAATTATAAGCGATTGGCTCTGCTGAAATAGCTTGACATGACTTGTCTCCAACTTGAAAGCGTAGCAGTTAATATCCAGGCCAAATATGGCCGTTGTACCGTATGGCTGTGCATAACTACTCAAGGAGCATTGGCCACCTTCGAGTTGGATCGTCATTTGCTGATCGTGATGTGTGGCCTCCATCATCGGGTATCTCGTATATGCTGCTCCAGGGCTCTTTGTATCGACGGAGAGAGATCGATAAAGGTAGTAGTTATACTTAACTCAGAGAGAACAGAATTGTTAAGTTCTTGCCATTCGAGAATACAAAACGGAAAAGAAATACTTGAGGATGGTGATGGAGTAATATAGATCCCACTGATGGCCATTTGATATCCCCCGAGGTCTCCGGACCGAGATAGCCGGTGTTTGGACCCAAGATTCCTCAAGATCCCGTCAATGCTTGTATCGATGTCCCCACTGTTCCCCTCCTGTCCTGAATGCACAGGTACCGTTTGTGATGTGGAGTTTCGGAGGTTCGCACGTATAGATTTCCGAAATTTGCACTGCAGTGTTCCAGATTTTTCGGCGCGGCCGTTCCTGGGGTGCCGCATTTGGTATCGCCACCCAACTCAAGCTCACGTTCACGTTCGCCCATTAATAGCCCCACCTGGGGCCACTGATTCATGACTTCGACTGAATGACATCAATTCTGCTCTGCGTGCACATATTTTCCCACTAGTAGTAAAATGGACCCACCGTCCCAGAAAATCATGGCTTTCCGAGGTTGCAGCCAGGAATGCTAAACATGATCACTTTCCCTGTATAAGCATCCGACCGTCAGCGCGATACCAGAAGAATCTAGCCATAGAGAAATAGGCCAAATCCCTGGAAATTCATTTTGGTAAAGGAAATAAAGAAAAAGAAGAAAAAAAGATCTGACTGAGCCCCTTTTAAGACCTTACGAAGCTCGGCTCGGCACTTAGGGTCACAAGGTGAAGCCGTCGGGAGGTGGGTCTGGACGGTTAACTCGGCCACTTTAGCTCCATTTCCATTTTCACTTTTATGGCCACCTTCAGGGCAGGTTCTGTTTATATTGGCAGATCGCCGCCACCTGGAGAATCTCACTTCCCCTCTTCATTCAGGCACATCTGCTATCAGTGCTGTTGGACTAAAAAAAGAAAATACGCCCGCATCACCACGGCCTCGGGGCCAGTAACCAAGCTCCAATCAGCAGACTAGTCGGCCCACCATGAATCGAACCGACGGAGAGCTCCAGCAGGCCGAGGCCGATGCCTCAAACTGGGGCGAAGAAAAGTACAGTGCTTCGGCGGAGGGAGATCGACCCACGACATCAGGCACGACCGGCTCATCGTCTGGCTCAAGCAGTTCAGTCGAGTATGACCCATATGTCCACAGGCTGCAATCGCGCAACACAGAAGTTGATCTGGAGCGCCGACGATCAACAACTTCACAAGCACTCAGCAGAATTGAAACCCAGCGACTTCAACATCAGCTTACCGTTGGTGAAAGCGTCAAATCGCGAGCTTCAAAAATACCTCTACCGGCTTTCGGCGCCGGCAAGCCATACCCCCCCGCAGCTACCGAATCGCGATGACTACGTGGTGGAATTTGATGGCCCTGATGATCCTCTGTATCCGCAGAATTGGCCGCTTCGGACAAAGTAAGTCATGCTACTCTGTCCGCTGGAAGATGTGATCTAACATTCCACCTAGGGTGTATATTGGTGCCATGCTCGCCTTCACAAGTATTTGTTCAACTTTCGATTCCGCCATCTTTAGCTCCTCATCTCAAAACGTCTCGAAGCATTTCGATGTTGGCCTTGAAGTCTCCGTCCTGTCAAGCTCGCTGTACATCGTCGGATACGCGTCCGGGCCACTCATCTGGGCACCACTATCTGAGCTCAAAGGCCGCCGTCCAGGAATTGTGGTTGCCATGCTTGGGTTTGGAATTTTTAACACCGCTGTTGCAGTATCCAAAGACATACAGACGCTTATGATCTGTCGCTTCTTCTGTGGTATCTTTGGCAGTTCACCATTGGCCGTCGTGGCTGCGGTTTTCTCTGACATTTTCAACAACCGCACTCGTGGTGTCGCAATTGCTTGTTTCTCCGGCACAGTCTTCCTGGGCCCTCTTATTGCCCCCTTCATCGGTGGATTCATCAATATGTCTTACCTTGGTTGGCGCTGGACCGCCTACATTCCTGCCTTCATGGGCTACGCTGCTTTCCTGATGAATCTTTTCTTTTTGAAAGAGTCCTACCCACCTGTCGTTCTTGTCGAAAAGGCCGCAGAGTTGCGTCGCCGCACGAAGAATTGGGGAATCCACGCTAAGCAAGAAGAAATCGAGGTTGATTTCAAAGAGCTGGTCATCAACAACTTCTCTCGCCCGCTTAAACTGCTATTCTACGAGCCTTTGATCCTGGCTGTGACAGTCTACCTCAGCTTCATTTATGGGCTTCTCTACTGCTTCTTGACAGCCTACACTCTTGTCTTCCAGCAGGTGTACGGTATGAATGCCGGCGTCGGTGGCCTGCCCTTATTCGGAATGATTATTGGCCTGTTCCTCGCTGCAGCATACATCATTTTGACTGCCCCATCTTACGTTAAGAAGCTGGAAAAGAATGGAAATGTTCCGGTCCCCGAGTGGCGTCTTCCGCCAGTGATGGTAGCAGGTGGTATGTTCGCTGCTGGGCTTTTCTGGTTCGGCTGGACAGGATTCAGCGGTACCATTCACTGGATTGTGCCCACGCTGAGCGGTCTGTTCACTGGCTTTGGTCTGTTGATCATATTTATTCAACTGTTCAACTACCTAATTGATACCTATCTTATGTTGTGAGTTGACTCATATCTGCCCCCTTCCCCTCGGCCTCTAATCTAACCTTCAAACAGTGCCGCATCGGCCATCGCTGCTAATACATTCTGTCGCTCAATGGTTGCGGCAGCCTTCCCTCTTTTCTCCCGTCAAATGTTTGATGGTATGGGTATCCAATGGGCGTCCACCTTGCTTGGCTGTGTCGCCGCTGTTCTGGTCCCGATTCCAATTGGATTCTACTTCTTTGGCAAAAGACTGAGAATGAAGAGCAAGTTCGCTCCTTTCTTTGAGCCCGCCCAGGAATCCTGCGCTGTGGAACCCGAAGAAGAAATGGAAAGAAACTGAACTGCTCAGCCTTTTTGAAAGGCGCCAAAAAACTGTACATAATAATACGTCCCTCCCCTCCCATTGAGGAGAACAAAAGATTACTGGAATAATACAAACCAAAATTTTCAAAAATGAGTATTGTCGAGGCACCGATATCATGAGACCACTATTAAGAACTCCAACCGCCATGTATTCAAAGAAGAAAAATATATGATCTGTTGTTTTGTGACTCGTTATCATAGTGGCGCCCTAATCTCAATATAGCTAGCTTCCACAACTGGCCGTTGCCTGAGCTGGAAGCCGCCTAGGCTAGTTCCAACCTTGGAATGGCCTCACAAGTTTTTCAGCGGATGGCCATATAAGCAACAAAATCCCACCTCGATCAATTATCCTGGGCTATTCCACTCTTCACATCGCCGCAGCCTTGATAAATGCACCCGACTAGGTGTTGTGGCCGACTAAAAAAGAGCAACAAAAATGGCAGGGCTTCTAGACCTCCCCAGCGAGGTCATTCTGATCATCGTCGAGTATTTGCAATCACAATCTCATGATAAGGGTGTCCTGATCCCATTTTACTGGTTCGGTGATGCATATCGCGAGACTGTCTTCGAACATGACCAGCCGCCTAAAGTGAAGGACCTGCACTCCCTTCTCCTTACTTCCCGACAATTCAAATCTCTTCTTCAGCCAATCTTATACCGTGATATCTTTATACGCAACTACACACGCTGGAACGAGAAACGACCATTTGATCAGCTTCAATGGAGCCTAGAGAACATCCCCAGTGTGCAGAACCTTATTGTTACAGCGATGATTCCTTGCGTTGAGCCTAGCACCATGTATGATGTTAGTGATCTATTTTGGTTCCCTAACCTGAAGGATCTCACCATTCATCATTTCAAGGACTGGGAGGAACTTGAGTTCGAAGACAACGCACACGTTGCTACCTCTGTGGTGGAGCATCTGAGATTGATCAGTTGTGGTGCACACGAAGAGGCTCTGGCTGCCGTGCTCAGCTGGCCAAAGGCCCTAAAGACACTCTTCTATGACGTCGAACAGGGGGAGTGGGATGCTCATTATGAAGATCAACCTGTCAAAGAGTGGACATGTGAGGCCTTTGTTCGGACGCTACAGCCACAAAAGGAAACCCTGGAAGAACTAGTCATGGCAAGACCTCGACTGGAACATGAAGGGTTGTATAATGGGCCAGCCATTCAACTGAGGGACTTTTCGGCCTTGAAGGTCCTGCGCATTTATCATATTTTTCTTTGTGGTTGGGACGGCCCAGATGGGATTTCGACACGTTTGCCTCCAAACCTCGAGGTTTTGGAAGTATGGTATGATGACACACAGCTCAAGAAGTTCTTGGTAGAACAACACGATGAGCCACCATATGACCGTTTTCTTGAAATACTGGTCAGAGACAAGAAGATCCACTTCCCAAAATTGCACAAGGTGACCGTTTTTACCGATGAGCACATATATGATCGGGAGAACGATGAAGAGTTGGGGGCTGGACTATGGGAGCTGCCAACGACGCTTGCACATGATGCCGTTGAAGCTGGCATAGAGATTAATGTGTGGCTTGGTTGTGAACATTATCCTTATCAACCATTGCAGGAGTTTGATGTGTTCCGTTCCTTGGAAATTAGTCAAACCAGTCATGCTACCTCAACGGTCATGCTACGCCATAAATGAATAAATAGAGGAATCAGTTCCGACCTATCACGTACTAGAACATGCTCAAAAAAAGAAAGAAAAAGGAGACGAATAGTAAAGTTTCGTAGAACGAGCTCAGACCTGGAAGACCTCAAATCATATGCCACCGGTGACTTGCAGTCTTGCGGGCCATAGTTACTAGATGATACCTATTCATAGCATGCATGGTCAAGTGTCCCACTGTCAGTATCATCTCAAACACTACTGGGAGACATGCTAGCGCAATTCCAAGGCTGTACGCACTCAAGGCACTACTAATTTGGGACCACTTGCCACTATCGTGTCAATGACGGGGAGATAGTAAATGCATATAAGTTGATCAGGCTCATACTTTTCGTGTTGAGATTGATTGATTGATTGATTGATTGATTGATTGATTGATTGATTGATTGTTCGGATTCCAACTGAATGGTTCCTAGTTTAAAGTCCTGTTCTCATCCACCCATCCCCATTGATCGAGACCGGCCACGATCAAACCATCCTACTTCCACCTTCCCGAACGTAATAAGGACCACAGTCGTATTGGCCTGCGATGTGTGGTTCCTGTATGGTGCACATGATTCTGTATCATTTGAGAGAGGCAAATGAGACAGGTCATGGCGGCTTGCTACTTGATAGTCCACGGCGGATTTGCCTTTGTGTGGATGTCAAGCTCGGAGGCCAGCAGCCAGTTGGCCTCAGTCCTCAATTGAAGGTCCCCATTCAAGACAGGGACATACATCGGAGAGAAAGGTGTTTTGTATAGTACACATGGCGGACTTTTGCCAGTTTGACCACAGGCAGTTTGCTCTGCCTGACTTCCGCGCGAGGCGGTCGATGGTGTCGACGTTCATTGCAAAAATGAACAGGGAAAGATATGTGTATCCTTGTGTGTATAGCCTTTTGGGCGAAATACCTAGGGTATTGTTGTGTTCCTGTTGCCCGACTCTTTTTAGACCATGTAAGATAGTCCGAGGCTGTCGGGAATCTTCCTCAAAATGTTGCTTCGTTGGGGTTGACTTATTTAGAATTTGCGAGAAGTAGCAAATCCCAGGCGGCCTAGACCTATGTTGGTGACTTCGGGACTGTGTGCATGGCAGTGATAGAGAAAAGTTCTCTTGCACAGGGACGAAACTCTCAGCACGACGAGCACCTTTGCTGTTTTCAAGGCGAGAAGTTGCATATGTCCATGCGCACCAGATCTCATCTGGTCATGTTGAGTACCATGGGGCAGCGGGTATAGCGCCGCAGCGCTGTGGGTGTCAATATCGACTTTGGGCGAGGTCCTTTATTCGACAGCTTTCGTCGGGTGGATGTTCGAGGGACGGCCTCAATACCATAGAGATGGAAGGAGTTGAACAGGGGTGCGTCTCTCACGCTAGGAAGGCATTGAGATAAACTCAATGTTAAGAGCATGCAAGGATGGGAGGGAGGACCGGTTACTCCCCACGGCATGACTCTCGAGTCCCCGGAAAAAAAAAAAAGGTAAGCCATTGTTGGAGGGGTTTGTTTTTAACCAGGGACAAGAGGCGGTGTGAATCCGGTGGTGGAATGTAGAATTCTGCCCTTTCCGCTCCGCTGATAGCCCGCGACAAAAAAAAAAGAGAAAGAGGGGAGTGCGGAGTGCGGAACCACTGCCATTCTTCCTTGAGCTCTGGAATTTTCTTGTTTTTGTTTTTGGTACTGACCAGCTTCACGACACCACGAAACTTGCGCTAGAATAACCCATCCGCTATGGCTTCCACCGAAGATGACCCAGTCATCGCCTCGTACGATGTCTTCCTGACCGACTCCGATGTCTCTCGCTACGTCTTCCAATACATTGACCGGCCCGGCAAACACCCTTACAATGAACGGATGGGCCAAAAGCCGACTGCGCTGCGCATGAAACCGAACACAGGTCTGGTGGAAGTTGATGTTCCGATCTTTACCCGCACGACATATGACGTGAGCAAAGGACTCAAATACGGCGATGCGATGAAAAAGAGTCGGGTCGCTCGGGATGGCGGCGCATTTGGAATGGCCGGCGGCTTTAGTACTGGTGGAGTGGGCAGTACAGGTGGCCGAGTCAAGTCCGAAGCAAACGCATATGTCGAGGTGCTGGATAACAGAAAGATGATCGACCCATCGGCACTGGTTCGAACACAGGCGCTTGGTGGTCGTATTAAGCCCCAGGAAGAGGGTGATCCGGTTCACATGCTGGCTGCATTCAAAGGAAGTGAGTGGAATCTCTGCAAATGAGCTCTCACAGCCATTGTGGTTTTGTAATAAGCAGATCACTGACATTGCGATACAGAAAACTTGCATCTATCTCCGGTTTCTGCGGTTGTTCAATTGCACCCTCAACTGCACCATTTAGATGCGATGGACGAGATGCCCAAGGGCGGGGTGGCAAGGGCAAGAAGGATGACGACGATCGCCCGACCGAGGCCGAAGCACGAGCAGTTGATGTGAAAATCAAAGGTGCGGAAGACGGAGGTGCAATGCTTGTTGGCAACCTGGACCTCTTGAAGAGGATGCAAGACGAGAAATGGAAGAAGTTTGACTGGGTTGACGCCGAGGTAAGTCTACTGCTCCGTTTTCACGACCGCGCGCCCGGTTTTGGTCTCCCTAACCCTCGATTGGAACAGACTGAGGAATCTTGGTATACCTATGAGAATTACATGATGCACCAGAACCCAGAAGAGTTGCCGCAGCTTCAATCATTTATCGACAGTGAGAATTATTTGGATGGGATGAGTGCTCCGCGTATCGACCCTGCACGACCTGAAATGACAGGATGGGCCATGAAACAAAATCGGCAGCAGCAAAGAGATGGACCCTCCGATAGCGAGGAAGAAGTATGACTGTTACCACGAAGAGAAAGAACTTGAAGCTAGTAAAAAACCAGGAAGCCTCCTTTTGCTAAAAGGATTAGTACTGTATAGAATACAACTCGTTGAAATACTAGGATATTGCGGTTTCAATACCTGTCTAATGTGCTACTCAGCAATGAACCACCGTAAAAATGCTGTTTTACATTGCATACTACATAGATCGATCATATCGACGATCTTCGAGTGGCAAAGTGATTTAGAAGGTTCCGACCAATCACGGCGCAACACCCCCCCGATCTCCGCTCTGGGGTCACGTGTGGTTCCGCGTCGCTCGCCCCGGCCATCTCGGTTTTTTTCCGCGCCATCCCTTTTCATCAAAAACCCTTCCTTTCTTTATCGATCTTTTCTCTTTTCGCTCGGGTTGAGGGCTGCAGGTCGGTTGAAGGAATCTGGGATTTCACTGTTCGCCTTATCTACCGCCCCTCATTTCGTCCTTCCCCGGCTGCAGCAGCATTGCGATTTCTGCATTTTCATTTCGATTCCTATACCCTATCATATTTCTAATACTCTTCACCACTCTCACCTCTTTATCAGCCTATTCCGAAAGCCTTTATAATTGCATACTTGTTCACCATGTTATCGCGAGTTGCTCGCCAGAAAAATGCGCTCTTCCATATTCGAAGGGCCAACGCCCACCGAACATTGGCCGCGTCGTCAACGCTGCGTCTCCATTCAAGCTCAACTCGACCGAGTCCAGTCGCCATGCCACAGAGCTCTCAGGCACCCGAGCGACGCCGGAGATCATCGTTCCAGTCACAGCGCAATCTCGCCACAGCTACCGACTCGACTACCTTTGAACACAACTCCTACATGCCTATGAGCAAGTCCACCCTAAACCGCCTGTCCGCAGTTGATACTTCCTCCTTGGTAATCATCGACCAGATACCGCAAACCGAACCAAAGATTTTTCGGAAGATCCGGGGTATGGGAGGTGACGAGGATGAAATGCTTGCGAACTTTGATATGTCACTGAAAGTCGGCCGGTTTGATCGGGCATCTGCTTTAATCACTCGACTCACTTCTTATCACCCCATGGGCTCCCCTGAGAACATTGCACTTCATAATCGCTACATGAGGGAAATGGTTTCATACATGATTACAACTCGACAGCATGATATGATCATGCCCTTGCAAAGATGGTTCGAAAGTGACATGCCCGCGGCAGGTGTGAACCCGGACGCGACCACATATGCGATCATGATTCGCATGGCTTTGCGAATGTTGGATGGACCGAAACGGGATCGGTCGGTTCGTCGGTATTGGAACTTTGCCAAACAAGTGGACCTCCACGAGGATCTTCTCGCCGTTGAAATTCTCACGGATTTGGATCTTGGTGAACTGTCTAGGGTATGTTCATATTCATGGTTCATGATACCATTTACTGGTCCCATACTAACCCGAATATTGCTGTAGATTTGCTTCTCCGACTTGTCCGAACCTACACTCGACCTCCCGGTTGCCGCAGAAAACACCATCGAGAAGATTGATGATATTGCAGAAGTACTCGCCGCAGAACAAAAGGGCCAGGGTTTAACTTCTTTGAAGGAATCCATGTCACTGTTTACGGATGGTACCCGTTTCACCGTCCCCGAAGATTTCAAAGGAACCGAGGAAGAGAAAATCGATTTGCAAAACAAAATGCGCCAACAACAACTCGAGGCCGATACCATCAAATCATCTTTGAATCGCTGGCGTGCAGAATTTGAAGCCAGAACCCAAGCCGGTGTGGATGCGGCTTCTGCAAAGAAAAATATCAATTCTGTGATCAGCCAATGGCATGGTGATCTTGTCTCGAAAATCCAAGAAGAATTGAGACTTGCCGCCGAAGAGGAAGGGAAACCAATTCGTACCGAGGAGCAAAAAAGGCGCATAGAATACTGTGTTTTCTTGCAATCAATGACCAGTGACCGGCTAGCTGCCTTGACTATCATCTCTGTCATGTCTACGTTCACCCGTGGAGGCATGGAGAAGGGTATCAAGCTTTCTTCAATTGCTTCAACCATTGGCAAGGAAGCGCAGCATGAGTTGATTGCTCAAGCCGTTCTGAAAGAGCAAGCAAATGGAACCCCCCCACCGCATGAAGTTGCTGAAGGAGATGCTTGCAGGCCGCAAGGGCAAGGATGGTCGATTGCGGTGGAAGGCTGTTAGCGAAAAAATGCTGACAGAGAATGAGACTCTTTCTTGGACTCCTCGAGTTCAGGTTCGAATTGGCGCAGTTTTGATGGGTCTTCTTCTCGACATTGCTAAGGTTCCCGTTCGGACCACCGACCCGAACACCGACAAAACGACGAGGACAATGCAACCGGCATTCAACCACTCTTATCAAATTTCGTACGGGAAACGATCTGGTCTTATTCACCTGCATCCTTCCCTTGTCAAAATGGCAGTACAAGAGCCCCCGGCCGATCTGCTAGGCCGCCATCTTCCAATGGTATGCAAGCCGAAGCCATGGACTGGATCGAAAGAAGGAGCCTATATGGTTTACAAGAGCAACTTGATTCGTTCGACACCGGGTGAAAATCTGCAACCAAAGTATATCGAGGCAGCATTGAAGGGGTCTGGTCTCAAGGATATTCGGAAAGGTCTCGATGTTCTCGGCAGCACAGGTTGGGTCATCAACCGTGATGTGTTCAACGTCATGCTAGAAGCATGGAACTCCGGTAAGTCAGTTGCTACGCTGGCTCCTCTCGAACCCGAACTGCCCGCTCCACCAAAACCTGATCCCGGGGCTGGTCCTGCTGCTGAGAAGGAATGGCAACTGCGGATGCGTGAGATCGAGAATTTGCGGTCAGGATTCCACTCAGTGCGATGCTTTCAAAACTTTCAACTCGAGGTAGCTCGTTCTTTCCGCGACGAGACTTTCTTTCTCCCCCATAACATGGATTTCCGAGGCCGAGCATACCCATTACCTCCTTACCTCAATCAAATGGGAGCCGACAACTCGCGAGGTCTACTCATGTTCAGCGAAGCCAAGCCTCTGGGCGTCAGTGGTCTGCGCTGGTTGAAAATTCAAATCGCAAACCTGTCCGGCTTCGACAAAGCCAGCATGTCAGAACGTGAACAGTTTGCAATGGACAATATCGACCTTATCACTGACTCCGCCGACAACGGTCTGCATGGCAAACGTTGGTGGCTTAAAGCAGATGACCCGTGGCAGTGTCTTGCTGCTTGTATTGAGCTCCGAAATGCCTTGCGCTATTCCGACCCAACCGAGTATCCGTGTCGTCTGCCACTCCACCAAGACGGATCATGTAACGGTCTTCAGCACTATGCGGCTCTTGGTGGTGATATTATTGGTGCGAAGCAGGTCAACCTCGAGCCCTCTGATCGGCCCTCTGATGTTTACACTGGTGTTTCTGAGTTCGTGAAGGAGGCAGTTGCCGCAGACGCTGCTCGGGGTGTCGAGATCGCTAAAGTTCTCGATGGAAGAATTTCCCGCAAGATTGTGAAGCAGACCGTCATGACCAATGTTTATGGCGTGACCTTTATGGGTGCTATGAGACAGGTTCGCAAGCAGCTTGTAGATCACTATCCCGAGCTTCCAAGTGAAACTAAGAAGACTGCTGCCCTGTACATTGCGCGGAAGATCTTCGAGGCCCTGGGTACGATGTTCAATGGAGCTCACGATATCCAGTACTGGCTTGGTGACTGCGCTAGTCGAATCACCCAGTCACTCACACCCGACGAAATAGAATCCTTGGCGAACCAGGCTTTGCTACCTAGTGAATCCGGGAAAACTGATGCCAAGAATCTTGACCCAAGCAAAGCATTCCGCTCAACGGTCATCTGGACCACTCCATTGGGCCTCCCAGTGGTTCAACCCTACCGCACCCGAAAGGCGAGACGTGTATCGACTACCCTGCAGGATCTCAGCATTGTGGATCCAAGCTCGAACGATGTGGTATCAAAGCGCAAGCAGCTTCAGGCATTCCCCCCCAATTTCATCCACTCTCTCGATGCCACACACATGATGCTTTCTGCCAATGCATGCCATGAAAATGGTCTCACTTTTGCCGCTGTCCACGATTCTTTTTGGACCCACGCCTGTGACATCGACAAAATGAACAGCATTCTACGTGATGCGTTCGTGAAGATGCATTCAGATGACATTGTCGGGAGACTCGCGGCAGAGTTCCGTGTTCGTTTTGGCAAAAACCTGTTCTTAGGCAAGGTCAAGGTCACCAGCAAGATCGGAAAGAAGATCCGTGAACGCCGTCAAGGCCTGGCCAAGAACTCGAAAATTGTTGAGTTGCTTGACGAGCACCGGCGACAGATGCTTCTGCGGTCCAGTGATCCAGAACGGCAAGCCGAAGGCCAAGAGATGGTCACATCGGCTAGTATTTTCGAGAATATGGGCGGAACCCAAGAAGACCTTGTCATGTCTGGCTCCTTGGGAGAAACTAAAGTTGGCCATGTTCCAGAGGACCTATCTGTCGCTGAACGGCGACCGGGTGCTAAGGCTGTCGACAACAGCGACCCAGCTATCCAGAGTTTGTTCGAAGACATCGAACTCATGGACTCGGAATCTGGATCCATGGCTGAGGCCGAAGATGGAGGTGCTCCGGCCAAGAAAATTAGCAAGAAGTATTCGGAAATTTGGTTGTGGTTGCCCATGTCATTCCGTGATGTCCCTACCAAGGGCTCCTGGGATGTTTCGCGGATTCGCCAGAGCGAGTATTTCTTCTCCTAAGTGATATTCCTGGGAGTCTCATTTCAACGCATTTGGCTGGCGCCTTTCATTCACTCTGGGTTTTTATTGGCGTTTCTCGGACTGTATCTATACGTTTTGTTTTTCTTGATGGCTGCCAGGGTGCAGACTCATTGCATATATGTACATTACGCGCATTACGAGGGGATTTAACTGAACAGAGCGAACAAAAAGCAAATAAATATGCATATAATATTCTATTCACCTGTCTAGATGTTTTGTTTGATGTATTGTCAATAAGCAGCCTGACTCGGACCGAGTCCCTGAGTTGGTTTTATCGGAGGTGAATTGCCCAGGTGACTGACTATACTTCCCTACCTTATTCTGGCTTTCAAGGTTATACTACCAGGCACTAGCAGGGTAAAAGGACTAATTGCTCATAGTTGAAGTTCACTTGCAATTCATAGTGTCCTCCGCACTATTCTAAGCCTCCGGACAATTCGCATTGGTTGCCGTCTAAGGACTAGCTTTCGGGCCTCCCGGGACGGGTGGGTGACTCCGCAATGATTCCCTCTAAAAGGTTGGATTATCATTTGAATTCATTTCTCTGTTCATATTATTCACCACTCACCATGTCCTCGACACCAACTCTTCTTTTTCGTCCATGGGGCCTGGCACAGCCCGGCCTGTTGGAGCAAGGTGACCTCGCAACTGCAGCACCAGGGGTATCGATGCCTCGCCCCGCAGCTTGAGTTCTGCGGCACGGAGGAGCCGGTGGAATCTCTGGCTGGAAGCATTAGCCAGGTCCAAGAGCTAATAGCGTCTGAGACTGCGCAGGGGAACAATGTAGTTCTTGTCAATCACTCGTTCGGAGGCTGCGTGGGCAGCAGCTCCGTGAAAGGATTCACCCAAAAAGACCCCTCCAAGTTGAGTCCTGGTTCCGGGAAAGTGGTGGGAATCATCCAGCTTTGCGCCTTCACGCCTCCTTCCAAGACTACGCTATATGACATCATCAACCTCGATACGTCCTTTCATCATTCCGGCCCTGATGGATGGGAGTTGATCGATCATGGCGAACCAACCGACCTCTTCTACAATGACCTCTCCCCTGAAGATGCGCAGCTGTGGAAGGGTCAACTACTCAAGCATTCGACTGCTTCCCTGAAGGACCGGGAAAGTGTCTATGCTGGCTGGGCTGATGTCCCAGTATGGTACCTTTTGTGTACTCGGGATCAGGCTATCCCAGTTCAAATACAAGAGATGATGGTCGCAGCAGCACGAGATGCAGGGGCGGACTTCACTACTAAGTCCTTGGATTCTTCACACAGTCCATTTCTAAGCAAACCCAATGATACCATTGAGTTTATTCTCGAAGCTCTGGTAGATTTCAAGGCGAAATCGTCTAGGTCTTGATCCAGCAACTTTTATTTGATTGTTGTCTATATCCTACCATTGACACCATACTACATCCAATGAAATTTCCACGCCGACAGTGTCCGTAGTATAACGTAAGATCTATCTGGTATTTTTATTGGCTATTATTTATTTAAATTTTACCATTGTTATTGAATCGCCTAAACTAATAACCTTGAGAGCACCTGAGACCCCTGGCAGCGTGAACTTGGTAAGCCAGCGGACCCGCCCCGCCTGGCTTCCCCGCACGCACGCATTTAGGTTGCACTGCGGTCTCCCTTGCTTAATCATCCTAGCAGAGGCTGGTTGACAATAAACATTGTATATTGGTCTCTACTTACGGCATATCTCCCTAATCTCCTAGGATAGACACGGACATCATATCAATTCTGGACGTTTTTTCTGCTTCCACTGTACTTCAAAGAGAAGAAGATGCCCACACAACAGTCTGTGGAAAAGGTGCTCGACACCGTTTCTCGCCGTTATCGCGGCCCAGGAGGGGCTATTGCTGTTATCAAAGATGGAAGTCTCCTCGGTCAGCGAGTTTGGGGATATGCTGATCTTGACCAGCGGATTCTCCTGACGCCAGAGATTCAGATGCCCATTTGCTCAATCACAAAACAGTTTGTCTGTGCCCTGCTCCTTGATCTCGAGCGCAATCCACCGCCAGAAGTAGCCGCCAAGGGTGACATCCAAACTCAATTCACGGACAAGCTTCATGAGTTGCTTCGCCCTGAATTAACCCAAGGCACCGGCCTGACGCTTCAACATCTCTGCGACATGCAGTCTGGCCTACGCGACTATTGGGCCATGACTACACTCTGGGGTGCACACCCCGAAGACAAATTTTCTGTTGAAAAGGACGGCCCTGCTGCGATTGAACGGACACAATCCTTTCATTTCAAACCTGGCAATGAATTCTCCTATTGCAATGTCAACTTCTATATTACGGCCCGCGTGATTGAACAGGTCACGGGACAGCCCCTTGGGAAGCTGCTCGCTGAACGAGTGTTGTCTCCTGCTGGAATGGCGACCGCGTTGCTCTGTCCTGATACCGCCCAGCACCCGGGGCCGTGTGTTGGATACGAAGGAACCGAAAAAACCGGATACCAAGCAGCGGTCAATAAGATGGAATGGTCCGGAGATGCAGGCTTGGTAGCTTCTCTCACGGACATGGTCGCGTATGAAAAATACCTGGATCGCATTCACTCGGACCCACGAAGTTGGTATCGAATTGCAACTGAGCCGCAGACATTCAGCGATGGCACTCGGGCTCAATACCACTACGGACTTGGTCATGTCAATGTCGAAGGTATAGATACCGTGGGCCATGGGGGTGCTTTGCGCGGATATCGACTTCACCGACGCCATGTGCCAAGTGAGCACATGTCTGTTGTGGTCCTGTTCAACCATGAAGTCGATGCAGCTGAGGCTGTCAATGATGTTATCAGAGGGATAATGGGTCTTGAAAAGCCCAGTAGGATGGATATTGCTGCAAGTCCTGACTGGATCGGCACATTCCTTGACCATGATTCAGAAATGGCAATCGCCGTGAGCAAAGGGACACAAGCTGGAGAGATTTGCATCAGCTACGCATTTTCCCCTAGGTCTGAGGTTGTGAGATTGTTAAATTCCAATGAAGCTCAGTCCAACTCAATGACTGCGCGCATCGAAGGGGACACTCTATATGTCAATCGCATAGGGGATAATCGCAAGCTCGAAGCTCGACGAATCGTGCCTCGCGAAAGTGCATTTGAGGATACATCTCTTCAAGGAGACTATCACTGCACTGAAGCCGACTCGACCTTTCATTGCGTCGGCGGGGCAGGACTTTTGTATGGCTCTTTTGATGGGTACTTGGGTCGTGGGCCAGCAAGTCTGATGAAATATCTCGGTGATGATGTCTGGGCGTTGACCTGCCAACGTGGCCTGGATGCACCTGCACCCGGTGATTGGACTTTGGCTTTTCATCGTGATGAAAGTGGCGCTGTAGTAGATTTCAAAATTGGATGTTGGCTGGCTAGAGGTCTCGTATTCGTCAGGACTTAGTTGGCAGCAAGCTGTGGCAAATTCTATCAATTCTTGAAGCCAACGCAGGGCCTGAACTCTAGTTACGTTTCAAATAAATGCACGTAGCTGAATAAGATAGTAGCAACCAAGATACTTTCCATCTTGCAGAAATCGAACCTTTTAATTTCACAATGACAGTGGTACTTTTTCAGGCCGAATTGCTTACTCGCGTCAACTGGAATAGCTGAAGTTTGATGCAGCTTTACTGCTAGTTTTCTAGGCCGCCTGTGAGGTGAGGAATGATTCGATGGTGGTCTCAGATTTGGGTATATTCCGGGGGTACGCCCGGAACTCCACAAACTCCATAGCCGGATTTAGGCAAAATAGCATAAAAGCCCGGGAGAGGGTTAGACTGATCTCGGCAGAACCCCCCTTAGAACAACCTTGGAAACGATTCAAATTTTTCTTTGTTGATCATAAAAACCAAGACCACTTCTTAGTCAGGGTTCGCGTGGGGAAGGTTCAATCCGATCAGCACCTGCTTTTGTTGAGAGCAGACACATTCAGGTTGGAAGTTGAAAGTTCCTGAGATAGCCATCGCAGTGTCTGACCACTGGCATCTACTAGTAACTATCTCTTACTAGTAACTCTGGAACCCGGTAGGTTCAAGATTTGAAGTGCCGGCGAACAACCTGTATGGCAGTGGATATGACCCAGGAAATAAGTGACAGAAATCCCTGCAGACGAATACTACTACTAACTAGTACCAGTTAATGAGTCTGGATTGTAAGCCAACTTGTTATCATTTGAATAGTCTCTCTAGCTCTCTAGAAACTAAGAGTGAGAGGTGTAGCAATGGTATAACTACTAACTAGTACGAGTATGTAGCCAATGTAGATCAAGATGTCACTCTACCGAGCCCGGTAAAATACCCGAGGGCTGTAAGCGAATGTGCAAAGGGATGCACTCCGCAATGAAACCCCAGCGCAGGTACCGCTCTTCATGGCGATGATCGAACCCATAATCAGTTATTTGGTTACTCTAATCCTAGTAAATACTAAATTCGCAGACCCTCAGCTTATACTAGTACTAATACTAGTATCGCCTCACCTGGCTATAACCAAACCAAACCAAACCATACCATACCATACCACGTGCCCCCAGGGCTGCCAATGGTTCCCCCGCTTCTCCAGATTTTCCCCCTCGCCATCTTGCAGACCCTGAAACTCTGCGCTTCTTTGCTTCACCTTATTTTATAACTGTCCACGGGGAGGCACCCTCTAGGAGTTATCTGCAAACAATTCCGACTTCTCTCGGCGCTCGGGTCTGAGACCAAAGATCGGATCGCCTCGTCGCTTCCCACCGCCGTCCGGGGTACATTCTGTCACTCAACGCTTTCACCTCCAATCTCCATGTCCTGACGCTTTTCTTCAACTCTCGTGACGCAAAACCCAGGAAGCAGATACCGCGCTGATATATTCGGCCCCATGCTACCCGAAGCCTAACCCTTCGGAGAAGCATGTCGGCGGCCCCCCCTCCGATCTGTCGCCAGTTCCTACTCCCCTTTCTCGGCCCGGTCGCAAACCATTCGAATGGCCCAGTCGCAAACCCCCGGTCTCGATACTCTCGCAGAAGGGTCGCAGTATGCCTTTGAGCAACTGCAGCTGGCACGCCAATCAGGCACCGCGTCGAACACCTCGACCGAACCCGATGCGCTGCCATCTTACAGCGAACAAAATGACTCCCATATACCCTGCAGAGGGTCATCACAGCCCCGCGACACTCTAGCGGAAGCCCGATCAACCATTCGCAAGTCTTCGTCTGCGACTGCAGTTCGTCGAAGAATAAGTCGAGCTTGCGACCAATGCAATCAGCTGCGCACCAAATGCGATGGGCAACAACCCTGCGCGCACTGCCTCGGTAGTCTTTCCCCACGATGAAAAGCAATTGTGGCCGCGCTAACAAATTTCAGAGTTTGGACTCAGTTGCGAGTACGCCCGAGAACGTAAAAAACGAGGGAAAGCCTCGAAAAAGGATCTTACGACACCAGGCATAAGTTACAGCGACAAAAAGACCAAAGATAACGTTTCTGTGCAAGCCGATTCACCAAATGGCCAATCCCAGGAGGCCAATGCACCGTACGACACGGCCTTCGATGCCGCCCGGGCTATGCCAGACACTACGCCGGCCCATCTGCGAAACTCAAGCGCCCCTGAGATGTTGAGAATGCAGCAGAATACACATTCGCAACAATCGACAGCATCAAACATCGACGGCATGTCTTTACACTATGGCAATACGTCCGAGCCAAATCGGCCGCCCATTGTTCCAGATCTCCGCTCTCTACAAATGATGCACCAAAATGGCAACTCCCGATCACCATCCACATTACTCAATCCACAAGGATTCGGACCGAGCTACAACGATGGAACATATAATTTGATGAATTCTCAAGATGCAGGTCATCCCTCGATGAATCAATTCCGGATTGGTGGAACAGACAATCAATCTGCGCCTTTCTTGGGATTTTCTCCGCCGGCTCAATCGCCTAGCTGGCTTCCCCTACCGTCACCGTCACCTGCAAATTTTCCGTCTTTTAGTATGGCTCCATTTTCTAGTTCATTGAGATACCCCGTCTTGCAACCTGTACTTCCTCATATCGCTTCAATAATCCCCCAGTCACTCGCATGTGATCTCCTGGATGTCTATTTTGCCAGCTCATTCTCCTCTCATCTCTCACCACTATCGCCTTATGTCGTTGGATTTGTTTTTCGCAAGCAGTCCTTCCTCCACCCAACAAAACCCAGAATGTGCAGCCCTGGCCTACTTGCTAGTATGCTGTGGGTAGGCGCCCAGACGAGCGAGGCTGCATTCCTGACATCACCTCCGTCTGCGCGAGGGCGGGTCTGTCAAAAATTGCTGGAATTGACCGTTGGCCTACTCCGACCCCTTATTCATGGGCCCGCTACCGGGGAGGCGTCCCCCAACTATGCAGCAAACATGGTCATCAATGGAGTGGCTCTTGGAGGCTTTGGCGTCTCTATGGATCAATTGGGTGCACAGAGCAGTGCGACAGGCGCAGTGGATGACGTTGCGACTTATGTTCATCTGGCTACCGTTGTATCGGCCAGTGAGTACAAAGCAGCCAGTATGCGCTGGTGGACAGCTGCATGGTCTTTAGCACGAGAACTCAAGCTAGGCCGGGAGTTACCAACAAATGTTACGTCTAAGCAAGATGGTGAGATAGAGCGTGAATCGGAACTCGACATGAATGGAATCAAAAAGCAGCCGACATCGCTTTTAAATCCCATGGGCAACGGAACTGGTAGCTCGGCCGTGAACCTGACCGAAGAGGAACGTGAAGAACGCCGTCGAATTTGGTGGTTACTATACGTCATGGACAGACATCTTGCACTTTGCTATAACCGTCCTCTTACCTTGTTGGATAAGGAATGTGAAGGGTTGCTTCAACCAATGAACGATGACATTTGGCAGGCAGGTGACTTTTCAACCGCCAGTTACCGGCGTGCTGGCCCAGCATTCGAGTGTACCAGCCATAGTACGTTCGGCTACTTTCTACCTCTCATGTCTATCCTCGGAGAAATCGTGGACCTGCAGCATGCTCGAAACCACCCGCGGTTCGGCCTTCATTTCCGCAACAGCGGCGAGTCGGAAATTCAGGCGATGGAGATCACTCGACAGCTAGATGTCTATGCGCAGAGTTTGAAGGAGTTTGAGGCTCGATACACTAGCTCACTGGCTCTGGGGAATGCTGATAATGATGCGATTATGGAAGGATCCCACCTCAACCATGTCAGTCCTTCTGGGCGATCAAGTAGTACGGTCGGTTCGCATGCTAGCCAGTCCATCGTGCATACCAAGATGGTTGTCGCGTATGGCACGCATATTATGCACGTCTGCCATATTCTCTTGGCTGGTAAATGGGATCCCATCAATTTACTTGATGATAACGACCTCTGGATTTCATCTGATTCATTCATCTCCGCCATGGGTCACGCGGTTAGTGCAGCAGAAGCCGCTTCTGAAATTTTGGATTATGATCCAGACTTGAGTTTCATGCCTTTCTTCTTTGGCATTTATTTACTACAAGGTAGTTTCTTGCTACTTTTGACGGCCGACAAATTACAAGGTGACGCTAGCCCGAGTGTTGTCAGGGCCTGTGAGACCATCGTACGAGCGCACGAAGCTTGTGTTGTTACCCTGAATACGGAGTATCAGGTAAGTCCCCCTTGGTTTGGTCTATAACTCCCCGTAAACCCAAGCTAATATTTCTATTTCTAGCGGACCTTCCGAAAGGTGATGCGCTCAGCTCTAGCTCAAGTCCGTGGTCGTGTTCCCGAAGATTTTGGTGAGCAACAACAACGCAGGCGGGAAGTACTCGCGCTCTATCGCTGGAGTGGAGATGGCAGTGGTCTTGCTCTGTGAGGACTGGTGATGTGCCTACCTGGATTAATTTTCTCGTACCACTTGTCAATTTGTCTGCTGCTTCATTTGATGCAGGATGAATAACTCCTTCATCTTTTATATTCTGTATACTATTGTTGCTTTTGCTAGGATGCTGGACATACATACATACCCAGGCGCAGGAGGATAGGGGTTATTTCTTGCATATTCTTGATTCTACGCATATGGAATACCCTTTACAACTATCTATGTCGATATTTAGTCATCATTTGGACTTTCTGAAGCTATCCAGCAGTAAAGAAAATAGTTGATTCCTCTGTTGACCTTCTCCAATTTCCCCATTGGGGACGCATGGTCCTATGACGTTCCGATGAGATAAGCCGATCATTTCTCTGCATTATATGGAGTACCACCGTAGGGTTGGACATATTTTCGATCCCATTACGGCTTGTCTGAAGCTCATGTGTTGATAACGATGAAAAATGGACCGATGAATTGTACAATGACTCTCATCGCCAGATCTTCCCGACTTAGCCATCTTACGCCCCCGCAGTTCTCCATAGTCATTCACAAGTTACTCGACGATTTCTGGGGATACCTTCTGCCTTTCTCTTCGATGACTACCTCCCCCGATACTAGCTTTTGACGTCCGTTGAAGCGGCTAAGAAGCGATCCCATGCATACGCGCATCTGCGAGAATGTAAGCTATGCCCTCGAAAATGTGGAGTCAATCGATATGAAACTACTGGCATGTGTTTGATCGGCGCGGAGACAGCGAAATCCAACGTGATAGCGCCGCACCGCGGAGAAGAGCCAAGTACTCAGGGCTTTCACGGCAGTGGATCGGTTTTCTTTTCGGGGTGTAACCTCCGTTGCGTGTTCTGTCAGAATCATGTATGACGGTGCATCAATTTCAGCCCTTATATCTAACCAAAATTCCCAGGATATTTCCCAGAAACGCAACGGATTTGACCTAACGCCCGAAGAGCTGGCGGAATGGTTACTGGTACATGAAACTCCAGCAGATTGGTCACGTCCACAACATAAATCTAGTCACACCGGAGCACGCCGTTCCACAAGTTGCCTTATATATTCTGACGGCACGAGATATGGGCCTGCGAATCCCGATTATCTACAATTCCTCATCATTCGACTCACTCGACTCATTGAAGCTTCTAGATGGACTAGTCGACATATACCTATCGGACGTCAAGGTATAGGAGAGCACTACATCAAAACGACTCCTAAAGGCAGAGAACTACATACCAACCGCAATGGTGAGTATTAAGGAGATGCATCGACAAGTCGGCGACTTTTCAATCACGTCGGACGGTATTGCTAAGAAAGGCGTCCTGCTACGCTACTTAGCAATGCCCGGGAAAGAGGATGAGGGAAAAGAAATCATGCGCTGGCTCGCAGAGAAATATGTCTACAGATCTCTATATGCATATCATGGAGCAGTACCACCTTGATGCACATGTAGGGAGGAAGAGACGAGTTACTAGACGCGTACGCATGGGCGAAACTGGGGAGAATGCAATGGAGGAAACCCGGTATGCAGAAATAAATCGTGCTGTGCGTGATGATGAACTGGTCTCGGTGCGAGATGCTGCTGTTAAGGCTGTGACTGTGGCGATTTTGCGAACCAATTGAGAATAATAGTGCGTTTCACTTGTAATAGCACATTTGAGGATCTAGGGACCCAACTGCAACCCGCAACCTTGGAACCTGGAGATCCATTACGTGCGGATATCGGATATTTCGGAATAAATTGCCCTTCATATTGTGCATAATATTCAACCCATTTATTAATAACTCGGGGCTCTGTAAATCCGGTGCAAAAGAAATTTTAATCAGCCAGTACGACAGTCAACTATACCCATCCGAGGACCCTTCCAAGGTTTTCATAAAACTCTGACAAGACATCTAGAAGAGAATGTAGAGATTTCAGGGGTGGCTGAGAGTTTCCTATCCTCTTGGCTGTTGATAGAAAGCCCTGTTGTTCTGCTATATCGGCAGCAGTATTCCCATCGTGATCAATCGAGAAGGGATTAGAACCAGCTTTCAAGAATAGCATTACGATCTCCATGTTCCCTTCTGCTGCCGCCCAATGTAAAGGCGTACGCCCAAAAACATCTTCTTTCGTTAAATCAGCCCCTTCCTTGAGAAGTGCCTTGGTAATAGATGAGTCTTGAGTCGAAGCCGACCAGTGCAGGATAGAATAATCACCTGCGGTGCGCATGGATATATCGGCCTGATTTTCGAGTAAAAGGCGAACGAGTTGCACATCCTGTCCATGAACAGCCAAATTAAGTGCCCTAACCTCACCCCGGGCGGAAATATCTGGACCAAGACCAGAATCTAGCAGTAGCCGTGCGATGTTATATTGGCCACCTTGACACGCACAATGCAGAGCGGTATATCCTCGATAATTCGGTATGGAGAGATCGAAATCCTTTGAGAGTAGGGACTCAATGATATCGATACATCCCTCTGTAGCAGCTTTGTGGAACATCGTATCGCCTGCCTCATCCTTGATCGGAACCCAATATTTCGGTTTGTATAGGCGCTCCATGCCCGGGATGGCGCGTGCAAGGTGGATCAAATCCCACGGGCCTAATAGTCGGGCTATGAGGAGGAGGATTTCTGGCGGGAGGATTGGTATACCGCTTTGCATAGTGTGAGGATTTTCTGCAAAGGAAGAAGAATGTGTGGCGAGAAGTATACAGAATGGGGGAGTAATACTAGACTACGTAGTACGTTGTAGGTGTACCCCAAATTGGAGAATCACCTGCCCTGCCCCACTCAAGCTCCTCCTCGCAAGAGCCTAGCGGAATGTTTCACACGTCACTTCAACCAAACCCAACTCAACTCCCCCACATCCGCCCTCCATGAAGCCTTTAATCGGTATCTTAGCCGTCGCTGCTTTGGTGTACCGCGCCTGGGCTCGCAAGTCGCTCACCCCTCTCGGTCTGGTCGTCGCTGGCGTGTCAGCAACTGCTCACGCGCTACACCCGTGGTCGACACCTTTCTGGTTGCTCGCGGTCTTTTATTATGGGGGGCACAAAAGCTACAAAGGTACTAAATATCACCACGATTTAATCAAATTTGGATTGTCGGAACCCTTCTTTGCAACCGAATGATGCTGACACTTTGTGCCTTTAGGTCAAACACGACATCAAGGCACGCCTGACCCTGTCCGCGACCGGTGCAGAAGGGGGAGAGGGCCCACGTACCCATGTCCAGGTCCTGGCGAACTCGGTAGTTGCAACTGTTCTCAGTATCGCACACACTATTGTGCTAGCGAGGAGCCCCGTTGAATCGTGTTTCTCTCTCGGTCACAGCGCGGCGGATATCTTGATGGTCGGAATCGTTGCGTATGTTGTTGACCCCCACCGGCCTTGCCTTGATGCATACTTCCTGACTTGATCACTAACTTTTTACGCGGAACCCCAATAGAAACTATGCAGCAGTTGCCGCTGATACCTTCTCTTCCGAGCTGGGCATTCTTTCCAAGTCCAAACCACGTCTCATCACTTCACTTACACTTCGCCAAGTGCCTCCTGGTACCAATGGGGGCGTAACTGCCACTGGGCTTGGGGCCGGACTACTTGGTTCATTCACGATCGCCCTGACATCTGCCATCTTGTTGCCATTCTGCTCAGAGTTTGGAATACGAGATCGGGCGGTGTGGACGGTAGCTCTGAGCTTCTGGGGTTTGCTAGGAAGTGTGTTGGACAGCTTACTGGGAGGTCTATTGCAAGCCAGTGTGGTCGACAAGCGAAGTGGCAAGGTCGTAGAAGGCAGTGGTGGGCGCAAGGTAAGTTTCCCTTCCAGTTCTCAGTGTCGCGTGTCCCACGTGCCAGCCATCTGATGTTCACGCAGGTCCTGATTCACCCGGGATCCACCAAACCTGCCGGTGCTGTTCTTAGTCCATCAGGGGAATCAACTAGCAGTACCCACCTGGGCACGACCGAGTTAGTGGCTAACGCGGCAACGCTTCGGGGAAGCCGAGTAACGGGCACCTCCGTGGGAAGCAGTCAGACCGACCGGGCGCATCAGGAAGGTCATGAGAGCCGCCGGATCGAAAGCGGGCACGACTGGTTGGACAACAACGGGGTGAATGTGCTCATGGCCGTGTTGATGAGTGTGGGGGCGATGGGCATTGCCCAGTGGGTTTGGGGGGTCGAGCTGCAGGAGTTGTGGTAAATGCGTCCCATGTCAGTGGAACCGATGGAGCATGGATAGTAGATCCCATTTACCCAATCTACATAGTTGCACTTACCATTATAGTTACTCTCTGCGCCTCGGTAGCGAGGAATTGAATTGGACTGGGTACTCTCGACTGGGAGACCACATGCATACTACGGAGTATGAACCGCCTCGATATAAGCGAACCACTAATGTATTCTATTGCGTCCTACTCGGTACTCTGTACTCTGTACTCCGTACAAAACTCAGAGATACGAACATTCCCTGCTTCAACCGCCCCGGGGGCAAAGCCTCTTCTAGAACACGAGAACCGGGGCATGTTTCATTGCAGCGATTACTTTCTAATCGAACATATTTACTATTTCTCACCAGTCAGGAGAGTCCCCACCCCACGTGTGTTCATCTCTCCATCTTATAGGAAGTGGTCCCTGCGGCCCCAGTATTGCCAAGACCCATCTGGACCAATCACACCAATGAGATTCCAACATCAGATCCACCTCCTGCCAGATCCAACTTTACTTCTACAATATCTCCGTTTGGTACTATAAAGACGACGCCAACGCCCAGCTTCGCCAAGTTCCGCCAAGGTCGCCAAATTTGCTTCGAACTGACTGTTTCCAGGAGAAGTTGCCCTCACAGTGTCTTGGCTACATTCCCATTGCGTGATTTCGCCCCGGTACCGTCCCTCATTTGCGCGCCACCGAACCTCTGACTTCGACACTAGAAACCTGCCAAGATGTCTTCGAACGATGCTTGTGAGGCCTATCTCGCGAGTCGCAGACGCACGTGTGGTCTATCGACCTGCTTATGGCAGGTGCGGTCGTGAATCTGTGGCAATGTACGGCGCGCCATGCAGCGTTTCTCGCCGAGAGCCAGAAGCCAACACCCTGGGATACTTTTGTACATAAACCCTTCCATCTGCGCTTCTCTGCCGGAAATCGTACTTCTCACTGTTGATCAATCGAATCCTTGGCCACTGTCAATCCCACAGTCAAGATGGTGTATCTCCACGAGTACGACTACGTCTTCGCCATCGGCACTCTATTTGCCTTCCTTGATGCCTACAACAACGGTGCCAGTAAGCGAAAACCAGATCATCCATACAATCATTTAATTGATTATCATTTTTCCTTGATACTAATTCACTCCTACCATAGACGATGTGGCAAACTCCTGGGCGACCAGTGTTTCCTCTCGTTCCGTCTCCTATAGACAAGCCATGGTTCTTGGCACTATCTTCGAGTTCCTCGGTGCAGTCACAGTCGGTGCTCGTACTGCCGAGACGATCAAGAACGGTATCATTCCCAGCACAGCTTTCCAGGGCAATGCCCCTGTTCAGATGATGGCCTTCACCATCGCCCTGGCCGCCGCATCGTCCTGGGTCATGTGGTGCACCAAGCACTCGGCTCACGTTTCCTCGACCTACTCTCTCATTTCGGCCGTTGCTGGTGTTGGTGTTGCGACTGTCGGTGCTTCGCAGGTTCAGTGGGGCTGGAACAACGGAAAGGGTCTGGGTGCTATCTTCGCTGGTCTGGGAATGGCACCCGTCATCTCAGGTTGCTTTGGAGCCATCATCTTCACGCTCATTAAGGTCGTCGTCCACATGCGCAAGAACCCCGTTCCCTGGGCTGTCTACAGCTCTCCTTTCTGGTTCCTGATCGCCGCCACCATCTGTACTCTCTCTATTGTCTACAAGGGCTCCCCCAACCTGGGCTTGAGCAAGAAGCCCGCTTGGTACATTGTTGCTGTGACTCTGGGTACCGGATTCGGTGTCTGCCTTCTTTCCATCATATTTTTCGTCCCCTTCGTCAAAGCTCGCATTCTCAACAAGGATCACTCTGTCAAATGGTGGATGTTCATTCTGGGTCCCCTGTTGCTCAACCGTCCGGTCCCTACCACTGGCGAGGCTGCCAAGGTTCCCAACTATGCCGTCGTCCAGGAGGATGAGGACTACGAAACCTCTACCCACGCCGGTTCCATTGATGAGGACGACAAGAACCCCCACACCAGCGACAAGGAGAAGCAGCTTGTCAATGCTGAGTCTGCCCAGCTGAGCTACAAGGAAATCATGGCTCAGTCCGAGGAGCGCCACCGTCAAAAGCTTCTACAGAGCCGCGGACCCCTGGGTTGGGCGATGCGCTTCCTTCGCGACAACCCCATGGGAGCCGGTGAGATCTACGAGCTCCGCAACATGGCGACCTTCTTCAAGCGCATCCCTCCAATGATCGTCTGCGGTCTTCTATATGGTGTTCACTACGATATTCACACTGCCCAGTCTGGTATTGCCGGCACCCCCGAGGGTGAGCGTATGAAGCGTGTCTATGCCGCTGCCGAGAAGTACCCCAACGAGGTCGAGCACACCTACTCTTTCGTCCAGGTTCTCACTGCCTGCACTGCTTCCTTCGCTCACGGTGCCAACGATATCGGTAACTCCGTCGGCCCCTGGGCTGCTATCTATGCTGCCTGGTCGACTGGTGAGACCACTGCTGCCAAGGCCCCTGTCCCCGTCTGGCAACTGGCTGTTCTTGCTATCTGTATTTCTATCGGTCTCTGCACCTACGGTTACAACATCATGAAGGGTAAGTTCCATTTCCATCCTCAGTTCGAAGTGACAATTGCTAACAACTATAAACAGTCATGGGTAACAAGATCACCTACCACTCCCCCAGCCGTGGTTCCTCTATGGAAATGGGTGCTGCCATCACTGTCCTTGTGTTCTCTCAATACTCCCTCCCTGTCTCTACCTCGATGTGTATCACCGGTGCCACTGTCGGCGTCGGTCTCTGCAACGGATCCCTCAAGGCCGTTAACTTCCAGCGTGTTGGTCTCTTGTTGCTAGCCTGGATCATGACCATCCCTATCGCTGGTACTCTCGGTGGGTGCCTGATGGGTCTGTTCCTTAATGCTCCCCACTTTTAAGAGATGATGGGTGATGAGTAGCCGCTTGGCTGTTGTTGTCATAATAATTTCATAGAGTTGATATCCTTTTGCATTTAATCTCATTTGCCAGACAAAAATTGAATGCTGGTCTACATTTACATTTGGTTTCCAATTTTCACTTTATCATACTCTGGTTGTATTCGCTTACAAGGCCTAAACCTAAAATAGCTGAGATACATTGACGAATATTTTCTACCGACCAGTTTGACCTTGGCTAATGATTTGATACTAGTAATATTCTCCCTTCCTCTCTAAAATTAGTACAAGCTGTTTCTTTCGTAGGTTTTAAAAATTCCTAGTACACACCATATGAATATAAGATACACTGCTTTAATCAATCATTGTTGAAGCTCTTCAAGACCCGATGAAACTTCTTTGCCAGCCCCCATACTCTAAGATGATCCATAGCCTTGAGAGCATCTTCTCTAAGAGTGCCAAGACTATGTGCATCACAAATATTATCCACTGAGCCAAGAGAGGCAGGTCCACCGTGCTCTATCCATTTCCCTACCTTCCCATGATAATCTCCTGTCCGAATCTGCTCCAGAGGCGACTCATCCAATCTTATCGTCGAGGCTCCATGTGTAGCCACTGGGCCCTCATCAAAAGGGAAAAACTTGACAAAAGCGAGAAGGAAAGCGAATGAGAAAAATACACGCATGGTTTCGCATGGTGTGAAGCTGGTGCAGTCGCGGGATATGGCTAAGACCAGGGCTGCATGATGAACGGATCGGCGTGTTGCAACTGGATTGCGAGCAAATCGAAGACGAAGATGAGACCTGGCTCTAGAGAGCTCTTTATTGAGTGGTGCAGCCGAGGAACCGTGTTTCCACGCATAATTATGGCGGAAAATGAAAGTGACCAGGTCCATTGTTTCGCCACCACTGCTGAGGTAGGCGTAATGTGCCGTCGAGCAAGCGACGCTATCAGAACAGATTTAGAAGTCATCACCGGAACTTGAGGATAGTAGGGACTCACTTAATATTCACCATTTCATTTACGCAAGTTGGCCGAGACAAAGAATTGCTCATTTCCGAGAGACTCACCAGAAGATTTTCTCTGGTTTTCTTGTGGACATCGACCAGGGACGAGAGGCCCAAAACTTTCGAAGATGAAATATCCTCGATCTCGCGCAGGTCCCCAAGAAGACGACTTATTACTAACGAGCATATTCGTTTAGCCCAAGTAGGTGTCGTATTTGGAATTTCTCTCTGAGCGATGATGTTCTGGAGTAATGGATAAAATGAAATGTCACTTTGAAGACTTGTGGAGAAGGAGGCTACCGAGGCCCATGCATTCGCTGAAGGAGCCTCCCATAAGTTCTCTGAGCAGGGCGCTTTCATTGGAAGTTCTGAGACGCCGAAAGCTCCTCTTTTACTAGTAAGCGTAGACATGGTGCAATCAAATTCAAAGACCGACCATGCAACACGCCTTTCAAACTCAGTATCGCGCCAAAGATTCCAGGTGCGTTCGAGTGTCGATGGATCCATCTTTTTAAGATGTTGGAAGTCACATGAAACATTGTCGCTTTGAGCTGCATCCGAAGATAGCACACCTAGCTCTCTCAATCCCGTGGCAAGAAGTCCTCTTGAGGCATCGGCTAGCTCGTATAAGCGCCGATTCCCAGATCCCAACGCGTATATTTGATGTAGGCATGACGCAGCGATATATATTGGATTGCGATATGATCTGCTGTCAGATTGACCCTTTTTAAAAGAGTTAGATGATGGGAGCTTCGATATCGCAAGGTATACATACCATCCAAAAAAGACTACGTTGAGTGATTTCCGCCAGAATTGGGGCTACCTTTTGAGTTCCCTCGGCAGTTGAATAAGACGCTCCTATGCATGCCATGGCAGCCAACAATGCAGCTGGGCATTTTTCAATACGCCAAGTTGGCAGATGAATAATGGAAAAGGCTGGGTGAAACTCTGCAAAGTAGGTTTTGACTAACTCCCCAAGAAATATAATGGTCGGAAGCATCTCCAGTCCCGTACTATCGCTTAAAGATGGAATAAATGGAGTCGAAAGTACCTTGACGAGATCTTTGGCTGTACCGGACTTAGTAGTTGGTATATTCCCCATTGTTTGTTCAAGTACTTCCCGGAGTGGAGGAAGCTTTATTTTCCGGAAGCCCTTGTTTGATGTATAATCAAAAGGCCAAGACTCGTTGCCCCCACGATCCAGAATACCGGGCCAGGATTCATGCTCATTCTTCTCTGAGGTGTCAGAATTGAGTTGCGGTTGTTCAGCTCCCAATATTGGGGTAAAAGGTTGATCGATTGATATAGGTTGAGGGACAAACCTATTTCTATTGAAAGGCTCATCGTTGCAAAAAGTCTGCATATCACCAGAAACAGGTGGCGAAACATCTGTCTCGCACCCCAACCAATCCATCTTAGATGCTCTAAAGAAACTGCTATCGAATGCTTCGAGATCAAGTGAGAGATTATCCAGCCATTCGTAATTTCCTTCATCGGCTGTTGGTCCCAATAACTCCTGGTTGATCTGAAAGGCAGAATAAGGGGAGTCCCTTGGCAGGAACGGAGCCTGGGTATAGTCCTGGGGGTCCATAGCCACTGCTTGCTGGGGCAAATTGGCATGCAGAAATGCCGGCCTCGGCTGCTCCAAACTGTTTTCTGAATAGTTTCTTAGTATGGGCGTATTTGCGGTGCCTCGAGTTCCGGTCAGCGAGTCAGAAGTCTCTAGAAATTCACCTTCCATATAAGAGCCGGTAGTCTCGTAACCTGGCGAAGGCTGGTCGTGTCGTATGGAATCTCTTTTGTCATTATCAGCATCCCAAAGCAGTTGGGGTTGAGCGAGCGACTGTGGTTGAATGGCCAGTTCAGACGAACCGGATTCATATGTGCAGGAAATTTGTTTTCGTAGGCATGAGGCACACGGTAAATCACGGTTGCATTTCAGCTTGTATCGAATACACCGTTCGCACGATTTTTTTGATCTTTTCTTCTGTCCTGCTTGTTTTGGATCATGGACAACCCGAACATGACGCTGATAGACATCCTTCCGGTTAAACGTCTTGTTGCATGTATGGCATTGAAATATTTCCTTCGGGCTGTCATAACTTATAAGTTAATACCCAAATAGACATCTGGCGTCCGATTTGACAAAACTCCACATACCTAGAATGTTGAAGCTGATGACGATGGAGATGAGAGATCCGTGACAACTTGGTGCCGCAGATATCACACGCGTAATTTCGCTTATTTTGCTTGCGAACTTTCTAGGGTATACAGTTAGGGAAATCCTTCCGATATCGCCGGCTGCTCTTTGACATACTGATACTGAACCCGCTGCAGTTTCCGGGCTGCAGGGGTCTGGCATGGCTATCTGCAATATTTGATCTTCCGGCGATGAAAGTGGGGGTATTGCGACGGATATACATATCTCTAATGGATGGTGGGATTGTCAGCTCATGACGCGCTTCTTTCATCGGACTTCTCTCCTTTGGACGCCCCACCCCCGCCCGCATCGGAATTCGGGGCGGGGTTTATGCTCCAAACCTCTTCAGTACATGCATTTAATTAGATATTTTGAATAGGAAAATCGAAAGTGAATGTATAACTGAGAGAAACTAAGAAGAGGTGTAGGTCGCGCTCGTCCAACTAAATCCCTGATCATCTCATACTGTTGAAACTACTACTAGGTTTTGGCAGAGAGAGAATTGAGTAAAGGCTGGAACAGAAATATTTACCAATTAACAGTAAAATACTGATAGTATATCATTTTACTGGTCTAATAGTTGCTGCAATGCTTCCCGAACTAAGCTTCCCATATCCTTCGTAGAGGTCGTTCCTCTCATATCTTTCGTTCGAAAACCTGCATCCAAAGTCGAATTGACAGCCTTCTCGACTGCTGCAGCCTCTTCTTCCATTCCGAAGCTGTACCGGAGCATCAATGCTACACTTAAAATTGCGCCAATGGGGTTTGCGATCCCTTTCCCTGCGATATCCGGTGCTGAACCGTGCACTGGTTCGTAGAATCCCTTGACTGGGTCATCTCCCCAATTTTGTGCAGGAATGTCAGCCAAACAAGCAGAAGGAAGAACACCCAATGTCCCCGGAATTACACCTGCGAGATCGGAAAGAATATCTCCAAACGTATTGTCCGCAAGAATGACTCCGTTGAAAAGGGTTGGTCGCATCATCATCAGAGTAGTGGCACTATCGGCAAGCTGGTGTACAATCTCAACTTCTGGAAACTCCTTCTCAATCGTTTCTTGGACAACTTTTCTCCAAAGCCTGGAGCTAGCCAAAACATTGGCCTTGTCGCAGCTGGTGACAGTTTTCTTTGGACTAGCACTTGACAAAGCTAGATGAGCAGCCATGCGAGCGATGCGCTCAATTTCTGAGCGCTTATATGACCACAAGTCAGAGGCGTAGTCGGGTGTCTCCTCTTTGGGTCCGTAAAAAGGTCCACCACAGTTCTCACGTAGCACGATGAACTTTGCTCCACGGATGAGTTCGTCGCGGAGGGGACTATTTCCTGCGGCAAAGTATTCACATGGTCGTAGGTTTGCATAGACTTGCGTAACATCACGTAGACGCAATGTGGCGCCTTCGGGGCCTTCAAATCCTCGTCTCATGCCGTCCCATTTTGGGCCTCCAACTGCCCCCATGAGGATTGCATCTGCTTTGCGGCCTGTTTCCAGCACTTCATTTGTCACTGGCGTACCATGCATGTCAATCGAGCAGCCGCCAAAGAGACGGGGTAAAAGTTTGAATGCTGCGCGGCTTTTCGGGTGTTTAGAAATCACGTCGAGAACAGCTGTAGCTTCTGCGGTGACCTCAGGGCCAATCCCGTCTCCCCCGATGACGAGAATGCTGAACTCGGGCTTAGATTTGGTCATGTTTGAAGGTCTGTTTGAATTGGTTCAAAAGAAGTCAGTAATTTCTAATTTATGTCAGGATACACTACCTATTTGTGCAAACGGCCCCCCAGGCCGTTTTATCCCTCACTGGACGCTGCCATTTCGGACCCGGAGTATGCGGTGGGGATGAGAGGAAATGCCCAGTATGAACTCCTCAAGCCCCACTCCCCACGAAGATTCCGAGATATGACATTTCGAGATATTGACTGACTTGTTTGTATGGGGTTTGGAGAGGAAATTCAGAAGTTTTTGCGTACTTCCTCTGTTTCACCTTACATTTTACCGAAGATAGTATCCAACCCTCAGGAAACAGAATTATTACTTCATTTACGATCAGACAAAATTTGAACTTCGTTAAATTTGATAAAGTTTGTTTTCCTTGCCTTATAGATTATCTATGTGTAGCTATAGAGTATTGTTTAAATTGTTCTACCCCCATCAACATCCAAATTCACGCCAGTAAGGAACTTTCCTTCCTCACTAGCCAAAAACAATGCTGCATTTGCAACATCTTCCACTTCCGTTAAGCGACCGAGAGGAACATTGCCTAGAAATTGCTGACGATTCTCAGGAGTATCAGGAACACCCGCGAAGGATTCAAATCTGAACATAATGTTAATGACTATACAGGAATTGTTGTAGATTGATACTCACAGTCCAGTTCCACAAAGAAGGGGGCAAATTGAGTTGACTCGAATTTGGTGGGGACCAAATTCCAGAGCTAGCCCTTTAGTTGCCTGAGAATAACATTAGATATTGACTGGTAGACTAAGGTTTTCAAAAGGAATATAGTTAGTGAATCTCACATTAGAAACGGCTCCCTTGCTAGCATTATACCAAACGAGCCCCTGGCGTGGCCTGCTAGCCCCGCAACTCGACATGTTGATACAAATTCCAGCCTTCTGCTTAACGAACACCGGAAAAACCGCAGAAACGGAGTGGAAGATTCCAAGGCAGTTGACATCAAAGCATCGAGCATATTCCGCTTCTGTGACGTCTAGTGTGGGCTTGTTCTTATAGCTAGTTCCAGCATTGTTGATCAGAATATCGATTTGGCCAAATTCTTTCAGAGTACGCTGCAAAGCAGTATCCCAGTCTGCCCTCTGGGTGACATCCATCTGCTGAACCAATACAGAACCGGAAGGGCATGCATTAATGACAGCGTCAGCAGAGTCGATGTTGAGATCGCCAATTAGAACTTTGGCCCCTTTGTTGGCAAATACTTTCGCGATCGCTGCACCAAATCCGGAACAACCACCTGCATTATGTGATCAGTCCGCTGCAAGTGACTGCGATTAAGTTTTTTGACTTTCATACCAGTTACAAGTGCGACCTTTCCATTGAGACGCCCTTCCTTTGTGGCCATTCTGAGAATTGGCACAATATTTACTGTCGATGAGACAATAAATACAACAGAGTATGGTGAATTTAAACCGAAATACTTGCTATGGAAATGAAACAGGTGTGTCTTTATATTATTGAGCCTTTAGCTTTGAACAGACCTCTGTGCTTGACTATCCATCGGGATTTGTGAGGGGCACAGTCGGAGAGACTAGTGGGGAAAGTGTTTCGAGCCGATCCCCTCAGTCGGCTCTTGAAACCAGACAATTTTAGATATCGAAATACAAGGCACTTACTATTCTGTCGCATTCAATCAAAAGTCCTTATAGCTTAGATCTAGAGGCAGAACTCCGAGTTGCGAAACCCTCGGCTAAACGGAAAAAGGCGATCCTGGGGAAATTATCCGCGGTGGGTTCTTCCTCTCCGCACAACAACCCCTTCCAGGACTTCTGCCCACGAACACGGTCTCAGAACAGATATAGGAGATCCTGACTTAAAATTCGACTTGAAGTCGGGGATTACTCAATGAATCTCAGCACTGCTTCCTTCTTGTCCGCACTGGGGCTGGGAGCCACATTCTCCCCCTTTGAATATCTTGGGTTGAATCAACAGCCCGCTGCCGCAGTGTATGAGGCGGCTACTCTAGCCAGTGAAAGTCCATTTCTGAATGCTCTTCCTGCAAAATTTGAGCAATTATCTATCTCGTTCGTGAGGAACAATCTTGCAGTGATACCTGGAGATTGGGAAGCGGGAGATATCAGTCAGAACACTCTAGTCGCCCTTTAACTATTGAGTCGAAGCTAATTAATTTCCAGAAACATCCTTTTACGATATCAAGTCGGATCAGCCAACTCTCCAATATGCGCTGAGTACCCTGAAATCTTCAGATTTTATTGCATGGCACTCATCATTCTTGGATTTTATTGGGCCGAATGCGAAGCTCGAGCGGATTCAGTCCTTTATGGGCGAACCTCTTACCGTCCACGAAGCTCCCGCATATGTTCCAGAAACCAACGAACTATTTTTCTCCGATACACAAGTTACAGGCTGGCTCTGGGCTATCGAGGTGGACACCTTTCAGGTAATTCCTTGATCAATGATGCAGAGTGATTTGAGGTGATGCTAATTTATCTATCATGGAAGACTCGGAAAGTCGAGACAAGCCCGCCCCTGCCAAATATCAATGGAGCTCGTTATCACCAAGGGAGGGTCTACCTCACTACAAATGGTGGCTCGGCTCGTGGTATATGGTCTCTCGACCCTAAAGATGGTACCGCGACCCCGGTCGTGAACAACTTCCGCGGTCGGCATCTCAACAGCCCCAACGATCTCGCATTCGATGCCCAATCCAACATGTGGTTTACCGATCCCCCTTACGGTTGGTACCAAGGATTTCCCAATGTACAATCTCCACAGGTACCCACGGGGATTTACTTCTTCAATATGAAAACAAAAGCCTTGAATGTCGTCTCCAACAATGTTGTTATTATGCCGAATGGCCTTGCTTTCTCTCCCGATGGCGAGACACTGTACGTCGCAGACTCTAATTCGACATCGGGAAGGCCTATGGAAAACCATCCGGCCAGCTTAAGAAACGTCTGGGCGTTCGATGTGAAAGGCTCACTGCTGAGCAACCCCCGTCTTATTCATCAAACCGAGACTGGCTGGCCCGATGGTCTCCAAGTCACACGCAATGGATATGTCCTCGTGGCGGTTTTCGGAGGGGTGGATGTCATTGATCCTGAGACAGGACATTTGCTTGGCAAGATCAATACGCCAGATGATATTGTTTTCAACTTGGAGAAAGGTCCTCGCCGCGGAAATGAGCGAATGTGGTTGCTGACAGGGCAGAAATACATTTATAGAGCTATTATTAAAGAGCTTTAGAATATGCTAAAACTATAGATCAAACTGATAGAAGCAATCCGATCATGTATTCCTCAGCTTTTTCCGGTACGCTGCCCGTGGTTTCTTTAAGGGTGGTTATTGGCGTTCCACCAGACAACTTGAGAATGAGCACAATGAGCACTAGCTATTAGATACGTCTTAGAAGCTCTCTGGTCAGCTTTATTTTGATATTGAAAGCAAGCCATGGTGACTTGCTTGAAAATTATAGACAAGCTTTTAACCCCACGATTTCCCCAGGATTGGCATTTCTCGGGAAGCCTCAACAGCAGCCCCACCAAAGACTCCGGACTTTCGGTCCTTCGAGATATGCGCTCAAACTCTAGGTGACCAAGCTTTTTAGGGGGGGGGTTTCGGCCGGGGCTTGAACTATTTCCTCTTTGATTCCCATCACTTTGAACCCATTACTTTGAATTATCTATTCAACACGAAGCTTGGCAAACGCAGCTACACGCACGTATACATACATCATGTATCTAGGGCTTCGAGGAAGCTCTCTTGTTGCCGCTATAGGATTTTGCTGTGGGAGTGGGTTTCTGCTATTGGGATATGACCAGGGTGTCATGGGCGGAGTCGTTGGATAGTGAGCATGCCTATCTTTCTGTGCCGTGGTAGATGGCTAATGACTTATAGCTCTGGAAATACATTCGCGCAGGTCTTTGATAATCCGAACCCAACAGTAACTGGCCTGATGGTAAGTCTCTATGAGGTGGGCTGCATGTTTGGATCCATCGTAATTATCTTTTGGGGGGACAATCTCGGTCGGCGAATGTCCCTGGTCATTGGTGGTATCATCGTGATTATTGGGACAGTGATTCAAGCTTCATCCTTTTCCCGAGCCCAGTTTATTGTCGGAAGAATAGTAGCCGGTCTGGGAAACGGAATGAATACAAGTACCCTTGGTACATATCAATCGGAAACCTGCCCTGCCAAGAATCGGGGTAGAGTGGTGACATGTGAGGGAATTATGGCAATTGGAGGTGTCTGGATCTCATACTGGCTGGACTTCGGCATGTCATATGCCACATCTACGGTACAATGGAGACTTCCACTTGTCATGCCAGCCATATTTGCTTTATCCATGTCAGGAATTGCATTTTTCATGCCAGAATCCCCTCGTTGGTTAGCATTGAAAAATCGAGATGATGAGGCTAAACAAGTTCTGGCTGCACTCGCCGGTGAAGATGTTCGCACCGACGACGAGTCCATCCTCGCAATGCACAGCACTATTCGACAAGCAATTGACTATGAAACCCATATTGGTGGGGAATTCAACTTTCGTGAGCTTTTCAGCGGGGGCGAGCTACAAAATTTCCGACGTATTTGCCTCTGTTTTGGAATACAACTGATGGAAGAAATGGGCGGGATCAACTTGATCACGTACTACATGAGTAGTGTTTTCCTACAAATCGGCACGGGTCACTTTTTAGCTTTGCTACTTTCCGGAGTCAACTCGACTACTTATTTCATCTCTTCGTTTGTGCCTATCTGGCTGATCGATCGATTTGGAAGAAAGTCGCTACTCATTTATGGCACCGTTGGCATGATGTGCATGATGATAATGCTCACAGTATCGCTGAGCTTCGGTCCCGCCAACTTTACAGCAGGTATTTTCGCGATTATTTCCATATTCCTTTTTAATATTTTCTATGCAACGGGCGGATGGATGGCCACCCCCTTCCTATACCCCTCGGAAATTTCTACGCTGCGCCTCCGCTCTAAAGGTTCAGCTATCTCTGTTCTGTCGAAGTGGATGTTCAACTTTCTGGTGGTGATGATTTCACCGGTCGCCATGGCGAATATAGGCTGGCGAACGTACATCATTTTCGCAGTCTTGAATTTTGTGTTCATTTTTGTTTTGTTTTTCTTTTACCCCGAGACGAAAGGGCTCGAGCTTGAACATGTCGACAAAATATTCACGGGCGGTGACCCAATCACCCGAGGTGCCACTGGCATGCTTCGTCTTCGAATTCAAGATCATCAAACGAGCCAAATTTTCTTGGATAAATCTGGCCATGATATTTCGAACCATGTCGAGGATGTGGAGAAGAGTCCGGAGGTCTGAGTTCGAAATTTGGAACGGGTCAAGGACTGTCTAACATTGGAAGCTTTCTTCTTCGGACAAAGTCTGTGTGTAAATTGAATGCGCGGTATAAGAGAGCTTGGTATATATTGAAGACCAAATAGGAGGTATTTCAGAACCGAAACTACTAGTACTAGTAACCCTGTGTTCCTCTGGTGTAAGTCTTGATTTGAGTTGGCATGTCTTGGCACTTGGGCCTCCATCGGCTGTAAAATGACTCAACTTCGGTACCTCCATAAATTACTAAGGAGAAAATAAAGGTGAAATAAAAATTCCAGTCCAGTCGGACATTATAATAATCAAAATATCCCCATTTGCTGCTGTATCGAAATAGCAACTTGAAATATAGTATGAGTGCAACAGGTGCAAACAGTGCAAATCCCGCTATGACCTCAGCTCGTTCTGCTCCCCACATCTTCATTGCCGCGACGAGCCGCGACTGGTGCATCGAGAGCACTGCAAACAGAAAGTGGAATCTCTCGACGTCAGACTGCAGCCTGCGGGTGAGTCAACCACTGGATCTGATAATACAAATGCGCGCGATATTGTGGCTGGTTTGTGATCTAGACTCGCGGGGTTGTAGGTGCAAACATGCTCTATAAGCCAAAACCGGTCTCACGGGCCAAATCGGGGTTCGCTGATGAAGCTCAGCTCAGCTAGCTTCCCGATACAGAAAGTGTATTTGGCTATTTTCTTCGTTTTTTCTTTTCCCAGTTACCCTTTCCCACCGTTCCCGTGTCTGGGCCCGTTCTTCCTGTTTTGGTGATGTTTCGTCATAGAGTTTGAGCTTCTATAAGCAGGGTCCGAGGTACCCTAAGATCAGGACCTCTGGCCCTTGCTTAAAACCGTTACATCTCCCCTTGTCGTATGATACCTCATCAATCCTAGCTATTTCCCTTTTCTCACACCTCTCCCGTGCCGTTCAGCCTCCCCCTTCGCTTTCCCCGCACCACCACAGCAAGATGTCTCCATCAGCACTCTACAATGTTGACACGGTCGATATTGTCAACATTCACCAAGATAATATCAACTTTTCTCTAGAGGATGACCTAATCAATAGTTTGAATCCTGCAGATGGAAAACCCCCCCTCATTCCCTACCCTCCTCCTTTACGACACCAAGGGACTCAAACTTTTCGAGAAGATCACCTACCTGGACGATTACTACCTCACCAACGCCGAGATCGAGATTTTGAAAACACATGCAAAGCGAATTGTGGAGCGGATCCCGGAGAATGCACAGCTAGTTGAGTTGGGTAGTGGGTGTGTTGTCCTTGCACTCCGGATCCGTAGCCCAGAAAACTACTCACGATGGGATCCTTGCGCCTCACACATTTCTAACGCACCGTTTTAGAAATCTGCGGAAAATCGAAATCATTCTTCGCGAGTGTGAGCGGGTTGAGAAGCGGGTCGACTACTACGCATTGGATTTGTCCTTGGTGGAACTGCAGCGAACCTTCGCGGAGATCACACCAGAAAGCTTTACATACGTTGAACTTCATGGCCTTCATGGCACCTACGATGATGCTCTCGCCTGGCTTCAAATACCTGAAAATTCCACGCGGCCAACTGTCGTCCTGTCAATGGGGTCCTCCCTTGGAAATTTTCCTCGAGCGGCCGCGGCAGACTTTCTGGGTAGCTGGTCAAAGGTTCTGAAACCATCCGACTGTCTATTGATAGGGTTGGACGCTTGTAAAAACCCCGAAAGGGTATTCAAGGCGTACAATGACTCTGAAGGTGTTACTCGGAAGTTCTATGAGAACGGTCTATTACACGCTAATGCAGTCCTGGGCTATGAGGCGTTCAAGCCTGGCGAATGGGAGATACTGACAGAATATGATGAGCATGAAGGGAGGCATCAAGCATGCTACTCTCCAGTCGTCGATGTCACTATCAAAGACAGTATAATTCGGAAGGGCGATAAGCTACTCTTTGAAGAAGCTTACAAGTATGACCGCAGCGAGTGTGATGAGCTATGTCGAGACTCGGGATTGATATCCCAGGTCGAGTTTGGGAACTTTGACAACAACTATTGTACGACCCACCTGACCCTCCACATTGATTAATTAATTTAATCGATTGACACAAACCCGCAGATATCCATCTTTTGTCGCCTGCTACTCTGAAAAGACCGGTACGGCCAATGCAATATGCATCGCATTCGGTGCCTAGCGTGAAAGATTTCCAGTCGCTTTGGACTGCTTGGGATATAGCTACAAAAACCATGATCCCCCGAGAAGATCTTCTATCGCAGCCTATCAAGCTTCGAAACGCGCTGATTTTCTATCTTGGCCATATTCCAACATTCTTCGGTTCGTCTGCAAACACCAAAGATGTCATGTTCTTGCTGCTGACCCAAGTACGATACAGACATTCACCTCACGCGTGCTTTGCGAAGTAAGCCCACAAATCCCAAATATTTCCAGCAAATATTCGAACGAGGGATTGACCCTGATGTCGAAGACCCGGAGCAATGCCATTCTCACAGCGAGATTCCCGATGAATGGCCCCCTCTACATGATATATTGGATTATCAAGAACGGGTTCGCAACCGGGCACGTTCTCTCCTCCAAAATCGAACAAACCTAGATCGCAGTGTCGCTGAAGCGCTATGGATTGGATTTGAGCATGAAGCGATGCATTTGGAGACTTTCCTCTACATGCTGCTTCAGAGTGACAGGACACTGCCACCCACCGGGGTAGATACCCCGAACTTTGCACAGATGGCCCAAGATGCAAAAAAGAACGCGAAGCCGAACCAGTGGTTCCATATACCAAAGCAAACCTTGACAATTGGTCTCGATGACTCTGATCACACTATGCTGCCGATCGACTCTTTTGGATGGGACAACGAGAAGCCACAGAGGGTCACTTCGGTGCACTCTTTTGAAGCTCAAGCTCGACCTATCACCAATGGTGAATATGCACAGTACATACAAGCTCTGCGTCTTCAAACCTTACCAGCTTCTTGGGTGCACACTAGTTCAGAAAAGGAATATCCGGTTTCTCGTGGACTACACACGTCACAATCTGGTGGAAGTTCTAGTGCAACCCAAATCCAATTTGAGGAAATCGCTGTGCGTACTGTCTTCGGGCCCGTTCCTCTCGAACACGCTCAAGATTGGCCATTGATTGCCTCTTATGACGAATTCGCACACTACGCTAAATGGATGGGGTGTCGAATTCCCACGTTTGAGGAAACCAGAAGCATTTACATGCATTCTGAGAAGCTACGCGGAAACACTTCTTTGCATTGTGCCAACGGCCATAGGTTAGTAAGTCACTACCACGGTTGATAAATTAACTAACATAAAGCTATAGCAACGGAGTCAATGGAACTCATAAATCCATACCCGAAGAGCCTTCCACCTTCCGCAATCTTAGCGGCTGCAATGTGGGCTTCAGAAACTGGCATCCCGTCCCAGTCACACCAAACGGAGATCAACTAGCTGGTCAGAGTGAGTTTGGAGGGGTGTGGGAGTGGACAAGTACACCATTGGCGCCACACGAAGGCTTCAGTTCCATGGAAATATACCCGGGATATACATGTGAGGAATATATTTTTCCATTTCTGGGACTCTTTGCTAATTCAGCTGTAGCGGACTTTTTTGATGGAAAGCACCACATCATCCAGGGCGGATCATGGGCCACTCTTCCCCGAATCGCTGGGCGAAACACCTTGTGAGTGACCTTCGAATTCACCAAACAAAACCTCAACTAAATGTGATCTTTTAGCGTCAACTGGTACCAACACAATTATCTATACGCGTGGGCTGGAGCACGTCTTGTGCGGGACTGCAATGTGTAAATAGTTAGATTTCAATGACTTTATTGTAGACAGTTATCATTATACTAAGCTCAAAAATCACTCAGGCTGCTTTGGTTGACTCTCGCTTCGCCTTCTACAAAGAGTAATCGTTGTGACGGTGACGATCGATAAGGCCACCGGTAGTTGCTCAGCCCCGAAAATGGGCCTAAGAAGAGCAAGGAATAACCACATCCAGCAATCCCTAGATCTAAAGTGTGGAACATTCCATGAATGAAGGGGAAGAATGCAGGGCAGGGATCCAGTTACTCGGGACAAATCGCGCCAGCATAGTTAATAGGCCTTGCATTATTTCCCATTGCATGCCAGTCACCTCGATTTCTAATCAAGTTCTCTAATTTTGCAGTACCGCAGTGTTACTGGTCGCACGATATGCGTATTCTCCCGAGAACGCGTTACCGGGGGGAAATCCTGAGAAAGAGTTGGTTACCAGCTCACTACTGAACTTAGAGAACGCGTTGCTAGTGGGAAAATATGATTATCAAACTATCGGAGACTATTTTAATCATCAAATTATGGTTTATTGAAGAGACTCCTACCCGCGAGGATGACGACGGTACTGATCCCTGTCTTCCGTTCCGGGCTAGGATGAGGCTGGGAAGGGGCTGTGTCGGCCATCTTGAAACGCCTCCAGGGAAGGACTTTTGAGGCACTCATATTGTAAAACACTCTATAGGCCGTTTTCGGAACATTTCGCTCCTCTTAATATCGCTTTTCTGCAGAGCCAAATCATGGAATGTGTGCCTACATCAATATCTTAGCTCGGCAGCCGGCCGAAATTGCCTTTGTGAGGTGTTCGTTGAGCCGGCATTGCTCCGACGCAAGGGGGGTGCAAAATAGAATACGAAAAAGGTTCCTTGTCTGGTATAGTATCCCGCAAGGACTATCACTTTCATCCTTTTTCTGATCGATTTATGTGGCAACAATGGCCAGAAACAAGGTTGCGGCTTGCCGATAGTACCGAAGACAAGAAGACAAAGGAATAACCAAATAGATCAGTTCCAGTCAGGAGAATCACATGGGATAATACTACTAGGAATTCATATCCTAAATTTTTTAGTTTCCTTGTAACTAATAAACATGATCCGGCAAACAAACTTGAAGACTGGGTTTATGAAGCAATTGAATCGAGACCACGGGTGTAAACAAAGATGCTTCAAGTCTGAGAATCGTCTGTCCATAGACTGGAGCAGTGGCGCTTCGGATTATACAATACATATCTTGCTCAAACTGTGTTACTGTTATTCATTGAATGATCCCTGTCAGTGACGAGCCTATGATTGATCGGCATCGAGCTAGGGAGATCAGCGATCTCTTGCGAATCCAGCGAGATCGTCGTTACACGCCAGAGATCCTGGAAATTTACTGTTTTGATCGGGTACCTAGCAAGCAGTAGGAATATGAGAAGACAAAAAGATGCTTTCATCGTTCTAGTAATAACTTCATTCTTTATCACTAATTCTCAAAGTATGACCACCCTGCCGGTATTTGATTGTTGCCTTCTAATGCACATGACCGATCCAACAAACGGCGCATGTCCTGTCCCCGAAATGACCCGCGCTAACAACAAACCTTAACAATATACGGGTCCCCACCGACCGTAAAAGCCAAGAATGAAGCAGAGAGCCATTGACACACGAGGTGCGCCTTTTGCGACCCTCCCTTTGCCTGTTTCGGGGGGGGCTCCCCACCCTCTCTCCACTTCGATCTTCGAGTGCCTATCATGCACGGGTTTCTGGCGCATAGCTATTCCCTGCAGACTGCAGGTCATAATGGCCTTGCTGTCTGTAGGTAATAGAATAGGCATGTCCATACACGCCGTATTTCCGGGCAAGATCGAACCTTAGAGTTGATGTGGCTTATCACAGAAGTCAAACTTAGTGTTCACAGGCATGTCCTGCATGCTGCGAATTGAAATCATATACTGACCCGGAAACTCGGTTCGTTGTTCTTTGAGTTGCCAATCCTAGGCTGTGGAAAATGCTAGCCCGCAGCTGCCGCCAGGGACAGGGCAGGACTGCCAGGCTGGAATGTGTCACAGACCCATGAAAGGGAGTTACGGGTGAATCTTGCCGAACCTGTCACTGTGTGGTCCTGTCCCATGCCACAGGAGCGCCAGTGGCCGACTGTCGCCCAGTTCAACCTGCATGGGCGGGGCGGTGGATCATTTTGTCCTTGTCAAGCCGTGGGTGGTATAGATTTGCATACTGCATTGAGTGCCTGGAACTTGGCTCAACATTGCCGCATTGTATATGTACCCCGGTGCAGCCTCGTTTGTTCCCTTTCTTCTTTCACAGCGCATCAATGACATAGAGCGACTGCAGCTTTCGGCGTCCTTTCTTTATCGTTCCTTGTTTCGGCATCCTCTCGCCACCAGTCCCTCGTTTCGTATTTTGACTCTCGTTGTTTAGCATTGATCATTCCACCAGCCGAAGCGTTGCTTTCGCCTTTATTTATTTTTGATATCCCAGACGCCCAGGCTTTGAAAATAAGCCTTTGTCCTGAGCCGGCTCCGACAATTGACGGTGATCTTCATAAACTCGATAAGGACGCTCGATCTTGAATCAACAACCACCCACTATCCAGCATGGAATGTTTTCGACAGATCTTTCGGTGCATCAAAGCACCATTCAGGCGTGAAAAGCCGCGAGGGCTTGAAATTGTTAGTTTTCTCGTTCCATTAAAGCGTTGCGTCTTGAAGAAGGGATGACTAACAAAAATACTGTGATACAGGGACACCCTACCAACTTCCGAAAGGAAGAACTGCCTGCCTGCTTCTCGGATGCCGAGTCAGTTCTCTCGCCCAGCCAGGCTCAAGCCGAACGCCCAATTCTGACCAAAGAACTACAGCACATTGACGTCTCAGGACAGCCACGAAGCAACGATCGAGAAGACCGAGACGACGATCGAGACAGTCGCCTGTCAAGTGTCCCCCAAGGGGAAGATCCAGAGCCACGTTCGACGGATGAGCATCAAGCTCATGCCGCTCGCTTCCGAGACCGCATAAACCCATCGCGATGGTTCAAAACGACCAAGGTTGACGTGCCTTGAAACAAAGGCACGCGGTTTAAACAATTTCCCTGTGAGGGGAACCACCCCAAATCGATTGCGAACCCAATTTATCAACAAAAATAGAGAGAAGGAAAATAATGAGATGTTGAGGATTCCATATTCACAACAGAAATGTCGGAACGTTATGTGAGCGGAATTTTTTGGACCCCAGATTGTTTTCGGCGGGACTCTTCTCGTGTGTCTTGCTCGCAGAGGAGTGACCCTTTTTCTTGTCAGGAATAGACGTATTTAACCCTGATGGCTCCGGCAGCTCATCAAGGTCATCAAACAACGATTGCATTCTTGACTTGAAACCCAAAGTCGGTTTTTTGCTCTGCTGGACCGGCGACGGCTTCCATTTTTCCACCACGGCCCTTGTGGCATCCGTCTGCGTGTCTTTCTTAGAGCTTGTAGTCCTTTGTGTCCGAGATGTTTCCCTCTTCGCTTCCGCCACTTTGCTCTCGGTTGCTCTTGTAGATGTAGGGCCTCGATAAGCTGGCCCATCAAGGTCATCTTCATCTGATGATTCCGTCACGGCACCACTAGACTCGTGACTTCTCTTTGCCTCTTGTAGCGGATGAGGCTGAGAGATCGCAGTTCTGCGTCGATTCAGAGTCAACGGAGCTGGCGGCCCGAATCCCGCTGCTGCTCTAGTGAAGGATTTGATTTTTATTCCGAATACTCCGGTAAGAGACCATATACTCTTTTTGGTTGTGATCAACTGGTGAAAATGTGTTCCGGCAAATAGATCCACGTCGTCTTCATCATCACTTTCATATTTCTCCTCATCCTTGACATCCATTGGTTGAAATGCAGCTTGCTGGCGAGCCGCAAGTGCCTCTGCATTCTTTTTCATTTGTAGCTCTTTCGGCATAACCGTCCGGCCATCTGTTGAACGCTCAATGTCATCCGCAGTTATCCTTCCTGGAGCATACCCACGAGGATTAGTATGCCGGTTTAAGACCTTTGAATCGGGGGAGGGCTCGTCCTTCAGTCTTTTTTTGCATTTCGATTGTTCGGTAGAGGAGCTGAACAACTTGAGGTCAGCGATCCTGTCTCTTGTTTTTGACGCGCATTCATTCATATTGCCATACCCATCAAAGAGGTCGCGTTCAGTGATAGACATGTGGGGTTGTGCTAGTGTGACAGCAACACATCAGTTTCACATTCAAGCCAGACTTTTGCGCATCACCTACAGGATTTGAAGGCTTCATGCTTGACCTCACCCAATGGTGGGCTATCTGAGGCTATAAGGTCGTCAGAAAGCGGCTCTCGCTTGACGCGCTTCCGTGCGGGCGACTGCACATCGAAGTCGACGGTGTCATGAGTTGGCATCCATGGCAAGTTCCTGGACATTTTGAGTCATTCAGAAGAGTTGTCAGAGCCATGAAATTCAGTTGTGGTGGCTAGAACGCGTCTAGAAACTTATTGCAATGGTTGTCACGAGTGGAATTGGAGATCTTAGATCGGCGCGATAAGAGATGAGGTCACCCTGACCTGCCGCTGGTGCCTGTCCGGGGACCCAAGGGTTACCCATCACCAAATCTAAGTCTACGTCTACATAGCGAATTTGGTAACCAAGCCTAGCATTGTATAAAGCAACCTCAATCATATTTGGTATCTGATGTAATATTGACAATTTTTTTTAAGTAAAAAAAGCCTGGTAGGCAAAAACAACAATGAAGCCATCAACGCCATCGAATCGCAAGGCCCGGGATGAAAGAATGGGCTCACAGAACGCCTTTAAACCGCCGGGAAGAAGAAAACGCCAATAATTTGTTGCCGCAAATATTCATCTATGCCTCGCCCGGTCGTTTGCTGTTGCAGCTGACAATCTTCACCTTGTCCGCGGTGACGGAGGTCTGGTTGTCCAACTTGAAGGTCACGTCCTTGATCAAAAAGGTCCAGACTTCATCGCAAAATCGGTACGTATCGAGGTGACCCTGAGAGAAGAAAGAAAGAGCGGACAGTCAGCCATCAGATATCTTCATAGAAATGCGCCTCTCTTTCATGAAGGGGGTCGATCCATGTTGTACCTTGAATGTAAGCCTGGCCCGAACGCGGTCAGCCAGGACCTCTGTGACTACTCGGTCAAATGTCGATAGGATCTTCATCGCTAGCTGCGGTTCGATGCGGCCATCGTTGATCAGGTCATCGAGAGTATCGGTCAGAGCGAGGCCGAGGCTAAATAGGTCCAGGTCAGCTTGAAGTTTCCGCTTGCAGATTCTAGGATTCCCCCCTACCTGCTCCCGCGATACAGCTCGTAGTAAGACGTGGCGGACGACATCTCAAACAGATAGCGACAGACTCGACAGCGACTGAGATGGTATCGAACGGTCAGTTAGCTGGACCCGGCCGATGGCGGGGATGGGCGCAATGGAATCACGTGCTTTGACAAAGGCCAGACCGCCTGCGCTTTCCGCCTTATCTACAACTTACGTCAGTAGACTGAAGTGAGCAAAACAGAATACAGTAGCCTCGTTCCTTGTCCTTTCACCTCCCCTTTCGCCTCCAATATCATTCATGATGCTACCGAGGGATCTTTCAATCCTAGTATTCAGGAATGGGACCATCTTTGCCAGCCTCAATGGTCAACCTACCATCCGAGCCTTATCTTCCGCTTCTCCGTCCACAACATCCAAAGGTTGGTAATGACTCCTAAAACGAGATCATATTGCTTGGCGAATTTCGCAAACTTAGACAAAACTGCAGGTCTTGCTCCGGACAATCTCAAAAATCAAGCCGAAACCAAGCCGAACGAATCCCCGTCGAACCCCGCCAGCAAGCTCCAAAGCACGAACCATGTGAAATCTATTGCCCAGGCCGATGCTGAGCTTCGAGAGAGAATGGAACGAATGTCTGGAGAAGGAGGTGCTGCCGGAGTAGAATACGAAGACGGCAAACCAAGTGCCATGAAACGTGGTGTGCGAAACAACATGTTCCGGCTGATTTGAGCGTTCCCATGGCCAAGTTCGCAACGACTACTAAAATCTTAACCAAGCAGTGCACCATGTCAGCGATATACATCCACACAGAGAGAACGATTCTGCCCGGCCTTGATACCCGTTTTAAGGTTAACCGGAGTATGCTGTGGTCTCACGGCCCCTGAGGCCGAGTCTGCCGTGCCATGACTCGCCGAAGATTTGCATCACCTTGCCGACTATGCGACCGTTTTCCTCTTACCTCATCCTGAGTAAAGCTCGCGCTACGAAGCTGGGGGTCTCAGGTATCTAGGTATCCGGGGATCTGCCGATGCCAAGCGGAAAATGTTCGTCATGACGGATTATTCCCCTTTTCTTGAGCGCTAGCATTCCTCATTACGCCGCCTCGGTTGGAGCCGCGCAATCATGCTGGCGCTTAGTTTGGCTGGCACATATATCTTCCTCGAGCTGGCGTGTTTTCGGCAAGGTGGCCAAGGCATTCAGACGCGGCAGCGATTGCGCGGCTCACTGAACGTCGCAATTTCCAAGACATACCAGGATGATCTAGACATTGGCCTGTCCCGGTGTGATCGGCTCTCGGCTGCAAATCATACTCGATTCGGATATACCGTTGAAATATACGAGATGGCAGTGCTGACACCATGGAAACACGGGAAACCAGATTGAAAGAATAATTTGTCTTGTTGAGTTGGCAACAAGCGCTAATCTGGACTTTTGAAACTCCTCATTTGGAAATCACGATCAGTAATTAACTAGACATCAATTCTATTCACACATTCATATTTTCGGTAGTACAGGGGAGTTAATATACCCCTAGAGTGTTCAAGGCTTGTATCTCTCAATATCCTCTAGTGATTTCAAACTCAGCACATCACAAGTAGCATGGAAATCTCAACAGAAAGAAAAAAATCCCATTTCTATATGGTAGGTGCTTCCTGATAACAGCCGATTGAACTGGACATTGGACCATCCTAACTCTTTTTCCCACCACTAGACTCCACCAAAAACATAAGATCAACAGATTCAGAATAAACCCCAGATGCGTGCTTAAAGTCGTAAAAAAGTTTCAATTGCTAGAAACCATGCCAGCCAAGACGCCCGCTCCAATGACTCCTCCATCGGAAGCCTCACGCAAGAAAACTGACTTTCCGCCCCGCTGCGGACCGGTTCGCATGATCAGTCGATCAATATGCTGTTGGCACATTTCTTTGAACTGAGGGTAGTGCTGGATGATGCCGCCTGTGTATGCCACCACCAACTCCTCCGGACCAGACTGCCAATCGGCTGGAATTGGTTGTAGGACTGGGACGACGTGACCGTGGAAGCTATTGTTGACAGGGTTTGGCGTACTGGAAGCTGGATCTGCGGTACTGTCAGGTGCTGCGGCATCGCCGTTACTTTGTGGTGACGCGGCATTCTCGGGGGTATTGATATTGCTATCCTCTTTCAGCTCGATCTCGCGACAGCATGCAAGTAGGCCGATCACCGCGGCAGCGATCAGGCCAGCCGATCGTCGTTGAACAGTCCGAGCAATTCGACGGAAGGCTCCTGCAGTGCGGGCATCCCAGCGCCAGTCGCTACTCTCCGGTGGGGGGAGAGAGCTATTGAGTTCCTTTGCGAGATCGACGTCCGATCGGGCGCGGGCGACATGGTCAGAGATATAGGTAGTAGTCAAGGCGTATTCTTGGATGAGATTTGCTGGGAGGATCCGTTTGGAGAGGCCTGCTATTTCGGTGAGGTAGTCGAACAGGATCAAACGAATCAATTCACCGATGTACCGTCCACCAGTCATATACTCGAATGGCTGAAATCCCGGGCGCGCACAGGCCCGGTCCAGCTCGACATCCCATTTGGTCGTGATGTTCAGCTCCCGGAGTGGTGGCGCTGCGCCTGAAATTGTCCATTCCGTATTGACGATCGTTTCGACGGCCTCTGCGTTCATGGCGTTGACATTCTTTGCTTTGGATTCGTGCAGCGAACTGAGTTTCATTGGGATGGTTGCGTTACATCCCGTTCCCACGATGATACCCATGGCGACCCGGCTGTTAGGCAGGGATTTGACAGCATATGCGAGTGAGGCCAGCGTCGCAACCGTGTCGTTTGTGATGGCTTGGATCTTCAGCTTGGGCAGAGCAAAGAGCTTGCGACGTTTAGAAGACGGCTCATCCTCGTCTGGCCTCCTCGTGTGCTTTTCGTATCCGTTTAATAGAATATTGCGTAGGTTGAGGTTAGATGTAATAGCAAATCCTTTACCCATGGGCATCAATGTAGCCTCAGCCAGGGATTCTTGCCTGCAAATCAATTAGCATTGCTCAACTCGTATGTATGGAGTTAGACAAGATGCGACCCCATGGGGTCCCCCAAAATATAAAATAAAATAAAATGTTTTCGAGAAGCAGGGAGACTGACATTATGGGGAAACTGAAGGTAATTCCCATGTCGAGTTCGGCTGGGATATCCTTCTTGGTGTCATCCGAGGTAAGACTCTCCGCGACCACCTCCGCAATACAATCCCCGATCCAGTCAAATAAATCATCAGCCTTGTCCATCTTTAAATGTTCTTGAATGGGCCATGCTCGCTTCAAGAGTCCGCTTCACTCGCTGTCGCTGAGCTTTGCGGAGGGTATTCCGCGACCTCTCGGAGGCATCTGCGGGGTGACTCTCGGACTCCACCTCACCTAGTAGCTCGATAAAAGCGACTCGGAGGTTGCTACCTCCTACATCGATCGCCAAATAGCGACCGGCTTCCTGGCCGGTGGGTAATTGAGTCACCGGGGTCGGCAAGAATTGCTGGTCTGAGGTCAGGGCCAAATGGCGGTATGTATCGGAGAAGCGGCGCGCCAGCCTGTAGAGGACGGCCTCGTCCAAACACAAGGGGGCAAGAAAGTCATCTAGTCGCTGATGGTACTCGAGGTATTCTCTCTGAGATGGATCCAGCTCGGAACTGGGCTCTTCTGGCTCTTCATCCTCGATGGTATCGTCGTGCATGATGTCATGTTCCTCATCCTTCTCGGACGATATTGAATTAACAGACGCCATTGGAGAGATGTTAGGTGGTATTTAAACCACCCAGGAATGATAAAAGAGACCAAAAAAGGGAACACCTCTCAGAATGAAAAAGGAAAGAAGAAAAAATAAAAAATAAAAGTCAAGGTAGATCCAACGATATTGTTTTCCTAGGCAACAAATGATCTAGGAAGTTCGACTTTTGCCCTTCCGTTTGACTCTGATGGGATGACAGGGAAAGCGGAAGCTAAAAAAAAAATACCTGAACAGAGAGAGGGTTAGGTTAGTAAGGTTGCAATTCACGGGTCGGCCGGGTGAACACTTTGCAAAATGCAAATGCAAATTCAAAATGCAAACTGCAAAATGGTGACGCGGTCTGCTGTGCGGGGAGGGGGGAACAAGCAGAAAAGAAGAAAAAGAAAAAAAAATATTACAGGGGATGATCATGCCGGGAAGGATCTTCAACTGTCATAGAATGTTTTTTCCCTCTCTTTTTCCCTCGTAAATACGTACCTAATCTTGGAAGGTAACTGTGGATTCCGGTCTATCAAGGGGCAAGTTCAAGTTCCAGATGTGATGCTAACGATCCGGGATCGGCCAGGGATCCGACGAGTCTGGAGCTCCTTGGGTAGGTACTGGCGTATATATAGGGCGATGGTGGTATACTCCAGGGCTCCCGTAAGTATATCTGGACCCTCACTGGAGGATATCTTGCCAGTGACTGCCCGATCTCCACTCTTCCCCGTTTTGCCAGGGAGACTCGGAGAGCTCTCTGTCAATTTACGGTTTTATGGTTTGTTAGGGGTTTGCCTCCAACTTGAACTGAACGGAAGAGTGCCAGTGGATCCCCTTTGCCCCTGTGGTCCCGATGGTCCCTGGAGAATCGATGATACTACTACTATGTGTAATATCAACCGAGATGAGAGGTGCTGAGACGATGACCTCTGAAGCGATTTTTTATTGACAAAGGGTAGGTAACACGGGATCAAATCAAATCACAATCAAATCACAATCATATTCGATGGACTCGCCGAGATTTAAGCACGAGCTGGCGGAGATGCGACCATCGGGGAGAGGGGGAGGACACGAGTCGATACCACCCTATTTTCCCTATTTCTATTTCTATCTCTATCTCTATTTCTATTTGTTCATGTTCCTCCTCGCCTCTCTTCCTCTTTCGTGAGTGGTACCGTTGAAACTCTCCCTGTCTCTCCACTCATCACAACTTCCAGCGGCTATTTCGTATTAGGGAATTTACCACGATATATCCAATCTGTGAAGCTAGTCTGACGATCGCAGTCGGAGACAGTTCCACTCTCTGTTTCCACGCGCACACTCCATCCCCCTCCTCCCCGCCATTCCCCTTCCTCCAAACGGGAACTATGTAACCTTACCGGGCCATCCGAACGAGCTGTGATCTCCCCCCTCGTCCTCGGTTAGAAAACTCGGCTACAATCACTTTTGTTCTCGCCTTCAGGCGCCCGCTTGGCTCTCACTCGTTACGGGGGAAATGTAAATAAATTACGCACGGTCGCGAGCCAAAAAGCCCCATGCCCATGCCCATGCGGCAAAGAGTAAAAGTGTGGGGCAACGAAAACGTGCTAAGTTTATCTCGTTCATCGCGCCATTCGCCGAGTTCCTATTTACGATATTTTCTTTTTTTTTCCATTCTCTTTTTATGTTCAACTGCCGTGGTTGGCGGCGCTTTTCTGGCCCAACCCGGGAATGACCGTGTGCATCCGCAATTAACATTGGCGGGCACAAACCCACACCCTAAGCCAGTAGGGTCAACAGAATCAACAGGGTCTCGATCATTTGCTGGCCAGCCACCAAAGAACTGTCAGCTTCCACGCGACTGGTCCAACCTCGTTCCAAGATTTAGCAGAGGGGAGGATCTAAGTTCGGACTCTATCACCTGCTCCCCGTCATCGCGTCGCCCCGTCATCTCGTCATCCAGAAATGCACAAGCAGGCACAAAAGAGAGCCTCACAATACGCGGTGCCACACCGACGGCGCTAAACGGGAACGCCATCGGAAATTTTGAATTTGAAATCCGGCTTTTGCCTCTGGGAATTTGGAGAACTTTCAAAAGCTTGGGCACCGACATCTGGGTAAGGGCCTCCGAAATCGGAGTTCAGGCATGCGAAAGAGATGTATCTATTCGACGCCCTTGTCGATATCGTGGTGGAGGGGTGGAGGGGCTCCGCTGAGTCTCACGAGGCGTTTTAGCGTCTCGGGTTAGGTATTGGGTAATAATAGGCTCGTTCGGCTCCAAGGGCCTGGACACGATAAAATTGATCTTGATCAATGCTCACTAACATTGCCTATCTTAGCAAGGGGAGACGGGAATTCATCAAACTCGACCCACGTATCAACTCCGTATCCTATGGGAACAAACTCACAAGCGAATCTGCCATTGGTGTCCTCTACCCCGTCTCAGCCTGAGACATGAATAAGAATCTTATGGCCGCCTATCAGCATTCATCAACTACCAGAGGTAGTCGAGTGTCCACGGAACTAATCGGCAGCAATTATCTTCTCTTTCCTTCTCTCTCCCGGTCATTTGTTGACCCACAATGGACCCGAAAACATGTACTCCGTCCACCCTCTTAATCCTGAAGCTGGTCAGGTGGGCTGGTTGCCTTGCAGCTGACACATGGCGGTTTACCCGCAGCTTGAATTGCGTGACATGTTTGGTGGCACTAACTAGCCTTAACCGCCTGCGCGGCTTAGGCGAGTACGAAATCGACCCCATGGTTCAAAGCTCCGCACGAATCGAAATAAGCATAGAATAGCTCGTGTCAGCTATGTCCATGAGGCTCGCGTTTTGATGCGTTATAAGGAGAGCTTACGTCCATTTTTCTTTTTCGATTATTGGTAAACAGGGGGACGAATGTTGTGTAGGGTAGCTCATCGACGCATTCATTCGTCCATTTCTGGGTTCTTCAGTGTAACCAATGTTATACGGTGGCTTTGTATAATACGTTCACTAGAGTTTCTTAATGACACACTGGATGAAGGGCGAAGGCGAACGGGATTTATTACATGGGTAGTCTAAACCCATCAATTTAAGTCGTAGTCGAGAATTGATGTTGATCAAGCTTTCGAAAGTCACTTTGATCTCACACCACTCTTCCTCGAGACGAGGACCGTTAGGCAGCTTCTAGTGCCTAGAGATGGGCTAGCTATTCTCATCAGTCAGATTCGTCTTGGCCCTATGATGAAAATATCACATACCACATACCATCCCCCGGGAACGTGCAACTTTGGAGCGGGTTTTCGTCGACGGCAGCTGGATAGCCTTATGAATACACCGTTGAATCTCAGATATCCCCAGGCTCTTGGGATGGCTATGGATTCCTGAACAATTCCTGTTCTTCTTCATCCTTCACGCGCTGATGGATCTGTGAATTTTGGACCAATGAAGTACTTTTTACGGAGGCTTCACACGCAGGCCTGAACTTCCTTACTACATGCTTCACTTCCCTGGTGATACTCACTCTGTTAAATTTAACTGTGGCTCTGCTAACTAGTTCAGACTTTATGATATGGGTACTCTTTCATATTGTCAATATATCAATTGACGTCATATACCACTGGCAAGATGGCCGAGCGGTCTAAGGCGCACGGTTCAGGTTTACCTGATCCTCTGAGATCTATTATAGATTTCCGTGTCTCGAAAGGGGCGTGGGTTCGAATCCCACTCTTGTCACAATTTTTTTAGAACTCTTTTTGCATGCCTGGGTGCCATTATATGGCGGAGCGGAAGTGGGGTGGTCGACCAGCAAGCTAGAGCGGATATAAGGGGTCTGAATCTAGCAAAAGCATTTGATACGTCTGCGGGGCTTGACTGGATACAATCCAGGATTTCAATAAAATATCCATTCTATAATATGATATCTTAATTGTGTTTTAGCTTTGATGAATAGTAGTATAGATCTGACAACAAAATACTAGTACTACTAGTAGTATGGGATATGTCAACAGCAGGCCGAGACCGCGGGCCCCCACAGTAGCTGCCTTACGTAACCCGATTTCCAAGGGGGTCCTAGCAAGAATCACAACTTCTCCGCACTTCATCCCAAACAAAATGGCAAACCTAAGAAAATCAGTCCTCGCCGGGTCTTCCAGCGATATGGAAAAACTGCCTATCCATACTAACGAGGATCTTGCGGGTCCCCAGCCTAGATGGGCTACCGCAGAACAACGCCAAAACAGACCTTCGAGAAACTGCCTGCTTCGTCGCATTTCCATTGCTCTGGTCTTTTTTGCTGGTTTCTATCTGTTTGTCACGAAGGGATCGGAATTCCGCCTTCCTGCGCTATGCCATGCATTCGGTTCTTCCAAGCAAACTATCATGGACCACAAAGAGCAAGCCCATGCGTTGAGCTCCAACAACATGCATGCTCCCGACTCCCATAAGATCCCACTGGAGGCTCACATCATGAGCAAATGCCCTGATGCGCAAAAGTGTCTCAAGGAGTTGATCCTGCCGACTATGGAGCAAGTCAGTGACAAGGTAGACTTCCAACTATCGTTTATCGCGAAGTAAGCGCACATCCAGAGCCCCTCTTGCTTCTGCCCCCCAAACGCGACCTTCTGATACTCATTCATCGCATGTATAGCTGGAATCCCGCGTCGGAAGAGATCGAATGCAAGCATGGCCCAACCGAATGCATCGGCAACATGCTCATACTCTGTGCTGCAAATCTTCCTTTCCCTCCTACATCTGACGAATCGCTGCTCCCAGCAATGTACCCTCGTACTCCTGTCATTCGATCATTGGGTTTCGCAAACTGCTTGATTGATGATTTCCCTCGTATACCAGAACGCGATTTCGTTCACCAGTGCGCTTTGGAGCATGGTGTTGATTTTGACGCATTGAACCGGTGCGCTAGCCAACAGGATGACACCCCCGGCGAATCGCTCAGCGGGATTGCTCTTCTAAGACAGAACGTACAACGAAGCAAGGAACTCGGCGTCACTACAAGTTGTACGGTTCGTCTGGACGACAAGGTCTGGTGCATTAAGGACGATGGTGAATGGAAGGACTGTGTGCAGAATGGTGAGGGTGGTAAACCACAAGTATTGGTTGATCAAATCAACAAACTCTACAAAGAGAAAAATTAGGATTGATACGACGCGCATTGATACCCCCACACAGTGACCCAGTGAATGATTAGCAATATTTTATAATTTATATTCGGGGGTTCCTCTTTTTAACAAACTTGAAAACAAAAGCAAGTGCTCTTCTCGTTTTATCTTACAAGCCCTTGACTTGGTTAGTTCCTAGGTTTGGATTGGAAACTGCCTGATCTCCGAGATGGGCCTCGCTAGTATCTCTCAACATGTTGCCTGCCGTTGCCAAACCACCACCCATCGACCCGTCCGCGCCATCTTTCTTTTTCCCCTCCCTGCACAACCCAATCACGTCTTCGGGCGTCATCATTCCCTTCTGAAGCTGTTCACTTCACCTATTTTGCGGGCCCTACACAGCACGCGGCAACCTCGCCAACAATGGTTTCTCTCAATCGGAAGGTGGCTGAATTGCGAGCCAAATACAGTGGTATCAACGAGCCCTCTCCTCTTCTCACACGAGTTCTGGATGACGACACCAAATCGTCGGCCCTCTACTATGTAGTCAATCGCCAGGTGCAGCATATTTGCTGCCACTCCTCGAGCTGGGATGATGGCGAGGTGACGATCTACGACACGGCACTGGTCCGCATGTACGAAGAGGGCCTGCCTCTTCAGAACATTGGTCTGCTCGAGCTCTTCTTCGCCGAGTACATGGGCCTCGGTCTTTGCAGCTCCTCTGAAGAGGAACAGGCAACTGTGAATGCCTTCCTTGCAGCAGCCCATCCCATCACACACAATGGTCGGTACCTTTTGCACCTATGCCTCACCCCTCCAAGTTGGCCCAAAGTTTAACGAGTCGCAATAGCTACGGCGGACACTGGGAGCTCCTACGTTTATCAAAGCCAGAATGGCCGAGAGTATTGCGATACCATTTACCAAGGAGACAAACAGGAAGACAAACAAGGAGATAATGTCGGCCACCGATCTGAAATGAGCAACAAGGACAATTCTAAGGACCCTTCCAAGGATATGCGGAGCCCGAAGACTGAATGTGATCTCAAGGATGACAAAAGGCCCCCGCCCCGGAAGGAGGCTTTGCTGGAGAACCTTGTTCAAGTCTACCATACTGCCAAAGCTGATTACTATATCGGCGACGCAGACAAGTCTGGTATTTCAAGCAAGAAAACCGACAAGTTCAGCAATGTTCGCTTCCTCCGAGACAGCTCCGAGAATCTACTTCGTTATATGAGATCCGAGGGTTACGACAATCATCCGCTGGTAACTGAGGTGGAAAATGTCGCCGATGCAAGCCGTGAACATGCCGAGCACCTTGCTGGTTGCAAGAGAAACTATGAACAACGGGAGGGTACCAACCACGCTCACTCTCAGCGGTCACAGAAGCGCCGACGCTGGAACCGAGGCGTCGACTCATATCGCCCTGGAAATTAAAAAGAAAATACAACTATGGGAGTGCTCTGTCGCGGGGGAGAGTATGGTGTGTTTTACTCGCAGGCGGGTGAATCCAGAGAATCAGCAATGCCTGGGAGGTATTTTCATGTTTTTTCACTGAATCTGCGGTGCAGAGACAGACAGATTTTCCACCAATTCCAAAAAAGTCTACTTTTGCCATATTGTTACTTTGGGCTCCCATCACTGACCCTTTGGCTCTAAATTCTCCGATGTATATTCCCCGTAGTTCAGCCCTGTAACAACAAACCTCCTTCCAATGAGACAAAACGGTAAACCCGCTGGGGAACGCGTCGATCGGCGCTAAACCACTTTGGTCGCATCTCCACGTGCCGGGATTACGTAACATTTTGCGGTCTCGAGGTCAAGTCAGCTGGCAATCCGACATATTTTTACGGCCAGGAGCAGCTCCATCCATGGAGCTGGTGCGGAGATCATAATTCTGGGGAAATCCCGCTGAAAGAATCGCTACCTACGATAACCGGACGAGAATGGGCTCTCTTCACATTCCTCCTCCCGCTGCGGGGAATGCGCGATCCGACGATTCCGCCTCCTCTTCGAACTCACGATACACGCCCGTCTCCAATGATCTGGAAGAACAAGAACAAGAACAAGAACAAGAACAAGAACAAGAACAAGAAGGATATGACTACTCAGCGTCAAGGTCGGGGAAAGCGCCCATGGGAAACTTGCGGTTGCAGACGGATTTTGGAGATGATGCGGAGATGGCCGAGCCTGTTTCTGGAGATGAGGATAATCGATATGATTCCGATGAGGATGTAGAAGGGAAGACGGGGCGAGCTGGAGATGGTCCGAAATACACGCCGGAAGAAGAGAAAGAAGTTGTTTCGGTATTTGATCGACGTCTGGTCCCATTCTTGGCCCTACTTTATTTGCTGGCTTTCCTGGACCGTTCAAGTAAGCTTGCCTTGGATTTGAAGTTTGAAGATCTATATCATGCTGACTGGCGGAAATAGATATCGGAAACGCAAAAATTGCCGGTCTACAAGATGATCTCAACCTCTCATCTTCGCAATATGAATGGTTACTTACCGCATTCTACATTACTTACATTCTCTTCGAATGGATGACCCTCATGTACCGCCTGGTACCACCACATATCTATATCTCCGTCTGCGTCTGTGGATGGGGCCTCGTGGCTTCATTTCAATGTCTCGCCACATCATTTTGGGGACTTGTCGTCCTCCGTGCTTTGCTCGGAATTACGGAAGCGGCCTTTGGCCCTGGTGTTCCGTTTTACTTATCACTGTTCTACAAGCGTGATGAACTTGCATTTAGAAATGGGCTTTTTATTTCAGCGGCTCCTCTCGCAACCTCTTTTGCGAGCACCTTGGCTTGGATCATCGTTAAGATCAGCAGCAATGGCGCCATTTCTCCCTGGCGTATCCTCTTCTTGGTTGAGGGCTTCCCAAGTGTCATCGCTGCTGTTTTTGCTTGGATACTCATACCCGACTCTCCTGGTCGAGCTCGCTTCCTGACTCGCCGACAGCGAGTCATTGCTCGACTTCGTCTCGAGGGGAAAATGGCCGAACCCCAGCATTCACAGGAGCAGCAACGGTTTAACTGGGGGGGAAATCAAGAAAACACTTACCGACCCCAAGGCTTACATGGCTGCTGTGAGTTACCATTCCATGCATGTTTTCTACAAAGCCGAAACTAATCTTCTTTTTTCAGTTTATGTTTTTCAGCTGCAATGTTGCCTTCAGTTCCATGCCGGTGTTCCTCCCCACTATTATCAAAGAGTAAGCTTGTCTCATACCCACGACCAACATAAATCTCTGACCCCAGTAGTATGGGATATGACTCCCTTCACGCCCAAGCGCGTTCCGCGCCCCCATATCTCGTCGCATTCGTCGTCGTCCTCCTAACAGCTTACGCATCGGACCGTGCACGCACACGAAGCCCCTATCTCATCGCACACGCCCTCATCTCCTCCGCTGCGTACCTCGCCATCGCAGCAACAGGTTACTTCCAGGATCACATCTCTCCAGGGCTGAGCATATTCATCCGATATGTTTGTGTATTTCCAGCTACGGCGGGATTTTTCTCAGCAATCACATTAATTATCACCTGGTCAATGGATAACCGAGTCGAAAAAGAGGGTAAGGGAGCCAGTATCGCCATCTTGAATGTCATCGGGCAGTGTGGACCATTACTTGGAACACGATTGTACCCTGAGTCCGACGGGCCGTGGTATGTTCGTGGTATGGCAACTTGCTCATTTTTCATGATTGTCGTCGCCGTTTTGGCCCTCGTGTTGCGGATCTTGTTACAGAGAGAGAACCGCGCCGCCGCCAATGATGAGGACCACGGGACCGTGGATCCAGGCGAGGAGCGAGAAGAGCTGATGGGCGGCAGAAGAAGGGATGATTTTGAACGATCTGGTGATCAAAGGCTTGTGTATATCATTTAACGTCCATGGTGGGTATCATTTCATGCATTTGGCGTTGTTGTTTCAATGCTCTATATACCCTCATATCTAGAGAGGCTATCTAGTCATCAATCCACACGGAGAACTTACTGTTCATGGGAATTATGATTCAACGAACCTTGGACGGCGTAGAAGGGAGTCCGGATGGGAAAGTTGACATTTGAAAAGGCTTGATGTAATTAAATTTTGCAGTATCTCACTAAAGCTTGTAGTAGAAAAATGAATGGCCTGAGCCCGAAGCAAGCCGAATCCGAGTCCCTGGGATTGAGAGACTCCAACCATCCCAGGCCGTAAGGTATTAGACGATAGAGTACCAGGACCTAGAAGAGATGGGAAGTTCAAGCTCACTCTTATCGATGGGGTTCGATGCAACATGCAACCTAGTTACAGCGCCCAGCATGTTGGACAAAATCGACACTGCCCAATGCGGTTCGCTTTTTGATAGATGGCCATTTCCAGATCTCGAGTCTGTGGTCTGCGGGGCTGGCTCTTTTTGGTTTACTTGCGTTGTATTATTGGGTATCATGGTTATCGTTGCGCAAGCATTTACCACGCGGTGTGGCCACCATCGATGAGCATAGTACTGCCTGTCATGAAGCTGCTAGCATCGGAGAGAGCGAAAAGGGCAGCACCACGAAACTCCTCTGGCATTGCCAGACGACCAAGCATGTTCTCAGCCTCCCAAGTGGCGCGAGCAGCAGGATTTTGTTGGAAGACCTCCTCGACCATTGGGGTGATGATGTGGCCGGGGCACAGGCTGTTGACACGAATGCCGTGACGGCCCCACTCCATTGCCAGTGAGCGAGCCAGTTGGATGACGGCAGCTTTGGAAGAGTTGTAAACTGGCGAGATCATGCCCTTGTTCGCGATAAGGCCGCTCATACTGGCAACCAACAAGATAGAGCCCTTGACCTGGTAGTTGAACATCTGGCGAGCAGCAGCGGTAGCGGAGTTGAAGACCCCATTGTAGTTGATAGTCATCACATCGTCCAAAGCTTGCTGGGAGTGCTCCAGGGCACTAGAGAGATGGTTGATACCGGCGGCGGCGATCAGACCGTCAAGACGTTCGTGTTGAGCGGCAACAGCAGCAAATGTGTTGTTCACTTCGGTGTTGTTGCGTACATCGATACGGATATACTCTAAAGTACCGCCATACGCGTTTTCAGCTTTCTCCTGGGCCTTGATGAAATCGGGATGAGGGGTCTCGAGGCGATCGAGAGCATAAACTAGGATTGAGATTAAAAAAGGTTATGTGTATAGAAAAAAAAGAAACATGAGTCAATTGCATACCTTTGGCACCGGCCTCAATCAATGCTTCCCCCATTGAGAGTCCCAGCCCTCGACCGCCACCGGTTACGGCGAATACACGGCCCTCAAGGTCGAACTCGCGGAATCGATTAGCATTGCGTAGCTGTTTTTTGGATGGTAGCTTGGACTGAATGTGATCGGGTTTGTGAGAGATGCTGTGTATATCCTGTGGATTAAATACACTCTTGGTGCTTGAATATAGCCTGGTCGCGGACGATGCAAGCACACGCGGAGCACAGATATTGGCGGCGCCAGAGAAGCGAGCGCGAGCTGGGGCGAAAGCCCGAGGCATTGAGAAAGACATAGTTATTAAGCGTGGGGATCAAGGTCTGGCAGAACGTTTGAAAGTGACAAAAATAGCCTTTGACAAAGAATTAAGCTGTGTCACGGGCGGGGTATACAAGTCGACGACACGCAAGTATGCAAAATATCTGAACGCTGGCCTCATGGCTCTCTTGGGGGAATGGGGTTTTATGTCTAAGGGTTACCGACGCGGTATTTCCCATCAGAGGTAACCGAAAGCAAAGTCGTTTCAATTCGAAGGGGTGCTAAGAAGAAAAAAATTCTAAAAAAGAAAAAGAAAGCACCGCGTGACACTGGTGGATTTGCCTGTTGCTTTCACCATGACTCAAGATCCAGACAAATCGACCGAGAGCATCCACGGGTTGGCCGATTGCCACATCAGCTGGGATCAATTGGCAAACGCTATGGGGTAAGGGGTATCCTCCGCCTGGCAGTACAATGAGCCCCTAGACTAACGCGCCGTCTCATCGGCATCGTGATCTCTCATCATAGCTGAGAACGGTAATCCTTCGAAGGCTTCGATGGAATGGTCCACTTCGGGCGGGTCCCCGAAGTATTTTTTTTGCAGATCTGCAAGCCCTTGCTAGCCAGCTTTAAACGGGCCTGGGGTGGAGATGAAGGTGGAGTCCAGGCGCTTCCAGGGCATCTCCCGATCCTCCGAACCCCAGACATAGCCAACGAGGAGCTGGGCATGGGATCTCGTGTCTATTCCCCGTGCATGTACCGTAGATGCAAGCCTCCAGGGTAGCAGCAACAAAGACCACGGCACTGAAGGGCCTGGATCCACCGATTAAGAGCAGAATTTCGAAAGGATCCGGGCCCCTGGAACAGGTCAGTTGACTGGAATTCCTGCGCGAACCCCCGCTAAAAATATAAAATATGATGGGCTCGGGGCAAAAGAACGGACGATGCTGCAAGCTTCCTCGGGATGTCCAAATCGGGTAACCCTTGGAAGGCCCGGATTCACACCGACGTGGATCTCGCAGTGGTACAACAACGTCGAAATGCGAGCTTGACGCTTTTTCGGTGAGTTCAAAGAAGGTCTAGTATTTGCTCTTCAGTCGGTCAATCTTTGTAGCTGGTGCATTGCATGTTACCAATTCCATAAGAAAGGACCGGTCTCGACCTGGCGCCCCGGGTTCCCCAGGTTTCTCCATTGACTCCGACCCATTTCAGCGCTGTTTATGGGACTGGGTCCCAACGCTGTCCCAACTGCTGTGAAACAGTACTTCTGTCCGGGAGCTAGGTTCCGCGATCCACCGGGAATACCGATTAGCTCAAAGCTCGCATATTTGGCCACCCTTCGGCACCGAAGACAAGGATCGTCGATGCATAGAATTCAGCCTCGAGCGTCCTCGAAGGAAGCGTTCGTGGTCACCTGGCCCCGGTGAAAAAAGATAATAGATATTTTTCTGGCAAATTTATGGACACGTCAACTCTCCGAAGACCACAGACACGTCGGCCCATTTTGCCATGAACCGGTGTGCTTCATGCACCTACATAGGATAATGTCTAGACTTCGCCATGGGAATTTTACCCTTTTACCCAGATTTTACCCAAATTAAAGTCTTTCTACCGGTTCAAATTGGGGAATGGTACTTGGCCGCTTTTCTTTCATATGAACTATAATCTCCGCGCTATCGGAGTTTATCTCAAGAAAGATTTCGCTTAATTTAGATACTTTGAGCGTGGAACTCCGAGCTCCAGAAAGTAGCGGGTATAAGCAATCCCTCCTGAAATGGCTCTCTTCTATTCGTCTCCGCTTCTGCATGGACAGCCACAATTCGAACCGAACTACCGCTCTGCTTGCGGCTTTCATTTCCAGCTTAAGCCCTGGATAAATCAATAAGATCATAGTGAAGACATAAAAGTATTCGTATTATCAGTCAATTTTGGCTCATGTCTTAGTGCATATTGGTATCTCAGTAATACTAGTACTTCTACTACCTAGCTTATCCTGTATGTGTAGTCTATAACAGACAAATAATTTCAATTTATCTCTTCTGGTAGAAGAGGTACGAGACAATATTAGCCACTAGTGTATAATGAGTAATTTTTCTGGCTGTTTACTATTAGAAGGCCACCATATGCAGTTTGGTCGAAGACGCCCGGAACCCCGAGCAAACCACAACTCCGATCATCGTGCTGATGATGAATTCATCCAGACTAGGTGTCACATTTTACAGTAGATGAAGTCTATATTATGCAGCTAATTTGTATTGATTTCAATAATCTTTAATATTCAAAGCTATACTATGGATCTCTGAACCCCATTTTATACGTTACACAGCTTTCTGGCTGTCATTTCAAGCTTGCTCCAATCAACAACCTTGGCACAAAACAATTTCTCCTCCCATACATCTGCAATTTCCATTTGGCTCCCGATGTCTTCGAAATATGCCGTAGCCCATCTATGTTCTCAAGGGCCCGGCGATGCGCGCCCTACTGCGCTTGAAATCATCAATGACGAAAATCTAGTGGGACAGCTCACTGATAAGGTCATCCTTATTACGGGCTGTTCTTCGGGCCTTGGGGTTGAGACTGCCCGCGCATTTTCTGCTACTGGCGCCACGCTCTATCTAACAGCGCGCGATCTCAATAAAGCGCAGTCCGCCTTAGGTGACCTAGTCAACAAAGGAAATGTTCATCTATTACAGCTAGATCTAAACTCATTATCTAGCGTCCGCAACTGTGCTACCAACTTTCTTTCTAAATCGTCAACCCTGAACATTCTTGTTTGTAACGCGGGTGTTATGGTTCCGCCCGAGGGTCGCACAGTGGATGGCTTCGAGACTCAGTTTGGCATAAATCATTTGGCCCATTTTCTTCTCTTGCAGCTTCTGAAGAATAGTCTTCTCTCATCAGCCACGACTACAATGCCGTCGCGTGTCATCATGGTATCCTCTAGCGGCCACCGCATGAGCGAAGTTCAATTCGACGACTTCAACTTCGCCTCTGGCTATGATGCGTGGAATGCCTATGGACAGAGCAAAACAGCTATGATTTGGACTGCGAACGAGATTGAAAGACGATATGGATCTTTGGGGCTGCATGCTTATAGCATCAATCCAGGGATGATTTCCAGCGGACTTCAAAAGCATGTTACTGTTGACATGATGAATGAATGGTCGAATGTTCCCGGGTTGCAGGAAGCGTTTAAGTCACCGGGACAAGGTTCTGCTACGACTGTTTGGGCCGGAGTGGCTCAGGCCCTCAAAGAACAAGGGGGGGCAATATCTCGAGGACTGTCAGGTTGTTGGTCCGTTGGCAGCCGATGCTGGGCCACTGGATCGAGGATACGCTCCCTGGATATTAGATAATTGCAAAGCACGGAGGCTCTATGAGTTGTCTTTAAAACTTGTTAGTTAAACATATAGGTTTTCAGGTTGGTTCTTGCTATTCGGTGTCAATGAGATAGTAGGTGTCCAAGAAGTAGTGAGAGTCATTCCAATATATCCTCTAGGCAAATACAAACCTCTGAGCAATACTAGTAGTTATAATTCAGTACCATCAGCGCTTCCTGTTATAAAAACCACATTTCCATTTTGTGAGAGTTGAGGGCAAGGCGGCCGGGCAAGGCTCCAAATATTGCTCAGTGATGTGGATCCGCAGAAGACGACGATGTGATTGTGTTCGCTGCTCAATAGTTCATCCAGCCTACTGTCTCAACCACTCTGGTAGTTGGTGGAATACTAGCACCGGACCTCCCTCCTACTTGTTGGGCCCAGAAGGTTCCACTGGTTTTAATAGACCTGCTATGTATTATGCTAGCTAAACTATATCCACTCTTCTGGAGCTCGGAGTGCGCTCGAGGTATCCTAACCCTAGGAGCCAAAGAGACTGCCAGTGCGTCTTTTCTCTGCATCCTGATTTGTCTTTCATGCGTGCTGCTGTCATCCCCAGTGCGTGTCGATTGCATCAGCCTTTATTCCGAACCAGCGGGGGTGAGGCGCGGTGTGGCTCTAGGTCGAGATAGTTATGTTCTCGATTGAATGGCGACAGATCTCTGATCAACTCTTGAGCTACGGGCTCTCTTGCAGACTTCTTGTATATGGGAGGTTTCTCCTGATGCTCATGTGCGGGATTGGAGGGACTGCCAGACTAATGGTCATTGAACAAGAATTGGCCTAAGATAATAGTCCTTGCGTATGTTCGCCGCTATTCCAGATCAACCAAGCCAGGTGCGTTTATCTGACCCCCCGCGCTGCGTAGACTTCCAAAGTCCAACTTCATGAGTAGCCGGTCCACCCCTGCCGGCTTACGCGGCTGGTAGTGACTGAAGCTGGGGCCAGTGCTCCCATCAGGCCATCTTCTTGGCCCTGTTGTGCCGTTGCTAGCAGGGTAGTCTGAGCCCGAGCGTCGCTCGTCAATGTCCCGCAGAGTCGCGACAAGATCCTGAATGCCTGTCTTAACGTCTTTGCGCGTCTCCATCAGTTCCTGCCAAACTTCTCGCTCTTCCTGTGCGTAGTCTACCAGCGCATCCACAACACCTTCATCCGTCTCTAGATCCATATTTCGTTGGATGGTATCCAGTCTGATTGTGAGGGCAACGAAGCGATCGACACTCGTCAGGAGAGTCCGAAGTACACTGGTGAAGGGTACGTCTGTTAAAAATAAGGACTGGATGACGCTCGTTAAGTGGCGTCGATGTGCGACAGTCAATGCTTCTGGGTCATGTCGACCCATGGACGCTGTGCCTGGTCGAGATGATGGTCGGCTAGACGGGTGATCAAGAGGAGTGGTCTGAGACGTTCTTGGGGCCTTGAAAGAAGTCGCCGTCCCAGGCCGAGAATTAGGAGCAGATGTGGGTAATACGTTATCCTTTTCTATCCATTCACGGAGGTGTTGCCAGGACTCGTGTATCACCTCGCCCTGGAAGAAGCTGCCAATCTCCGAAAGAACAAATAGACAGGCACTGGAAGTCGCCCATATTGGTCGCATTTGCTGCGTGCGAGAATTTGTCCTCTCACGGTTCTGCCTCAGCTTATTCTGCAAGAAGGCATTGTTGCTTCGTGGTGGCATTCGTGCGCTGCCATGAGTTCTGCGAAGAGAGGTTCGTTTCCACAAATCACCGAGGCGGATTTGGGCGCGTCGAATTCCGAGGAGATAAGAATGAATCTTGGAATATATTGCAATATCGGAACTTGAGAGGAACAGGTCCAGGGGCGCGCGTACCTGGGCCGTTAAGCATGTTGGGGTAGGGAAAAGGAGGTCCTCAAATGAGACCCTGGCAATTTCAGGGATAGTGTTGGAGCTATACGATGGGGTTGCAGCACAGTCATTCCTCCCATCACTGACCGACAGCCTAAGGAGCTCGCGAGCCAGCTCTAATCCCTCGTCTGCTGGATCCTCTTCTTTTTGTAGGGAGAACAGTTCAGCCCATGCATGGGCCAACGAAGTCACCACATCCCCTTCCTTGATAAGAAAGCTGTCCAATGCACCCGACTGCTGAATCCGAGCTAGTGCACCGCGTCGCCGACTTTCCTCAATTCTAGAATCAGCATGTGCAACAAGCGCCACCGCAAACTCCCCCCGTCCGAGGAGTAGAAAGTCGTTGAGCAATGTGAGCATCTCGAGTATCTTGGGCAAGGGAAGCAGTTTAGATAAAGCGGATTGGGACAATGATAGTCGAATGCAGTCTACAGCAGTAGAAAGCTTGGGGGATGATATAGGCAATTTGAGACCAGAAAGCTGCTCGATATGTTCCTGGTACAACTTCACTGGCGCAGTTGATATTCCACTGGGGGTTTTTCGTTTCGCACGAATGTGATTTAACGACTTGCCGATGAACAAAATAGACCCTGCTGTTTGCTCAGAGACGAAGCTCGGGAGCAAATCCGTCTGCATCTTGAACTGAGCATCGTCTTGCTCTCTGTTGGGATCCTCTTGGATAAAAAAGTCCTCCTTGCCATACATGGGCAATTTACCATATAACAGCCACATGGAGAGCTGTTTCATCCATGCCGTTTCTGCTGCGGTCACAAGTTGAATGGCCATGTCTTTGATGTCTAGGTATCCGGTTTGCAGTCCATCGCGCAGGTGATTGATTAGTGCAGCCCCCGAGCACCCATATCGAAGGCCTGAATAGCGGGTTTCCGGTTGAATGAAGGTAATAATCTCCCATAGCCATTCTAGACGTCGTGTCCAAGGCGTGAATTCCCCAACGATCGTGGACAGGGAACGATTCCATAGCCACCGACATAACCGCTATCTTCCGCAAGAATCGCCTTCTCGACTTGGAGGATCTTTTTCTGGAATTCGCCGAGGTGAGTCGCAACGATAGTCGTAGATACGGAGCGGCAGATGACAGAGCGATGTGAGGAAGATATGAGGGAGGTATGTGATCGTAGCTTGGCGTGAAGCTCACTCAAGCGGGCAATCGATCCGAGGAGGGCTTTCTCCGGGGGAGAGAGAAGGGCGAGATCATCTTGCGGGATAGCGTCTTCCACCTGTGGAGAACCGAGGAGGGGCGACGGCTGGCCGGAGAGGGAGAGGAGGATCTCGTGGAGCATCCTGGCCGACGCTCACTGCGGATCTATTCAGTCAATTTCTGTGTCCAAATGGCCTCAGATCGACATCACAAAGCTCACTGACCTGCGGGACTGGGTGTATAGTAGGACGCGTCCTAGGAGCTCGAAACGACACATCGAACTGCCTGAGCGATGCGCTAAGAGGGTTGGGCGTGGCAAGTAATTGGTTGAGGCACCGAAATAATTAGCAGAGCTTTGCACTATCTTGTAAGATCAAACGCAAGCCATGCTTGCTTTTTTCAGTCCTGTTCCTGTTCCTGTTCCTATCGCGTCGCGAAACCGAAAGAGCGAGAGCGACGGGGAGTTTGAATGGGGAAGCAGCCTGAGGCATCTTTTCCTTCCAGCCCCACCAAAACTAAGAGGGGAATCGTAACGGGCAGTGGGATTGCAAGTTTCACTGAGAAATCAAGATTATTAACAGTATTGAATATTCTCAATAGTCCTTCTATATTCATTGAAATTAATTAGTTGAATTACATCCTACTACTGGTGGCCATAATGCGTGTTATCAATTATCAATCTCTGTAGTTTACCCCTCTTAAAAATTCCATAGCTGGCCAGCCTTTAGCAAACATGGAATTGTTTACTTCTAACTATTCTTTCATTATATTCGAATTTGAGATTTCAAATCTAGTTATTTCTAGCAGATCATTATTAATCCAATAATGCCTTGGGCCAGAGTGAAGTGAAGAGGCACGTTAACTATAGTTCGCTGTGGATTAGTCATCACAGCTGCCTCATTACGTCGCCGCGGACATTGGGACATCCCTCCACCTCATCCACCTCATCTACTCTTCCACTCTTACACTCTTACGCTCATCCTTCCTCTGACCTCCCCCCTTCATAAAATCTTTCTTGTACAAAACCACTCTACTCTACTCGCATTTGTACACGCGGGCTGCTTCTGCCTTCTATCTCGTTGGTACGCTAGGTCTCTTCTTCCAGCACTGTCGAAGGCCTTGCTCATCGAGCGAGACTTTCAGCCTCTGACTTCCATCATTCCTTCGGATCTTGCTGTTCGTGAGTCGGCTAAGCCGGTAAAGCGCAGAGCGTCTGAAGACGACCCCTCATCTCGGCCTCAGAAGAAGAACATGACCGTATGTTCATCAACCCTGCAACATCCCATCCCGCTTTGTCACTGACCCACTCCTTCCCTCAGGACGGCACCATGCAGGTCGATAACCCCCAAGAAACCGTGGAGCTCATCAAGCAAGGCGAGATTGATGAGAGTCTGTACAGCCGTCAACTGTGAGAGCCCTCTCCCCAACAAATACGAATATAGTTCCGATTTCTAATCATTTCTAGCTATGTTCTCGGCCACGAGGCCATGAAGCGCATGGGCTCCTCCAATGTTCTTGTTGTAGGTCTCAAGGGACTCGGTGTTGAGATTGGTGAGTGACGACGTCTCCAAATGCTCCATTGCCATTTGCCTAATTTTAGCCTCTTGCAGCGAAAAACATTGCCCTTGCCGGAGTTAAATCCCTCACCCTCTATGACCCCGCACCCGTCGCCATCTCCGATCTTTCCTCTCAGTTCTTCCTCCAACAACAAGATGTCGGCAAGCCGCGTGCTGATGTCACCGCCCCGCGAGTCGCCGAACTCAACTCCTATGTGCCAGTTACTATTCATGAAGGCGGGAACCTCGTGGGGGATCTGGAACAGCTCAAACGTTACCAGGCCGTGGTCTTGACCCAAACACCACTAAAGGAGCAACTGGCTATTGCAGACTTCTGCCACAAGAATCAGATCTATCTGACCATCGCAGACACCTTTGGACTTTTCGGTTATATCTTCAATGACTTTGGTAAGAACTTCACTGTTGGTGATCCTACTGGCGAGGACCCTGTTGGTGGAATCGTTGCCGACATTGCCGAGGATGGTCTCGTTTCTGCGTTGGATGAAACCCGTCACGGACTAGAGGATGGCGACTTTGTCACTTTCACCGAAGTCAAGGGTATGGATGGCTTGAATGGCAGTGCCCCACGCAAGATTACTGTGAAGGGTCCCTATACTTTCACCATTGGCGATGTTTCCGAGCTCGGGTCCTACCAGGGCGGCGGTCTCTATACTCAAGTGAAAATGCCCAAGTTCATCGATTTCCAGCCTTTAGCAGAGCAGCTCAAGAAACCCGAGTTCTTGGTTTCCGATTTCGCCAAATTCGACCGGCCGCAGCAGCTCCACATCGGTGTTCAAGCTCTCCACCAGTTTGCGGAAACCCATCAACATCAACTACCCCGCCCACACAACGATGCTGATGCTCAGGAGGTATTGAAGATTGCCACCGAGCTTGCTTCTGCGGAGGAGGAGAAGATTGAGCTTGATGAGAAGATTCTTAAGGAGCTGAGCTACCAGGCTCGTGGTGATCTCAACGCATTAGCCGCGTTCTTTGGTGGTATTGCTGCCCAAGAGGTCCTGAAGGCCGTCTCTGGGAAGTTCAATCCTGTACACCAGTGGATGTACTTCGACTCCCTGGAGTCTTTGCCCTCCAATAGTACTCGGTCCGAGGAGAGCTGCAAGCCTATTGGCTCTCGCTATGATGGCCAGATTGCGGTTTTTGGAAAGGAGTACCAGGAAAAGCTCTCCAATGTGAAGCAGTTCCTCGTTGGTGCTGGTGCTATTGGTTGCGAGACTCTGAAGAACTGGGCCATGATGGGCCTGGGTACTGGTCCCGAGGGCAAAATCTTTGTCACCGACATGGACCAAATTGAAAAGAGCAACCTCAACCGTCAATTCCTCTTCCGCCCCAAGGATGTGGGCCGTCTTAAGAGCGAATGCGCCTCAGCTGCGGTTCAGGCCATGAATCCCGAGCTCAACGACAAGATCGTCACTCTCCGCGACCGCGTTGGGGCCGATACGGAGCACATCTTTAATGAGGATTTCTGGAATGGACTGGATGGTGTGACCAACGCTTTGGATAATGTGGATGCCCGTACGTACGTGGACCGTCGCTGTGTCTTCTTCCGCAAGCCTCTCCTGGAGAGCGGCACTCTCGGCACCAAGGGCAACACCCAGGTTGTCCTGCCTTTTATCACCGAGTCCTACTCAAGCTCTCAGGATCCACCCGAGAAGTCGTTCCCAATGTGTACACTGAAGAGTTTCCCTAACCGCATTGAGCATACTATTGCCTGGGCTCGAGATCTTTTCCAGACTTATTTCGTCGGTCCGCCGGAGTCTGTGAACCTGTATCTTTCGCAGGCCGACTACATTGACCAGACACTCAAGCAGGCGGGCAACGAGAAGCAAACTCTGGAGCACCTCCGTGACTTCCTGGTTACAGAGAAGCCTCTGACCTTCGATGACTGCATTGTATGGGCTCGTCAGCAATTCGAGGCTCAGTACAACAATGCTATCCAGCAATTGCTCTACAACTTCCCAAAGGATTCAAAGACTTCTTCGGGTCAACTCTTTTGGTCTGGCCCCAAGCGTGCACCAACTCCTCTCAAGTTTGATAGCGCCAATCCCTCTCACATTGGTTTCGTGATTGCGGGCGCCAACCTCCATGCCTTCAACTACGATATTAAGAACCCCGGTGCGGACAAGGGCTACTATCGTAAGGTCGTCGATGATATGATCATCCCAGAGTTCACACCCAGCTCCAACGTGAGGATTCAAGCCAACGAGAACGATCCGGACCCGAATGCCCAACCCTCTGGATCGACCAATGACGCCGACGAAGTCCAAAAACTTGTGGCTACTCTGCCATCGCCTAAATCTCTCGCCGGCTTCCGTCTACACCCCGTCGAATTCGAGAAGGACGACGATACGAACCACCACATCGACTTCATCACGGCTGCTAGTAACCTCCGCGCTGACAACTATGAAATTCCTCAGGCGGATCGTCACAAGACCAAGTTCATTGCGGGCAAGATCATCCCCGCTATTGCTACTGCTACTGCCCTGGTCACCGGTCTGGTGGCTCTAGAGCTGTTCAAGGTTGTCGACGGCAAGGATGATATCGAGCAGTACAAGAACGGCTTCATTAACCTTGCGCTGCCATTTTTTGGATTCAGTGAACCGATCGGCAGCGAAAAGGGCAAGTATCAAGGCAAGGAGGGCGAAGTTACCATCGACCGACTTTGGGATCGATTCGAGGTGGATGACATCCCTCTCCAGGAGTTCTTGGATTACTTTGCCAGCAAGGGTCTGGACATCACAATGGTCAGCTCTGGAGTTAGCTTGCTTTATGCCAGCTTCTACCCCCCTTCAAAGGTGAAGGACCGTCTCCCGCTACCGTAAGTATTATCTCCCTCGTATAGACTATATTTAGCAAAACCCCGCTAACGCCACTTCATAGGATGAGCAAGCTTGTCGAGCACGTCAGCAAGAAGCCGGTCCCCGACCACCAAAAGAATATCATTTTCGAGGTGACGGCCGAAGATCAAACCGAGGAAGATGTGGAAGTCCCTTACGTGATGGTCAAGCTGGCGAAATAAACAGGTTCAAGAGAACCAACCCAACCAAAACCCAAAGCCAAGAAACAGTACCATATAAAGATGTGGCTCAGAATAGTTAGAGTAACGATTATTATCAACGACCCAGTTTCCCGCTTAGAATTACCATCACCAATCCATTGTTCATGCTTATGAAATCCTTATTTTCTTATCCATCGAAGCTTGCGATGCATGGACCACCTTCCGGTTCAAGCTTAGGCGCGTATTTGCATTACACACTGCAGCCACCGTATCAGTCAGAATCAAGTAAGCATACTATCTGGTCAACGTCACCCCGCCGTAAGCCCGCCTTTTTTAATTCTTTCTTTCTTTCAATTCCAATAAACCTCGGGAAGAACTATAAAATCACCAGTCTGCCCATGCTCTTGACTCTTCTGCGCTCATCGGTGTTTTATCATCTTCCACACTCTACACGTCAAGCGGGGTTCCTTGCAGCTTCCAACCACAGCTTCTCCACACGATCACCAATTAGATTTCAAAATATGGCTGTAAGCAAGAGATCCCTGCCGACCTTGATTTGAAAATTACTAAGTTTTTATACATACAGACCGGCAATGCTAGTAAAGTCACCGACTGGGTGAACCCAGCTGACAAGTCGGGCGAATTCAAGCGTCAGGTATCGGCATTCCGCAACTTCGTCTCCCGCGAGTCTGGCGCGGAATTCCCTGCAGAGAAGGGCCGCTACCATCTTTATGTCTCCTACGCCTGCCCCTGGGGTAAGATGAACCTTTGATGGAGCCAATTGTGAGGTTTAACCCGACTGATTATGTGTAGCTCATCGGACTTTAATCACTCGCAAGCTCAAGGGCTTGGAAGATTTCATCTCTTTCTCCTCGGTGCACTGGCACCTCGGTGACAAAGGTAGGATTCATCCCCTTCGAGCTTGACATCTCATAATTCATATACTGAATCCTTCAGGGTGGCGCTTTGCTACTGCGGATGAAAAGCTACCCGGGGAGAATACAATCCCCGACCCGCTGCATCCGGAGTTCACCCATCTCCGTGATATCTACTTCTCCAACGAACCGGACTATACTGGCCGATTCACAGTTCCAGTCCTCTTCGACAAAAAGACCAACCGCATTGTCAGCAATGAGGTGAGAATATTATTCCATTTGATCATTGCCTGTATCCCACTCACATGACATAGAGCGCCGAAATCATCCGCATGCTCTACTATGAATTTGACGACCTTCTCCCCGAGCAATACAAGAAAGTCGACCTCTTCCCATCTGCCCTGCGCAGTGAGATCGACACATCTAACGAATGGATCTACAACGACGTTAATAACGGCGTCTACAAATCCGGCTTCGCAACCACCCAAGAGGCCTATGAGAAGGCCGTGGTCACGCTCTTCTCCTCGCTGGATAAGATCGAGGCCCACCTAGTCAAGCAACAAGCTTCCTCGAAGTATTTCTTCGGAAATACCGTCACCGAGGCCGATATCCGGCTCTTTACGACTATCATCCGCTTTGACCCCGTCTATGTTCAGCACTTCAAGTGCAATCTGCGCGATATTCGGTCTGGATTCCCGGCTATTCACCGCTGGGTGCGTGGTCTTTACTGGGACCTCGATGCTTTCCGCGAAACGACGGAGTTTGAGCATATCAAGAAGCATTATACCAAGTCGCACAAGCAGATCAATCAGTTTGCGATTACGCCACTTGGACCGGTGCCGGATGTTCTGCCCAAGGATCAAGAGGTTCCCGCTGTCAAGGCAGGTTAAATATTAGGTTTTGCGAACCTTGAAATGTGAATGTGAAGTAGTACTTGACGCAAATTAATTTCAAGACAGCTCTATCATAGTCAACCATGCTCGCTGATTACTCAAGCTAGCGGGATATCTAAGCAAAGCGTAGTATTCTTTTAAATATATACAGAAAAGGAGACAAATCCCAAATGGTATTGCGTGTGAAATTCACATGCCTCGACGCCTTGTCATGCTGATGGTTTGTGGGAGTACCGTGTCTTGTCCAAAGTCATTTTCTAAGCGCAGATCCCCCAAAAGGGATAAAAGCTCAAAAAGATAATGATAACAGCCAAGGGTAATAAGTAAATGCAAAATGATGATGGCCAAGTAGCAAAATAGATCAAAATATCGAATCAAGCCCGAGAGACATGGAGCATGTACAGAAACGACAGCACCGAATATGTATGGCATTGTTTGAAGGGTATATTGGTCGGGTATTTGTCTCTCGATAGAGATCAAAGTAAGGAGAAGATGATGTTCGCGATGAGGGTAAGGTAATGTAGGTATGACAGAAATATGAGAGAAATTAGTATGGTATGTATTGTGCCATCACTTTAGGCCGAGGAATCGCTTTGAGTTTTCGTAGACCACGTAACTGATTGAAACGGCGGGCGCCACTTTCAAGAGATTGGGAGTGATTCCCTTGTAAAAACCACGGGGGCCTTCTGTTTCAAGAGTTTTGCGAGCCACATCACCGATGCTGGCGTACGTTGATGGATGCAAAACGGTTCCCTGTGCCTGAAGCCGAGTTCGCATGACATTGAGTGGGTAGACCACCGAGGCACTCAGGCCGCCACTCAAGGCACCGATGGCACCAGTGAGAAAGTTGTTGAGTGGAATATCGTCTTCATGGCAGTGGTTTATGCGAGCCTGGCGAGCGAGAAGAGCACGCTTCAGGTACTCAAATGTTGTCAAATCGATCGCAGCATACGGGAACATGCCCATTAGGCCAAGTGGCAGGCCACGGAAAAAGCCGAACAGGCCGTTTGCATTCCATACTTTGCGAGCTGTTGCTGCAATAAGCTTGTTGCCCCGCAATCCGCCTTCGACGGTCGAGCATTGCATGCGAAATTTCAATGTGTCGAGAGGATACACGAAACATCTAGGAATCTGTCAGAACTGATGTTCATTATTTGACAGGTCAGATCAAAACTTACTGGGCGACCATTCCACCGATACCACCTGACAAGAACTGCGAAGTTGGAAGAAGCCGTTTTGTATCGTTATGCCCTTCCATGCGGGCGAAAAACCGTTTGGCCGACTCGTATGCTCCGAATTTGATCGCAGATTCAGGCATGACCTTCACAACATTCAATCCGTTACCTAAACAGCGTTAGAAACCGTATCCTTATGACACATGGGGTTATGTATGCGTAACTCACCAGCAAACAAACTCCGCATACCGCCAGCCCGCCAAAGCTCTCTGAACGCATCGAATAATGTTTTGGAGGCATTTCCCGCCGCAGCAAGTGGGGCACCCTCCTTGGCCGCGCGAACCGCCGAGTTTTTGACGCCCGTCTGGGCGATGAGATACACTTTCAGACGATCAAGAGGGGCAGTTATCGTCCTGGAAACGACGCCTGCGACACCGCCTGCAGCGAAATAGCCTAGTTGAGGGGTATTCTCGGTCAACTTCCGTTCATAATTCCGCAGAGACATCCGTAATGCGACGAGTTTGGAGATGGGAAGATTCTCCAGCTCGACATCACCGTCCATGGCGGTGGTCGAGTCAGAGGGCGGGCTAGTTTGCGCGTAGGCTGATGGGAGGAGGCAGGCGAGGGCGTGTAAGGAGAGAATATTGTACAAAAGGCACTGGATAGCCAGGAGAGAACGGTTAAGAAACGGAGACTCTGTACCTAAACCCTGTAGATCATTGATGTGGACATCTCCTTCCGGGTTTAGATTGCCCGTGGCCGTGTAGTATGATAAGACTGCGGTGAGATCGGTTGGGGATCGAAGCGGGAGGAAGAGGAGAAAGTCCCTAAGAAAAGGATGGGATGGTTAGCTTGAATGCTTCGAATATCCGACGTGTATTCACTGTGGCCGTCCGTCCGGTAAAGCGGTTCGAGGGGTAGATAAGCCGAACCTCCATTCTGTGTACGATATGACGCCGTCGTGGTTTTTGTCGACCTCGGCAAAGAACTGGTCCAGCTTCGAAGTCGATACGGTGACCCCCGATTGTGCAAACGCGTTCCGCAGCTCGTTCTTGTCTATTTCGCCGTTTTTGTTGCGATCGATGGACTGGAACATCCGCCATAGCCCAGACTCGGTATGGTCGATAAACGCCTGGAACTCTACAGAAGACAGAAGGGGGTGATACATTAGCGCGACTCCTAAGTCTAAGGGAAGAAATAGTTCACGGGTCTTACCGGCATGATCTATCTCGCCGTTTCCATTCGTGTCGACCTCACGCAAGATACTGTGCAGCATACCATCTGCGTTTTTGAGAGCTGCGACCGCGTCAGTCGGGAGCCTTCGGCACAGAAAATCGGCAGGACTCACGGTGATCGATCTTCTTCAGCCCTTTCTTCAACCCGTTCAAGTCGATATGACCCTCCTTGCGCGCATCAAGGGTCTCCCAGAGCCGGGCAACTCGTTCGTCCCGCTCATCCTTCGACTCGCCGGGCGCCATGTTCGGAGGAAAATTGTTATTGAGCACCCGGCATGCTTCAACGGAGCATATCCTCGTGTGTTCAAAGGTGAAAGTGTAGGGATAGCGACTCCAGGGGAGGGGCGTCTTTAACAATGAAGCATGAGCCTAAACATGAGCCTGGGCATAAAAGAAAGCATAGAGCTTTGCGGGTGGGGAGGGAATGATTAATCCGGGCCCGATCATTGCTGCAGCCGCCTTGACGCCATCATCTCTTGGGCACGGGACCAGGGCTGGCCCTACTTTCCTATTTGGGGGGGGGAGGGCGCTGTCTCCGCCTTGTCCGGACGTCTGCTTTGCCGGTTGGTATGCCTGTTTCTACAAGTATATATCTAATGTTATAAAAAGGATGCATTCTTCTTAATACCCGATCTCACCTCATCTCCTCCCTATCCAATATGGCCGCCAACTATTGGGCGTCTACTCAACGCCGATATTGGCTCTTTACTCGTGAGAAGTTGGCCGAAACTCGAGACCGCTTACGAGACCGAGATAAGGTCACGTATTCACAGTTCCCACTTCCAGACCAGCGCCTATTAAACATCTACTTTAACCAACGTACGAAGCTACTCTTTTTCCTCGTTGACTTGAACCCCCGCTGATGTCTCCCAGAACTCATCAAGTTGGGTAAACGCATGTCCACTCGCCAACAAGCAATTGCAACCGCGCAGGTGTACCTCAAGAGGTTCTATACCAAAAATGAAATTCGCCAGACAAACCCCTATTTAGTTCTCACCACCGCCTTCTATTTGGCCTGTAAGATGGAAGAATGTCCCCAACACATCCGCTTTGTCGTCGGAGAAGCGCGTGGACTCTGGCCAGGTATGCTTTATTCACGCTCTCACAAATCGTGATGATAGATCTAATTATCCGCAGAATTCATCACTCCAGATGTTGCGAAGCTTGGTGAATGCGAATTCGCTCTCATATCCGAGATGAACTCCCAACTCATCATCCATCACCCCTATCGGACATTATCAGAACTTCAAACAGAGTTATCTCTTGGCTCGGGCGAGATAGCTCTAGCTTGGTCCGTGATCAACGACCATTATCTCACCGATCTTCCTCTACTGAATCCGCCGCATATCATTGCGGTCATGGCGATCGTCGTCGCAGTGGTTTTCAAGCCATCTCATCCAGGAGGAGCGTTCTCCAGCCCTGCCCAGTCTGCCCAGTCTGCCCAGTCCACCATGGCGGGTGTGGCTAGAGATGGAAACGGCATGAACATGCTTGCTGCTCTTGCAGATAGGACTGGAACTGGACCTCCTCGGATTCAGAAGCTGGTGCAGTGGTTAGCAGAGAGTGAAATTGATATCAAGGCTGTCATCGAGTCAACTCAGGAGCTGCTCTCGTTATATGAGGTGTGGGAGCAGTACAGCGAAAAACACTGCAAAGAGTTCATCGGACGGATGGTGAAGAGCAAGAACCTGGACAAATGATTGGTTTTTAGCGTGCTTGTTCATTGATGCGATGCTGCATGGCGTTTTTGGCTTTTGGGCGTTCTGTTTATCATACCTTTGCATTGTTTCTGGGCTTTATTTTTCATGGGCTGTTCATGAACTTGGGTTTTACACATTAAGGAAGCATTGCTCTTTCTATTATTCACCATTCTTATTTGTATTGATATTCGAGCTTTGATTTAACCAAAATGATGCCTTTGACAAAGGCAACTGAAATCACGATGTACTTGCTGTAAAGGACATCTAAGTCCATCAGACTGCTCATGCTCTAGAACGCGTCTACTGCCGGGGTCAAGGAGGCTGGCGAAATAGTAATTCAGCCACGCTACTAGTGCCTATCAATCGAAAAGAACCTCCACCTAAACCATGCCATTGAGATCATAATTGTCATTGTTATAATGGGTCCTTGGGTATCTGATAATGAACATAAGACTGACATTGACCCCGGAGGGTTTCAAGTCACAGGGGTATTTATCGGTCTATGTGCTGTTGTTGACGAATTACGCCAAAATTAGAACCGAGAGTCATCGTTTAAACTGCCCAGGCCACTAATACTAGCAGACAGCCCTGGCCATACCATACTTGAGTTTATCAACAGACTTTTGCACGCCCCTTGCTCTCTCCATTCAACTCTCAGCAAAACGTGCCAGGTGATGATATAATATGACATGTCGTCGTACGCGGGGGTTATTCTAACCCGGACCAATATCTGAAACAATCTCCGAATCGGACTCAGGGTAAGCCCATGGCTACACTGCGTCAACATCAACACAGCACCGGTGGCAACGTTTCAAACCAGACCGTGGTGACAAGATCGCGTTTTTTTATCAAATCTCCTTGCCTGGTGTCTGGGGAAGGCGACCCGAACTAGTCGGGGCCTCCCCACTAGCCCCTCACTGATTCTACTATGCATACATAATGCAGTCAGATCATAAGATCTGAGAGATGGCATCGCATGCCATGCGCCGAACGTATGCGTTTATGCGTCAGCTGCATAAATAAGGCTTCGAGTCGGCGGGTGCTTGCTTGTACCAGCATGTCTACAACTGAGTCTGTGTCCGGACTCTGTGGGCACATACATATACAAAGTTATCCCTTCTTGCGCATTGCGCATCATTATCGTACCCCCCTCCCCCCCTACAAAGGTTTAGGTTCACTAGCAAGGCTTGAAATAGAACTCCGGGACAGCCGGTTCTCAAAGGAGCGGTGAAGGTGATAGCCTCGAAGTATGTATGTAGCACCACGGGAGAACGTCGAGGGGCTCGTCCCACGCAGTGACTGGACACGAGGGGAGCAAGCACCGACCGGGGGGAGGGGGAAGACCGGGGGTTGTTCCAGCAGGCGCCGGCATTCCAAGCCGGGTCAGTCAGGTACGTGATGGAAATTAGATCTTCTCTGTACTCCGGACGGGTACTGAATCAGCACATATCTGCCACTTCTCGAGTGGAACCGTGTGGAGGGTTGGGCCGTGAGTCACGATGCTACCCAGCGAGGGAAACAAGAAGACGCCGCATCCTGTAACACATTTACAAGTATCCGTAATGGGGACCCGGTTGCCGCTTTGAGGAGGCCGATGGGACAGGGCTGGATCTCATTTTTAGAGAAAGGTGGTGGTGTAGCCAATGATGGAGAAAGTGGTTGCATGCACTACACTGCATACTCTACAACATCAATCGTGGCGTGTCTAAATCGCCATCGTCCCCCAGTGGTCCCTGCGCCCTGTGAGTCGAAGGATTGGGGAATCTGGGAATCCGAAGGGGAGGCGATCAGCGATCAGAGATCAGCAGCCACAACCGGGGGCCCTATGGGAAGAGGGGAATGCGGTGCCTGGGACCTGCGATACGCTGCACAGTTCGGAGCCATAAGCACTACGACGGTAAAGAGCAAAGCTTCAAACTCTCGATCCTGGAGACGGAGACTCCGTTTGTACCAAAATGCCTTGGCCCAACCCCTTCAGGGAATGTTCAAGAGAGGCTGGGGAGAATTGGAATGGAATCCCCAAGGTGAAGGGGGTGGAGCCGCGCAAAAATGGAGGGTGACAATCCTTATTGTGCATAGCCCTACCCTATGTACGGAGCGTTATGGAGACAGACTCACACACGAGCCACCAAGAGCCCACCAAGGGTAGAAAAAGCGAAGGTATTGAGAGATGTCGGGGGGGAGGGGGGCGTCATGACGATACCCTCGAGGGGAATAATCGGTATCGTATGTACCAGCACTAGTAGCCATCAGTTCAGGAGGCAAAAGGCGCAGCCACTTGTAGGCACAATTGGTGGGCAGATCTGTGACAATCCTTGCTAGATCAGGGTTAGATCCACCCAGGTCGACGACGTCACGTTGTTTTCTTTCCGGCAGTGAGGGAGGAAAACAGTGAGAAACTGATGGGAAGCGGTAAAGTGTGGATCGATATTGGTGAGGGCTGTTGGATGATTGGAGGAAGTAACGTCTTGAACCTCGCCACTGCGGCCGCTCGGCCGGGTTTGGTTGGTGCGTGACTCGGTGGATCCTTCTTTCGCTAGCGCATTGGCTGTACATTACATTACACATTACATTACGCATTACACTCACCCATCACTGGTTACTACAGACAGCTGTGACCATACCTGACCATACACAGTGTAAAAGAACCAAAACACACCCACCGCACCCCTCAATTCCAACTTCCGCTCTCCCACAACCCGTTCGATTCTTCTCTTCTTCTACAAAACTTCTTGTGCTATACCCCCAACTGCTCACTCGTCTTCGACTATTCTCTTTTCTATTATCTTCACTTCACTTCTCTTCTCTTTACTTCTCTTCTATTTACACTTTCTGTATCTTTTCTCTTCCAAGGGTGCTGGCCTTACCATCCATACCACCCTATCACAATGTCTGCCTTCTACAACCACCACCACTACCAGCAACAACACCCTCACGCTCACATGCCCACCCAAAATCACCACCATGGCCGCCGTCGGGCTCCCAAAATGGCTCAGCAGAATGCTCAGCGTCAGTTCCGTGGAGTCAAGAGCATGCGCGAATTGGCCGAAGCTCCCGCCGTCACAGCTTTCCGGGCTCGCTTCGAGGCCGGTCGCTCCTTTGACCTCGACGATGACCTGGAGTTCTGCCCCAATCTCCTGACCGAGGACGACGTATGTTTTGCTGATCCCAGCAAAGGGGAAAGGTTCTTGGGAGACAGACGTGGGCTAACGGTTTCCTCTTCCCCCCTGCAGTTGCACTCCATCCACTCTACTTCGTCCGACCGCTCCTCGCTCTCCAGCGGTTCGCCTGATACCTCTCCCCTGCAGCACCAAATCCAGCCGGTTCAGCAGGTTACCCCCTCCATCTCTCTTTCTCCTGCGCAGGCCAACTCCTACGTTCAGGCCGGTGTTGCCGGAAATCTGAATCACGCCAACTACCACCAGTCTGCCAACAACCAGGCCAACCGGACCCGCAAGGTCATCCCCATTGTCAACCCCAACACTGGAATGACCCTGGCTAGCCCGCCCTCCTCCATCTCCCCAGCGATGATGCAGGCGGCTCAGCGTCGATGGTGAGAACCTTCCTCGGGTCTCTCCCCGGGCGCGAGCGGCCCCCGCCCTAGCGGCATGTTTCCATTGCACGTTACCTGAGCTTCTGCATCATCGGGATGGCCCTTTTAATCGCAGGTCCTAATATCTTGTTCTGATTTTTGATCTTTTCATCTTGCATCTTCCTGTCTCATACGGGCTGGGCTACCTTTGCATTCGATAACGACACCACTGGAGGGTATGTTTTTCTCCTTTCTACGACTACGGCGATCGATCACGGTGATCGACAAAAAAACCTTCAAAAAACCCGAAAATTTCTCAAAAATCCGGCTACATTGTATATACCACTCACCACCCGCCTCCTCTTTTCCTTTCCGCCGATTTAACGACCTACACCTATATCTTTCGCCATATATCTAGATCTCTTGCGATGCTTCCAGCTTGTTGCGAGCGACGGCGCTTGCGATTTGATCATTTTTGCATCTTCTACCTACGATACCGACCGTCTCTCGGGGAGGGACGAGAAATTTCTTTCTCTTCTTTGGCCCTTGGTTTCTCCGGTTGAGGCCGACCGATGATGTATAGAATGGTGACTTGCTACTTGACGTGCATGTTCCATTGGAACCGGAGTTGATTTTTGTTCTTTTTGGAAAGGGGGGAGGGTCGCTCGCGAGCGACTAGGACCCGAACCTCTCTTCTCTCTTCACCTACGCTGTGACTTGTTCTTTGCCACGATTTCCTTACTCTTTCTGGATTCTCATTTCTTGGGGTTATTTTGCTCTTGGGGCGGGATGGATTTCACATTATCTTTTCAAGGATCTAGAGGCGGAAACGATACACGTCTGCATTGCTTGGGCACTGTTGAAATATCTGGGATGTGCTTTTGTTGTTTTTTCTGTTATTATCCCCTGTTTGCACCTCGGTCTGTTTTTGTTTTATTGGGCTTTTTTCCTTGTACATCGGTTTTTATTCGGGGAGGGAATGGGTGATACGCGATACTCATTACTTCCTTGCCACGGGGATGTGGCTGGTTGGGTTTGGTTGCGAGCGAAACCATGGGATGCGGAGTTGTTCTCTGTTTGAAATCGATATCCTGGGGGTCTTTTCTCGCGGAACTTTTGGCGAGTATTAGACCATTTGCGTTGAAAATGGTTCTTTTTGCTTTTTATCTCAACTTTGTTACTGATATTCCTCCATCATGTCTTCTTTTATTTTTATTTTCTGGCTTTGGCTACTCATTCAAGTGTTCTGCATTTTGACTCATTCAGTTCATCCTCTGGTTCCTTGCATCTTTTTGATAAGGATGAGGGAGTAGCTCCCGGAGAGTTATGAATACGTTGTATGATGCCTGATTACCACTTTGAACCTTCTTGCACACTGTCATTTTCAATCACATCTCTTTTGTTCATATTCTCAAATAACTCCTGCTGGTGATTTATTCTGGACAAATCGATGTGACCGATTCCTACCTTCAAGCTTCGTCTATAAGTGTCTCACGCCTACTCGTAGGTATTCTAGTACATACCAGTGCTGCTACCAGGTACTAATAATGGCTGTCGAGAATGAAATCCACCATATCTTGTATAATTTCTTAGTATCCCCTGCATCGAGAAGAGAAACCATGACATTCGTACCCCTGCGTCACTGATCGTCCGTGTTATTCATGATGTCATGATATTCCATGAGGGCGAGAATGGTATCTGATGCACCCGGGAAAACATGCTCAAGCTGTGTGCATAGTAGCTAGCACTCGTGTCTGTGTTTGGGTACATCGAGACCTCGGTGTAATAGGTGCTGGTTTGGATTCCGTAGTTCAAGTATTCTTATCTACTCCGTAAATGAATGAACATGGATAACTCGAACTGCGCCTGCGATTGTTCTCCGCCAACCCGAGCGACCGTTAGGTATTGCTGACGTCACCGCTTCGAATGCGATGTCCATGGCCAGTCAAATTGGCCGTTCGGCCAGGGATCACGAATGGAAATGCCTTAATTGGGCCTTGTGGCTATTGCTGCTTAAAACTCTCGGGATTATTCTGGTGCAGGGTAGCCCAACTACTTTAAGTTCTTGAAACCATTCATCTGCGCCTTCACCTCAACCATCTAGACACCTCCAGCACTACTTTGAAAGGTGTAGTACTAGCAATCTCTCCGAATATCGGTACGTGGATCGTCACTCCAGGGCTTGGCAGGCTGTGAGGGAAGTCGTCATCGCTAGCTGCTCATCTGCCCAGGTGTTGAATATATATCTCCAAGCTTCCCAGATCACTTGTTCTAACCGGCACCACTACTAGGAGAATTCCATTTCAAACTTCAAGTTTCACAATGTCTTTCCTCACTCCTCTTCGAAACAGCACCCGTCAAATCCCACGATCCCTCCTCACCCGGTCGACGGCTGCTTCAATTCACACCTCTACCCCACGATTCAGCCTCAAGGAATCCGATAAGAGTGAGCCACCCCGCAAACGCTACAACCCTCAAGCGGACATACTAAATATAAAGTGTAGACCGTGATGATCTACCAAACATCTATGAAGCACAAAAGGTTTCCCAGTTGAAGAGGGTCAAAGAAGGGAAAGGGAAATGGGAGCCCGAGCTTGCGAGCAACAGCGAGGCTGATGTATGAGTCCGCCCCCGTCGAGGAGTCGAGTCAAGCAAATACTAATTTACCGGGTTATTAGGTCAAGGCTGACCGAGGCGAAGTCGAGTACGATAAAGCCTTCCAGGATTTGCAGGAGAAAGAGAAGGCTAGGAAGGCGAAGGCTACCTGAGCCATCCACAAGACCTCCAGGAGTTCAAGGTGTTAGCAGACAATCAGTATTCGGAGAAAAAGAACCTGACGCCCGAGTCAGATTGTCTTTTTAACGGAAAGTTCATGTGAGACTCGGACGGATCCGGTCTCATACGTCTGTCTATGTTTATGTTTATGTTTCCGATATTGCAAATGAACTGGAATCGGACAGACACGGCAGAGTGCTTGTAGAAGTAGAAGTAGAATTTCAACCAGGAGAACCGGCGACATGTTAAGAGGATCAATCCCAACGCCAAGGAACGACTTGATAAGAGGCCAAAGAGGCTAAATAGAGAGCTATCCCATAATATACCCAAAGAAAACGCCCGCTCGCAACGGATAGGGTTGAACAGAAGATAAAACCGAGCCCGTCGGTTATCTTATTTCAGAATCACAATCAGGATGACCAATATGATTATTAGGCCGATGATTGTCATCATACTCCAGTTTTCACCTGCCTTGCGTCGAAACCGATCCATCCGCTTCCGCGCATTGTTTAGACGACCCTGATGGCGGTCAACGTCGTCATCAACCCCATCCAGCAGCGCAACATGTCCATCCAGCTCATCTCCAATCTGAATACTTAATTCATGTTGCCGGCCAATCGACTCACCGAGCCGATCTAACTGGTCGTCCTGATCGCGCATCACCTGCGAGTGATTATCATGGATCTGCTGATTGGACCAATCAGACTGGTCAACGGGCGAAGGCTCATCGCGATATGGGAAAACATTCCGGCGATCGCGCTCTTCCTCATCGATCTCCTGTTGTACAGCCGCAGCCGCAGCCGAATTATCCATGAAGCGCACCGATTTTGATGGAGGGTGTTGTGGAACGGGCTGTTTGAGATCGGGCGATGTTGCGGGCCGGTTGGTAACACCCGCATCCTGGTTGGAGGCTTCGGAATCAGTGCCGTAAAACTGGGAGGATAGGTCTCGGAGTTGGTCATTGAGAGGGCCCAGCTGGTCCTTTAGGGCGGCGGCGCCGGTGTGATCGTTGGATTCGGCAAGATGAGCCTGCTCGGCTTCGACGGCTTGGATACCCTCTCGGAGGGAGTCGAGGGAGCGGGAAATCTCGCCATCCTGCGCATTGGGCTCAAGATCAAGAGAAATAGCACGTTGTCGCTCTAGCAGTGAGAGCTTGATGTGATCAGCGAGAAGGAAGAGCTGAGATGGGTTCGACATGGCGATGGCGTCAGACGGGGGGGTTGGTCGTGGAACGAGTATTTCGAGTATTTGAGCGCCCCTGGGGGAAATATATGGTCAAAGCGAGAGACAACCAGTCCAATCGACTGGGCTAATCAGTCGGAACAAGAGATGGTTGGAGGAGATATCGTGGAATGAGGTGAGGTGAGACGAGAGTTGCAGCTAAGGCAACCCCGACATGACCGAGCGCGGGTCTGCGATCTGCCGCTTCCTTTTGGGCCTGCCGCCTTTTGCCTCCCCGCAACTCCACCCTTCTTCTAATTCTTCTTCCCCTTCTGCATGTAACCCCTTGAATTTGTGCTTCTTCCGACTCGGACTTGAGATCCCCCTTCTCTTATACACTGAATGACCTTCCTCTGATCAAGTTTTATCCTCAAGGGGCTCTTTGCTCCCTGTGATCGACCTGCCCTTGACCTCGGCATCTACATTCCGCCTGAATATCCGCCGCATTCACAAGCTAATACCGCAACCCCCCCCCGGGAAAGTCTACTTTCTTCCAAACACCTACATCTTAAGGCTCTCAACTACACGAAACAGCTTCATGGAATTTGAGACAGGTGTTTATCTCCGCGCATCATGAATATCCAGGACTTTCTGGCTTTCGACCCCGAGGTCAACAGCGACCATGACATGCCAGTCGACTTGCGCTCCCTTGACTTCGTCTCCAGCTACGACTCACATCTGATGTGCCCAATCTGCCATTGTCCTTTAATTCAACCGGCACGCCTGCAATGTGATCATGTGTTCTGCCAGAAATGCCTTCGATCCGCAATCACCACCTTCCGCTCGGCCGATTCGGAAGAGTTCCCGTGTCCCTCTTGCCGAACCCCCACCAGCCAGGTCTCGACGAACGTTCCCCGACTTTTAATAAATATGTGCGACGAGATTCAAGTGCGGTGTCCCTTTCTGGCGGAGGGCTGCCAGGAAATCGTTCCGCGAGGCCATGTCCAGTCGCACGTGGATAAATACTGCGGGTATCGGCCCATGCCGTGCCCGGATGAGTCCTGTGATAAGATGACCCGGAAAAAGGATCTTCTGCGGGAGGAAAGATGCATGCATAGCTATTATCGGTGCTCGCGTTGCGAGCAGGATATAATGGAACAAGACTACGAGGTTCGTAGCCCTTGAATACCAATTACCAGCGCTAAAGCAGTCATGCTAACTAAAGCCGCTCCCTAGGAACATGATAAAGAGCTATGTCCTAGTCTCGAAACGACCTGCGTGGATTGTGGGACTACAATCCCGCAGCGAGAGCTGAAAAAACATATTGAAACTTGCGCCGAAGTTGTAAGCTCTTGTGTGGCGTCCAAATACGGTTGTACAGCCAAGATCCGACGGGCAGAAATCGCAACCCATGAACAGTCTTGTCCACTAGTCTCTATCGGACCATATTTCGAGTCCCAGAACACCCGGCTAAATTCTCTTGAATTGACAATGCGACACCTCCAACAAAGAAATGAAATATTCGAGGACGGACTTTCAAATATCCGCTCTAAATTGCTCGAGTCTGCCCGCGCGAGTGAGGGGCATCGTGGTAGCGGTAGAGCTGCTGCTGATGGCGAAAGAGGCGGGCAGAACCAGGTTGACGACCTTGATGACTCGACGAACTCTTCAAACGTCTTCTCATCCAATGCCACGACATACCTTCTCTCGCTCCATGAATCGTTGCGTGAGGAAGTCAGTCAAATGTCACATGCTCTCACAGATCTCGACGCTCGTGCTAGCATGACGATCATGAATGAATGTCTTCGGATCAAAGAGGATATGGCTCACACAAACGCTGCTGTCAACAGCGTTCGTATGCAAGTTCAGTGGCTCATGAATCCCCGTCTTCACAATGGTGCTCGAGCAGGAGGCATGCGCACTAATGCCAGCACTTCTGGTACAGAATCGCCTCGCTCGCAGTTGACATCAACTTCCGCACCGGGGCCTAGCCAAGCCGCCGGCCCGTCTTTGGGACCACTTCGGCCTCGGAGGCCAAGCGATAGTGGGCGTGAAGGAACAAAGCTGTAATTTGGGTCTTGTGAGGTGGGAATTTCTTGAGCGTTGCATTATCTCCAATTATGGATGGAGATGGAGTATAGGATGGTCTTGGGTTAATGTAGCTTATGAGTGATGATTGGGCTTGGTTGCCCTGTCGGGGCAGGTGTGTTGGATAGGATGGGTCTTGTCTCATATTTCTACGCCCCGTATTTCTAGGGCTGTACCTCGGAATTTATTAATCAATATCAACAATATCTTCACAAAATAATGTACATTTATTTTGCCGTTTGTCACATGTAGGGTTTGTAACTGCGAGCATTTGGATCATCGCGTAGAGCCCTTTTCCATGCCTCTGCTATTTCGCTGGCTTTCTCTTGGCTGCGAACCTTTTGTCGCTTGCGCTTCAGCCATGGCCCTTGTGGGGGGCTAGGCGGGCTTTGGGATTGAGGACCAGGTTGGTGAGGGACAGCAGATTGGACATTCAAATCACCAGGTGTAGGTTTAGCCTTGACGCCGGTCGAAGATTAATTTTGAATTATTCGCCATTGATTCTGGACCGGGCAGCGGTGGAGCATTGGGTGCCTTCGAATACATGGCCTCGCCGCAAACAGAAGTGATTCGGGCCATCACCGACATTTCCAGGTTAGGAACCCAGAGTGAGGTGTTTTGAAGTATGATATCCCGGTTTGTTCGGGAATCAACGTATATGTTAATTCCCCCGTTCCAGCGACGCATAGGCATTATAGCACGGATTTTAGCGAGTTCGGAGTTCCCAGACTTTTCCAGCGCCAAGTGGAAGCTGTTGAAGAGGAAGCTTGTGGGATGGTTTTGAAATCTCCATTTTCTACCCGGCACATATAGATTATCGTACAAGTGCCAGACAATTTCGATCGGCGCTTCATACCCAGCGAAAACAGCCAAGTATCGATCGATAATTGGCTGATAGTCCTCTGCCAATCGAACATAGTCGCCTTGCTGTAGGAGGGGTATCCAAAGATGAGATTTCTCTATGAGATGTTTCTTATCCGATGGCGTAAATGCTTGTATATCTATCTCTCCATATTCAAAGGTTCTGATAGATTCGAAGACAATACGTTGGAGCTCACGGTCGCAAGTCTGATGCAGCGCAGCCTCGAGCTCCTTGAGAACATCAGCGTGTGCCATTTCCTGGACCGCGGAAGGTGTATAGGGATGAAGTGGATACTCGATGTCCCAGGCAAGCTTTATCATAGTTCCTGGGCTGTGGTTGTCCATCCAGTCGGGTTTAGAGGAATCAACAGTGCATGGTTCGGTGACTGTAGTTTCCACAGCACGCGATGCCGCTGTCATAGACGACAACTCTGTGTCAAATAGATGCGCTAATTGGGGGTCTGAAGAATTCTTCATCTTCTCGGCCATCAGCGAAATCACCCTGTTGGCTTGGAACATCAAACCCATGACATAGCCCGCAGGGGCCAACGCGGTCGGATTTTCAGTCGAGTGCGAAAAGACATGTCCGTACTGTTCTTTGAAATTGTCTATTAAGCCGCGAATGCTTTCGGTATCATCCCCAATCGGAGGGACATTTGGCCATGGGGATACCATGCTAGTAAATGATGGTGGTGTGTTGTGCGAGGGTGTTCTCACGGCGCGTATCAAACGCGTGTGGGTTTAATTGATTTCCGACCAAGGCGGAGGATCGGCGTTTTGAAAGACAGGACCCGAGATGGATTTATGACTTTAGAACATTTATTATAAGGAAAAAATTACTTGACTTCGACTAATCCTACTGCGGTAGTAGCTTTTTAGTTTAATTTGCTCTATTCATTTGCAAATTCGTCGTTGTCTGAAAGATAAAAGCCTGAGGTTAGCTCAAGTGCTTTAGATACTGGAGGTTGTAATCCTGCTTAGCAAGTCCAACCTGCCGATGCGAGATCTATAAAAATTCGCATCTCATTCTCCAATTTATTTCCATACACATAGCTCTGTCTGATTTACTGATTTTGAACTTGTCGCATCCGAGCTTTCTGCCGGTGGCGAGCATCGCGTCTTTTGTCTGCTTTCGACCTCTGACCCTGCTCGGCATTTCCAGGCCTCGGGGGAGTGGGTGGGTTCGAATTATTCTGCGGTTGAGCCAACTTGTTCGGTCTTGCCGGCTTGCGATTTCCTTTTCTGTTTTTACCACCATGGGCTGGGGCTGCAGGTGGCCCATTCAGTGGGTTGAAGGGTCGAGGATTGGGGGCCCGGACCTCGGGCTTCTGAGCTTCGAATCTGTGATGTGTGCCAGTGTACCCGGATGGTTCTGAAATTCTTGGATTGTTGAGTGGAAGATAATTGGGAGGTTGGCCATTTGGCTCTTGCGGCTCCGATCTGCGCCGCATACCATTGTAGTTAGGTGCACCTGGCAACCTTGGATTGTGGAGAGGCATCTGGTTAGGACGGTTATTGGACCCTTGAAGCTCTGGTGCTCTAGGCACACCATTTTGCTGCACTCGTGATGGGTGAACATATGAAGCACTGGAGATTTGATCTCTGGGCCCTTGATGTTCTGGTCTTCCCGGCGTACCATTGCAATTGGGTGCAGCTGGCAATCTCGGTTTGTTGAGAGGCATCTGGTTAGGAGGGATATTAGACTCTCGAGGCTCCGGTCTTCTAGGCACACTATTTTGCTGCACTCGTGATGGGTGGACATATGGGATATTAGAGATGTGATCTTTGGGCTCTTGATCTACCGGCCTTCTCTGCGTGGCAATACCATTGCGCTCGAACGCAGCTGGTCTGTCCGGTGGCTTGAAGGGCATCGAGTTGGAGGTTTGATCCCTAGGCCCTTGCGTTACCGATCCGTCGTGTGTGCCATTGTACCCCGGAACCACTGGTTTGCTTAGAGTGTATGAAGGCCCGGGTTTGGGATCTCGATTCTTGGTCTGGTTTGGCGTGGTCGTTCTCTGGTCCTCTTTTCTCCTCTGCGTATCGTTCTCCGTGGATTTCATTGCAACGGGCGGGGGATTTTCGAAAACCCTAGGAACCCACTTATCGATATTTCTTAGCAGCAGATGGCGGTCTTCGATTGAGTTGAGATGAACATGCAACGACCTAGTCTCGCTTTCATGAACAATACCTGAGATTTTCATTGCGGCTACTTCGGGATCGCTACTCCGCTTCAGCGCAGTGTCAACTCGGTCCTTCATTTCAGAAAGAGACCCTCCCTGTTCTTTCCAGGCTATGGGGTGGAATTCGGTCATTTTCAGTGTAATGTAGAATGGACAACAAGCTATCCCAAGCAGCGACGATGGCTGGAAATGCACATTCTCAAATGGGTTGGGCGTGGGTTTACCCTTGGTGTCCGTGTAATAAAAGCCCGGAAGCCAGGCAGAATCTCCATCTTCGAGGTAAGGTATCCAAGAATGAGCATGCTTGATGAGCTCTTCCCTTTCCGAGTGGCTATTGGGGTAGAGTATGATATCCCCGAACTCGGGCCGGTGCTCGATATAGAAAATTTCCATCTGCGACAGATCACGTATGCGACTTGATCGTAGAACAGATGCAATCGACTGTGAAACAGACTGTACTGCACGGTCGGACTCCCAGTTTTTGTACGGAGAACGCGATCCTTTCCAACAGATTCTGAGGGCAAATGGTAACACCTGCTCAACACTTGTTGGCGCTGAACTCCCCTCGGATGAAGGATCTTGGCCATCAACACCTATAGCGTAGCGGCCAGGTACCCGAGCAGCATCACCTTTCTTGAGATGAGGGAACCAGTATTGAGCATTCTGAATAAGGTACTCTATGTTTGCCCCCTCCCATGGATACACATCCAAGTCCCCCGATCTTTGGACTTGGACGGTTTTGATCAACTTTTTCTTCAAAGTTTTGTCGCTGCTAGTGTGCAGAGCTTTATTCAAATCGATAACGATCGCTAGTGGCTTTTTCTGGGGGTCTTCGTGGTATTGCTGATATGCTTGTGCTGCATATGGGGGATCAGAGCATTCCCAACGTATTCTGAAGGAACTCGGGCCAGTGTACAGTATCGGTGCCGTGAGGGGTTCCTCGGAAACGGGGTTGTTGTGTTCAGTCACTGCAATATCCGATGACAATACAGACGTCACATCAAGTCCGTCATCTTCGAAGTGGTAGTCTTCGCCTTCTTCATTTGGGTCCTCATCCCCAGCAATCAACATGTCTTCTCTGAGCGGGTCGCTTAACCCATTCTCGACAGTGTTGCTTTCAGTCATGCTGATGTCTGCCATTTCGATGTCGACTGTGGCACCAGCGGCCGTTGGGGTATGAGCCATATGGGCGTCGGCCATACTAGAATCAGATTGGAGCATAGACGAGTTTCCCCATTCGGCTTTATCTTTCTGGGTATTCTCTTTGCAACTTTTGGAAGCTGCGATTTGAATTTCCTTCTCCTTCTCATCTCCTTCCTCGTCCATTGGGTGGTCAACATGTTCCTCGACGCGCGTCGGTACAAGCTCCGGATTTTTATGCTGGGGAGTCCCATTGACATGTCCATCATTCAGATCTCGGGTTCTCCCAGCGACTGCGTGGGCCTCAATTCCGTTCGCACTGGCCTGCGCGGCGATTCGCGAAGGCCCAGGGGCTGGGGAAGCGTTACACTTGGATTTGGAACGGTCCGGGGCTCTGAATTGGGGGGGAGCTTCCGCCAAACCCAATTTCTTCTGCGAGGAAGATTGAAGCTGTTCCGCCAGTAAAGTAATGACCTTATTTGCGTGGAACATCAAACCCATAACATAGCCGGCCGGAGCTGCCGCAGTCGGGTGTTTCAGTGTGTGCGAGCATATTTCCATGTATTGGTCTTTGAACCCCTCAATCAGCCCGAGGGTATCAATACTTTCATCCTCAATCGGAGGTATGCTGGGCCACTTGGCCGCCATGACGATAGTTTTGGTGGTGGTCGGATACCACCTGGGCAACATAAACTCGTGAAGTGCCAGAGTCAAGAAGTTGGTCTCCACCGCAGGCGGTCCACATGTTTGGGTGGGGGGGCTACAAACGCGACAACCATCGACACATCACATTTTACTTCCCTCCTCCCAGGCGAGATCTTAGTTCCTTTGGTTTTGTTTGCTACGTATATCATATTTCTTTTTCTTGCTTGGCTAACAGTGAATCTCATGTTGCAAATTTTCGACCCTAAGATGTCCACTTACCTCCACTTACTCACAATCATTCCCGCCTATAGTCACATCTCTTGAAACCCGAAGTATGTTTGACAGCTGGTCTGCTGGAGTTCTTCCAATGCCACACTCGGTTGCCACTCTAAAATCTTTGATAACAGTTTGTGCTGTCGAATCCTCCCGGTCCCCTCTTCGTCATTGAAGTGTACCTCACTCTTCAATCCAAGATAGAGTTTTGCCCCTGTACCAACCAACATCAAGCCTATAGTCACCGCCAGGTTTCATTGTGCAACGATGAAATTATTTACATTGCATGGACTTGGAGTCCAACCAGAAAAGTCCTTTGAATTTTGAGATCCGGTTTGTATTTACTTGCCTATCCAGTGAATATCAACTTATACCATGGTATGGGGTGGGTGATCCATGGTGTGACCGGCAAAAAACAACCAGTATAGTTCTCCTCTCTTGGTTACAGTAGTTTTCAATTTCAGTTTGACCTCTCACTCTTTAAGACTTGATTCCCGGAAAATAAGTCCGAGATACACTAATCCTGTTTGGGGTCACCGCTCGATTAATTAAGCAGAACTGTGGTGATAATGACTGTACCACATCCTAGGACGTATTGTAATAATACTATAATGATACATCGAATCCCCTAGCTTCGCTTGGTCGTTCCCGCCGGCTTTAGCAACTTGTGTACTTAGCTTGTTCGTTTCCACCACTCCACCAACAACCAGCTACAAGCATGACTGAAGTCAACATCCTGCCTCAGCCGTATCTGTGGCTTTTTCTAATTCTTGAAGTGAGTTAGTAACACATGACTTGCGTCAAAACAACATTCTACTAACCCCTGAACAGCCTTCCATCATAGCCATCGCGTTGCTCTGCATCGTCGCGTCACCCGCGAACCATTTCCATTCTCTCGCGCCCGCTGATAAAAGATCATGTAATGGACTTCTCTTTTCGCAAGACGTAACTCAACCAGTGTGCGACCAAGTGTCTGCATGGCATACGCCACAGCTCCGCGTCCTACTGTACCAGACCATGGCTGCACTAGGGTTCAGCGGTGTGATCGAACCTATGCTCATTTATACAGCACGATACAAACTACAGAACACACGAGACGCACAAGTTGTGGTTACAGCTGTATTGCTGGCGCTTATGGCATTTGATGTGCTCCATGCGACGAGCGTGCTAGGCGTGGTGGGAGTTAAAGCAGTGCTTCCGGGATCGGACATAGACCCCTATGCGTCGGTGAATGTTTGGGTTCCGATGGCATGGATAGGGGTAAGAACTCTGTGGTTGCTGGGCGTAGGAAGAGATATAGCAAAAGACAAAGGAGAGTAAGCAATCCGAGCCTTCTGGCAAATAGCCTTGTATGTTTTTGCTGCAAAACTCTCTATCTCGTTATCCTCTTCTTCAAGGAGGTATTCCAGTGTGACTATAGGAGTCCAGTATATCTCTAGCACAACTCATCATGAACAGTTTGACGGTTGGCTGGACATCATGTTACAATTTCGTAAATTCGATCTACCGGTAGCGTTAGTACGCGAGTTTCGTGTAAAATACACCACTTATTGTACTGAAGACGTATTATAAAATACATACACTATTGTAAAAGCGGTCTAGATCGAAGTGCTTAAAATAATATCCAATCAAAACTCGCATATTTAGGATTTGTTTTCCGCGAATCAAGTCTAAAGAGTGTGAGGTCAAACTGAATTCGAAAACTACTGTAATAATCGATGAACTTATTTGTCCCAACGCACGGGACATTTTTACACGATTGGCAAAAAGATATCTCAGGTAAGTTTTTAGGAATAGCCGAACGGGGGGGGTCGAACCCCCAACCTTGAGATTAAGAGTCTCACGCTCTACCGATTGAGCTAGCCCGGCAGGGCTGTTGTTTGGGGGAGCATCTTATGACTATGTGAGCCAGATACTATCTACGATGAGAACCGATTACCCATAGTGGATCGTTCAAGTTGCTTGATCAATGCTGAAGGGTTAGAGATCCTACCCCTAGGCACCCAACCATTCGAATTCTTCAATATCGCTGGTAACCCCGAGGAATTGATGGCATTTATGGTCCAAAACCCCGGCTTGCTGCCAGGCATGCGCACCATTCGCAGTGGAGCGATACAGAAGCGCCGCCGCGAAATGAAAACCATCTGTTCTGGATGCTGGCGCTCATGTCATGAGACGGGAGATGGAACGACAATGCATCATATCCATGAACATGTGCAAGACTGTGCTGTCGACTCCTGTGCACGGCCATTTATTGCAGATGTTATTATCGCGAACTCTCCGGGCTTTGTCCACCTGAGTTGCGCCGAAACGCTGGGAGTTCCTTTGAATATGATGTTCACGTAAGTAAAAAATAAAGCTGAAGAGAAAGAAGAGAGGGGAGCTCTCGTATCTAGGTAATTACCATGGTATAGATGGTAGGTGGCTGTGGCCCTAGTGGTACTAGTAGTAACCCTTCAAACCTTGGAACAGACTCGGACACTATAACCTTGGAATCGACCATATTTATTCGAGCAAGACCTATCTCAATATTTTAACCTCTAGATGCACCATCCAAATTCACCCCTACCACGCCCTCGCACCACAACTTGAAACCATCATTACCTCATAAAGCATTTACAGCATGATCGTACCGCCACATTTAATATCCATAACCGCCATTTCCATGTCCCTGTTGACCATGCTGGCCATAGGTCTGGTCTTGATACCCAGAATGTTGCTGGTGGTGCTGTGATCCGCCCCCACCCGCATTTCCAGCACCATCATCCTCAACGCCCCTCGACGAACCATGCGAAAGGCCACCGGGAATGAAGTTTGAGATTTTGCTTTCAAGATTATGCAGCTTGTTCAAGTTCGACATACCGGGGATTGGAAGACTGGAGAGCTTATCCCAAGGCAAACCGGACGAGTGGGACTGTTGCTGTCCCTGCTGCTGTGACTGGCCAAACTTTCCAAAGAATGATTGATGACCACCAGAGGATTGCCCCTGTTGGCTGTGACCGTGCCCTTGTCCATGATTACCACCAAGCGCAGCGAACCCACCCTGGCCGCCGCCGTGCGTGTGAGGAACACCGCCGGTGTTTTTGCCAGAACGGACACCCTCAGAGCTGAGGACGTCATTCAAGTTGGCGCCGCGGTCGGGACGAGAGTGAGCCCAGTTTTGGACGGCTTCGAACATCGATCGGTGGGCTTCATTGTTCATATCCCGGAGAACGGGGTGATGAAATATGCGTAGGCAGTCGTTAAGAACCTCGTGCTCGGGAACATCGGTGTGCTGCCAGGCGTAAAGCACACGGGGAGCGACATACTTCACAATCACGGACGCAACCTGTCCAGCGGGTTCATTGAGAATATTGGCAAAGTGGTCTTTGGAAAGTAGCGAGTGGGTGGGATCAGTGCAGTGTGGATCAGTCCATGGCTCATACTGGTGCTTTCCTGATGCCTCGACAACGCCCGCAGACCCGGTCTGCAAAGACTTCGAGGCGGCGTTAATCAGGGGCCTCACGAAAGGTGCAAGGAGAGACATGATGAAGACAGTCAAAGTCTCCGAAATCTTCTCGATAATAGACTCGAGCCCGGGAACCTTTTCGATGATCGAATTGAGCTTCCGGACGACCTTGTCGCGGAAGGCCAGAATGGGATAGATCTTGGACACTGTCTCTTGGGGGGTTGAAATCCGGCATACCACTGAGACCTGGACCTGGGCCAGAGCTACCAGATGGAGGCTGAGGTGTCGCAGCACGAGACCCCCCCAGTCTCTGCGTAGCCCATATGCGACCCCCGAGAACGATTGAGGGTCTCCTGTGTGTCGGACTGATGCTTCAGGCTCTCAGCTTCAGATACGAGGTCTCTTGTACCTGGAATTTTGCCCAAAAGCCCCGTAAGGGAATTAAGAGAGTTATTAGACTGGGAATTATTCTCTGCGTCACCCAGCGCGAGGTCCATCTCATTGACCTCAGACTGAGTAAAGTGATCGGTGGCCTCTCCAAGAACGGAGTGAAAGAAATCAACCATGCCAAATGTACCAGTGACAAGCGGGAAGACATGGTGTCCACGAACATTGCATTGCGTGGCCGTGCCAGTGTGCGGAAACACATTGTGCATGCCCATCTCACGAAGAACCAGCTCACAATAATTGGTATGCGCGGCAAAGTCCTCCAGCGTGTGAAGACCCTGGCCGAGACATCTGAGTGCTTCGCAAAGATCCTCTTCCTTGCCCTTGCTGTTCCCGCCATTGGTGTACATGCGTCCGTAATGAATACTACGGCTTAAACTGAATTTCACATAGGCAGCACTGGTAGCCCAGTCACCGCGCTCATTAGCGATATAGTTCTTCATTCCCGTTTCGGGGTCGATTTCCAGCTCAACATTGCGGACCGGGGGTCGCAGGCGCTTATCGAACTGACGCGCATCCTCGTTGTCGGCATAGTCCTTGGGGTTGCTGGAAAGTAATTAGCAGAAAACTCCACCGAGAAAGACTTCTTCTTTCACATACTCAATATGTTCCTCCGGACGATAAACCCCGAGACGATCGGAGGTGACTTCAAATTCGCCTGTCGCATAGCCGAAACTCAGGAACGAGAGGACCCACACAAGAACACGGATTGTTTCGGCCTGGAGATTTTTCAGGGTCCCGACATCCATTGCCTGCGAACTAGTGGCATGTGTCAGCTCAGGGTCTTCCCCAGGTCCCTCCCCAAAGATTGAAGATATCGCAGACTTACTAGTCGCGCAACCAATTTCCAAAGTATACGCGCTTGACCATGGTGGAGGTCCATTTATGACCGTGGATGAAGGCGACTGTTTTGAGGACGTCTTCGATATCGCCATGGCGCCAGTTCTTCCCCTCAACGGCGGAGATCGAGGCAATATCTATGTATGTCAGCAACTGGAAGGAATAAGTAGATGCGGACGAAGAGACATACTTCCGGCGCCAAAGGCGTGGACTTGGGGCAATAGCAGTAGTAGGCACACGACCAGGGCGGGGAAGCCCGCTCGGAGGAAGGACATGGTGGGGTGGAAGGAGGTAAATATGGATCAAGGGCGAAGGATAGACTAAGAATCCATAAGGATTTGGAGAAAGAAGAAAGATAGAAAGAAAGAAAGAAAGAAAGAAAAAGAGAGTCGGAGTACGAGTAGAGTCGCTGTGTCTCAGGCAGGCCTTGGCAGTCCACGATGACGTGGGAGGGGCAGGACAAACACAAACACAAGCACAGCAACAAGTGCGAGCTGAATTGAATGCGCAACATTGTATGATCTCACGGTATAAGTGTGGTGTATACATCTAATACAACTTGAACCTGTACTTAACTCTCTGAACGATAATCCGTGGGATTTATCATGGAGGTTCCATGTTTCAATTTCTGCTGTTCCGCGGGGCAGATCTACTGGAAGTAGAAGTATACAAACCACCGAGGGTTTGCCTCTGATGATATTCGCTAAGCATCAAGCACAGCTCCCGAGGTCCCTATGATTGAGGTCAGTGTATAAATCAGTCTAAACTCCTCCTGTTGTCTTGTTACCCCATGAAAGATTATGACACAGCGTGTTAGAAAACCCTGAATAAAGACACAACTCACGCCAAGCTAACTTGAAGCTGTCGGGCGTCATGCATTATGTGCAGTCAAGCTTCTGCAAGCTCAGTGACACCCTGACCCCGAGGTACCGGCTGATACTACCACGCAGGTCGTGGCAGATCGTGACATGCCACGAGGAACCGGGGGAATCCAGTGGGGGCATCGGACTTTAATGTCTTCCAGAGCCTCCGATTCTACCCCACGATCCGATCTTTGCCCTACCATGGGGGGGAAAATGGGAAAATGGGGGGGAAAATGAACAATCAGATTGACAATTTGTGAAGGTCACATCGGATCCACAGTAGCATCGACCAACAATAAAAAACAAAAACCAGACTAGTATAAATGTCACAGTCGCAGTTCCACGTACTATTATACTATGTAGCATCTACTTCAACCCCGCACATATAAACACGGGCTTCTCCAGACTTCCCTTCCCACCTAACCTCACCCTCTCACCCTCTCACCTTCACTCTCACAGACATCACCATGTCCACAACACCCAACCTTGACGCCCTCCAACGCGACGGCTTCGTCGTTGTCCGAAACCTCCTCACCCCCACCGAAATCACCCACTACCGCACCATCGCCACAGAAGCCACCACCAAAACCCGCACCGGAAGCTGGCCTCACTTCCGCACCGTCCCCAAACAATTCCCCCCCATGGCCCTCCACTCCACCTCCAGCCTCCGAGGGCGGAATCTGGGGCGTCCAACACCTAATGCACCCCTCCATGCCAGGCCGCGACGCCTTCGCAAAATGCTACTTCTCCCCGACAATCCTCGCCGTTGCCGAAGAACTAATGGGCGTGAACTCCAGTGCAACAACCAATGACGAACCCCTCGTCATGGAACTCTTCAATCTCCTCGTCGCGCCGGAAACAAAAGACTTCGAACTCCGCTGGCACCGCGACGACGTCGCTGAAACTGCCACCGCCGAAGAAGAAATCTCCCAATTAGCCGCAAAATCGCCCGGCGGCCGCCAGTCACACGCACAATATAACCTCGCCCTCTGCCGTGACGCCTCACTGATCGTCGTGCCAGGTTCGCATCGTCGTGCACGTACAGACGCAGAGCGCAATGCGGATCCCTACGAGCCGCATATGCCCAACCAGCTCATTGTCGAGCTACAGCCCGGCGACGCGGTCTTCTACGATAGTAATATCCTCCACCGCGGGACGTACAAGCATAAGCCTGCCAGCGGGGAGGAGACGCGGTTGACGCTTCATGGTAGTTTGGGGTTGAAGAGTGCTGATGCGGGTGATGCGGAGAAGAAGAAGGTGCGTGCTACGGCGGTCTTGCAGCATGGTGTTGGGGCTTGGGTGCATCGGGAGGATGCGGCTTTCGGGCTTGGGGAGAGACCGGAGAAAATGCGGGCGAATCTTGTGGCTATGGGGACTGGGGAGGGGGTGGGGTTCTCTTTGCAGGGATAGTAGATGCTGTAGGTTATGGCTGCTTGTTAAGCGTGGAATTATAGTGCATTTGCATTTGCATTTGCATTTGCAGCTCTTAATGGATTGTACAGTTAGGAATTTGAGTGATAAGGATTTTATTTACTTAGGGTCGAATTGCCCGGGGCGTGTATGGTAATTAGATAGACCCATGATATGATGCCTTTAGGCTTGGGTAGAGTATGCCGCTTCTGACCTCGGGATAGGTTTGTTAGTTACATAACCGATGCAACTCCCCTTTCTCCTATTCCTTCAAATAACTACTATTGAACCAGGAAGAGAACTGTTTATCGATATGTACAATCATCTGATATCTCGTAATCCGTTATCCTATACCTTTCTGCGATTGCAGACTATGGAAAATGATACTACGTTGTTCTGTACTATGTGCAGCTTCCACTCAAGCATTGACCCCCATACCACCTAAAGGAAGATCTACTTCTTGGCAGCGCCCTCAGCCAAACGAACGCCACTCGGCAATCCCAAGATCTGACCCGCTTGTTCGAGACTGCAAGTCCCCAGACGACCATCCCCGCCGGACTCCGTCAAACAGCCGCCCTTATCATTCTGCAGATGGCCAGTCATATAGTGCGACCATACTGTACCGGATCCACCATTGCATGATGCGAGGGTGACCCCGCCGTCGCTAGTAGCCAGACACTTGGATTTATCCGAGAGAGGGCTCAGGGTCAGTTTGCTTCCATGGTGGGAGACGTGCCAGACCTGGGAATCGGTGGCTTGGCACGATTCAAACTTGACGCCCGTGGACGATGCGGTTAGGCAGTGACTGGTTGCTGTGTTCAGGATCATGCCGGTTGGCGTGATGGTGGTGCATTTACGTGGAGGTGTAATACGGAGGACACTGGTGGCATGGCTTTCCAGGGTGATATCAACGGCATCTTTGATGGTCGAAACGGTTCCGGTTAGGAGATCACGGGCTTTGTACTTGCAGCCAGAGTCCAGTCCCAGCCGGGCGATGGGGATGGCCGTCTTGCTGGTATCATTGCCTCGGTTCAGGACGGTGAGTAGCCGGTCTCCGTTTGCCAGAGAGCGAGTGAGTACGTCGAAGTCGCTGTCGCGACTGACTAGGGCCGATTGTTCAGCGAGCGGATCTTGGTCCACGGCGATCAAGTCCTTGTTGCTAAGGAACTCAATCTCACTATCCGACAGGTCAGGGATATACGCGCTGATAATCAGCGGCGCACCCATCGAAGCCCAGAGTGCGAAATGAGACCGCTTTTCCACGTCCGTGAGACCCGGGTGATCTGGAATCAGGAAATCCGGATCATTATAGTAACCGGGCTGCTGATAGCGCACTACCAGCGTGTGGTAGTGGTAGTTTACCATGATACTGTCCCAGGCACTTCCTTCTCCACTGTAAACAAGGACATCATCCGAGTGCCGCGCCAGTTCACCATACTCGGGGATCCAGTCCATAACCATGGCCCAGTCCGTGGCATTGGTGGAAAAGTACGCAGGGGCGGACTCGGAGAATATTAGCGGATCCTGCATGCCACTCAAGATCTTGTGCCACTTGCTATAGAGCTGGCGATATTCGTCTCGCAGCGGTTGACCATCTTCAGAGAAAACATTGCATCCGTCAAGCTTGAGGTAGTCGATGCCCCAGTTGGCAAAGCTCTCGGCATCCTGTTCTTCATGGCCCAAAGAACCTGGATAGCCACCGCAGGTTGCATTGCCGGCGTCCTCATAGATACCCAAGTGGAAGCCATGGCTTTTGGCATACTTGGCCAGCCACGGAATGCCATGGGGAAACAGTGTTGTGTTCCACTGCAGTGATCCGTCGGTGGCACGTTCATGGGTCATCCAGCAATCATCTAGATTGAGGCGATTGTAACCTACATCACGGAGACCGCGATTGACCATGGCCTGGGCGGTATCGGTAAAGAGGGTTTCGTTGAGATCGCATTCGAACCGCGCCCAGTTATTGAAGCCCATTGGGGGCGCCGCAAGGAGGTCTGGGTTAGACACTGATGCCTGGACCTGAGTAGGAAGCGATTGGACCATTAAGAGTCCAGCCATGGCCGTGCTAGCTGGAACGGACCAGCGGGTTGAAGATCTCGGCATAACGTGCTCCGTGATAGTAGTAGTGATGAAGAAACAGGATTTGAGGGATTTGGAATAGTAGAAGGGTTCTCCAGAAAAATGAAATATAAAGTCTGAAATCAGATTTTATGAGAGATCTGAGCAATTGGCCCGATCAAATTCCACGCCCTGAAGAGTCCTCAGGCAAGCTTTATGGCGCCCCGAAGCCATCCACGATGGAGATTCCCCGCACCGGAGATCCGTGATCGACACGAATCATACGTCGGGGTGAGTGGTACTCAGGGCGAAGGGGACTGCGACGGTGGCATTCATTGATAAGGGAGTCATTAATTAAGGAATAGGTGCAGGGGTCGATCAGGATGTTCTCGCCTCGCCGTGCCCCTGTCCGGACCTGTGGGGGAACTAGGAGAAGATCTGCATCTGCGTTCTACGTTCCAACGTGATGCAGCCCTGAGCGCGAGCGCTAACAGCAGCAGTTCTAGCCATATGGTCGGAACCCACGGGCCATGTTAGCCATGCTAGTCCCTCTCGGTAGTTATATGCATGATGATGGAAGAGAGCGGAGTGGGCCGTGACCATGACTGTGAACAAAAAATGGGGGGGTTTGCAGAACTTGGAAATTTCCTTTTCCGCAGGTTCCTCAGGTTAGCTGCCAATGGGGAGGAGAATCGGGATCTGCGAGACCTGAGAGATCTGAGAGATCACATTCGCCATTCAATGGTGGCAGGGTGGGCCTGGGAAAAGAAGAAAAGATTGTATATAGTGTCCACGGGTACAGTATTGTGCATTGCAATGTGCAGCTGAAAAGAAAAAAAAAGACGGGAGGTCCACGCCCCAAAGCCAAAGTGAGAAGTGGATTGGGGGATTCAGCTGGGTAAAAAGGGAAAGAGAAGAGAAGAGATGACGGCGCGAGTGGAACTTTTGAACTCTGCTTTGCCCCCCCCCACTTGCCCAACGGTGATCTCTGGGAATCATCCAAGTTGAGTCTCTTAGCTTCTTAGCTTCCTAGCTTCTTAGCTTCCTTAGCTCTCTCTCTCTCTCCATGTCTCTGTCTCGAGAAATGTCCCCCGATCCCAAGACCAAGATTCGTCCTCAGCAATCCTGTGTGCGATGTCGTGAGCGCAAGGTTAAGGTATGCTTAACTGGAGTTGAGACTAGCAACTGGGCGATTACCTTCTCCTCTTCTCTTCCGTCCCCACCGCCACCCTCACCATTTCTACCCATCGCCTCGCTAACACTTTTTCCCTTATCCCCAGTGCGATCGTTCTAGACCTTGTCAGGCATGTATTATCCGTGGCCTCGAAGCAGAATGTACATACCTCGCAACTGCCGAAGATCATGCGCAAATCAACCAGGCCGAGATCATCGATCGCTTGCGCCGTGAAGTTGCGCAGCTGCGGGGACAATTGAATCAGGGTCCTCGACAGGCTCCTAGTCCCGGAACCGTTCGTCGACGACACGATTATGCGCGAAAATATGGAGGAGGCGCTGCTTCAAATGCCAGTGCCAGTGCCAGTGCCAGCAGTAGTCGGAATGGATATGCGGGGAATCGCATGGCGCAAAGGCAGAGTAATGCTGGTGGAAGTGTGAATGGCGTCGAGAACGAAGGGAGCTGGGCTGGTTCCTCCCCCAGTTCGTCCACGACTACTATGACCAATTCTAATTCGGTGACGATGACCAGCCCCGATAGCACAGGCAGTGAGAATGGTTCTACCAGGTTCTCGTATCCGGCGGCTGGACCGTATGGGACGAGTGTCGTCGCCGAGGCCGAAGGCGCGGGCGCATTCGGCGAACTCAGCTATTCAACCAGTGAGTTTCTTAACAGGAAGCAGTAATAACTCTAAGACCTGCTGACCAGGGAAAACAATAATTAAAGATTCAGACGAAGTGACTGTGGCCTACTGCCAACCCGAACTTCCAACCTTCGGCGAGATCCCGTCCTCGGCTCCCTTACTGCAAGGGATTGTCTCCCAACCAATCATGCATCCAGACGCCTCACAATTCCAGGGGATCTCCCCCATGCAGCTGAACGGGCCGTACGGGGACGCGCAGAGCTATATCTACGAGAAACCAGACCCTCAGTCACAGTCACGACCACAACCACATACATATCCATGGGGTCATGATGCAATGGGATCGCAATTCTCGGCTCCTTATTCGGATTCCTCTTCACACCTAGCCTCTATCAATCCCTTTGATGCACAAGCAAATGCACAAACCACATCACCACCGAATCCGAATTCGAACTCGTTATTCCAAACCCCGCCTGCACCACCACCGATTAATCAACATCAACAACACCCTCATCATCACCAACACCAACTGGACCCACTCCAGCGAGAACTCACCCCAAATCCAATCGATTCTATCCCAGACTCTTGGAAGATAGAAGGGAAAGAAGAGCTTCTGGAGACCTTACTCCAAACAATCAGCAGCTGCGACGAGAAATCCGTTGCGCAAGTCGTCAGCGTTGTGAGAGCCAGTGCCACGCCTGAGGCGGCTGTCTCGGGAATATGCCAAGTTCTAGGGATCAGCGGGATCAGCGGCCAATGACCGAAGCACTAGGCCAGAGACCTGGTCAGAGCTCATGGCCCAGTACAGTACGAGTACATATCTACCTACCAGACCCGATTAGACAGGGCGCAGTGTACATACATACATAATACATCACATTAGAGATTTCAAATTCGGCGGTAATGAGTAATTAATTGCATGCAATTATGAATGCTCGTGGGCTGGTTCCACTGCAATTCGCTCTCGTCGAATTTCCTTTTGTCCACCTGGAGGTGTCTGGTCTAGTACATCAGAGAAAAGAAGGGAAAACAAAACGCCTTTATACATCAATGCAGGCCATAAGTCGTCACGTCGTGTAAATAATGCAAAGAAGAGAAAAAGAGAACATAAGAAAGAACAGAATAGAAAGGAAGGAAGGAAGAGTGATCGTCAAGTCGTAGATAATTATCACCATCATGGGGCCAGGCCATTCCCATTCGAAGTCGAACTCGAATTCGTATCAAATGGTTTCTGTCCGTAGACGAAGTGGAATCGAACATAGAGGTGGAACTTATTGCTCACTAGCTCGGCGCGGACTCGATCCATATACTCCTGCGCCTGCTGGAAAGAGAACCCCAACACGCGAGTGAAGAGGGCAAGGGTATACGGCTCGATGACTTCGAGGATAGTGGCTTTTCCCACGCGACCGATTTCTTTGAGCCGGCGATTCTTTGGCCACCCACCGACCGGGCACTGTTAAGAGTGAGCTTGGAAGAAAGAGAGAGAGAAAAGGCGATAACAAGGGAGGAAGCAAAAAAAAAAAAAGAGTACCTGGGGAGAAAGGGAGCGGGGGAGAGCAACAAACCTTGTAAATATCATCCGTAACATTCTCAAATCCCTCAGCGGTCATCCAATCAAAGATCATAGGCGCAACATTAACAGGTTTTCCAAACTGTTTACTCGCCTGACTTAATCGATCTTGCCAATCCGTAATAGTCGTCGCTCGAAGATGTGACCCATCATCAGAAATGACCATCGTCTCGAACTCCTGTGCCTCGAACCACCCGCCAGGCTTCAGGTGCGTAAATACCTGTCGTAATAGTCGTGGCCAGTCGCCGATTCCACCGCCCAAACTGCGCGCGTGGATATAGTCAAAGGCTTCCGGTGGGGTAAATGTCCAGTCGCTCTCTGCGTCATCGATGAAGAAGCGGCAATTGGGTGGGGCCCAGTTTGGTTGGATGGGACTTAGGTCTGTGCCGATTATGTCGGTTGCTGGGAGGTCTTCGGCCATTTCGAGGGCCCATTCGCCGGTGCCGGTGCCAATGTCGAGAATTCGTCTCGGCGGATTGGGGGTGGTGGTGGTGGTGGTGTTATTATCATCTCCGGTGCTGAGGTCGGAATTTAAGATTGAGCTGGAGCTGGAGCTAGAGCTGGAGCTGGAGCTAATGTCCGGGTCGCGATCCCCGCGATCTCGGTCGCGTGGGAGGGGGGCACGATGAAGATCGCCACCGCTGAGAAGTTTGAAGAGATGATGCATCAGGGCTAGTCGGTCTTGTTCCTCTTCGTCGTTGGGGAAGGGGTATTGGCCATGTCGATAGGCGTGGTAGCGGCGGCCATTTTCATAGCAGTAGTCTCGTACTGAGGAAGCGAAGGATAGATCGGAGCCCACGAGAGATTGTGTGTCAAAGAGTGAATCATCGTCACTTGTCTGGGAGTGTGGTTAGAGCTGAAAATTGGCGATCAAACTGAAGGAGAGGAGAGGTAGGTCTTGGAGGGGTAGGGTAGATGGGTAGATGGGAGGATTACAAAGATGGGAAGCTACAGGGCCAGGGCCAGGACCAGGACTGGAGGGGAGCTTACATCAACTTGAATGCTCTCGTTGGGATTTGGCCGAGACATGGGGAGAAAAGGAAGGAAAAGACCAGGCATAAGAAGGAAAGGGAAATTAAAATTGGTGAAGATATCGCAGAATACCGAGAGAAAGGTCGTCGGGGCGCAAGTGATGCATCACCCGGCTGGAACTCAGCGCGATAGGTCAAGCCTGCAGGAGTCCCCGCAGTTGCCAGCCAGCAGGGAAGAGCGCTGGGTGAGGAGTAGCCTAGGGTAGGCTGGGCTAGATTCCTCAGCTGGGATGGAGCGGTGCAGATGTGATGCACTATCATGCGTATGGCTATGCAATTACACCGTCGTATCCCTGCGTCCCACCCGGTTGGGCCCTCGTCTCCACTTCTGCGGGCCCTTTCTTGCTGGGTTTGCTGGGTTTGACTCGTGAGCCACTCGGGATTGGCGTGCTTTATAGCCTGGTCTGATTCAAGCCTACGTACAGTATGGAAATAGTATACTACTAGTAGTGGTAATGCACCAGTAATGTACCAGGGAGTATAATCAGTCAACTACTTGACGAGTTAACTATCTATTTGTATCAATCATCATGATCATGATCATATCATATTCCTATTCTTGCTGTTCTTGCTGTTCTTGCTCACCCCAGGCTCTGCAGCTTTCCCTGCTCATCCGGGGTCAGAGCTCCAAACACGTCTTGGAATCCTGGTTGTGTCGATGCTCGTCGGAAGAATTCACCCAGGTACGCTTGTGTCTCGTCATCTCGTCGTCGCACTCCGAAAACACTCTCTGTACCACCCTCCGCAAAACTCATCAGCTGCTGCTTGGTCATACCCAATCCCAGGTCCAGCACCTGTCCGGGCATGTCTTCCCAATCATCGTCGCCATCCTCACTTCCAGCGTCGTCGAGTGCAGCAGCCGTCGCTGCATCCATCTCCTTGTTGCCTGATGCCGCCGAAAGTTCCTCCACAAGGACCTTGATGATCTTCAAAGAGGCGGGCACAGTGGTATACCGATCGGGGTTGTTGCGTGCCTGTGACCGAGTCTTAATCCGCCCAGTGTTCTCAACAATTAAATCCCCCCCTGACTGGCACCTCAGCCAGACGAGGATCGCCCAGTTCGTATAGATGCGCCAGCGCGAAAATATTCTGCTTGATCTCATCGTAACCGGCAAAATTGACCGAGTTCTCCAGCCACTTGCCTAGTACGAGCGCAAGTCCGTTCTGGTTACCCAAGTCCAGTTGCGCCAGGAAGTCGACCACTTCGCGTGCGCTAATCAGTGTCAATCGGGCGAAGACTAGAATGAGACTCTGAATGAATTGTGCTTGTTGCGCTGTCGCCAGTCGCTGAGCCACCGCTTGCAGGAGCTGCGGCAGGTAGGGGCCTAGGCGTTCTGGTCCAGCGCGCTCCACCAGCTCGGCCGCCAGCTGTCCTACCTCGGTAGCCGCATTATCATCCACATCCGGTCCAAGCAGACGGTCAATGATCACCAGGACAACCTCGACCGGCTCCTTTCCAGACTGCGGGTCCCATGCCAGAAACTGGGCAAAATCATGGGAGAGCACGTAGCGCACGGCTTCGGTAGCAGGTCGGATCAGCTCGGCTTCAGCCGAATCTAGAAGCAGACGGTTGAGCTTGGGCATCACCGTTTGCACAAATCCTGCCGGCATAGGCTCGAGGCTGCGCTCCGCCAGAGCTCGCAACAGGTCGGCGGCAAAGTTGGTCAGGGAGTTCTCTTCAGTGAGATTTCCGACATCGATAGCGCCCATCAGAGAAGGGAGCACCTTTTCACACATTTGGCGGTAGGCATCGGGGCCAAGATCGGAGATTTGGTCCACGATATCTTCAAAGGCCTCAGTCACGGTCATGGTCAGCTGGAAGTTCTCAGCCCCACTGCTAGCAATGTTGAACAAAACATCGATAGCAATGGATGAAAGAACCACGCTCGAATCGGCCATAATGACATCTCGGAGGGTTTCCGCCAGGGTCACCTTGAGATCGTCACAATCACTCTGATCACGCAGGTCATGCGCTGAAACGAATTCTGAAATGGCGTTGATAACGGTGACCTGGAATGGGCGAGCCACTTCGATCGGCAGAGATGGAATAAGATCTTGTAGAACACGTATACAGGCGACCTTGACGACCTCTGCGGGATCCTCGGCGATCGCCTTCAAAGCAGCTTCCAGATAAGAAGTGGCAGTCTGCTGGAAGCGATCGCCAGCGACCTTGGCCAAAGAACCAGCAACCAGGTAGCCTCGCGCGCGTAGAAGCTCCTCCTCCTGCTGGAGAGCGTAATGGACAAACTGGTTGAAATGAGTAGCGAGCTCTGAGGGAATTTCTTGAGACACCTCGCCAAAGTCTCTCAGCAAGGAATTCAGGACATAGAGGGCTGCCTCGCGGGCTTTCCATCTAAACCGGGGTCTCAGATTAGCATGTAGCAGGGTATCAGTCAGAATGAAGTACTTACGTGGCCGATGAGTCGGCGAATAGTGTATTCATATGGGTCAGAAGCCCTTCAGCTGCCTTTTCCTTCAGCCATTCGCCAGTCTTGATCGCGAGATCAGCACTGCAGGTGCGAGGAGTGTAGTTGGCGGTGATTGATGTCTCCTCCGAGAGGAACAGGTTCACATCGATTTCCCACAGACCTTCCTCTTCCATCGTAATCTGCGCATAAGAGCTGCACAGCTTCATGATCTCGGGTACCCATCCAGACGAGCCCGCTGCGGTACCGGCATTCTGAAGCTGCTGGTGTAGCTCTGCCTTTACAGGTGGGGCCTTCAGCAGAGTTTGAACAAGATCCAGTTCCTCTAGAACGAGGTAATCGAGCGAGTAGGCGAGACTGTCCACATCTTCTAGGCGACCTTGGCGCTCGTTCTCAATGAAGAAATTTTGATAGACTGGCAGAGCATTAGTGAGCTCTGCCCAGGCAGTAGAGAAATAGCTCGGACTCTGGGCCGAGAGAAGACCAGGGAAGACATTGCGGATCTTCATCAGAGTCTAAAGAACCATACATGTTAGCTGGGATAGAAAATCACTGCATGCTAGGGATAGATCTTACCTTCACGACCTGGATTTTCAGGGCAACGAACCCGCGCCACTGCGTCGCAATATCGCCCGTCTTGTTCGCCTCTTCTTCGGACGGTGGCTGAGGCAAGGGTGCTTCCAGGGTCGAAACAAAGTATGGCGACCAGACGCTTAACATCTCATCAACGAATGACTTGATAGCTTGCTTGTGTTGTTCCAGAACCATTTCCAATGTGTCGAAGCAGGATTTGAAAACGGCGACTGCGAGTGCCCGCAGTATAGGCTTCCGGGATTCGGACGCCGCTACTGCGAAAAGAGACGAAACGAGGTCACGGGCGACATTGAAGAATTGCTCCTCGCCGAATCCAGTGTCCACCAAGTCCAGAAGGACCTTCAGAGCGCCGTGCAGGGCGATATCGGTGGTGGAGGCATCGTTGATGATGTGAAGTAAAGCGGGGAGGAGTTCTGGCCAGTCATCGGGGAAATCGGCGCTGGCAATTTTACTGACCGCATAGCTAGCAGAGCTCTTAACTTTGCGTTCGGGGGTTTCGATGGTGGTTGCGAGTTCGAGGAGTGCACGGCGGATCTGGGCTTTGTTTGTGTCGTTGACGAGGACCTGACCCTTGAACTCGTCCAGGCTGGAGGACCAACCCGCGGCGATGAAAGTGCGAAGTATGGAGAGGGCAGATTGACGCAGGTTCACAGGTACGGACTCGTGGGAAGCAATGGCAGTTAGGGAGATGGGGAATGATTCGTTCGAGTACAGGGCGTGGAGCTGTTGCTCAGCGGATTTTCTGGCGTCGGCCTGAGGCGACTGGGTGTTTGCCAGGAGCGATAGGAGTTCTTGCTCCATGGCGGGCGTAATGGATGACCAATTGATCACGGAGAGGTCAAGCAGAGGGTGAGGCGTCGCCAGGGAGGTGGGATCAAGAAGTTTATCCCATTTGCGCGCGGCGCGATAAGGGGACGCGGAGGGGCAGTGGAGGCGGTAAGCCTCTGACCACATAGTAGAACTGCATAGTAGAACTGCATAGTAGAACTACATAGTAAACTACTAGAGTTAATTACCTTTACTTTAGTCCCTATGTATGCCTTATCTTGAGCTGTTAGCAAGTATCCTCCGTAACCTTGATTCTCCTTAGGGAGATGCCCAGACTCACTACAAGAAGCTGTACATACTTCCAACCCTAGGTATCAACACCTCTCAGTATTCTCCGCTGCTCTAGCCTCAAGCCCTAACCGAAACAGTTCTTAAAAATAATCCGCTAACCTAAAGTACGATAAAAGCTAGAGACCATCGTGCCCATAGAAACATCATGCAAACTTGAATGCGATAGGCTGGCATTGGACTGGTCTCACAGGCATGCTCAGTTATACTCGTACCTAGCGTGCAAAAGCGGCGAGGCCTGGGCACCAAAATGGAATCGAAGGAAACTCATTACCAAGTCCACAGGGCCCTTTACCGATGATCATCCCAAGTGACGGCAGTGGCGGCATGAGATCTCCATGGGGAGGCGCCTCTCTCCCCGGCAAGAGGTGCGAGCTGAATGCCTATAGGGTAGGGTAAATCCCAACGCCTGTATTATCAATACGAGTAGTCTTCCATCGGTTTCTACTCCTTCAACTGTCATCGCTGTGGTGAGATCGTCAGCCGCATTTCCCGGTGATCATTGATCGCGGGGAGGGGAGTGAGGGGCACTTTTGCTCTAGCGCCTCTCATGACGCCCCCCCGGTGTAGTAATTACACACCCTGATGACCGGTCGTTCCGCCTCAAACCAGCCAGCTTAATCCTTTTAATAGAAAAGAGACACGGCACGGGTCAGAACAAGCCCGCCGTTGACAGCCTCAGCGACTGACCTGAAGCCAATCCTGTGGGCCTCTTGAGAATTCTTCCGAAAAATCACGATCCATCCAATAAGGCAGACCGCTGGTGTCAGGCCATCGAGGCGCATCACACATTGATATCCAGATCTTCGTGGAGATTATCGTCGGAATTACAGCAGATCCCACCAGCCCATAACGGAGAAATTGTATACATGTGAACTTACAACATCCGCATAGTACTAGTTAGTACTCTTAAGTACACAGTAGATCAGCATGTTCATCGGTGGTACAACATACTATCTTCAGGGACATTACCGGCCTCATACGGTCGGGATGACACTGTGGGTTCCTCTTGCTGAAGGTGACGTGTTGAATCGACTAAGTCGGGGAACTTTCGATGGTTCCGAGACAGTTGAAAAGTAATCATGTGGGGATTCGTGAGATTTTGACTTCATCGGAATTGATGATTCCCCTCGACCCCCGCGAAGACCCTGTCAAGGCTTGTTCTTGTCAGCACCGCCTCCCGACGCCCGCAAGCCCGCCGCCACGGCAATGGATGCCAAGAACCGGGTCTAAATTGCTAACAAGTGATGAATGGCCAAATACATCTCTATGCCTTTCTTCAAATGCACTTTGTATCTTTTCAGCCCGAGATCGCATAGGTAGGGATGCAGATCACTCACATGGGCCTGACTTTTGTACGGAGTACGTACCATTGTCTGAAATGAAGACCATAAACCCAAAAATCCAGCCTACCTATGCTGGGGTTTATGAGTCCACTTTGGAAAACTGGTGCCGGATCATGCCTTTTATATATATATTTTTTAATATATTTTTTATGGATATCTGTATAGGTTCAAGTAAATGGACACAACTCTAATACAGGAACGTGATGTACCAAGTATATCCAAATTCCACCATTTCTGGCCAAAGACCTTACTGATCCCTACCTAGTTCCGCAGACGTGGAGCTCTAGATATCTCATACCTGTCGGGTAGTTAATCAACTGGATGTTCCTGTCATTGATCATAACGATAGTCTAATTGAGTAGATGGGATCTGTATATCACGTGGTGGCCATGCGATTCGACCCTGGACTGAAATCTGCAGGCTCCGCGAACTGCAGGGTGGTTGTGAGCGCCCTCGTAAAAGCAGCGACAGTCTGGGATTAGAGAGGAGGTACAGGTACATAGTGAAGTGACTGCTTAATTATTATGGAGTAAGTACATACATGGAGTGCATTGTATGTAGTGTAGTAATGTATTGTATGATATGGTAAGGCGCCATACCCGGTACTACCGTGGCCCCCTCTTTTGGCAATCAGAAGGGTGCGGCGGTGTAATTATTCGGTATTCTTTGGGTTGGGCTGCTGGGTCCGATGGGGAATTCGGCTCCCTCCTGCATCCATGACTGGTTACCAACGTATTCAGGTACAACAGGTACAAGAGAGATGCCCTGGATGGGCCCTGCGCTGCTAGGGTGGAGAGTTAAGCTTACACACAAGAAGATGGGGGTATTTTCTTTTTTACTCGGCTATACCCCGTCGGTTCTTGCACCACATCCACGGTTGAGCAGATGGTTCCATGGCCCATTTATGGAGTAAAAAATTTAGGGTATTGAGTGTTTTGGTACGGAGTACTGATAATCGGTTACACTTTTTCTTTCGTTCTTGTTTTTTTTTCTTCGCTTGGCTGCGATGATCGCCCCTCCTTGAGTATCCCATGATCACACCCACTCACTGACCCGTTGAGTGGGGAAAAGAAAGAAAAAGAAAAAGAGAAAAAGAGATGGAATTTGCACAAAAAACATCTATAGATTCCGCGATTAAAATAGGGTAAACGGTAGATACGGGAGTGGCATCGGAACTATGCAAGGCAGAGCAGAACAACATGCTAACATCATGCATATGTGGTTAGCGAGAATATTCAAAAGTAGAAGCAAAAGCAAAAGCAAAAAAAAAGCTGGATAAGTAAATGTACAGAGGATACTTTGTGCAAAGTACTATTCTGTACATACATCAGTGTTCGTAGAATGACGCAACACGTGACGGGCCAGCAAGTCCTGACCGTCTACTCTCTTCCACTTACTCTCCCCTCGAACGAGCCACACGGGGCACATCATTCACCACCATCGACTTTATCTGTTTTACTACCGGCTCGACCCATCGACCTTCGACAGGCCCCTGAGCCTTTTATAGCCGTTTCACTTGACGGCTCCCCACCCCCCCTCGAGCCCCTCGCCGTCCACTTTCGCTTTAAGCCCCTCCTCACCCTCCCCTCTTCACCTGGGTACATCGCTTCTCCAAAAAAGTTATCTTTCTTTTCTTTCGATTTTGGGATCGGCGCTCAGGTTCACATCGGTTTCTTCCCTCATGCTCTGAGGCTTTGCATCTTGTCGTTTTGTCCACCCAAGCGTACGTCCCTCGGATTTCCTCACAAACCCCCTCCCTCCCCTCCCACCAATCCACCACCAATCATCAATCCACCCAACCCCCCCTCCTTACTTCCCTTTTGATCACCAACAGCCGCCTGTTTCGGCCTCACTGCGCCTCTCATACTTCTTGCTTGCCTTTTCCGACCGTCTCATTCGTTCGCACATTCTCCCCGATCCAATCTGTTGTTGACCGAGGACCGGCGGGAAAAAAATCCTTGATAATCGGACCCCGGCTCTCCCATCTGGGAAAAACCACAACATCACCACTATACTCACCACTTTTTTCTAAAAGAAAAAGACGCCCACGTTGACCGATGATTTTAGAAAGGCAGAGCGATGATTAGCTTCAGGGTGGAACATCATTCAGATTCCTCGAGACTCCGTCAAGATCACCCTTACCGTGGACCCGACTCCGGATCGTTCGACGGCAATGCCGATGGCCAGTGAGATCAGTAGTACCACCACCATGACCACCTTCGCCGCTCCGGTCCCTGCTACCAGATCGCTGCCCACGAACCAGTCGGCGCTGGCGGCGTCATTCACCAACTTCCTTACCGTGTCTGTCCATCAAATACTTTTCCTGCGCTCCGTCTACCCGCGCGCGACATTCCTTCCCGTCCGGGCATACAACTATCCTGTCCGACAATCCCGTCACCCTAAAGTGTGTGACTATATTAATGATGCATCAATCGCGGTCGGAACAGAGATCTTAAAAGGTACAATCACCGCAGTCAGTATCATTATTTCATCTCTTCGCACAAATCAACCCCTCGAACGATATGCTTTCGACCTGTCGGGCTTCCCACGGGCTCCAGCTGGAGAGGTAAACACTACATTTGCGGACAGAAATGGAGATTCATCTAATCCAGGTGCTCCCGTCTCCGACCGGGGCCCCGCGCCAACTTCGGTTGACCTCGAGTCACAGTTCAGAGCTTGTCTGGCTCGACTGGCGTCCGCATGTGCGCGCCTAACCCCGCTCCCGCGGGATGACGAATTCAGCTTTACTGTCTGCATTGAAGTGCGGGAGGATGCGTTACCCCCCGCTGGAACAACCAACGAAGAACAAACGTGGATTGTGGCCGAACCTGGCAAGGTGCACCTCCGATCCTGTACCGCCCCTTTCTCCGTCTCCAAAGTACGGAACGGCGAGCCACAGCGGCCACCCCCGCCAGTGTCAAACGGGCGCGCCAAAACAGTACCGGTACGACGTGTGGAGGCCGGGGAGCTGCGGTTGGAGTTATGGGTGGAAGAAGCGCGGCAGAAATTTAACGAACCGGTGGATTCAGAGCAGCCACCCTGAACGGATAATTCCTTATTAGGGATTTATTTGTGTCACATCTGCGGAAACAGTTGTTCGTTTGATTATCTGTCCACTCCACTCCCATTACATTCTCATTCTGATTTAGCGTGACCAATGATCGAACATACATGATGGACGAAGAGACTAAGAATTGCCGTCCGCAAGAAAGTGGCGCAAATATATAAAATGGGGAGCGGACGATTTTTTTGGACTCGCATGGCATTTTTTTTTTCACACTTACATAGATCAGGTTCATATCTTTCCTTTTTCGCTCATCCTTTAACCTCTTCTCCCCCAGCACTTTGCTTTTCTTTTACTCTTCTTTCGTCACGACATTCCTTCTCAGCTCCCTCTCCTCCCTCTTTGATTTTTGGTCTTTCCATTCTTCGACTCAGCTCGTTCTCCCTCTTGCATCGTGTGCTGAATCCTCGAGTATTAACTCTCCATGCTGATCTTTTTTATTTGCGGTTCGGCCTTTCTTATTATTTCATACCATCTCATTTCTGTTGTATTCCATTCGTCTCCTTTGTCGAATCTTTCTCAACTACATGATTCTCATTTTTTTTCTAGCCAATTCAACTATCTAGCAACCTAGCTCCCAATGTCGTCTCGTGTCTGGAATTGCTCACGCCTTTCAAGGTTGTGTTGTTTTGTCATTTTTCTCACATCATGTCTCATTTGTCATGGACTTTTGGATTCCGAATCTGCCAATTTTTCACGACTTTCATGTTTTGTGCTGGATAGTTATGTCGTAATGTCCTTGCATCCCAGGCTTTCTTTCTTTTGACCTTTCCGGTTCTCTATGCGATTGTGACATGCATTTTATTTTGGTTTTGTTTCTCTGCCTCAAATCTTGTCTTGGTACTCGGCTGATAGGAAATAGGTCCTTGGTCTTGGCGCGTAAGTATCATGTAGCCACTCCTATGGCGGCAGTATACGTAAACGGGATAGTACAGTTCTGCATGCAGGTTAATTCGACCATTATATAGTTGAAACCACCCTCAGTAGATCACAACAGCCACGATCAATTAGTATGCATAAAGCCGTGGCGTCTCGAACAGGGTTCCCGTTGCTTGGCCCGCCTTGACAAAATACCATCCATGGATGAAATACATATTTCAAACATGAAATTCCGAGACCAATGTATGCCCAAGCTCACGCTATGTTTGTCCCAGCCTTCTGGTTCCTCGTAGCAGAATGGTTCATGCTGCCCATGGATGATATTGATTTGCGGAGGTGGGTCGAATCACCAATATTCTCTTACATTATTGGCTCGCTCGAGAAAGCCCATGAAATGCTCAAGATACTCGTAGTACGAGAAAGACTTCATTTTTACGCGAAGGCATGATCAAGTCAATTCATGCCCAGGTGCAGTCAAGGTGCTAAAGACATTTGTTTCAAGACAGGTCCTATTGCTTTGTCGAATAGGGGTGCTTTCTCTTGGTATAAAGCTGATTCTTTTATAACTTTCAGACAGTTCGATCAGACAAAGTTTCTTCATCACAGAGAACTGCTTTGTTAATTATGCGGCAACCCAAAAACATATGGCCCAACAAAACGCAGCATCTCAAAAACAAATGGCGAAGCAGAATGCAACAACCCAGAAGCAAATGGCCCAGCAAAATGCGGCTATGGGGAAACAGAACCAGCACATGAACCATGAGCTGCAAGCTATGAAACACCAGCAGCAGAAGGGTAGTGGTCATGGTGGTGCTGGCAAGAAAGTTCTGGTTGGCGCTGCAGTGGGCGCAGCAGCTGGTGTTGGTGGTGTCATGATCTATGAGAGATATCGCGAAGAGACATATGTTCAAGAGCAGATTATCCGAAACGAAGACCAGAGGCCCATGGATCAAGATAACAGCGACTCGGACCATAACTACGACCGCAATGATAACCCTTACGACTACGATCGAAACGATAACGACCATTATCGTAATGACAACGACCAATACATGCCACAGCAGGATGAAAATCAAGGTGAATATTACAATCAACAGGATACAATGGACACGCGTGGGCAAGTTCAAAATAGTGGGGGCGATGGAAATGATGGTGATTGCTGTGGCAGTTGCAGTGAATGTGGTGACTGCTGTGGGGGGGGTGCTGTGGATCGAATGACAAGGATGATGATAGCAGCTGTTGTTGTTGTTGCTAAGTGCAATGATATATTGATAAGATTTTGTGTAGCACCAGAGGGTCATTGCAGCAAACCATTCAATTACTTATACTTAATTGTTTTTTACTTGAATCTGCCGTGGGAGGAAATTCGTCTAGGGAAACATGGATGTTTACCTGCGAGGCCAATCAAGTGGCTTCGGGAGCTTATCTCCATCCCGCGAGACGCCCTTCTAGTCCAAGCAAGAAGTGTATGGCCATTCGTAGCCAATGCAATTCAAAGAGCAGCCACAACCTTATAAATAAAATGGGCCTTGCTTTTTCTATTCTGCAGGGTGACAGATATTGAATATGGGATTATCGTACGTAGTTAGTATTTCAGACTGCTGAATCTACTGTGTCAACACCAGTGGGCATACTGTGGTTATATACCTAGTTTCCGTAGACGCCAGAGTACTTTTCAATTTTCCAATAGAAATAGAGCAAAGGATAAACTTGGAAATAAGACATTCCAGAGATCATGGCAGATATATTGCACCTTCTTCGAGTACAATTTGTTTGCATCACGTGCCGCGCGTCCTCCTGCAGCTTCTAATTATAGATAGCCAGCCACCAATTTACACTATCACGATCACTACAGGTGATACTACTACGTGTATATGTACACTTCTCTCGTACTAGTAGTCTAGTACTTCAGATGATCGTTCTTCCCACTATACAGCCAGCCCTTCTATAGTAATTAACTCGAAGAATGGGCGGTGTGCAGTATACACGCTGGCAACAGCCATGTGGCACCAAGTTGAAGTATTCGGTCATCGAACAGATGACCCAGGACCCTCGGGAAAGAGCTCGAGTAAGTTCAGCATGAACCTAGGATAAGGGAACTATGTAACTATGAAGATATGGCAGATATGACTGGACAGCCCCGTGACCCACCGTGCCCTTACCAGGTGACCCGCACCTTACGTCAACGGCAGGTGCAACCGGGGGACAACCTCTAACTGCCAGTCGAGTCGAGAGAGCCGCTTGTCATCGCTTGCCCTCGGTTCGTTTGACAAAGAGAAACGCTTTTCAGTCCGCTTGTCACCGTGTAGAGCAGGTCACTCCGGCCCGGATCATGATGTGCATGGAGTTATTGGAGCCATTGGAGCGGGGGAAATGAGGGGGATGAGACGAGCACTATCCCTCCTGGTGTGACGCTGTCCCGCGACTCCGAGAAGTTGAAGTTACTATATATCTGGTCAGCCACGCCGATAAGCGGAATCCACTTCTTTAACTCGCTCGAACCCCGGATTCTTTCTTCTTTCTCTTTCAATCTTAGATCCCGTTCTTTGTGTGGCACCTGGGCACAACTGGGCAATCCTTTCAATAGAACTTGAACAGTTCAAATCTGATCCCTACTACTAGCTCTCAGCGACAAGGTAGAAAGAAGTCTTGATACGCTGTCCTACGCGTGTCAATTTGTTCCAAGGTTACCATTCTCCACAGAAATTTGCGGGGAAAACCTCTTCTGTCGAAACGTTCAAGGTTCAAGAATACCTAGGTATCTTCAAATTACCACGACGCCTGCGTAGCTTCGTTTTCATCACCATGATTGCTGCAGACGTTCAATCTCTCCCAATGGGAGACTCACCTGATCTGATTCTAGTCCCCGCCACGCCGGAGGAGCGGATCAAATCCATCAAGTTCAATAGCGTGGCCTGGAAGGGACCCTTGGACATGGACGCCTACATTGCGCGTGAAGAACACCTCTACAACCAACGGTTGACTCGGGAAAACCTCACCAGTTGGATTCTTGTCGACCGCACCGAGCCCGAGGGCGAGCGAACAATTCTCAGTTCCTGCGAAACCTACCGAAAAAGGGCGCTACTAGCCCACGACGGCACAGTCGAAAATGTCAAGACTCACGGGATCGGGAGCGTCTACTGTCGGCCCGATTTCCGGGGCAAAGGCTACGCGAAGCGGATGATGGAGGAATTGAGTCGGAAATTGGAAACTTGGCAGATGGAAAAGGAGTCTCGCGGACGGTCTCTGTTCACTATTCTTTTCTCGGATATCGGGAAGAAGTTCTACGCTCAGTTTGGATGGCGGCCCTTCTTGTCTTCGCATATGACTCTGCCGCCGGTTGCGAGGGAAGTGCTTAATGGTAGCCTGGAAAACAGCAAGATCAGAGCCTTGCTCGCAAAGGATGTCCAGGACTGCGTCTGTGATGATGCCACCCTCGCAAAGTTGCAGGAGCGTATGCAGGTTGCCTCCCAATCACCTGGAGCGACGGTTGCCATAATCCCGGATTTTGATCACTTCGTGTGGCACTGGGCTCGCGAGGAGTTCTTCGTAGAGAAGCTGTGTTCGGACCGCTCTCCTCCACTGATCAAGGGCGCCGGTGATGACCAAGCTCGCGTGTATTGCGCATGGAATCGCAACTTTGGTGATGCCCCCGAGGACAATGTCTTGTACATCTTGCGTTGGGTGTATGATGACCCTACGTCGCCGGAAGATGAGCAGACGTTGATCGAAGCAATGGCCACTATCTTGCGACGGGCTCAGCTGGAAGCCCATGAGTGGAACCTGAGCAAGGTCGAATTTTGGAACCCATCGCCCTTACTGGAGAAAGCAGTGGCCCTTCTCGACCCCAATGCTGAAGTGATACACCGTGAGGAGAGCAGTATTTCCAGTCTGCGATGGACGGGTGCAGAGCAAGGATTAGGTAAGGACGTGCAGTGGTTGTTGAACGAGAAGTTCACTTGGTGCTGATCGACCACCTTGAATGATATCGGGATATTTTCTTTCTCCTGCTTTTTTTTCTTTTCCTTTTATTGTTTTGATTCAGCATATTCCCCAGGTGCCGCACCTGGGTTGAATTGGGCGGCAAACATGACCATGATGTTTTTAGACACGACCAGCATCATTATCATAGACCGGAGGCTGCTCGGCAATTACGCTGCTTCGACAGTTTGCAGTCAGCGCTTTGAATTTTTTAATAACTCATGCCAGTTCCTGGTTGTTTTGGCTTTGGTTTTTGCAGCTGCAGCTCCAGCAGCTGGGGCCTTGCTAATCTGCTTCCTCTGAGATGCGTCAACGAAAAACATCGTCGTAGGATCCGGGCTCTCGTATGAGCCCTCTGGCAGTTTCGAGAGGATTGCATCGCCCCTCCACGATTCTGGTAGGCAATCCTTCCATACTTGTAGAAACTCGCTCCGCCCGACAGCAGAAGAGGCAGTAGGAGCAGTGGCAGCGAGACAAATTTCCCCAACCCACCGAATACACTCTTCTTTGTCAAAGCATGCCCCTGAATTTGGAAGGAAGAAGTTAGCTTAGTTCACAATCCAAAAAAAGTCAATTCCAGAGCAGACTCCAAACTCACATTTGATATCCTCTGACAGAGCTGGTCGTTGATCTTCAGCACAAAGCCTGCGCGCCAGAGCCTCCAGCAAAGCTCGGGGGAAAGGCGGCGCCGAAGCATCGTCATCAAGAACAGACTTCCAAAGATCGCCAACAAGGAATTGCTTCTCTAGATCAATACTCTGCAATAGCGCCCCTTCCATAAGACGTTTCCACACACTCAACCGCATCCGTGTCGAAGGTCTCCAACACGAGATCTCCTTGTCCCCATCTACAAACGCACAAAGCTCCAACCAACCCGTTTCGCATTGTGCCGCGGAGACAGGAACGTCCTCACAAACCTTTTCCCTCGTCTCTTGCTTCCGGGTCGCACTTGGCCCTTCATCTGGGTTGGAATCGTCCATTGACATATCGCCGTCATCGTCGCCGCTTCGGGGGTCATACAGTCGAAGACTCTTTTCAAGGAAGGGAACGGCAGAGAAGCCTCCATCGGGAATGTGTAGTTCCAGTGTTGATCCGCAGTTCGCGATGGTAGTTACCGACTCGTCGGGCAAATTCAGGGCGCCAGTCTCTCCAGCTTCTTCCTCGACGACCTTGATATCATCTCGGGAGATTTGTCCAAGACTCGGTTGGAGAATATGGATTGAGTTCGACGACATAACTTGACGGATTCGGTAGGTTTTGGTCGGGGTGCAGAGGTTGACGTATTCTTGTGCGGTAGGGTCCCTTACTGCTTGCGCGAGGGCAGAGGAGGGAGATTTGAGCTTAATTCTAGAATTTAACAACATTCCATCAGTCAATTCCTTTTTTCCGAAGAGGAGATGGGGCCATTTTTGAGCGGAAAGGTGGCGTACACAGGTGCATCTTTTGATGTCAATAGTTCCTCCAAGTCGGGTGGGAGCTCCAGCAATCGGAAACTCTGCTGGGGCTGGGTGTGCGTGAATAGGATGCTTCGCGAAGTCTGGGTCGACATCTTTGCAAGCGCGATCTTGCTGTGATTGAACAGATGATGTGCGTAGAGGAGTGGAAGAGGAGACGCGGTGAAAATGGCGGGACGCGGTGGACGCGCCCAGCACAGACCACCGTTTAATGGGTAGCGTCAATGGGATGGTGCAGCGATGACGAGAAATCATTTCTTGCTTTCTAGAATATGGAATTGAGGAATTGGGAGTATGATGCTTTGGGGACGATCCGAATTTTAAAAGAGAAAAAGCTTGAAATACAATTTCAGCACCATGTTTGCTTGTGCTTCCGTCGCGCCGTCTAGTATGCTATCTAATAAATGATGACAGAGAGACCACCCAATGACGACGAAAATATACATCAAAGAAGAAACTCAAAGGCAAAGAAATGAGATATCGCTTGTGTTCTCGGAAAATAGATCGTTGGCAGCAAATTTCGATCCACTTGGACAAGTTAAAAGACCAGCGTGTGGATCGAAGCGAGGCCGCGCAGTTGAATCCAGCCAGCTGGTGGAGAGGCACCTTCAAGGTGCACTGTCGAAATGAGAACATAGATAGGTTCGTTGAGATCAGCGTGATCACAATTTCGCTTGCTTGGAGCCGCCTTTATCAGCATCCTTCGCTGGCGGAGCAACAGAACCCTCGCTGAAGCCTTTGCCGGCATCAGGCTTTCCAGCACTATTCTGGGGATTTGAGTTGACGCCCTGTTTCTTCTCGGCAAGTTCGCGCTCTCGCTCTTTCTGCTCCTGCTCGAGTCGCTCTTGTTCCATTTCCTCCATGTGACGGAGATCGTCCACGCTAGGTTCGTATAAGTGCCAAATTGTGTAATGAGGCAGCCCGATGACGGAGAATTTCATCCGTTTGGCCATCTGAAATACGCCAGTCAGTAAATAAATCAAATGTCAGGCTGTGAGGTTTTCTTACCTTGCCAAAGCCCTCCGTCTCGGCGTGCTTCTCGAAGCTAAATGCAGGGAAGTGAACGCCTGCACGAAAAACGCGTGCCTTTGCTAGGATACTGACACCTCCAATGCCATCCAACTCCATTTCCATGTCCGGGTCGCCATATGGGTCGCGCAGGTAGGCAAGGTGAGGTCTCCATGTCGCATACTCGGCGTATCCCTCCACGATCACTGCGTCTTCGTCGAGCGTGTCTGCCAATGCCAGAGCAGTCTCTGATTCTTGCCATGAGTTCAGATCGTATGGTTGCTCCCCTCCCAGCCAGTCAGGAAGTGGTCGCCAGACATCTAGAAACAAGTGGTCAGTGGTCAGTGGCTAGAAAACACGCAAATGACCCCTAGGGGACCAAAACTTACTCGGGACCGTAACATCCTTATTATGGCGCATGAGATCTTCGATGATGGTGAAGGGCGCTGTCTCCACATCTGCATCTCGCCAGTAGACCCAGCTGTGGGTAGGACGGAGCGTCGCACTGAGCAGCCAATTCCTGGCCTGGGCCATCAATTTTCGCCGACTAGCCTGGGCTTCGAAGCCATGACGGCTCTCGACGTCCTGTTGCACCTTCTGCCCAAAGTCCTTCTGAATGACCGAGATCTCTCCATAGCTCATCTTGGGGTCCGGGTCGTTCTGAATCTCCGTGAGCATAGTCGAAAGCATTTGGAGGGTATCATCGCGTGAATCGGAGACGAGGAAAGCGAGGTCGATTTGGTTGTGAGGGTAGGTGAGGTTGCGGAGGTGCGAGAAGAACATTGGGAGATGCGAGGAAGCATCCCGCAGAGGGGTCAACATGAGGACACGCTCCCCTCGTTCCCAGCCCTTTTCGGTGCCCTGCACTTCGGAGAGGTCATAATATCGAACGGTTTGGAGCTGTAGTTCTTCGGAGGGGTGGAGGAGGCCTAATGATAAGGTAGGGAGGATGATGGCGCGCCATGAGGGAAAAATGAAAATTGTCACAAGGAAGGAAACTGCCGCGAGAAGGCATAATCGTTGGAGGAGCTGCCTTCTGCGTCGCAGGGCGGGTTGTGAGCGTGGCTGGAAGCTATATCATGAAATTGGTCGTCAGTATGGAGATGTATCATTGTCATATGCAGCAGGCTTAGGTGGGAAGTTTGGGGGGGGTAGTGGATCGCGCGTGTCAACAAGAGACCACTGGTCACCATCGCATTGCGATCACAATCATCGAATTCGACATACTGGTTGGGGGGATATAGAAAAGGCGGATCCACGAGGGTAGGCGGAATGGCCTTTGGAAAAGGCGTGAGGCCTATTCATGGTTCACAGGGATTCTCACTGCATTGGCGTGGATGTTGGCGCTGGGGCGGGAAGTAGACGGAGCAGACGGGGCCAAGGTGGCAGCCCCCCGGTCTCGGGTGAGGAGAATAAAGGTATGGAGTGGAATGGAAAGAGAAGAAGTTTTTTGACGTGAACCAGATTAAACAAAAAGGACAATGCCATTCAAATCCAGCTGAGAAGACCAGGGGTGTCAAAAGAGTAAGAGTGGTGAAGTGGACGAGAGAGAGCAAAGGGCGTGCGTCACCGAAACCGGGCGGCCGGTTGCAGCCACCGATCTGTTGATTACTTCAAGTTGGTGGATTACTCTGGACTTACACCAGTGAAGGGCTTCTAAGGTCATCTCAATTGATTACATTGCATGGAATTCAATTACCCTAACCTGGGCTCGGACTTGCTTTTGGTGAAAACTACCTTTGTACTAACGACTATCTACAGTTGGAGGCGTTGCAGGCGTTGCAGGCGTTGCAGATCTTCTCTCTAGCGCGCCCCTTCCGATTCATTTCGAAGTGTGTTGATTGACGATGGCGATCCCCTTTCCTTCCCTCCCTCGGCCTCTCGCATCACTTGCACTAATCGCCCCGCCATCTGTGGCCCATTGCGCAAAGTTGATACGACGGATGCGGCCTCGTACTCGCTGTCCAGGATATAGTACCGTTCCCTCTCACTATTCTCCACCGCGTCCCGTTGGAATGCGACCCTGGCGATCACCTTGGCTGGAACACTGGCCTTGTTGATCGAACTACGGGATACCATGCGCAAGAAGGGCCGGAGTCCGGTTCGTGTTTGATGTGCGACTCTGACCGACAGGGGCGCCCCCGTTCGAAGATGACTCTTCCCTGCAATGCCCCCCGGGTCTAGGGTGAAGATGTCCAGTGGGATATTTCCTGTCTAGAGATTCAAAGTACAACGTCAGCGGTCTTGTACGATCCTGCGCCGTTGCGATCGGTCAGACTTACACAGGCCAGGCTTCGACGTAACGCATACAAGGCAACACTCGCGATCAACTTGCTGCTGCCGAATCGGATATTCCCTTCCTTGGCGCTTAGAGGGGTTCCTGGAGGACGACTGTCTCGGCCTTGGTTGTGGTCGAAGTAGTCGAGTCTGCCGCAAGACGCCGAGGAGCATCCGACGTACATCACTTTTGCTCCCCCGCCCGACGTTCCATCGCCGGCGCGGAAGGCTTCAAGGAGACCGACGGTCAGAAGAAATGGGGCGACGCAGTTGATCTGGTATACCGGATCAAACCCGTCCAAGGTAAGTTCATCAACAACGTAGGACGCAACGGCGGCGGAGTGGATCAGATCGACAATAGGAGGAAGCTCTCTCCTGTGTACGCGATCAACCGTTTGCTCGGCAAATTTAGTGACTTCCCGGAGATCAGTTAGATCAAGAGGAAGCACCTCGATGGATCGTGGCCCGATGAGGCGGATTCGTGTGGTGAGAGCATGAACATCATCGGCTTTCGCATGTCGTGCTGTCAATAGGAGGTGAACAAAAGGTTGTGATTTGGCAATGGCCACAGCGATCTCTGATCCTAACTGCCCATTGCCACCCGTGATAATAACGGTCCCCGTCAGTGCTCTTCCCATGTCACTGTCGATATTTCGGTCTGTCTGAAGGGTACTCGTGTCCAGCGAAACAGGACCGCCACGGATTGCATAAGAGAGCCTGCTCTTATGAAACGCTGGGATGATGCGATTGAGGGGTGTTTTGAGCCAAGATCAAAGGGCATTGAAAACAGAAACAAAAATGCAAACTAAAAAAAGGCTCGCCAACGCGCTACGACCCGGACAGGGCTATATACGCCATTGAGGGAACTGAATTGTAGATCTACAGCGTGTCCCGGACCAATGGCCTCAATGGTCCATCGGCGGTGTCAGAACCGGCGTGTCTCAGGCTCATACGCCTAAGTCCGTGTCTTCTGGAAGAAGAGGCAGGCAGTGGATCAATCAGATGCGTCCACAGACGGACATGCCTTAGTGCCGCGTAGGCGTAGCTAGCGGAGTGGCCGGCCGCAAGGAGGAGAAAAAAAAATATTTTAGCGACCCCATCTGCGCCCCAACAGAGACAAAAATAACCCTGTCAACCCGACGAGGTAGCAACCGTGAATGATGACATGTTTCAGGCCCTGGAGACAATATCTCCGGCTTCGTGTGGGTTCGTATGTTGACAGGCTGTCATCGGCCAGCAGATGATCAGCCGCGATTGGGTTCGCAGTCAACGATTGATCCGTGTGGGCCATCGTGGAGCGTCGTGGACTTGCCGATCATTCGCAAGTGACCACCCTGGACGATCTCATCGTGGCTTGACAGCTCAGCAGCCGAGATCGAACTGCTGTCAGCAGTGCCCAGTACAGAACCCCCACCCCGACCGGGGTTTCCCTTTCATCCGCTTCGCATATCTTAGTCATATTCTGGGGGCATTTACTGGACTAAAAGAGTTGGCTGAGAAAGCCAATACGAATAATGAAACGACTAGAATGAAAAGTAGTGGATCGAGATCCCGAAGGCCACACCCGTGGGGTACAAATAAGGTACAATGAGGCGATCCATGGTTCCAAGAGCGGAAGATGCTATGATGAAGTACCAGCAAGATTCAAACAAAGAAAGAGGAACAGAAGTAGTGAATAGCCATTATTATCCTGCTGTCAACCCACGCCCTTCCCATCAGTGTCAGCGCCAGGGCTCCGCTCGGCAACCGAAGGTACCATATATCTGAAATTTACCTACCAAGCAAGGAGACTCGACGTCCCCACGCTAACAGAAACGGAAGAACTGCGACAATCAGTCAATCTGGTGTAACAACACGATCACTCTTGGAGATCCAGATGCCCAATAGAAATATCCACCAAGATCTTGACATGCTGGTCGCGGTGATTGATTAGTGCCCTGAACCCCTTCTCTACCACTTCAGCCATCCCAATCTTGCTGGTAATCATCGGTCGCGGCTGAATTTTGCCTAAAATTCAAAAAGGGGCAAAGAAATCAGATACAGACAAATGACTTTCGTTTCCGAGAAGGCTTTCTATGGGGGTACCCCACAGATGGGAAATGATCTGACTTACCAGATCTTATTGCTTCAATCACAGCTTCAAAATCCCCCTCGTCATATACCGCCGCACCTGTGACATGTTTCTCCCCGAGCACTATATCAACAAATGCATTGATGATCGGCTTTTCGTGCCACAATGACACGATAACCGCCGTTCCACGGGCCCGAAGACCCGCCATGACTGTATCCAGTCCAGCTTGCACCCCAGATGTTTCAAAGGAAACCGAAACACCCTGTCGTTGCCCAGTGATTTCCCGGATTCGCGAAACGGCATCTACCTGTCGAGGATCGAGGACATGAGATGCACCAAAGCTTTGGGCAAATTGTTGACGCTGCTCTGAGATCTCGACTACGATGATGGTCTCAGCTCCTCGAGCTTTCAATACCTGCACGATCGCTAGCCCGATGGACCCAGCTCCAACAACAAGAGCTGTGTCTCCGGCTTTGAGGGGGCTGCGACCCACTGCATGCCATGCGACGGCGAGAGGCTCCACCAATGCTGCTGGCGTCAGCGAAGACCAAGTTCCATCATACGACCCCAATCTGACATACATACCTCCAATATCTAGAGGCATCGTATCCGGCAGCTTGATCGCGTGCTTTTCATCAATGACAGCATGATCGGACATACCACCAGCCTCGCCTATACTTGGTCAGATCTATAACGTATCGGGGAGTATCTCGACATACTGCTATATCCAATAAAGCCCAGACTGCTGCAGATGTTCTGCCTCCCCATAGCGCACCGCGAACATGAGCCATCAGAAAGATTTGGCTTAATAGCTACCCTGTCTCCAACTTGCAGACTGACCACTCCTTCTCCGATCTCTTCTACCGTTCCACTGAACTCATGCCCCAACGTTGTTGGGAGCTTGGCTCCCGTAATCGGATGTGGCGTGACAGGAACAGCCGAGGGTCCGGTGAGATATTCATGGAGATCTATTTCAATGAGAATTTGAAGTAGAGGAAGGGTTGTTTTATAATTACCGCTACCACATATTCCTACAAAAGCAGGTCTGATCTTTGCAAAGCGTTAGCAGCAATCGATCGGGTTGATAGATTATATCACGACCCGGATTTCATGATGGATGATGTTTGCATTACCTTAACCTGACCCTTCCTACAATTAGGCTCAATGACCTCATCCAAGCGGAGATCCTCCCTACCGTGGAAACGAAGAGCTCGCATAACGACCGACACCTACCTATGGTAGTATGATTGACTGGGGTATGCCTTCAGCTAACGCCACAGAAGGAGAATATAAGTCGTCGAATAAATTTCAACAGTCGCCCCGCTTCTCGTCCACGAATACCTCTCGGAGATTTTATACAAAATCCACCTGCATGCGAGCCTAGCTGGTATTTAAATCTCCTCACGGCGGTCCCTTATCCGAGGCTGGGCTAAATGACCCCTCTTCCCCCGCGACCCCACGGGGTACCACTGTACGACCGCGGAAGTTGACGAATAACCGTAGTCTGTCTGACTTAAGGATGATCGGAATTGACAGCCACTGCGGAACAAAACTGTGTATATTCTGACTAATTATTGACTGGTTACTGCGTAATACGCCTGTGCCACGTGAGATCTATGTAGTGAATTTTTCCACGGGAGTACGGAAAATCAATTCTCTTCTATTCCGCACTTGCTCTGAATTATCTAATGCAGTATTTAGACCATACTTAAAAACCATCGACGCTTGAGACATGCTCTATGCTCGGGTGTCGCATCTTATCTTCAGTCCATTTCCGGCACTCTTGTGTGAAATCACGTGGTTTGAATGAGCAGATACCCTGGAGTTTACCCGGGGCGCACTTAAGCGAGAACCATAATGAAATGAGGAGATATTAGATCAGAAGATTGATGGGCTATAAATATAGTTTACTCGATGGTAGGGGCCGAGAATTTAGTACTAGGTGGCTAACCGTCGACCGAATCATTACCGTAGAACCAACTAACCCACTCCTCATTTAAACCAACTCAATAGGCCTTCAGGTACCCGAACCAACTCATCTTCTCTTTATCTAAAAGATGAAATTACAGAGACAATGATGACCAAAAAAGACGTTCTTGTTCCTGGATCCTTCTCTTGACCTCGTCATTGATCGACGGAAGCAGTAGTGCCGATCTAGGAATGTAACCACAGACTCAGCTTGGAATGCGACCTCGTGGAAGGCGTGGTCTGGAACTTGAAAGTGGCGATCAGGATCTACACCGCTTTTATTAAGGAGCAAAGAAAGCGAATACACAGCATTCATTAGACGAGGTATTTGTGAGAGATATCGTTGATAGAAAGGAAATATGGATGATGGGCTCAAGTATACGATTGACACAAACCAATTTTATAAGTTGTATACCGCTGAACCGTTTTAGATTACTAGTACCTAGTTGAATGGACACTGTCCATGGGTCGTAGATATCTATCTATGGTACCAAGTTCGTTATTCCTTGGTCTCGGCCCAGAGTACGTTTCCTCCTGGGACCTCTTCCAAGCTCTCTCATCAAGGAGTTTCCGGCATTGGGCTCAATTCGCCCGGAAGAAAACCATTGAGGATCCATCTTATTTTCGAATGAATGTAACACTCAAGCTGGACTAATACCTTGTTCATACCCCTTATATGCCCATCGGTTCCGAGTGTCTGAACTTTATTTTTCAATACTCGATCTCCTAATTCGCCTCGGCGCATACTTTGAACTCATTTTAAACATGAAATTCTTCGCTAACCTATACCTCTTTATCGTCTCGGCTGCTCTCGTAGCAGCCCAAGATCCGACACCCGTGGCGGCCCCAGAAGAGGGTGGATGCTCGTCCCAACAGTAAGTTTCAAAATTGCTCGTCAATTAAGCGTGGATATTTTGCTAATGAAAAAAGACTTGTGGATCAATGTGTTCTGACGATGAAAAATGCGATGGCGAAATGTCAAACTGACAATTGGGATTGCAAATGCAGCGCTCAAGCGAATATCGCCAAGTAAGTCCTTTATCGCTCTGAATGCCTTCAACTGAGTTCACACGATCAATTAATATTAATAATCTGAATAGCTGCTATGTTGATTGCCTTAACAACAAGGATAGCTTCTCGGCTCAATTATCCAGCGCGGAGATATGCGCCACTGCCAACGCATACGACTCCGGACTCACAGACGTTCCCGCTACTTGGGTCACCCCCGGACCTGCAGCAGCGACCCCGGCACAGATCAGTGATATTGACGATGACGAATTCGATACGAAGAAGTCGGCATCTTCTAGCGAGCCAACAAAGTCCTTGACGGAAGAAAAGAGCGCGAAAACATCGGAGGGGGCAGCGGCTGGCAAAGCTGCTGGAAGCTGGTTGGCTCTTGTAGGATTGGGGATTGGAATGGCCTTTTGAGGATGATAATTGCATGTGAAAAGAACAGTGTTGAGACTGATCATCAGATCTAATTTATTCAGTAAAAATACAAATACTGAAGTTAATAGAAGATGTTTCCCTGAATATGGCGAGAGAGGTAGTGGTAAGAAGGAGCATGGCACTACAAGGGGAGAAACAATTGACTGGTATAGAATGGTTTTGATTGAAGAATTTGAAGAGACCAGCTCAAAAAAGAAAAATAACTTTACTTGCTTTTACGGGTTAACAGCCCCTTCAGAGCCTCCGTTTCACCCTCCATCTTTGAGACCCGCAGTCTCAACTCATCGCGCTCCCTTTTCACACTTTCCAACTCATCTTCCAGGGTTTGCATTCGGTCGACACGCCTCTGACGACATCGGCGAGCCGCGAGAGTATTAAGTCTGCGCTTTTCGACGCGAGACGAACCAACACGACCCAAGACTTCGTCACCTTGCGAGGTTGGAGGGCTCGATGTCGACGCGGATCCTGGAATCTGAGATACAGGGGAATGGTGAGATTGCCCATCTGTGTGGAGTGTCAGAAATACAATCCATTTCACGACAAGTGTGGTATAGATCTTACCTAGAGAATTCGGTGGGCTGGGAACGAGAGGAGAAGGGGCGAAACTTTGGGGTTCATTGGAGGCTGAGTCCGAAATCGACGTAAAGGTTGGGGTCATGCCATATCCCAAGTTATTGACAGCTACGTCAATGTCAGGATAAGGCACGGAATGATCGGCGGAAACGATGTTCCAGTCGGTATTGGCAAAGGACAGGTGCGATTGTGTCCAAAGATCCGGCTCTTGCGCAAAGGTAGTATCGAAGGGTTGAGAGAATGGCGCAGTCGTGGGGATAGACGGCGGCGCCGAGGAAAGCGAATAGAAGTGAGGTTGTTGAATATAAGGGGAAGAATTAGGCCTCGGCAGAGAGTCCGACTCCTGGAGGCTTGAGGAGGGACTGTGATTGAGAGGGCTGCCAGAAGATGGCCATTGCCTGGAAAACGGCTGCAGTGCTGGTGCAAGTGCTGGCCGCCATGACGAGATCGTATCAACGGGCCTAAGCGGGCCCGGAGCGCTGGATTCTTTAAAGGAGGATGGGAGGGAAATAACCCCTTGGGAAGCTGGTCTCGGTCACGAATGGCCGAGGGAGGGTGTCCTGAGGAAGAAACGAATGGCGATTGCGGGCGAGATATAAGTCGGGGGCGTGGATCGACACCGCTTTAGGCCGCTTAGTCTGGCCGGGCACTGCCCCAGTCATCCCAGTCATCCCACTCGGTGATTGGCTGATGCCCACACGACTCATCGTGACTCATTTTAGTGCCTGCCTTCTAGACTCGGTTGGCCAATCACAGCCTTTCCTGAGATGCAGTCGAGGTATTCACAGGGTCCTATGTATGCATAGCGTTGTAGGGTCGTAGTTGGATCTGAGACCACGGTATTATTGTGCAATTTTCAGGAGAAAAATGCAGATCTCGATTGAGGTTTACGCGCCAAGGGGCATCTTTAAGGCCTGTATTTTGTGCAGATATCTTAATTATTAGCGTGAGTAAGGTGTTGTATGTGCCCTGCCCCATCTCTCAAATCAACGATATTGGCATGGTATACTTGTATATGCCGAGGCAGTGCAATTAATATTCAGGCTGATGAATGCATGCCTTACACTCCATACAAATAGTAGAAATTATTCTGTACCCAGCCTAGTAGTGATGATACTATCATTGAGGTCTTTCTCTACTATCTCCATTCTTATGGGGACACTATGCGTTATGTCACTAGTATAGAGCAATTTTCATTTTCCCTCCCCCTTTCTTCTTCTAAACCCTTTAGATAAATAAAGTCCAGTTTACTTCTGGTTCATGCCTCTAACCAATCTCATATAGATTTTGTGCTTATCCAAGGTTATCGTCTCAGGTGGCCAAATCCACTACTAACTTTAGTTAGTACCAGGAGTACTAGTAGTACGAATTGCAATCACAAACCCAACATTGCTCTCGCTAGCTAAATTTAAATTGAACAGAATCTGTTTGCTAAGCTAGTACCATTGGGAATTCAAGTTCCCAAGGGGTTAAATCTCAATATATTCTAGGTATAGAATTTTCGAAAGTATACTCTGCGTAACTAAGAAAATTAACGCTGAGTCATCACGTGAAGCTCCGCGAGCAAATCTCAACAGGACAAGCGGCAGATACCGAGAACAATCTGGCTTTAATCGGACTCAAAAAAAACCCCCCCAATTGCCCAGCAGATCCCCCGTGGGATCACCCGTCAAGGTGTCGGTCTTCAGGTGTGTTGGCCTATTGCGGGCCCGAACCACAACCCCGCGGGTCCAATCGTTGACACAGTTCCGTGCCCCTCTTCGATTTTCTTTTCTTCCATCTCCTCCACGCGCATTCATCATGGCGACCGCCGCTGCCCCCGACTCTTCGCTCCTCTCTCTCCTCTACCGCTCCTACCCTAACGTTATCTCCCCCGATGCCACCGAGCCCGATTACCTCCACGCCACTCCCAAGATCTTCTCCCAGACCTCTTACGGCGAGGCCGAGGAGGCCGATGTCAAGCAATGGCTCAACACTGTCACCGGCTTAAAGAATGCTCTAGCCCAGGATGAAAAGCCCGTGATCGAGAGCATCCTGGCTCAGCTGAACACCCACCTGGCCACCCGCACTACCCTGCTCGGCGCGAAGCCCTCGGTCGCCGATGTTGCCATCTACGCTCTGGTTGCCCCGCTGGTCGAGAAATGGTCGCCTGAGGAGCGCACCGGTGAGAAAGGATACCACCACATCGTTCGTCACATCGACTTCATCCAGAACTCCAAGGTTTTTTCTCTGCAGATCCCCGAGGAGGAGAAGGTTATCATTGACGTGGACGACGTTCGTTTCGTGCCCAAGCCCATCGACCCCAAGGAGGAAAAGGAGCGCAAGAAGCGCGAGAAGGCCAATGCCCAGAACCCCGAGGCTGCTGCCGAGAAGCCTCTTGTCGTTGGCCAAGGCAAGCCCGGCAAGGATCAGAGCAAGCCCGCCGAGGCTGCCGCCGCCGGTCCCCCCCAAGACCAACAAGAAGGAAAAGAAGGAGAAGGCTCCCAAGGCTCCCAAGCCTGCTCCTGCTCCTGCTGCTCCCCCCTCGCCCTCAATTATCGACCTGCGTGTCGGCCACATCCTGCGCGCTATCAACCACCCCAATGCCGACTCCCTCTTCGTCTCCACCATCGACTGCGGTGACGCCCCCCGGCTCCGACAACACCTCTCTGGATGAGGAGACCGGCAAGACTGTCCGTACTGTCTGCTCCGGTCTTAACGGCCTGGTTCCCCTGGAGGAGATGCAGGGCCGCAAGATTGTTGCTGTCTGCAACCTGAAGCCCGTGACCATGCGTGGCATCAAGTCCGCAGCCATGGTTCTGGCTGCTTCTCCCCGTGTCCCCGAGGGCGGTGATGCCCACGCCGGTCCCGTTGAGCTCGTTAGCCCCCCCTGCTGATGCCCCCGCCGGTGAGCGTATCACCTTCCAAGGCTGGTCCGAGGGTGAGCCCGAGAAGCAGCTCAACCCCAAGAAGAAGGTCTGGGAGACCTTCCAGCCTGGATTCACCACCAACGGTGACCTTGAAGTCTGCTTCGATAGCAGCGCTGTCCCCGCTGTCGCCGGCCAGGACAAGCCCGCCATTGGAAAGTTGGCAACTGCCTCTGGTGTCATCTGTACCGTCAAGTCCCTGAAGGACGCTACTGTGCGGTAAAAAGTTGCGAATATATCAAAATACCACCCATTAGTGCATACCCACGAGAAGACGAAATAAAAATAGCCCTTTTCAATTCAGTTATTTTGTTCAAGCATCGATGTCCTCGTAAACACCCATTAATGAATGCTCCTGGCATAGACTGTCTCCTCGGGTTGGAGAGAGGAGAAAGGAAGGCATGATTATGCAAGGAAATGCTCATTGAAGATGCTGCTTCTATGGAAAGATTTAAAATATCCCACAGCCTGTGGCCACTCTCTACCGGGCCATTATTATGAGGCCGAAATATCTCCACCACACCCACGTCCTTTTTTCTATTACTTCGGGGAGCCAAATCCAAGAGATGGACCGCGGTGGTCAAAGACAACGAACAGTGCCTTGAGGAAGACATCGCCGAAGATCTGAAGACTAGAGCCTGAGTTAGATTGCACGCCACCATAGCACACTAGAAATGACTATTAGCCCCAGTCTCGAATAAGAAAGTGATGAGAACATACCTGTGCCACCAGTGGTCTTGTTTGTTCCAATCTCAGCGAAATTGATCAAGGATCCGGGAATAGTCGCTTGGAACTTATTGCCAATCGCAACAGACAGATTGGGTAGGTCGGCATCGCAGGAAAAGATGTATCCGCTCACGCTGTTCGAATACTGAGCCCAGCCGGCGTAGTACGCCTTGGCAACCTGAGGGCTAACAAGCATGAGAGAAGTGCCGGTGTCCGCAATGGCAGTCGGGGTGTCGGTGATTTGCTGTAGAGATCCATCACCCACAGCAAACTGCGCGGCCTCAAATTGCCAGAACCCATTGGAGCTGTCGACGGTCACATTTACCAGGGAGCCGGAGTATTTGTCGTGATCGATCTTGCCGAATTCATACTCGCCAACACCTTCGCTCTTTAGACGAGCCGTGAAGACTGGCTCGTCGAGGTCTGGAACGATGTTATCGAAGAAGGTCTTCTGTGGGCCTGGGTCAAAGGTGTTGATCGAAGTGAAGCCGAGGCCAACAAGACCGTTTGAATTTTCGTCGGAAATGAATGAATCGGAAACCGAGGTGGGCAGACCGAATACTTGGTTCTTGACTGTTGCGCCGCCGATAGACACCACGTCCTTGGCCAGACCACCCTGGGCATTGGAGGAATCACCATATGAGATCTTGAAAGTACCATCCACCTTTTTGTAGGTGCTTGACTTGCTGGGGTTATACACTGTTCGGTTCGAGACCATGGACTCTGGAAGTTCAGAGTTCAGGACCCACCTACATCATACACGGTGATCAGTTTGTTGTTTCGCAATTGTATGAACCATAAATTCCTGATAATTGGACCGTGGATGCTTACATATCAGATGATCCGGTATCAAAGTCCATCACGATCATCTGTCCACCAATCTGGACCGGCGATACAAATTCCACATCGCCTTGGACCGAGGTTGCGGACACAGAACCAGTCTGGTCGGTTCCATCCGAGCTGTCAGTATAGGAGGCGCTCTTGCTTGTGCGTGTCAGATCGTCAAAGGGCTCGAAGTCATCCAGGTCAAGATCACTGAAGTCAGTTGAGACGATACCGAACTTGCGGTAGGCTTTGCGAAGAGCCGCCGGTCCATGCGCGATATAATCACTTCGTCGAACACGCTCAACACGAAAAGACTTGCTTCTCTGTTGAGGGTGGAGGGCAGCGGCCGGCGCTGCTAGAGCGTCATAGCCCAGCGAGAGAAAAAGGACCAGCGAGATAATCAGATACATTGTGTCTGATCTCGCACGTGCTCAGAAGAAGTTCTTTGAAGAAACTGAATGACCCGGGCCAGCCAGGGAGCTTGAAAAGCGAACGAGTGAGGAAGTAGTTTAGAAAGAAGAAATAATACAGGCCCAAAAAAACCTCCAGGGCCTTTTAATGAATGGGAGTGAGTATTGGACTCTCGACGGAGTGAATGGGACGAATCAACAAAGCGCCAAAAGGAGAGGCAAATTAGGCACAGCCTGGAGTCGACAGGCCCGGAGGCTAGCGGGAAGTAGAAACGAAAGAGACGAAACGAAAGAGACGAAGAGAAGTGAAGTAAAAGGATTGATCAAAGGAAGATCGAAGAAAGAGTGACCCCGGCACTATTGTATCAAGAAACGAAAAAGGAGAAAACGACCGCCTATCCTCAACCTCGGGGGGGAGACTGCCGTAGATCTATAAAAAGGGGACAAAAAAGGGAAAACAAAAGAAAAGAACTACTCCATACACGAAAAGGGACAACGCTTAGACCATCTAGTACATAGTGTTAGGCTTTTCGTCAGAGCCAGGCCCAGCTTCAGGTCCATTCAGCGTTGGGAAGTGCAGAACAGCAAGAGAGTTGACGTAGAGTGGATCGGGTTAGACAAGGGTAGTACGTTTCTGATCTTCCCGACTACGCAAGACAACGCAAGACACGCCCACCCAAATGCACCACTCACCAGGGACAACAGCAAGCTAAGCCCTTGGCTAGGGCGCCATGGCCGAGCTACCGAGCGAGCTGTCACAGAGATCCACGTAAGGACAAACGTCCGGATAGGGCAGAGTCCGGCCTCTCGGCGGCTCATTTGTCTGCTACGGCGTGGCGTGCTGGGCCAGTGGAGTTCCTCCTGGGCGCGAGTTGTGACAGGTACGTAGTGTACCCCATCTCATCTGTAAAGGCACTGGCTGTGCAGCTAATTGATCCTGAAACGCAGCAGCGGGTGTGTGGCCAATCAGCACGGTCTGTTCTCTGTTCCCCTTGAAACAGCGGGGCAGGCCACGCTGTGAGAGGTTACAGATGATACCCTACATATGGCCTCTTGGCGGTTCGCCACTAAATTGTTTTCAAGGCACTGGCCGTGTGAAAGCTCGGCATTGTAAAAAAGAGGTAAGAGAAAAGCCTGGCGTTCGGGTGGAGGTTGCCTATTGTATCTGCTGTGCTCCGATGCATTCACCTGAGGAACTACGCAACAGAGTTTAGAACTGTAGTTTCTGGTTCCGATCGGGAGTACCCGAGGTTTACTGTTCAATGCAGGAAGAAAAGAGAACTTAGGGGTGCCAGTGGTTGTTGTTGTTTTCTATGTTTCGGATCAGGGGTCAAATGGTCTCAGCCTCCAGATGGCCCTCCTTCCCAGAAGAAGTTTCAGACTATGACTAAACCCCTCAGGTATATATGAAGGCTTTGCCACGGGATATGCTTGCTTTATTTTACGCATAAATCCTTTATTAGGTTGGCTTTGTAGCACGAAGTCCGAATTAAAACGAGATCCATTCTCCGAAATATTACCGCTATACTTGGTTCGCGAGCATAAACGCTGCCGAAATCCCGAGTTCGACCACTCGGACTAATCGCTATTTGAAATGCTCCTCCATCACTTTCACCTGCACGTTATGGGTACCTGGCGCTGTTTGTCCAATAAAATTGTCCCGAACCATCTGCACATTTCGCTCCGTAGTCTCATGCAAGACCATGTCAAATCGACGTACAAGATTGCCGATAGTATGATGCATCCACGACCAGTTCATGCTTTACTTTGTTAGCAACTTGAACACTCCAGGATTTCTATAACTGTTCCATGGGAAACTCTACCTTTGTCCAGGACACCCGAGAGTTCCCTTCGAGCCTGGAACTAGATAACGCTCAAGCTGCTGTAACTCCTCTGGCTCGAGTAGCCAGCGCTCTGGGAGAAATTTCGTCGGCTCAGGAAATATCTTTGGGTCCCTCAAAATAAAATATGTCGACATGGAAACAAAAGTCTGGATATAGTTAGGACAATTCCACATTGACGAGTCTCATTGCGCCACTTACCCCTGCTGGGATGTCCCACTCCTTGTACTGTAGAACCTCATCTGGGGCCGAGCGAGGAAGCCGAGTTGTCACCACGGAGGCCAGACGGATACCCTCTCTAATTACAGCAGTATGCAAGAAAGTTAGCATGGAAATTCAGGTTTTAGGCATCGCATTATGCTTACTAGATAAGAAATCTGCTCGAGTTGGTTGAGAGATGGGACAGCTTTCACTTCTGGAATCGCTGCCAAGAGCTCGTTTTTTAGTCTTTGGTACTTTTCTGGGTTGTTAATCAGATGAAAGAGAGTTATAGCGGAGGTTTGGGACGGAGCATCTGTTCCGGCAAACATGAGGAATATGGCGTCATCTTCCAGCCGAGATTGGGACTTTTCAATCAAAGGCACGTCGGGATCACTCATAATCGCAGGATAGATAGCCTTGGGGCTACTCAGAAATGGGCCTTTTTCCGCTGAGAGGTTATCTGACTGCATTTTACATTCCCACTTATCATAGCGGTCTACCAGAGTTTGGATTCGAGATCTGACGCCCTAGTAACAGTATTATGATTAGTATGCAAATTCCAGAGCTCAAGCAAAGAAAGTTCTGCCTTACCTGCTCCATTGCATAGACGTGGGCATAAGGAGGAAGCACCAACGCGAGCTGACGAGGAATCAGATGCGCTATGTCACCCATGAAGTTGAAGTGTCGAATCGGGCGGCAGAATTCAAACATCGTGTTCACTTGTGTCTTCCAAGTATTCGATAACTCCGGTTCATCTAGATGATGAAACCCGATGTCCCGTCCGAAGGCATGTTGGGAAAGAGTATCGCTCGTAAAGCAATGGAAAGCAGCATATAACTCCAGTATACCTTTGTTCTTTACTGCTGCTGAGAAGTGCTTGCATAGGGCCTGAGTATTTGCCTGAATAACTGGCTCAAGGTCTTGCACGGCGCCCTTTTTGAGAAAATGACCCAAAATCTTTCTCCATGGTCGATGAACTTCATGCGAGTTGAGTGAGAATATAGACTGGGGATATCCGATGTAACTGAATAGGGGGTCCTTGTTGCGGTGTTTTTGCGGGCCGGCGTAGAGGGTGTTGTAGTAGTCAGGATCTTTGATGTGAATTTCCCATGGAGTGATTCGAACCACAGGGCCGTATGTGTCATGGAGATCGTTGATATGCCATGTGAATGTACCACCTCTAATGAGCTGGAAATAAATCTCATAGAGGCGCGTGGCAGCTGCCAGGCGGGGACCTGGGAATTTCGCTAAGGGACTGAGGTAAAGGCGGTAGACAAGAACCGATCCGACATATACTGCAGTGAAAGCAGAAAATATGATAATATATGCAAAGTATTCTTCCATGGTGAGGTATGCAAAGGAGATACTACGTGGATTGCTGTTTCTCAGGGATATGACCTTGACGAAATTTCGTAATTCAATTTGAACGCAGCTGCGGATTACTACAAAGAAAAAGGGATATTGATTGATAGCCAGTCTGTGTCACCTATGCGTTCATACATGGTGATAGAGTTTCTGTGTATGAAGTACAGCCCTTTACATACCAGACACAGCATCCTGCATATTTTGCTTCTGTAAGCAGGAATATGGCGCACGGCTATATAGATTAGTGAAGAGAGCCAATATTTGATTCTTGAAATACTAATAATGAGTTATTACGGCTTGGTGATTGGTCAAGTGGTGGCATCATGTGCATTCTCACCGCACCCATGCATTGCATATAGCTGACGCCTCACTTGACAGCGAACTCCTAGCTCACATGGAATTAGTTCACCGCTCTTAACCCCCCTTTAAACGCACGGAATTCTCTGAGTAAAATACAAATGTGACATAAGCATCTAGTGAGAATTTCTCTGATGATCCTGCACAAAATAAGGAGAGATAATAATTCGATTCGTTCTTTTTCAGGGTGCTCAAGAGGTCACCATTTCAGCCTGAAGAGCTCTAAAATCCAAATGAAACAGACCCGCCTTTCTCTGAAATCAGTAAAATTTCGTCTGAACTTAACTTCCAAGATTTTTTTTAAAAAAAAGCAAAATGTGACAATGTGACGTATAAGACGACTGTCAGCATGGTGGCGACTATTTGCTATTGCATGGCTATCCTGGGCCAATTATTTTCGAGGCTTAAGGAAAGGCAACGTGCAAGCTAGCATTCATTTTGGATATCTATGCAGCACTCTAAATAGTCACAGGGTCGAGGGGAAAAGAAAATCGAAACTATTGAACTTTATGCTACCCAACACTTTTCTGCCACCTTTTTGATACCGGGACGGAGTATTGTAAACAGAATAGATAATGTGTATAACTCCAGATTTTAGAGCCTGATAAAATATCGGACATACACCAGTTATTCATTTGAAGGTTTAGGTGCTCGTGACTCGCCAACCTATTAGCTACCACATCGTGAAATATTCAATGAAACCAAAAATCTATGAAGAGAATAAGAAAACGAACATTGAACTGCGAAATTCAGGATCAGAATTTGCGTGCAAAGAGTGTTGAGCCTATCCAGATGTTTGGTTTCCCCCGTACAATGCATGTTTGACAATGGTTGACAGCCACCGTGCCCAAATACGTAGTTATGTGGGAGACGCCTGGTAACTTGCACTCCAGAATGCAGCGAATTAACGTTTTAAATACGTAGTCGATACATGATTTGTTTGACTCGAGATTAGGTTACGCCTCCTCTGGAATCCAGGTCCACTTGTCAGATCCCCGAAAACTCATTGCTCTTCTTCATCCCTCCAAGATCGCGAACGAAAGAAAGAGTATCATCTTTCACGGGCTGTGGAAATCCACAAGAACCATTCCTTATAAGTAAGGTGTGGATGCATTCGTCGTCTAGAGAGGTTCGACCTCCCTGGAGCAGGCGAAAGAAAAGGTTGCCCATTGACATTTACTCAGGATAGAAGTTTCGCTACCCAGTCCGTATCGAAGCATTCGTCAAAAATGAATGAACCCTATCTCACCGGTCAGAGAACGTTCTGGGATGCTAATCAATGCCGAAGATTCATCAAATGACGGACTGGATAATAAGGGGTACACAATTTCGAAGGCAACTCAGGCAAAACTTCGGGATTGAAACCAAGCCGAGCTCCGCAATACAAGTACCTGCCGAAGCGGATCGGCATCCCGGTAGTTTGTGCAGGAGAAGACATCAATCACAGTTCCCACTATTGTCGATTCATGGGAGGAAGACGGACACACCCTTATCTTAATGAAGTGCATTCCTGGTGAACCCCTCAGCAGTGCCTGGCCAAAGCTCTCTACCGCCGAGAAAGAGAATATAGCACAGCAGACCGCTGAAAATCTCCTCCAACTTCGCGATCTCCATTCTGATAAGATAAAAGGGTTCGGTGGTCGTCCTGTTTACTCGAATTTCCTTTTTCCGAACAGAAATGGATACGGATTTCCTCATGGCCCTCTGGCAACCGATGACGAGTTATGGGGCGAAATGGAGTGAAGTTTACACGAGGATATGTCTGAAGCTGCGCGTATTCGACTTCGTAGTCATATGCCACCCACAACGCCTTATACCTTTACGCATGGTGACCTAACTAATGTCAATGTCATGGTCCATAATGCCTCTCTTACTGGCATCGTTGATTGGGAAAATTCCGGATACTATCCAGTTTGGTGGGAGTATGTTAATACATCGGTTGCTGATGGCGAGGAGTATCGGGAGTGGAAAACTTTGTTAAGAAGATATTTGCCTGACCATACTGCGGCGCGGGAATTTTAGCGAGATTATTATTGGCTATGCAGAGATTTGGGGCATGAAAGAGCGATAAGATTTATTGAGGAAACAACCAAGGAGGCCCCGGAGTGAAGAATGTTAGAGGTTTCCTGACATGTCCTCGATTTATAGATTTAAAAAGGGAGGAGTTTCAAATATCCTTGCCTCATCTTAGGATGCTCGTAACGCTCGTATATTCATGGTATCGAAGAAAGTTCTATATGTCCAAACGCCAGATGTAGAATCACCAATCCAAACCATAGGCCATGCAATGAATAATAAATAGCAACCCAAAGGCTCTACCTCAACCAACCATTTCCTCGGGGAGAACATCTTCCGGGTTCTCACCCACAGCTTCGCCAACTGCTCGAACAACACGCTTGATCGCCTTGGAAGCAGGACTATCAGGGAAGTTCTCCACAAAGCTCTCACCATAATCGCATGCCATGCCGACGCGAGGGTCCAGAGGTACCGCCCCGAGAAATGGAATTCCCATCTTCTTCGCCAGGCGGCGTCCACCGCCGGTAGTAGCGCGGAAGATCTGAGACTCGTGCGTGCAATTCGGGCAGACGAAGCCAGACATGTTCTCGACAAGTCCAAGAATGCGGATACCAGCCTTGCGGCAGAAATCGATCTCCTTGCGCACGTCGAGAAGCGAAACCTCTTGTGGGGTAGTCACGACAACAGCACCGTCAACACCGGATTCCTTGAGAAGAGAATTGACCGAGAGATGTTCATCACTCGTGCCCGGGGGTGTGTCCACAAGCAGGAAGTCCAGTTCGCCCCAGTCCACGTCCTTGAGGAACTGTTTGATCAGCCCGTTCTTCTTTGGTCCACGCCAGATCACTGCGTCGTCGCGGTTGGGCAGCATGAATTGTACACTCATGGCGCCCAAGTTATCCGTCACCCATACGGGACTCCAGCCCGCGTTGCTCACATGAATGGTCTCCGCCTCGACGCCCATCATCTTGGGGATTGAGGGTCCGCAAATATCGGTGTCCATAATGCCAACGGTAGAGTCTGGGTTCGTAGCGAAGCCATGTGCCAGGAGGCTTGTGAATGTCGACTTCCCCACTCCTCCTTTGCCGGAGAGGACTAGGATCTTGTGTTTTATTTGCGACAGTCGTTCAGTTATGATCGGGATATCGGGATCTGGGCCTTTAGGCGCGGTGGCACAGATTTGTTGATTCGGACAGCCGGCACAAGCATCGCCTTGTCCAGCTTTCTCGGATTCGGGTCCAGGGCAGTGTTCTGGGGAAACGGTTAGACTTCATGGGCTTGTGTCGGGTTGAAGGGTTCCCCGCGGTACGTACCTGGTTCTGGAGCCACCAGGTTCGGTGCTCGCTTGGAAGGCGCCTCAAGGTACGCCTCGTTCGACTCCTCCACGTATGGCGCCATCTTCGGTTTATTAGAGGCAAGTGAGAGTAAGAAGGGTACAACTCACCCAGATGTTGAGCGAGAAAAGGATTGGTGGCGAGTGATGATTGATAAGCGGAGATGACTAAATGTCCGCCGCGATTGGCGGGGGCCTGCGGTGTCGGAGCGTATCGCATACTACTACTACTACTACTACTACTACTACTAGATTTTAGGAAAAAGCTTACGGTGCAAGACTCTCAAAGCATACGATCGAGTCTGACGTCCTCTCTCCTCTTCGTATTCTCGCAATCGGCACCTTTGCTGTGTACAGCTCTTGGTCTATGGTATGGTGAGACACTCGTGATCAAAGGAGAATACGGACTGTTTCAGTTTATCCTCAGTTTCGCCTCTATCAACATATGTGACGATGCTGCCGGTTCAATTTTTAGCAGTTCGCCTGACTTCGCAAAAGCGAAACATTGCGCTCTGCGATTAAAATGCCTACTCGATAGTCAAACCCAACAGAATGTCGATCCTGACAGACCTCGCCATTCTTTGGAAGGGGCCATCGATGTCGTCCACTATGCGGTCTTGTCAAAGTAGACTGCCAGGATCTATCTTCCGTTCACATTAACGCATATCGCGATCAGGTTGCGCTTGTCAATCAAGAGCCTATGATGTTCCAGGGCACAATACGCGATAATTTGTTGCTTGGGCTAGACAGAAGTAAAGTTTCGGAAGAGGAATTGGAGAACGCTTGCAAAGACGCCAACATTCTTCATTTCATTCGTTCACTCCCGTGGGTAATTTCCAGGCAAAATTTCCTAGCTCTAGCTAACTTGATTTTATAGTCTCGGCCTTGACACAGATTGTGGAGGGAAGGGAAACAATTTCTCGGGCGGTCAGAAGCAGCGATTGGCGATTGCTCGGGCTCTATTGAGGTGTCCTAATCTTTTGTTGCTAGACGAAGTCACCTCCGCCCTCGATTCAGAATCGCAAGAAGTGGTTCAAGCTGCACTAGATGAGGCAGCAATGCAATGCACAACTGTTGCGATTGCTCACCGTTTAAGTGCTATCCAAAATGCTGATCTTATCTGCTATCTAGAAGATGGCTTAATCGTTGAAGCAGGAACTCATGCTGAGCTCATTCGAAAAAGAGGGCGTTATTTCACCATGTCCAGTCTACAGAACTTGGAAGTTAGTTAGCAAATCTTCAATCTATAATCTTGTTGTTTGATCCCTTGGCCCCTTCGGATGTTCTTCTCTATGTTTCATCATTATGCAATGGACCAAGGATCATTTCTCTAGATCGTCGCAAAGGCCTTTAAAATGGGTGCGAGTTAGCTCTACTCTTGCCAACGATTTGATCCTCTCGACCGCGTATTCCAGCCATTGTAGTAAGCAGTGCTATTTGTAGAGTTCAGTCACTTTACACAAGTCAGAGTCGAGACTCGACTTGGCGTGGTGGATAAAAGCCTCCAGCTTAGGCTTCTCCGCTTCATAAAAGCTTCGAACACCCTCGATAACCAATTATGGCCCTTTAATATGTGCAAAAAATTGACATAGTAAGGTGTCTTAAGCCCTAGTATCCACGCTATTAGAAATGATTCTATTGAACTGCAGAGTACAAGACAGCTCTGGCCACCTTGAGAATCACTAATTGACCAATGCAGATTGTCACGAGTCCTACTGGCTAGTATAGGCTAACATAACAACATTTCATCCCGGGGTTCGTAACACTGACTCTTAAAAGGTACTTACCTCGATTTTCCATCACACAGGACGAGTGTTATATCTGTTGGGCCATCGTCTCATGTGAAGCATCAGCGTGCTAGTTGTCACAGAATAGATGACCCTCTAGTCCATACCAGTTTAGGAATAGCTAGAGGTGTTTAGAGACAGACTCTGATTGGACACTGAGCGACCAGTAAGTATTAGTCAATCATCACATGACTAGTTAGATGATTTGATCACCGAGTCTGAGCCCGTGCTGACATCTACTCACTGAGCCTGAGCCTGAGCGCCCTCTCTGTGTTAGTACATACAGGACGCTACAAAGCCGTCGTCGAATGGTTGCTACATGCAGGCACACCTTTGGTCCCCTTCAAATATTTCTTAGTACCGATTTTCATGCGTTGGTCTCAGGTCTGACAGAAGGGGCCTGGCGAGAGAGCACTAGCGCAACATCCCTGTTCTTATTCATTTGGCCTCATTGTATCCAATCACGTTTGATCGAGTCCAGGGCCAGGCTCTCGTTCTGTCAGAACTTTACAGCCGACGAATCTTGATTTGATGCGCCTCCACGGCATGGTGATCAGTGTGGCCTCAGTCGCTGGTGGGACAGCCGATGCACTGCGAGTGAGACAATAGGAGGGGAGGGTCTCAAGATGGTGTCTGGCAGACATGATATCATTTGATGGCCTCCAGAGCAGCCAATATACGAGTACGAGTAGCGAGTCCATGTGAATATGTATGGAGTGTGACCACATGGCAAGGATACTCCGTACTCATTATCAATATCGGCGCATTGACGTCAAGCCAAACAGGGGTTTATTTTTTTCCCCAGTTCCCAGTTCTGCAACTTCAAGTGCAGCGCTTTCAACCATTTGAGGTGCAGCCTTGGCTGGGGCACTGTGCCATTCAAGTCTCTCCCTTATTTGCCGAGAAATCTCGCGTTCTCGCATCCGAGCCGGAGAGTGTATAAGTTCGATGCAGGCTACTCCGCAGTGTGTTGTAGTGTGTACCTACTGCAGAGTGGATTGATGCATGAATTGTCGCATTGGTATCCGCACTTGCCGCTGTCTGCTGCACATTCTCAACGACGAGGCCCCGCCGTCACCAACGTGTAGTGTAACCCATCCCGCACGAGGCCCAGCAGCGAATTGGGGAACCCGGTAGCGTCGTAAAGACCCGGAACTCACATATACTAGACTTCCAATGTTTTCCCGAGATGATATTTCTGCAGGATGTTGAAGAGGGTCGATTTAGCGTGTGGCGATCAGAGCCTGTTTTGTTTCTTTCTCTTTCTGGTGCATTCGGGGCCGATGAGGAGGTGGGGGAAGCACTGGACTGGAAGTTGGTTCCACTCAAGGGTGTCCACCGTCCACCATCCACCACATAAATACGGGCTCAACCTTTTGAAGTTTATTAATTTTTCCCCTCTGCAAAGAAAAACAGACAATTCCAGTTCACAGTACAGTATCTGGTACACGGTAGGTCAAATTGCCGTAAATAAGCGAGACACCGGGATCTTGTGGACAGATTGAATGTTGGCAGTGGATGCAAACAGGTCAATCGTTGGAGTCCGTCACATGCTTCTGTCGTCACTCAGACCCAACAAATCCTCTTTCTCTTTCACATCCTCAACAACATCATGGACCAGGGCCGTTCAACAGGTGCCCTGCAGCCTGAGGGGCTGCGCGAGCGAATTCAACGCCCTGATTCAACTGGGGGCCGAGATGCTCTAAATGCCCATGGGGAAGCTGAGATCAAGGATGCGGCCGGCAACGACAAGAAGACCTTTGGGCGGACTCCCGATGGAACTGGTACGTGATTTCCCCCCCTCTCCAGGAACAGCTGAGGACTTGATTGTCGTTCCGGTCATTGAATAGAGAACCACATTTGACTCTCCTGCTATCTTTTCCTCTCGCTGCCTCTCTGGTGGAGCTTCCCCGCTAACCCGCTCGTGCGTGATTCTCTTAGTGTTCACAGTGCCTCAAACCCATGATATGGTCTCCCAGCTGCTCTCGCCATCCGAACCCAAGAACTTGTCAGACGTGGTGGTTTTAGTTTTGCTTGCGATCCATGTTCTCCTGCTCTGGGCCCTCCCCGCTAGTGCCAAAGTCCCGGTATTTGCATTCATCTACCTCTCTTGGCGCGCGGGTTATAATGGAGGAATTGGATGGTTACTGCACCACCAGTCGCATCACAAGACCTTGATCCGATGGGCCGAGAAGACCAAGATCTTCGTTGATCCGGCCACCGGGGAAAACCCGCACCCTACTCTGTACAATTGGATCAAGCGGGAGCTGGAGACCAAGATTCCCCACGATTACAAGTTCGAAAATGCCCCAATTGAATACAACACCTGGCTTGTCTTTAGGCGTCTTGTGGACGTGATCCTTATGTGTGACTTCACTTCCTACTGTCTCTTCGCGATAGCATGTGGGAAACATCCTGTGGATGAGAACATTCTCATGACAGTCCTGCGGTGGACAGCGGGCATCGTGCTTGTTCTGTTCAACCTTTGGGTCAAGCTAGATGCCCACCGAGTAGTCAAGGACTATGCCTGGTACTGGGGCGATTTCTTCTACCTTATCGACCAGGAATTGACCTTCGACGGTGTTTTCGAGATGGCTCCTCACCCCATGTACTCTGTCGGCTATGCGGGATACTACGGTATCTCGCTTATGGCGGCAAGCTACAAGGTGCTCTTCATCTCCATCATTGCCCATGCAGCACAATTCGTCTTCCTTGTTCTCGTGGAGAACCCACACATCGACAAGACCTACAATCCGCCTCCTCCCCGCAAGCGCTCTGTCTGTGCCGGTTCCTCTACGAGCCTACCGATCGACCTGGATACTCCCACTGCGCCAACTCCATCCGATGATATTCCTCCCAATGCGTCTTCGTACTCGGCCAAGCCACCCCCTTCGGTTCACAACATGTTGGGGCTGCATAACCTGGATCTGTATAGAACCACCGACTCGTCCACCATGCTGGTTCAGATGCTCGTATTTGCAGTCACCGCGTTGACTCCATCCACCCCACGCTACCAATTCCTATTCGTCGTCAATGCTGTTGTATGGCGTGTCTGGTTCTCTGTAGGCATCGGGTATCTTTTGAACAACCAGTCTAACAACAAGGCCTGGACAAGACACTTCCTTAAGTTCGGCGAGACCCCGCATGAAGCGTGGGGCCAATGGAAGGGTTCTTATCACCTCAGTATGATCATGTGCTACGCCAGCTTCATCGCTGCCGTTTGGAAGATGTACACCTTCCCAGCAGACTGGGGCTATGGTCTCGTGCTTTTCCGACATGTTCTAGGCGCAGGCCTAATTAGCTTGCAACTCTGGACATCGGTCAGCATCTATGAGTCCCTTGGCGAATTCGGCTGGTTCTACGGTGACTTCTTCTTTGACGAGTCCCCCAAGCTAACCTATAATGGAATTTACCGTTTCCTAAACAACCCCGAGCGTGTTTTGGGTCTTGCAGGCGTCTGGGGTGCTGTCCTAATCACTAGCAGTGGTGCAGTCACCTTCTTGGCGCTACTGAGCCACATTCTCAGCCTTGCTTTCATTCAATTCGTGGAACGTCCTCATATGCAAAAGCTATATGGTCGCAGTCTTCGCCAGGATGGAGGTGTTGTCAAGAATCTGAAAAAGTCTCTCCCGCCTCCCTTCAAGCAGCTGCACGGAAGTGTGGACAAGATGTTCGACGATTCTTTCGAATTCATTGAGGAGTTGCTCGACAATGCCCGTCCAAAGTTGGCTGCTGGAGTCAGCACCTTTGTCAAGGACACGACAGCCCTCTTCCAGAAATATCCTGCTCGCATCACCATCTCCCGTATCGATGCAGACCTGGCTGGTCTCGACATGAGTGACTATTCGTTGTCTGTGGAGGGCACCGAGGCCAAGTCCTTTGAGGAGACCGAGTTGGGCAAGGGTCGTGAAGGTGCTAATGCCCGTATGCCCCTCGACCGACGAGGTGACTTGAAGAACCTGACTTTCGAATACGGCTCTCCAATCAAGGTCAAGTGGACTGCACCTCTGACGCACAGCAAGAAGGACTGGATCGGCATCTATCGTGTTACGGACAACACCTCCCGCGAAGTCTCTCGGGTTTCCTCGCAGGGCCGCTGGGTTGCAATCAACGAGGGCTCTTATGACAACCTCACCTGCGAAAAGGGCATCATCACTAGCGACCTTGTGACCAAATCTGATCGTCCAGGGCATGAACTTGCTTCCGGCGAAGTAGTATTCTCCGGAGATAAACTTTTCTGGACCCAAGGTGTCTTCGAGCTCCGCTACCATCACAACGGCTTGCATAACGTGATGGCCATCTCGAGACCGTTCGAGATCCGTATGCACCGATTTGACGAGGACGATATCACCGTCGACAGCGATGGCATCGTGCAAGCCACTGTTGAACAGTCCTTGCTTCCAGTCGTCCGGAACTGCTTCGACCAAGATCCTGAGATTGCACCTGAAACCTTCGACGAGCAGTTCGGCGGTCTTGTCGAAAGGGATGGCAAGTTTGCCAAACGTGTTGTATTTGCCGTTCACCAAATGTGAGTCCTCCCTTTCCCGATCGTGGCTATACTTTCAAATCCGTTGCTCATCATTCCCCCGCAGGTTCGGTGTTGAGCTAGCGCCTGAAGTCGTCAAGGCAGATGGCAACGTCCGGAATCTCGCCTGGAGGATATGCAATGCGAAGAAAGTGCTCGTAAGTTGTGTGCATGTCCCTCCCTCTCCACGAGAGAATGAGGGCTAACGTTATTATCGCAGGCTCCCTACACCATGTCCCAATCGAACGGAACAACAACTCCAGTCGAGACAATTGAGGGAAAGCAAGAGTGAAACCTTCCAGAAAAAAATGACCACCATACGTACGACCATGCCTGAGTCAAACAAATCGCGATAGACTGGTTATGGTGATACTAGAGTGGTACCGGCGCCCAAGGAGGGCAAACGTCCCGATTTTCTTTCGAAGTTGCGTTGCGGTGCTGTCTGCCTCCCGAAGAACGAAAAGCGAAAATCAGAAAAACAAGATTACCTCTGCATATGGATGCAGAGGATTTCTCTCGAGAAAAATAGGGAGCAGGCGGGATTTTAATTATTTTTTCTCTAGAGTTCGATGTGATTCCCCTGGCTGTTTAGAATTGGGCTGGGTGGTCGTGTTTTATTTTTGCTACCTTGGTCGTCGAGGACCTCGGTGATGAGGACCGGGGTGCTCGATGGACCTTCGCTTCAAACAAAATATTTTCTTGCCATTATTTCTTTATACATAGCCTTCTTTGTTATCAGAATTTACGTTGCAGGTACTATTATTGAAAGGAATTAAATGTGGAAAGAGCATTCTTGAAGCGAGTAAATGTGAATTGATTCGAGTGCTATCTAAATTTACTACGATTATAGGGTATTGAAAAAATTCTGCAGACATTGTTAGCGTCAATTGCAAGACGGTAATGTTAAGCGAAAGACGAAAATGGCATAACTCGCAAGCAGAAAGCAAGCAAGTAATCAGCCAGCCGTTTAACTCATCCCATCCTCTGTTGGCCCCGCGAACCAAACTGGCGCCCAAGACGGACGATCAGCCCAGCCCGCGGAAACCAACACAAGCCAGACGTCGCAAGAACCACACCGCAGCAAGAGTCAGTACCAGAAGCATTAGCAAGCGACGACTGAGCCCACGCTCTCCGGTGCTCCACAACTTTCCTCCCAAGGACGTCCGTGAGGATATCCGAGGTCCAGTTTGGGAGTCGCAGAGTGCGGATCGTGACTTTGCTTCTGGGTGACAACTGCACGGTATGGGTGCTAGCCCGGGAGGCGGTTCTCTTGAGAGATCATTGAATGGATTGACTAGGTGTCATCATAAAGGGGGAGGTGGTGTGTGTGGAGTAAAAACAGATATATCCGTACCTTTTGGAGGCAATGTCTGATACCCAGAGGGGATGACAGGAGTACTAGAAAACTTCTTTTGATTGTCAGCACTTGTCGTCGACAAATTGTGACAAGAGAATGGCAGTAAGGTAGACATGATCAGGAGTTTTTGGTAAGGTATTTTGTTATCTTCAAAAATTTTGCAGAAGCAGAACTGAAAATTTTTCTCATCATAAAAAGTGGGCAAGGAAAAGTAAGAAAAAAAAATCAGTAGCTTACCATAGTGGTTGGAGCTGTCAGCGACGTGCTTGGAAAGCAGGTCAGTGGGGGTTTACGAGATCCTAGCTTCAATGATGGTCAGCTTCAATTCCAGGTGACGATATTGAGATAAAACATAGTGTGATAATGTTGTGTCCATCAGATGGTAGTGCATGTTGTTCTTAGGCCCATTTTTGGTCGCCGAACAGAGATTTGGATCGGATTCCTCATAAGAGACACGGAGGGTGGAATTGGCAGTGCAGGGGGGGTAAAAGATACTCACAAGAAGGTTAGTTGGAAGTAATGAAGGTTTCAATGAAGATATTCCCTTGGGAAAGCATCTTCGACATAAGAAGTGCTTTGCAAACCCAAGGGTAAACAACACGAAGAGGTGTGGAAGAAGAAGAAAGTAAAAGAGCGAAGAAATTTGAGAAAAGCAGCCCGGTGGGGTCCGGTGCAAACAGTGCAAATCCCAAGATTTCCGTTTCTGGCTTTCAACGCCGCAATCTTAGGAAGACCTGCCACAGCTTATCGACCTTGCAGAAACAAACACTATGAATGACAGAAGACGAGTCAATGGCCCACCGGGGGGCACAAGGCCTCCAGTGTATGCCTCTTTGCTTCAATCCGGGACTGGCGCTGACACCCGCGCCCAGCGCCAGCGACAACCTACCGATCTAAGGAAAATCTGTATGCAACGAACGAGCTCCCTTCCCTGTGCCCAAGAATACCTGCTAATCCGTGATAAATCCCCCCTCTAGTCCTCAAGACTGGACTGATTCCTTCGGCCTCGGGCTCCTCATACCTTGAATTTGAACCCTCCGCTTCTCTCGCTGCCGCCCGCAACAATCCCAAATCTCTGATCCCGCCTTCCTCGGCTTTGAAGCTCGCCTGCACAGTCCATGGCCCGAAACCGCTGCCTCGATCAGCTCCATTCTCTCCGAATCTCGTCTTAACAACCCATGTCAAGTACGCGCCTTTCGCAGCCCGCAAGCGCAAGGGCCATGTCCGCGATTCCAGCGAACGCGACCTGGGTGTCCACCTTGAAACAGCTCTGCGCGGCGCCATTATTGCCGAGCGCTGGCCCAAGAGTGGCCTCGATATCACTGTTACCATTCTTGAAGCAGAGGATGACCGCTGGTGGGGCGATGTGCCGGACTCACACGATGCCTCATGGGGCATGATGAATGTTCTGGCGGGCTGTATCAGCGCTGCATCGGCAGCCATTGCGGATGCGCATATCGATTGTCTGAGACCTTGTATCCGGAGGTGTGGCTGCTCTGGTTTCCGATGACTCGACTGATTCTTCTTCGGCGCTGCCGAAATTGATGCTGGACACAGACCCAGCCGAGCACCTCTCCATTGTCTCTGCTTGCGTGGTGGCATACATGCCTGCTCGAGACGAGATCACAGAGCTTTGGCTCAAGGGTGATAGCTCCAAGGTCTCTTCTGCGGATGGTGATCAGCGAAGTGGTCATGAAGCTTTAATAGACGGTGCTGTTGATGCTGCTCGGGGAGCGCATACCGTTCTGGCGGAAGCTGTGAGGGAGTCACTACAGAAGACACTCGGCCAGTCTTAAAATCTAAAAGTACCCCCTATTTAATGAAGGAATGAAATTCAGAAAACGATCTCTTTCTATCTATTCAACTCCCCGTAGTATTGGGTCAGTCGTAGCCGAACGACCTGAATTCCCGTTCTCATATCAAGTAAGTAGGTAGCTTGTACTATTTCATACTAGCAAACCCTGGAGCGCATAACTCCGAGTAAGCCCTAAGGGTATATATATTGATTACAGTAGTATCCAGAAAACCACCTTCGAATCGCGAGGGGTCAGGGCAAATGATATCAACTTTGGAAGCACCTCCTAGTAGGCGGCCAACCCCTATTGAATTCCTCCACCATCATGCTCCAAGGCTACAATCACGGACCTCGGGAGCTTCCAAGGTTCCGCCCGGGCGTTTTTATGAAAGCTCTTCGAGTGTGGTATCCGCAGTGCCAATTTAATACTTGGTCGTCCTGTTTTAAGGAATTCTTCGTCAGTCGATCAGCATGAGTCAGAATGAGACATCCTTCGTCCTTCCTAACAGCCAATGGGAGAAGACCTAGCCATAAATAAGTATCGGACCTCTTCATTTCTGCTCAATTATATTGTGACTAAGCAGTCGCACATATAAACCATCAGTTACAATATAAAACAAAGTGCTACGGGCGTATATCTTTTCCTATTCACTTCATTCCTTCTTTACTCGGCGCCGAAGTTTCTCCACCTGTTCATCCAAACAAGATGGCCACATTGACCCCCGTTGCTGTGACTCTTCCGAAGGACAAAGTACCGACTAAAAAGAACGTTAGAGACATTATCGGCACATTCCTGACGGAAGAATGGCCATCTGTAGATCCAGAGACTCTTACGGTGTCATACCATGCATCTTTCGCCAACGCCCACTGTCCCGTGGAGCGGCCGAAACCCGCGACTGGCACACCTACTGACACCTTGAAGGTGTTCATCAAATTCCACACCGACGCCGGGGGATCCCTCGAAATCTTCAAGCCTCTAGCACCAACCAGACATGAGGAAGCACTTTTCTCCTACGAGTACGGCCGAACTGGGCTGGGAGCGAAAGTCTATGGCTTCTTCGAGACACAAGATGGCACACTTGGAAGAGTCGAGGAGTTCCTGGATGCACGTAACATGGAACCGGAGGATGTTGAGAATTCGGTTATCCGAGCGGATGTTGCTAAAGGACTCGCACGATTCCATGTCCTGGAGACGTCACTGGAGAAAAAGACGGTGGAATCATATTATGAAGCCGTTATCAATGGATTGGGGGGGTTACCACAAGATGGACAAGTTGAAGGCACTTGGGGGAAAAGGAGGCGTCAGTATCGACAAGCTAGTTGATTACAACTTTGGGAGGAGACTAAGAAATGTGGTGGACAAACTGGATTCCATAGGAGGAAAGACAGGATGGTGTATTCATGACGTTCAATTCATGAACGTGATGGTGAAAAATGATGCGAAAAAATTGGAGAGCAAAGTCACACTCATTGACTTTGAGTTTGTGATGCAGAACTACCGGGCATTTGACATCGGTGGGCACTTCATGCAAAAGATGTTCAAATGGTTTGACGAGGAGAACAGAATAGCAAGTTGCAGGAAATATACCGAGGAGGAGAAGAGACATTTCTGTGACGAATATGCCAGGCAGTGGAACAAATTGACCGGGGATACAGATACTGGGGATCAGGTGTTCCAGGAATCCGAATATGGATACCTGTTGGCCATCACATTTGATATTCATAACATGCTTTGCTTTATGGATGCCCAAGGCGACAAAGACCCCTTGAATCTGCTTGGGCTAAACAAGCTGTTCGATGAGTTTGTGGCTCAGTATTCTAAGCTTAATTTACAACTAGAATATAGGGACCTGTGAATACGACGGCAAAGATGACAGCCTAATATATGTACTAGTTGCAATATGAGCCCTGGAGTAGATATCTGGAGTCGGTGAGGATATACCTATGTATAGGGGTATTTTACCTGACCGTCTTGAAGGCCGTCTGTAACTTCTAAGTCTAAAATTGCAAGTGTTCTGACTGCCCCAGTTTCTATCTTTCTAAGGGGGACTAGTACCTACCCAAGATGGATTAGACTGGCTAATCTATTCTATCTTAGGTAGCTACTAGTCTGCTATTAGTAATAGTAGATAATTGGGGGTCAGAAACTTTTATAGTAGTACTGTGGTTTTGTCCAAATTTGTATACAGAACACTAGACCCAGGAGTTACAGGCAGCCTTCAAGACGATCAGATTAAATACCCTTATATACAACTACTGAGCACCCTGCGCTTATGGAGCGCCTGAGATGGATTATGAGCCAACATTTATTCGCTAGCTACTTGGTTTCTCTCACCATACTCATACCGAAGGCTAGAAAAAAAGGAAAACGATTCGAAAAACTCCTTTTGAAAATTCCCACACGATAGATCCAGCTCACGATCCAGCATTTCCCCGGCCATCCACTCCGACAAGGATCCGAAATCCTTTTGCTCAAACTCCCTCACATTTCCTCAAATTCATCCTCCCCACCCTCCATCTTGGTCGGCTCATCCTCCTCCTTCTCGTTTTTGGCCAATTTCTCTTCCTTCTTCTGGGCAGCGAATTTATTTTCCTGTTCGCTTTCCATGGCGGCCTGGTCCTCCGGACCCTTGTCGCTGATGACAGTCGACATCAACTTTTGGACACGAGAGCGCAGCTGATGGTAGCGGGATTTAGCCTGGACATACGAGAGGCCAAGTCTCTTGCCAACCGCAGTGTAATCAATCTGCGAATTCATAAAAAAAGGAAGGGTTAGTAAAATTCTGAGGATTGACTTGGACTTTTGAAACACAAATTGCATTTACCGTGGTCTGTCCTTCTTTGATGCCATCACTTTCCTCAAAGCAAATCCACAGTAGAATGAGGTCGTTTTCGACCTTAGAGCCCTGCATAATGGGGTTTGAGGTGCAGCGCTTCTTGGACTGCACTTTGGCTGACTTTTCCACCTTGGTGGACTTTGGGGGACGTCCGCGTCCGCGTTTCATGCTGATAGATATTTTCAAATGAGATCGGTAAAGTGAAGAGAGATATGTGGGGATCGACGAAGAGGTCTGACGGGAAGGGAAGTTGGTGGGGAGGAAGAGAAGTGAAGACGGAGTGAACACGGGGAGAGGAGTAAACAATCATTTGTTGGGGAGGGTCAAAAAGGCAGGAAGGCAGCCCTTCAAATCGGGAAGGATGGGAGAGACTGACTATATACACCCAGTAGTTTTCTTCCAGACTATCTTACTTGGAATACTGATGTCCTGTAGTGATATCAATGGGCAGAAATGGAAAAACACATTGACCCTAGATAATGGGTGGCCCCAACCACATAGCCCGATGCACCAGGCCCAACCTCGGCCTCACAAGAAATGAACCTTCCCGAAAACTGAGAACATTGAAACCATAAAAAGAAAAACATATCCCATTCCCCTAGCTTGCCTGGCCAGTCTAGCCCTCAAGGCTCTCCTCCTTCTTGAACGGAGGCAAATCCGAATCTTCGAGATCGTCCTTCAACTGCTCGTCCTTCAACTCGTCGTCCTTGGACTCCTTGTCCTTAGACTCCCTTGCCTTCATGGAGATTCTCAGACGAGAGAAACGCTTATTAGCGGCGGACTTTCTGATATTCAGTTTCTCAGCAACTGCTGCAAAATCGATCTGTATGTCCGAATAAGTATGGATGACACAGTCGCAATTAAACGTTCAATATCTCTGAAAATACTCACCCCGGCACCACCGCCTTCCTTGCCAGCAGTGCTGCATTCAATGCAGGTCCAGAGGAAAAGGACTTGGGGATCGACCAGAGCGGGACCTTTCTTCTTGGGCGACTTGGGGGGCTTGGGTGACTTGACAGGGCTCTTTTTGAGCTTGGGCGATTCCTTTGGAACTTTTGGCGCCATCTTGTTCCGGATAAAAGTGTGGTGTGTTAATAGATAACGTAAATGGATGTGAGTGAGAGATAGAAGGTCAAGTGTAAACAGAGAACAGAGAGTAGTGTAAGAGGAAGAAGAGAAGGAAGCAAGGAAGGAAGGAAAGGGAAAAATGAAGGGAAAGGTAAAGGAAAAGAACTTGAACCAATGCCAAGAACACCTCAGTACTTGCTCGTACCTTCCTTGGGTGAAGCACCTTCCTTGAGCTGTACAGAACATCACATAACATAAAGGTCACTGTGATTATCCCTTCCTTTCAACTTCCTAGTATTTTCCTTGTCCCTCTATCTACCACCCTCGCCCCCCCTCTCCCTAGGATTCAAACAATATCCAACCCATCTCTCTTAACCCATCATGTACTATTTTGACCTATCCTCCTTCTACTATTACTATCTGACTGACCACAGCTATTTGCAACCTAGGGTTTCTAAAAAGACCACCCCATCCAAGGTGGCCAAGCAAGCCATCAAGGCTACAATCTACACACATCTTGGTAGTCGTCGTCTTCCATAGTACGCAATACCTTCCAGCCAAAATCCATTTTGATGAGGTCCTACAATAGTACAATGCTACGTAATCAAAGCCAGAGGAATTTCGATTCACGAAATGAGCAACCTGGTAGCCTAAGGCCCACGAGTAAACAGCCACCCTCTTTCCTCTTCCTCTTTTTTTATAGAAACAACACACACCTTTCTCTTTCACTTCACTTCATCCAACCCTCTCCCATCCACCAACCATCCCCTTTCTTTTTACATTGAACTGAAATCTTTCGAACTCATCATGTAATCTACAAATCCATCGAGCCCTTCTATCATTATATTTGTCCCGTGACTGATGTTGACTTTTTCCTCCTCAGGGATACCAAGGTGACCCCATCCAAGGTGACCAAGAAACGGGGCCCGAAGTCCACCCCAAGTCGAACCCCTGCAAAAAAGACTCCGTCAAAGACCTCCTCCTCCTCCTCCTCTACCACTCGAGGAGCCAACGATGATGCAGACAAACATTTCTTGTGGCTATGTTTCCTTCACAATGGCGGAAAGCCGGTGAGTCCCATGATGCGCTGGCCCTCCCGGGGATTTCAACTGTCACTTCTAATTATGAATTTCTTCTAGACTCCGGACTACCATGAGATCTGCACCAAGCTTGGTATCAACTACAAAACCGCCGCAGGTCGCTTCTACAAGCTGCGAAACCACTTTGAAAAGACGGGAAAGTCTAGTGACACGCCCCAGAAAGAGGAGCAGGGAGACAGCGACAGCGCCATGAAGACCGAGTCGAACATCAAGGCTGATTATTCTGAGGCCAAGGAAGATTTTTCCGACGATGTGCAAGGTTGACTTTGCGGGCGTTGGAGGAATACCGGTGTTTTGGTTTATTTCGGAGATGACTTGTCCATTATATCGTTACTTATGGCGCGAATCCTTGATGGGATTCCAGGTGCCTTTCTGCGTAGATATCTCGAGGCCAATTTACATCGGTGGTACTTGAAAAATGAATTGCCCTTAACTGAAGTAAGAAGACTGACTTGTAGCCGGACCAGTGCTCCTCGGGAAGATATTCTATCCATGTATCTAGATCTATCTCGTATTCGTACTAGTAGCACATACGTACCGGATTTCCCATGCAAGGTCTTGGCTTTCCCTTTCCGTTTTAGTGCTCAGTGAGCGCCGTTTTTGCTCACTGAGTACGGGGTAGATCCGAGTACGTCTCTGAGCGCGCTGAGCGGATCAGTGATTATAACGTGATTGATAGAGTGGCTCTCTGACCACTCTGAGCGTAGTTGGCATTGCTTACAGTACATGAGGGCCAGCGGTCTGACTCAAATACCCCAATTAAACGCAATATACTATCCCTTACATAAGTCTCTTCCTATCTTTAGAATGTTTTAATTAAAAAAAGGTGTGCAGCATAAATAGTTGCAAACTTGCGTAATAATAGGGGATTGATAGAGCGACCCGCGACCCCCCCCCCCACCCGGCTTAATCATCCTCTAAAATACTTAAATTCTCCTTTATTATAGGTCATAAAAGATTTGAAATTTTATAATAGAGCACTAGATATAATACTCTATTACAAAATAAAGTTTTCAATTTTTAAGATAAAGTTTAGTTACTTGATAGCCAAAATAAACTCTAAAACCTATAGATTCTTAAAAAAAAGACTATGTCAGATGAGTAAAAAATCTAAATCTTTATTATATAATAGATTTTTATAATTAGTATTTTATTATAAAATCTTAAGCTCCCTAAATCCTATAATAGGGCTGTTTTGAGAGGATGACTAGGCGAAAGGGGGTCAGAGTATCGGGGGAAGAGAGGTCGCTCTATCATTCACCTAATGATATTACCTTCCAGAAGCAAATATACAAAATAATACGCCTTATCAACCTATGAAATTCTGGCTAGAAATTGTATGCCCCTGGGAGAAATTCGTCTCCTTTGTCTTAGTATGTTATGCTAACTTGTCACGGTGAGTGGTTAGACAGCTGGTAAAAGTACCTCGTTGTTAGGGACATAATGTGTTCCAAGGATTATGATCTCATAATCCCGGTCGCTGATTTTTTTTTACTATACCAACCTGTGGGATTTCAGTCTTTAAGTAAATTATAGTTGCATATTGTGCCTCGGAGACATCGATCAAGAGATGGGTTCCATGGTTATAGTTCCGTTTGGCTTACAGCACCCACGTTCCAAATCCGACAGTGCCGCTCATTACTTCGTCATTCTGCTTACTTCCCATGTCTTTAATTTCTTCCAGGGCTGTTTCCTATGCTGTTTTACCTCTACCTCTGCAATATCTTATTCCTGCAAAATGCCCCCCCCAACCCTTAAAATGCGATGAACCTCGCTACTATAAAGAAACATGCCTACTTTGTGGTACTTTGATTTTATCGCTTGACGGGGGAACAATTAGCAGAGATCACCTGGATGTACTCAGGGAGTCTCAATGGGAAATCCATCACAAATTCCCGATTCCCGAGCATATCCTCGTGCCATCGACCGAAGTGGAGAAAAAAAGTTTCTCCACATTTCCTTGGTTGTCATCTTGTTATCAGCGAGGGGGGTAAGTTGGCATTCTTATGAAAACATGTAACTTAAAGCTAAAATTAATATCCAAGCTGTCATATATGCCTCCTCGTCAAAATATGAACTCACGGGAATTGGCCCAGTTGCACATCTCGGTGGTCAGCCGTACCAGCTTCCAAGAGACAAAAACACCGCACGAATTTCTGGGCGAGAGGCGATACCGGAATATGATGATACAATATTCATACATTTTCATCCTGGAGGTCAATGGATGCATTCAAATCTTTACAAAGACAAGAATATGGGATATGTGTTTCACTATTATTGTTGGAATATCCTTGGCCATCTGGTAGGGAAAGAGTTGATCGAGAAGGCCCTTGGTAAAGTTGTTGAGGCCGCAATAAATTATTGGCAAAACCATCAAGGATGGGGTATTACAGACCTAGATACCCTAAATCGTGCCCAGGTATACGAGGTTCCATACATGAGATGTGAGTGGTACTTTCGCGGCTGTGATATCTTTATCAATCCATGGATTATACCCGAGCTTCAAGATGTAATCCAACTTGCGCAAAATATGGTTGGAAGGCGCAAAAGCTTCTATCTTGATAGAATTCCACTCGAGATATCCCTTCTGGTGGCGGAGATAATTTGCCCTGTCATCTACACTCAATCTGATCTGCAGAATATGCGTAACATGTTATCCGTGTTTGCATTGAATTTACCAGATGCCTTTTGGAGAAGCCGTTTAAAATCCAAACGTGATTTGTTTTTTGAAGTGGATCTTCTTGAGACTGATTCAGTGGACTGGCAGCTCTTGTGGCTAGGGTTTATGGGCCTTCTTTCTGATAAATGGTATAACTCCAGTGGATTGGCACACCGCGAGCAATTACTTGGTCCAATTAGGGAAATCATCGCAAATTTTCAATAAAGTTGACAGGGACATTTGCTGGGAGATAGTATCAGAGGCCTCCTCGTTTTTTCTTGCTTTATGACAGATCGATTTATGGTACTTTGCCATTCTAATGAATCCATTTAGCTAACGTTTCTAAAAGTCCACATTTTTACTCTAACTCCTGAGAGCTCGTGTTGCTATTCGTTCGTCTTGATTTAGTCCATTATTCTCGGAGTGTATTACAATTTCTTTGATTGGATGGTTTATTTCTATCGAACTTTCTGACTGCACCTCCATCTATTCTGACAATCAGTATAATAAAGCCGTTGAGGCGTAGCTCACAACGCCAAATTTCGCGACATTAGAACCTTTCGTTCGTGCTAGTAGCTGAATTAAGGATGTTAGAATAAGACTTAGCAATGCTCCTCTAGAAGTCATGAATTCCTCGTTATTAGCATAATATCAAATCTTGTATTAACACCAATATTGAATATCTCATGACTAGTTGATGGAAGGGAAATGTTGAGTAATCGGTGCCTCGAATATTAGCCAGTTCACGTAACTAGATGATTATGAGAGGTCTCTTTCCCCTTCTGAGTAGCTAGATTGATACCATAAGTATGTCCGTTACTAGTAGTTTTCGGTATAGATACATGCGCATATGACTAGCTATGTACTCAGTGATTGAACTTAATATGGTCGAGTATTTGTTGGATCTCAATGCGAGCATTCCATAGATGCAAGGCGATAGCTGTAGAAGGGACCCCGGGATCAGTAACGTCACCAACGCTGTTGGTTGCGTCGTCGTACTCATTGACACGCATATACATTCCCACAGCAACTATCCCATACACCGGCGTTGGGTTGACAACCCGGGTACCGTGCGTTGCTGAAAGATATTGATTGAGTTGCCGGACACCTTCATTCCAGATCGTGCTTCTTGTTTCCAGCCCCGTTCTCTTGCATTGCACAATCAAAAACTTGTTGGCGCTTTGTTGTCCCGGCGGATACTGGTATGTGTGCAGATCCGAGAACCCCCCTCTGTCCCGTTTGGCTGGTATGACGGTCCTGTGGGCGTGTCACATAACCCTCTTGGACGGGGAATTGCCATGTAAGGATGGTGTTCCAGACACCATACAGGATACACTCGGGTCCAGCCCGAGGAACTCGGTTGATCTCTTGCTGCAGGGCGGGAATTATCGAAATAACTCTGATACTATTGACATCAGTGACCTGGAGTCTTGTAAATTCCTAGATGGAATCATTGACTTACGAAAGCCATGTTGAAAAAGTCTGAAGATCAGCATTGAAACTCGACCCTGCGGATATTTTATATACTTATCGATATCTTATTAACTCGTACTTTTAGCGTTGAGCACTCCTAGTATTCAAACTATGCTTGGGCATATATTCACTGCTCCCTCAATAAGGATGTTCATACAGTGGGCTGTTAAATGAATGAACAATAAGCTAAAAAAATACAAGTACAATGGTCCAGTGAATAAGCACACAAAATACCAGTAAATGAATACAATATGCCGGATTCGTGGGTCAATTGAATGATTGATTCGAAGTGAATAAAAGCAGCATTGTACATAATCACACATGCTACTAGTCATTAGGCTCCAACCTTAAGAAATCCCGCGATTACAGCCTCTTTGATTGGTCCATACTATGGTCTCTAGTTGGCCCCAATAAAACATCACACTTATTGTTCCGCCATATAATGTACCCCTACAATGTACCTAGGTCGGTATAATTATCTAGACCGCCGTAGATTATAGCTCTAACAGATGTAATAGATATCTCGGAAGCAGTGTATTAATGAATTTGTAAGGAATGATGGAAAGTCTGGTATCTTAATAGATCCCTCTGATCAATCTCTGAGTCTGGTTCTGGGCGCCCTCTTCAAAGCGGCGGCACCTGTATAGGAAAGCCCCACCTTGCAGGGGAAATTAGTACGTATAGTGACATGTAGTTGGTATTAGGTTCAAGTTATCTAGCGGACTCATTGCATCCAGCCCAAATTTAAATACTTTACGGAATACTTTATAGCGGTTCTCAGATAACACGGGCAGCTTTTCCATCGTGCACTAGCAATCTAAAATATTCCATAGTAGTATTAGTAATTATTTCTTCTTTGATATGGGGCAATATTGCCAGGCAACAAGTTTGACACAAAAATATACTTAGATTGATTTATATTATTTGAAATGCTTGTACGGATGGACTCCGTACAAGTTCCGAGTTTAAATAAATTTAGTGAGGGGGGTTATGGCATGATGTGGAGTGGTGTGGGGTGGTGTGCCTTGTTAGGGCATCTGCACATCGTACATGGAGTAGCTGGATATGAGTCGCACAAGACACCTGGGAATCAACTAAAATAGAAATGAAGTCTGACGATCATAATTCGTACAGAATGTTTCACAAAGGATTTAGCATCATATTCGTGTGTGGCAGCAAGTCTGGATGAGCACCATTAAAACTTCCTATCACAGTGTATGCCCCGTGATTAAGCAGCAGGGACTCTCCGTACTGTCTCACCATTTTCTTTTTGACATCCGCCGCATTCGAGCTTGAGCTCGAGCTCAAGCTTGAATGGGCTAAAGTACGACGATCGCGGATCCATCGAATCGAAATCTGTATCTGTATCGGAATCGGAATCGGAATCGATCGATCGCAATCTTACAAACTTACAGTGTCACGAAGCTAGATGGTACCTGGTTGTCACCACCACAAAGCAAAATGGCAAAACTGCCAAAGTGGAGGGGGAATATTTGACCTCCTCAATACTTGAACTTGAACTCTCTGCCCGGATCGACATGACCGCACGCACAGAGTTGGTTCGGTTCCATAGGTCATGGGGAAGCTAGTGTTTCGATTTCAACCCCCTGAAGTGTTCGTGCCCACCCAGCCCAGCCCCAGCCCCATCGGGGAACGGCGGAGAGAGCAGTCGAGATCGTGACTGTCCAAGTTTTTGCCAATCTCACACACCCCCAAAGAAGATTGATCTGCGCTTTTCCTTGTTCCTGTCACGTCCCTAGCGGCGCCCCTAGGCGCTCCAAGGCTACGGTATACTCCATCTGGCGTTGCTGGGCTCCGCGCCCTCGGGATATGCCCAACGAACCAAATTTGGCACTCCGTTCGCGGCCTTGTCCGCTAAGAACGAGCTGCCCCACTGTACTGCAGTCGATCTCTTCTCATCACACCAATCAACACTCGTGCGGAAATTGGGAGCCCCATCCCATGCCATTTTCAACCCTAATCCGCCTCGGTCGTCTTCCATTTGGCCTCGTGCTCGGCATTTGATCTCCATCAAAGCGACCTCCATTGGCATTAATACAAACGCCCCCGATACGCACCACTTCCCGCCATGGGCCATTCCACACCAGACGGCCTGGCGGGTCCCAATGGGTCAAATCCTCGTTGTCTGTCATGGATTTCTTGTTATGTGGACCCCTTTTGACTTGGAATTGGGGCCGGATTCTGGCCCGCGGCCTATTATGCAGGCAGGACGTTTACTCCGGAGAAGGTTCTGCTAGCTGCATAAAGTCGACCCAGTTAGGGAGGGGGGAGGGGGCAGCTTGTTTCTTCAACCCCTCGTGTTGCTAGGGACAAATTTATGCGCCGTACTCGTAGAACAGGCCAGCTGCTCGCTGCCCTCGAGTTCGTTTGAGTTTACCCAAGTCAATTGGGTGATAGGCGGCCGTTCATATGTCAAAGCCTACGGCAAATGGAGTACTCTTAATTTCTTAGCGTTCGAACCGTCAGTCCGCATTAGCCTAGCCCCATCTGTGCCCCCCCGGCGATGGATTTATGGAGAATCCCGGGCCATTTCCATTTCCCCTGGATCCAGGCATGCCAAAGGGTGTTGGATCTGCACGCCGACCACTTGACAAGGCAGGTCTCCGCTACTCGTACGGAGTACTCTTTCCTGGTGGCGCGTGCGAATTTTCTCGCCCTTCCTTTTCTTTCTCATCATGTCAACCTACACCAATTGGTACCTTCGAATTTAGTATGAATGCCTTCAAACAAGCTCCAAACTTGCAATGAAATGCGTTGATCGCTCGCTCCTTCACGACGGCCGTCGGTCTAGTCGTTCCACTTCTTCTTAGCTTCAGGACTTTTTCCCCTTCTAAAACATCATTGTCCAGTCGCTTCGCGCGCGCGGCTTAGCTCCAACTACGGGTGACCGCTAGACGCATGATCCCATGTGCTGTACACCTGTCAATATGGTTGCGCTGAAGAAACTTTTCCAACAGTCAGAACCAAATCGGGCGCGCCCATCAAGTGGCCTTGGTCTGGGTGATGCCAGAGCCGATGAACGATACTATGCGGCGGCGCGAGAGCACCCGGAGTCTGGCCGTCTATCTGCCGCTCCCCGTCACCGGGGCTCCCCTCGCCTGGTTTTAAAACTGCACATGCTATAGATGTGTCGCACCATTTTGACCAAATCGACAAACAATTTGAGGATCTACATCACCATATGGGAGATGAGCGGCCGCAATCTGCCCAGTCCGAGCTACCGCCTCCACTCCCAACGACAGTTGGAGTTCCGAGGTATTCCAATTCTCGACATATCGATTTGATGGATGCTCTCTACACAGCCGATCGAAATCAGGCCACAAGTCCCAGTCCAGTTTCACCTCCCACTAGCCCCTACAATGAAGATGTCGCAGAACGGAACATGACCAGGTTTTTGCGTATCCAATATCGGAAAGGGTTTGCGAGCTCTCGGATTTTATCTGCTCTCTACCAGGAGGATGTGGCGGACAGAAATATTGCGAAATATGGAGCTCAATCTCGCTCAACATCTGCATTGAGCTCCCGCTCATCTCCACCTGCGCCGGGTAGACGAGGGCGCGGTTTAAGTCCAATGGGTTCGGATGGCAAGAGACGTGACTCGCGAACCATGAATTTGAAGAAAGGCAGTTGGATGTCAGAAGGGGATCTTCGAACTCGATCTTCTCCTGATCGTGACTCCGGCTCATCGCGTGCATCGCATGCCAGCACTTTAATCCGCCTGCAAAGGTCTGCGCCCACATTGTCCCCGGAGGAGACTGATGCAGCAGAAGAAGAGATTCCCGATGCCGTCCAACGTTTGGGTGTACCTCCTGCTTACAAACAAGGCAAGAGATGGAGCAATACGCCTTTGCCTGATAGTCCCACGCTGCCTTTTCCAATCAGTGATGGCCGCAACAGCAGTAGCGGCGCTAGCACCCCTCCAGCGCTACAAGCACCTACTCCAACAGCCCGCAATTCGTCACTAAACTCCAGATCACTCTCTCCGCCTCCTTCATCGGGGTCTAGTTCAAAGAAGAATGTTCGAGACCTGTCGATCAATACACAACTAGCCGCAAAAGGGCGTCAAAAGATCTCACACCGTGCGATCCAGCCTCCGACCCCTTCCAACTTTGAAATGAAGCGAGCTCCTAGCATTGCAGAAGTCATGAATAGCCCTCTACCGGAACCGACTCCTACTAGTCCGGGGCAATCATCCGAGTCCCCTCGATTCAAGTTTTCCGAAATGATGGACTTTTTCAAGCATGCGTATACGTCTACTCAAGCCATGAGCTCCCATCCAACCTACGAATCCCTCCAGGATGCCATTGTTCGCGAAATCAATTCCCACGATGCGTTCAAAAGTGTCCCGGTCCCTATTGCTGGCCCACCCTTCACACCTTCAGACCAGGACAAGTTTGTTCCTGGTCCCCGTATGGACTTGAACCGCAGTGCTTCAGCCGGACAACTCTCCAAAATAATACGGAAAGGCTCTTTCAAGAAGCACAAGAGGGATTCCGAATCCCGTCAAAGTATCTCAAGTGTCCAATCCAAAGGCTTCCTCCGAACTGCACGTCGGAGACATACCGATGCCCCTCTACCGTCTCCAGAATTGGTGGCCGAGCTTCAGCAATCTCGGGGCACCGACCAACCTAGTGGTGAACAGTTGACCTATATGGATATTCTCCGCGCGAGCAGTGTCAAGTCCACCAATTCCAGACATGGAATGCGCTCTGACTTTGCTGCCAATATCCCTTTCGATCCTTCTACCGCTCCACGCTCTACTCCCGACTCCCGACCTATCACCGCCGGCACAGTATACTGCATGCAGGCACACTCCGACTCCTCCAACTGCAGGGAGAACAGAAGCAGTGGCACTGGCTCCCAGGGGACCTACGAGGAAAGTGATGATGAGATCATTCACCTCCCTAGTGTGGGCACGCCACCCCCTCGCGTACAAATCGAGGGTGTGGACGAGAACAATGTCCGCTATGTGATTGACTCTGCCACGGCCAGCGACGCACACAAGCTGATGAGCTGGCCCCAACGCGTGCGCCGCGCCAATTCCCCCCAGCCCACCTCCTGCGATAACAGCTTATCCCCATTTGCTCGTGCTCGGATGCAGCTCCGGGGAACTCGCTCCGTCGAGACATATTAAGCAGGTGTCTCATACCTGCTTTCTTCATCTGGAAGAATTGAGTCCCTTCTCGCACGATAATTATGCTTTCATGATACCTCCAACCACCAAAAGCCCGCTTGCTTAAACCCTTGAGGGTCTGTTTTCCTAGCGATTCTGAACTTGAAGCGCCTTGTTTCGAAATCACAAACCTTTCTTCTTCTGCTTCCTTCCTTCCTTCACATCTATTTTCCTAATCATCAGCAACCCTCCCTGCTTATCTACATGCCACCATCCAATATCCTGGATCCCGCACTCCTTGCATTTCCTATAACCTCGTCCTACGTGCCCACTAAGACCTTTCTATACCTACAATTCCTCATCCCCTGGCTCGTCGCCCGTTTTTCCTATTTGTCTACTCGGGTGGTCCTGCCTTGTCTTGTTACTGGATCTGCATATTCCAGAGGGCGTTACTGCCGTTTCTTCCTATTTCTGTATTATACCAATTGGATTACCAGTTCACCTGCCGATTTTACTATCAATTGACAACCTATTTCTCCCACCACCATCTCAGGTACTATAACACTAAGCTTATTGACGTACGAGGCGGACCAATAATTCGGGCAAAACGGCATGTAGTTTTCTACTAGTAGTCAAGTCAAGTGGGCGAACTCCCCAGATAAGGCGACGTCACTCAGTGGAATTTGCCGAGAGATTCGGAACAAGACTTGCCGAAATGATGTGCGACTATTGAATCCCGAAGAGGTTCCATTTCTATTTAAATCACGATTTAATGGCTAGCTTCAGCCGCTAGTCGGGAGAAGATCGACAAAGCAATGTTGCTAATTAAGGAGCACGAGCGTATCCATATGCAGGGTCGTCTCCACCTGTTCACCCCTCAAGTCAGGAGCCGAGTCAACGACTCGATAATCACGACAAGATTGCCGATTGGTCGCTCATTTTACGCATTCGACGAGTCCAACTGGCATCACACGCACATTGCGCAGGAAAAAAGAGGCACTACGGAGTACAATGGGCAAAGGTAGCTACGAAAGTATCATGCACTCCTTCATAAGGAGTAGGACGTTGTCTTGGATAACATGGCTCATTCTTCTCATAGGCTCGTGTTGGCTAAATACCTTTCCCCTGCAAATTCCGACTCCACAACGAACCAACTCGCAAGGTGAATTTCAATAAAGGGACCCCGTGTTACCCACGCCAAACATAGGAAACATCTTGCAGATTTTTGCATACTTTTTTCGGTCCCACTTCACTCAAAATACTCCGAACCCTTGAAAGAAAAGCACTATGCAGTTTCGTTCTCTTTACGGAGCACATGCTAGTACCCGAATAGATGATGTAAATAGAATCGGCAATATTTAGTAAGAGCCTGGTTTTTGATGTCAGCGGTTGTTGTTCTGTGAATAAGAGGGAGATGGGGGAATAGGGGGACATACGGCCGAACATGCACCACTTCTGAGCGGAGCGGGTACACTTGGGGTTGATACACTTGGTCTCGGCGGTGATTTCAGCGCCGCCAATGCTTTGGTCAAATGGAATGCACAGACTCTTAGCACCCATGCTAGGGGCCTTGACATCTTCGGGACCAGACAGGGAGATCTCCTCCTGCTTCTTGGCAGTCTCCTTCTTGATCTGGTCCTCACAATCCTCGGCCAGACAGAAAGGCACAACGACCAGGTTCTTGTCGTTGAGAGCAGGGACGATCTCGTCGAACTTCTCGATGACCTTCCGGTGGGTGGTGAATTGCTCGTTCGCACGGTTGTACATATCCTGGTGGATAGTCTCTAGGAGCGCAGGAACGGCAGTACCCAGCTCGGGAATGGGGATAGAGCCCTTGCCCTCCTTGCCAGGAATATCCCGACGAGCGGTACTAACAAAGTGGCCGGCCGACTCTCCAGGGCCGAACTCCAGGCGCAAAGGAACACCCTTCAGCTCCCACTGTTGCAAAAGAAAAGTCAGCAAACAAAATTATAATGCTTGGGGGTATCAATGTGCATATTTGAGATAACGTACGTCAGCAAATTTGAAGCCAGGAGAGTAGCCATCACGTTGATCGTTCTCAACACGGACGCCTGCGGCCTGGAGGATGGCAGCAAGACCCTCGATCTCGGCGTTCAGCTTCTCGCGCTCTTCAGCGGTGGTCTTCGCGGTGAGACCAACGGGAACAATAACGACCTGGTTCGTTGTTAGTCTGGATATTCTAAAGTTCGTCGCCTCAAGGATCTTCCCAGGGGTGTCACGCTGACGACGGTTGAAATTGGCAAATCTTGTTTGAACTTACCTGAGTCTCTGCCACGCGGGGTGGGAGGACCAGTCCCTTGTTGTCGGAGTGGATCATGACCATGACACCAATGGTACGGGTAGACAGACCCCAGGAGTTTTGCCAGACGTACAGAGGAGGCTTCTTCTCCTCGCCCGGCTTGTTGGAGGGGTCCTCGACCTTGATGTCAAACATCTTCGAGAAATTTTGGCCTATAGAATCAATTGGTTAATTTTGTCCTCCAAGTTCCCAGAACAAGTAACGCTTACCCAAGCCGTGAGATGTGCTAGAAGAAATAATGTGTTAGTTGAGAACCCATTGTCAAGAAACAGAAAAGCTTACCCGCCTTGAATACCACGGCCAGTGGCGGGAATGTAACCTAAGTATTCGATTAGCTTATGCATGCTTAGTATCACAAGTATGCTTCAGATGTACCTTCGACAGTTGTGGTGTAGAGACCACCAGCTAAAAGCAAAGAGTGTTAGCAACATTTTCAGTGTACTTTTATATAATATACGCCTACCGAATCTCTCCTTGTCGGTCTTCTGTCCCTTAACAACGGGAACAGCCAGCAGGTGCTCGTAGATATCGGAGTACCAGTCAAGAATTTGAAGCACCTCAGCGCGAGCTGCGTCTTCGCCGAGGTGGGCAGTGTGGCCCTCTTGCCACAAGAACTCTCGAGTGCGGAGGAAGGGGGTAGGGTTCTTAAACTCCCATCTGCAACAAGTTAGAATAAACAAGACAAAATTCAAGGAACAATTTAGTACTTACCGAACCACGGAGTTCCATTGGTTAAGACGGAGGGGAAGATTCCTGGACGAATTAGATATGATTGCGTCGATGACCAGTGGGAAAGCATCCTTACCGGTGGGAACGAATCCACTGACCAAAAGATTAGAATATGAGTCTTCAATAGTGTGCTGATAGATGATAATATGAACGTACCTTGGAATAGTATGGGTACATGACAGTCTCCGAGGTGGGGCGGATAGCAATCTTCTTCTCGAGAGGAGAGTTTCCGCTAGAGGAATAAAGTCAGAATCCTGGAAGAAAAATCGTATGTTTTGGAGGTAGGAATCCATACGCGTGGGTCACCCAGGCGACCTCAGCAGCGAAACCCTCGATGTGGTCCTTCTCACGCTGCAGCACATCTAATGTAATTAGTAAAGCTGCCACAAATCAAGTGTGAAAGAGATACCAACCCTCGGAAACGAAGAGGGGGAAACTCGCGCTGATCTAAAGTTAGTATATCCGTTTCTGATAATGCGAAGGGCTTTCGAAGGACGAACTTCTTGACTCCAATGGACTTGATCTTCACATTGAACCAGTTTTGAATCTCCTCCCAAACAAAGTAAGATGCGGGCTAAAATGTGTGAGCAAGTATCATAGTATATAATAGAACGGCCGCGATACCTTCAGAATGAAGCACCCCGACACATCATAGCTAAAAGGCAAAGTCCAGGTTAGCCACGGCACCGAATAACGATAAGGATTATGGAGAGATTGGACTCACTAGTCCAGCATATCACCCTTGGTGAGTACCTGGTGATACCACTCTGGGAAATCCGACTCCTTCTCCACGTCGATACCGATGAGTTCCTTGCCGCTATCCTTCTTCTTCGCAGCCTTCTTTGGCTCTTGTTTACCCTCCTTGGGCTGCTTGGGCTGCTTAGGTTTGTTGGCCTTATCGGCTTTGTCGGCAGCAAGCTTAGCTAGCTTGGCCGCCTTCTTAGCTGCATTCTTCGACTCGCCCTGGGGGGCATCGGCGGGGTTGGTGCGGTCAGGGAGGGTCTGGGATTCAGCAACGCTGGTGGCAGCGGGGTCGGTAGGGGTCTGGCTAGCCATGTTGAATGAAAACGAGCGCCTGGCTAGGAGAATAAGAGATGCGAGCCACTCTCGAGACTAGAATGGAAGTTCGTAATTCGGAGGGATATGACTCTTTCAAAAAGTGGGATGTTATCTGCGCCGACCCCACACCGCCGGGCAGAACTTTTAGCGGTAACAAACCAAAACCCCCCCCCGTCCCAAGCCCAGCAGAGCTCTGCCATCCCACTTAAAAAGCCCTCGTCTTTTACTACATTCGCCATGGCAGGCATCTTCGAGGCTCCGCGAAACGCGGACACTCTCTGTGAGCCCAAAATCCCCTCTTCCTCGAAGCAGCGAACTAACCTATCTCGCACACAGTCTTGGGCGGACAGAAAATCACCGGTGCCGATGTCCGTGAGCAGAATGGTATGTTGGATAGAACAACCAGTCTGTATCAATTGCTTTAACTAACCCTTCTCCAGTGCTCGCGACCCAGGCTATCTCAAATGTCATCAAGAGCTCTTTCGGTCCCTCGGGCTTGGACAAGATGATGGTGGACGACATAGGGGTATGGAACACGGAAGAACCCCGCAGAGCTTTGGAAAGACTGCTTCTAACAACGTTTGCCATCATAGGATGTGACCGTGACAAACGATGGCGCTACAATTCTCTCGCTACTGGATATTGAGCACCCTGCGGGCAAGATCCTGGTGGACCTGGCCCAGCAACAGGATAAGGAGGTACGGATTCCACACATGTCCTGGGTGATCGAACCTTTCCAACTGACTTCCGCCAGGTCGGTGATGGCACAACTTCGGTTGTCCTGATTGCCTCAGAGCTCCTGCGCCGAGGCAACGAATTGATGAAGAACCGGATACACCCCACCACCATCATCAACGGATACCGTCTCGCGCTTCGGGAAGCCGTGAAGTATATGAACGAGAACGTGACAACGAAAGTGGACAACCTAGGCAGGGACAGCCTGGTCAACATTGCGAAGACCTCTATGTCTAGCAAGATCATTGGAGGCGACTCGGAGTTTTTCTCCAACCTGTGCGTGGACGCCATGCTTCAGGTTAAGTCGACAAACCAAAGGGGAGAGACCAAGTACCCAGTCAAGGCTGTGAACCTTCTCAAGGCTCACGGAAAGAGCGGTACTGAGTCCGTTCTTGTCCAAGGTTACGCCCTGAACTGCACTGTTGCCTCCCAGGCCATGACGACCCGCGTCACCGATGCCAAGATCGCCTGTCTGGATATGAACTTGCAGAAGGAGCGCATGAAGTTGGGCGTGCAAATCACAGTCGAGGACCCCGATCAACTGGAGAAGATCCGTGAGCGCGAAGCCGGTATTGTTCTGGAACGTGTTGATATGATCTTGAAGTCCGGTGCCAACGTTATCCTGACGACCAAGGGTATCGACGATATGGTCCTGAAGAGTTTTGTTGAGAAGGGAGCCATGGCCGTCCGCCGTTGCAAGAAGGAGGATCTTCGCCGCATTGCCAAGGCCTCCGGTGCCACTCTCATCAGCACCCTGTCCGACTTGAACGGAGATGAGAAGTTCGATTCGTCATACCTCGGCCACGCTGAGGAGGTTGTCCAGGAGCGTATTTCGGACGACGAGTGCATTCTGGTCAAGGGCACTAAGGTTCACACATCCGCCTCTATCATCCTCCGTGGCGCCAACGAGTACAGCTTGGACGAGATGGAACGTTCCGTCCACGACACCCTGTGTGCCATCAAGCGCACTCTGGAGAGTGGCAGCATCGTCCCCGGTGGTGGTGCCGTTGAGACTGCCCTTCACATCTACCTCGAGGAGTTCGCCGTCACAGTGGTATGTAATTATGTTCACACTATCTATTGAATACGTCGCTAACACCGTTTTCTAGGGCTCTCGGGAGCAACTCGCCATCGGTGAATTCGCCCAGTCGCTGCTCGTCATTCCCAAGACCCTTGCCGTCAATGCGGCCAAGGACTCATCCGAGCTTGTCGCTCAACTCCGTGTTCGCCACGCCCTGTCACAGCGTGTACAGGATGGTGATGCCAACGAGGAGGAGAAGGCTATCGCCAAGAAGAAGACCTACCGCAACTACGGTCTGGATCTTGCGAAGGGACGCGTTCACGACACTCTCAAGGCCGGTGTTCTAGAGCCCAGCATGAGCAAGATCAAGCAGCTCAAGAGTGCTGTCGAGGCCTGCATTGCTATCATGCGTATTGATACTATCATCAAGCTGGACCCCGAGCAGCCGCAGGATGACGGCCACGGTCACTAAGGTCTTGATGCTTTGACTACGGGGGATTAAAAAAGGCAGTAATATTTGATGTTACATAGAAATGAAAAAGCAGTGGATATTATGACCTTCTGCTGCGGCTGCATATGAACCAGATTTTATCAAATGGATATCCTATAGTAAAAAATGTACGAACATGAATTCCACTTTTAGTAGAGTGGGAGATTACTGGCGCCTTTCAGCCACCATTCGCCGGTATTCCTCCACAATATTCCTCCGCTCGGAAGCCAGCTCTTCTCGTCGTCGTAAACTACCAACAGCATTGGGCACGTTGGCAACGTCGACCTTTGCACCACCGCGTACCTTGAAGATCTCTCGGGGTGCCTTAAGTTCCGGCGGTGCCTGCGCAACCTCGAACGGATTGGCTTTCTTCTCCTTGTCGCGCTTCTTCAGCTTCGCCCATGGGTCGGGGTCATCATCGCCGACATCCCCAGCGTTGCCCGACTTATTCTTCTTCTTGGGCACAGTTCCCTTCTTTCTGGCTTTACCACCCCGTCTCTCCAAGTCCCATTTCTTCATGAGTTCAATCTGCTCTTCCATCTCCTCTTCGCGTTCCTCCCTCTCTTCTTCTTCCTTCTCCCGAATCTTGGCCTCATCCTCACGCCAACCAGCCTGCAATTTTCGTAGATGCTTTTCGTGCTTCGTAATCTTGTGATCGCGGTCCTTGCGCGCACCAGCTTGTGTCTTGGTAATAGCAGCAAGAGGAAGCGCACGGTCAACGCGCGCTGAAAAATCCGAAAGCTTCTCGCCGGGCAGAATCTTCGGAATCATTTGCTTGGCGTCCTTGCCAGCGGCTTCTTTCTGTTCGGACAGCGTTTTGGCGGGCTTTTTGTTCGAGGATCCCTTGTTGTCCGCATCTTCACGCTTCCGCTTCTTATTGTCCGCTTTGCTTTTTCTTTTCTCCCGTCTCGAATCCCGAGGGTGCACGTCGGCCTGTGGTCTTGAACTGCATCAACTGACGAAAAGCTCGGGGAGTGTCGTCCTCCTTGGCGCGCTTGCTGCGGGTATGTTCCAATGACACGGCATTCTTCTTGCTGCCACCTTGTTGCTGCTTTGGTCCCTTTTGTCCTGGCTTTTGGTTGTTCTGGGCCTTGGACTCCGGATTGCGCACGGGGAGTGCCTTTGCGATCACCGAAGGCGGGAGATCGAATTGTCTGGGTTGGGTTTGAAAGTTAGATCATCGGTATTGGGTGAAGTATTTGAGAATGGAAAGCTTACGAGGCATCCTTCTCACGTCTCTTGTGCTTGTGAGGCATGGTGAGTGCTGGGGAGTGTGGAGGGTTGGAGTTGTACTAGGTCGAGCGGAACTTTTTTTTTCCAAACTTATCGGCCAATCGTCTTATCGCAGCACCGTCCGCCCGCCCCGGGGCGCCCTCTCGTCCCTGCTAAGGTAGGCTCATCCAAGGATCGCCCACCTTAGGGCAGGCATAGTGGTAGGACAAATAGAAAGTCTCTATGTCATCTTAATCTCATGGATAGCTCAAGATATTATAATTCCTGTACGTAGCCATACTTCAGCATGATTCACTATTTTTTTACTCGCTGCTAGCTTGGATTCCGAATCAGAAACCAGTTTCCAAAGGTTAGTTACTAACAAAAGCTACTCTTTGGACACATATAGTAGATGAAGATAAATGATAAATTGCAACCCCCGAGAGATGCAGTATAAAGTAAACGGGTATGCTACGCTAATAGAAACAATGCCCCCCCCCCCCCCCCTAAAACGCCATAAAATGCCCTCATAAATGAAAACGCCATACAAACACCTCGCGTATGCAAAACAGGATAATGATAAAAAGAGGGTGGGAGGGAGAAAATGGACTTCGCGGGAATCATTCGTCTTCGTCATCATATGAGTCTTTCGTATCAGCCCAGCCGCATTCCCAGCGCCGGCCCTCAGTCTCGCCGCTAGCTCGAAGCTCGTGAGCCTCGGGTCCTTCGCGCCAGCATCGGGCGCTGTAATCATCGCTCACGGAAATAAGTTCGCCGTCGTTTGTCCACGACACTGCCGTCACTTCCCTGTTGTGCCCTTCAACAAGGGGAGTGCCGGACTGGTAGATAGGGATGGTGTCTTCCAAACGTCCAGCCAAGCCAACTCCGGAGTTGGTACGGCGGAGGCCTGATCGGGTTGTGAACAGCGACGTACGGGTAGGGAGGCCGTCATCCGGGGTTTTGACGGTAGGTTGCAGAAATCGTTCATCTGTTGGAAATAATATGGGACAATGGTCACTGCTGCCAGCTGCCAGCATTTCTGGGCGGTCTCCGGATGCCTTTCGAAGAGCAAGTTTGACATAAAATGAAGAAACTTGGAGGCGAGGGTGGCGGAGCCCGTACAGCGGCCCCAGGCCTTCTTTGTCGGATCCTCCAGACCTTCGTGGTCGATTATTGTTCAAGGAGAGCTCGGGAGCATGTCCAAGCATCAGATGGGATGTCGAGTATGCATAGACCGTACCGTCCCGACAAAGGGTGTAAAGCCGCGAACCTTCACCACTGAAGGCCATGGATGTTAGACCGAATCTGCGGTACTTCATGTGGCTATCAGGCTCTCGTGTGGTAGATAATGGAAGGACAGGTCGGCCACGGCGGTTGTGGTGCGCGGTTCGCAAATCCCATAGCCGAACGCTGGCACTAGCCTCGGATGCGGTGACAAACAGGTTTTCCTGACCAGGAGGAAGGAATGCCAGGGAAGTGACCGTAATGTCTGAGCGGCCAAAGGGGGGAGCGTCATTCCTATCCATGCTCGGTTTTTGGGGGGTGCTATACGCATGAGCTCCATGGATCGTGTTAAGAACGTGGGGATAAGTCATCTTGCGCGGCGTTGTGGAGTTTTCGGTCTCGGTTTCTAGCGAGCACCTCACTTGTAGAGAAGGACGTTCAAAGCCTTTGCATCGGAGGTCCCAAATATTGACGTTTCCATCCCGACTGCAAGTTGCAAGGACTTTGTTGTTGGAAGCTGGTTGGAATTGGATCCGCTTCACAGATGATACATGGTTCGATAAACAGTGGACAGGTCGTTGTGTGGTCATGTCAATGACCAAAGAAGTCTGGTCCCCAGAGGCCGTGGCAAGCAATAGATCGTCCGAAGAAAATTCGAGATCCATTATGGAGTTCATGTGCGGTCGAAATCCGAGATATGCGCTGGAGAACCCTCGCTCGTCGTCCTTGGAAGAATCCAGCAGTCGAATACCGCCTTCTTCATCGCCGACTGCTACTAGGGAATTGGCTATAGTGGAGTGTTAGAAATCCCAATTGGCCAGAAACATCATAACAAAGTGACATACTATTGCAAGAGGCACTGCAGAATGGAAGAGCCATAGAGCCTTCGGAGGCTTGACTGGCGCATGAGTGGCGGTCCTCGGGTCGCGAGTGGAAATCAGATGTAACATCTTGCCAGCCTGGAGAAGATTGTTAGATGAAAAATCCAATATTATCCCTGGAACAAGAAACTAACCAGCCCCAGCAGTCGAGCGAAGAGTGGTGCGGTTCGCCCGAGAACCCTGCACGGTGCGCATAAACAACGAACCGGACGTCTGCAAAGCCCTGGATCTACTTATTGGAGATACTGGTCGCCGTTTGGGAGTGATTGCAGGCGTTCTATCAACGTAGCGGCCTCTAACAGTTGCGGGATCGATATCTCGGATGGTAGTCCGCTGCTCCACTTCCTCGCCCATCGGAGATCGCACACGGACTTTTTTCAATGGTGAAGATTGAATCGGAGAGGCAGCCGAGGAAAATGAGTGCTTCCGTTTCCTACTCGGAGTGCGCATAAAATCCTCTGGCAAGCCATCGTAGGCGTTCCTAGTACTTCCCGGTTTAGACGATCTCGTAAATGCGGGACCGAGTCGGTTGACAGCTGGCGAGTTGAGGGCTCTCAGGGCCTGGCGGTTCGTTCTGACGGGGCTACCATTGCTTCCACTATTCAACAAGGAGCGAGGGGTGAAGAACCGACGAAAGGACCGAGGTGTGACTGTGGGCGGTTTTCTCTGTCGTCGCCCACCGCCGGCTTCGGATGCGATAGAAGGCGGGGAGGATGGGATTTCCTGGGAGGAGGGAGGGAAAATGGGCTCTGATCGGGGCGGTTCACGAAGACCAGCAACCAAATCCATGATGTGCACACGACAGAGGGAAGGAGAGGGAACCTCCGTGGTGGATTAGCATGGAGAAAAGATTTGTCCCATCTTACCCCCTTGGGAAGCGGGTCGTGTTGCGCGCAGACGTGACTTGGACGCGCGAGCGCGGCGTGGGGCGTGGTTCGGGCATTTTGGTGTTCAGGCACCCAGGCTTGACCTGATTTAGAAATGGGCGATTATTTCTACCTATTTTCGAGAGAGAGAAAAGTAAAGGAAGGAAAGGATAAGATAAATTTTTGTGAATTAGAAAGGAAAGGATTTCTTATAGATTGAAGAGTTTATGGGGGAGCGAACATACTAACCCTGTACAAAGAAATACTAGTAGTAAGCCCCAGGCTATTAAAAATGAAAATAAATATTTATGGAGGGCAACTGGCAGCTTGAACCTTGGAATGAATACCCTAGTAGATACCACAATCTCAGGATTTCAATGTGTGAGTACTGGCAATCTTCAAGTTCAAGTTGGAACTAAGTGTATAGTACTACTACTAGTAGAGAAATATACATCACTCCATCGGAAAGATCCAAAACTACCCTAACCACCTAAGGTTGGAAATATTCCAGGTCTCCAACCATACGGAAGATCTTCTAAAATCTCATTTAAAGCCTATTATATAACTTACTACTAGTACTATCCTATACACATTGGAAGTATCTATCGCTCCTGCTTATTCTTGTAGTTCAATTACAGGTAAACAATGATGACTAACCTCAAAGAAGGCGGTCAATCTCAAATAGATTAGGCGGTGGATAATTCTGCCATGCATCGGACTGATTTTTTTTTGTTCGGGAATTCTAGATTTCAACCGTGCTCTCTACGGTTTTACTACCAACAATGGCGCCAATCAAGCGCAAGGGGAATGCCCCCGAAGAAACGGCTACCCGTCAGCCGCAAAAGCGCGCCAAGGTCGGAGCTGAAGATCGCAAGAATGAGCAGAAGCCCAAGGATACCACCGCAGCCCCGAAAGCTTCGGAGCTTTCTGTTCTCCGCGACGACGAGCCATCATTCCCTCGTGGTGGTGGCAGCGTTCTGACCCCGCTGGAGCGCAAGCAAATTCAGATTCAAGCCCACAAGGATGTTCTATTCGAACAGAAGGGCCCCAAAAAGCCAACTCGCGAATTCGACGATAACGACGACGATGAGGAAGAGGATGTCGACATGGAAGACGCCGATGCCGCGACAAGCAAGAAGTCGCGCAAGAAGAAGACCAAGGGAAAGAAGTCTGGAGATAAAGAAAAGAAATCGGAAGAGAAGGACGGTGTTCGCATTGAGCCTCTAACCTATAAGGTATGGTAAATTGAAGGATGCCTCACGAAGCACCTGGCTAAAACCTCTATAGCGCATTGTTCCCGGTTCCATGATTCTCGGTCAAGTCTCAAGCATCAATGCCCACGATATCGGTCTCTCCCTGCCCAACAACCTTGTCGGTTACGTGCCTCTCACCTCTGTGTCCAAGGGACTTGAAAATCGGATTGAGAAGATGCTCAACGAAGAGGAGGATGATGATGATGACTCGGAGGAAATCTCCTTCGATCTCAAGGACCATTTCTATATCGGTCAATACCTGCGAGCATACGTCGTTTCCACAGGTGCTGAAGCCACTGAGGCCGGCGGTCGCAACAAGAAGCACATCGAATTGTCGATTGACCCCAGACAGGCCAACTCCGGACTCTCCAAGTCCGATTTGGTCAAGGAGACCGCTATCCAAGCCTCCGTTATCAGTGTTGAAGACCATGGTTTGGTGATGGACCTCGGCATTGAGGGCTCAGACGTACGTGGTTTCATGTCCTCCAAGGAGATTGACTCCCACGTTACATACTCCAACATCAAGGAGGGCTCAGTATTCCTGTGTCTTGTCACCGGCCAAAATGCCAGTGGTAATGTCATCAAGCTTTCAGCCAACCTTGAACACTCTCTTAAGAAGTCACACTTCCTCGCCGCCGCTCCTACCATCAATTCTTATCTCCCCGGTGTTGCTGCAGAGATTCTCCTGACCGAGGTTACTGCCAATGGCATGATGGGAAAGATCATGGGCATGCTTGATACCACCGTCGACCTAGTCCAATCTGGTGTGATTGATGGAAAACTCGACTTGGAGCGCAAATTCAAGATCGGCGCCAAGATCAAGGGTCGCATTGTCTCAACTTTCCCCTCCGCCGAACCTTTCAAGATTGGCTTCTCCTTGCTGGACCACGTTCTTAAGCTCTCTACTGATACGCACGGCCCTGGCTCTTCTGAGGATGCCCCTGCCATTTCTGCCATTATTCCAGAGACCACGGTAGTGAAGGTTGACCCTGGTATGGGTATCTACGTCGAGATGGGCGAGACCAAGAAAATTGGTTTCGTGCATATCTCAAGGCTGTCAGATGGCAAGGTTGAGTCCATCTCAGATGATTCTGGTCCCTTCAAGGTCGGATCTACCCACGAAGCCCGCATTGTCGGATACAACAAGATCGATAATCTCTATCTCCTCTCCTACGAGCAATCTGTGATCGAGCAGCCCTTTATCCGCCTTGAGGATGTCACGGTCGGTGCCATCGTCAAGGGCAAGGTCGAGAAGCTCCTGGTTGGAGCTACCGGTATGGATGGCTTGATTGTTAGCCTGGCAGATGGCATCACCGGTCTTGTTCCATCTATGCACTTTGCCGATTCCAAGCTCCAGTTCCCCGAGAAGAAGTTCCGCGAGGGACTGAAGATTTCCGCCCGGATCCTGTCCGTCAACCTGGAGAAGCGTCAGATCCGTTTGACCCTGAAGAAGAGCTTGCTGAACAGCGAGTCCGCAGTCTGGAAAGACTACAAGGGTATTTTGGGAGGTGCCCAGTCTCCTGGAACTATCGTCAGTCTGCAGAGCCACGGCGCTGTTGTTCAGTTCTACGGCGATGTTCGCGGTTTCCTTCCCGTGTCTGAGATGAGTGAGGCTTATATCAAGGACCCGGCCCAGCATTTCCGCCTCGGACAGGTCGTCAATGTCCACGCTTTGAGCGTCGACGCTTCCCAGGGCAGACTTGCTGTTTCCTGCAAGGATCCCTCGACATTCACTGAGAAGTATCGCAAGGCTTTCGAGGACATCCACCCTGGGCTGCTTGTCAGCGGAACTGTCTTCGAGAAGTCTAACGATGACCTTCTTCTCAAGCTGGACGAGTCCGGCCTGGTGGCCCGTCTCGATGTCCAGCACATCATTGATGGATCCTCATCCAAGCAAAACTCCACTCTCAGCAAAATCCGTGTCGGCCAAAAGCTGAACGACCTCTTGGTTCTCGACATCCAACGTGCGCATCGTCTCATCCGAGTTTCTAGCCGTGTCACTCTGAAGAAGGCTGTGAAGCAGAAAATTATTCCCACTAAGTTTGAGGATGTGCAAGAGGGCAGCGCTGTTACTGGTTTCATCCGTAACATCACCCCCGATGGTTTGTTCGTTGAGTTCCTCGGTGGCCTCACTGGTCTCCTTCCCAAGCGTCTTATCGAAGAGGCAAACCTGTCTCAGCCTCAGTTCGGCGTGTCCAAGGGACAGGTCATTTCAGTCACAGTCAACTCGGTTGATATGGACTTGCAGCGCTTCATCCTGAGCCAGAAGGACTCCGAGGCCACCGGTCCCAAGGAGAAGAAGGAGAAGACTCTTAACCAGACCGATTATCCCGTTGCCAACGCCATCGATGAGAATATCAAGTCCATGTCTGACTTCACATTCGGTCGCGTTGTCCAGTGCAAGGTCGTTTCTATCAAGTCCACCCAAGTCAATGTGCAGCTGGCGGATAACATCCAAGGACGAATTGATGTGTCTGAGATCTTCGATAAGTGGGAAGACGTCAAGGACCGAAAGCAGCCCCTGCGGTTCTTCAAGGCCAAACAGGTCATCTCTGCTAGAATCCTTGGTATCCACGATGCCCGCAGCCACAAGTTCTTGCCCATTTCCCACCGCAGCGGCAAGTACCCCGTGTACGAGCTGTCTCTGAAGCCTAGCTTCCTCAAGGCTGCAAACCCCGCCCCATTGAACCTCGAGCAGGTCCAGATTGGATCATCTTGGATGGGTTTCGTCAACAACATTGCCGACGACTGCATCTGGGTCAACCTCTCTCCCAGCGTGCGCGGTCGTCTGCGCTTCATGGATGCTTCGGATGATCTGTCTCTTCTTACCGACGTGGAGAAGAACTTCCCCATTGGATCTGCCTTGAAGGTCCAGGTCACTGCGGTCAATGCCGACAAGGGTCACCTGGATCTGTCTGCCAAGCAGGGCTTCGATAAGCTCTCGTTCGGCGATGTCGCTCCTGGCATGATCCTTCCCGGCCGTGTCACCAAGATCACCGAAAAGCAGATCATCATGCAGCTCGGCGAGGCCCTCGTTGCAGCAGTCAACCTTATCGACATGGCTGATGACTACTCAAAGGCCAACCCAACTCTGTACCGCAAGAACGAGGTTCTCCGTGCCTACGTTGTCGCTGTTGATAAGGCTAACAAGAAGATCCACCTGTCTCTCCGGCCCTCTAAGGTTCTGAGTTCCTCGCTGCCTGTGCAGGACCGTGAGATCACTTCCCTCAAGGATCTCAAGCCCAACGATGTCGTCCGCGGTTTCGTCAAGCGCGTTGCCGACGCTGGCCTATTCGTGTCTGTCGGCCACGATGTGACTGCATACGTCCGTGTTTCCGACCTGTCCGACTCATATCTCAAGGAGTGGAAGGATTCTTTCCAGCAGGACCAGCTCGTCAAGGGCCGAGTCACCATGGTTGATGCGGCTCAAAACAAGCTGCAGATCAGTCTGAAGGACTCCATCCTTGACCCCAACTACAAGGCCCCCGTCAAGCTGCAGGACCTTAAGGTTGGTGAGATTGTGACTGGTAAGATCCGTAAGGTTGAGGAGTTTGGTGCCTTCATTGTCATTGACAAGTCTGCCAACGTCAGCGGTCTCTGCCACCGCAGCGAGATGGCCGATAAGCGCATCGAGGATGCTCGCAAACTTTACGACGAGGGCGATGCTGTCAAGGCCAAGATCATCAAGATCGATCAAGCCTCAAAGAAGATCTCCTTCTCTCTCAAGGCTTCTCACTTCCAGGATGAGCAAGATGAGAGCGAGGATGAGGAGCTCAGCGAGGGCATTGGTGGTGTTGAGCTGGAGGGTGACAGTGACGAGGATGATGTCTCTATGGGAGGCGTCGATGTTGAGGAAGGTAGCGACGAGGAGGAGGACGAGGAGGAAGAAGAGGACAGTGATGACGAGGATGAGTCCACCAAGCCTTCCAAGGTTGGCGGTCTTGGTGCCGGTGGCTTCGACTGGAGTGGCAATGTCCAGGCCAAGGATGCGGCCGCCGACGTGGACAGTGATGACGAGGGCTCCAAGAAGAAAAAGAAGAAGAGCCGCAAGCCCGAGATTCAGGTTGACCGCACTGGCGAGCTTGATGCTAACGGACCTCAAACCGTCGCCGACTACGAGCGTCTTCTCATGGGTGAGCCCGACTCTTCGCTGCTGTGGCTGCAATACATGGCGTTCCAACTGGAGCTGGGCGAAGTCGAAAAGGCCCGCACTGTGGCTGAGCGTGCTCTGCGCACCATTTCCATGAACCAGGACTCTGAGAAGCTGAACATTTGGATCGCCTTGCTGAACTTGGAGAACACCTACGGCAACGACGATACTCTTGAGGAAGTGTTCAACCGTGCGTGCCAGTACCAGGAACCGCAAGTCATTTACGACAAGATGGCCAGCATTTATATCAGCTCCGGCAAGAACGAGGTATGTTATAATTCTAACCTTCTCTTCTATTTCCTCCGATGAAAGTATTTTTTTTCTAACTATTTGACTACAGAAAGCGGATGACCTTTTCCGAACTGCTATGAAGAAGAAGATCTCGAACCAATCCCCATCCTTCTTCCTGAACTACGCCAGCTTCCTGTTTGACACTCTGGCCAACGCCGATCGTGGTCGCGGACTACTTTCGCGTGCGCTGCAGTCCCTCCCGACGCACACACACATCGAGACCACCTCCAAGTTTGGACAACTGGAATTCCGGTCGGCCAATGGTGACATTGAGCGGGGTCGCACAGTCTTTGAGGGACTTCTCTCTTCATTCCCCAAGCGCATGGACCTGTGGAACGTCCTGCTGGATTTGGAGATCAAGAACGGCGATGCGGACCAAGTGCGCCGTCTGTTCGAGCGTGTGCTCGGCCTTTCGCACAAAAAGGGATCTGTCAGCGTAGACGCTAGCAAGAAGCTGAAGCCCAAGCAGGCGAAGTTCCTGTTTAAGAAGTGGCTCGCTTTTGAGGAGAAGCTTGTCGCGGAGGGCGGGGACGAGAAGATGGTGGAGGAGACCAAGGCGCGGGCAGCGGCCTATGTCAAGTCTCTGCAGGAGGAGTAGATTGTTTTCATGTTACTATTTTATTTTTTCTCTTGATCATGTGTTAACCAACGGAAGAACAAAAGCAACGGGTCCATGATGATAGTGATCGATCCGTGGGTGTTTGGGACCATTGCATTCGTTGTATATAAAGCGCTATCGAATTGATCTGCGGATATTTCCTATTTTACTAGTACTCACCAAAATTTGACAAATTAAATTTAAATAACCTTCAAGTCGGAATACAGTCCTGGTCGGCTCTGCCTACCTAGACCCCCCTCTAAACAGAGTTTCTGCAGGCCTCGCCAACATCTGCCGCATCCCTCAGCATAAGACGCAATGGGGCCTCCCGTTGGCCGACGCCCATTAGAGCCCCCCCCCGGCTGACCCAAACCAATCACCGACCGCGTCTCTGCAACATGGCTACCTCTGCTGGACGCTGATTGACTCTTCTTCCGTGAAGGAAAGGCAGGGAAAGTAATCCGATATGTTTTCGTCTGTTTAACATGAGAGCAATAGAGGGCGAGACTGACAGCGAGAGAGTAGTGGTTAATATACTCCCACTCCCCCCTGCAGCTCAGGGTCTCTCTGTCTCTCTCCACTTCCTTCAACTTTCCCTCTCAACCACCCCCGCCCAATAATGGGGGTCTCATATGGACCGCAGTCCATGCAGACCGGAGATTCATCTGAATATCTCCTCAGCCTTCCTTTCGAAGCATATACCGACTCTCCAATTCATGAAGATGATACCGACAAAGTCGATGGGGTTCCCCGCGATCAACAGGGTCCCGATCAAGTGGGGCCGTCAACATGGCGCAAGCTGACGAGTTGGATGTCTTTCCGCAAGAATCATCTGCATTCCCTGCCCTTGTTATCAGACAACCCGCCCTTCAAGAAAAAGTCGAAGTCACATCGCTCATACTGCTGGCGCTTGTGTTTGCGCACTCTGCTCGTCTTCTTCGTAATGCTGTAAGTAAATCGCCGAACCAAGCTCCAATCCATGTAATCGCCGGGCTAATCCTTTCAAAAACATAGCGGTGTCATTCAATTCATCTCCCTAGCTTTTGGCATTGCTCTATCGTTCTTCCCAGACGAATATGACCGTGCCGCGAGTATCTGGAAGCATGGCGGCGCCGATCACATCGAGAGTGACGCCTCGCACTGGCCAACCGATCGCTCGCGCGAGATCATTGCTGTCAACTGTCATTCGCACAATGACTACTGGCGCAAGATCCCGCTCTTCTCCGCGCTACAGGCTGGCTGTGTAGGTGTCGAGGCGGACGTCTGGCTCTTCGATGAAGAGCTATACGTCGGTCATACCACGTCTTCTCTATCCTCGCGCCGAACTCTACGCTCCTTGTACATTGACCCGCTGGTCGAGATTCTCAATCAGAAGAATCCTGTCACGCCGTTCCGTCGTATCCTCGACACCCCTGTCCGTGGTGTTTTCGATGCAGACCCCAATCAATCGGTCGTTCTTCTGATCGACTTCAAAACGGACGGCGCGGCGACGTGGCCTGCCGTTGCTGAGGAACTTGCTCCGCTCCGGGATCGAGGGTATCTGACTTACTTCAATGGGCATGAGATTATCCCGGGGCCCGTCACTGTCGTTGGAACGGGGAATGCACCTTTCAATCTTGTCACGGCTAACTCCACCCATCGAGATATCTTCTTCGACGCTCCACTCGAAAAGCTCGTTGACGAGGACAATCACGTCGAAGATCCCCTTAAAGATTCATCTGCCCCGACTGAAGGCTCATCACCTGGCTCTGGACAAGGCCACACCGGCATGCCTGACACGCTCCGCCCGAATACATTCAATTTGACGAATAGCTACTACGCCTCCGTCTCGTTCAAGAAGGCCGTCGGGTTCCCTTGGCCTTTCCATTTCACGCAGCGCCAGATGGACATTATTCGGGACCAGGTACGGGTTGCGCATCGGCATGGCTTGAAAGTGCGATACTGGTCGATTCCGAGCTGGCCGGTCAGTTTGCGGAATCATATTTGGAGAATCCTTGTCCAGGAGGGCGTGGATATTCTCAATGTGGATGATTTGGTTACGGCTACCAGGGGTGACTGGAAGATTCCGATCTTCGATTGGTGGATTTGAGATATACCCAGTTATGGATTGATATGAGTGATGATGTCTATGTTGGTCGTTTTTTTATGGCGTTGTGGGCGGTTGGGTTGGCCTTTGCTTTTGCCTTTTATTGACATTTGAGATACCTTTTACTTCGTGCGATAGATTTCATGGCTTTTACGACTAGCACAGATAAAACACAATTTTTTTTGAAAGATGGTGCTTGAATCAATGTCATTTCTGCAGTCAGGCTGTCCTTTTTTTTGGTGACTGTCATGTTATGATGCAGTATGCTAAAGTCCCAATATTGTTTCGTTGTTGCAGAGCCCTGCGGGGGGGGATTGCTTCCGAACGACCAATTACATGCAATACGCTGAAAATGTTATAAATAAATAAAGAATACAAAATATCAAAGTGGGAAACTGGAGTTCCAGAAGGTAGACAAGGCCCTAAGGCCCAGTGGGTATCATCAAGATTCAGATGTGCTGAGTGCACTTTGAAGATGCAAGGTTGACTGGACGAGTTGAAGGACCAGCCGAAAGCGGCGGAAAGGAAGAGCGAGGACAAGTTGAGATTCCAAAGGGAAGGTATATTGGCGAATGCATCGAGTATTTATAGGCAAAAGAGGGCCTCTTCGCCGAATTCTCGCACAATACTGCCCTCTTCACGGAGGAGACCGCCAAGCCAATGCTTAGCCGTCTCAAAGTCCTTGGCGCCGAACTTCACAAGTACAAAGCCAGCGCGAACACGAGCTGCCGTCCAGGTGACATCGCCCCTGGCGGTGGCCGAATCCTCGGGTGCAGAAGACGTCGCTGATGATGACCAATTCCGGCTGCCGATGCGCGGCTGTGATGTGAATTGTTCGATGAGGAAGGAGCCCAGCTTGTCGAAGACTGGACCTGACAGGATAAGAGTACCCACGACACCGTGTGGTCTCGTTCTTTCTTGGATGATGTTCAATGGTAGCAGACCAGCCTGCGCCTGCGGTGGGACATCGCCACCGTCAGGTTGAGGATTTAATCCGTGGCTTGAGTCTTCATTATCATCGTCCGATTCATCCGTGGCGAGCTCATCTTCCTGTTCATCATCCAAGATGACAGAGTCACGAAGAAGAAGCCGGCTCTTCCCCGTCTTTTCGTCAGCAGCCCAGACTTCATTCCGACCTTTCCAGAAGCGGAAGTTCCAGTTCTCACCACGCGAGGTCCGGCCCTGCGTGACCCAATCCAAAACACAGAGACTGCTACGCTGCTCACCTCGAGCCGCAGCGTCAACCGTGAATGTTTGCACTTGGGCGTAGCGACTATTTTGGTAAGGAACGGAGGGATCTGGCAGGTAGCAGAGAGCGGACTGGCGGCCAATTCGGACGTCGAGTGATTGTTGACTCATATCAGAGAGATGGTCGTTGGCGGGCATCTTCTTACGGTGACCTTTGATCACTCTGACGCCGTTGTCTTCGGTCTTGAAGATTTTGGTGCTTCCTTGTGGCGTCGTTACTACCATTCGTGTCTTGGGTTCGAGCTTGATGGAGACCTCGATGTGGTCTCCGGGGAGCAGACCGCCGCCATAGGTGAGGAGATAGAGATGAACTGGTCTTGACGGGCATGAATCGGAAAGTGCGGCGGGATCAGGCGTGGGGACGAAGCCCGGTGCGCGCGGTACAAGCTTCAATGGGTATTTGTAGGTGAGAGTGGTGAGAGTGGGATTATTCGGTGGGAGGAGAGAGAGAACGACAGTGCCCTGCCCCGGCTTCGCAATTGAAGACTCGAAGGGCGAGCGGATGGGCATTGCTGGTTGTCGCATGGTGGCGTATATGTGTGACTTTTTTCTAGGTGGAAGGCGGAGAGACGAGGGAGTAGATTATGATGAAAGCGGTGGAGGGGAGTAGACGGAAGTGGAGGTGGGGGGGAGAGACGATGGACTTTATCACGGCGCGAGGGTGAGACGAAGAATGAGCCAAGCTGGTATGCATGCAATAAATAACCTTGGAAGTTGTGATTTTCGATTTTCAGTAAGGTGTGATTTCGGCAGGCTGCAGCATGATGTATTTTGCAGGAGAGTTTTTTTTTACCCCGGAATCTTGGGAGCCAGTGAGTGGTATATAAAATTAGTTTTGGGGGGGGCGATGATGCCATTCATTAGTCAATGGGCACGACCACCTGGGTGCGAATGGACCGGCTACCCATGGACTAGATGCGACTATGTGTCAAGCGGGGGGTGGCTTGACCCCATGTGCAGTTACGCTGGGCTCCGTGAGACCGAAGAAAGTGGGCAATGGTGGACGGAGTGGATTGGAGAGGAGGCCAAATGGATTTCTATGACACAGAGTAACTCTGCCAGGGACGCCGCGACTGGTCCAACTTCACTCCGGACGGGGCCTGGCGGGGCTTGGCACCCACCACATGACCCGATCGTCGTATTATTGGTATTGCCTGTGTATTCCACCTTCTCACTTGCTTGGTATTCTACTGCATACTGCATACTGCATACTACAACTACGAGTATCTCATCCACCGCCAAGACATGTTCGCTCCTCTATAGTACATTCCCTGCCACCCCCTGTCACTCAGGGATCGTCAGAAATCATTGACCTATCTCGTGGCAGTGCTAGGCACCTACTTCGGCTATTTTCCTCATGCTGTACGAGTAGTCTGGAGGATGTGAACAACAAGGTGGAGTTGGATGCGAGGAGCAGGCTTAGCGGATGATCGCTGTGAACTCGGTTACTAGTGTTTCTTGAAGGACCATGATCCGATTCCACGTGTATGGATTCTTCCAAGTCCGTACACTCATTTTTCTCTTCTGGATTTTGAAATATTCTAAGCAATAACAATACCAACACCGTAGATACCAGATCTTACAAGGTCCTCCGCCACAATTTGCCCTAACTCTGTTGAGCGCGTAGTTACGAAGAAGTCCCTCGTGACGCCAATTTGCAAATAAAAATCACCTCAACGGGAAGGAAAAAGAAACTAGCAAGCAATGACCCCATGATCGTGATCGCCAGCCGAAGACAAAGAAAGCAACACTCCGCTACGTGCCCCATTCCCTGTAATCCGTATGGGAGACAGTTCTCAGTCTAATCTAAGGATTGTACTTAGGTAGGGTTAACATTTATGTATGAGTACTCCGTATGTCCATTGGGGGTACCTGTATGAGTGAGCAGGTCGACCCAGCTTGATGCATTAAACGATTCTATATCTCTTTGGCTTACGCTTAGTTGTCAACTCGATCTATGGACAATGTTTTTCAGACTGCAATCAGGGCAGAAACTCAATCAGCTCAAGTGAACCTGTATTGTAGTACCCTGTCTCTGTACTCTGTACTCCCGGATGATCTGATCGCTCTGGGGTAATTGATATTTTGGCCTGAGGCCAGTGATGTCAAGGCTAAGGCAGCAAGGCAGCAAGGCAACCGAACACGAATCAGGCAGAATCAGGCAGAAATCGCAAACGCGACTCCGTAAACTTTACGCTTCCTTGGGACCCCCGCCCTCCGATCCATCGGCCTTCCCATTTCTCCCAAGGAACAGTTCGACATTCGACTGGTTGTGCATTGAGTCACGATACTCTGCATCAAAGCCGCCTGCTCGGTCCACTACCACCGCGTCGATTCGCCGAATCGTTTTTACTGCCGTCGCACGGCGCGTTTCACGGAGCGCGTTTTGACCTGGCGTCCGAACCTCCCAATCCCCGTCTTCGTTCAACAGTCGGGGCCGACAGACGCGACGCTCCCATTATTCCAGTCGCCAGATCCCCAATCACACAATTCCTATCGTCATGGAGCTGGACAACTCAAGCACCCCGGCGGGCACCCCCGGCGAGGACAGACGCAAATCGGGTCGCATGACGCGCCGGCCCGACACATTTTCACAAAGCACACATTCTGCCCTCGAAACGAATGCTGGCGGGAAACGTAAGCGGGGAGATGTACTGGAGCCTGGTGGTGATGATAATATGTCCGACTCGGAGAGTGACGAGTCCAGCGAAGATGATGCAGCGGACGAGGAAGAACTGAAGGCAAAGAAACGTGCAGCTCGCAAGGCTCAATCAAAAAAACCCGCGGCGAAGAAAGTTCCGCGTGCTGCGAAGAAGCCCAAGGTTGTTGGTAATGGACTAGGGAAACAACTCGCTTTCAGGCCTGCCCTCAATGGCCGACTACCAGCTTCACGCCCCCGCATGCCTAAGATTCGACCCAGTTTGGCCGCAGGTGAGCATGGACTATATGGTATGTCTCCCAACTAAATCGAAGTGAGTTTCTTTCTAATAACATGGAAATAGCGGAGATCTTCGGAAAGAGTAATAATGCCGATACCGCCGCTGCACAATGGCTGAGCCTGTACCAACGTGATAACTTGGGAGCTATGCGGGACCTGATCAACTTCCTCATCCGCTGCACAGGAGCCACTTTAGAGCTCACAAAAGAGGAGGTGGACGATGTGGACAATGCCCCCAACCAAATCGCAAGCCTCCAAAACGAATACCAAGCAGAAGGTATCATCGACTATCCTCTCATTTCTCACGAAAAGAAGTTCAAGGCATTTCAACTCGTTCTCGAAGAATTTATCGGCGCACTGATCCAAACGTTCCACCACTCTTCGGTCCTTTACACCGATGGAGCCCTGCTTGAGAATATCCAGATCTGGATGTCTTCGATGTCGTCATCTAAACTCAGACCTTTTCGCCATACTGCGACTGTTATGGCCTTGTCTGTCATAACTGCACTGTGTGAGATTACACAGGAAGTCACAACTACTGTCACAACCTCCCGCAAACAGCTCGAAAGTGAGAAGAAAAAGAAGACCGTTAATAAGGGCCGCGTAGAGGCAATTCAGACGGCTGTTGCGGAAGGCGAACAAAAAGTGGAACAACTCAATGAGTTCATTCAAGATGGATTTGATACTGTCTTTGTCCACCGCCATCGTGATGTTGACGGCAATATTAGAGCCGAGTGCATGCTGGCTTTGGGTCGATGGATTCGTTCCTACCGGGAAATGTTCCTCGATGCTCAGTCCTTGCGTTATCTTGGCTGGGCGATTTCCGATACCGTTGCTCACACCCGATTGATTGCATTGACCCAACTATTGCCATTGTACGAGAGTCGAGACAACATCGGTGCCCTGAACTCCTTCACTGAACGCTTCCGTCAGCGCGTTGTGGAAATCGCCGTCCAGGATGCGGATCTAAACGTCCGTGTTGCTGCGATTGAACTTCTAAACCACTTACGAGACGGCGGCTTCCTAGAACCCAGCGACGTCGACGCTATCGGCCGATTAGTGCTTGATCTTGACCCTCGGATTAGAAAGGCAGCTGGTGGTTTCTTTGTTGCTAACGTCCAAGATGCGTTTGACTCCATGGTGGAGGAAATCGGAGACGAGATTAACGAGATCTTCGCCGATGACGACGACGACGACGATTTCGATTCGCCAAAGCGCTCTTGGATTAAGTTCAAGTGTCTTGTGGACATGTTCCAAGCCTACGATGTACAAGAAGATGAGGACTCTGGTATGATTTCCACAACACGCGATGTACTGTCCGGGGCACCCGCTGCGACTCGCTTTGTTCTCGCAACTGAAGCCATCTATCCTCATATGGAAGAACTCTCCCAGTGGCAGTCATTAGCCGGCTTCCTCCTATACGACCACTCACAAATCGCCGATGATCCAGCCGAGGATGACACTACTGGGATTGTTCGTAAGTTGTACAGGATCCAAGAAGGCCAAGAGGCAATTCTTCTTGAGGTTTTGTGTGCGGCAGTGAAGCTTCGAGTACTTGACGTCGCTAAGTCAGACATTGACAAACGCGGACGCAGGGTCAAGGCACTGACTGCGAAGATCCCTGAACTTCAGGAAGAAATTTCTCACAACCTGGCTCAATCAATCCCTCAGCTTCTCAATAAGTTTGGCTCTGCTCCTGAAGCTGCATCTGTTGTTCTCCGACTGGAACACCTGGTAGATTTGAACTCGATTCAAGATATGCAGAAAGATGCGACGGCCTACACATCCTTACTCAACGACATCAATAAGCAGTTCCTGACTCACTCGGATCAAGACGTCTTGGCTGAGGCTAGTGTCGCCTTCTTGCACGCCAAGAGCTCCGATGAAATGCGGGAGGTTCTTGAAGGCAAGATTCAAGAGTTGTGGGAAGACATGGTCGATACCCTTGGTGCTTTGTCTCGCAAGAAAGAAGTTCAGGCAGGCGCCTCAATCTCCGATCCAACCCTTACCGACCTCACCAATACTATCACACGCATCTCTAAACTCTCCGCCATCATGGACTGCTCGACAATCTTGGAGACAGTACCAACCTCTCGCTCAAAATCCAAGAAGGACCACGGGGAGGCTCCTTTCAACACACTCATCCATTTGGCTCAGCGTGCCCTCCTAGCAGAAGATGAAGATGAAGATACTGCTCGGGCAGAGGCCGAACTTGTGACGAACAGTATACGGACTCTGCTCTTCTATTTCATGTGGAAGGTGCAAGCTCTGTCTACAGCCCTGAGTGAAGGAAAAGCCAATTTTAGTACCTCATATTTCGAAGCACTCACCAAGAGCCGCGAAACATTTGCGTCGACACTCCTAGATATCATGAACGGGCTGACCGGCCTCGACGATTTACGATTCACCGCCACTACGACATTCCTGGACCTTCAAACACTATTCAGCACTCTCCGCAACGCCGGCCAGGGTATTATTGGCAATGACGAGGATGTAATTTTCCAGGCGCAAAGCCTTGTACACGAAATCCCCTCAGACTCTCAAGCCCTCATTACCAAAATCCACGGCACTGCCGAGCGAATCTTCGCCAAGACAGCCAAGTACGATCGCGAACCTGCTGAGGACGATGCCCCCGCATCCGAAGATGAGCCCGAGGATGACGAGGAGGAGAATGAAGAAGAAGACGAGGTCGTTATCATGGAACGACTCCGCAGCAGCATCGTCGCCGAGCAGCGACTATGCGAACTGACCGGCAAGCTTGTCCTCGCTATTATCGGTCGCGTGGTCGATGCATCCGGCACGAAGCGCGGCTCCTTGAAGAAGCGTCTCCTACGCAACAAGACTTCTCTCGGTCAAAACTACCGTGAAGTCCTCTCCTACCTTGAAGAGCGCAAACCTCGCAGTGCACCCCGCAACAAGGGAAAACAACCCGTGAGGAGCGCCCAAGCGGGAGAGAAAACAGCCGCGCCTAGCAAGAATATTCAATCGGCTGAGCGTGTCGATGACAATGAGGAAGAGGAGGAAGAGCAGGAGGGTGACCACGATGATCCGATCGAAGAGGATGACGAGGAGGACCTGCGGGCGCGTGAGCTTGTTGAGGACGAGATCGTGGACGATGACAATGAAGATTTAAATCGTGGTCCCGATCCCGATGAAGATGAAGATGAAATAATGGGTGACTAATTGCATATTCGTGGGATACCTGTGATCTGATATGTGATTTTGTGGCTTTGCTCCTTTCAGCCTTTGATCGTGTTTCCTAATTTCCTTACTTCTGATGTCTAAATTATCTATTTCTTTTTTTTTCTATCTCTTTATTACTCCCATTCTACTGTTAATTGATTTTTCTTATGACTATTGTTCTAGTGGTACCAGGTAGGGAGGGATCATGAAGCAACAGATAGATCATCGCCCACATATTGGAATGGCTCGGCTACGCACCTTTCATTTCGCGTTCTCGTACTTGTCCAGGTGACCAAGCATGCACCTGGGCAGGCGAGTCGGAGTAAGACCTCGGGATTCATGGATGTTCCCACCGGGGCAGCCAAAGTTATACCAGGAGTAAAACTTCCTTACTAGTAGAGTAGTAATTGCAACAGGGATCGTCGACTTGGATGAGATAATAATTCCCCGTGGTAGCTGACAATACCTACTAGGTACTCAGATTTTTCGAGCTCTCCAAACGGCTCAAGGTACAAGTACTACTAGTACTGTCTAGAGAACGCATGTCAATAGGCTTCTGCTGGGTATGATGCAGTGAGGGAATGGCCGAGCGCAAAATCGAAGATTCTTACTACTAGGCTACAGTTGATTGGTACTTTCAAGGTTGACAAATAGTATATTTCCACGTCTACAATTTGAAAGTACTTACTTGAACGTTTCACAGAGAAGACTTCATTTTTCCAGGGGCAAACTGCGAAAGAAACTACCGCATGGAGTGTGATCGACAAGAACGATCAGGGATGGTGCTTGGCTAGACCAGGTCAATTTTAAGAGGGTTGAAGAGAGCCCGATGTATAAGCATTGCCTTGAAATCATCCTTGATGCCAGGACACAAAGGTCGCTCCCTTCGGGGCCTAATGCCCCAGCCAGAAGCACCAATAAAACATCGGGTTGGGACATTAACATAGAAAGAAAAGAAAAATCCGATCCTTCAAACAAATACGCCTGTGTATGAGGATGCTAAGGGGGAGGGGTTACATGATGGTGAATCTTGTTTATCGTAAATCAAAATGGGCGCGGAGAAAGGGGAAGGGGGAAATGAGAAAATCGTGACAGGGTGGAGGTGACAAACAGGGAATATGGAGAATAGAAAAAAAAAGATTGGGCGGTTATTAGACCGCGACACGATAAGCGAATCGCACTCGGAGGGGAGAAGCCGAGATTGGGTGCGCTGGGTGTCATGAGATGCGTTTGCAACTTCGCGTAATGTCCAAAGTACAATTTGTGCAACTCGAGCGGGAAGCGGGCCCAGAGACGGAACGGAGGCGAAAGCAAAAAGGAGCAGAGCATTCGAAAATGAAGCCTTTTACATATCCATGGAATCACCGCCGTTAGCGAAGTTGAATCCGCCAGGCTGCTGCTGACCGGCGCCGAGAGCGAATCCGGTAGAGGTTTGCTGGGGAGCAAGCTCATCGATATCGCCAGCACCTTCATCCTCATCAGAGAAGTACTTCTCGATGATGTTGTACGCCTTCATGTAAATCTCCTCGTTGGCGTTGTTCTGGCAATCGTGGATCTTCTCCATACCACCAGCCTCCTCGATGAAGAGGGCATAGCGGTTGACGCGGGCCTCACCCTCGCCAGCCTCCTTATCCATATCACCGACCTTCAGAATATTCTCAAGACCGTCAAGAGCAACCTGAATAATCTTGTTGTCGGGGCAAGCGAGGAGATCACAGAGGGGCTTGATGCAGCCTTGGGAGACAAGGTAGCGAATTTGATCGGGCTTCTGCAGACCACCGGAGGTGGCGTTGGAGATAGCCCAGCAAGCCTCCTTGCGGGTCTTGAAATCGCCGTTGGCAAGCAGGTTGATCAGAGGGGCAATAATACCAGCGTCAATGACGGCCTGGATTTGGCTAGAGTTGCCAGCAGTGACGTTGGAAATAGTCCAGCAAGCCTCCTTGCGGATGCCATCCTTAGTGGAGCTCAGGAGCGAGAGCAGGGCGGGGAGAGAACCGCAGTTGATGATGACCTGGGTCTGGACATCGTCACCGGTGACAATGTTGCCCACGGAACGGAGGGCGGGAGTTTGAACGGAGGTGGAGGCGTGCATGAGGAGCTCCACCAGTCGGCGAGGGATGCCGGCCTCGATGACGGCTTGAATCTTATCGTTAGCGCCATCAGAAAGGTAGGAGATGGCCCAGCAGGCATCAATCAGGACCTCGTCGTCCAGCATGTAGATGAGCTTGGCAAGGACGGGCAGAGCGGGGGCGATCTAGGCCAAAGTTAGTTATAAGTTTCCAATTAATGGGGTGTGAGTAGATGGTAAAACATACAGTGTTCCAGTCGGGCTGAGGGGTCTTGCCACGGCAGAAGTTGCTAAGAGTCCAAGTAGCGTTGCGAAGCATGCTCAGCTTGCGGCCATCGTTGATGAGGTTGAGCAGGGGGCGCAGGGCACCAGCACCGAGAACGAAGTCACGGCAGTGAGGGCTGTCACCAGCAATGTTACCAAGGGCCCACACAGCCTGCTCGCGGACATCGGGCTCGGGGGAGCTAAGCAGCTCAACGAAGATAGGGACAGCACCAGCCTCGATGACAACCTGAGTTTGTTGGGCGGAACCGGAGGCAATGTTGGTCAAGGCCCAAGCGGACTCGAACTGGACCAGGGTGTGAGGAGAGCGAAGGAACTCAACGAAGCGGCTGACGACGCCGGTCTCAATGACACGCTCGATAGGAGGGTTGCGCTCCTTGGACAGCAATTTGCGGAATTTAGTGGTGGCCTGGATTTGCTCCTCAACTTGGTCGGAGAAGACACCCTTCACCATCTGGGGAAGCTCGACGTTGAGCTAAAAAAAAATCCATCATGTTAGCTGTTTGTAATTCCCGGATTGTGGCTCGCAAAATATCGCGTAGTGGGGTCGTGGGTATTTTGGTCCGTGTTGGAGGGGTCGGCCCCATGGCAACAGGGCGGTGAAAAAAATTCCATGTTGATGATCGCATCATAAAAACAAAGAACAGGTGGGCGCCATCATCGAGCAGGAGATCATCACTCAAATCATATGAAGCTTGTAGGTATTGCACCTCGGAGGACCAAGGCGAAAAGGGGGGGCAAACGAACAGCAAAACCAAAGAAGAAAGAAAAAAAAAAACTTACCTCGCTCTCGATAGCACTAGCCTCATCATCACTCTCAGTGGCGGCAGCCATGCCAGCACCACCAACACCGATACCTCCATCACTAGTTTGGACACCACGTCGCTTGGCCATGTTCTCCTCACGCTTCTGCTTCCGGATCTCGACCTGTTGTTCTTCACGGCGGCGGCGGAGCTCATCGGGGCGGAACTGATTTCTCGCCTTGAACTGCGTCCGGCGGTGCTCTGGGATATAACGTTCGGCCATTTTTGCGATTAAAAAATATGCGCGCCTCGGAAATCAAGTTTTTGAAAAAATGATGGGTGGGAATGGCGCGCTGAGGATGGGGAGGAGAGGGAGGGAGGGAGGGAGAGATGTGTGGGGAAGAAGGAGAGAAGAAAGGATTCGTGTGTGTAAGGGAGGGGGGGGGCCGTGATCATGTGATGCTTTCCCTCCGACGGGCGCGCATCTCTCACTTATCGCGGGTCTTTGTTTTCATGGCATAAATCCCTCAAAGGAGCTTTCTCTGCTGATCAAACTTAATATTATTCTGGAGCCCTGGAGGTTTTCTCTTGTAGAGATCAATTCTATCCCACGCGACAATGGAGGGTGCCCATTGACCGGCGCCAAGGCTCAGCTGTGTCTCTTATTTTGCCATATGAGATACATCCAAAACTCTCTGCTATTGCCAAAGACAAACCACTTCGACGAGGGGCAATTCCCTCACATTTCCAAGTCTTCTAGAAGAAGAAAAACTTGGAGCCCTTAAAACATGGCCTCGGCTAGTCTAGTCAGCATCACCGCCGCATGTTCTGCTCGGAGGAAGGTCAACACCATTGGCGTGGTAGTGGATACACTGGACCCTTGGAAAACCAGAGGTTCTTCATATGGCGTCACATTTACCATCAAAGACTGCGAGTTCGATGCTCCAACTTGGCAAGGAGGTCTCAAAGTCAAGTATTTCAATGACAACGAAGCCTTCCTGCCTATTGTCCAGCTCAACGATGTAGTTCTACTTCGAGATATCCGAGTATGTTATGTCCGTCCGCATGAGCACAACACTTACACATTCCATCATATTAGTGAAGCATACTGATTCAACAATATCCAATAGGTTACCAACTTTCAGGGCAAGCCAACCGCTGTGGCCACGCAGAATGACATGGTTTACTGGGCCGTTTTTCGGCCGCAAGCAGGGTCTGGCGATCATTTATCAATTAGCCGTGGGCCTATCGCCTTTGAAACAGATCCAGAGGAGAAAAGAATGGCAGCTATACTTCTTGCAAACCTCACAGGCGAGGAGCCGCCCGCAGCTTTGCAGTCATACCCAACGCCAACACCAGCACAAGTACAACCCACGGCAATTTCACGACAGCCTTCTCACAACTTTCAAACTTCAGCTCCGGTGCTCAAATCGTCAGGCCTGCCAATGACTCTTATTCAAGATGTGAAGGTTGGCCGGCTGACACAATTACTCGGCCAGGTAGTGAAGATGAATACATTTGACAGCGACAAGACTTTGCTCTATCTTACGGATTACACCGTTAATACGTCTCTCATGGATATCAAGAAAGACTATGAGGAAGATGGCGTGGAGGGAGACGCTTATGGATACTTGTCTCGGAAAAAGAAGAATTGGCCTGGTCCGTGGGGCCAATTGACATTACAAGTCGCACTCTGGGAGCCCCATGCCAGCTTTGCGCGTGAGTACGTCAAAGAGGGCAACCTGGTTCATCTCACATATGTACATGTCAAAGATGACCGTAGCGGAGGTGTCGAGGCCGCTGTTCATAGGGACAAGCGGTTTGAAAATAAGATCCATGTCAACATCATATCAGACGCCTACGATGAACGCGCACGAGAGCTTCTGGATCGTCGCAAAGCATACTGGAGGATCCACGGGAAACCCAAGGTGCAAAGTGATCCGAACACAAACTCGATGAAGACCGAGGAAAAAGCCGAGAAGCCGAAAAAGAGCAAACAAAACACACAGGAGGTCCGCAGAGAAGAAGGTCAGACAGTGTTGTCAAAACCAACCGCGCGAAAAAAGCCAAATCAACACGGTAAGCAACCTTGTGTTTTGGAGTCCCGCAAAAGACGCATACTCATATATTCGAAAGTCAAGTGTCTTGAATACGGAATCCCCGTTACTTGGGATGTCGATTCAATATTGTCTGCCGAAACCCATATCAACAAAATTTCAGGGGATTTAACCTACAAACTGCCCTTTCAGAATCTTTGCTATCACCCTGTTCTTCGCGTCGTCGACTTCTACCCTCCAGCTCTGGAAGACTTTGCGGTACAGGTTCCTTTGAAAGCTCTCAAGAACCAAAAGCACGAAGATGATGATTTGAGCCCGAAGTATTACACTTGGGAATGGCGGTTTTGTTTGCTAGTCGAGGGAACAGAACCCACGAACTCAAAACAGCAAACCAGAGAACTTATGCAGATCTTCGTCTCTGAGGGTGACGCCACTCATTTGTTGGGTCTCGACGCCGATGAGTAAGTTTTGTCCACTAAAAATCAAAATTCCCGAGCATCCGGCTGAATAATAAAATCCTTGCAGTCTACGTAATAACTCAAGTCGGCTACATGAACTGAGAGAGAAACTTTTCCTGCTTTGGGGTGATCTTGAAGAACGCAAACAAGAATCCGCCGCTACTGCAATTGGCGATGATGAACCATGGCAACCAGTCAAGTCCTCCTCTGTGCCTTTCGAATGTTGTATCAGAGAGTATGGTGTGAAATGCAGCCATAAGGATCCAGATGCTATGGCTGTTGATGAGGAAGACCGGGATATATGCACCCAGTCCGGGTGCTTTGGTTGGGAGAGACGTTTTGCCATGTTTGGGACAACAATTCACTCATGACTTCGAGTTCATGTACACCAAAATAAGTATCAAAGTTGTCGAAGAACAAGGTCATCAACACCTTTATAGTAACAAGCCCAATAACAGAAACTAAGCCAGCACCAATCTATGAATCATTCGCAAACCATTGGTCATGACGTCGGCAAAAAATCACAACAAGAAGCTACAAAAACAGAGTGTATAGAGTGCAAAAAAGTAGTCGCGCCCGGGATCGAACCGGGAACCTTTTCGGTGTGAGCGAAACGTCATAACCATTAGACCACGCGACTTTGGTATACTGAAATCCGGATATTAGCCATCATGAAGCAGACTTGACCCTGAATCCAACCGTTTCCTACCCTATAATCATTCCTCTTTTATCACACCCCAAGCTATGTCACGGTAAATTGCACGCCAAAAACGGCTACATCCGACATCAGTTTAAGCGTTTTTTTAATCGTCATCTCTACATCACGTGATAGAAATCAAAGCAAGTCTTTATCGTTTGCTCTTGGGTTGCTCCCGGATTGCTTAGCGCTCATTGCTACTCAGGGATCAGCTCCGCCCTACTCAAGGCGCTCTGGGTGGACGATCAGGCACGTCATCAGCATCTCTCTTCCGAGACTCTGTTGTCCAATTGTACCGACTTAGACCAAATATCTGGGAATACCACCAATTTGGGTAATTCTGCCGTGTTACTAGTACCTACTCTACAATTAAATATATATAGTATTGTATACAATATACAATACCTACTACTGTGGTATTATTAGCTCAACTCCTTGGTGACCTTGTTTTAGCCCCGTCATTCACTTCCACCTACCTTGACCCTACCTACTTCTGTGGAAGAAGTATGTAACATCGCGGACCTAATCTTTCAGTTCCATGTCATTCTGGGTACAGTACCCCGACCCCTCACAATAAAGTTAATTATAAACCTCATCTACGAGGCTGAGAACGAATTCATTTTTGGTCTCGTGGTCGGCCATCTGAGACTGTGGTAAATGGTTATCATTGTGTCGGTATGAGTAGGGAATTCGTATCTTTTGTTACGCATTATATCACATGTTTGTAATTATCGTTTGTTTAGTCAGTGCTCGCGGTCATAGTTACAAAATTGTATGGTAAGGAGCATTCTACAGTATGTAAATGTTAGACAACGTTGTGTTCTGATTCGCGTACATTTCGGCCAACACCAAGTTCCGACCGATTGCCGCTTGACTAAGCAATCATCGAACTGCTGGTTAACTATGTAGTCGAGGGGTCTGGAATCTCTCCCTGCAAAACTCTCCAGCCAATTAAGATAGATCGGTCCGTGCTGGGATGCCTCGTAAGTGGACTGGGCTTTGGGTCTATTACGTAGTTGGCTAGCACAAGGCATTTCAGGAGAGGCGATATACATCCCCCATCGATCACCTGGGCACGCATTCTGCAACCCACCGCCCTATCTACGAGTTCCACCTGCGCGAACTGTCATTTGCATCGAATTTTCCGCACTTCCGTCTCAAGTCAATCAATCTCGGCCTGGGACACATTCTTCTGTATGAAATGGATATTTGTCTTGAAAGATGCTGATTCTACACCACTCGCGCCAATACCGCCTGCCCCACTAACACAACTAGAACGACAGTCCGAACATCCGGAGGATGTCTCTCAATAGAGATCTCTCTAACTTCACTATGGACGATACGGAAATGCGGGTTAACAAGGCCAGTGACACGCCTAACATGGAAGATGAGGGTGCCGTTCAGGCAAAAACTAACGAGAACTATTTTCATATAGGAAACCGAGACGTCTCCTGCGCACAAACACCCGAAATTCGACGCCACTCTATGCCGCATCCATCGTTATTCACCGGACCCCACCCTCATCCTTGATGAAAATCTCTGCGTCGTGGAGGTCTCAGACAGTCATTGTGCCTTCTCGGGTCAATTTAGAGATGCATTCCTGGGCGCTTGCGCCTGCGATATTCCGCCCCAATCCATCCCTGTGCCTGACACTCCTTCACTTTATGGAGCGTTACGTGCCTCTATCAACTCGACAGAAATCCAAGTCATAGAGGGGATACACGTTGAAAGGAGCGATGCAACTTATCAGCTTCGAATAATGCCTATCTTCGAAAACTCCGCATTGATCTACATCGTGTTAGAAGCTCATAACATATCAGAAGGTCGTTGGAAAGCGACTCACGAGCAGCACGCCTATGTGAATGAAGTTTATAGGACTTTAGTCGACACTGTTAAAGATTACGCCATCTTTATGCTTGACACTCATGGGAATATCACCACATGGAACCAAGGCGCCGAGCTATTAAAAGGATATTCAGCTTCAGAAATCATCGGCAAGCACTTTTCGGTTTTCTATAGTCCCCAGGACCGTCTTATAGACAAGCCAACTAAGGGCTTGGCTATTGCTTTACGCGAAGGACGGATGGAGGACGAAGGGTGGCGATACCGACAAGATGGAACACGTTTCTGGGCCAACGTCATGATCACGCCTATCCATCAGTATGGCCGTCATGTTGGCTTTGTTAAGGTCACGCGTGACCTCACTGAGAGAAAGGCGGCCGAGCAGCGTATGATCGCAGCCTTCGAGGAATCATCAAAATTGAAGACGGATTTTTTAGCAAATATGAGCCACGAGATTCGCACCCCGATGAATGGCATGCAGCTTGCGGTCACGATGATGAAGGACACCAATCTTACTAAGCAGCAACTCGAGTACACTTGGATCATTGAGGACTCAACGTCCATTTTACTACAGATTATCAATGATGTCCTCGATTACTCAAAGTTGTCTTCTGGGTCTTTCTCTCTCAAATGCGACGTTGTGGATATCGCGAGTGTTCTCGATGCCACCCTGCGTAACTGCAGATCTCTTTTGAAAACTGGTATTGAACTGACTGTGTCAACTCCGCAAAATTTACCTAAAGTTGTCTATGGTGATCCTCTACGGTATCGTCAAGTGGTCCAGAATCTGCTAGGGAATGCGGTGAAATTCACAGAGTCGGGATACGTTCGACTTTCTGTCACTTGCTCGCTAGATGAATCAGACCCGCCGACATATCTGATTACCACAGAGGTCGCGGATTCGGGGATCGGGGTTTCTGACTGTGCTCTTAATTCTCTTTTCACGCCTTTTACACGATTTGCCGATGTCGCAACACGAAAGTACCAAGGGGCTGGCCTTGGACTTTCTATCTGCAAGAGTTTAGCGGAGCTCATGGGCGGTACGGTGGGCTATGTACCTGGTCCAGACGGTAAAGGGAGCGTATTTTGGTTCACAGTCAAAATGGGTCGCACAGATAGTGTGCATTCAGACAAGAAGCCGAGCAAGCCTCCTTCCGATGATCCGAGTAATCTTTTAAGCAAAGTCCGGGCGATTGCACCTCGCAAGCATATCTTGCTAGCCGAGGACAACCTAGTCAACCACATGGTAATGCTCAAACTTCTCCAGAATTTCGGTTTTGAGCGGGTCGATACAGCATGGGATGGGGCAGAAGCGGTTCGACTAGTTAAGCGAACGCCTCTGTCATACAATCTGGTGCTCATGGACATCAGCATGCCGGTGTTGGATGGATTGGAAGCGACATCGCAGATCCGAGACTTGGGCATTGATGTGCCAGTACTCGCCCTAACGGCAAATGCGCTAAAAGGAGATAGGGAGACGTATCTTGCCAAGGGATTGAACGATTACCTAGGGAAACCTATCCATAGCGATCAACTGTTGCAAGTCCTTTGGAAGTGGATGGGGACCTGACGGATATGTACTGAAATTGATGTTGGCCAAATCGTGTATATATTAGCCGTGTAATGGCTATTTACAACGCGCATAGGTGATTCGAAATCGTGGTAAGTGTTAGCGATGGCGATGATCGTAAGCTTGCTACATCCAGCTTCTTCGGATAATGTGAAGAACTGACACCCTAACGTCTCGCGGCTGAGACGGGACAGAGCTTGGAAGAAGGGAGCCTTGGAGCACTGTCGTTTGGACCTTTTCATAGCTGGACCAGGCTTTCTTGATGTAAGCTTTCAGCTTAGCAAATTACTCGTTAATGGGGTTGAAATTCAGAGAGTAAGGTAGCAGGTATAGCAATCTGACTTCTGCAATATTTCACAACTGTTTAACCCAGTCTAAACGATAGAGGGTTGTGTGATCTATACTAAGTTCTTGAAGTTCCTTCAAGAAAGTTCCTTCAAGAATCGGTCTCTGTTACTATTCATAGTATTGATTGAATCTATCCTGTTTCCTCTTTCATTCGCTATCCAATATCTTGCCTAGTCACAGGTCATTAGCCTGCGCCTTAGTACCTTGCCGGTACATATAGTAGCCATTAAGTAATGTAGTTGAGTAAGTAAGTATTAGAGGATAGATACGATACTAGTATATAATTAAGTTACTTCTTTACTTAAGCTCCTAGGAGTGACCATAGGCAGCAAAATACTGCTAGTATTCATCATTGGAGAAAGTAAAACAAAGAAAGAAATATATTATAGGCCAGCTAGATTATTAGGGGAAGCAATCATGGTCCTTAGGGAGTAGCCCCGGTAGTGCTCCAGGGGTATTCACGGTCGCTTAGGGAACAGCTCATGGTGGCAGGGGGTCTAACTCAGGCTGGCTTTGGAAGCCGATCGCTTCCCGAGGCGGTAGTTTTACCGTCACTTGTTTTACGTAGAAAATGGTTTAGAGAGGTACTTAAGATTAAGCTTGGAACCGGCCCCACAACTCTCTTTATCTTAATTTACTGGAGTATTGAAATAAATAGAGAAGTTTCTATTATAGGGTTGGTTACCAATATATATAGGAGATGCTCGCTGGCTGTCTGCGTTGGCAGATAGGCCAATTACAGAGAGACACAGGGTAATATACATTATGTACTGTGTAGCGAGCAGGGCGATCTAATAGAAATACAGGTAATTGAAGTATCTGGCCCATACGTGAGCGATTCTACAAAGGCTGTAGGCAATAAGACGAATTTATAAAACAAAAAGAGCATGTACCCTATAGATTCTGTTGTAACAGCGCAGGCTATATCCATGTTTCCCGAAAGTTAATACCTTGTTTCTTAGGCTACAGCCATCTGGCTTTATTAGTTATCACTGTAATTTGATATATTGATTTTAGTTTTAGAACACTCGAGTCAAGAGCATCAGATATGTATTAATAATCAAAGTCGCGTGGTCTAATGGTTATGACGTTTCGCTCACACCGAAAAGGTTCCCGGTTCGATCCCGGGCGCGACTACTTTTTTTGCCCTAGTACTGGCATTACTTTATGTTGGTTTGCTATCACTTTTTGGTTGACATAGTGGCGTTCCTGTCTGTATTTGACACACATATATCCTACAAGCCCACACTTTGCTTAATAGAAGCATGCTTCTTGAAGACGTAATTCCCTTTGACATTGGAAAAGACCAAAAGACAACGGGACACATTCTATGATTTCTACATTGGGCGTGAGCTAAACCTCCGCGTCACTTTGCCATTCCTCGGGGAAATCGACAGCAAGACTCGGTGCGAAGTCTGCCCAGATTTGACCGGGTGGATACTGCTAGATCTGGTCTTTGCAGGTGCTTCCGTTCAGCCTGCCGACGGGATTCGCGGGATACATATTTTTCCCAGTGAGAAGTGTCGTGGTGGATGCCTCCCATGCTGCAATTCTGATGTTGGAAAGAGTACAAGCGGATGGTCCGATACAGAATTGTGCTGGAGGTTTATTGAGCACCTGGGCACGTGTGTGTAAATTCTCGATTGTGTTGGGCTCGTGGACTAGAGTTCAGACGGATTCCCTCACTTGCAGCTCGACAGGGAAGAGGATCATTGGGCACCTTATAACGGATATAGGTCTAGAAGGCGCATTCGGAGGCTGTACCTATAGAAATCCCTGGGGAAAAGGGTGCTTTGTTGATGGCAATAACCTACCTATATTGAAATAAACCAACCAAATAGATAAAATCCCCGAATGATCGCGGCGCGTCTAATGGCGAGTGTACTACACACGGCCACCGAGACTGACGTGGTGAGTAAAATATGAACAGAAAGCTACAAGAATCGTACATGTAGTACGAGTAAAGAAGACTTCGGAGGATCCTTGGACCCTTCGGCCCTTGGACCCTTCGGCTAAGCTCCGTTGGGTTTAGCGATATAATGGCGACGATACAAGGGGATAAGTTCCTCCTTCATGAGGCTACCCACTGCCGACCGCTTCTCTCTCCTTCATATGCCGTTTCTCAGTTGATCTAGACGACCCATAAAGATGAGGCTCGGAAGCGCTGTACTTTCGCTAGCAGTGTTAGTGCGTCTTTCCGTGGCTAGAAATCTTGGCTACTTCGATGATATCTCCACCTGCGCGGATCCGGATGGCCTAGCGACGTGCTTCGATAGGGCTGAGGCGCGCCACGGAACTTGTATCGACGAGAAATGCCCAGATAATAAGGAGAAGAATCGCGAATGTGCTGAGACTTGCAAGGGGAAAGAAATTTGTGCCATAACCTGTCCGGGTAGCTGCGTTTCTCCTTGTGGGGCTGAGAGGGCTGGTAGCCAGATCGATTGTATCGCATCTAGCTGTTGGAACCAGGTTGGTACTCGCACATTCAACACTTGGACATTCTAACTCGATCTTGATATCTAGGTTTACTCCTGCGAGTATCAACATACCGTCGAAGACTTTATCTCACTATATCAAAAAGAATACCTCGATAAAATCCCCTTCTGGCCCCCACCAGATAAAGCGCCTGGCGGATGCTCTTGTAACATCGGAAAGGTCCGCAAGAAGGAACTTCAGATCGAAAATCAGCTCACTGCATGTTTAGATAATACGACCAATCTTGACAGCATGGAAGATGATCTTGATGACCACGATAAATATGACATGGCATGCCAATGCTGCGCAGAGAGTGCTGTTAGGTCCATGTGCGTACTGCAATCACCCGCCAAAAGACAGAGAACCCTTTGAGATGACCATTGCTAAACCGATCCAGGCTTTACGACACATGTCCAAAAACCAAGCCCTCTATTATTGACGCCGACTATTGGTTTGGCAGGCTATTGGATGAAGAAGATTGGAGCTCGTGCAGATCAATCTTCGACCATTATGATTGCGCTGGAGATCTAGGGTTTGGGGCTGAGGATGCCGGTGGCGTTCAGAAATATTATAAGACCGGGCAATTTCCAAAGAATGGCACGGAGACTCTTTATAACACCAATGGTGTTATAGCCACGCCTATTAGCGGCGCCAGCTTTACTTGGGATTATAGTACAGATGTGCACACTGTTACCGTCAGGTCAACAGACTATGTTCCAGTTGGCATTGCCACTACAACCGAGACTCGGGCCAGTACTACAAATCCTAGGAGTGATGCCGCACAAACCAATGCCAGCCAGACAGATACTGGTGCCGGGAGTACAGCAACGGGGAAAGGCCCTGTCTTCGGTGCGCCATTATGGATAATCATCGGCTTGGCGGTTATATTGGCCCTGGTATTCAGTTGAGGGTAGCGTCAATGCAGCGAACTGAAATGAATTGACAACCTTTGAACTTGCACCGACCAACATAAATGACATGCTAGTAGCTTGCTATGGAGTGATTTGGCGCGATACAGCGTTTTTGGAAGGCAACAACTAGAATACCTACTAGGTAATACCCAGGTAGTCAATAGACATGTTACTAGTGATTATTTAGGGGGGTGGTCGATAGATCGGCAAAAAAGGTCTCCATGGTCTGCGTAGTTGAATTATCGTAGTTGATACTAATACATTTTCCTAGAATAAGATGATTGAATGGCCCCGAGCAGCTGAGGACATCCATAACTACTGCCACATTCTCAATGATGGTATAATATGTATTCCCACCTCCATCAAATTCCTGACGCCTTTATCGAAACGCCGAAAGACATAACCCAGTTGCCAGCATTCCAGAAAGTTTCAATGAACCCACAAGAAATCAAACCTAATCAAGGCGAACTCCCCTGTGCCAAACTTATCGTAGGTAGAACAAGGGGTAAAATCATATGTTGTGTAACGAGAAGTAGAAATATGTGTGCCGAGGATGCAATGCCCTGAACCCACACCAAAACTTGAGAGAAAGCACACTCAGGACCCGGTCACGCCGAAATTGATAAAAAATACAACCCTTGAAACCCCATTAATCTGGAAAGACCGAAAATAGTACAACATGACGAGGGAAATTTTGTTTTTCGGACGGAAGGAAAGGCCAGGTCGTATGATTCTAAACCTTTGTCACTTTGACAATATTCGTGTCGATGCCGTGTGCTACTGGCTCAAAGCGACAGCTGTCACCTCGAAAGCAAGTCTTTTTGCCAGGCTCACTCTGGGGACAACGGTGGCCGTAGATACACTCCGGGTCATCACATTCCAGCCCAAAGCGACAGGGTGTCATGCGTGCGATAGCCGACAAAATATGAAGTTCTTGACGAGTTAATTTGCGATCGTGGTCATGATAGCAATTCTCCTCGTTAGGGCATTCCCCGAGCAGGAAATGGTAATTGCAGAGCTTCAACTTCTTCAACCGATTAAGTTCATCGCGAGGAATGCTTTTGAAGTCGAGACGATCCACTCGCTGTCCATATTTATTCCTCTCCACGGTTTTGGGAGGGGCGGTCGAATTTTCCGTCTTGGAGCGAACAACCTGGAAGTCGGGAGATCCACCCTCTTCGTTAGGTGTCAATGCTGTCAAAGGAGCCCCGGCGCCTGAAATACTGGTGTTGGTTGACGTGCGGGATAAAGGCAGGGGCATTGAGAACTGTCGCGATGGAGATGGAGTGAGTAGGGACCGCGACGGTAAGGCATGAGTATTCTTCCATGCGGGAGCCCAAGCAGGCGCCAGTTTGACGGAACGGAAAACTTCTGGGAATTTGGCGATGCGATATGAGTTCTTGATTGTCTCAAGCTCTTTCTCAAAGGCAACACCCTCCACGAGAGAAATACGGCCAGTGAGATCACCCTCTTGCAGTATATCCTCCAGGAAGTTCGTGTATTCGGTATTTGAAGGGCAGCCTAAAAAGATTTGGTGGCAATGGCAGTTGTAAAGGAAGACTTGGAGGGTCTCTGGACGTGAGAATAATATTAGCAGATAATATTAGCAGGATTGACATAGGTCGATTCCTATGGGACCCAGGGACACGAACCTTTCATCTTATCGAGAGCCTTGTTTTTCCCGGAGCCAATGTCCACGATCTCCGAGAAGGACATGGTCTCATTGAAACCTCTGATGAAATCGTGAATTCCGGGGGGGGTCTGAAACCAGACCACTCCGAACGCACATCTCACTGAAGACCCTCACATTCAAATAAATCTTTGTCAATAACTTCGGTACTTTAATATTCGGGAGGTTCGCCGTCACGTAGGTATGAAGGGCCGTGTAAAGCTGCTTGGCGGCATTGCGACCGCCCTCTTCACCCTGCTGGAGGAATTCATCCTTGAAGATTATTCCCTCTCCATCTAATAGTACGACGACGAAAGGTTCTCGATCCTGGAGGAGACCGACACGTATCAGCGCACGCTCAGGTGTTGGTTCACCACCGCGCTCACCATAATAGACTTGATCTGGTGTATCTGTTGCATCAACTCCATCTCGTGAAGTTGAATATCACGATTGAAGCGAGTCTCGCGTTCATGATCAAGTTTCTCTTGTTGGAAGGAGTTCTCGAGGTCGGTCACTCGTTTTAGGAGCTCCTATCGTATGATGGTATCGCGTTAGCCTGGCACATGTGAAAGAAGGGAGGGAGCGACAGCAGCAGGTACCTCGATGAGCTGATTCTTCTGCTGATCAACAGCGCTTAAATGGCGATATCGATCAAGATAGGAGGTTGAATCCATTGCGCTGGACCTTTATGAGTGGGTTGTGGAAAAAAAAAGTGGGTTGGAAAGTAAGGTGAAGAAGAGTTGGATCTTCAGGACGAAAGTGCCATAAAGTTTCCCAGAGCAATCAGGCGCTTGCGCGATCGTCACGGCGTCTAACCCTGCAAATGGAAAAAAAGATCCAAGGAATCACGCTGGAAATTTTAGCGTGCTTTGGCGTCTGCCGGTAAGGCGATGAAGTGGAGATTGGCCCTCTTTTAGCTTTATCTTTCTACCCTCTTTTTTTTAAAAAAAATCGATCCTCAAAAGGGCGACGAGATAGGATGCTTAGTAACCAACCCCAGCCAATCGGAAGCGGCTACCCACACTCCTGAGATTCACTCTATGCACTACATATTGCTGAGTCATCGATCTCCTTCTGCAGTATACTATTTCCCCTCAAATTGCCCCAATATATGGTATGTAGGGTAATTGAAGTCAAAATAGATGTTATCTAGGCTTTGAGTAAATATTCCGCCTAGTTTCTTTCACTTTGTCCCCAAATTAACAAGAATCGAGATCTAATGGCTCTGGGGTTGTCACGTGCCTATATTACAGTGGTGACTCAGCGAAATGTAGTGTGTAGAGTAAATATATGCTGTGTTAGAGAGGGTTCCCCGGCCAAGTGGACCTACCTAAATTGCAACGTGTGATCACCCTCACCCTTGTGTACCTCTTTACCCTCACCTCGTTCTTTCTTCAGGCACTCAAGATGACTCGTTTCGGATTTCTCTCTCTGGCTCTCCTCTCTCTCCAGGCCTTCGTCGGCACCGGCTTCGCTGCTGTGAGTTTATCCATTGGCTTAATTGATTGAATTCGCGTGACTCTTCGTCGCGATCCACAAGGAACCCAATTGACTGACTTGATACTCTTCATTTTCATCAGGATGCTGAGACTGTCGCGGAGACTGAGGTCGCCAACCTTGCTGTCACGGCTGAGGCTTCTTTCCCCGCCTCTGAGATCTTTGGCGTCAAGCTCATCAATGGTCGTCCGACCGAAGCTCTGATCTCCGTCACCAACGACGAGGCAAACCCCGTCACCGTGAACTTCCTCGGAGGCAGCCTGTGGAATCTTGAGGAGGATAGCAAGGTTGTCCGCAACCTGACTGCCACTCGCTATGGCGTCGAGATTCCTGCTGGTTCGAAGGAGACTATCCCCTACAGCTTCGCGACCGAGATGCATCCCCAGGATATTCGTCTGAACATTGCCGCCATTCTGTCGGACAGCGAGGGCAAGTTCTTCACCGTTCAGGCCTTTAATGGCACCGTGAGCGTCGTGGAGCCCGAGACTAGCATCTTCGATCCCCAAATGTAAGTCGTGGATCCCAAACCCCATTCGGTGTTTTTAGGCCATTGGCTGACCATCCATAGCATCTTCCTCTACTTCTTCCTCCTGGCTTGCTTCGGTGGTACCGTCTACTTCACCTACAACGTCTGGGTCGCTCCCTACTTCCCCAGAAGCGCAAGAGTGGCAAGACTGGCGAGAAGCGTGCCGCTGGCAGCGCGAAGCGTCCCGAGACCCCCCGTTGTTGAGGAGACCCCCAACCCCGCTGTCGCCTCCGCTACTACCTACAATGCCGACTGGATCCCCTCTCACCACATCAACCGCCCCGAGGCGCGCAAGGTCAAGGGTAGCAAGAAGCCCCGCGTGTAAATAATGCATGCGGAGCTCTAGAGTGAAGGTAGCAATATGGGGAGTTAGAGGCTAGGGATTTGTCCCTTCAATGCCTACCGAGTTGTTGCTGTTTTGAAATGTGGGAAAATTGGAAGTATGCTGAGAATGCATACGACTCATTACTAGATTCAGACAAGCATGTACATTTATGAAACTGAGTTGAACTCTTCTTAAGGCTTCTCTAAGTATAGTTTAGAGAGGCTGATGGGAGTTTTGAATTACAATTACAAACCAAACAGGGGCAGTTTATTGCAGGCGCAGTTGACTGCTGTCTGACACACTTTGACTCGTTGCTTATAATTTCCTCCATTCTAAGAATTCCTGCTCCAGATGACTCTTCAACTCAACGAATCTGTTACCGAATTTCTTGCCACAGCGCCAGCAAGTAAACTCTTCCTTCAAATAATTCTGGCGCGTTGGTTCCCTCCGTGGGTCGCCTTGGGCCAAGGGAAAGTCATCAAGAGGCACGAAGAAGGGTGTCGCAAAGCTATTATAGTGCTTCCGGTGTTTCAAACGGTCACTGTAGCGATCCACCGCAATCACATGTACATGCAAGTGGTTCATTGAGGGCACCGCATGGATCCCACACATGAGCTCCTTCTCCCAATCTCTTCCCACGGGCAGCTCATCTGGCGGAGGGTCAACACTGAGAGCGTTTTGCCTTTCCTGTTCTTGAATAGAGTATTTCCCATATTTGCGCCGCAGCTCGGCCGCAGCGAAAGAACGAAGCTTTTGGGCCTCAAACCTTACTTTGGCGAGGAACTCGGCGTCCTCGAAGGCTTCGAAGGGGTGGAGGTGGGTTTTGGTTTGGTCGCGAGGGAGCAGGAGCAAATGCAGCGAGGACTTTGGGAACATGTCATGAATAGCGACGAAATCTGCGTTATGGGAAATCACGATATCAGAAGGATATGACTCTGGGTTTGTGATGTAGGCTCCTAGCCCATCGCGGCCTCCGAAATATTGGGGCTTCTTTGATGGACTAGGCGCCGTGTGCTTGGGTTGTTTATTGTGGGATGACATTAGTTCGGTAACTGCACAGGGAAGAAAAGGGCTTGTTAATCTTAGTCGAGCAATTCTTCTCAAACGGCACGAAGGTCAACTCACAAGCGTTTCTCTTCGCTGTTCCACTCCGCGAGTCAGATGGACCAGGGTTAGAGCTCGCAGATGTCTGCTCCATGTCAGACATGAGAGAATAGATATACCTCCAGCGAATCACATGAGAACAAAGGACACCGGGGAATATATGCGGTAAAGAAGAGAAGACAATCGGGTGGGAAGGCAGTGAGTAAAGAAGCCGCAGAAGGGAAACACGGCGATCTTCAAGCGCGCCGCCAACTTTGGCTCCCCGCAATCCCAATGCGGTTTAGTGCGGGACCATTGAAAAGCAATTCGTCTGCGGTGAAAGTGAATGAGCGCCATTCTTCCAACAATGGGCCCCAAGAAGAAGGTAGACAACCGCGGAGGCGGTCCAAAGCCTGGAACTAAGCAGGCTAAGGCTGCAGCAGAGAAATCGGACAAAAAGCCCGCACCAGCCGCCCCTGAAGAGCCGAAGAAGCCGACCGTGAAGGAGGTTATTGGCGGCGCATCATGGACAGGCAAACTGCCAGTGAATATGCTGTCGGAGCATTGTCAGAAACAAAAATGGGAGAGGCCAGAGTACGGAATGGTAATAATTCACCTAACCCAGGACGCTCAACGAGCCATTGTTGTGACCAAGATGCTAATGATATTGCGATAATATTACAGATCCAATCTCGTGATGGCTTCATATCCTCAGTGACCCTCAAAAAGGTTGACCCAAAAACCAAAGAATTGACTGTGCTCCCACCGATGAAAGTACCTCCCTCCCATAAAGAAGTTGCGACACAAACTACAGCCCTGGAAGCCCGCCATTTCGCCGCTGCATATGCCCTTTTCCGTGTCTGCAATATGCGCAACCTACACATGATGCTTCCACCAACATACAAGAAGCTATGGAGAGAAGATTTCACCGACATAAAGACGACAGATACAAAGGAGGGCAAAGGCTGGCTTTATGAAGCGGATCCATTCCTAGCCAAGCAAGAACGCGAGAGTGCGGCTGCCGACCTGGAGAAGAAGAGGGCAGAGCGTCTCAAGGCGCAAGCCAAGGAGAAGGTTTCTTCCGCTGATATCGGGCTAGGAACGGGAGATGGAAAAAGTAAACGCATTTGGTCACAAGCCCCCAAAGTGGACATGGGCGCTCGCATTCGTCGTGATATTGAAGGTCTTTTACGGCAACATACAGTTTGGAACGCTCATGGTGTGAAGATTCCACAGAAGGAAATGCAGGCCATTGTGGAGGAATTTTCAAAACTTGGGTTCCGTCGCAGCCATGTTGAAGAGGCTGCGGCTGAATGTAAAGACCGCGAGGAGGTTTTGGAGTGGCTGCTCGTCTATGTCCCCGAGGATGATCTGCCGCGCTGGAGTTTGCCCGAGGGCTACTCTGCCGGTGTCAGTCTTGTGTCTGGAGATTTGGCCCGTGAAGCAAAGATCAAGAGACTTGCTTCGGTTGGTTACCCGGCTGATCTTTGCTCACAAGTACTCGATAATAAGAAGGGCGATGAACTCGCCGCTGCAGAATATCTGCAAAGCACATTGGCCCATGGAGCAGCATTCGCGTCTGCTTCTACGCCCGATGGCGATGCGGAAGCTTGGAATGAGGAACAGGAGACCTTGGAGGCTATTTTTGGTGACCGCTATTCCCGAATTTCAGACAGGGTCTGCGAAATCAAGAGCGAAGCTCCCGAGCTTCCAGAAAACACCATCATTCGCTTCCAGGAACCATCTACCCATTACCCAACCACCCCGCCTGTCATAATCATCCAGGCTAAGAGCATACCGGCTTATATTCGACTCAGCGCGATTCGTCGGGCGGTGCAGTATGCCGAAGAGAATTTCAGCGGAGAGTCTATGATCTTCAATATTTTGGACTGGTTGGAGGTAAACCTCACTGATATTATGGAGAATCCTGGCAGGCTACGAGAGATCTCCGCTGTGACTGCTTCGTCATCAGCTGAAACTAAGGAGATCCCTTTACGATCTGGTCGCAAGCAACGCAAGGGTATCGACTGGAAGGCCAACTCTCCTCAGAGCCTCGCCATTCGGGATGCATGGGAAGCCAAGCAAGACACTGCAGCACAGATTGATATGTCCCGGAAACGACAGTCGTTACCTGCATGGAACATCCAAGATGCCATCATCCAGACCATCAACTCAAACCAAGTTACCATTATCTCTGGTGAAACTGGTAGCGGTAAAAGTACACAATCTGTACAATTTGTCTTGGATGACATGATTAAGCGTGGACTTGGAGGGGCTGCAAATATTATCTGCACTCAGCCTCGAAGGATTTCAGCCCTTGGCCTCGCTGACCGTGTCAGTGATGAACGTTGCTCAACCGTGGGTGATGAGGTTGGATACGTGATCCGTGGCGAGTCGAAAGCTAAGCAGGGTGCCACTAAGATCACATTTGTGACCACTGGTGTCTTGCTCCGCCGAATCCAGTCTGGCGGTGACGCCGATGGCAACATCGGAAGCTCCTTGGCGGATGTTTCTCACGTTGTGGTTGACGAAGTCCACGAGCGTAGTTTGGATACTGATTTCCTCTTGGCCCTTCTCCGCGATGTTTTACGCTACCGAAAGGATTTGAAGGTTATTCTCATGAGTGCTACACTCGATGCGGATGTCTTCCGAAATTACTTCGGTGGCTATGATAATGTCGGCTTGGTGAATATCCCAGGTCGAACGTTCCCTGTCGATGACTACTATCTCGACGATGTGATAAGGTACACCGGCTTCGCTCCCGAGTTGGATGATGACTTTGAGGACGATGCTCCACGAGAGCAGGAGTCCTTGGGCAAAGCTCTGCGAAGCGTAGGCATGGGCATCAACTATGAGTTGATTGCGACCACTGTTGAATACATTGATGACCAACTTGGTGATAATCCTGGGGGGGATTCTCATCTTCCTGCCGGGAACTATGGAAATCGAAAGATGTCTAAATTTCATCAGGAGAATCCCAAATGCACACCCACTCCCTCTACATGCCTCTTTGCTACCAGCTGAGCAAAAGCGTGTCTTCCAAAGTGCGCCCAGAGGAAAAAGGAAGGTTATTGCCGCGACTAATGTGGCGGAAACATCCATTACAATTGAGGATGTTGTGGCCGTCATTGATACTGGCCGAGTGAAAGAGACCAGTTATGATCCCAAGGACAACATGGTCCGTCTTCAAGAGGTATGGGCATCACAGGCTGCCTGTAAGCAGCGTCGAGGTCGTGCAGGTCGTGTCCGTGCCGGTACCTGCTACAAGCTATACACCCGCAAAGCCGAGTCGAATATGGCTCAACGGCCCGATCCTGAGATTCGCCGCGTTCCTCTGGAGCAGTTGTGTCTGTCTGTGAAATCCATGAAGGGCATCGATGACGTCGCCACGTTCCTTGAAAATACTATAACTCCCCCAGAAAGCATCGCTGTCGAAGGTGCCCTCAACTTCCTGCATAGAATTGGAGCCATGGATCACAGCAGCCTGACGGCGCTGGGCCGATACCTCTCCATGATTCCAGCTGATCTTCGCTGTGCCAAGTTAATGATCTACGGTTCGATCTTCGGGTGCATGGAGCCCTGTCTAACCATCGCTGCCATCTTAACGGTCAAAAGTCCCTTCGTCTCTCCCCGCGAAAAACGAGAAGAAGCAGACGCCGCCAAGGCAGCCTTTTCACGTCCTGGCGATGGAGATCTTCTCACCGACTTATTGGCCTACCAGTCCTGGTCCGAGCTAGTGCGTGCCAACGGCTACTGGAAGACGCAAACTTGGTGCGCATCGAATTTCCTTTCCCACCAAACCCTCCGTGACATCTCGTCCAATCGTGCCCAATTCGTCACATCTCTCAAAGACGCTGGCATTTTGCCGGTAGATTACACAGATGCATCCACGACCTGGAACCGCAATGCCTCAAACCGAAATCTCATCCGTGCATTGGTGGCCGGCGCATTCCAGCCCCAAGTTGCGCGAATCTCCTTCCCTGATAAGAAGTTTGCCAGTTCGGTGACTGGTACGGTCGAGGTTGACCCGGATGCTCGAACGATCAAATACTTTAACCAGGAGAATGGCCGCGTCTTCATTCACCCTAGCTCTATCCTCTTCTCGGCGCAGGGATACCCCAGTGCAGCAGCCTATCTGAGCTACTTCACAAAGATGGCGACAAGCAAGGTCTTCATCCGTGATCTCACTCGTAAGTTCATCATATTGTTTCATAAACTTGCTTCGCAATCACTAATCAAACCCCCCCACAGCTTTCAACGCCTACTCTTTGCTCCTGTTCTGTGGCTCCATAACTCTCGACACAATGGGCCGTGGTCTTGTCGTTGATGGCTGGCTCCGTCTCCGTGGCTGGGCCCGGATCGGTGTTCTCGTCTCCCGTCTACGAACCATGCTAGACGAAGCCCTTGCTGCGCGAATTGATAACCCAGCCCTTGGATCGGATGGTGGGGCGGGGGATAAGGTGATTGAAGCCGTGAAGAGATTGATCGAGTTCAATGGACTTGATCAATGATTGGCCTTGGCCTGGATAAACGCATTAGCACATTGTCTACAGGCCAAAAGTGTTTTCTTAAAAGACCAAAGTACATTTCATCATGAGACGAATTCACTATTCATTGCGCCGGGAGTGCCCACCGGATGCTTTTCCAACGTTGATACTATGATCACTGGTAACCATGAGAAGAGCTCGGCCTACAAAGAAAGCTGTGTACTGAACCATACTTGTATTGACCCGTATAAAGCTATCTTCATGTGCAATATCTGCCTAGTAATAGGAATCACGTAGCGATAATATGCAAGGAAAGACATCCTGGGCAATGTACGTGGGAGCATGCGATATGGCGCGACTGGAAAAAGGAAAGTGGTCGAAGGAACGAACATAGAAAAGGACCGTGATTAGAGTAGGCGCCCGAAGGCAAAGCTGAATTTCGAATATGCTTCGTCACGGAGATAAATCACCGGCAAAAGAAAGAGGTATGTATCGTGAATGGGTAAAAAAAGATGAAAAAACACCGATGAAGAGAAAGTGGAAAAGAAAGGGAATTAAGACGCCGGAGAAAGCAGACCATGTACGAAACGCCTCCCGACCATTAGACTCCTCGCGTCCGGCACATGGCGTCAAGTCATACCGATGTCGTGAGGCTTGAAAAGGGGTAGTAGTGGTAGAAAAGATGTGTCAAAGAAAAAAAAACGCCAGTCGGTATCCAGTTTCACTGTTCACCCCGAAACCCACCCTTAAACCCAGAAAGCAATGCTTGAAATGAGATATGGAAAGCGGGTAGTGAGTGTGTTGTGTGGTACGCGAAGACTCAGGAAAGGTGTCGCTTGCGGAAAAGGAAAAGTTCAGTAATTCTCGGTACCGTCCTGACGGCGAGGGTTCTTGAGCGATGTTGGACGAGGAAGTTTGAAACCACGGTGGATTTCAGCCTCCACGTAAAGGGAGGCGCGCTTGAAGCGACGATCGGAGTATTTTTCGAAGATCGCCTGGTGATGGCGATGCGGGTCCTCGCAGCACTCCAGCATGGTCGACATGACGTGCTGCAGCTGCTCATAGAGGTAACCGCTGTAGTATGCGTGGGCGGGTGTCTGTTGATAAGAGTGTAAGTAAGCAAGGAGTCAGATCAGAGTGATTGAAAGGATTTATCATACCCAGCATCCCTTTTGGAGCATCAGGCGAGCCAGGCAGTGAGCGCCAGCAGCAGCAAAGCTCGGTGGTGTACAGACGAATCTCTCATCCATGATGGTCAGCTCAAGGAAGTACTTGGCAACTGTTCGAGTTTCCAGGTCGTAGTCATCTGCCTTGCTAATGCGACGGAGGAAACTCATTGGACCCGGCCATCCGAGGTCAAAATCAAGGATTGAGAGCATGAAGCGCTCGGCCTTGAGGATCTCGTCAACGTCATAACCACCATCAACCATGTAGACGATCTCCTGGACCGAAGGAGCAGTGATCTCTTCATATTTTGCAGCAATGAAGATGGCTGTCGCGCCGACCAGTTGTAATTTACCGAGCGATACGATCTTGTGCGAAAGAAAGCGATCAATATAGTTGACACAGAGAAAGAGGGTCTCTGGAAGCAATGCGAATCTAAAGTGCACCTGCACGAGCCAGTCCATGAGGACAGATCGCATAGACCACTGAATCTCCGCTTGGTTGGCCATGTAATCTGGAACAGGAAGCATATCGATCTATGAAGGGTTAGCATCTGAGGACTCGATCACGGAATCATATCACATACCTCTTTCTGTCTAAGGTGCAAGAAGATCTCACTGCTGTACTCTGCCACCATGCTCGAGTCGAAGAAGTCTTCGAGGATATCTTCTTCCGTTCTTGAGTTGTCCACAATCCCCTTTGCTTGGAGCATCTGGCGTTTGGTCACAGAGGTGATACGGGGGAAGATGACAGTGGTTGTGCCGCCAGTAGTATTATCGGCGCGTGAGAGATAGGGCGGGAGGTAGTCGACCTCTTCATCTTCCCAATCATCTGCCTCAGGCTCGGAGGTTATGGTAGCTATGCCGTTGGAAGTTTGTGTGGTGGGTGCAGAGTGTTTGGTAAATTGAGAGGAGGCCTTGGTCTCTTCAGAGTCGGAAAGGGTGTCGTCGGATCCCGCAGGCTTGTGAACTTCCTCCCACTCATTGACCTCCACCTTCTCCAGATCAGAAACGACGGACTCTTCGACAGCCACTGGTTGCTCTTTCTGGATATTGTTCTTCTGGGTAATCTTCGTTTCGACGAGTGGTGCACTGCGGCGGGCAGGCTGGGGGACTTCCTTGGATGATTCGCGCTCGGTGACAGGTTCGAGTTGATCGCGGAAAATGACATTGCTGCGCTTCGCAGATTTCGCAGGCTGGGCTTTTCCGGCAGGGTTTATTGGCTTCGCAGTTACATTGTTTAGAAGACCCTTGATGTTGGAGATAGAGATGGGACGTTGGGCGGGCTGGGCCAAGGGGGCCTTGTTTTCAGCCAGCTGAATGTTTGGTTTACCACCGATGGCCGAATCGTCGCGGGAGGCTCGAGCCATATCTTTCGTGTTGCTAACATCGCCGAATGCTCGCCTGGCACCATTCTTCGCGTTCTGGGCGACGAGGCTGAGGGCAGGAGTCGACTTGTTGCGCTGGTGAATGACCTTGCCTGCCTGGAAAGACGGTGGGATGTTCTCGTCCCCGCGGACGCGAATTCGCTGTGGCTAGATGATTGAGTTAGCATGGATTCCTTTTGGGCGCGGTTGATGCAGTAGCACAAAATTGACGAGTCGATGTATAGCATAGTTGAAGCATCACATCCACTGGCAACAATTGCGCGAAACCACGACGTGCAGGCAGCATGAAAATAATGAACAAAGAAAAGAAGCCACATACCTTCGCATCCATCTTGAATCTCTGGTCCTTGCCGAGAAGTCGATGGCAGGAGAGGATGGTTGGGTGTGAAGGAGGAGGATGAGGAGGAATTGGAATTGTTTATGTTTTGCTCTGTTCAGATGGAAAGGGCCGGGTGGACCCGCCTCCTGCGGTTATTGGCAGCAAAACAAACACCACTCCCACTCGAGGGGCCAGCCCGTCACGTAAGGGTGTTACACCCTTGTCACTGCGGACAACGGTCGCTGGGGTGTTATATGTATGACACTGCCCTTCGATCCGGTGAGAAAAGTGTGGAGGTGGTTTCAGGTTTTAGAAAGAATAGTGGCAAAGAGTTGACGAGGCTGGTGAATTGTTATTATTAGTGATAGTCACTTCCCTTCACTGGTAGTCAAGGCTTGAACCTTGGGAGCTTGAAGCGGCTCCCAGGCAGCCTCGTAATTTTACGTGACAGCATTCTTACCAAACGCATACACGCGCCCGCTATGCATCGTGTTTGCACCCTTTGCTCTTGATTATGTCAGCCACGTGCCTGGCGAGCTTATCGGCTTATCTATGACGTTATCATCTTATCGTCACGTCTCCCTCGGCGATGCCATTTTTGTATTTTTACTCAAAATCACCCACTCCAGAGGTGAGAAAGTCACAAAAAATTATCCATGATGTCGCAGAGATATCCTCACTCAATCCCGATGGTCTTCGTTATTCTAACTCTCCCAGGGCGGCGACAATCGCCGCTAGGGCTGACGGGTGGCCCCGGACGCGCTAGCACGCGGACCCACGTGACCCCGCCGGCTGAAGCGGTAAGCGTTCAGTGCTCCAATGAGTATTTGAGTTGACTCTCAACTGGCAGGTTTGCGATTCAGCCGAAGCGCATCCGAACTCGCTCACCATTGCGACAAAGTTGGGCATCGTTTTTCCCGCTCGGAGCGGGCGGCGGGGCGCACCACATCGGTTGGCTGAGAGCAGTTGAAGGCGGATGTGAATTTTGCAACTATCGGTCTGGACAACCCATTCGCTAGCGCACGTTCCTTACCCCGTTCTGGCCCTTTTTTGGTTGCGGTTCCAGAGTTCTGACTTGCTTTGTCGCAATTCAATCACATCAAGGTGTACTCCGTACTCCCGTAAGCCTACAAACACACTTTATACACTCCGTAGAACAAACCCACCCCCTCCTTCTCCTCGTCCCCGCTGCCTTTTCATTCGAGGACCCTGCAACACTTGTCTGCAAGGTTCCAGGGAGAATGCTCTGCTACCTCTTAACCCCTCCTTCGTCTGCCGCAATCCCTAGTTACTAGTATTCTCGTTTTTTGCCCTCCTTCTCCTCTGGTCTTACGTAGGTCCCGAGGAGGGGTAAAACTCAGCCGGCGCAGATCATGCGAAACATGCTGTGACGGACTTTGGTCATGCGATGGTGGTCCTACTGAATTCCCAACTTATTTGACTTTTGAGAGGTCTTAAGATGATCGGCCCTGCACACCGTCTGCGGTCCACGTTTGATGTTCCCCCTCGGGCGAGACTACACCCGATGCCTCTCCTCTCCTCTCCTCCCCTCTCCTCTCCTCCCCTCTCCTCCCTGCGCTGGAGATCTTCCCGGGTTCTTAAAGCATGGGAAACCGATCGCAGTATTCAAAGATTTGTTTTTGGCTTGCTGGATTTTCAATGCGACAAGGGTGTGCTGGATCGCATGGGCACAACCAATGTCACCGGTGTGCGACAGCCCTGTCGCTCGGCCGCAGAACAGAAGAGGCGCACGCTGAAAACCAATGCCCGTTGTAACTACTTCTATGGGCTTGCGAATTGGATTTTTTTTTTTATATCTCCTTGTAATCTGTGGTCTTATGTACTTGAAGACTCCCATGTCCGATGATGCGGATGGCTTGCTCTTCCATTCCGAGGGGAGGCGACAAGGTACGTACCTGGACTTGGGTATAACCATTTGCGGAGTCCTCGCTGCCCGCCAACCCATGATGATTCATAGTCGAGCAACATTCAAAATTGCTCCTACGATCCCAGTTCGAGTCCTACCTCGAAGTTCTTCCGGGTGAAGTTTGATAGAACGCTCGGCGCAATAGGCATCCGGGTTGCGACAGCGTGCGCAATGCGAAATAGCCGGGGGCCCGGTACAGCTACAGCTACAGCTACATACATGGCAATCGCTGAAGGATTGAAGGATTTTTAAAAGATCAAAACTAGATCAGAGTAAATCCAATAATTCAATGTTCATTTTAGATACCTTCTGCGATCCAGTGGAACGGAGGGGCATGCTGCGACGGGCGCCGGAAGCGCAAATCGCCATGTCACCGACCCAGACAGGCCGTTTTCTCGCTTTAGGTGAAACCATCGTACGCACCCACCTCAACTCTACACCAACTTCTCCCATCCCACCCACTCCGCCTTGTGTCGCCCTCACTTATGCTTGAGTATCGTCTCCCCTCCTATCCTCTCCTCTTACTCTTCTCTTCTATACTCTGGACAACTCTGCTTCTCCAGGGCTCGCCTACCTAGGGCCACCGCTGACCTAGCCGCAGCGCTTCGTAGAGCAGAGAGAGAACTGACGACAATCCCCTCGCCCACCGCCCAACATCGCCCATCGATCATCCTGTCGCTCGGTCTTCGATCACTCGGATATCTGCGACTGTGAAGGATACTATTTGGTTTGTCTTAGGTGCGTCAACGCTGCTCCCCATCCTGTTCCGAGTCTGCTCTCGTCGTGCCCCCCCCGTCGCCTACTCCCAAGGTTGGTCGTGGTCGGACTCGGCTAGCAAACAGACCTCTGTCCATCCTGAAGTCGTCAAATCCATCGTTCATATGATTGAGAACATTTGAACTAGCATTGTGCTGACTCTGGTGGTGGGTTCTCGTCTAGGTTTACCGACTCCTCCTCTTCCGGCTCGTTCTCGGTTCTTGCGACAACAGATTCCCCTCCATCCCCATCGAAAAGCCCTGCGCCAACCCTTTCGCCCATCAACAACCCGGGGGTGGTCCATCCACCTGCCAATCTTCTCGATTCCTATATTAGTGGTAGGTTCGATGGAATTCCCCTCTTGCACAAGCCTTTCCTATGTCCTCCTGGTCATGGATCCCATCCTCCCGTCTAGCCGCCCTCTATCACACTGAAGCAGTGGGTTGATGCAGTCATCGCAATAGCAGCAGGGGACTCGTAATCATTCTGGACCTGCCCATCATGCAAGCGGTTCACCATGATGCGCTCTCTGCCTTCGCAGAGCAACCGGTTCTCGTGGATGGCTCATCCCGGGACCTGTCGCTTAAGGGTCCCGTCCCCAAGAACGTCGCCTTCGAGTTACTATTGGATGAGAACTCCAAGGTTCGAGCCCGTATTCCGATGCGCGTTCAAATATACCCTCATGATACGACGGATTCCATCGTGACCACTGTCAAAAATTTCTATGGCATCTACGACGGCACCGCCAGTGGGGTGAGCTTCGAGGATGAACATGGAATCACCCTCATCGCAAGGTATGAAAACCTCAAGAGTAACGGGACGGTATATGTTCGAGTCATTCCCATTCAACCCTATGGTGAATTTTACGGTGGTTATTCCGTTGAGCGCAAGCGACCCAGCCTAGGCGAACCTTTTCAGATGGCCGATGGCGCTGCACCAATCCTTGAACAGCCACCGCGACCATCATCGCGCCTGGCAAGGAACCGCAGTGCCTCTCCATCTAACCGGAGCCTTCGTAGCGCTTCTCAGCACAAGTCGGTCTCTCGTAACGGCATCAAAAGTCGGGGCTCGAGCCATGCTGGCTTCCCTGATGATGACGGCCTAAGCGACAGCGAAGGAAGCTTCTCCCGTCGGTCTCGCGGCGACGCCTTCGCTAGTTCTGAAATAAGTATGGAGAATATACTACAAGATGGTCGTCGCAAACGTCCTAAGTTTGACAGTTCGGTAAGTGTGATCAATCTTGTGCGCTCGGGTTTTTTTTCTTCGCTTGTTCGACTAACAAGTTTCTTCATTTTAGGAACTCCCACTTTTCGTTCCTCCCCAAGTTCCTCTTACTACCTCTACCTCATCTATCTCTCCTCAACGCCGTTCCATCGGCCAAGAAGGTGCCGGCTCACCTTTTGCTCGCCCTACCCACCGCCCATACAACTTCCAGCAAGCGCTGCCGTCGCCACAAAGCTATGGCCACAGTGAATATGGTGTACAATCAGCACGTAATGGTGTATATGCGACGCCTATGGTCCCGGACCATGCGCACCGTGTACCATATAGCAATTCTGCTCCGCGGGTGAGTGGTCCTGGCATTCTGCCAACTCCGGACCCCACTATCGCCAGCTGTATTTCCGATGAGGATGTCGCTATGCAGCTAATCCGCCTCGGCGATGCCTCCAACTTCTCTCATGGCCGCACCTCGGCGTCAACATTAGACGATGCTTTCAGTGGCGCTGCCGACGCTGCCTCTTCCACTGGCGCAACCAGCGAAGGCGATGACTTTAGCGAGGACGAAGATGACCTGCCTGCCCGTCGCAGGCTTGAGTCAAGTCCCATGCTTCCGCCGGGTACCATCAAGCGCCATCACAAGCGCTTGGATGACATCCTTCCCAGTGCTGACAGCAGTGACCACAGTTCTGACGGTGCCGATGAGGGCATCAAGAGCGAAGCCGAGGATGACATCTTGTATAAGGAGTTTGCGCCCAAGGCCAAAAAGCCCAAGAGCCGCCCAATGTCTATCAAGCCTCGCAGTAAGCCTGTGCCAAAGCCTATCAAGACCAAGAATGCGGCGGTGCCTGTCTCTCGCAAGCCCTCTGATAAACCAGCTGCGCCTGTTGCCCCTCTCAGCCCCAACTCTTCCCGCAAGGTCTCCGGCGGCTCCGTCAACTTCCAGCACCAGCTCGGAGCAGATGAAGAGGATCTTTCTACCAAGCCTCGCTGCCAACGCTGCCGTAAGAGCAAGAAGGGCTGTGATCGTCAACGTCCGTGTGGACGTTGCAAGGATGCCGGAATCGGCATCGAAGGCTGCGTCAGCGAGGACGAGGGTAATGGTCGGAAAGGCCGATATGGACGCCACATGGGTGTCCCGGTCAAGAAAAACGGCGACGGCGAGGAAGAAGAAGAAGAAGATCTTTCAGACGACGGCCACATCCATGAGCATGAGCGTGAATTCCCGCCGATGCCAGACACACCGCTGGTAGGCGTGGACAATAAGAAGCGAAAGCGCTAGTTGTGCATCTTGGTCATTCTCCTTCTGTCCACCAGGCTCTCATATTGAGAGGAGATGACCCTACTCTGTCAGCCTGCAATTAAATACTCTCCCTCTTTCAACCTCCAATCCCACTCGGCATGTCATGACATCAGTGTTGGTACCACCTCACCAACACACCATCTCTCCCTCTCTATCTCTCCTTTGATATTACTCTGGCCGCCGAGTATCCGACACTCCTTATACCTCGTACCCTGACACGCTCTCTTTCCGGGCTTCATGCCACTGCTCCCGAATTTTGATTATACAAAGTCCAGCGGGTTGATCTGTTGTCTGTGTCCATTCGGCGTTCTTCGTGTTTGCGGATATTTGTCTTTTCTTCTGTCACATCCATTTTCACCCTTTCAAACTCAATGCTACAAAACCCCTGAGCATCTTTGCTAATTTCATGTCAAATTTTTTTGTTTTGTGGTGGGTGGGATTTATACTGACCGAACACTGGGAGATATATACTTCCGGAATGGGCCAGTTAACCCAGGGAATTGCAAGATGTTGTATAAGATGCCATGGGCTTTTGTTTTTTTTTATGAGTAGCTTGGGAATGAATTGTGTTTTTTTCTATTACTTTCATTGTCTATTTTTTGTTGAATTCAGACTTCCAAATCATCCTTCACATTTACTACTACTCACCTGGGCATGCTCTTGGCCATAGCCGAGTCACGTGACTCGCATCAGCGGTGAACGGGTGGGCAAATGTAGTGATCAGCACATGCCTGCATCTCATTGGCTGGATATTTCACGTATGCTCTAACCTCGGGAGGCCGACCTTGAAAGGTATATACTATCGTGACTCGCCCAGGTGTACGAAATTTTGAACAAAGAAACTTGAATACGACCTGCCAGGTTGGACTGTTGAGACACCCTACTAGTAATGGTAGTTCAAGCCACCACCAGTGTGGTGATAGTAGTGGGCGACAAAGCGCCTCCCGTAAATGCACTAGAAACAAAAGGTCACGTTCGCCCGAGTCTAGACCGGAGTCTTGGATTCCGCGCGGCTTTCTCTAGAACTTGAGCATTGCTAGTACATCGAGGTTGATTCCCTTGCAAAGTACTTTCGGCCATGTGCAAACAGACTAAGGTTTGTCATTTCACGTGCCGGGTCAGACTCGAATAGCACTGGTGAGGTGAATTGGACAAACTCCGATATTGCAAGGTACAAGCGAGCGCTTCTACCTAGATACAGGCCTTAGACTATTGCGTGAAATCGATCACAAAAATGGAAATTCAGACAACCATCATTTTTATTTTTCCCACTCAATCTTGCCTGGTTCATTCCTAGCTGATAATGTCCGTCGACCGTGCTAGATAATACCACGTGACCCAAGGCGGTGTAAAGGCCCCGCAACATTTTTGAGTCGGATGAAGAGCTCAACTTTTTGCTAGAATTTCACGTTTCAACATACCAAATCACTCTACGCTATTTGAGATTGTTTCTGACGATTCAACCGAAGCTCCCAAGTCGATACGCCCAAATCACTAGCCTATGCGCTAGACATTTTCTCCGACAAAACCTTGCCCTAAGTAGCGGGGCGCCAACGGCGTCTTGCTTGCACCGAGATAGCAATTATGCCTCCCAAACCGGCTACTCGACGGCCTGCCGCCCAACGAACAGAGCAAGCTGAAGGCAGTGCCTCAGCTGCCGCCGACGCACCCTCTACTCAAAATGGACCCGCCTCTACCGGCCGACAACCCGTGCAGCGATTACAATCCTTGAAGAAGCGCGAGTCTTCCGGAAGCATTCCAGCCACAGGCCGATCTCTCTCGAATCTTCCCGGCGAACCAGCGAAACCGGTCCTCAAGTATCAGCCGAAGAAAGGTGTTCAGCGCCGCAGCAAAGAAGACCGAGATGCCATGGCGAAGCTTGAGCAGGAACGGCATAATGAGCGACTGAAGGAAGCGGCTGCCATTCAGCGCGGTCGAGGTGGTGGCCGAGGTCGCGGGGCTTTCCGTGGTCGTGGCGGGCCTGTTGGTACGGGTGGATTTGGACCTCAGGGCGGCGCTCGGAGAGGTCGTGGTGGGAGTTCGTTTGGACCGCGCTCTTACGACCGGTCTCAGACTCGCTCTGTGTTTAGCACTGGTGTTGGCGGTAGCGGTAGCAGACCCCCTGCAGATGATTATTACTACGACTCAGATGATGATGGTGAAAGCGGGATTCGCATTAGCATTGATCAAATCGGTCTTTCTGATGACTCGGACTCGGACTTGCCTAAGGATCCTAAGGGAAAGCTGCCTGCCCGTAGTAGGGATCCAGAGCTTAGGGGTCTGAAGCCTGTCCGTGTGCAGCGAATTGAACATGAGGAGCGAACTATTTCTGTGAATATGGAGTCCAGCACAGCTCGAACGGATGAATTGCGCAAGAAGGCCGAGAAAGAAGCCAAGATCGCGCAGGGAGAAGAAGTCACTCCGGAACAAGAGGAAGAGCCTCGTGTCAAGGCCGAGCCCGTCGACGACGAGGACACCCCAATGGCAGATGTGGTACCAGTAGAGGATGATGGGTTCCTCCCCCAACAAAAGGTGCGCGTGCGGAGGAAGGTCTCGGATCCCCAATCCTCCCCCGTGAAACCCAAAGCTAAGGCTCCAGAGACCCCGAAGGTCAAACGAGACCCGCGAGAACTCCTCCGCACGAAAGGAGGAGATTGATGAATACGACCGTCATCTGGACGATTTGGCTCATGTGCGCGAACTCTTCCGCGACGATGAGCCAGAGAAGAGCCCAGAATCAGCGTCGACCGAAGCAGCAACGCTTGAACCCACCACCGAGAAGACTCCCGCTGCCGATGAGGACACTGATACTGCCACGGAGGGTCAAGACGAGAGCGAAAAGCAAGAAACGGAAGAGGACAAAACCCCGAAGAACCTCGTGGGTCAGCTCTTCCTCATGCAATTCCCACCTATGACGCCCAACCTCATAGTCCCCGGCTCTGAAAATCCACCAGCCGCAGAGCCGGCTGCAGAGCAAGCCTCCGAGACAGCCCCGGAGGCAAACGACACAGAAAACGAGGTCAAGCCCGAAGGCGACGTTGAAATCACGGACGTTGATGCTCTCCCTCAGGCTGAGACGCCTAAAATCATCACAGCTACTACGGATTGGTCCTTGCCAGCTGGCAAGGTGGGCAAATTAAACGTTCACAAGTCCGGGCGCATTACTATGGACTGGGGCGGCGTTAGCTTCGAGCTTGATCGGGCAGCAATGGTGGACTTTGTACAGGAGGCATTGATTGTTTCCTCATCAAATGATGATCCCGATGTGAAGAAGGAGGCAGAAGAAGAAGAGGAGAACCGGGTCTGGTCCATGGGCCAGCTTTGCGGCAAGTTCACTGTGATGCCGAACTGGGACGATATGCTTTGATGAACTCTTTTAGCTTTGATAGTGTCTTAAGATGCACGAATAAAAGAAATGATGATAGACTATGGATATCTGATTGCCTTGCACCCACACCTTTATTCACCTGGGCAGTAAAGACAACTTCTTACTACTCTGTAATCAATGAGAGATCTGATATCTCGATAGATGTTTAATCTTCTAATGACTAATCTGTGAGCTGGTGAGACATTTACGTTGTCTCGTGCGGAGTAGAAAGTCCATACTCAAGGTCTAACGAATACAAGAATAGAAAAGCGATATACAGAGTGATTTCAGCTCTCACGCGGAATGCTGATCCAGCCAGATCTGCGACACCGCGTGATGATGGCGAAGCACCGCTAGAATGCAAGCTGCACCTGGAGGCGTGTTCTATCTATAGCGTCCTATGGTAGGGGCGAGCCAAGAAAACCAGCCCCGGTCGGAGTCAGAGCTTGATTGAGGGCACCTGCAGCAGCTTGCTAGTCCGAGCAGCAAGCTCGCGACCAGCAATTCACGGCTGTGTAGCGGCGACTCTCAGGGGGCGGCCCCCTGCTCCCCCCCCTGAGAGGTCGAGAGCCCGGCCGTTCGCACGTCCTTGCATCACGGCTTGCCGTCGGGATGTCTGGACTTTATGACCCACTGTTGATTGGGTCTTTCGTGGCGATCGACAGGTGGGTCAATGGAGCAGAGCAGGGGAGAGGAGAGCAGGCTTCAGTCGAGGGTGGGCAGATCTGAATCAGGCTGGGAGGTCATGAGTGGGATCATGCCTAATGGCGAGATGCGTCATTAGTGATGATTGCAGGGAGTAGTACAGGGTACTAGGACAGAGTAGTGCACCGGGAAACAGGCCGGTCTCTAACAACAAGGCGGAGTTGGTTACATGGGAGAGCAAGCAGCAAGTGCCAAGATGCCAAGCTCTCTCTCTCCCATATCACACCATACAACGCCAACGGGGAAGGAGGAGCCTGGTCGATAGTTGACCAATGAGAAGCCAGGGAATAAAGTGTGCCATCCCCCCCCACAGGGACGAAGGCCGATTCCACGGTTGAGACCCGCGCTACTCCATTCACGGCATATTAATCTCGCTTTTTTCCCTGACTCCCTGTTTTTTTTGGGGGGGGGGGGGTGTTTGTGCTGTTATTTGCTTCCTCACTTACAGAGGACTTTCACTCCTCACGACTTTCGCTTGGCCTCGCTTCTTTGCTGACTGCGTCGCTGTGTCCGTTGAGGCTCTGCCCCCTCGTCTTGTTTTTTTCGACTTTTGGCCCCCCTATTCCCACAATACCAACCTCCTCCACCACCACCATCAACCCGATCTCCATCCCCTTCAATCGGGCCCGATCATATATACCACTCCTCTCCCAGCACGACCGCTACATTTCCTCCGGCGTGTTCATCGTGTACAGCACCTGCATCACGTCTCACTCCACCGGTTGCCTCGCCAACTCGCAATTCGCAAGATCTCCACGACGGTCCAGCTTGGCGTTGCTTGTTTCGCAACTTCCCCTCCTCCAAGGCCCTCGCCCGGCCAACGCGAGTCCCCTTGAAATACACACTGTTCCGCGCACACAACAATCCACACCATGAGGCCCGCCTATCTCCTCGTGGCCCTCGCTCCGGCCGTCTTCGCCGAGTCGCAACCGCATCCGCAGCCACGCGCCAACGATCTTGTCGCGGACCTCGCGCACCGCTCCGCCGTCGCATCAATACCGGAATTTGCTCCACGCGAACAGCTTGTGCCTCTTGTTGATCCTTTGGATATGACTCTCACCCGTCGCAGCGCGAGGCATGTGGTGCAGGCGCGTAGTGAGGGCTCCCTCGGTCAAACTCCGTGGATTGGATGTGCCATCGGATTGACTTGCACTGCTCTTGCGGCCGTCATGCTAGGCTAGTCCTACACGGTGTCGATGAAAGGCTACTTCTACCTTTATTTCCGTCCACCATGATTACTCGATTTCTGCTTTCATTTCCTTCCTCCTCGACCTCTTCGATTCTGAACATTACCGACATGACACGTGAATACGCGCACCCTGACCTTACCTCGATTTAATTCGGCCGATCTCGAGTCGACCTGCTCCTCTTCACCTTTTACATCTACCTTTCACCCTTCTTCTACCCTACACTACCTTTCAACCATTTGAGTCTTCTTCAGCGACTTTTGAGCTATTCTGCATCCACGACCCAGTCACACCGGGCGTGGGCATTCATCATTTTTTTTTCTGAGCACATTGCATTCCCGCTTAGCGGAGTATAGAGCTGCATGTTGTACATGATACCTGGAGCCTTTTTGTGTATACCGGACGAGATTTACCACCTGTGTACAAATGAAATCATCACATTCATACATATTATTACTTGTTTCTGCTATAACACCACGTATGTAGCACTTAGTGTGTAAAGTCTCATATCGAACTGACCGGAGATGAATGTGGCGTATATTGGTCTCCAATTCATGGCATTAATTCTGAAACTATTGACGCCTCCCAAGCCACCTACCTGCCAGTGGGCACCAACCTCGTTCTTTGTCATGGCGAACGGGTGCGGCTGGCGCACCTCGTTGTTTATTCCAACCCACTTCATACTACTACCGTACCTTTAAACTACTAGTACCTAGTACCTACCGAGCCACTATAAGACACAGCAAAGTTTCTGCACTGATCCTCCTACACTAAACCAACACACCGCCGACGCCCATCAGCCCAGGCCAAGTCCAAACGGGCGCAAAAGTAACAAATCCGCCCCCCAACCTTTAGCCTTGAACGCCCGGCTTTGGGCTCTCCACTTCTCCGCAGTCAGATTACGTCTGACGTCTTTGCAGGAGGGTGATTCGGAAATCTGAAACTTCTACACCTATCCTAAATTGCAGCAAGAGAGACCTAAGTCTGCTACATACACAGCGAGTTCAAGTTCTACAAATTTGTTTCCGATTACGAGTATCGCCATGGCGATCGAATACCCGCCTTCAACGCCCATGTCGTCGCTGGGCCGCGAGTTGGGCATTATGTTTGCCTTTATTGGGGCTGGTTTGGTGACGATGGCCATTTACACATTCGCTTGGAAGGGTATGTATTAGATCTTCGTTTCCCAGAAGCACCTTGAGTACCGGCCCGGGCTTTTATGCTAGACATCCACCAGTATTCTGCTACTATCCATACCACTCCCCCGCCTCATCTAGTTATACCCACAATACTAGTATACAACCTACCACCACACTATGTTGTACTCACATACCCCTGACTATTCCCCACATCCCACTCCGCTTGAACCCTGGCACGCAAGGGCTAACAGAGTATCATGAAGTGGTCCAACGTAAAAACCTCGCTCAGGATCTCGACCGTCGCAAAGCTTTCCACAGTCGTACAGCGCCTGCGGCAGATACCCGACTCCTTGGGAGCCCGACGGCAGTCTCCCATGGGCGAAGCGAACGAATCGCGGAGAAAATGTTGGATCGATATGCTGTTCCTACGGACCGGGCTGAGTTGCCGGTTCATGGGATGGAGATGGGACAGAGGAGTTCTGGGCAGAGCCAGGGTCAGACTCAGGGTCAGGGTCAGGGCTTGATGAATGGGAACGGGAATGGTCACGGTGGTGAGGGGTTTGATTTTGGATTCGGGGCTGGGACAGGTACCTCTGGCCCAAGGGTTGTGGGGAGAGATCTTCTGTGATTGATGAAATGAAATGGATAACCCTGATACGCCAGGACTCTTGGCAGGACGAGGAATGTTGGCTCAGCTGCCTGGTTATGGAAATGAGTATATCATGGCAGCGTTTATCATAATTAGGCTATGGATCTAGATATATTGTACATTGGATTCAACGAGGGTATCATATCGTGTCATCTCATGTCATCTCGTATAACATCAGACCACATCACATCACATCACATCATCCACAAACCGCCTCAGCGAACCCACGCGTCCAAAGCAACGAGCCCATAATAACAATCAAAAGCCCAAGCGCAACAGCCACACTCGCAATCCCGTACACATATGCATACCGCCTCTTCGGCAACCCATTCAGCTCCGCAACCCACGTACTAACCGTGGTAGCACTCCCACAGAACCCATCCATAACACCCTGCAAAACCTGACACCCTACCAAAGCAGCCGGAACCACAGCACCAAGCCCACTAACATGCTGGAGATCATAGCAAAGCCCCTCAATAACCGTGCCAAAAATATTAGTCGTAAACGTCCCCAACGGGAAAGCAGGGATCCGAGCATTCAAATGCAACGACAAGTAGAATCGCAATAGACAGCCCAGTGGCGCAAAAACACAAGCAAACACCGCACGACCACGCCACGTCTCAGAACCACCGCTCCCTCGATCCGGCGGCCAGATAGCCATAAACACGGCTCCGAGCCAACAGCCCCAGCCCAGTACAACGACTACGCGATCTAGTACGCGTCGCGTCAGTGTGAAGGGGACTGTTGGTGTGAATCGCACTAGTGCGAGGGCAAGGTGTGCCCCGAAGATCAAGGCTGATAAACTCAGCGAGACGGTTAGGAGTATCACCGCGACCAGCGCCATGAAACTATACCCGCCGTTGCGGGATGCGATGGCGTCGCCGGCGGCTGATAGGGAGGGGTCCGGGAGGGCATTTGCCAGGGCGAGGAAGACGTCTCGGATAAAAGAGGAGAAGGAGGTGAAGCAGCCGCAGAAGCCAGTTGTGAGGCCAATGTAGAGCGGGATGGTTTTCTTGACGGCTTTGTGGTTTTTGTTCTGCTCGGCTGCTTCGGTACTGTCCTTTGGCGGTGGTGAGGGTTTGCGACCCCATTCTTCGCGGAAAAGGTTGCGGTCTTCGGCTAGGAAGCCCATTATGAGACTACCGCCTACATTTGCCCAGAGGACGCCTGTCACGACGGGCGCGCCGGTGTAGAATGTTAGAGCTTGGAGGCCTAGGCGGGCGAGGGTGCCGAATATGGAGAAGAAGACGAGGTAGGAGAGTGTGTAGAGGTGCGTTGCGTGTGGGGAGAGGGGAGTTGGAGCTGGAGAGGGTGTGCGCGCGGTTTCATCTTTAAGCTCGGCCGTTGCCTCTGCTGTCGCACCGGTGTGCCATTGTTGACGCCGGGAGGAGACGGGCTCGACGGGTTGTGGGTAGGTTGTTTCTGTTAAAGGGGGGATCGGCACTGTTTTGACGATCCAGATTCAGCTCGTTGGAAGCTGAAGGGTCGGTGGGACCGGCCGTGGAAGGCATGGCGTCTGCCAGGAGGAGATGGCGAGGTTGAAGATATTGAGGTTAAGGTCGGCCGGGAAAAAGTGGGTAGCAGGGCAGGGTGGATTCACGGTGGAGCTGATAAGCTGGTAAGCTGGTGGGATCGTCGATAGCATTCCTCCACTGTGACATCGAGCCTGGCTCGGCTGGAGCTCTATACTGGGACGGTATGGCCTGGAGAGGTTTTTCTTGTTTGGAAGAAGTTAACAATGGATCTGGGGATGGTTGGATCCATGGTTGGGGACAACATTGGAGATGTCCCCAATGATGGCATATAGCATGTCCCATATCGTGGATGTTTGGTATTCAAGACAAGACAGGGAGACCCTAAGACGACATAGAGATAATAGACAGATCTAAAGGAGCCTAAACCCCAGAGGTCAACCCTTTAGAATCATAGAGAGTGAGCCATACCGCAAGGTAGGATCCTGCAAGAGGGGAAACTTGGGAAGCCCGTCACACCGCAGATAAGAGACAACCCCTCCTTCCTAACCTCTTTATACTTCCCCCCCCAATCCCCCCCCCCCCCATCCTCCATTCCCCATTCTTCTCTTCTCTTCTTTCCAATCCATTCACCATGTCACTACCCTCCAATGTTCATGTCTCTTCGCACCCTTGCCTCCAGGCAAAGCTGTCCCAGCTACGCTCGCAGAGCACCTCCCCCCGCGAGACGAGGGATCTAGTCAAGGAGATTGCCTCCATTCTCGGCGTCGAGGCCTTTGCAAATGGACTAAAGCTCACCAAGACTGGAACGGTAAGGCCACAGCCAAGTCAGGCAGGTCTTAAAGAGAGGGGAGAAAACCATGCTCATATCGATGCTTTGCTACTATAGGACCGCACACCGCTGGGAGTCGAATACGAGACACAGGGCATCGACCCAGCAGACCTGGCACTGGTACCCATTCTCCGTTCGGGATTGGGCATGGTTGATGGTCAGTTTACCTCTACCAGCTACTAGCTACTCAACACCTCTCCCTCCTTATACGCCAAATGGAAAGCTTACATTGTTCTTCCTCACAGCCTTGAACGACCTCCTCCCCACCGCAGTCCCAATCTACCACCTCGGCCTCTTCCGCGAGAAACTCACCCTCCAACCCGTAGAATACTACAATAACCTCCCGTTTCACCGATCAGAGCTCTCCCCCGCCTCCCCCGCTTCTCTCGATCCCACGACCAACACTGCCGCCTCCACCCTCGCCGTCCTGCTAGATCCCATCATTGCCACGGGTGCTACCGCAGAAGCGGCTATCCAGTTGCTGCGGGAATGGGGTGTTAAGAAGGTTATTATGTTGAGTGTGCTCGGCTCGGAAGATGGAGTGAAACGGGCGGCGGAGGTGTGGAAGGATGGTGTCGAGGTTTGGGTTGGTGCCGTTGATGAGAAGTGTAATGAGAAGGGGATGATTGTGCCTGGCGTGGGGGATATTGGAGACCGACTGTTTGTGGCAATTGGTAAATAGAGAGGTTTTCTTGGTATTACAAGTGTATTGGATTCTTTAAATGGGAGTATGCCATATATAAGTACGGACAATATAGTAATAGCCATGCAATAATATTAGGTGCTTTCTTCCAAGGTTCCAAGGTTCACGTTACAATAATTTTACACACCTGGGTGAATACGACTACGGAGTGAAGGTGAAGATTTCCCCGCCAAATGTGTATTCATCGATTACGTATATAGTACATTGAAAAAGGCATCAAAACATGTGCAGGTGAAATCAAGCGCGAACAAATGCTGAGCGGAGACATGAAAAAAAACAAGCATGCGCGAGGCGGGGAGAAAGCAGACAACACGAGCAATTAAACGTCAAATACAGCGACCGAGGCAGCCTCGGTCACAAGAATCAGAATCAAGTCAGACAATATCAACGCGGGAACAAAAGATCAAAAATAATAAGGGAAAGAAAGAAAGAAATCAAGGGCAAAAAATATCAAAAGGTATCAAGAGATCAAAGCAAACGGACGAGGGGGCACAAATTAGGGGCTAAAAGCGAAACGAGAAAACTCCATCGAGTGCGAGAGGAACACACAGGACCAGCCGGGTGTCGAACGAGAAACACAAAAAGCAAAGCACCGCACCGGACTCCCTGGTGTAAAAGGTCAGGGTAAAAAAAAGAGAAGATGCAACCCAAAATAGCAGAAAAGTCAGGAATCGCCCAGAGGCTCCTCGACGGAACCAAAAACACCCCGCCTTACCCCTTGACGTGTCCATTCCTGATTTCCCAATGTGTCCCAATGAAAGCGTCCGAAAATGAAAGTAAGAAAGCCCGAGAAAACAAACAGGATGAATGCGTTAAGACAAAAGAAATGTCGATCGAAAATTCTGGCGCAAAATTTAGTACGCGGTACCAACGCTGGCGAGCGACTTGGTAGGCACTGCGTGAATCGGTTGGTCCTTGCCAACACGGAGAGAGTCCTCATAGCCGACCAAGGCTTGGGAGTGCAGCTTGAATGACTCGCCCATCAACTTGGTGATTCTAATATTATTGTTAGTAAAGATTCATCATAGAAGGATTGGTAGAGAGACTTACCCCCAGACAACCACGCCGTCAAGGATGTTACCCCAAACACGGGCGACGGTGGAGCTGAGTTTGCCAAATGCGTCGATGGCATCATCGTCAAACAGATTGCGGACCTTGTTGTAAATAGCCATCTCAGCCTCAGTCGCCGGCTCGTCGTCATGTTCCAGGCGGTAGAGCCAGAGACTCAGGATGACCATCAGGTCCAGGCCACACAGAGGGTGCTCGACACTCCAGTTAGTGGCGGAGGTTTTGGCAACCCAGTTGATGCCTTGAATAGCGGCAATTTCAATGCACTCAAAGCATTGCTGAACAACTTTATTCATCTCTTGGGAGCGCTTGACCTTCTCGCGGGCAACGGTCATGGCAGCGGCGACCTCGTAGGACGAATGGTAACGCATGGCCTCCTGGATGGACTTCAGGTCAACTTCCAGGCGGGCGCGAGTGTTACGGTAGACGGCCATCGAGTTGAAGATCAAGGGGTGGCCCTTCTGAGGAGTGCTAAGCGGGACAACAATGGTCTCCGACTCGCACACATCGAGAGAGCTCTCCCAAGTCTCCAGAGCGAGACGCAGCTTATATTCAGTGACCACGTCTTGCAGCGCCTCAAAGCTGCGCTTGTGGTTCCAAACCTGCAAGAACAGAGCGTTGATCAGAACGCGAGTCGCAAAGGCGCTGTAGCGAGTTTGTTCACCCTGGAACAGGAAGTCGTGAGCCTCGCGAACAGTGAGAGTGCCGTCGACCACACCGCGGCGCCATGAATCCTCGTCGGATGGATCAAGGTTCCATAGGGACTCGGACGAAGGCAGCTCGAGGTTGTCAAACTCGTCAAAGCTCATTGCAGGAGTGTGGTTGAAGGTCAAGGTGAGCATGCCAAAGAAGATATAGACCGCGAAATAGGTGCGACGGCAGGATTCATCCTCAATCCACTCCTCGCGAGAGGGCTGGATGCCCTGGCGAGCCTCAGTGCGAACCTTGAGCTGATAACGGTTACCAGCAACCATGTTGGCCAGGAGACTCTTGATGGAGCAAGTCCATTCGAGACCCTTGGGGTCACCGCTCCAGCTCTCGAAGACCATATTGAGCAGACTACCTTGCATCAACCACAGAGGGCATTTGCGGGAATCAAAGTTCTCCTTGTGTTGCAGAAACTGGTTGACGAGGACCTTGGAGCCAACGTGCAGCATGAAAGCATGTTCACGCTCAAATGTGTACAGGGCGCCAATGGAGAGAACGGACAACAGGAGCGGGGCTGGGGCAGTAGTTGGGTTGAAAGACTGCTGGTGAAGGAAGGGCAGATGAGGGTGGTACAGGTTGAAGTAGGTGGAGAGGTACCGGTTCAATGCAACTGTACCTGGCAGCTGGAAGGTCTCGGGCAGAGCACCAAGGGTGTCGGCGCTTTGAACACGCTCAACAACCATGTTCCGCTCCATCTCGTCGGCAATTTGAGGAGCCCGGGGGAGGGTCAAGGCCTGGCTAGGACCGGGTGAACGACGGTAGTTAACAGGACTCACAGGACCGGTCATGGAGGGATACGGGGAAAGGGCATTTGGGGTGGAGTGGCCAGACATGGGCATCGAGTTGGAAAGGAGGACGTCTCCGACGGGGCCATGGCGGTCGACGAGGGTGGGCATCGAGCCAGCATCCGCGGGGGAGGTGAGCGTATCCCAAGGCATCTGGGGCAAGGTCGCGTTGCCGGAAAGGTAAGGCTCGAAAGAGCCACGACCGGGGGAAAGGGATTCGGATCGCTCGGACACCTGTTGCTGCTGCGACGTCGTCGCCGCTGCTGCAGCCTTATGTTGGAAATCTGTCATCAACATGGCTGCAGTTTCAAGGTCGACCATACCATCACTGCTTGCCTCAATCTGTTCCAACGTCGCCGGATCAATGGTGATCGAAGGCTTGGAAGGTCCCGATGAGGAGGACTTCTGGACCCCTCCACCGCGTCTGCGCCCCTCTGCAACGAGGGGGATTCCACCATCTTTGGCGTGAACGGTACGATCATGGCGGAGGAGAAGATCACGGCGAACAAAGGTACTCCGACATTTTAAGCATTTGAAGGGCCGTTCTTTTGTGTCTGTATGGTGGGTCAGCGGGGGAGATGAAAGAGGAGGGGGGTGGGATGGGATGAAAGAGAGGAAAGAGGGGGGAAAGTGGTCTCTCAAGAAAGAGATGAAGAATTCCACAACTTACGAGATCGTTCGTGTCTGCTTCTGTGTTCACTGCGGCTGAAGGCGCGGTTGCAAAATTGGCACTTGTACTTCTTCTCCGGCGCGGAGGTTTTCTTGGCCGGCGAGTTGCTGGCTATCCCGGGAGCTGAGGGAGCCATTTGTGTGAAAGTCGAGCTGAATCGTCTCAAGCGAGAATCGAAAAAGTCGACGGTTGTATTGTCCCCTGGGTGAGCTCGCACCGGTTCTGTAGGCGTGTCGAAGACAGGAGTTCGTTGGGATGTCTGATCATTCCTTGGGTGGGGGAACTGGGGGAAATCGAGGTCGCAAAAGGGAAGTGATCCAGCCACGGATACAATAAATCAATGAAAAGGAAGCGCTCTGAAAAAGAAAGGCGGGTGAGCGTTGAAACACCGCAGATAGAGGAGGGGGGAGGTTGAAGAAGAGGGGGGAGGAGGTGGGATGAGGAAGGAAAGAGAGGGGGTGAGGAGAAAAGGAATTTGGCTGGGAGGGAACGGGGGGGGCACAGCGCGGAAGGAGGGGACCAACTGGCGGCGGGCAAGTTTAGCACAAATTGGCAAGTAGCAAGTAGCAAGTTAGCAGCAAAGTAGGCAAGTACGACTTGGTCAGTGCTGGTCCAGGGAGGGGGTGTGTGAGTCGGCCGTGGGCCTAACCATCGCTTACGGAGGTTATGGAGGTTACGGAGGGGAGGAGAACACTCCCGGCCCAGGTGCATCACCCAAGTGCTGCATAAAGAGGGGGGGCTGGGGTCCTTCATCTGCGGCCACGCACTTCCCGTTCCTTCTTCCACCGGAGCGGGCGCATTCGCCTTGCCCCCCTTTTACCATACAGAATCGACACGTCGTAATGGGTTTATTAGATTTACTCCCCGATCCAAGAGGGATCCACATGGCTTCAAAACTGGACATTGAACTTCGCTGTACCCATCATTTCGGTTCAGCCGAGCGTTGGGTCGCTCTAGAAGATCCTCTGATCGACCAAAATATACGGACTACGGAAGTACATCGATGCATCCTACCCCTCCAACTTCTACTGTACATCTTCATCGTCATCATACTTTCCCCGTGTCTACACATAAAGAGCATACATGTTCTATCGACTGGTCGAAATCAGATTCCCCCTATCAACTACTCCAGGTGTTCCATCCTAAGGTTGACCTATGGCAGATGAAACATCCCCCCCAAAGAAATAATAAATCAAAAATAAAAGGTTGGAAATAAATCCCAAAAAGAAGAAGAAAAATTAAAGTAAAATAAATTTGAAATAAAATAAAATAAAATAGAATAAAAAGCAATATCAAGGTGGGAGCTGTGAGGGCTGGTGGGCCATGCAGAGGGGCCCCTCGCTCGCAGATGGTCGCCCTTTGTTTATCGCAGGGGAAAATGTGTGGGAAATGTGTGGCTGGCCAGGCATGTGAGGCGATTTAGTGTGCGATCGTGGCAGCCAAAAGTACCAAAGTACCGAGTCTCTGCGGGATGCCATCATGTCCGAGTACCTACAGGTATATCCGTACAGGTTACTCGTACTCCGTAGAGTCTCCGAGTCTTCCATTAGCCCATTACGACACATATCCCATAGGTACTTCGTACTCCGTATGTATTTCTATCTCTATTATTATGTAGGACTCCATTCTTGTGCATTCGCCTATCTCCTCCGTATATACTACTCCGTATGCACCTATCTACTGATCTTCTGATCTTTATCTTGTATAACCCCGCCTCATCCGCGGCGTGTACCGTGGTTCACCCCTCCGTCAAAAACCCCTCCATCACTTGCGATCGGCACGCCAGATAGGCTCTATCGCGTAGTTGCACAGTTCCGACTGCAAGACAAAATGGCAAGCAGCTGGGTTGGGAATGAGACAGGGATGTAATTTCCCTAGCATATTTTCTGATAGCCCTCGTTCGCCGCGAACCCCGCTAGACATTCGAATAATTGGATAATTGGATAATGGACCCGGATCCCCTCCCCTAAAAGATGATTCCCATGCTAAGACCAACTGGGTTGGATATTGGCATGGTATTCTACATACAAGGCCTGACTACGACCAACCTGGGAACCTTAGGGCCTCCCTTGGGGGCAAGGTCTCGATCGGCTCCGCCGCAAATCCTGGCGATTCCCCCGAAGCCGTCGCAGTAGTTGCAGCTGGCTTTAGTCGATCAATCCACCCCTCTAATCCGGGACCATCAAGTGGGATTGGGGGCAAGGGCCGCCAGATATTGGATGTTTCCAGGGTCAAATCAGGGATCACTGGCTGTCTGACGGGGAACGCCACAGTAGCTGCCGTCGTCTCAGCCCTCCCCTGACAGATCACCCTCTCTTCCCCCCCGGCTGGAAATCTACAGTATGTATCTCGGGGCGCCCCGCTATGTGGCGGTTCGAGCTGTGCCACGCTTGCGTGGGTAAATACTAAATTTCATGCACATATCACAAGTGGCTCAAAGAAAGTGCAAAAGCAAGAGGGATGTGCGTTGTGCGACCGGGGAGGGGGGTGGATGGGATGGCCATTGTCCGTGCTACGTAGTGAGTCCTCGAGACATCAGCTGCCGGACTGCAGGACGATCTGCATGGGCAACACGCGAATCGGGAGGGTGGGTTGAATAACATCATCTGATTCAAGCTGTTCCTCTTTTGCGAGAGGGGGACCCAGTGGGAAGCCAAAAAAGAAAAGAAAAAAGGAAAAAGAAGAAAGACATCCGCATCTGCCTATTTCCTTTGCTGTCGGCTCTTCCCACAGAAACCTTGTCGGTGATGGGTCCACCCGTTTGTCGCGTCGTGAGTTGTCACTGTCACGTACACCGCAGAAACGGTCTTCGGCAAGGCCGTGTCTCGACTTTTCGCGATTTCCCGGATCCCCTCCATGGGGCACTGCATCATTGGCGAAGATCGAAAGACGCGGAGGACCGACGCGGTTACTTGGGGAACGCGTCTGGCGACTGTCCACTGTGGCGCCCGTACAGAAGGGGGGGCCACGGCACAGCGTGGATGATCCCTCGAGACATCCAATTTACGAGATCAAAATTGCATCTGTCGAATTCTTTGTCCTTGTCCTCCCTTTTCCGGTTTAACTCACATTCAAAATGCCATACATACAACCTAGATACCTGCCTAGCATAATATACAGACAAACTCGATGTATAGGCCCTTCCTCGCATATCCAATCACATATCAAATGTATACTCCCGGATTGCCCCTTGTTTGCTCTGAAGCCAATCCCGCCGCACGCTCAGTTCGCCGACTCCCGCGGACCGCCGGATGATCATCGATTGCCTCAATCTTCCAATTGATCCATTGGATGTACCTGGAGAGCGGTCAGCCGGGGAACTTGTGCTTTTCAGGGCAAAGAAAATCCAGGCTTTCAAGCGCAGGATGAGCCCGATCCACTTCCCGATGCAGCGGACCGACCCAGCTCAACGTTCTCGACCCAAGCAGGAACCACAGCTCCATGACGACGCGGTGCATCGGTTCAGCGGTGACTTGACCGCCCTGGTACCTTTGTCCCTCTCTAGGGCTAATTGCTACTTAAACAGGTATGGCGGAGTGGGCTTCTTGATTCCTTGCCGTGATGTGCGCTGGAGCTCCCACTAGCTATTATCCTCGATCCACACCATTCCCAATCCCTTCAATGGAGGGGGGGGGGGGGACTAACCATATGGTCTCATTCCATTCCATTCCGGCGGTCAATGGAACAAGAGCCCCAGCAGGATTGCTCAATTAGACACACGCATAAAAAGACATTGGATAAATAGAAAAGAAGGTTCAAGCGGCCCAATAATGGATCTGCGAAAGGGATCGAAATCGACCCAGTTGCGAATCAAATCCCTACGCTCGCCCTGATCCACCCGTCCTCCAATGCCGTTGCTGGAATTCAGGAACATCTTCCCCGGCACCGGCCCCTGAGCTAATGACCGATGCCCACCAGCAGCCGGGCCTTGGCTGGGGCGCTATCCCCCCGACAACTCCTTAGCTTCACAACCCCACGGCTGTCTAGACGGTCTGCAAGCTCAAGCGGTCTCGTCGAGATGTCGGTGAGGAATTGTCTTCGGTAAGGCTTCATTCTTCACCGCTTCGTTATCTTGAATCCAGAAAAAGAGACTACGGACGGAGCAGGAGTATCGCTCATGCGACAGTCCCCACCAGATGACTACATGCTAACCGAAGTTTGTGTGATTTCACAGAAAGGAAAGTGTATTTGCACACGTTTACGATTGACGGCTCCATTGTGCGCGCTATCTCAATACAGTTTCGCTAAGAACTGGGGAGGGGCCTTCGAGGTCCTTCCAGCTCCCTGGTCGAGAAGGACCTCCGATGGGAGGGTGGAGGGCGACTCCACCGAAGATTTGAGTGTGATGGGTTTTCATTATCCAAGGCTACTGTACGGAGTACGGGGCATCTATACGCAGGTATGTACGATATACAAATGTCCTTTCCTTACTGTACATACCTGCCTACTTGGTACGGTGGTGTGGCAAAAGTTTGAAACCCCCCCCCCCCCCATATTGCCCGCCCTTATTAAGCTACCAGTCTACGATCAGAAGGCGGAGACGAGAACAGTTCAACAAGGGGTTTCAAACTTTTGCAACGCCACTGTAAGTATCTCTCCGTTGGCCTGAGACAGGTTCATCATTCGCACGGGACAGGTCGTGGACGCGTCGTAGAGTGGACATGGAAAATGGAGCTCACACTGACCCCCCGCCGGCATCAATTGATGGAATGGATACGAAGTACTCCGTTCAAAGGGCAGAGGATGTACGGATATAGTCAGTGCAATTGAGACAATTGCGATGATCGAGATCTATTCAGCAATGATAGTCTCTAGGACCATCAGAGTCAATGCCTATGCGATCGGCTGGATCGTGGAAGGGGCATCCGGGGAAATCCCGGTCCATGGTACACTCCCGCGTCTTAGATCTGGCTTTCTCTCTCACGTTCAGGCCGCATTGAGAGAAGCATCTTCCAAGGCTGGTCTGCATATGCATCGCATCTGCGGTCCGTGGAATTATCTTGCCCTTTACTCCGGCCGCCTCTTCCGTGGGCTTTTGATGCAGGGGACCAGCCCTGCCCTACCTTACCCTGTACTTACGTATGTACCTTGATGGTGGGTGGCCCATTCGCAAATAATAATTGGTCTCAAGGAGAGCACAAAAATGGATATCGACCTACGCCCCATGCGCGGAAGTCCTTCCGCCGAATTTTCTCGAAAAGGTGGAACACCTCCTGAAAGTGTACTTCGTACGTTGTGAAGGGGGTGTGGGGGAGGGAAAGAAAAAGAAATGGGAAGGGAATAAACGGAGAACTCGGAAAACTTTCTCCTCCCTCAAGGTTCAACGTCTGACGCGCCCGTCGTCGAGAGTTACAAGGCTATGTACTACTAGTAGCAGTAATTGCCCATGTCAAAAGGCTTGCGAGTGGAGAGTCTGGAGCCTGGAGCCTGGGTGGGTGAGTGGGCAAGTGGGTGAGTGGGTTGGCGAGGGGTCTGACTTTACGAACTGACGACTGCCCCTCGCTAAGATAGCTGGCGAGCTAGGTACTCCTCCATAAAGTTATTGGCCTCGGTCGTCATGAAACCAGAACAGAAAAAAGGGGGGCTGGGTGATCAGGATCATCGAAGACCCGACGCTTTGGATACAGGGGCCAACTGGCCTTCACTATTGGACGAAGGGAGCACCGAGCGGCAGGATTTGTCTCCGCTGCAGGAAATCCGTCCGGTTGGGTGAGCGCCCGTTGATGTTGCCCACAGGGAGGTTCCTGCGACATCCGTAATGTCCGGTCCTGCAAGGAACAGGGACGGGTGGCAAATGATAATTGACCCCGTCCAGTCGTGCTTGTGTTCTGTCCCTGAAGCCTTGAAGCCTCCGGGGAGGTGAGACCCGACTCCTGGTCAGGTTTACTTGAGCACAGTTGTTCCAAGGTTGTTCCTTCCTATCGTTCTACGGAGTACGGAGTATATTCATTCTGTGTTAGAGATACATCAAGGAATGTAGATTGCAATGTTCCCTTCATAAAGAGTACTCTGTACGTACGAAATAGAGGACCTTCGATCCACCGATTTTGTATTGCTTTTTTTTCAAAGCATCTTATCATGCCAAGCATGGCTGCTAGATAACATCAAGTACGACTTTGGGACATTAACCTAGAATCGCAATTCATGTCTCTTTCTATTCAAACTTGAAGTAAAAAATTTTAAAAAAAAAATTTGGTTTGTACATTCTGATCTACAATGTCTCGTTGCTTGCCTAGTATTTCCTAATAATTCAAATGCAATCAAGTTGTAACTTCCAAGGTTTGATGTCATTCAAGTTTGATGCTACTGGTAAGACCATCCGGGCCTATGGTTCGATGGTCCATACCAGTAATTTGAGCCATGGATACAGCATTGAATAGTATGTCATTTCAGGTAGTTTACCTTTAAGTTGATGTTGAGTTTATCGCAACATCGTTGCCTTGAACTTTTACTGCTCCAACTAGTACCCTAGGGTTACCAGTAAGGCTTGTCCGATAAGCGTTCTAAATACATATATTTAGAGTATGTATCCAATTAGTAGTACCTAAACGAACACTTCAAGTTAACCTTCAAGATTCCAAGCTTGAACACCTAATTAGCACTATTAGTTTCTTCCAAACCCTTCCTGGAAGGCCAAAGCTCTCTTCTATGGATTCTCCAGTGTTTCCAATGTCGTTGGCGAACATGTTCAAGTCTGATGCGCAATGCGCAACGCGCAACGGTCCAAACCCACTTTTCGTCGGGATCCGCCTCAAGTTCGAGGCTGGAACATCACAACAAGCAAGCTATGCGCTGGTCAGATGGATTCACTCTCGAACCATCACCGTGCCCAAATTATTGTTTCGAGTGACATCCGAGTCTTTGCCGGCCTAGCCCAGCCATTTTCACGTGGCATTCTACCGGCAGGTGCTTGACCCCGCAGCTCCGATGTGATGAACCCCTTCGATCTACAGGTACTATCACCGTCCGTGCCAGAATAAAAAACAATGGTCATGATACTAGGCTGCTCCTAGAACATGGACAATCCATGATTGTTCCTTATTTCTCCGCGGACGTACGAGTAGGCGACCCCCTCCCCAAGCCATGGGGGGGAATGCCGACCACGAGGCGAAACGGCCCGACACGGCGGATGTTTCCTAACTGTCGGGTCGACGGATGCGATTCGACGTCCATAGCCAACGACTTTGCATGAATTGACTGGGACCAGAGTCATGACATATATTCCTTCAGCATTGATAGAACCTAGTTGTAGCTCGGGAAAACCGGAGTAGCCCCCTGTTAGAGAAGAATTGGAGTAAAGGGTCGTATCACTTCCCAACGAGGGAAATCCCGCGAACTCAATTCTCAATTCTAGAACCCGTACTTTCCAGGGACTTTGCCCGAAACTCAGATTGAACGATTAGCGCCAATATACGCGTAAAGGTAGGGTTTCGATGCTTTGATACCGTAACGAGACCTGTATTTCGCCATACGATGGCGTTGAGCCGCGTGGTACATGACTTCATGAAGCACCTGTATATACAATGACGACAATGGACTTCCACTATCTTGGTGAACATTGTCGCGAAATGGGTCCAGAATAGTTCTTAGCACGGCGCACAGCATGGCTGACTATGATCCGACAATGGCCTGATTACCACGTCGCATCAGTACTTGCAAAGTCGACCAGGATTCGAAGCACGAGCCCCGGCCTGTTGCATGCGGGCAATGTACTCGGCAGCGTGACGGTTCATGAGAGCTCCCTACGCATTGGGAGCATGGCTACCAATGTTAACACATGCCTATCCATGCTTGCTCAACGTTGGCAGAGTCCAGGTCCCCAGGTACGTGCCCGGTCGTGCCGCATGGTTTAATTTATTTTCGATGCAGTCAGCACGTTTCCCAGTTGACACCGATCCCCGAGCTTGAGCGGGGGGTCATGCAAGCCACAGCAGATTTAATTAACGGCGTAACCTTCTAGAATCGTTCTGGAGCCGGTTGGGAGTCCCAATATTTTATGTTGGTGGCTTGTTAATTAATGAAACTCAACACAGCACGCGTGTTCTTAAGGATCTCATTCCGTTCAAGTTCAATCAACACTGGGGTTTGTGACGATATTATCCGACAGTGTGAAGATTATGGTTCAATTCTAAATAAGCAATAGACTGGGGTACTAATCTGCAGTCATATTTCTCCGCGATGGATGTTGTCTGGTAGTTTGGTTGGATATGTATTGTTCCGGGAGATGCAACTTAGCCACGGAGCAAGCAGGTCGACCTAGGGTCCACGTCATTGCATTGGGCTAGCCAGTCAACTAATTGACCCGATAGCAATTGAATCGAATTGATGGGACTTGGACTTGTGATCTGCCGTCCGGACCCATTGAGTGCTTCTTGAATGTATTGGTATTTTGGCTTTGTGGGCTTGGATAATTGGGTGCGTCCCTTACTGGGGGAGTGAGGCGACAGAGCCGGGATTGACCCTGAGGAACAACAATGGGTTCAAAAACGGCATCACACGTACAACTCAAAACACGAATCTACACTTTCCTGGCCCCATTGGACCGCCGTTGCGGTGGAAAACCGATGTTGAAAGTTCGCGGCCGCGGTGTCCACCGCAAGTGTCAAATCAGGGCGAGCCGCGGCCGGTCCACATGGGCGCACTTTTCACGAAACGAAACCCGACGTAACAACAGGCTGCTGTTCTGGATTTGAAAGGCCTTTGGGGCAACGATTGTCGGTTTTTTCCAGTGGATAGTGGCCAAAAGACTGGAATTGATTTATGGATCCTTGCCAGTCTGACATCCCCACGCCTGTACGAATACATAATTGGGGGGGGGGGGATGTGACGGTGACTGGAGCCCATAAGCATCCGGGGCGAGGGGCGGCCAAGGTTCAATATGACGGAGTAAAAGACAAACCGTCAATCGAAAGCAGTCAGCATGAGGCGGGTTTTACCCCTTAGGACGCTTTTGCCTCGAACCCACTGCGCGAACGTGCCGTGGTTGATCCAAGGGCCTCTCGGATCGATGGCGTCCTCCGCTATGGAGCCCGGGTGCTCAGACGTCTGGTAACACTGGCAAACCCGCGCGTGTGTGTACGGAGTACGAGTATACTATTTACATAGTCGAAGGGTAGGTTGGTGGATCACGATGGACTGTGCTGTGCGGGTCAGTTGGAATCAGTTGATGATTGCAGGGGAGTTGGAGATAGGCCCCCCCAAGATAGAAAGTGAAATACAATAGCAGGGGTGCAAAGAAAGTTTGTAGAGAATCGTTAGGATGTACGGAGTACGGAGTACTCTGTACCTGTGTTCAGTATCTAATGCAGTAAAACAGGAGAGCCGCGTCGGGGCCCCTTCCAGGGTGGTGGTGGTGGTGGAGGCAATGCGGTAAATACGGTACTATGTGTACGATGTGTACCATCTGTACCATCTGTACCAGATGTACTCCGTACCCGTACCAGTACGCCGTACCATAAAGTAATCCGTGCTTGGGAAGTCCTCTGAACCACCTGGACGGACTAGGCGCCTTATCCGTGACCACTTCCCGACTTCCCCCCTCCCTCTTTTCTCTATCCCATACTCAAAAGACAGACACACCGAGAGACACACCTTTCAACGATATCCCTTCACCCTCGATGGATTAAGTGTTGTGTCTAGATCTGTGGTTGTTCTGTGCCTCGAGTCTTTCGACCCAGCACAACCCCCAGAAAGTGGGTTGCAAAATTACCCACTGCGCCCCTCTCTCCAAAACGTTGTCAATTTTAGCCATGAGCCACGGCGAACACTGAGCCACGCTGCCCCCCTTTCACCAACACCCCCCTCCTCTCCCCTCCTCAACCGGAGGCTACTTCCCTGGTGAACTGTGTACAACCGCTTAATGTACGAATATCGTGCGCCAGAGCTGGCTGTCAACACAGGATCTGCGCTAGCCACTAAAGTCGGAGCCTTTGCGACCGCTTTCGAGTACACCGACGAACAGGCCATCACCCCCACAGCTGTAACCCGCCATCACGGCCGGGCCACCAGCAACACGCAGGATTACGATCGCTTGAATCCCTCGCCCCTCAAAAAGATGGCCACCGGATATGCCGTCAGCCCCGAACCCCCGGCGCTCTTCGTCCGGGCCATGTACGATTACGATGCCGATGACCACACGAGTTTGAGCTTCCGTCGCGGCGACATTATCCAGGTCTTGAACCAGCTGGAAACCGGGTGGTGGGATGGAGTCATCGATAACACCCGTGGCTGGTTCCCGAGTAATTACTGCACCATTATCACTGAGGCTGACGACTTTGGCGAGCACATGATCCATGTCCATGATGAGACCGATATGAGCGCCGAATCAGGTCTGGAGGATGAATATGGGAATGGCCATGATGAAGAAGAGGAAGAGGAAGAGCTGGACTCGGAAGGCAACCCGCGCGATTCGTTGCCCATTCTTCCAATTGAGGGTATCCCCGCGCCCAAGGAGCAGGAAGAGGCCGCTTTTTGGATCCCCCAGGCCACGCCCGACGGCCGCTTGTTCTACTTTAATACTTTGACCGGTTACTCGACGATGGAATTGCCATTTGAGAACCCTACAGCGGCGTCTGATATGGGTCCACGAGACCGAAACAACTTCTTCGTACCTGACCAGACACGACCACCCCCTGAGCTGATGGCCCGCGGGTTCGAGCGAGATGAGGATGAATATGACGGATCGGCCTCGGAAGCGGAGGGAGAATCACTGATGCTGACCTCGCACGACTCGATCTCTCGACGACGCCAATCTTTTATGGACGGGGTTTCCCCAGCCACCTCGATGGATTCTCTATACCCCCCTCCTGGATCTAAAGACTACAAACCCTCTCCGCAAATGACTAAAAGTCAAACGACATTTAGCAGTGGTGGAGCCACTAGCGTCAACACCTCAATCACTGAGAGCTTTTCTCGACCTTCCATATCATCGGGGACGCCACAGCATTTCGTGGATGATGGATTCGCACCCCCGGTTACATGGCCACTACTCGTGGACAATATGCGATTTGCAGTCGACACATATCGGCAAACATTACATACTGGCGAGCGATCAGAGTATGTTCGACGCGCGGAAGACATTTCCGACCACCTGCGCATGCTTCTGGCCGCTGGGTCCGATACAACAGACAACCATTCGGGCAACCCATCCATCATCTCCACCAACAAGGCATTATACCCCTACTTCCGCGATATGATGTCCAAATTTTCCAAGCTTGTCCTTTCATCTCATATTGCTGCCGCTGATTGGCCAGGCTCTGATTCTGTCAATAAATGCATGCAAGAGGCCGATGGCGTCATGCAAGGAGTATACGGTTATGTCGATGTCGCACGGCAGCAGCGCGGGGAAAATATCCACCGCATTGTCCCCGGTTTCGTCAGTGGCAGCTCCTGTGGTGGTAGTTGGCAGAATAACGGCGTGTCTCTGGATGCATCGGGTCCGACCTCGTTCCTCGTTCCGGAAGGCGGCGATTCGCGAATTGAACCTTCAGTGTCCCTTGACTCCGCACACCTCGATCACATTGACATTCTTCGGAGATCCTTCGTGGGTACAATTCGCCGATTGGAAGAGCGGTTATCTCTTAACCTTAAGATTGTCACAAGGCTCGAGCACGAAGAGATTTCGGATGCCGTTTCGGCCGCCGCAATCAAGGTCGTGGAACAATTCCGCCCATGGATCTCCACTGTCGAGTCTATCAATCTTGTGCCCCTGGGCACAAGTTTCCAGAACCCCCAGCTTGTTGACTTTAGTTTGCAAAAGCAAAGGGTCTACGATGGTATTGGCGATTTTGTTCTGAGCTGCCAAGCGATCTCTGCTCCCCTCGCCGATGAGTGGGCAGAGCTCCGCGGTGACTCCCTGGATGACCGGATAACTGCTGTGCGAATGGTAGCAAAGCAACTTGAGAATTATGTTTCACAGATCGGCTTCTCGTTATCATTGCTTCTTGAGCAGATCCCTGAAGAGGCCAATGGTGCTCTTCGAAGCGAGAGTCGCTTAGATGAGGAGGACGAGTCCCAAAAGGGCACTCACAACCGTTCCGAATCTCAAGCCAAGATCGCTACAGAGTCTATTGGTATCCCCTCATCCTATGCATTGGGCAAAGGAACCGAAAAGGTGCGCCGTAATATGGACAAGGCCCAGAGATTCTTTGGCCAAGCACCCCCAGCAGCCATTACTCGTGAACCGGTTTCTCGGGAGCCTGTCAAGGAACCTGAAGAGACACCATGGTTCTTGAAAATGGACCACGAGGGCGAGGTGTTCCACGACACTAAGAATGACACGCCGATTCTCAAATGTGGAACCTTGTCTGGACTGGTCGAACACCTCACCCGCCATGACAAGCTGGATGCGTCCTTCAACAACACTTTCCTCCTTACCTATCGCTCATTTACCACTGCCTCAGAGCTATTTGAGATGCTCGTGCAGCGTTTTAATATTCAGCCTCCATTTGGCTTAACCGCCGAAGACATGCAAATGTGGATTGACCGGAAGCAAAAGCCTATCCGTTTCCGAGTCGTTAACATATTGAAGAGTTGGTTTGATCAATTCTGGATGGAGCCAAACGATGAAGTGAACATGGATCTCATGCAGCGCGTTCATGACTTTACCAAGGATTCTATCGCCACCACAAAAACCCCAGGTGCTCCTGCATTAATTGCCGTACTCGAGCAACGCCTCCGTGGCCAAGACACAACCAACAAGCGTCTAGTCCCCACCCAGAACACCGCATCTCCACAGCCGATCATTCCAAAGAATATGAAGAAGCTTAAATTCCTGGACATCGATCCTACGGAGTTTGCTCGGCAGTTGACAATCATTGAATCACGTCTCTACTCCAAGATCAAACCTACCGAGTGTTTGAACAAAACATGGCAGAAGAAGGTCGGCCCCGGTGAACCAGAACCGGCTTCTAACGTGAAGGCCTTGATTCTGCACTCCAACCAGTTGACAAACTGGGTTGCGGAGATGATCTTGATGCAAGGTGACGTCAAAAAGCGCGTGGTAGTAATCAAACACTTTGTAAATATTGCTGATGTACGTTGATCCACCTTCCCCCCGGCCCTACCCTTGTCGTGTTACTAACAGCATGATGCAGCGATGCCGCACTCTCAACAACTACTCGACTTTGACATCCATAATCTCCGCACTTGGAACCGCCCCTATCCATCGACTAGGCCGCACGTGGGGCCAGGTTAGTGGTCGTACATCTGCTATCTTAGAGCAGATGCGCCGCCTAATGGCAAGCACCAAGAACTTTGGCGAATACCGTGAGACCTTGCATCTTGCGAACCCCCCCCTGTATTCCATTTTTCGGTATGACACACCACCTGCTGGCTAAGGCGCAAGACCTGCGTTGGAGATCCCCCAGTTTTATTTGCTGTCGTGTGACTCACATATCCTTGTCTAGGTGTCTATCTTACGGACTTGACTTTCATCGAAGACGGTATCCCTTCACTGACACCATCGGAGCTAATCAACTTCAACAAGCGGGCAAAGACCGCCGAAGTCATCCGGGACATTCAACAATACCAGAACGTCCCCTATCTCCTTCAACCCGTACCCGAGCTCCAGGATTATATCCTCAGTAACCTCCAATCTGCGGGTGACGTACACGACATGTATGACCGGAGTCTCGAAATCGAACCCCGGGAGCGCGAAGATGAAAAGATTGCAAGGTATGCTGAAACCACACACAGAGAGAAAGGCTCCTTGCTTTTTGCAAGTACCGTCGCTATTTTGCGATGATTTTTTCCAGCCTGTTTTGTTTTTGCTTTTTTCGTTTGGCTTATTCCTGGACATGGTGTCTGGCTTGTTTCGGCGATACCCAAATTTGACCTCATATTTCACATTTTCTTTTTTTGAATTGCTTGTTTGGGAGCAAGAAAGGCAACGTTTTGAACCTTGTTTGAGATGAGACTAACCGCCTTCGATTCTGAACCGCGTAGATTGCTCTCAGAGTCAGGTTTCCTGTAGGATGTGGCGGAGACCCCTGTCCCCCTGCAACCTGCGGGCGCCCGTCGCCAACCGATATCGTGGCCCACCCGCTGCCACACCGATTTGCATTCGAATGCATCCAATCAGGATTCTGGGATAGACGACGTCGCCAACTCGGGCAATCATGTGTCTCACCGTCCCGCAGCTTACACATGCTGTCGGCGGCCCCCAAAAGGGGCCGCCGGATTTTGCGACCGTGCCGAATATTAATTAATTAGTCTCCGCACGAATTCCGCCACCCGAGATCGTCCACGCCAAAGACGCCGCGGAACATGCCATACCAGTGAAGCATCCTTAGATGTCTTTGTCGGCCGCCCACCACTGTTGCTATCCGGCAATCCAGTGGGGGATCGGCCCGGAACCCGAGGGCCATCTTCTCGTGAACCTGGTCCACACGCAGTTGTCCTCCCCTCATGCATGATTCTATCCATCACTTCACAATGCGGGGATCCTTACTTTCTGCATTCAATACAACTATTCCCGTTATAGATTTCATCTCCGGGAACTCGACCGGGGAACACTCCCATTTTCTCCAATACCTTACTTCGGAACCCTTGACCCCGGGGTACTCCGTACACTAACTTGACTCTCACTTCTCTCAAATCTACTCCAACCGTCGCACATTCTGGTCAATTTGCGGTGTATTTCTTGGCCATTCGCTCACCTGATTTTCTTTGTCCCCCGACTACTCTACCCTGTCACTTTCTGCATATGCTTTCTCATTTGTCGACGGAGTGGTTGAGCTATATCCCGAGTTAATGTTTGGATGCCACCTTTAATGATATATCACGACTTTCAAGTCCCCTCTGCATGCCAGACGGGCTTTTTTCTCTCACACTTTCTTCGACTGGCCGTCATCGGAGCAGAGATACAATACAATTCTCCCATCGACTGGCTTCTTTGTATCTATTTTGTTTCAATATTCATCTGATATTATACCCTGGGTTCGATTGTGAAACGGGTCAACAGAAGCCTCTTTTTTGAAAGATCTTTTTCTTAGCCTTTTCTGAGCGTCTCAACTGCATCCATCCCATTCATGAATCTGACCTGTCAGTGACTATTCTTACCTGTTTGGTACTAGTAGTACTGGTAGTGCATCGGCGTGCGGGTCTAGAATGTACCATCTGTACCACATGTTGCAGATGAAAATTCAAGGAATTATTTTATTTTCCCAGTTTATCTTTCAGGAATTTAAACCCACTTAATGGTACTTATTTATGTGATATGTACTCCGTAGCCAGTTGGCGTTAATTGGTAGATGAAATCGTCTTTGTTTGCGAAAGAGCTGCCAAGTTCTATGAAAATGGCAGTTGTTCTTCGGATATGGTAATTCTGAAGCAATGGAAAATCAACTCGCTAAGCGCCGGGGACATCATATGAAGTTCAAAGGTAGAGAAGCGTAACAATCGTAGCAGTATCTATGCCATCAGGAAGCTTTGTCAAACGGGTTTGCCCTTACTTAAGCCGGTGGGGAGGGCTTATCCCCAATGTCCTGGAAGAGTTTCATCTTGACCTCGGAGGCCAAGAGACCTTTGACTTCCTCTGATACGATCCGCTGTCCTCCACGAACAACCTTATCAAGTTGTTGATCCTTGACTGTGGTGGCTCCGCCCCGCGGACCGCTAGCCTCGATTGCCCGTGTCGCCTTGCGGGTCTTCTCGCTGAGATCCATCATCTGCTTACTTCCATAGTCACGAGAGGCGAACAGTGGACTTTGGCTGAGAGTGGCAACCCAGTATTTGTTCCATAGTAAAGACAATATGTCCGTCTCGAGTGTGCTCTTGAAATGTGTTGTTTCGAGTGAATAGTACTGATTCGCGTGTGCGCCAAAGTCCTCCGACTTGCCGAGCGGGATGGTCTGATACTCGTCATCTTCCTGAGCCTCCTTGGATGGGGTAAAGCCATCGGGAAAAGTGCGGAATGCGCCGATCTCAACGCGGCCCGCAGAGATCGTGCGTTCGGGATCGATCACAACGGCGACAAACGGCCCGGTCATTTGCTGAGTTTGTTGTGTGGCCACGTCGATTCCGGATAGCCAGCATCCGTACCCTGGGTGACTGTGGTACCAGCCCACAGCATTCTCCATGCGTCCCGCATCTCGACACGATTGCAGATATGATACCATGTACTCGTTCGCTTCATCCTGTGCGTTGACCCGGGTTTCGGTGCCCTCGACGGGGAGGCGGAATGCATCGGTCACGATGAACGTCTCCCGGAGGATGTAGCCTTGCATAAGACCCATCACTTCCAAAGATCCGCCCGAGCGAGCGTGCATCACCATTTTCAATAGTGCGGTTGCGGAGATGCGTACTGATTTGAAATAGTAAGGGTCCGAGGCCCACGGTCGCTGGGCATTGAGGGTTTTTTGAGTCTCTTCATCGTATTGATAAAGGGCATCGCGCTGCGGATCGAAGACGCTGATGGAGTTTTCAAGCTCTGCCAGTATACATTGGTTAGTCCTTTGCCAAACTGATCTTTCAGCTTTCTTGATGAAGAGACAAACACATACCCCAGGACTGCTGTGCAGCCTGCATTTTTGGATTTTTTTCTTCTTCTCAATATAGAACCTTTGAGTTGGATAATTGAAAACTGAGTAGGAGTTTCAGGCGAGGGGGGGGTAAATCAAGGAAAAGCGCGGGGGGAGGGATGAGACTATAGAGGGGAAGATGTCAATGGAGGAGCCTCCCGATGCGGTGTGGGGCAGAAAGTGGCAGAACCAGGGCGGTGGACAGTGGTTGCCCCTGGAGACGATCGGACCAAACAGGGAAACGCGGACGGGACGATGAACCTGTTCTGTTATCACTGCGGTCCAGCCTTGCCCTTCCCCTCATAAACACCCACCTACGCTGCAATCTGCATCCCCATGTCTTGCAACTGACCATTCCCACTCCCTCGTTTTTTTCTTTGTTCGGTGCCGTGTGTCGCACATTCCCTCCACAAATTGGGCTCGTTTGTTTTGATCCCTTCGGCGCAGGCGCAGTCGCAGTGCCGACACACATCCCGTCGTTGGAGACATATTTCGTTGATTCATACTTGAACATCTCGCTGCCCGACAGGGTCTTACCTAGCCATGGCGGTCGACACAAGCTATCTGACCACTCAGGTCAATAATATCGTTGAGCAACTGCACGGCATCTTCGATGACATTGGAGTGCCTGCTCGCGAGCGCGACTCGCGCGAAGCAGAGGTAAGCTGGACCTCGAACCTACACATTGGCATTTGAATCCGAGACTGATCAAATATCTAGCTTTTCAGCGCGTTGTCAGAAACATTAAATAATCACCTCAAGATCGTTGACGAGTAAGTTCATCACGATAAACAAACACTCTTCTTTTTCGCTAACACAACCGACTTCCAGAGAGAAAGAGGAATTGACGATAGAAGCTCAACGCCTCATCACATCCATCCAACAAATGGAGGCCTCACTGGGCGATGAAAGGGCTAATGGCCAATATGAGCTCAACCGCGATGATTTGCGCGTTACCTACCCCCTCAACCGGTGCATTGCCTTCTTGCGCGAAAAGAGCGAAGGCATGAGCAAGCTTCACCGCGAACGATTCGAACAGGTCAAGAGTGAGTTGATTCGTCCCCAAATACCATGCGCATAGCTTGCTGACTTGGACAGAACTTGTCGATGCTCTGGAGTCCTACTCTTCCCATCTTGAAACATCATTTCTTCATATTGAATTGCCCCCCACTGCACCTGGCTCGACCATTCCACCCAGCTTCGATTTATCACCTTCATATGTTACAGCCCTCGATTCAGAATTCTCCCGTGTCTACGAGGAGTACCACCGTCGCGTTTCCTATGTCCAAACAACCAGCGAGGAGATCATCAAGCTCTGGGCAGAGCTGGGTACCCCGCAAGTGCAAACTGATCCCAACATCGTTAAGTGCTATCGCGAATCTCCCGAGCAGCTTGGCCTTCATGAGGCCGACCTCGGTAACCTGATGGCACGACGCGACAAGTTGGTGGAGGAAAAGAAGGGCCGAGAGCGCAAGATCAAGGAGATCCGAGCCAATGTCGAAAGTCTCTGGGAGCGCTTTGGGGTCGAAGAAGCTGATCGGAAGGCCTTCCTCGCAACCAACCGTGGCTGTGGTCTTCGCACGATCAATGAATTTGAAGAAGAGCTGGCTCGCCTTAATGAGCTGAAAAGACAGAACATGCATTTGTTCGTTGAAGATGCCCGCTGTCGCCTGCAGGAGCTCTGGGATACTCTCTTCTTTTCCGAAGAGGAGATGCTCGACTTTACACCCGCTTTCTCTGATGTGTACAGTGACGCTCTTCTGGAGGCCCACGAGGGCGAGATTGCTCGTTTGGAGACACTCAAGGAACAGCGCGCACCTACACTGGAGATGATTGACAGACACCGTGGTATTCTTTCGGATCGCGAAGCTCTCTCATCCTCAAGCCAAGACGCCTCCCGTCTGATGGCCCGAGGAAACAAGGGCGAGAGGCGAGACCCTGGCAAGCTTCTGCGCGAAGAGAAGATGCGGAAGCGCATTGCGAAGGAGCTTCCTAAGCTCGAGGCCGATCTGCGCAGAGAGCTGGAGCGTTGGGAAGACGAGTATGGACGGCCCTTCTTGGTTCACGGAGACCGATATCTTGATTCCTTGACTCCTGCACCCGCCTCAAGAATGCCGCCGCCACGCTCGAAAACCCCATCCGCACCCCCATCTACAACGAAATCTAGCACAGCCCGGCAACCAGTGTCTCGACCTGGTAGCTCTATGCGGGGCCCCCCTCCACCTCGCTCTGCCACCAAGACTCCAAATGGGAGTGGCCCCGTGAAGCATAACACTATTGGATACTCTGGGGCTCGATCGGGGGCCAAGTCTCCCACGAAGCTTCCGGCTCGTGCTCCATTGAGCAACATGCCTCATGGAAACAACTCTCCCGAACGCCGTACTGGACCTGGCAATTACTCCTCCAGCACCGTCAATGGAAAGATGGCTCCTCCCCGTGGGCCTCCCCCGAGAATGCGTGCATTGACTGTTGAGTCAAAGGAGCGCAATAGTCACCTGGTGGAGCCGCCTCGCTGCAATAGCGCTATGTCGAGTGCATTCGTTCGTCCCGTGAGCCCGGAAGACGTTTATGATGACCGTCAGCGGTCTTTCATGAGCTCTTCTGTCATGTCTAACCACCGCCAAATCGGAATCTCCCACTCTTCTCACTCATCTTTGTCGTCTCTATCATTGAATTCGTCTCAAAACTACCCTCGTGCCAACCCTTACCTTTCGCACGCGCCACCTCCCCCTGCCCTTCGTCAAACATCGAGCTCATCAGCTGGAAACACCACTATCTCCGGCTCAGAGAATTGGGAGACTTTTGATGATGCATCCGACGCGGAAGCCGACACCAGCGATGTTTACTATGGCAAGATTCGTGCCGCCCATGGCAAGCGCTTCGCCCCTGATGACAGTATGGACTTCCTGGGCAAGAAGAGCAAGGGTATCCGCAGTGTCAGCCCTGACGGACCTCACCCTGGTCAGGTCCTACGTGTTGCAGGTAGTGACTCAGAATGGGCCGATGAGTTTGAGACCTACTGATCGCTAAAATCGTATTCTATTTACTCTATCTCGACATTCTGACGCTTGCTGCATTTCAATTCCCTGGAACATTTTTTTCTTATGTTTGGCGCTTTCGAACATTGAGCTGTGGTTACGCAATCGCTTGGCTTACTTGACGATCCCATGACTGGACTCTGTACGGCTCATGGCTCATGATGGATATTGATGATCCTTTACGAATGAGCTTCCCAGATTTCCCTAATCGGGCTGGTGTCTCCCCACACGCATCCACTATTGACATACGCCCATTTCACCCTTCCTTCGTGTTCAAAATTACGATGCACATCATGTCAATCCTGTTTATGCTCTTATTTTCTTCTGTCGATGCCTTTTCCAGTCCACAGCAGTGGAAATTTTCTTCTGTTGCTCGAGGGTGGTTTTTTGTCTCTCTCCCGACACCGTTCTCTTCACGACAGAGCTTCTCTCTCAACCTTGGACGGGTTCCTTTTAATTTTTTGTTCTTTTCTTTCTCTGGTTATTCTGGCATGGCGTTATTTGTTCGTCTGTCTTGTGGTTGTTTTTGCTTTTGTCTTGCTACGGCTCGGTGCTTACGGTCTACTTATTCCCTCTCCTCTGGCTCCCGATCACGGGTTGGATTTCCTTGCTGTGTCGTCTTAATGCGCTGTCTTATCTGTTTACTTCTAGCGCCGTACAGTGCCCGCTTGTAGTTTTTTTCTGATAATATCATATCTTTCAAACCGCATTTTCTTTCCATTCGTCTAAGTAGGTATGGTACAGTGGCGTTGCATAAGTTTGAAACCCCTTGTTGAGCGCCCTAATCTCCGCCTTCTCAAGGGAACTAGTAGCTACTAGTCTACCATTTGAAAGCGGTGTATAATGATGAGCAATCGGGGGTTGGAAACTTGCGGCGCCACTGTAGAACCTGGATTACTAGATGGGCACTCACAGTTTTCTAACGGCCCGTGCAGTAATTTTGTGTACAAATATCGCCTAGGATGCTCACCTAGGATGCTCATTCAGGACGTTCATATTATATTCACAGATAATTATATTAAAAGACACAGAAGGTGTTAATTTTTGCCTTGTTGAGCCTGGCGAATTGGATCCAGTTATTCTCTCCTTCCACATCGGTCTGGTTCCATAATAGGCGAAGAAACTGCAAGACTGAATAATTACACCAGAAGCCAGTCACAGATATCGATTGCATGAAAAGTGCTTCAATTTGGGAGCACTGCTCTCTCGTCTGACACTCCGTGCCAGCAATAAAGAGAGGGAAAAATATGTCGTGGGCAAATTGGAGAGATGGGTTGGCAGCTAGCGATCCGACGATTTGCCAGAGAGAATCGAAGATTGATTGCAGTTCTCCAGTTTCTCTTGCTTGGGGCATCATGGCTTGGTAGCTGTAGAGTAGACATGCATAATAATGAGCTTCAATGATAGCGTGAAAAGGCGTCGCCATAGATTTATTATCTGTGGCTAGGAGGGTGTTCATGGATGTGGCTTTGTCATATGCGCTTAATATTTTGACGTACCAATACCGCATGTCTACATTCTCCAAGACAGGGGTATAAAGGGCACCATGGCTATCATACTGTGACCTTTCGGCCACAGTAATGTCATTGACAAGTGCTGTGAAGGTCCAGGGTTGGTCATTAGATGCCGGAGACTCGGACATATACTCTCTTGTGGTGAGGTCCGTTGCAAAAACCGAAACGTTGCCGAACGTCTCTAAGTCGACGACTTCCTTGATGAAGAACTTAAGAACAGCATTTTGAGACTGCCGATATAGCCTTTGAAGATCATGTCTTTCAATAATAGCACGGCAGGCGCGGAGGTGGAGTTTCCAATCGCTTGATCCGGGGATATGCATTTCCCCATAACAGAGGACAACCATCGAAGCAAGTGTCTCAATTAGAGAAGAATCTCCGGGTGTCGTGTCAAATGAAGCAGGGGTCTTGTGAAGCTCAAAGCGCATCTTCTGACTCAAAACTTTGAGGATTTGATTTCGAATTCGGGTGTTGACTTCCATCATGCTTGATTGGTCATGATCGGTAGCTATGGCAGAGAGATGGGCAGCGGCAAGACCCAGTATAGACAGACGAAGACATGATGATCGGCTTGCTAAAGGGACAACAAGACTTCTCCATGGGTTACTCGGACCATCGAGCCATGTCAGTCGAAATGCGACATTAGACAAGAAGTGCTGGAGTAGTTTTTCGGATAATGAACTCGAGAGTTGTTTGTTCACCAAATTCAGCTTCGCTGAGGTAAGAGTTTCTCTCGTCTCAGACGAAATCAGATACTCGAAAATCCTGGAATCTTGTTTTTCTGTCTGATGTTTCTCTCTCAAGACAGGGATCTTTTTGCCAGTCAGGTGTCCTCGACTAGCAACACCCTGGTCCCATCTCAGATGAAGAATGGGAAAGCCAGGACAGGAAAATCCACGAATATGGCATTTTTGGCATTGTGGGATCGTCCGATCGCATCTGATGCGGCGCTTGATGCAGCAGCGGCAATCTGTGGCTCATTAGTCGCGCTGTCGCTGCATGTACTCGTGAATCTGCATACCTTTCGATGCTAGTCTACGACCGGGTGGGAGTAAGTCGATCCGAACGTTCTTCTTGGCTTTGCCAGTATAAGAGGGCATCACTACCGGCTGGAGATGTTGAAAAATGTGGTGACTCAATGGTAAGAGAAGTGCCGAAGTCGTGGTGCTACTAACTAATTGCCGTCAAACTACCCCGCACGCCTTATCGGCCATTCCGAGGGAAACAGTTGGTAAATATTACATTCGAGTCATTTGTTGGTGATTGAAGCTTCTTGAACGAATAGAGATATTCAATTTGGTCTTTTCCTTCTCCTCCATTTCTTCTCTTTTTTTCTGATTCGGTTGGTGGTAGATACTCATATGATGGTATACATAACTATGTACTCTCGGTATGGATTAGTAGTAAACATAGAACTCAAGGGACGGCAAATAGTCCGCTAACCAGAGCCCCACAGAAGAAGTAGCCAACTGGATGAATAATCCCTTTCCTCATCAGTTTCACCTCGTCACATATTGACAGTCTCCTCGTCCTCCACACCGAATAGGACCCTCATGGGATCCGAATAGTTCATAAACCCGACGCCAGGCTCACACAGTCCGTACCCAAGAAGCCTCTGGGCTTGAGGCTTCAGCTGCCTGACCCTCTCAAGTGGTATCATCAAAAATTGGTTCTCGGCAGGACGTAAAGTGGGCTGGCAGAGGAATATGCCGACCGTTTCTCGATAGTCGTTCCTGCAACAGACTGGTTAGTACGACGAAGCTAGACTCATACTCAACAAGGACAGAACCTACTCCGTGATATTAGCACCTCCAGCATGATAGGTGTTGCCCAAAAAGATCAATGCATCGCCCGGCTCAAGCTCTGCCGGAATAGCTTCTTCATCTAGAGGCCGTCGTTCGGGCCCCCATAAATGCGATCCGGGGATGGCAATCGTGGCACCATTGTCCTTTGTCGTCTTTGTTAATGCAGTCACACAACCAATCATCACAGGTAACTTCTTGTCGCTGGGATGATAGTCACTTGTCATCATAGTTAGCCGGATTACACAGAAAAGAGGCGGCGCAGGGCTGAGCGTACTTATCGTCGCGGTGCAAGACCTGTTGTCGACCTCCGGGATTAACCCGAAATCCCACTGTGGAAGAAATTATTGGCTTCCCGCTCACGGTCTCCTGATGGTCCCCCCTCCAGAAGGTGTAGCTAGAGGAAACCATGGCATTGGCCACGCTGATATAGAGAGGATTACATGCGAGCTCAACACATGCGTCAGAAATACCTAGCAAGCCGCTTGCTCGCTGGGTGGTCTCGGGAAAAAAGCCATATTTGTCTGGGGTATCGCCATCAAAGTGAGGTTTCAAGTCAGTTTTGATCTGTTGCGCCAGCTCTTGAGAGATAAGGTTTTTGATGATTACACCTCCTTCGCGTTCAAGGACCTCAATGACTTGTGCAGGTGTTGTGGAGTCTTTGGCGGCATCTAGTCGGACGAAAGATGGCTTTCCAGCTAGAGCTACCATCTTGAGTCTGAGGGGTTTCTAAATTAATTTAGAAGACCGGGCAAAGAGTGTTGATGAAGGTGACCACTTGGTCTTTATAGAACGGAAGCAACATGATGAAATATTGCAATTCTCAATATCCTATGATCACAAGCGTCATACCGTGACCAAACTAGACTGGATAAGACAGGTTATTTGAGAAAATGCACGCAAGAACCAGAACCCCACGTTGGAACATAGTAAGTGGTCAAAGAATGTAATGCCGGGAGAGAAGCTTGACCGTCTTCGCGATAACGCGCCATGGCCACATAACTTAAGCTCTGGTAGCACTTCCGGTCTAAACCTTTTCTAGGAGGTCGGGTGAAAAAGCGAGATAGGAGGGTGGTTTTAGCGAGATTAACCGTTCGGAGGGAGACTAAGTCAGTTAGGGCAGTGCGGGCGAGAAACCACATGCGGGGTCGGAGAATTAGGGGGCACGCGGGCAACATGAGCTTCAGATGGGGGTTTCTACAATTCAGGAATAAGAAAGATCTTTGCTGAATTATTTTCAAGTTGCTTGTTAGGACAGGATTAGAGATGCTTATTGGGCTTGGATGGGCTTGGATCGGAGTGGCTTTCTGTAGAGAAGAGTTGACTGGGACGGCCTGCGGCCAAGCATTTAGCTTCGAATTCAAATTCTTGCCCTCGAGCCAATCCATTAGATTAATTTGGGGCTCTAAAGCCGAGGCCTATTCAGGTTTCCTCGGAGAAATAAAAAAAATCCGTTTACCCCCTCTTAATCCTGAATTTCCTCTTGTACTCCACCGTTGAAATACTCCTCCATTATTCTTGCCTCGATCGCCTTTCCCCACAAGAACCATGGCCGAAGTGGAGAAAGATGGCACGACCATGTCCAAGGGGAATCTTGCCTTTTTCTCGCCTACCAATGAACTTAGCTATGACGACCAAGTTGTGTCCGGAGAGCCCCGCGGCTCGCCGCAGCTGAAGCGCAAGTTGAAGAGCAGGCACTTGCATATGATTGCAATTGGTTAGTGGTTTGCTGAGCTGGCGAAGGAGTAAGAATACAATATTAACTGATGAAAATGCAGGTGGAACCATCGGAACCGGTCTTTTCATCGGAAGTGGAACTGCTTTGGCACATTCTGGGCCAGTCGGTGCGCTCATCGCATACATCTTCATCGCCACTATCGTTTTCTCCGTGATGACCTCCCTAGGCGAAATCGCCACTTACATACCGATTTCTGGAGCATTCACATCATATGCAACACGTTTAGTTGATCCAAGTCTCGGATTTGCCATGGGCTGGCTTTATTGGTTTTCATGGGCCATCACATTTGCTCTGGAGCTTGTCACAGTTGGTTTGATTATCGAATACTGGAACAGCTCGATTTCAATCTCTATCTTCATAGCCGTTTTCTGGGTGTTGATGACCTTGCTGAACTTGCTACCGGTTAACTTTTATGGCGAGATCGAGTTTTGGTTCTCGAGTATTAAGGTTTTTACAGTGATTGGATTTATGATCTTCGCCATTTGCATTGATGCTGGTGCTGGTGATCAAGGCTACCTTGGATTTCATAATTGGGTTCACCCCGGACCTTTCGCCGACTACCTCATAACACCTGGACCAACAGCTAAGTTTGTTGGCTTTTGGGCTGTCCTCATTCAAGCCGGATTCTCGTGTCAGGGAACGGAACTTGTCGGTATCGCAGCAGGCGAAACGGAAAACCCACGCCGGACGATTCCAAAGGCTATCAAAATCACGTTCATTCGTATCATTTTGTTTTTTGTTCTGACAGTTTTCTTTATTGGTCTTCTTGTGCCATATGATAATAAGGATCTTCTGTCAGGGGCATCTAACGCAGCAGCATCACCATTTGTCATCGCTGCGCAATTGGCAGGCGTCAAGGTCTTGCCCAGTATCATCAACGCTGTTCTTTTGACCGTCGTTTTATCTGCAGCCAATTCAAATGTCTACAGCGGCAGCAGAATTCTTGTTGGCCTGGCACAAGAAGGGTTTGCCTTCTCCTTTTTCACCAAGACTACCAAAGGCGGCGTACCATTCTACGGGGTCTTACTCACCTCAGCCATTGGCCTTCTGGGCTTTTTGAACGTTTCTAATTCAGGAACAACGGTATTCAATTGGCTGTTGAATATCTCGGCAGTTGCCGGGTTCATAGCCTGGGCCACCCTGAATATGTGCCACATAGGGTTCATGCGAGCTTTGAAGGCCCGCAAGATCAGCAGAGATGTGCTTCCTTACAAGGCACCTTTGCAACCATATCTTGCCTGGTATGGACTTTTTGTCAACATTTTGATCATATTCACACAGGGATTCACAGCCTGGATTCCGTCATTCAGCGTGGAAAACTTTTTCGTGGCATATATCAGCGTGATTTTGTTTGCAGTACTGTGGATTGGCCATAAGCTTATATTCCGTGACGCTTTTGTTTCTCCACTTCAAGCAGATCTTGATACTGGGCGCTTGGAGATTGAGAACCAGCATTGGGAGGTCACAATGCCGACCACTTGGTATGGAAAGCTTTGGAATATCCTAGCTGGATAATCCATGAATCACTCGGCGCGGCAGGCCACTCATCGCATTTTTCTTTGATTCTTCATGAAAGGTTGCATTTTTTTAGAAGGAAAAATAATAATATATACAAATACAAGCTATTCGAACATGCTGATTTCCTTCCGTGCTTGGAGGTAATACATATTGTACAATTCGCCGGCTGCTCCAGGTTGTCTTTTATTGTTTCCCAGGAGCCAGAGAGCCCATCCAAGTCTGGTCCGCGTCCTTCTCCTTGTTGGCAGAGGACTTGGGAACTCGTCGACCGGTCTCCGGAATTAAGGACTTGGTCATAACCTTCGCTTCCTGCAACCTGCGCATGCTCTCGTCTCGTCCCAAAATAGCCAGAGTCTCGGGAATACCAGGCCCTGGTGCCGAAGCCGAAAGAGCCCAGCGCAGGTAGTGGTACAGTTCTTTCTTGAATAGCTTATCCAGGGCAATTGGTGCATCTTGTAACTCAGAGGGCAGTGCCACAGACTCGGAGCCGTCATATGAAGTGATGTTCATGCGGTGCGTTTCCAAGGTCCAATGAGCAGATGGCACGAGAGCGAAGGCAGCAGCAGCAGTATGGAGTGCTTGCATTGGAATGGTGGGAGTTGGTGCCGGGTCAGATGACGTGATGGGAGTAGAAGCAGGAGTATAGGGAGATCGATCGAGTTCTGTGGTAAAGAAGGTGGAGTTGCGCTCCACAAACTCCGATGCTGTTGTGTAGGACTTGGCATCGGCATGCAGAAGAGGAGCGACATATTCGTTGAGTGCACGACCTTCCAAGATCCTAGCAAGGGAACCTTGAGTCTGGCTTTTCTCGACAACAGCGGAAACCCTGTTCACCATTTGATCGAAGTCATGTCCACCGTCGGCTGCAAATCGCTGGGCATGAGCCTTCTGAAGGAACCAGAGCTTCTCGAATGCGACGACAGTGTTCCCTCGAGTAATCTTCAGATTAAAGATGTTCTCCAACTCTTCAAGATTAAAGATATCGGACTTTTGTGAATGAGACCAGCCCAAGAGCGCCGCAAAGTTGACCAATGTAGCTGGGAAGATTCCTTGTTGGTCTTTAAACGAGGAGAGGTCGATGTCAGCATTTCGCTTGCTCAACTTCTGTCCGTTCTTATCAACAAGAAGAGGGACGTGACCAAATTGCGGAGGTGTCCACTTGAAAGCATTATAAAGCGCCATATGCATTGGCGTAGAGGGCATCCACTCCGTGCCCCGAATGACATGGGTAATTTTCATACAATGGTCATCCACCACATTAGCCAAATGGTATGTCGGGTGCCCATCCGATTTCAGCAAGATGGGGTCATCATAGACGCGGTCGATTAGGTCTAGTTTGCTGACGTTGAGCTTGTTCTGTCCGGTCTTGCCGTAGACGAGGTCGTTGAACATGGGGTATCCATCCACCTTCAACCGAACTACATGCGAATCTCCCTTGGAAGCGCGGTCCTCAGACTCTTCATGGGAGATATCGGCACACTTCCGATCGTATCCGGGTGCTAGTCCTGCTTGACTACGATGGCGGGCGTGGGAGTCGAGCCGCTCGGAGGAGCAGAAACATCGGTAGGCATGACCGTTGTTGATTAGATCGTTTGTGTGGGTTCGATAGAGAGCAGTCCGTTCGGACTAAGACAATACGTATCAGTAATGTTCGAGGTATGGCGTAGGATGGTCTCTCACTTGTCTATATGGTCCGTATTGACCACCAACAACAGGACCTATCATTGCCGGTTAGCTCGTGCTGATTGGGTCAAATCGCACTCGGCTTGAAGTTACCTTCGTCCCAATGAAGTCCTGCCCAATGTAGGTCGTCGTATAGTCTCTGCTCTGCGTCTGGGATTGTCCGTTTCTGTGTCTCTTAGCAAATCGTTCTTGCGTGATTCCGAATGCGAAGACCAACCTGGTCGGTATCCTCAATGCGGAGTAGGAACTGACCCCCCAGTCCGCTTGGCAAGAAGGTAGTTAAACAGTGCTGTCCGGAGAGAGCCCAGGTGAAGATATCCGGTCGGTGAGGGAGCGAAACGCGTGCGCGCAGGGGCGTCGGGGAGATTGTTCTTGGGTTTGCGGAGTTGCGCGCCCGCTGATGAGGACGAGGCTCTGCATTGAATGCAGGTCCAGGATCGCCGAGCCAAAAGGGCACTAGGAGTAGCCCTCATCGAGATCGAGTTGAATGTGAGGTGATCGGCGAAGGTTCAAGTTGGGGGGGGGGGGTTGTGGTTCGAGGGGGAATTTTTGCGGAGGCTCGGCAGCTCCGCGCGATTGGAAGCTTCCCGCAAAAATTCGATGAACTTAACTCCGTTCGGCTTCCTGCCTGATCTTTCCTCTTTCCTCTTTCCTCTCTTCTCTTATCACGTCAACACTGCTCCACCCTAGTTCAAGTGCCTTTGTGATTCTCATTTTGGTATCGTCCCAGTGACTAGGTGTTGCAATTCTGTATATCTGCAAACAGTAGGTTCTTGTCCTTGTCCTTTCCGATCGGCTTGTTGACTGTTACTAATTTGACCTGCAGTGGCTCAAGTTGAAATCGACCTCTACGGTATGCGAAAGGATCCCAGACGTTATCGCGCACGCGCAAATGATACAGCGGAGCTGATTAAATATTTTCCACCGATACAGAGGTCCTAGAGGTCCAAAGAGGGGCGAGCAAAGATGAAATTCGTTCGGCTTACCGCAAGGTGTGTCCGCCATTCGCGACTGCACTGGGAGATACAGCGCTGACAATGATCATATCTAGGCCGCCCTCTCTAGCCACCCCGATAAAGTTCCCGAAGATGAGCGCCCAACTGCCGAGATCAAATTCAAGGCCGTTCAAGAGGCATACGAAATCCTTTACGATGACCAGAAACGCCACATCTACGACACCCACGGCATGTCTGCTTTCAACGGCTCCGGTGACCCCGGTATGGGTGGTGGTATGCCCGGCGATGTCGACCTTGACGATCTTCTGGCGCAGATGTTCGGTGGTATGGGCGGCATGGGTGGAGGCATGCCTGGCATGGGAGGTATGCCCGGGATGGGAGGGATGCCTGGAGGTGGCCAGCCTCGCCGAAGCCGCAATGAGCAACAAGACTACGAAGTCAGCCTAGAGATGCTTTATAAGGGAAAGACTGTCAAATTCGCCAGCACCAAGAACGTTATCTGCAGTCTTTGCAAGGGCAAGGGTGGCAAGGAGAAGGCCAAGGCCAAGGAGTGCTCTACCTGCGGGGGCCAGGGAATTAGGGAAGTTATCATGCAACAGGGCGGCTTCCTCACCAAGTCGGCCCAGCCCTGTACCACATGTAACGGACAGGGTCGCTTCTTCAGCCCCAAGGATAAGTGTAAGAAGTGCAAGGGCAAGAAGACCACCGAGGAGAAGAAGATTCTTGAGATGTATATTCCTCCTGGTTCTCGGTATGTTTCCCCACTCATCCGGCTTAATATGCCAAATGAAGATTGACTGACCCCGTTTTTAGTGAGGGGGATAAGATTGTGTTGGAGGGTGAAGCGGACCAGGTACCTGACCAAGAGCCCGGTGACATTATCTTCCGCCTGGTGCAGGAGGAGCACGAAGTTTTTGACCGCGCTGGTTCCGACCTTCGGGCTAGCTTCGATGTGACAGTGGCTGAGGCTCTGACTGGGTTCTCTCGCGTGGTGATCAAGCACCTCGACGGTCGTGGTATCGAGCTCACACACCCGGCTGGCAAGGTGCTCTCACCCCTGCAGGTTCTCAAGATCCCCGGCGAGGGTATGCCCATCAAGCGCAGCGACTCCAAGGGTGATCTCTACTTGGTTGTCAACGTCACATTCCCCGAAGAGAACTGGAAGCCTACCCCTGAGATGCTCGAGAAGATCAAGCAGGTGCTTCCCGGACCCGAGGCTCCTATCACAGCCGAGACGGTGGACGAGGTTGAGTTCGATCCGAAGGGCAACATGGAGGAGTTTGGCGCCCAGGATGCGCAGGGCGGTTCGGCCTGGGCTGATGATGAAGAAGAAGAAGAGCCAGCGCAGTGCGCCGCTCAGTAAGCGCCAAAAAAAAGAGATATCCTGTCTTTCAGTCATAGAAGGCGTTTGGGGCTTGCACATTCTCTGTTTTGTTGGATTTCTTCTCGGGACACGAACATCTCCCATCCACGATCATGACCGTACAGTAGACTAGCTAGTCGCTAGAAATCATCTCCCATGTTGCATTAATTTGTATCATTGCTACGTGCATGTGCACTATAACAGTGGAGTGCTTGGGTGGGTACGAATCTCGTAGGTGTGGAGTGGCATCTGTCATGCCGGTACCGCCGAGGTGGTTAATATGCACCCACCAGCCCGTTTGCTGCGCCAGGGGATAATTGCCCTCCCCTGCATTGGTGATGGCCGCCAATCTGGCACATCGGGCTCACCATCGATTTTGAACGCAAGTCCTGAAGCGGCCGCGGGTGGCAACCTTGCAATTTTACGAGATGGAGATCGTTTAAGGGTCAATCTTGACAAGCGAAACGTTGACATTCTTATTGAACCGGCAGAGCTCAAGCTTCGCCGCGCTGCTTTGAAGGCTAATGGTGGGTATAACGGCCCAGAGAGTCATACTTCGTGGCAGGAGATCTTCCGTCGTGAAACTGATCAATTGAACGAGGGTATGGTTCTCCGGGATGCTGTCAAGTACCAGCGAGTGGCGCAGCGATGGGATGAGCCTAGACATAACCATTGAGCAGTTGTGCATATTTCAGAGATGGTCCTGCTACGAGAATACTTACATGATACTACGCGACGGAATTTGTACTAGATCAAGAACCGGTGTGTTAATAAAGTATGAGCTTACCTTCCAAGGTTTATTGTGTGACAATACGTCGACGATATCAGTACCTTGGGGATCTTTTATTTTCCTCCATTGCATTTTGACATTGTATTTACAGAAACAAATGTGAGATATTATCGTGTTTTATTAATCGAACAAGATTCTAAATATCGCAGAAACGTGGTATAATAAAAGGAAAGGCTTCATAAAAGGCTTAAAAATGCTTTATCTCTATCATCCTTCAACAGAGCTCAAACGCATAAACTAATTATCCAGGAAAGCAAATCAGGCATGGCTATATCCAGGGTTATTATGGTCATATGCAGGGTTATATGCGGTATTGTTGTATGCGGTGACCTGGGGAGGCGGGAGATGGGGGCCATTGGCATAGCCAGATTCGTAAGCGTTGGGGTGGTTGAGAGGGAAGCTGTCGTCGTTGACGTTGCCCGACCAGGTCGCCTGGTCTTCGGGAACGCGACCGTATTTTCCAGGGTTGTTTGCGCGTGCCTTGGTATCCGCAAAGTACCAGAAGAAGGTGATGACCATGTAAATTGCCATCAGACCGACATCCAAGCCATATTGCGGCCACTCGTTCTCTTGGAGGTAGCCGCCATTCCCACTCTTGTACTCAATAAGACGGTAGATGTTTCGGCCCGTGATGAGAACGCCGGTCATATAGATCGAATATATCATCAATTGCAGGCGCAGGGTTGGATCCACCGATTTAGCAATGTGATGCTTCGAGACTCGGATATGGAAGATCACAGCTGACACGAGGAAGACCAGGAAAAGGATCACCTGCAGTGCAAGACCAGCGAGGATGACGTTTTTCGCGACATCGACCTTATGCGCGGTGTCACTATCGTGAGAGTTGACTAGGTTGGCAAGGCTGACAGCTCCAAAAGCTTGGACCAGAAAACAGAGGATATCGCCAATAACAAAGATCTTGGTTTCCCAGTTGACACGGATCAGCGAGAGCTTAGGGTGTCCAGACGCGACAACCAGTCGTCCAAAGAACATGTAGACGGCGGCAGCGTAAAGAATTGGCGCCAGGAGAATCAGGACCATCTGGACAATGTATGGGGGGGAGTTTGTCCAAGTGATCATGTCCATAGGCTCGTGCTAGGAGACCCACAAACTCGACTGTTCAGATAAGAATTTTCATGTTAGTCAATTCCTTCAAGTTCCCAAATTTTTAGCAGAAGGCGTGAGAGGAGCACTTACAAAGTCCTCCAAGGAGGATAGCAATGCCAAACCATTGTCGCGTGGTGAAGATTTTCCAAGTGTGTATGACCGATGTGGAAAGGAAAAAGGCCGCGAAAACAATAGCCACAATCTTGTTGGGCGTGTAGTATTCGTAGAGATTGTCGCCCGATGCCATGGTGATAGTCGTGCACGTATTCGTGGAGGTCGTTAAAATCTTGTAGTGGATGCTTATGATGAGCAAGCTGCCCAAGACTTTATAAAGTTCCTTGGGCGAGGCTGTGCGTCAACGGCCCCCACGGAGGAGCTGATTCTCAAATCAGATTCGACCAGCTGATTGGCTCCCACTGCACCACTAAGTCGGTCTCAGCCTCGTTGAGCGGAGTCCAGCCGCAGTGTTTTATTCCGTTTCAAGAGATATGGAGCGACCTGGCTTCTCTTGGGGTGCATAGGGCTGTGTTTTGGGCAAGTAGGTTGACAGCCAAGTCAACAATGCAGCCGCCACGTCGTCACACCTGTGTGCACCGAAAGTAAGTCGGGGGCACACGAGCACGAGCTTGAAACAAGTTGACCAAACCGAAGCATCATTGCGATATCCAATTGCTCGTTGAATTTCCAAATAGACTCACTCCTGTAGTAATCCGTATAAACCTTGATGCTCTGCGAGGAACAACTAACCGTATTGTGAACAGGTTCCGAAGATCCAGTGGGTCACCAATTACCGAAGACGAGGCGGATTTTTATTTCTTCACGTCCCACGATCAGTTAGTGCTTATCCCCCTGAACAGTACTACTCCGTAGTGGATACTGAAATTGCGCGCAAACCCAGCCTTCTCCATCGAAGTCACGTGGTATTGTTGACGCCTGGCAGCCTAAAATTAGACGTCGCAAGATCCACCTTAAGTAGACTAGCGTAAAGTGATATCCAATAAGGATTCAGAGCAGACTATGCAGACTCGTCAATTGCGATTTGCATACCCAATTTGGAAGGAGGCTGTTTGAACCCCATTCTGTCATGCAGACACAGTCCTTTCATAAAAACAATGCTCCGCTTCCCGAGACAAGGCTGGAAATAGCCCCAGGAGAGAATGTTTAAGCTTATCCTAACAGCCAGGTAGAATACAAATCATATGAATAAGCGTGTACTCAAGGTACGAATGCTGTGTAGCTTGTTGTCGAAGAATGACTAATTAGATAAGAAAATAAGCCATGATATTTATTCGATCGAGTGCCAGTGAGTTCATGTGAGACCAGGACCACAGAGGTGTTCTGAAGTTTTTGATCCATTCGCCCAAATGAAGTACCAAATCGGACCGTGACGTCCACCAGGCAGTTTGGAGTAGAAAAGTGGATTCGATTGATATTTCTTAACCCCCATGGCTGATACAAATTATTGACTTTCCTAAAAAGAAAACCACCAGGGGCCACTAACTCTAATCTACTACAGAAATCACCAAAAAAGACGCCGAAGACACATGTGATTTTCAACAATCCCAGGCACCAATATCAACTTGTACTTCATCCAGCTGGGTTCGCGCAGGTAAACGGCGTCAGTGCTGAACTTGCAAAGCTTTCGCGCATTGAGGTGACAGATGCCCAGATACCCAGTCCAGCGGATGACAGCGCAGCAAGCGAGTAGATTACGTCAAATGTATTCCAAACGAACTTCTTCTTGTATCCTCGGATCCAGCGTTTGATACCATGATCCACGCGGTTGACTTCACCAGTCTGCGGATTGTACTCCTCCTCGGGTAACATTGCGTCTTTCTGGATATTGAAACCAACAAGCAGCATGGGGGGGGAAGGTATAAGAAAATTGCAAAATACAGGCGGCGCCGACGAAAGAGGTCAGGTTGCTGATTTGGGGAATTGCGGCAGCGATGATCCATGCAAGACACCAGTAGATCGGGACTATTAGTTAAGATGTTAGCGTTGACTTCAACTTTGAGATAATCGAGTAACTTACCGAGCGCAATCCATAGCCATTTCCCCCGACGGCTATCCAGTGGGGGAAAGTGGAAGACATCGCGAAGAACCGCAGAATAGAATACCTTGATTCCGATATTTCCATAAAGCAGAGCGGCGATAACGCCGGTGATAAAGGAAATTGCGTTTCCAAGAGTTTGGAACCGATAAGCACTATTCGGAATGCCTGAGAAGCAACGTTAGTACGGTGGAAGAGGGAATAAGAAGTTAAATAAACTTACCTTGATAAGCAGGGTTGAAGGTAAATTGTCCTTGTGCACTGTAGACAACCATGCCCATGATCAAATAGCAAGCATAGATGAAAATTTCGGCGCAGATAAATCCCTTCCAGAAATCATAAGGCCGTCTCATCTCAGCCATGAGTTCATTAAATAATGTCGCACCACCGTACGCGAAAACACCGTTCATCATGGCATTCACTTTATCATTGAGGGTGGAAGATTCAGGCCAGTTGGCAGTTGTTACCACAGGGCCCTTGGGGATGTTGTAGCTTTGTTCAACTGCCTCGTAGTTCGGAGGATATTGGTGAACGACGGCCATGGTCATTATAATGACAATAACATTCAGCCAAATGGCAATGTTTGCCAGCCAAGAAAGGCGCTGCAAGGTGCGAATTTGGCCTAGAATGAATCCGATGAGCATGAAAATCACCTCAGCAACAATGAAGCAAAGAAATCCATTGCCATTGACACCAGCTGCCATCTGCGCCAAACCTTGTCCGTTGCTAGTGATCAAAAGGGCCACGTTCAGGAAAAATTGAAAGCTTTGCAAAAAGTTGACTATGATACGAGCCCAGCTGCCAAACACTCGGAACGCCACATCGCCATAATTGCGCATGGGGAATCGAGTTGAATCCAGGCCGACGAACATGTGCCACAATTGCATGCCAGAGTAACACGCCATGGCACCGAATGCAGTGTATAGAGCAAAGCCAGGCCCATATCCCATCTTGCTGATTGCCCATGGCACATTGGTGGGGCCCAAGATATCAGTGGTAATCAAGTAGAAGATGGAGCCCCAAGTTGCGGTCCGGCCTGCTCTCTGTGCCTGTTCCCACTCAGTTTCGGTCACGCCCCAGCTATCTGAGGCATCGCTATTCACGGTTTGGTTCGAGGGTTCTGGGGCGCCGTTTTTCTCGTTGGTAGTGGTAGCAGCGGTATCGGATGGTGGTGACGCTTTGGACTTTTTGCCGATGATAACACTGCCCAGTGAAGCGAGGCCGACGTTATCGGTTCGCATATTCTTTTCAACCTCACGAGAGCGCTTTGCCCAATAATGGTAGCTCTCGAAGTTGATACTGGTATCCAGGTAGATCGAGCCATGTCCATGCAGTATCGGTGGAGGAATCTCGTGGGACATTGTCTCCGGGTGTTCCTCCTTAGTGCCAATGACATCTGCTTCGGCTCCTGAGACGAGAGTCGGCAACACCGCCAATATTGGCAGCAGAGATATTGCCGGCCATTTTCAAGAAGAGACAAAGAGAGAATAGGAGATATCCTCCAAGATCAAAGTGTAGATCCTATGATGCCGGATAGTTGCGAGTAAAGAGAAGTGGAAAGGATACTTCCAGTCCAACAGGTCAGCATCGCGGGTCTTTCTAAAATACGTCTGGACGCCGTTCTCATTTTGCGGGGAACAGACATCATTTCCGAGGCGTGGACAAGATGATAACGGTGGAGAATCCAAAAACTAGTCGCAAGCCCCTCTATCCGCTGATGGGTCAGTACAATCTCGGAGAGTGATTTATCAACAGCCTCCGGGTCCGCCAGAATCATTCAGGATGTAACGATGCAACCATTGACCCCATGTTTGGACGTGGACCCGGGAGCCTGCACTCGGAAATACCAAACGACCCACATTAGTGGATCGAGTCTCTCGGCAAAAGCTTGTCTTGTACGCGTTCGAAGCGAATGGGTTCAATCAAAACCGGATGACTGACGCAAAGTGTCGCTGCTTGCGGTTAGCACAGCATCAAAGTTGGCCCGAGTCCTTGATAGTATGGGGTCATTGCACGGTCTCCGTGCGCCGGCGTACCATCGGAGACCGTCTCCTCATACAGCGCCTCTCGCGTGGCTTGGACAATGGCATTGCTTGTGAGGCTTGATTCGGGAACCTTTTCTAATTGAACACGGGATTTTGCTTGGGCGTTTGTGGGTCATTGAATCTGGGGTGTCGCATTCCCAGACTTTTGGGGTTCATGGGATACGTTGCGCAACGCCACGTTGTTATCGGCAGGCAGCGGCAGGCAACGGCATTTGCCTGTCCCCATCCTAGGATAGGCTCCTTCGTTATCATCCACTGAAATGAGGGAAACGAAAGCGAAATTATCCACTCCGACCGCGTGTTTCGGGCGGGGAAGGCGAGAGAGTGGACCCCGGGAATACCCTCATTATTCATAATCAGAAGAGGGTCACCGGAAGCGATAGGCAGACCAGAATCAAGACAGAGCTGATGGTGATGATAATGATAATGATAGCGATGAAGGAGAAGACCCTAAGAAACGAGATCTGACAGAGTGTGATTGATAGTTTTGTCAGCACTCTGTTCCAATAGTGGGTGCCGCTATGCCGCAAGGGGTATCGAGTTGAATCCTGCAGGTCTAATCCTTGTCTATTCTCTATTTATACATCGATGCTATGCTCTAATTGCGCCCAATCATATCTAGAAATATCGACATCTGACGATACATCTCCAGCGGGCTGGAGTACATGGGAAAATGTCCACACTCTTCGATCTGCGCCAATTCCACACCCCCCTTCTTTAGCTCTTCGAGATACGACAACCCTCTCATCTCCCATCCGAACATGAACATTCGCGGGAAGGGCAACCCCATGAACATTCCCAGCAGATCTGCCTCGTCGGATAACTGTACCATCGATTCGAAAATTGGTCGCACTGCTTCGACGCGAACTCGCGCCCGAAGAGTGCTCGCATACAGGGCACTTCCGAAAGACCCACTGGTTCGGGTCCGGTCGATAAATGCATTAAAGAAGTCCTCGGGATCATCTGATTTGAATGTGAAGATCTGTCTGCTGAGGAAGCAGTCTTCCGGAGCCAAATTGCCCTTGATATCCACAAAGCTCAGCACCCGGTCGGGGTTGCGGTGCGCCAGGTAGAGCGCTGTGAGCCCACCCATAGAGTGGCCCATCAAGTGAAAGCGAGTGAGTTTGAAGTGTTCCAGGAATGCTTCTGCAGTAGCGACAAGGAAAGGTATATCCGTGGCGGAGAGCGTATCGCTCTTGGTATGACCGCACCCTGGCGCATCGTAGGCGATATACCCATACTGTTTCAGATACGGGTGGATATGTACATCTGCCAGGTCTTCTTTACAGGACCCAAAACCATGCAGGAACAAAATTGGTGTTTTAGAAGTCAAACTGTGAACTGTAGAAACTTCGAGATTGACACCCTGGACTTGGAGTGCGACGGTTTCGTAAGTGAGCGACATCCCGATGTTAAATGCAAGAAAAAAAGAATGTAGGTGGGTTGCAGAACTTTGAAACTGCAATTGCCATCCAAATGGCAAATTGGGGAATTATTTATGGCAAAGTTGCCATTCTGACATCAAAGATCGGTCAGCAACTCGGGGAGAAGACATTTTGCCGATGCGTTGCCGACAACGGCGAAGGTTGGTTCTGCCGGCCCGAAGAGCCAAGCAAAAGGTAAAATTTATTGAATGATACTACTACTTCATAGATAATTTGATTCAAATATAGCAGGCTACCTCACAAACCCCCCCCTAGAAACCTTCTAACTTATACAATGGCTCCAATTCTGCCGATCGCCGGAAGAAAATATAGCGCCGAACAAACCATGGCAACCAAGTACGAGTCTGATACCGCGCATGTCTGCTTATCGGAACACCAAAGGTATAGTCGAGCTCTTCAAGCGTACGTTGTCTACCCAAGTTAGTAAACCTTCCTTAAAATCTTGACTTCCGGGACTCACTTTGTTTCCGGAACCACGAGGAAGATGATCAGAAAAGCGAGAATGTTTAATCCCGCATAGAATCCGAAAGCTAGGGTTCAGATCAGTCATTGCATATTTTTTTTGGATGTATTCAATCGCTACTTACCACCAGTGGGCGTTGTCTTCTTTAACAATGATGGGAATGTAAGGCTGAGAGCACTCCCTATCGAGTTATTGACGCAAATCGTGAAGGCGGCCCCCAGTTCACGGTGGGATAGCGGGAAAGCCTCGCTGAAATAGATCGAGGCAATAGGTCCGATTCCTAAATTGGTGAGCTGGTTGTCTTCTGTAAAAGCATCGAAAGACCTACCTGGTCCGTAAAATGCTGAAAACAGGTAGACAAAGAAGGCAATCAGAGGCACTCGGGCTTCAGACCCCGTGGGAAGCAAGAAGCAACAGCCTGCCGCCAGGAGACACCAAGCCATATTTGGGAACGTAAACAAGAGAAGGTTGCGTCGACCAAAAGTGTCCATGGTAAAGACAGCTGGTAGGGCAAAGACAAATGTGACCAAACCGAAGCCAAGAGAGGCAAGTAGACAATCTCGCGTTGAATATCCAGCCTCCTATTTGGATAGTTAGCCCAATTTTCCCTCGGTGTATCGACGAACAGGCTTACCGAGAAGATAGTGGATGAGTAAAAGCTCATAATATTGATACCGGAAAACTGTTGTGATGTGACGACGATTGCACTCGAGATCATAGCTCGACGGAGGCGGGGTACGGTGAATAGCTCCCAAACTCGATGGGCAAGAGATTCGCCCGAGAATGCGTCGCGCTCGGTGACTACCTGACAATGTGCGTAGTACTAGGGACTGTCAGTGAATGCAAATTGTGATAATCGAGAACACCTACCAGCTCTCTAGCGGCAATCAGTTCCGTGTTACGCAAGCGACAGAAAGACATGAAGGCATCCTTATAGCGATACTTCTTCATAAGCCATCTTGGCGACTCTGGTATCGAAATCAGTATTGTTCGCGATGATGGAAAACTCAATCTTACCGGGGCAAAACCACACAAATATCAGCACTGGTATAGCCGGGGCAAAGGCAGCAGACAGTTGGAAGCGCCAAGCCAGTGCTCCAATGCGGTAGAATACTAAATTAGAGCAGAACCCACTGCCAATATAATTAGCCACTAGGTATTCTGTCTTCAATCATGTTATGAGGACATACACTAGAATTCCAAATGCCACCCAGAGCTGGAAACTTGTGACCAGGCCACCTCGAATAGAGGCCGGACTAACCTCGGCACTAAAGACCGGAATAGTTGATATCTTAACACCCATACCTAAAGAAATGAGTCAATATTGTGCATTCTAACAGCGTTGTTCTTGTTCATACCGAGTCCCATGAATAGACGGCACAGCATGAGGCCCCACCAGTTTTGGGTAAAGCCTTGCGCAAGAACGGGGAAAACGCAGCTGATATTTGAGTTAGCTGATTGACCAGTTAAAATTTCCCCAATCAAATACTCACAACAAGCCGGTCACGAATATAGTGCCCCGACGACCCAGCCAATTATTCAGAGGGTCTGATGCCCACGCACTACAAACATGTTAAAAGGTCCTCTCTCAATCGCTACGGTACCAGAAACTTGCCTAAGGAGGCCGAAAAGGGTTGGACTGCAGCCACATGTTAGATGGAATAGGCAATGTAGGAATTATTCCACTTTCTTACCCAGAATTGATGACCCCAACCAACCACGCATTGTCTTCAATGCCAAATTCTTGTGGGAAAGAAAGATTGGCGCCATTGGCGCCAGTGTTATCCCATCCCTGGATCGCTGATCCAAGAGAGCACAAGCCAATACTGAAATACAGGGCCTTTGGTAAGTGCCATTTGTCTAACCTCACATTAGCGTACTGGTAAGCAAAATATCTCTGTTTCGATCTACATACGGGTATACTCTCGCCTCAAATGATATTTGTCCTCCTCGGTCAATTCAGATAAGTCTTCAAAGGTGTTTGGGTTCTGTGCTACAAGCGCCCCTTTCTGAAACGTTTCGATATGGTCTTCGAATCCAAATTCCTGGCAGAAGCGGAGCACGCGATCGTAGAGATCAACTTTGGCAATACCAGCAAGAGGATTGGAGATCCTGCCAGTCAATTTTTCGTTAGCTCGGACATATTCTTCCGCAATTAAAGTCACTTGGTCGTACCTTGCATTGACATTGCGACTATAGCTGCCCAGATCCGCTTGGGCCGCCTCTGCATCTTCCACGAACACCGACTTTGGCTTAAGGTCTTCTTCGAAACTGTGCTTCGACATGATGATAGTTTTCAAGCTCTCTGACAGCTCAAGAGCCCCAGGTTCCACAGCTTGAATATATACTCCACCACGACTCAGATGGTCTCACGATTGGCAGATCGGTCAAGTTGGAATCCGGGGTGCGCTAGCGGCACCGATCGAGGGGTAAACCAATGGCAGCACGTCAGGCTCCTCACCCCCTCAAGTCATGACGCAGGGTGCCCTGCGTGTACCACGGCTTCAACGCCGAGTTCTTTGTCCTGTGTGCGATCGAAGAAGCGGGGGAAAGCCTATCAGAAGCTTTGGCATGTTTGGCCTGGGCCGGTTGTGGGCCGGTTGCTTGGCTGTAGCCATCGGGAATGCGCCGACCCTGTACAGGCCAGGAATGCCCTGCGTGCATAACCCGTGCTGTGCCACTGTACGGCTGCAGAATTCATGCAGTCAGTTGACAAAAGGCCGAATTTCTTACCGGATCTTTTGGTGTCCTGTGTGTGTCCTGTGCAGGCCTGGTCCACTTTTTGAGGGGTTACAGTTGTCCAATTGTTAGCGGGTGCTACTGGCAGTGGACGACAAACATATATAGTAGTCTGCTATTCTGTAGCTTAGAAGTGTGTTTATTCAAGGATCGATTCAATTCCATTCATCAAATACAAGACTTCCAGACATATTCAGCAACATGGGTAGTGCGGAAAATGTAACATGGCTTCAGAAGCTCTCTGAGCAATGTAAGGGAACCCTCACAGAGTATATGAAATGGCACCAAATCTAACAAGTCCAGTAAACATCGATGTCGACTGGATGGACCCGGCATACACCCTGAGCATGCCCATTGTTCCCCATGATATGACCAGCAACCAAGGCTGGGTGCATGAGCAATTGTGTAACCCAGTGAACGAAGAGCTGTTCAAGAGTGTAGTCAAAGAGTACAAGGATCAGGGATGGTTAGCGATCTATACTCGCATGGTAATAAAATCCCATTCTTTAAAATCACAAAAGTGAACTTCTCTCACACAGTCTTCTAGGCATGCTTGATGTCCAAGGCCAACCTCGACAATATTCAAGGCCGGTGTCTGCTTCAGACCCTCCCCTCCAACGCCTATAATACAGAAAAGACAATAGAGCACGCGCGGGCCTACGCACGTGAGTTCGAGAAGCTGGGAGTTTCCAAAGATCGCTTCTGCATCAAGATCCCCAGCACCGGACCGGCTTTGAATGCTTGCCCAATTCTCAAGGAAGAGGGAATCCGCACGCTTGGAACGACGCTTTTCAGTGTCCACCAGGCTATTGCGGCCAGCCAGGCTGGCTGTTTATATGTCAGCCCGTACTATAACGGTAATCATAGTCTCGTGTCATCTGAAGGGACACTCGGCTGACCCAACTTTTTTATGGCAGAGGTTCGCGCACACGACGAGCAGGAACTGTGGCCCAAATCTGACGACCCGGCCCTTCTGCACCCCATGTCACCTCGATTGGTTCAGATCTTGGAGACATACAAGCGACTCTATAAGGAGACAGGCCAAGAGCAGCCTTTCCTCAAGAATGCTAGGTATGTAAACCGAAACACAAATGCTGAGCAGCCGAGACTAACATGCGAGGGGACAGCTTCATTTCGCCGCAAGAAGCAATGGCAGCCGGCGAACTGGGCTGCCACTCGGCGACTATCTCTCACATGGTACTCACGGAACTGGCAAATCTTCCATATGATGGATCGAAGCAGCCCGGAGAGGGCGTAAACAAGCCCGCTCACCCGTACAAGAATGCGGCGCCCACGCCTGAACGACTGAAGAAGATTGCTCAGACTGACCCACTGATCGGTCCTAACTGGGACGGAAAGCTGTCTAGAACAGATATTGACTACCTTGCAAACGGTGGTTCTGAGCTCGACAAGGCAAATGAGGCAGATCCGGAGACCAAGAAGCGACTTCGCGAGGCCCTTGCGCTGTTCGTTGGAGCGGAAAAGAGAAGCCAGGCGAAAATTGAAGAGGCTATGAAGGCGCTTTAGAGAAGCTGTCTGAGAGAATTTCGTCATCCTTGCAATGAAAGGGTTGTCACTCGTTTATATAGATAGACTAGCCGGATTCGAGAATGAATTTATCGATTGGAAATTTTGATTGTTGGATCTCGCTTCCTCACTGCCCGACAGGGTAGTTCCTGGCATAGCCATTCTTTGGGGCCAAATTGATGGCACTTCCTCGAGCACTGCTGTGGCGTTTGTGCCGTATTGCAAATCACCGTCTCCTGGTGGCGTTGTGGTGTTTAAGCTAGGGTGTTGTGTCCAGAAGAGGGCGGAATCGCTGATCAGATATGATATGCTGGGGTCATACCCCAACTCTCCATCCTTTGGTGGTGTGGCTGTAACCATACCAGGTGGTGTATTCCAAATAACCGGGTGATCGACTATAGCATCTGGAGAGAAAGATGCCGAGTTGGGCGCGCTAGACCACGACCAGTCGTCTGCATTGTATGTCGGCTGAGGAAGATGCGGGAGACCCGACAGAGGGGCAACACCGGAAGCAGCAATGGAAGGATTGATCTGCAGCACCGAATCGTTAGGCGCAGTTTCTGTTTGCTCACTGGTGGATACAGCCGGCCCCTTGTCGGACAGCATCGCAACCACAGCGGGGTCGACTCGGGGTTGGCGCGGAACCCATCCACTCGCTTGACACAAGGGCCGGAGACTATTAACCTCCCGGATAAGGTCATCACGCTCGGATAGGAGATCTTGAATGGCACAGGCCGCCTGGTGATATCTGGCTTCTTGCGCTTTGTGGTAAGAGATACTCGCATCTACAATGACGTGCTTTGAAGGACGTTGCTCAGCTTTCAGCATTGGTAATAAGTCGGTCAGCTCCTATAGATATTATTAGAGTCTGCAATAGGAAGGATATTTCGAGGAACAGACCATTAGACGTTCACTGAATGCCTCTCGCCTCGACTTCTCGAATTCGCGATGCACAGCGCGATCCTCAGCAGTCCATTTCCGAACTCGCTTCTTCTTTGCCTTATGTGGTCCTGGAGACGGAGAGGCCATATTTTCATAGGCATACGGATCTTGGGGTGTATTTGGCTCCATGAGTTCTTTGATGTGGTCTGGGAATCACCGCGGGTGAGTTGTATGGCGAGATCTGGGGAAGTGGGGGAAATGCGGAGAAGCATCGGCTGAGGTTGTTCCGAGCTACTCTTAAGACAACCCACCGGCTACCCCGTTGCTAGTTGGGACGGCAGTGCATTACAGATAGACTATCCAGAGATGTTTACAGATGCAATTTACGGCTTGTCTGGTCAGGTTGAACAGAATTCACTAACACTGCTGACATCTGCAAATTGTGGTGACCAGGGGGGGACTCTTGACTCGTCGAAATTGCCAGAGCGTACTAGTAAGAGCAGCACGACAGATATCCATAAATAAACCGATAAATATATTATTCTCTTGGGTCTATAACATCTGAAATGACGCTGCTTCATATTAAGCGCCATGGGTGGTTCTGAAGAGTTCATTGTCCACTGCGAAAAAAGTCGGGATATTCTCGGAACAAAGAGTGAATTTCGTAATAAAACTGAGAGGAGTCGTGCACGGGAAGAAAGTTTGATATGTACAGTAATGATAGAAGCCAGAATCGATTTGGACTGTCATCGGTGCATCAAACCTTTCGCGACCGACAGCCACCCAAGCACCAATCCGTACACCAATTTGCCCGAAGTTTGCCCGGCAGCTCACCTAATTTACCTTGACATCCCATCTTCGATTACGGCTATTCTCATCTTATCCAGCAGGTTGAATGCCGCATTTGAGTGACCATATACCCCTCCCTCAAACATCTCCGTTCCGTCCTTCCCTATTGCCGCAGCGATCATTGCTGGGCCTCCTGGGTGCTCAGCCACAAAAGTCGAAACGTCATGCACAGCCCTTCTAATAACAATCAGATTGCGTCCTGTTCTTGTCTGTTGCTCGTACTCTTCCCACTTCCAAACCGGTAGCTCTTCAAGTGGAACGCCCCAATCCACAGCCTGACTTTCATTCTCTAGCTTCTCCCGCTTTCGCTGTACCATCGATTTATTGATCTCGTTCTGTGGGAAGCGCTTCAGATTAGTGGCAAGTCCGAGAAAGGACAGGAAAGCGATCATCCATTTGCCTGGATCGACGTCGTACCACCGAATCCCAGTTCGATAGTCGGTAGGAAATTCATGGTGAAAATTATGGTAACCCTCTCCCATAAGGAGGAGAGTGATGGCCCACGGACTTTGTCTTGCGGATTTGGTCGCTGTAAAAGGTCGATCCCCGACCCAATGAGCAACAGAATTTACACAAAATGTAAGTTGTTGCTGTACTGCTGTGCCTAAACAGCCTGCCCAAACGAATCCGCCAAGAAAATCGCCATGCGACAGTCCACATACGACAGTAGGGACAAGGTATCCCATAATGGCGAATAAGAGCACGAAATATCGCCTTTGCCATTCCACGATTCGATCGGACTTGAGATCGCTGATATCCACGCGGCCGGTGGTCGAGGTTTTATTGTTCTCAAATATAATCCAGCCCATGTGCGCATAGAAAAATCCCTTCTTTATACTGTAAGGGTCTTGATCGGTATCGACATAGCGATGATGAGCGCGGTGGTCCCGAGCCCACTTTTTGATGTGGTCTTGCCCTGCACCTGCACCAAGCAACGCAAACACAAGTCTCAAAGCTGTGTTAGCAGTGTAGGTTCTGTGTGCCCAGAGACGATGGTAGCCTATTTATCAAATTGCCATTTTAGAAACTGCAACCAGTCTCATCGAAAGTAAAAGCGGATGGGGAAACCCACCCGTGACTATGGCAAAAGAACGTAGGTACGCATACAGCACCCCGAACAAAAGAGTCCTCGAATCTAGAGGAACCCAAGGGACGCTTGATAGTGCCCCCAAAGGGATCACTATGAGCGCAAACGTGTTTCGCACATTGACAGAGAATAAAGTCGGGCTGTTTGAGCTCCTCTCCTTAGAGGGTTGAGAGCGAGGTCGCACAGAAGGATGGTTCTGTTTTTTGGAAAGTAATAGGCTTGCCGGCTCGGTTGTATGTTGCTGCATGTTGAAGTAATCCGACCTTTCTTCACAAATGTACTATGTGTAATCTTTCCGGGCATATCAGTACGAAAGGTGCCTAGAGGGTAGTGGTGGCATCCAATATAACCACTGGCTATCATCAATTAGGATACGGAGCGGTAGGGAGGGCTTTCAGCTGAGCCAAGCATTGAACTCGGCTCATAAATGATCTACAGAGCAAAACTTGGTTTATTGGAGCCACACGGGCAAGCCATGTTGCACAGACAGGTTATAGTGTATTTGAAGGGCCCCGACCACGAAGCTTGCAAAAGCATATTCATGCATGTGGGTGGTTTCTCTTTTTCTTTCTGGTTACATACCCAGTCAGTGAGAAAAAGAAGAGAGAGAGAAAAGAGTGAATTTGGGGTCGTGGAATTCCATTCTCAGAGGTTCTCGGTTTGATTGATCAAGGATTCTTTTAGCATGCAAGAGGGCTGTATCCAGAATAACATTTCTCGGGGAGGAAACTAAGTATACCCCGCATGCAATCAGGCAGTAACTGTCACCTTAACGTGTGCAGATTTGATAGATTTCCTTTTGAGAAATTAAATAGCGTGGCTAACTATTGTAACTTTTCTTTTGCGCGGTGTGATGTGTGGCAGTAGAGAAACTTTATTTAGTCACCATGCAGATTCTGCATCTCTCATGCATAGGACAGGTGTAAAACTGCAGCCGATTTCAATAATGCAAAATTATTATTCACCTACCCTCAAATCTAGTGGTTCGCTACATTCTGCTGGACATCTGAGCAGGCGCCTCGATAGATCTGCATTGAACTATCGCAAGCCCCCACAAGCACTTGATTGCCTTGTCTTCCGCCAGCCATGATTTGAAAATGAGGGGTTACTCTCATGATCCAGCATATTAATACTCCGTGCTGCTAGCATGGCACTGGAAGGGTTCCCGGAAATTTCCACTGGTATCACGAAGCATTTGGGGGGGATCATCATCATGGGTATTTCAGAGGCATTCAAATCTGTTGAGTTTACGCTTCCAAGTCTGGACATCTTCAAGATACCCCCTAGACCACTCATACGAACTCCTCTCATATCTTTTAATACTCCCCTGGAAAGGTTCTTTCGTCCGCTCCAGGTCAACCCGAGATTCTTCGACTTGTCACTGAATCCCGAATTCGTTTTCACGTTTGTGGCAGTATATGTCACTGTTGTTGTTCTTTTGAATCAATTCAATGCTGGTCGTCAATACAGACCATGGGCTTTGACCAAGACTTCTACATTTAAGGCGTTCATGTTAGCACATAATGCGCTGCTTGCTTTGTTTTCTGCATGGGTCTACTGCGGTGTTGTTTACTATCAGTACGATCATTGGAAATTGACAACATCAGGACTGGAAGGCAGGTCTTCCGCCCATGTGGTAGAGTTTCTATGTCAACTAGACTCGAAGGACTATCGAAGTAAGTTATAGCTCTTATTCGGCCTTCCTTCCTAATATCAGCAAGGGGGGGTGAATCAACTAACCATTGTCCCCTTTAGTTCTCGCAAAGCCGCCCGCTGGCTCTGAAGAAAGAGTCATTTATATGTACTGGATCTTCTATATCAGCAAGTTTTACGAGGTTGTGGATACTCTCATCATCCTCGCAAGAGGAAAGAAGAGCTCAACTTTGCAGACCTTTCACCATGCGGGGGTTATAATTATTGGATGGACGGGACTAAGATATGAATCTCCGATGGCTCCTCCGGGTGCCATGTTGAATGCGATGGTGCACACTTTGATGGTGAGTTTCCCATTCCCTCTTTTCTATCTTTCATGAACTTTCAGTGTCATCTATGTTCCATACTAATAAATGGTTATCGGAATTTTCAGTACTTCTATTTCACTCTTCAAACGCTGCGAATACCCGTCTCCAAAGGATTCAAGCGTGCATTGACGAGTATTCAAATTGCCCAATTTATTGTGGGTCTAGGCTTTGCTCACTTTTACCTTTTTGTGAGCTACAAAGCTCCATTACTCACGGGCGCGCCTCAGGTGGCGATGTCATTCGAAGCAAATGGTCAAGCATCGAATGCATCTACCGGGGTAACTACAATCCCATGCTTGGGTAATCAAGGCGAAGGTTTCCCTCTAGTCGTGGCAAGCTCCTACCTTTTGCCATTGATATATCTTTTTGTGGAATTTTACATAAATTCGTATACAGCGAAGGCCACGAAGACAACTAGGATGCGGAGGTGAAATGAGCTTGGAGAATTTAAATCCGCAAGAGACAAAAACAACCATGTACCTAAGCTAAAAACAAGTTACAATTGTATTCCTCTAGTTTTTTTAACTGAAATTTCCAATCCGTGAGAAAGGAGTAGTGCCTGGAGGAAATTGATGTGGCTGTTCCGTTGATGACGATTACAGGATATGTGGCTTGTAAGATTTATTCAGGCCGAATGGCTATTGCCACAGTCGAGTTCAGCGCTTCTTAGCTTGCAGAGACCTGTTTAGAATTAGACCATAACAAGCCATATTCCGTACTTCGTACTATTGTCGTGTGGCAGTGCCGGGTGATAAAACGAAAGGCTCCATCATTACTCCGAACTACGTACTTCCTACACCGAGAGAACAAAGGTGAAACCAGTGGGCCAGGGGCCAGCCCTTTCTACATATGAAAAATTTCACACGTCAGGTGTGCCCAAAACTTGTGGCCCAGGCCAGGCAGCGGCCAAGATTTACAGAATGGAGCATAGCTGTGGCTGGCGGCGCCTCAAAATATGCCGGGAAGTCAAAAAGAGAAACTGAGGGCTCCGTACGGAGTAATCAAACAGAAAATGGAAAATGGAAAATCAAAATTAATATCAAAAGTAGCGAAAAAACCCGAAGTCAAAAGAAGTGTCCGACAGGGGCTTTCGTGTCTCTTTTGAGGCAATGGGACGAGGTAAGGCTGAGCCACGCGGGTCTCGCCTGCAACCGGGAAGCTTCCTCGACGCTCGACGCACAGCGCCAAGAGAAGGTGGTGTGAGACGATCGCTGGTGATGGAGCAGTTTTGGGGAGGGTATGACACAGTTTCCCCTGAGCTGGAGCCAGACACGAGCCAAAAAAGACTAAAGTTATTCTTAGGGCTAGACCCAGAATCTATCAAGAGGAAAATTTCGAAAATCGCGCGCGCGAACCCTTGGGTTGGCACACGGGTTTCCCGTCAGAGACAGAAAAATTACCCGGCGATCTTAGTGTCTGGACAGACTCCACTGAGAAAAAAGAGGGAAACAGAGTGAAAGGAGTGAAAAGAGTGAAAAGAGTGGAGAGTGGCAACGGGGGAGCGCCGGAGGTGGAGACCATCACAGCTTTTTCTGGGCTTGGCACACTAAGGTCCTGCTCCCACATTCCCGGTTTTCTTTATTCCCTTTTTATATACTCTGTATCACTCTCTTCAATCACTCACACCATGACATTCCTCCACTCAAAGGCTCCCTCTCTTGCATGCACTCGTGCTGAGCAATAGCACCGGCTTTCAGCCCTGGTCCCTGCACACTTGGCCGATTCCTTTCAGCCACTCAAACCGGTCTGGCCTTCAATCCACCCATCCTCAATCTGTCGCGGATCGTCCTCTTCCTTGAATTACAATCAAGCAATAAAGCTATCTGAGGTGTGGCTGTTTTCTACCCAGCCCGCTAGCTGCATCTTGATCACGGCCCTTGCCGAAACTCAGCAATCCCGTCATTGAATCCCAGCTCCGGCAACGGCTGCTCACCGCAACGATAACGCAACTTTCCAAACGCCTGGCCATTGAACATTCCTATCCAGTCCCTGCCTCGGACCACGTCCCGTGCTGCTGTCTCCTTTCCACATTCCTCCTGATAAGTGCTCCTGCACACCCCAGGGATCCTTCACCGAGCTTCTGTGAAAGCCGAAGGAACACCCTCGCCATTCTCAACCCGACTCGATTCCTGCGCAATTGATCCCTTGCACTTTTGTCACTATGGACGTCGACTTATAGCTGCCGTTTCCTCCCTCGGATACATTATTTTTCTGTACTTCAAGCGTCTTTTCCATAACCATCTCCTGCTTTTGATATCTCCCTTGCTTGGGCGATCTTTCCGATCCGATCCCAACTCGCGTGTCTCCCCTTGTCAACCACACCACTGCCATCGACGATCATGGCCCCAAACCTCTTCCTCTGCTTGCGCACCCTCTGTTGCCCCACATATTGGTTCCAACACGGTGATCGCGCCGATAGCAACGCCAACCGAGAACAACATTGGGAAACTCCCGTCCCAGGAACCTATAAGTTCCTCCCCGGTCGCGGTTGGCATCTCATCCAACGCGATGGATGCGACTTTGAAGAAAAGGCCCCTGCTGCCTTAGTCTACTGTCGCATTCTCCACCGCTACATGTTCGAGTCGGAACTCGAAGAGCGCTGCCGCTGGTTTTCGGCTCCGCTGCACAAGGGCACCAAGCCCGAGAAACTCCGCTTTTTCCTGCTCGACGACGGTCTTCACTGGGTCGCTGGCTGGGATGCTAAGGGTCGCTTCATTCCGGGTCCCTACCCTAAGTGGTGGCTTGATGAGGATGGCGAAACGATGCGTCGTGGTGTCTCGCCGCCCGCCAGTGCCAACGTCTCTCGGTGCAACAGTATTATTGTGCCCAAGTTCGATTAAATGGCAAGCGATGTCTTTCTTGACAGCCATGACGAATATCTCCTTCTACAATTACGACAAATTTTCAACACGCCTTTTTTGCCTTGATATTTCAACTTTGGCAAGCGTTTTAGCGTGTTTCCTGGTTATCAAAAGTGCTTTTTTAGACTTCTCGTGATGACTGGGTTCTACTTTTCGGGCTTATGGTGTCTTTTTCACAGCCCATCGTGGCATTCTTTTGATTAGATTAGAGTTGTTTCATGCGATCGGGATCTTGGTATGATCTGCGACGGCGCATGGTCATAATTGTCAGGTCTTTACCATTTTGAGTGAATGACACATTCCATAGAAATGTAATAAATTGAAATCCAACTGGATATCTGCTTCCGATCCTCCTTCAAACTGTAATTACATTTCAGTCTCTAGCTCGAAGTAGTGCGGCTGTCTCAGCCGCAGTTCCACCTGGGCATGGTTCCGAATCTGGCGGATTATCATATCTTTTGGTCAAGGCTACCCCATTTCCACATACATGAAATGGCTCTGTTTTAGCCCTAATTCACTGATAATCTGACGGTCGCTTTTCACGGAGCTCACAACTCTACAGTTACATACTCTATAGTAAATAAGATAACGTCATCGGACTTGATACCCACCACCATCTCATACCTATTTCCACAATGAATCCCCGCAATTTTCAAACTGAAAGGGGTTTGAAATTATTACGCTTCCGAATCTTGAAGACTAATTGAGGAAGCCATTTTTGTATCGTGGTCGGATAAGTATAGAAATATATTTTCTCGGCCCAGAGGCAACATTCAGGTACGAATCAACATCAGGAACCGACCGGTTTCCTTCAATGACTTGACGACGATTATAAAATTCATTATAGTTTTTTGAATTTGGAATCCGGGATTCAATTCAATCCTCCTGGTGGTACTACTAGTAGTAGTATTAGTAGTACTCTTGGAGCTACCGGGGGAAACTTTAGCCGGCCGATCAACTGCATTCTTGAAGGCACATCTATCATCTAATATTTAACATCCCCAGCCTCGTCGCATTCGTACGAATTCTCTCTCGATTCCCGCATTCAATCCATCTGGCATTCGCTCCAATTATGAAGCTCATTCTGACTGGCTCCAGCGGGCTCGTTGGTCACGAAATCCTCAGCCAGTACTTAGAACACCCGTCGGTCACATCTGTCGTGGCGCTGACTCGGGGCTGATTCGGCGTGAACTGGCAACACATGAAAAGCCCCAAGTCGTTCTGATGGAAGACTTTTCTTCATATCCCAAGACTACTTTGGAAGCTATTAAAGGTGCGGACGCATGCATTTGGTATAGTTGCTCCGCATTGGTTCTAGATACATGAACTAACTCGCCTATTACAGGACACTCGGCGTGAATCCCAAGAAGATGTTCGATGATGGCATGGCTCGACGTGTAAATATAGAAAATACTATGACTGCGGTCCGGCTCTTCAACGATTCTTGTCAGAAGCCCTTTCGGTTTGTCTACTGCAGCGGCTACTTGGCAGAGCGAGTCAGACCAAGCGGCTCTGGTTCTTTCAAGACTACCGACGTATGAACGTAAGCTGTTGTGTGGCTTTTATTAGCAAATTGACATTATTTATGCTAATGAGTCATAGGGACAAGTGGAAACCGAGTTCCTCACTTTCGATGACGAGAATCCCGCTTTTGAATCCTATATTTTGCAGCCAGCTTTGATTAAGCCGCGCAGTAACCCTAATGAATCGGTGATCGCCATTGGGCCTTCTATCAAGGTGCATGAACTAGCTAGTAAAATGCTGAATCTAGCACTAGAAGGCGGGACCAAAAAGCGGTCGAAAAATTCCGAGATCAATCAAGAGCTATAAAAGACCTGCCAGGTGGTATAGCTCATGTCAGAAACCTCGGAACCTAATATAATTTCACAAGTTTGTCGTGGGTCTATTGTAATACTATGTACAAAGCTGTAGCAACACTATTCTCAATCCATAATGTAGGGTACTCCCTACTATGGAAATGCATCATATGTGCCATTTCCAAAGCAAGGTCCATCAATGTCATATCCGCTGACCTTTTGAACCGGAATTCCGTCTGCTCCGAATCGGAGAACTTTGTCCCCATAAGTATACGGATGCCAGCCCAATGCAGCGGGGCCCTTCTTAGGGTCTTTCATGAAAGCCAAGAGATGATCTTGCATTGCCTGGCTTGTCTTGATTTCTGCATCAGTAGGTTTAGATGAAGTGTGAGTTGCGTTGTATAAGTACGTTCCAAAGAACATCATCAAGTCCGACGAATGGAAGCTGCCTGTCCATTTGTAAGGGTTTTGGTTTGGCCAGACACCCGCGTACTGGTATCGATATGTGATTCGGTTGGCAGCCGCACGAAGAATACTTGTATTAGCGGTCGGGCACACCCAGCCAGACAATGTTCCTGCATCGACTATAGGCTGATACGGGCCTTCTGTGACATTTGATGAAGGCCATGAAATCAGGCTGGCATCGTTATTGGCGGCATCAGAGAAAATCGCTGGGCGAGGCGACATCTTCCCTGCAGCCGCTCGTGCTGGGTAGTCGGAGAAAATGAATTTTTCATCGGCGATAGGTCCAAATGTCAACCCTGGCTCTCCGGTGTACTGACCAACGAAGTTCTCAATCTTGGCCATAGGGACTTTCTGCATGCACTCCAGCTCTTTCGACGAATTATCAGCGAAATCACAGCCAACGTGTTTGGCTACAAAGGTGAAGTTGGATTGATCATAATCAGAAGACGTCAGCTGTTTTATAGCTGTGCCGGACTGTGAAAAAGTGCCTTGGACAAGAGGGTTGTCCCAGAAAGCATAGTTGTGATAGTCTGTACTGATTGCCCCAGCAGACTGTCCCCACATAGTAATGGCCTCGGGGTTTCCACCAAACCCGGCGATGTTTTCGTGAACCCATTCGAGAGCGAGACGCTGGTCTAGCATGGCGGGGTTTGGGTTCCTCAGCCCGGCGGCATTGGGGTAGCCGAAGATATTGACCCGATAGTTGATGGTTACCACGATGTGTTCCTGTGTTCGATTGACCCATGCCGATGGTATTTGTGCCGGCACATCAACTCCGCCGGTTTTGAATCCCCCTCCTGTCATGAAAAAGACGACAGGCAGCTTTGCATCATGGGAAATTCCGTACGGCGTCCAGATGGCAAGTCTCAGGCAGTCCTCTGATGACTTTTGTAAGGTGAGTCCGGTTGAGTGGTTCTGGTTACCATTATCTGCAAGCAAATAAGGGGTTACCTGACTGAAGAAGATGGGCTTGCTGGATACGAATTGGGGGCATGAAGGCGGAACTTGTGTCGAATCGTGATGCTTCGACGAAGGCGACAGCGGCTCTGGGGGGCTGGAAACGCAGTGGTCCAACGGGAGACTGTGCGAACGGAATATTACGAAATTCGCGCACGGCACTGAATTCCGAGTTATGAAGACCGGTAAAGATACCAGTCTTTGTGCGCACTGTCAGAGATGGATCGGCAACCACTTGGGCCGCAGAGGCGACGAGTACTATACTGGCCCAGGCGAGGGACTGCATTGTGTAGTTGTGAGGATAGTATTCGACAACTCCCAATAAGTCTTCCCAGTACACCAGGGGGCTCTATCTTCTATTTATCCCTCTTTCAGGGCCCATGTTTGTGGGGAAGTGACGAAGATCATCATTCCTGGGCAGCAACGCTGCTTTGCATCAAAGGCTCCCGGGATATCCGAGAGACACGCGCACACCATTCGGAATAACCATGAAGAGTGGAGTCAATGTGGACGTTGTGTATGAATGCAGTGACCTGTTGAATTTGATTCTGAAACCCCCATAGCCTCCAAAAGCTCCAGTTATGGTCTTCCATAAGTAATATAAGTTGCTCATCATGCAATTTAGATCGAACTGGGCGGTTCTTTCATTGACTGTAGTATATAGACAGACTCCTAGTTTGAGCACACAATTGGCGCTACTATTTACATAATGGGTAATCAGCGATTCATACTAGCGGAGGGGCTTCGCTAAAGTTTAGCCTCTGGCGGGCTCAGGAGTTTCTCAAGGCCTTGTCGCACTCGGCTCTCCATGCCACCTTTACCAACGCGCATAGTCTCGCGCAGCACGAAAACGTGAGTGTATGATCCAACCATTTTCACATTCTCTTCTCCTTTGCGGAACACGCCAATTTCCCAGGTAACGCTTGATGAGCCCAGCTTAGCGACACGTAGACCGACTTCCAGGGTATCTGGGAACGCAACGGAAGCAAAGAAATCGCAGTGTGTGGAGACAATGAGTCCGATCTGATCGGTACCAACACTCAGGTTGGACGCTTGTCCGTCGGCACTTTTCGGGGTGGGATTATTGACGCTGAAGGGGTTCATTCCGCAGTGCTCGATGAGATAGGAATTGGCAATGGTGTCAAATAGAGCAGTGTAGACGGTATTGTTCAGATGCGCATACATGTCGTTGTCAAACCTAAGCTTTTTGTTAGTAGGAATTTGTGTATATTGCCGGTCCTATAGCATTTACCATCTTGTCTGGTGCACCTGGTGGTAGCCATAGTCGCTGCGTGTGCGGCCCTTCTTCGCTAGAAACTCGGGGGTAGCCATTGTCTGCTCACACTCTGAAAGTATTGACAGCGAATGAACAAATTACCTCGAGGGTGGAAAAGAGGAAGAATGGCCTAGCGACCTCGTCGAGCAGCGAAGATGATCTTCAATCGCATCCCCGCTGCCTCGGAGATGGTTGAACCGAGGTCGATTTCTGCTTATGTAATGACCATGTAGCCTTCATCTGAAAATCAACGACCGTGATCAAGATGACAGATTTTCAGATCTAAAGATTAAAGCCAACATGTAAAGATTCAAGTGTTGCGACCACTAAGGGTAGACTGGGACAGATGTTTGGAGGTGGGGGAATCAATCGATGGGAGCCCCCACCGACGACGCCCAAACTCTCCCCTGCGGCGTGCCTGGCCTTATCGCCTTCTCCAATCTTTTTTTTCTCTCACAATCTCCGCCACTCGACTTCCTTGAGAATTCAAACGGTCGCCCTTTGCGCCTCCCTGGCTCCCTCACCTCGTATAACAGCTTACTTGCTTCGGCGAGGAAAGCTACAACCTCCCCCGCCTCCCACGATGGCTCTCGTCAACGTCGAACCCGTCAAATCCTCTCCGGCGACCGATTTCGAACAACCTCCTGATGTTGTCGTGACACCCTGTGACCCCTGGCCTGCGCCATACTATATGGAAGGTGGATTTCGACGTGTTCATCCGTACCATTACACTTTTAATACGTGGTGCAAGGAGCGCTGGCGGGGTAAAAGATTGGAAGACATTTTCGTGTCCGAATTTCGAGATCGCCCAGCAGAGTATTATGTATGAGATCTACCCTCCGTGCCCTTTCTCTCAAAATTGCCAGGCGGCTAATATACAACAGAGGAATGCGCTCGACGACGGCCTCGTTTGTGTCAATGGCAAGCCTGCGGGCAGAGACGCCGTGATCAAGAATGGCCAAAAGATTTCGCACACCATTCATCGTCATGAACCCCCTGTGACCGCCCTCCCTATCGGTATCATTCACGAAGACGACGACCTCATTGTGATCGATAAACCAGCCGGCGTGCCGGTTCACGCCGCTGGTCGATACCATTATAACTCCGTTACCGAAATCTTGCGCTCCCAGCGTGGCTCAGAGTTCTTGCCGCGGCCATGCAACAGGTTGGATCGACTGACATCGGGAGTCATGTTTATTGCCAAACATCCGGCGGGAGCCTTGAAGATTACAAGTCAGCTTCAAGCGCGATCTGTGCAAAAAGAATACATTGCGCGTGTCAAGGGCAAATTCCCGGATGGCGTAGTAGTCTGTGATCAGCCCATCATGCAGGTCAGCCCCAAACTGGGACTGAACCGTGTGCGCGCGACGGGTAAAGAAGCCACGACAAAGTTTCGTCGCCTAGCTTATTATCCCCCCTGAGGCAGCCGCATCAACAACTGCTCAGGAAGTCCATGGCCCATCGGGAGACGTCGCGATCGCTGCAACTCCGCCGCCAGTGTTCACCAATGAGTCCGAAGGATACAGTATCGTGCACTGTTATCCCCTGACTGGACGTACGCATCAGATCCGCGTTCATCTACAATTCTTGGGCTATCCTATCTCCAACGATCCTATCTACTCAAACCGAAGAGTCTTTGGGCCAGAATTGGCCCGCAATGAAGACCACGGAGAGCGTGATGAAGAGATTATGGATCGACTTCACAAGATGGGCAAGACCGAGGTAGCTGACACAGCTACTTATCGCACCCACCTGACTGCCGCACCAAACGTCCCTCCTGGAACCAATCCTGCCGTGATTGCTGAAATCATGGCTCGCGAGCAAAAAGCTGCCTCCGAGGACTACGAGAAACGCAAGGGAGAGCGGTTGTCTGGCGCATTGTGCGATGTCTGTGGGACAGAATTGTATACAGACCCTGGTCCCCATGAGTTGGGCCTCTTCTTGCATGCTGTTGCTTACGGAGATCTGAGCGGTACTTGGAAATACCGAAGCAAGATGCCTAACTGGGGCCTTCCACCGAATGATCTGGAGGGCCCTCGTGAAGTTCCCGATTGGATCCCTGTTCCTGAGAGTGAGGAAATAGTTCACGGACACGGAACCGTTCCTCCTTCGATCGGAACAGAAGATGACCCTCCCAATTCAGGTAACTGTCGACGAAAGAAGAACCAAGGTGACATGGGCCATGTCCTTGTAACGGGTGTTGGATATGTCCCTATCTCAAAGGATGACCCAGCCTTTGGTCTGAGTGAGTTGTCGCAGCAAGAAGCCGAGTCTGCTGCCTCGGCGGCGGCGAATTAGTCTGGCGACTGTTAACGATTGGATGTGCATTTTGTTTGTTTTTATCAAATAGCTTGATACCATATTTGTTAGATCATACTAATACATTTAGTACATCGCCATTTTGGATATTAAATTACATTTTCACGCTACGGACTTTTTGCAAATTTGCTTTATCTCCAGGGCTCCAGGGTTCCAGGGTTCCAGGGCTCTCTTTATACTACCAGTACTATGGTTGCTAGATGGATGTTACTACTACCTTAATCAATTTTTGGGAGTACTACCTAGGTACTTTTTGCAAAAAATCACATGGGTTTCTGAGCCCTGGAGAGAACGAATCGATTCTCTCTGTTTGAAAAACACAGCCTGATGGGTCAAGAATTGAAACCGCAGAGTATATATATGCACGCTAAATCCAGATCTCAATCCAAGCGCCTCAAATGTATATCTACCCATAAACAAGAGACAGAAAAAAAAATGAAAGAAAGAAAAGGTCAAACGTATATATATACGCAAAAGAAAGGGTCGAAAAAGTTTGTCGATCAAGTCACCCACAAAGTTTCGTTACATTTTCCTTCGCTGCAATAGCAGCATCGACTCGCCACATCATCGTGCCCGACTCAACACCCCGGGCAGGTGTGCCGCGAAGGGCTTCGGGCGAAATAGTACACTTGCCGTCGGAGAATCTGTATTGCAAGCAGTTTGGTTCACTGGCGCAATGCTCCGCGCAGTCCCAGACGGTAAGTGGGATTTGAGCACCTTTATCATCCAATCTTTCATATTTATCCTTGGCGCTGTTGTCCCAATTATCGAGATAGTGTGCCATTGTTGGGCGAATGAAGTGAGTGAAGATGTCGCCGTAGTGAAGGACAGTGTTATTTTCCTGATTGCGAAAAAGTCAGCATATTAGCACCCTTTTTGTCCACCAGGGATTTCGGATAATTTCATTCCAATACATACATTAGAGAACCATTTTTGATCAAAGTCCCACATCCGATCTACATCTGTGGGCGTCATGTGGTGAAAAGTAAAAGGAGGATAGCACCATTGCTTTTTCCCGAATCCCTCGCCCAGGGCATCCTGTCCCCAAACGGACTCGGTGGTGACATGAGGCCAGGACCAGGTCAACCCGATCTTAACAGTTGCAAGTGCCATTCCCAGCACGCAATCGCCAGCCCATTCTTTACTGGTAATCTTCTCCCATTGCTCAGGGTACTGGGTTACCAGATCCGCGACTGAATGAATAGCCGCATTGGACAGCACGAATCCGGATCCACCGTGAGCAAAAAGATTGTCACCAATCTGCATCTGATTTCCAATGTACATTTCTTTCTGGGAATCAAAGTTCGCCAGCCAGGCCAGCAAATTCGGCCAGATCGGGTAAGTGTCTGCCTCAAGGAAGACGTACCACTTGGCATCGGGCCGATAAGCTCGGGCTTCCTGAACCATCGGCAAGAACTTCCACTTGTCAAGTTTCCAGCCCGGATTGTTCATCATGCCAGATGGGCCATTTGCGACTTTCGTATGGTCCTGCTGCAGCAAACCCGCCCGTCCCTGAGCCTTTGCGCGAAGGTAGATAGCAAAGTCCGTCTTTGCTAGTACTGAGTCGCTGGCGTTTTGGAAGACGTCCCGTGTGCGCAGGCCGGCGATATCTTCTTCGTAATCGGACACGATCAATTTGTGGGGGATGCATCGGAGCGTCGTGCGGATATGTACGGGGACTTTGTCCCGTGCCTCTGTGATTCCGGTCTTGAGGACAACAAGGACATCTTCGATGCCTGGGAGCGGTCGGCAAGCCGATGCGAGCTCGTCCTGCTGTTGATTGGCGTCTTTTGAGTTGGAAGAGCCTCCAGACTCGCGATTGATGGTGGAAACGTTCCACAGGCCGCTGTGGAGATGCAGGAAGAGGAGGATGAGAGCCAGCGGGGTTAGAATAGGCACCCAGCGCCCATATCGGGCGGGAAGGGTAAACATCCTGGGATGGCGAGGGAGGGGACGGGGAGAAGAAGAAGAAGGAGATGAACAAGAACCAGAGCTTCCTCCATACTCGTAGCGAGAACCGTCAGAGGGATCGACGACCCTTTGCGACGTACGGAATCCGTGGGGGGCCTGTTTCGAAGTCGTGACAGGTTTTGAGACTGACATTGGCCAGATCGCTCGGGTGGCACCATGATTCGATTCCTCAGACCAAGCATTGCTCCCATTCCCGTGGCTTAGCGCCCGGTTTCAAATGCATAAATCTCACTGCATCTCTGACTGAGACACGTCTGATTCGTTTTGATTAATTTCTCTTCGATCTTTCCCTGTCATTCCTGTGTATCTCTCCTTTCCATGCAGGCAGCCACGAGGCCCCTGGTAGAGTGGGTCGGAGGATCGCCATAGACTCGTCATCTCCGCCCCTAAATGCAAAGCAGGGAACTCTTGAATGCAGGGGCCACTTATCTGGTCACTATGGAGTAGAGAATACTCAATTCCAACGGTTGTAGTAGCTGGGTACTACCATGATATGGTACTAGTAATACAAGTGACTAGGCTGGATTTGAAACTAGTATACCCATTACACCAAGATATGAATGAAGTACAAAAAGTCCAGGTGCAGCTATGAGGTACAGCCTTGGAACCTGAGTACTATCCAACATCCAACATATACATACCAATCGGGAATGAGGTTGAATGACCATTGCCTTTCTCCAAACAACTACAGTAAACTACTCGTACTTGTGCTCGGATGCTCAGAATGCTCAGGTTACTCGGGAACCACTTTGGGTATATGAAAAGCATTGGCATCGTACAATGCAAGAGGATTTTTCAATTTTTGTTTGTCATTTCAGAGAAATTTCTCTTCGCCCGACGCCCGGTATTACCCAAAAGCGCGAGCCGCACATGGAATGCCATGCACAATCCTTGGAATCGTTATCGCCAGAGTGATGATAGTATTCACGACCGTACAAAACCCCGACCCTCTCATGCTCCTGCGAATACCACACCGAAAAAAAGGAAACAGAACTTTTTGGGGTTCAGTCCATTTAGGCCTCGGTGGTGACACGGCCCTTGGGGTTGGTGACCTTAACACCGAGAGCCTTGGCCTTCTCGATGATCTCAACACGCTTGCGGGAGGAGACGGCGTGGGCAATCCTGCCAAGTAGGTTAGCTCGGGATCTTCCTGTAATTGTAGTGCATTGGTTGCGGGCATGGCGTTATTGCCCTTGGTAGGCATATGGGTTGACATACTCGGCAGCGTAGGTGCGGTTGTGCATCAGGAGGAGCTCGACGTCCTTGGGGTTGTGGACAAGGAAAGCCTTGTGGCCGGAGGGCATCATGTGGCGGGTCTTCTTGTTGGATCCGTAACCGATAGAGGGCATAGCAATCGTGCCCTTGAAGCGGCGGCGGACGCAGTTGTCAATACCCTTGGGCTTGCGCCACGACTCACCAACACGCATAAACCGGTCACTTTGGTGACGGGTGAAGCGGTTGGTGCCTATAGTAATCCATGTCAGTCCTTCCAATTCTTCATTCCAATTGTATTGCGAAATATTGTCGAAAGCCTTTGGATAAACATCGCCCTTTAGTTGTCGTCCAAAAAAAAACCCTTCCGAAAGCTCATCTTCTTCTGTCGAGATATCCTCCGTCTCTGTCGATTCCAATGTTCCTCCTCTTCCAAACAATCCATTGATGTCGTCTGTTGGTCGAAAGGCGATGCTATCCAGGCTATAGGGAACGGGCACGGTCGGGGGTCGGGAGTCGGGAACATACGCTTCTTCACGATGGGGATGTGCTGCTTGGCGGCGACCATCTTGAAAAGGAAAAATCATCAGTATCGAGGTGGTGATGGTCGTGAGGGTGCGAGCCAACTTACTTTGTCGGTATTGCGTCTCGCCGGGCGTAGAGGGTTGTCGAGTCGGAGTGAAAGCAATCTCGAAAACTTCTTCGCACTGAGCGGAGTGGGCGGGCGACCCACACTAGTGCACTTTCGGCTAAGCGAACGGGTGGTGCTTAGGTCAGCATAGGGTTAGCCGTGGATCGAGCCCTGCCAAGCCTACCGCTTTGGGAACTACTGGTTCTTACCTGATCGATCGATGGTCAGAAAGAAGAGGGGTGGAATGAGGAGAGAGGAGAGAATAAAGAAGAAAAAGAAAGATACGGACGATGCCTACATGGCTATCTACAGGGGCATGCGCCGCTCTGGTTGGTTCCTAGAACTGTTCCTGCCATGGTGAGGTAGGGGAACTACAAGTCGACAATGAATAGAGCTGAACTCAATGCAATTACTACTATATTTTCTCTCCATAGTATGTTTGAAACTTGAACATATCCACGATTATACCTGCAGGTGTAACTGAACTGGTTCTCCCTGCTTCTCTCCACTTTGCAACATTTGCTCCAGAACCTCAAGATCCGCCAGCGCCTCCTCGGGGGATTGTCTCTTCTCGACAGGCTTCCCATTGATAATCGACGTCGCAAATTCAGCGACCTCGGCAGAGACGCCTGTTCCCTCAAATGGAACTGAATAGTTGACATCATTGACGGCCACATCGTCGAAATTCAGAGCAACAGAGCCCTTCTCACAAGCAAACTCGAAGGCGTGACGGCTAAACGGCGATCCCCATGAGAGAGAAATCACACCCGTGGCGCCAGAGCCAGTCTTGACGACCGCATCGACGGTGTCCACCGGTGGCAAATGAGACTGTTGCAAATAGGACTGGGCGGAGACAGTCTTAATCTGCTCCGTAGACCCCAAGATCAGGCGTAGGCCAGCAATCATGTGGACACCACCATCTAGAAGAAAGCCACCTTGATATTCAGGGACCTTGCGCCAGGGAGTCACTTTCAATATCATAGTCAGCATCATTTCCCAAGAACGGAGTTGGCCCCAGTCCACATCTTCATCCATGGGGATGACATACAGAAGTACTTGTTGTCTGGCTTGACAAAGTTTTGAACATCGACCCGGAAATTACGAACATGGCCCAGTTTCTGGACCTGCTCAGCCGCGTAGATATACTTGTTCATGTATCGAAAGTTCTCTCCCACGGCCCAGAAGACCTTGCTAGCATCGATATTGGCTTGGTACCATTGCAAGAGCTCCTTCGCCGTGGCAACGTCCTTGGCAATAGGCTTCTCGGATAGAACGTGCTTTCTAGAAAGTAGGGCTCTCTTGATGAAATCTGGCTGCACCAGAATCGGTAGACTAGTATGAGTGGTTAGCAATGCACAAAGTCCACTATATGTAAGATGATTCATGTAGCTTGGGGACTTGTAAAGTTCAACGTACGCGATGATGACAGCGCCGATATCAGATCGAGCCAGTAGATCGTCAAAAGACTTGCCAGCACCAGAGTCCTCAGAATACAGATCAACGTTAGCTGTACCGTCAGCGAGGGACTGGGCCGAGTTCAGGGATCGCGAATAGATCGCCTTGAGTGTGAAGCCCTGTGCCGCTTGCACAGCTGGCTATTGGCATTGTCAGTATATTCAATGAGATAAGAATCAAGTACAACGAACAAGATGTTGATCTTTGGCGAAGAGACCTAGCGCGGGGGTGTCAGCGAGTTGTCAACCCACAAGAGGATAGGACTATCACTTATGCTAGATAGACACGTACCACTACCGATGATGGCAACACCAACAGACATGCTTGCGTATTCAATCGAGTGGACAGCGTTATGGTATTTAGATAATACCTCTCCAGTTGAAGGCAGGATAAGATTGAAAAGCAAAGTGACAAAATGACGGAAGTACATTTCCCAAACTTGAAGGTGCCATCGCAAGTCACTCCGGGTTTCGGTGGGGTCAACCGGTGTCCACTTCCGAGCTTGGGAAGGTCCAACCATCCGAAGGCTCGGCCTCTCGGCTCTGATTCTCGGACTCAATTTGTTTTTCATATATCGGCTGGCTACAATGGCAATGACTGAGTCGGGCCGATGGTCTTCACATTACCCCACATCTTGTCACGATGGGGCTACACATCATATCAGATCAGGTCATGTCATGCATGACGCAAGAAGCTACGCTGAAAGCGTGATGATCTACTAGGCTCCAGGGCTGACATGACTCTTCTTAGATAATTTGAACGACAGGTACGTAAAAGAATGTCAGAAATTCATCGGATATAAAATAGAAGAATCGCATTACACCGCAAATCCCAATAAACGGCAAACTCAAAACGAGATGTGTATATCCCATGGGAATCCAACCCTTGCGCCAGATCCATCCCAAAAACATGCAAAAGCGGGAATCAATCATATCGAAAGTCCGATGACATACATCCATAAGACGCCCACCCATAAACACAAACCCATCATGAATCTCAGAAATCGTACCAGTCGTAAACGCAATAATCAAAGGAGGGTGAGAGGGAGGAAGGGGGGGGAAGAGAGAGCAAGACATCGAGGTCACGACGAATCACGAACTGCTAGGTCGAACCAAAGCTTTCACTCTCTCCACACGCGCCATGGCCTTCTCCAACCTCTCCAAACGGCTCCTCTTTTCGATATCTCGACGTTCCAGCACGGCAACTCGTTCTTCCAGTTTCGCGCGTGCCTTGCGCTCCTGCGCGACCATCTCGTTCGCCTGGCTGAATAGTTGTACCGTCAAGTCTTCTAACTCGGTATTCGCTTGCGTAAGCTGCTTTTCGGCTGCTTTTCGCAGACCCTGTTCGCGCTCCAGTGCGTCCTGTAGCTCTGCGTTGTCACTGCTAGCCGGGGACGCTGTTTGCGGGAGTGGAGTGATCGGTGCGGTGGGTGTTGATGGGACGGGAGCTGAGGCGCTGGTTGGGGTCGAACTACCGCGCCGATAAGGGAGGAGGTTTGTTAATGTTGTCAGACGACTTTGTTGGACTGGTTGCGGTTGTTGCGGTTGTTGCGACTGGTTGTCTAGGGAGGCAGGAGTCTGGGAGGGTGATAGTGACTTGTCGCCGTGTGATGATGATGGGGGTACGGAGGAGCTGCTTCGCGGTGTATCGTATGTTGGTTGCGAGCGCAGTTTGCGCAGTTCTTCTTCGTAGTCGGCGAGTTTTCCAGCTGTTCAAGAGTCGGTCAGCGAGGGGATCTTGGAAGGTGTTTGGACACAATGTTTCCTGGCGCCTCTGCTTCTTTTTCAAGCAGGGATGACCTCAGGAAGAGATCGAAGGCACAACGAAACGAAACAAAGTGAAACTGAACTGCACGACAGGGGATAATTACCTGCGATCGCGGAGTGCGCGGTCATCTCCTGGATCTGCCCCTCCAGCTCCAGAATCCGGCGCTGGGCTTCGGAGGCGTCCAGGCCGCCGTTACTCCCGCATGTTGGACATGAATTCTCCAAGAAAGGGTCCTTGGTCATCGCTGAGGACGTTCCAACAAGAGTGGTGGTCATGAGAGTTGTGGTGGTAGCCGACATGACAACATGGGGCAGTTGTGATTACCCCGACTTGTTTACCCGTGAAAGTAACCCACACGGGGAAGAGCGGAGAAGAGTTGGTGTTAATGTTGGTGTTGATGTCACTATAATAGCTAGGTAGCTGCATAGAATATGCGAGAGAGCAAAGCAAAGAGGACAGAGGTTTAAAGAGCAAGTCGTGAAACACGGACTTGTTTCTTGTCGAACCCTTTGAAGGGGTGTGATTTACTCCATACTGCGCCACCGGGTTTATTTGCCCAATGGCTGGGGAGACCCATTCTGGTGTGTCTCAGGAACAGATCTTCTGGTTTTTCTATGGTCCTGCCGAAACGATCGCTCCGTTTAATTTTATGAAATTAAATACCACGTCATAGAATAGATCCATATAATCTAATCCCATTCTCCATTCTCCATACTCCCTACATTTCCTGCATTTTCTGCGTTCTCTGATTCCCCATATACACCCCCCGCTGAGCGGCAGACATGTGCGGTGTGTCGGCGGGGGGGTGCAGGGTGCTCGTGGACGTTGGACTAATTCGCATTAGTCCAGTGTTGCCGTCACTAGTGCCACCTATTTATAACGCCCTTACTGGGCGAGGCATTTATTGGTACTCCGTAAACTCTCCCCCGATCCCTTAGGCGCCCTTGGGAATGGAGTTGAAGTTGACCTCGGGATGGATAAATAACATACGCGGGGAGGCAGGATCTAAGGTTCATTAACCTTGCTCTTGGTCTCGGCCTTTTGAACGGTGAGGAGTCTAGGGATTATTGGATTGGCTCGAGGATCCTAGCTAGCGCATGTGGCCTGCCTCCGTTGCTCCACAATAAAATAGAACTGAAATTGAAAGGCGGTAGGGTAAGCCAAGGGTGGCCATGATTACAGAGTTACCCCGGATAGTCTGAATACCGATACACATACGATTAACGATCCGTCAATGAAGACTGCATTTCAATCTATACGAAGTACTAAGCACACAAACACTGGCTCCGCCATTCCGCTCGTGGGATGATATCATCAATTAGGGAGAAAAGGATGCTCCCAGTCTTGCGGTCAATGCAGAGATCAGACCAAACCTCGTCGAGGAGAGGAGAGGAGAGGAGAGAGGGAGAGGGGGGAGAGGTGGGTGGGAGAACCGAGTGGGACAATCGAGAATAAGAGTGAGGATTCATAAGGCAGCGTGACCCATGGAGGGAAAGCGTATCATGTCTCCCTCTCCCATTCAGTCATTCGTGTTCGCACGGCCGGTCAAGATTGGGGCAGACTGGCTCATTAACAAGACCATCCTGAAGCAATCAGACAGCAAGAATGAAAAGCGAAAAGGAACAAAATAGAGAGAGAAACAAGAAAAACAAGGAAACGGGAATCTTCATTTCGCATCGGCTGTAATGGTCATGGGCAAATCACACGAATCACGCATGGGAATAGTAGCTAGATAGCGAAACAGCAACACAGACATCACAAAATAGAGGCGGAAGAAAAACTTTTCAGACTGCCAGATCATCAGAGAGCAAAGACTAGATGTATGTCGGGAAATCTAGCCCGGCACGCAAAAAGGAGAAGATCGTAAGAACAAAGAAGTGGAAGAGGAGGAACGTCAAGACAGGACAACTACCGTCGTCTGCACTTGTGCCGTGGGGCAGATGCAAGAATCATGGCCACATCAAACGACGCTATAGCGTCTATAATGGACCCTGGTAACCGAACTTTGTTATTGCCCGGGAACGTGTCATCGTGAAGAACAGGCGGAGCTCCACGACCTCGGGTCCATTGATACGCAAGAGGTCACAGTCGAGGCGAGAGGCGGAGGTTGTATAGGGTATCGATAGGCCTAGAATCCACGGCCGCCACGACGGCTGCTGCGAGGCTTGGCGCCCACTGTGCTCCAGCCATCATTGTCCTCGGTAGGGGCCTCGGCGCTTCTCCAGTTACCATTAGTGGTCTCCTTCGCAGCCTCCGCAGGGGCAGCAGCCGCGGCAGGCGCCTGCTCAGTCTCCTGGTCGGCGGCCATGTCGTCTCCACCGGCCCGCCGGAGGATCTCGAAGTTACCCCCACCCTTAGGGGGGCTCAACAGCATCCTTGTTGGAGTCCGTGCCGACCTTGCTCTCCGTGTTCTGCTCCTTGGTCTGCTCCTTAGCCTGTTTAGGCTTCTCGGACTTCTCAGATTTCTCGGACTTCTCAGACTTCTCGGTCTTCTCCGATTTCTCGGACTTCTCCTTCTCGGACTTAGTCTTGTCATCCTGTTCCTTCTTCTGGCGAACAGCTTGCTGACGCTTCTGCTCAACTTCACGCTCGCGGGTGGCGGTATCGATAGGTCGGGCCGCGCCGAAGGGGCTGGCCTTCGAATCTCCACCGGCGGTGGAGGTGGTCGGGGCTTCAGAGACGGTGCGCTTGGAAAGGTTCAGCTTAGGGCGGGAAGCAGGAGCAGTTGGGGAAGTGGGCTCCTTTTGCTGCTGGTCGGGGCGCATCGAGTTGCGCCACTGGTTGTCCATATCGGCAGCTGTGGGGGTACGCTCGGGACGGTCTGGGCGAGGAGGACGGGAACCGTCTTGCGAGCGACCCTCACCCCAAGCAGGAGGGGAGTTTCGGCGGAAGCTGGAACCACCTTCTTCAGTGTTGCGGGGGCGGCCGCCTTCGCGGGGAGGGGCACCAGCGGGGGGGGGGAGAGAGGACCCTTGCGTTCCCAGTTGCCGAAATCGCGGAATTTTCCATCAGACTCGAAGTTGCTGCGACGGGCACCACCGCGGTCACTGCCGGCATCAGAGGCGGCATCCATGTTACGACCGAAGCTAGAACGTTCAGGAATGCGGCGCTCGGGGGCAGGGGGGAGGGGACCCCGGCGAGTCCAGTCAAGGTCACGGCCTTCCATACGAGATTCCTTGGCTGTAGGCCTATTAGTCCTGGTATTCTCGTTTTGAGATGGTACGTTCTCGACACTTACGAGGCTCTGCAATGCTGGTGCGAATGGTTCTTCCCTGAAGAGTAGTGCCAGAGAGGTCCAGGGCCTTCTGCAGGCCCTCCAGGGTCTCAAACTCCACATAGCCAAATCCCTTGGGGGCCTTGGTCAACTTGTCCTCGACGACACGGACACTTGTCACGCTGCAGCCAGCAAAAAGCTCAGAGATGTCCTGCTCGGTCGCTTCGAAGGAAAGGTTTCCAACGTGGACAGTGTAAGGCGGCTCGGTTGGGAGAGGAAGCGGTTCGCGAACGGAGTATCCACCACGCTCGATACGGTCTGGACAGTAAAATTAGGTTAGCAACTTGTAAGAAAAAATCCATACGTATATCTCCAGCGTCTGGACGTATCAACGAGGGTGCCGTACCAGAAAATCCGCCACCCATGCCACTACCAAAACCCATGCCACCGGCAGGGCGAGAACCGAAGCTGGAAGTAGGTCCTAAGAAAAGGTCTCAGTATCATGATTTTTTTCCCGGCGCGGATCAGCCAAGAGAAAGGCGAATGAAGGAGCAAGACATACCACCTATACAAATATATATCAGCGACTGGGTCAACAACGCCAAAGTGGGGGAGGGTCTTCAAACTTACTGGGGAGGGGCATATCCTCCATCTCGTCAGCCCAAGAGCCAAGGCCTATTTAGATGTCAATCGCCATTCTAATATTCTCTCGGGGTTTTCGGAAGCTCTTACTCTCATCGGCCAAGAAGGACCCAATGGACATCTTCTGGGCCTTAGACTTTGCGGGCGCTGGTGGGGAAAATCGTTAGCTGGGGTGTCCAAAATCACCGATAGAACCAGTCGCAGAGCACATAGATGTCCCTGGCCGTGTCTAAATCGAAGATTTAAGGTCCTGGCTTACCCATGATTGCGGTTAAGAGGAGTCAAGAAACGCGCAAGCGGTCTTGGTGCGCGCTTCTCACACAGTAGGGTTTGGGAGGGAAAAAACGGAAGAAAAAAATTCAAGACACCCGGGGCGAAGGACCAGGAGTCGAGTGAAAGGGGTAAAGATGACCTGGATATCGTAAAAGACGAGGTCAGTCGGACGAAGATGTAGTGGAAAACTTGAAGTTGGTAGAGGGGAAGTCGGCAATCGGGGCTGCACGATGGAAGTGGTCGGGTTAGTTAATCCGTGATAATTTTTAGTGGTGCCGCTAGTCCCATCAGAGCCAGCCCGTCTGGTCTTCTGGCTGGTCCAAGAATTTCACTACCAGGCACCACCCATGTGTAGTACAATATTACAATATTCACCCTCCCGATTGCCAGAAACTGGTTTTTGAATAGTCTTCATCTTGTGCAATCTATTTCACCCAATCGCTCAAATTTCACTGTGTTCCAGCAGTGGGTCCCTGCGATCGCCCACTAAGGCTTGTGCTTCTTTGTTCATTGGACCCGGGTTGACGTCTAGAATCCTCTGGGGTAGTCTGGAGACATATTTGATTGTGATGCGCATTATTTTCTTTCCTGTCTTTTTGTCAATTTCAAGTGTTCAAGTTTTCATAGATATTAACAACCTTTCCAAGTTGTGTTTCCTGCCCAGGTGCCTAAGTGCCCAGGTGTGTACATAGCCGACTCCACCGAAATATATGTCTACTACTAATACTTTGTCGGTACGGTTGCCCATTTCAAGAGCCACAGGGTCAACTACTACCAGGCTCAGTAAATACACACTCGGGTAGATTAATATATAGACAGCCCAGGACTTTTCCTACTTGAAAACTTGAACCTCTATACATAAACAGAGGGAATATTGGAAATATACTCGTTTGTTTTCGGTGAGAATCAAAATCGATTACATAACATCACGTGACTACTATCTCGGTATCGCAATGGCGTGGATTTTGACCTGCCACCCATCTTCTCATGGATCAGGGAATGCTTGCCGTTCTCTCAGACCGGTTAAAAGATGAGCGGTGGAAATAGCCAAAATGCTGATCCCATGTCCAACTCTCTGCTACCCGCAGCCAAAGTGGGAGCCCTGAGCGGTTCGTCTCTTATTCCCAGCTCAAGCTGGGAAACCATTCCTCAGAAGCCATGCGCGAATATGAATGAGCTAACCCTGGTATTTAGGAGTTGCTGGGTTGATCTATGGAGGGACTGCGGGGGTCATCAAATCCCCGAATCCATTGATTCATTCCCTATCATGCGGTATTCACTGGTTCGCATGCGGTTCAACCTTTTGGTGTATGTCTCGTATGCACCTGTTCGATTTATCGCTCGGTCACTAATTCGAGGATCCGGCGGTAGGGATGCGAAGCAACATCATCAAACATCATTACAAGGATCAAGCCTCTCCGCAGGACCGAGCATATGTTAGTGCATTGTGTGGCGGTCTATCCGGCGGCACGGTAACAAGGTTAATGGGTATGAGATTTTGATTCTTGAATTTTTTTTGTAGATCATCGCTCTGAAGAAATGCTAACGATTCTTACAGGTGGTCGACTTGTGCCTGGGTTGGTGATTTTCTCGCTGCTCGGCTATGGCGGCCAAAGTGCCTTCAACAGGGTTGATGCCTGGCAAATGGGAAGAGATCCCACACCCAGCAAACCCTTGATGCAACGGATGGCCGATTCCAAATGGATCCCCCTTCGGCATCTGTCCGATGAAGAATACCGGGGCATGTTAAATGAGAAGCTGCTCAGCGTCGAGGCGGAGATTGCACTCCTTGATGAGAAGATTGAAGAACTGGAGAGCACTCGCCCAGTACCCGATCTTGCCGCCGAATAAGCCACCAATATCTCGTCCAGGCATTCCATTTTTCATTTTCATTTTCATTATTCGGTCGTCTCAACCTTCCAGCACACCGCGGCTTTGGTACGACGCTGTACCAGACCTGTTTTGGCAATAGGAGGGCTAGGGGATGCGACGCACGGACAGAGAGTGCATCGCTGACATATTCTCTATTGCTTCTACGGAGTACGTGTCAGACTGCCCCACATGGGGGGCGGAAATAGGGGGGAAACAATTGGGACCATATTTATTCTGTATAGTTGCATAGTGTGTACGATACCAAGCGCGGAAGAAATGTATTATTTACGCATCGACCGGATTCTTCTGGAGCAAGTAAAAGGGGGTCAAATCAAGGCGTGCCGATCGCAAATAGTAATCGCAAACCACAAACCGGAAGAGGGCCCCACGGCCATTTCTGCACAGTGAAATCATTGGAGCCTCACGGAAGGTAAGCGAGGTTCCGGGGGGGATGGAAGGGAAGGGAGAATGGCACGCGAGCAACATGTGGTCTTATTTCCGTAGATGCTTACGAGTACTTGGACGGAGAACAAGTACGGAGTACAATGTAATACTATAGAAGATTATGCCCTACTCATAGTTACTCGGACTACTCCGTATAGTTAGTTACCTATGGAGAGTATGACAAGATCAGCAGTTGGCAGATTGGCAGATTGGCTTCCGCTCTCAGTTTCTCCGGCGCGTCCGAACCATGAATCTGGCTTTCTCCAGACTCCTCTGATCTGCAGCATAAGCATGCTTCACTTGCACTGTTTCTGTGTCTGGATTAAGCCTGGTGTGTGGTGCTTCTCTTACTGAGAAGCTGAAGCACTGACTGATCCTTGTGTGCACGCACACTGGTGAACTCACACTTGGCCCTGGCCCTGGCCCTAGACCTCGTTCTGGAACCCCCCCCTCTCTCTCCGGAACAAGTTGAGGTAGGATCAAGATCGGAGCTTGCCCAACAATTTATTTTAGTCTTTGACACACTCACACACACCTACGATTTTCCCCGAACAACCCTCGATGTTCCGTGTACTGCTGTCTGCTCTTGTTCGACAGATCAGCATCCGCTGATCGCACGTCGCGATGACCCTCTTTAACCCGACCTCGATCTTGGTGGGCTTCCTCCTGCTCTACCTGTCGTCCTTCTTCGTCTTCGCCATCGTGCGCATTGCGACCGGAATTTCAATTCAACGCATCGGTTATTTTTCCCTCCGACGCATCGCCTATGCTCCGCGAGAAGGCCTCCTGATCGAAATCCGCGGCCTCGGTTTCTCCTTGCACCCACCGTCCTTCGCCCAGCCGACATGGATCAGCATTCGATTGACCGACTTGAAGATCACCCTTGATACGGCGACTCTGGTCAGAGGGAAAACCGACCCGACTCGAGAACAACTGGGTCCTGCCAGCCCTGGGGGTCCGAAAGAAGACAATGCGACCCCCGACTCGTCCACCCCACGGAGCAAAACATGGAGGACCCTGACTCGGGTGAAGGAGCGCCTCAAGAGGCTTCACCGGCAAATCAATTGGTTAGCTCTGGTAGATGTCACCGCAGTCAACACCGCAGTGCATTTCCTCGAGGCTGGTCAGGTTCAGGTTGGAATGCTCTCGCTAGCCGTGGATACCCGGAGTAAGATGGTGGAGCGGGGCAAGCTATTCCGCCGCAAGAAGGATATGTCTCGAGAGCAGCGACCGGCAGAATGGATTATGAATGTACAAAATGTTCTGCTTGCAGTGGAGGGTCGGGAACCAGTCGAGGTATTGGACAATGTCGGCGTGAACCTCCACGGTTTACTCTATAAGGACTTGGAAGGACTTCGAGATGCATCTGTGGCGCTGAAGATTGGGCGGCTGCATATCCCTTACGACGACTTCAATATTCTCCTGAAGCGTATCAAGTCGGCCCAGAAATTAGCCGCAACCAAGGAGCGCTTACCAACCGAGACCGACGACGAGATGTCATTCGCAGATTTCGTGGAGGAATTGGACAAGCCCGGAAGCAGAGATAACTCGATTGTGCAGACTGTTGCAGATTCGAAAGAGTTTGCCAGCTCTCTTCTCCGTGGTATCCAAGAGATCCAAGTTGCCCTCAGTTTCTTCCGACTCTCGCGAGGTCTTCAATCCCTCTCCGGCCAAGATCATCCCGTCTTTCTCAATGTCGTTTCCCACGAACTTGGCATCGACCTTCACCGCATGGATCAGAAGAGCCCTGAGCACCGCATGTACTTCCAACGAAATGACGTTGCCCATCAGGCTTTACTCGCAGCTATCTCTCTGTCGGTTAGCCTAGATGACGACTCGGGCGAGACGAACAATATTCTCTACGTCCCCATGGCTACGACAACAATCAAGACCACTTTGCCTTCAAAGACAGTCAGCGCCTTCGATGAACAAAATATGGAAGAACGAAACCTGAACGTCCTTTTCGCTAATTTGGTCATCACATCTCCGTCGCTCGACCTGCAACCAAAGCATGTTTCTCGTCTTTTGAAACTGGCCCAAGCCCGAGCGTCATCTCCTCGTGCGAAGAAACGAAGCAACCACCAATTGATTTCTCGTCTTCTTCCCAAAGCGAGCATCAAGCTATCCGTTCATGAGCCTGTGATTCGATTTGTCCTCCCCATTGAAAAGGAGTCTGGTACTCCCGATGACTACAACCTTTTAATTTCGTCCATCTCGTCCATCTCGCTCGATGTCGAATCCCTGCATTCTGCCGAAGGTGGTGCACACTACTCACTATCATCCGTTTATCGCGTTGCATCCCATAAACTCTACTACCAAACACCCGCCGGAAGCAAGCACAACCTTCTTACTACAGAAAACCTAGAGCTCAAAGCGCACCTCAATGCAAGCCCAGAAGTTTGCGTCATTGCATCGGGAAGTATCAACGATTGCTCTGTACATATGATTAACGGCGAAGTCAACCGAGGAATTCGCCAGGTCCTTGAGGAGTTCCGCACCCACCTCCAATCACAGAAGCGAGTTCCGATGCCTTTCAATGAACGCAAAATCAGCCCACTGAGAAAAGTCCCACCATGGCTTTTGTCGTTCTCATTTGAATCAACGGGGCTTAGTTTGGAGGTCGCAGGGGTTGACACCCCGGTATCTGAGATCTCTCGGGGTGTATCGCTGCAATTGCAATCTTGGTCGGCCGAGTACAAGGCCCAGAAAACCGAGCATGCAGTGGGCAGTATTGCCAGACGTCGTACCTCGAGCCATTCTATCATTGGTGACGAATCACCGTTTAGGTTCCAGCCAACATCCCCTCCAAAGAGCACACAGCGCGGTGCAGCAGATGGTAGGCGCCTTGCCTTTCATGTGCGCGGGTTCGATGGGTTCGTCATTGAATCGGATGATTATCTTGAGCCCGAACCGTTTTTCTCTCTTCCGCGATTCGAGATCGCGCTTAGCACACACAGCGACCGCCTTGGGCCTGTTGTCCATATCAACTCGGTTTTCAAAGGCATCTATCTTCAATATTCTCTCTACCGCTTTTACTGCTTAGGTGTGGCGGTTTCGGTGATACAAGATGTTTTCTCCCCATTGCCATCAAAGGAGTCTGAGCATACCCAAGGGAAGACGAGAGGAGCTCCAAGCATATCTCTGCCGCCTCCCCCTTCAAATCCATCGCCTGGAAAGGGTGAGCTGATTACCGTCGATTTCAAAGCCACTGTCGTACAGCTCAAAGCGAACCTGCCCAATGACCCGTCTATGATGGTTCAGGTTTACGGGCTCGCAGGTGGCTCCCAGCGACTTTCAACGCCTTATGTTAAGGCAAATCTTGTTCGCATCCATGCGGAAGCACCTAAACTCAAGGGTGTTTGGGCAAGAATTGGTAGTATGAACAACGTCCGGCTAGACTTCCGCAAGATGAGAATGAAGCAGGGTGGAAAACTCACGGAGGAGAGATCTATTGATCTGTGGGCAGATTTCATTAGGATAGGTGTTCCTCACCACATGGTGATGCATCGCATCTTTGACAACTTGATCAACACTTCGAAGGCATTCAAGCAGCTTCGACATCGCTTCAAAAATCGCTGCAAAGAATTCGTGTCCACCCGAGAGCCCGAAGAGCCGAAAAAAGTACCGAGAATATCTCTCCGCAGCAAAGCTTTACTCTTTGAGTTGGAAGACGATGCGTTCGAATGGAAATTAGGCTGCATCTACCGCACTGGCCTAATTGAGCAGACCCAGCGTCTTGCTCGTGAAGAGGCTTTCTATCTGAAAAGCCAGAAACTCAAGGATTCAGATCAGAAACGCGCTTCTTCAAGGCTCAGAGCCAAGTCAAGCAGCCGGACCCTGCGAAGTGAACGAACTAGCCAAGATACTCGCCGAAGCAGAAGTGCCGAACCACTCCCAAGGAAGGAAGACAACAGCCGTGCTGGCCGAGGCCGCAAATTCCGATATGACACGGAGGGTGCGACCTGTTTATCTTCGGAATACAAAATAACCCCCGATGCGGCCTGGGAGCGACTACAGCAACACAATGCCCAGATCTGGAAGGAAAAGATCGATGCGGCGCTCAAGTTCCAAGGCACGTCTATCAAAGAAGTTCGCAATCTCTTTTCCGGTGCAGACGAACCGCCAGATGATGTGAAAGAGACAGAGACTATTCTTGCTATTCCAAATAGACCGGGTCTCATGTCCGCATTGATCAGCGATGTGAATCTTGTAATCGACAAACCTACGTTCCCAACCGAAGAAATCCCCGCTTTCCTTCACAAAATCGGTAAAGGAATGCCCATGGACATGAAATATGGCCTACTCCTCCCGATGAGTTTCAACCTGGAAATGGGCGAAGCACGCGTCAACCTGCGAGACTATCCACTTGATTTGATACATATTCCTGCCCTTCGCCCTGGGCAATCTCCAAGGCTTCCCAGTTGGTCTTTGCGGACAAATTTCGTGATCGCCGAAGAGTTCCGAAACCATGAATCTGCTCGACAGGTTGATGTTGAGCTTGTTCCCAAGGCCGAACTGCCCAACGGCGTCCACAGTGATCCTTTCCATATCAAGGTTTGGCGGTCGGTTACTCCAGTCAAAACGTACTCAGAACCCACTGTCGAGATCAATACGAGCCTGCCAACAAGTATTTCTTGGGGCGTTTCATACCAGCCAGTCATTCAGGATATGATGAAGATCATCGAAGGGTTCACCAAGCCTGAGGTCGATCCTTCTGAGCGGGTCGGTTTCTGGGATAAGATTCGATTGAGTTTCCATTCTCGGATAAGAGTGCGATGGAAGGAAGATGGCGACGTTCACCTGCGTCTGAAAGGCTCTCGAGATCCGTACGTGGTAACTGGGTTTGGAAGTGGTTTTGTTATGTGCTGGCGAAGAGATGTCAAATTTGAGATCCATTCCAGCGACGACCCCATGGAGTTTATGAGCGTCACCAGTGGCGAGTATGTTTTGGCCATTCCAGACTATAGTGCGGAAGCTCGATGGGCGAATGAAACGTCAACTGAAGATCTCGAGAGCAGCTCTGCCTCTAGCGAGCAGAAAAATGCTGCCCACTTCAAAAAGGTTGTCATGAAGCTGTCTGGAGATGTCAAGTGGGCTGCCGGGTTGGTCTTTGAACGCGACGTCCGTGACGATTCGCGATCCTCAGGCTTTGAATTCAAGAATCATTACGATGTTGTTCTCAAAAACCCCAAGTATATCGACTCGGCAGAGCGTGCTGGCTACGATGCATTCCGGGGCTTCCGCAGTGATCACATCCATTTGTCGGTTTCGGTCATTGCGCCGCAAAGCAGGGACTGGTCGCTTGATGGCATTCAACCCTCTTCAAGCTACAACACCACACACTTATCCCCCCCGCTTCTTCACACACTTCTTCAACTGGTGGTCCCTTTTCTCCGGTGTCATGTCACTTCCAGTGCGCCAAGGTCCTCTGTTCCCAGGAATCACCAAAACAAGCAAGAAGTTCAACCGTCACTTGGCTACTGTCAAATACAAGCTTCTCCTCGCGCCCCTATTTGTGGCTCATATCTATAAGCACAAGGATCGCGAAGATTATGCTGAGAATGCTGTCACTGCCACTGGTCTGAAGGTTCGCCTTGACTCCTTCAAGCTAGATGTTCACCAGCGACGTGAGCAAATCAAGATGCAAGCTCGTGGTCGCTCTAAGCAAACTAAGACAAGTGCCATGCGCATGAATCAAGCTCTCATTGACCTCCAGTCAGCCGACTTCAGGGCTGTCTCTGCTAGCATTGAAGGCACGAGAGCAGAGGATATCGCTCAAAACAGGGATGATATCATCTCGACTTTCCAGCAGCCAGTTGCCTCTGTTGATCTTTCTCGATTCACAATCCCCGACCAAAACTTGGATTGGATTGATATGGATGACTTCGTGGAGCCCGACTGGATCCTCCCACAAGAGTCAAACCCTAAAACACAGATTCTGCCACTGGCATTCACCCCTCGACTCACCTACTTCCGCCAAACCGATCACGATGATGTTGGGTCCGAAGAGACTGGTTTTAGTACTTTCGGTTATGAACCTACTCATGACTGTGTCATGTCCGAGACCAACGATCCCCGCCGCGTTCAGATCGAATTGACCAAAGACCGCCTCGCAACGGTCGAAGCGCAGATCCGCAATTACGATCGCACTATTGGAGAACAAGAGCTCAAGTTAATGAAGGATGTGGATCATGACCCTGAACTCAAAGAAAAGCACGAGACCTACCTTCGCCAGGCTGAATCCCTGGCCCGGCGACGAAAGTTCTTGACGGCCACCTTGCACCGCCTCGAGAGACACCTGGCACGAGACGAGCGCAGCCACAAGTCGGGCCCCAATGCTAATACGAGTGAAACCTCTTCACGAACCGGTTTCGATGCGGAATCTACGGCTGATGGTCGTTCTCCTGGCCTTGACGGCCTTTATTCATCAGCCGCGGATGACTTCTCAAGCGACTTCAACAATCGATTCATGATTCACAACGTGCAGCTGAAATGGAACAACTCACTTCGGAACATCATCCTGCGGTATAGTCACCAGGTTAGCCAGCGTCGAGGATTCGTTTACTACATGTCCAGACGAGCAGTCAAGTTCATCCTTGATATTGTCGAGGAGCAGAATAAGAATGATCGGAAGAATTCCAAGGCATCCAGAACACATACCCGCAGTGACAACGAGGACGAGAACGAAGTCGAAGATCGCATTGAAGAGCTGCTTAATAGCGCCAAGCGCTTTGTCAATGCTGAAGAAACCGATCCTTCTGACTCGAACAATGAATCACCTACCAAGTCCGACGACTCAAGCGAGAATATTGCTCCAGAGTTCACCCCGCAGAATAGCTACTACTTACGACTCATTGCTCCTCAGATTCAACTCCTTAGCGAGAAGAACCGCAAGTCCGTCTTGATGGTCGCTGCCAAGGGCATGGAGCTTAAGGTTGTGTCAATCATGGACAAGGAACGTGTCGCAGACGATGTCAGTGGCCTGGTCCAGCGCCGTTTCTCTCTTGAGATGGATGGTGCCCAGTTCTTTGTTGCAACACAGAAGAATCTCATGAACAACTTGCAATTTTACGCTGGCAACAAATACGGCAACGCCCCAGGATCTGCATGGCCTCCGTGGTTGACCCTCGAGGCTATGTTCGACTTCGAGCTCAATCCGTTTGGCTTCTCTCGCATTGTTCAGAAAACATCCGCTACCCTCCGCTATGACAAATACAACAACCTTCGTCTGAAGTACAATGAGGAGGTGGCCAAGGGTAACCATGGGCCGCATCCCGGAGGTGATGAAACCCGCATGGACCAGATTAGCGTCGACTTCCCCCACTTCCGTGCAATCTGTGACTCCGCCGAATACTACACCCTCTACATTATCGTCCTGGATCTCATGATGTATAGCGAGCCGCTCGAGAAGGTTCGGAACGAGCGCCTGGAGAAGATCATGCTCATGTCCGATTTCAGCGATCTTCGCGGTGCGCCGGAGATGGTTTTCAAGCTTCAGGCACGCATTCGTCAACTCGAAGAGATCAAAGAATACTTCCAGATCAACGCCAAGTACCTGGATACACAGGGCTGGGAGGATCGTTTGGCTCTGGAGCGCGACTTGTCACACTGTGAGGATGAGCTCTTCTTCATGATGGAAGCCATCACTACTTCCCAGAGACGAGCTGAACCTAGTGCGTCGAAGAAGAATGACGGCGTCTTGCGGTGGAGCATTTCTGCAAGCGAAGTCGTTTGGCACTTGATGAAAGAGGCATCTGCCCCCTTGGTCGAGTTCCAGCTCAAGAATGCCCAATATGAGAGGACAGACAACACAGATGGGTCCAACAATAACCTGGTAGCCATCGAAAAAGTCAGCGGATTGAACTTGCTGCCGGATGCAATTTATCCTCAGATCATCGCGCCATATCTTGACCAAGCACGCCCGTTGGATGACTACATGCTCCGAGTCAAGTGGCATATGCTGGAGGCTGTTGCTGGAATCCCCGTAGTCGACAACTTCGAAGTTATGTTGTTCCCGCTTAAGATACAACTCGAACGTGAGCTTGGTCAAAGGCTTTTCGAGTACATCTTCCCTAATATGGGATCGGGGGCGTTTGAAAGCGGTGGTTTCTCGCCTTTTATGATAAAGAACATGAAGCCGCTTGATGGGTCCGACGATGAGGACGATGAAGACGACGAGGACTCAATGAGTTATTCGATAAGCACCGACGGAGACAGTGTCCTAATGGATGACCTGCAAGCTTCGAAGGGCCCTGGCTCTATCGAGCTTAGATTACAACCGACCCTGTCTCTCTCTGGAGAAGGCAAGTCTAATCGACGGCCGAGCCATCTCAGAGGCCTTGCGATGACACCCATCCACCGGAGCAGCACCCAGCTGGGAGTACCAGAGCCTCGCAAACTGCCCCGTCCTTCAACAACTGGCGCCCTTACCAAGAAGAAATCAGCCGACAGCATTCGCATGTTGGCGAAGCAGCCTACCGAGCGATCTTTATCCAGCCACAGTACAAGCGCTGGCGAAGAAAGAAGGAAGTTTGGTATCAGCAAGGGTTCTCGACGACGCAAGTCCTCAGAGCCGACGGACGACCTTTCCCAGATGATGTCCCGAGCATCCAATTACATGACCCTGGCGCAAGTCAAGGTCCACGATGTGGTCTTATGCCTGAGTTACAAGGGCAAGGGTGAACACAACTTCGAGGATCTGCACAATTTCGTCTTCCGCCTCCCAGTTCTCGAATACAGCAACAAGACCTGGTCAAACCTTGATCTTGCTTTGCGCCTCAAGAAGGATGTCATCAAGGCTCTCATCTCCCATGCCCCTGCCATTCTTGGAAACAAGTTCTCGCAACACCGTCCTACCAAGCAACAGCAGAAGCGTTTCCGTGAGCTTGCTTCGTCGTCGCAATTGCTTTCCAGTTCGACTATCTTGCCCCCCGAACGTAGCCAGGCCTCAAGCATGTTAAGTTTCGACTCTAATAGCGAGTACTCTGGTTCTCCATCGCGGAAGTCTATGCAGTCGAATGCCTCGCCCCTAGCTCGATCAATATCCCTAAGCTCCGATACGCGGGAACGGGGGCAAGACAACACCATTTCTGATTCACGGTCTGCCGGAGATGTTGATGTCGATTCTCGCTGGGAGGTTCGTATCCCCTTCTTCGCTACCATGCCGAGCACTATACTAACTTATTTACTAGGAGTCGCGTCGTTTCGTCAATGACCCCGTTCGGCCCATGACTTCTGGCCAAATAATCACTACAGTCGAAGCCAATGGGGCTGAACAGGACGATAGGTAAGCAGTCTTCATCTTTTTGCATTGCCTCGATAGGTCGGAACCGAAATTCTAACACTCCCCTAGCCACAAGAATACCATCCGCAACCTGGGCCGAAAGTTGATGGGTAGTCGAAAGTGATCAATTGATCCCATCTTCTTCTGCTTCCCATCCCCACAAAATCTCTATCACATTTCAATACTTCTTCCTCGCCATTATCCACCCTGCGACCCTCCCCTGATCCTAAAATTACTACACCGCCTGTAAAGCACCTCTTTTTCTGCAATCCGCAGGCCCCGTGTCTCTCTTTGGATACCCTCTCTGCGCAACGGGGCCGTATATAGGCGTTTTGATTATTTTTCTGATTTGTTCGGGGTTTATTGACGGGAAAAAAGGAAGGTCTCTTTTTTCTCCCGTCAACTTTCTTGTTTTCCCTTTGACTCACCGCACTGTATTTCGGCTTGCATACATAGAGGGAGTGGTGGTTTTGTTTTTTATCTTTTACCCTTTTTTGGATTTCCCAGTTTCTATTCTATTCTCATTTGATAATTCAATCCTTTCCTTTTGCCCCCCCCCCCCTGCTACCTTGGTTGTGAGGGTTGGCGATTCTGCTACACTTTATTCTCTTTCCCTATATTCTTCTGTATTTTCTTTTCTGGATGGACGACGGGTTGATCCTGTTTCGGCTTGACCTCATTTGGTATTGACCATGTATACTATTTTCTGAGCTATTTCAATTGGGATAAGGCATGTTTTATATCAAGGAGCCAGTGAATAGTACCTTAGTACTGATACTCTATCCCGTGATGCCATCAAACACCTGCCCAGGTGGGGAGAGGAGTTTTTTTATTAGACAGCTTACCTAGGAATAGAGACTCCAGTGAGATATCCATACTAGTACTAACTTTGGAATAGGCTTGAAATTATTATAATCACAACGTTTGCTATACTAAAGGGTATCGATATACAACTAGGATGGATAAAAACATGATTGAAAAGACTCAAATCACAGCCAATTTTAGGCCAAGGTCTATAAGCGCGCATTCTCGTATGCAAATTAGAGAGGTATTTGTTTTGTTTTTCATGAATATCTGCATCTTCACTTTGGACCCGCCAAATGAACCCGCAACCAAAGCGTCAAGTCATGAATGAATGGCGTAAGAAGAAATGATCATTTTGTTTGTTGATGATCGGGCTCTGGCGGGTTACTGGCAGGAATGTTTCCCATTTCATAAGATGTATCGGGGACATTGGTGGCGGTATCTTCGGAGTCGGCAGTATGTTTGGAAACGCCATCAACACCGGCGCCATTAACGATATCGACCCCGTCGGTACCTTCGATGCTGGGCTTGCCCTCGTGGCTGCTCTCAGGCTTGGCTTCGGGAGTAATTCCACCGTGGCCATCGACGCCAGGTGTCGAGGGGGCACTTTGCTTTTCACGAACCCAGGGGAGACGACCATGGACAGATTCAAAACGGGTACGGGCAGTCGGAGCGGTGATATCATCAACCCAGGGGATGCCGCCCTGTCCGCGATTTTCCGCCCAGGCCTTCTTCTCACGACGCAGATCACTCTGAACCCAAGGGATGGTGATCAAGGTCCAGACTCCGGCCCATGCGAACGGGAGCGTCCAGCCAAGCTGCATGAATTGACGTCAGTCTGATGATGCATCTCCGAGACATCCTTGAAGGTTGAGGTACTTACCGTGAAAGCTACGGGCTCGGAGACCGTAAAGATGATGGCAGTGAAGGCGGCAGCGAAGATGATGGATCCGCCGCTCCAGAAACAGTTCATCTCGAAGAGCATTCGGCGGAAGTAGGGACTGGATAGGTAGCGGGTTCGTAGGGCGTATCTGTAGATCTGGCCGCCTCCTCCGTCCACGGCGACCACGTCCTCGATGAGGGCATATAGAGCAGTCGGCATGACGGATCCTTTGGGGGTGGAGGAAATGCGGAAGGGGGCCTTGAAACCGGCCATGCGGAGGACGTCAAGGGTCAGGTGGACGATTCCGAAGTAGAACATGACGGTTGGTAGGACCATGGCGACGAGACGCACTGTTCGAATGGTTAGCTGGAAGGGTCTGGATCGTGGTGGATGACATGATGCTGACCATATGGTTCCTGAGGGACCGTTCCCCTATACTTCCGTTAGCAATGTTCAAGCTTTTGTACCCGAGCAGGCCGAGAGGTAGGGATTGGCAAAACGTACGCAATAAGCTCCACAGCCAAAATAAGCCATACAATCGTAAAATTGATGTGAAAGAAGTCGAGCTATGTCCAAGATCAGCGATATTGATCAGCGATCGCAAGGGGCGTTCTTCTTACCCATGATTTGCGGGCGTTCAGCGGCCGGGCGCGGGAACCCTTTTTAAAGAGATTGTAGAGACGATAGAAGTATTCAAAGACCGAGATACCGCCCAAGCACGCCGTGACGATGGAGAAGACTGCGATAGCACCGGGTTAGCCATTGGAAAAGGCAGTGGTGGGCGAGGGAACTATGGTCAACGTACTCAAATTATGCGATAGATCCGTGCAATACCATAATGCCCAGTAGAGGATCAGCGGCTGGCCTAAGGTATCGACGACGAACAAGATCCAGAAAAAAGCGATCGCCTTCTTGCGAGTGTGCAGCGAGTATGGGAGGGGAGGCGGCTCGGTGTGCAACGGAGGAGGGTTTCCTTCCTCCATCAGCGTGGCGATGGGGTGATCTGGGGGGGAGAGAGAGAAGATGGGATGGAGGATCAAATGCGCCGCGGTGAAGGCGTTCAGGGGAATAGGTCGGTTGGGTGTCGCAGTGGAGGGATTAGGTGGAAGGGGTGGAATCGAGATCAGGACATGCTGGATAAGATGTGAGAATGCATAAGGTATTTTCTAAAGAGAAGAAACGAGGATTGATTTTATTCTTAATTTAGTGTTTTTGGGGGGGTTTCCGGAAACGAACGGCTGAAGGCCAGACAAAGTAAGGCGCCGCGCCTGACGTAAGGCCCTGATGTCATGTTCCTCTCCAACCGGTATTACTGTATGATATGTATGTATTTATTATAATATTTATTATAATATAATTATAAGTATACATATAAATCTAGATTATTCTGAAACACTCATAGGTACCCCTCATCTATTGCGTTGTTGGTGTTCTTGTTCTTCTTCTCGGCTGACGATACTCAAAGAGTCAAGCCGGTTTTGGCCATCGCCATCCCCGTTGCCATCGCACTGCCCACTCCAGTTGCCACCCACCAAAGACATGTACTTTTTGTTGGCAATGACTTCTTTTTTCTATGCCATCGGGTCAAATAGATTTACCCTCAATATATATTAGTATTTTAGATGATTTCAAGGAGTAAATTGACCAAGGGAAAAATTCAAAAATTCAAAAAAAACAAACAGCCCAATGTATACTTCGTATAGGAATCGGGCTTCGGATCATGGAACTCCGATTATCACGGCGATCCCGAGTACCGATCCGATGGGATTGCAGACATCGTACTAGTAGTCCCAAGTAAGAGAACTGAATGCCAGTGCGCATCTACTATATTTAAGAAACATAGTTCTGACAATCAGTATTTCATATTGTAGTATTAAGTTCATTCAAACTGGTATAATTAGCAATGACTGTAGCTAGCATACTACAGAAAAGTACTGTTATGGTATGAATGTTGGTCACCTGATTTCCAAGGCACCCCCTGGAATGAAAATCACGTGTCTGATCGATGACGCCTGCAAACTCCAACGGCCTCCGTTCGAATCCCTCTGACTTTTTTTTTCATCCTCATTTTCCACTCATTTGCTTCTTCCAACACCCCCCCCTTCCCCCTCTGCCAACCGAATTCCCTTTAACTGATCACATGGTCATGCCTTCCAAAGGTTAAACTATGGCCCCAAGTCTACAGGAGTTGATTGATTTCCTCCTTGGCGAGGTCGCGCTATGCGGCAACCAGGGTGCGTATCATTTAGCTTGATCACCCAGACCCACTTGACTCAGCCTCTTGTATACTTCGTGCATACATTTGAATACTTCACTGGTCAATCGTGGATCAATTATCCAAAGAAAATACTGACCACCTCATAGGAGCAACAATTTCAACTGTGCTCCAAGCGATCGAAACTTTTTATAAGAATGCTTCCCAGGATGCAACCCAACTGCGCCAGACCGTTGACCGCCGTTTCAAGGCAAAAGTTTGGACCTGGCTAACGCAACATCCCGAGGTATCGGTAGGCCAGGAAAACGAGTGGCAAGGCCTCTCTCTGGACGAGGCCGAAAAGCTTGACCGTGAGGACCAAGAGCCAAGGGACTCGAATGTACAGGAGATAGAGGCCGAGACATCATCCACGGTTGCGCAAATTCGAATCTTCGTCCCTCGGGAACGGACCTGGCATGCGGTCGCCGGCCATGGCCCTGACGAGACCAAACTTCCCCATTCGGAATTTGTCTTACTTTCAATCATCGCCGCCCACCGATCAGCAGGCATTGATCAAGTCAGACTGGTGAAACTGAGTGGCCAAGATAAACGGTCCGTTCCAAAGCGAACAGATGCTCTCCAGAGAAAGGGATACATCGAAAAGCGTGCCGTTCAAATCAAATCAGCGCGGACTAGTCTATGCACCCACAAGCGATTCCTCAGAAATGCATCCGACAATCAAGGCCACCAGAAATCCCAAATCGCCACTCAGGACAAAAATATTATTGATTTCGAGGCATTCACCACTCAGCTTTTCGAAATTCTCAGGAAAGAGCAGATCATTTCACGTAATGACCTAAAGAGGCTTCTAGGTTTCCAAGACCGCTGGCGCTGGAAAATTCTATCTCGAGCCATTCGCAAATTCGAAAGAATGGGGGTTGTTGAGCGCGTGAGAGCCGAGTCACAGTACGAAAAGCTACACCCTTGTGTTATACTCAGGCGTGAACCCACCGCAAAGGACTTTTCTAGTTTTCATGAATTCAATGGGGATGCCTTGAATGCTGATGTCGATGACCAAGCCGATGATGATGAGGATATGGAGATCGATACTGTGCAGCAAACATCTGGTGCCGACGACGGAGATGTGGATATGGCCACGGAAAAGCACGTCGTGAAGTCTGGGCCAGTTATGCCCATATGGACACCGGATCGCCATGTCACGAACCAAATATTTGACATCATTGATCGATCCGGCCCATGGGGACTCACCAATTTGGTCAGTCTGACAAGAATGATCTTGACGAATGCCGCACTAACACACGCATTAGGAAATCAACAAACTCTGCTTTGGAACCTTCTACCGCAGACCTTCGGAGAGCTTACTACACCGTCTCACTGATTGCTGGCAGCTCTCACAGCCTCTCCACCTGCGGCACTTTGCCCTTCTCAGGGACCAGGATATTCAAAAAACCATTATCTTTTACAGGAATTTCTCCATGAAGAACTTTGCCGAACGTGTCAAGACTGGAATAACATCCTGGGAGGCCGTGGAATTTTCCACTGGCAGTAAGAAAAAGAACACCCCGAAGATCCCAGGACCGGAAGCAACAGCCCAACTCGATCAATATGGATTTCCTCTCACCGGGCCGCCGACGGGATTGCTTAAAGGTGGCAGAGGAACATTGTATCAGGGGTTGCTTGCTGCCAATCCCAAAGACTACAAACTGACCAATCATGATCCGGCGGTAATACTACTTCCAAATGGTGATTTCAGTATGTTGTCCTTTCTTGAGTACCCTTAGGATAGGGATGAACTTGACTACTGACAAAGATACACAGCTATCAGGGCCGGGCACATAAAAACCCAGGCTGGGACAACAGGAATTCCAGGTACAATGAAGCCGCACGGTATTCTGAAAGGCCCTTTCAAGAAGCGCGAATTAGATGACCCCGGCGAGGAAGTGAATGGCATCAACCTGGAAGACACCCCAACACAGTCCATGCAACGGGCGAAAGTTTCCAAAGCCAAGCTTAATAGACTGACGGGCCTTTCCAGAAAAGAGAGATTTGAGGCGATGGGCATGGATAAAACTTGGACCGAATACAATGCCTTGTTAATGGATAAGCCTTCGCCTGGTGTTTACATTACGCCGGAGGGCAAAAGAAGGCCGGCAGGCAAAAAGCAAGGCAGGCCAAGAAAGAGTCGGATCGCTGTCTTCAAATCTCCCAACATCCTCAACATGCCGTGGTTCATCAAGGAGAAAAGTGATTCAGATGGTGATCAGCTTGCCGATGAGGGTCAACAGAGTTCGAACTCCCACCCGCGGACTTCTATCAAACGACCCCCGCCTGGCTTCAACCAACCCGACTCTCCTAGTCCATCAAAAAAGCCGAGGGGGGAATCTAGGATGCAGTCTGAGACTGAGGAGCCTGGAGATCTTGCTGGGTTAGCAGTGTCACCGGAGACCGAAGCCGCAATCGCTGTATCAGAAATCCCAACTACTGATGTGGATGGCAATTCTGAACAAGCTGATGCCACGGCTAAGCATCCGCGCAGTGCTGAAGACAGTCAAACGTCTCCAAATAAACGACAGAGGATTGCGTCACCTGAGCGAGCCGAGCCTGAAATTGCTGCTCATTTGGTTGCACCTGAAAATTCCATCGCTCTCGAAGAGGGGACGATGGAGCCTCCTGCCACACCGATGGCCGCAGATGATCCCAATTCAGAGGCACGGAAAGGAAGGAAAGTGCAACCCAAAAGGGCAGAGAAAGGCGGAGGCTCTATCAATCTGCTCCGAAGGAAGATCGTCATGGATATTGTTGAGAAGGCTGGGGGTGCATATCCTTCCGGGCATGAGATTTGGTATCCATTTGTGACTGAGTGGATGAGGTTGAAATTCAAGGAGAAGCCAGATCTGCGAACCGTGAAGATGGCAATCAAGCATCTGGTCGATGCTGGCAAGCTTCGGCAACTCACTTTCAGCGGCAAAGATCTATCCGATGTGATGGTTACAAAGACTATGGTCACGAAACCTGAAATCCCGCCCGATGATCCGTTGGTCAAGGAGATGCAAAAGAAAGTGCTAGCCACGGATCGAGCCTTTCCGAAGGTATCCTACTCTCCAAATATCGTCCTGGACCCCACTGTTTCAAAGCACAGCTCGCGCGCCACTGGGCAGAAGCAGGAGCTGCGAGTTGAAGAAGGAACCATGGTTAGGTTGCAAACGAAACCAGCGTTTGTTGTCAACTCGGAAAAGAGGAGGGACCGACGAGTTGAAATGGCTTTATACAAACGAGTGGTTGGACAAGCTGATCATGATTCCGAGGATGACAATCTTGATATTCCTGGTTTCGCTCGACTCATGCAGATTAAACGACCACCGGCGGTGGAGGAATTCGCGCCAGGATCTCATATCAAGCAAACGATCATTTTCAGACCTAAGAAGACGAACTTGAGCCAGAGACAGCGGGGAGAGCGGGACACTCTGTCAAAGAGGACTGTGAGAAAGATCTCCAGTCCTGGCGGGTTTAGTTTGATCATGAACCCGCAACAGACGTTCCACCCCAGCAGTGGCACTTTTGCTACTCAAGGTGTCGCGGGCCGAATGCGAAGGGTACTTCCAAGGAGGCTTGCCACCATCTCGGACCCTGTCCGTAAGCTTTCTCAACTTGCCACTGCGAACCCGGATCACCAGGACTTCCACCGCACGAGTGATAAAATTGCCAGGTGGGAGATCGGCCATGAGGATCTACTTGATGCTGCCCTTCCTGATGAAACGTATATTTCGCAGACTGTTAGGAACAGTTTCTATGGGGCTCCCATCGACGGTCGGATTCGCTTTGATATCGATGAACCCGAACCAGCACCCCTGCCGCTGCCGACACCAATGAAGACTAGAAGAGGCGGCAGGAAGAAGCAGAAAGACCACCAGGAACGACGATTAGAAAAGGTCGATACGTCCACTCCGGCTCGCGCAAGATTCCAGCCAACGCTGCCAGCTACACCTCGACCCGCCAAACGACGTACCTTCCAACCAATCCCCGAAGCTCTGCTTCGGAAAATCATGCTCGCTATCGTTGCCGTACGTGTTTTGACAGGTGGGACGGAAGCACGGCATGTTGACTGGGATCTGGTGGCGGCTTGTTTCCCTGGACATGATGCACCGTCTTTGATCGAGAGGGCGCGGAATGTGCTAAACCGAAACCGTTTGCAGATTATGAAGATGCAAAACGATTTCCAAGATAGATTCTTGGAGGCATATGCCAATGACCAGGTTCCCGCAATCGATTATACAAAATTGGATAGCTACGCCTGGCCAGCATTGATTGAATGGGCAAACTTCCAGCTGGAAGTTTCAACATCCGAGCGGGCACCTTCACTCCCCGCAACCCGTGAACAATTCGATGACATTTTCGCACTCCGCGAAGAGCCCGTTCCTAACGCCGATGAGATTTTCACAACCACGGTCGGAATGACTCTCAATTACAGACGTGGAGTGATGGCCCAGACTCCATTTGCCGTGATGCTAGATGATGACGGAAAGTCCAAGCAGGACAGCCATCGACAACAAGAGCTGAAACGGGAAGAGGTTACCAAGTCATTTGTTCGAGCCAATATCGTCACGCCAGAAGATACCTACGACCCAGCCAAGTCCAACACAATCCTCGAGCGATTCGGCGAGAAACGTATCCAGTCAGCGGTGGAGTCCTTGGTGAAAAATCGCGTTATCGGCCAGAATAATCGTGGCCGTGTGGCACCGGGTCGCAATTACGATATCACCGATCATCTCCTCCAACAACTGAACCGCAGACGTCTGATCGAATGTGGTATTCTCAAACAAGCGGCAACATTCAAGACATCGACACTTGACCCGAAGATGCGAGACGAGGGCACCGCCGAGGTTCAATACAATGCGGAAGACGGCCATATCCTGGCTACGATCAACCTCTTCGCCAACGGTCATGTCAAAATCTTCCCCCGTGGAGCGCCGCGCGATAAATTCGGCCTTGTAGATGATGGATATCTCACACGGCAAATGGACAAAACGAAACTTCGCTTTGCGGTTGATGTCAAACCAACTGATTCCTATGTCTACGGCAATCCTATTAAGGAGCGTGTTACTAGCACCATGCCCCCAGCATTGTCTCCGCCCGAGGAAGGCGTCCCGCAGAAGATTCCTCTTTGGATGGATCTCAATGGACATCTCGTGGAGCCGCTATGGGAGATGGGACTTGCTTCTGTACTGGGATGCTTGGTGCTGCGGGAAGGTCTCTCGGCGAAGGGTATCAGTAGCATGATCAAGCCGGCGATGGCGCCCTGGGAGATCGAGGCGATGCTTGGTTGGCTGACAGATATCGGTGTTGTACATGGGGAGGAAATTGGATTGGAGAAGAGATGGAAAGTACAGGAGTGGTGGTGGATGGTACTTTCATAACGATGTTGCACGGTGATACTTTTTTTTATTCTTTGCTAGTACATTGCAAATGTCAATGAAGATGAGTAATGATGAAGATTTCTAATATTCAATATCTATCCACTGGCATTCGTATTTGAAAGGGAAAGAAAACACCCAAGTAAAAAAAAGGCTATACCAAACGCCGAGCGGGTATCTAGGGAACAAAATCAATGCATAGTCACTCCCCCGGCCCGACTCTATCTGTAGAGGTGCCTCACAGACGAGGAGCCCAACAGTACAAAAATTTCCCGGAACTGAAACAACCTTAAGCATATCATGAAGTATCGGCTTCAACGCGGCATCCGAATGGTTTTCAAACCCATTCATCGTTATAGATCGTCAACGTCGATCGTTCGTCGAAGGACCAAAATCACTAATGCGACAACCACACAAATGATAGCACGATCTATCCATGGGCTATTGGCCGGAGAAAAAGGCGCAAGTGCAGGCTGAGGGCGTGTATCAAGCTGTGTAGACGCAGATGGGGAGTTCGGGACCGCTGGTATCGTCCTCGGCGTCGATACCGATGTAGATCTCTGAACAGACTGTGATGCCGGGTCCGACACCGGGGGCCGAGGAGATGTGACGGGATCCGTAGGTGTGGAAATCTCTGGTTCAGGTGCAGACACAGGCACAGATCGAGGCATAGGAGCAGCTGAAGAGTCATGAAGATCATGCCGTCCCTGCGGCGGATCTGTCTCTCCTTCTTGCCCATCCTTCTCTTCATCCTGACCCTCCCCATCACCATCACCATCACCACCCTCAAACCCCTCAACATCAACCTTGACCCCGACCTCCCTACAAAGCTCCCAAAACTCCCTCATGCGCACCTCATTCGACCCCCCCCACACTCACGACAAACCCACCCCCGCGACAAACCCGCATACTCGCGTCGAAGTTCCTCACTCCCCTCCATCCCACCAACCTGCCCTTTACTCTCGCCACTGAAGATCTCGCTCCGAATAGCCAGAAGCGCAGTCCGGACCCCCCCATGCCGGTTGCCAGGTTTCTTCATGGTGGCCCGAGATACTGAGGCATATTTCGCGGTTTACCTCGAAGCGCGCGGAGGGCGTGAGGAAGCGGAATGAAGGTGGTCGGAGCGGGTATGCGGCTGGAAATGTGATTCGACCGTGATAAAGGCCCTTTGCGTAGGGGGTTGGACTGGGTGGTCCGACTAGGGTGAAGTGCCAGTCGTGGAGATTGGTGTCGTCGACTGGTGAGGCGGTGAAGTAGGGACTTGGGTTCTTGTGGAGGTCTGTTGATTCTTTGAGGAGGCGGCGGGTTGAGGGAGAGGTCATTTTGTATGTTGTATGTTGGCTGGGGTGTATTTATGTGTCCCTTTCTCTCTCTCTCTTTTTCTCGTTGGTTGCCCCGCGGTTGTTGTTTGGGGCTTGTTGGAGGTTGGAGGAGAGTTGGAGGGAGGCGGCAGGTGGAGTCGAGATTAGATCCGGCCAAATGCGGAGTAATCAGATGGGATGGGATTGATGATGACAGTGTTTATGCAGTGATGCAGTTTACCGGATATACAATGGACGAGAGACAGAGAGCCACTAGGAGACGGGAAGATGAAAGAAACAGACAAAGGATCAAAAGAAACTTAATAAATACGAGCAAGGTAAGCTCGAGATCCGAGATCCACAATGTACACGCATGCTAGTCATACATGGGGGGGAAAATGCCAACTTGGCCTTTAGGCCGACCGCTTAATCTGAACGCCAACCAATGATGCAAATACATATAGATGGATTGTTCCTGTTCAATCCCAATCACGCCATTCATCCGTTTCTCTATTGCGTGTTCGACGCCCTGCATCCTCAGGATTCAGCAATCTATTCCCCTCGACTTCGTCTTCAAAGTCGCTGTCTCCAGGCCTAGGTCGTGGTGACGCAGGCGCGAGCGTTTGCATCGATACACTAGTCGGAGGACGTTCGGGAATATCCTGTCGCCCGCGATTGGGGGTCCAACTTGGCTGAGCGGCGCTGGCACTGGCGCCGGCGCCGTTGCCGGCACCGCCGATCCAGCTGCGGCCATTGTCCATGTTGCGCTGGTATAGATCCCGATAATACTGCTGCTCTTCGGAGGCGGCCTGCTCGCGATAGTCACGCAGCCGGTCGCGAGACTCGAGAAAACGTTGGCTCGGCTCCCAGCGCCACCCGTCGCCGGTTGTGTTGCAGATAGGAACGAACCAGTAAAGTGAACGCTCGCCGAAAAGGTGGAGGAGGTTGCGACGCCAGCCGAGATCGAATGCGTTGGGCATCTTCTCACTATCTTCATCATTCAAGTATTCTTGGTATCGATCGTGCTCGCGTTGTCGCTCATTCTCCGCGTATGACCGCGTCAGCGCTTGCTGGGCGGGTGTGAGGTTGTTGCTTGCGGATTCAAGAGTCGGACCCTGGCCTGGTCCATAGGGTGCCGGGGAGAGGCGCTCTTCACCTTCTTCGGCTCGGGTTACGCCGGGAATGGCGTTCGCGTGGGCATCGATAATCTGATTCCCATATCCTTGTAGTCGTTGCGTTAAGCTCTCTTCATCATGACCAGCGCTGTGGCCGTTGGATCCTGGGTCGAAGTGCTGTCGCTCAAGCGCTTTGCGCAGCGGTGAAACATATCGTGTCTTCTCGAGGCATTCAATAGTCGTCACGCCCCTGACAGCTAAACTGATATGCCATGCCGTAAATCCTGATAGGACAAGGCCGATGATGCCGCCCAGAATCGCTAAAAGAACCACATTCACGGGGAGGTATGTGTCCATGTAGCGTGTGTCGTTGAGAATTTCCGTCCAAACCCATATGGATGATGTAGCGAAGCAAACCCAGCAGAACAAGGATGTATAGATCAAGAATAAGAGGAATGCCTTGTAGTTATGTAGTCCAACGCAGGTTGCCAGCCAGGGGCAGTGGTGGTCCATCTTCAGGACGCAGCGTTTGCATGTTGAGCAGTGGTGTGCACGATCTGGTTTCGGGCACATGCATTTCTTGCAGTATCGCGATCCGCCAGTCGAACTGACAGTGTAAGAAGTGAACTCGGGGGTCTCGGCCACAGGCAAGGCGCTGTATTGACCGCGGCCATTCCCGCGACGGGTCGATTGTGGCGAACCGGGATCTGTGAAAACGGCGACGGTATATGATGCGTTAAGCATACAGTAAAAGAAGACACCGAGTATAGTACTAGGAAGACCTGCGAAGCCGAGCCATGTCGTTAGTTAATTGTACTTCCGCACGCAAGCCCATTAGGCATCCAAGTAACGGCGGAGAGTTGTTCGTACCAAGCCAATCGCTCCGTGACTCCTTGAAGCCAACACTGGCCTCGACATAGACGGCCCAGGTTGTCAGGCCGTAGACGAAAAAGAGAGGAAAGCAGCTGGCCGCGGCGCAGCAGTAGCGTTCACAGCGGAGTGCCCAGGCGCGAGGGCGCCGCTTCGGCCATGTCGGCGAGGTCGGGGGTGTTGAGGCCAAGGTGGCCATTACAGATGCTCGCTCACTCAAGAGAAGGGTGGGCGATGGGCATCGAGGGGTGTATATCGATCGGTGAGAAAGCTGAGGCGTTGCACATGCACATCGGGGACCGGCTTCAGCGGCGTCGTAAGCGGGCCTGACTCAGCCACCTCAGCCACGCCGAGCCTCGTAGGGTGGAGTACAAGAAGAAGTACAGAGTATACGGAGAATACGGAGATCAATCTTGGAGGAGCGAAAGTACTCTCTAGGAGATAGAGGAATCGGGGATAATACTTATTAGTTATTTCACTGCCTAGGTTCATTCTAATTAATACGCCAACCGAATTGCTTCTGCTTGAACTAATTGATATAGCGCTGGGTATCTTTTGTAAATTAGAAAAGCTATCTATTCCACCTAGTAACTGACACAAGTCCTAGGATTTGATGATATGTTCAAGACAGTGCCAGTCTGGCATGGTAATAAGGACAGTGCACCCGCACGCCTGAATTTATTTACAGATATTTCATGAAACGCATCGGCTTATCCAACCAACATCAACGCCACGTATGAATGGTAGAGCAAAGACAAAAGGAATGACCTCATTAGGATGATGTCTTGCTCGTGGTGGTTGTGGTCAGAGCCTGGTCACACCAACCATTGACGGGCTAATCGCAGATATTTGTTAGCAGGTGCAAAAACATAAAACGGAGGTAACTTCGACATACCAAGCAACTCAAGCGGTAGCACCAGGAGCAGTTAGATTTGGGGTACCTGTAGAAGTCGATGATCAACATGATGAATCCGATCAGGACGGCGACCAGAGCACCAGCTCGGATCAGCCACCAGGCCCACCAGAGGGGTTTCCGGCCCTTGAAGAAGTTGAGAGGATTCTTCTTGGATGTGTTCTCATCGCTTGACGAAGAGACCATGCCTCCACGGCCCTTGAAAAAGTCCATGAATGAGGTTGTTTTGCGGGTGTCTTCCGCAGGCTGGGCTGCACCACCGCTCATCGCAACATATGGTTGGCGCGAAAGGCCGATTCGTTCGCGTAGCGCATTGGGAGAGCGCATGATGCAAAGACCGATCGCCAATCCCATGACAAATCCACCGATATGGGAGAAGTTATCTAAATCGGGGAGTAGGCCGAGCACGAAGGAAACAGCGATACCGAGGATCATGACAATTAGTTCCACCCACCGGGATTCACGATTCGGCCAGTCGTAAAGAAGATCCAGTAGGAACAGAGCCATGATTCCGAACAGAGCACCCGAGCAGCCAACACTAGGCTCAGTCTGAGAAGCGTAGTTTCCACCGAGCACATAGCCGAAAATACCACTGGCAAAATAGGCCAATGTGAAACGCCAAAATCCGATTAAGCGTTCCATATCCGTGCAGATGAACATCTGAGCGAAGAGATTGATTGCGATATGAATAAATCCACCGTGCAAGAAGATCGGAAGGATAAAGCGGAACCATTGGTTTGGTGATGGGTTTGTATCCAGGGTTACGCCCTTACCGGGGTTGGGGACTCCGCCAAAACCGCAAAGCTCAGAGAGAGTGCATATTTCGTCTTTCGTATTGGTTGTTGTAGAGTTTGGGCAGAGGAATGTGACGGACTCGCCCAGATCTTGGATGCCTGGGGTACTCTTCATGCACGGGGTGAATCGAGCGCCCATATAGATCTGCATGTAGGCGGAGGGACCTAGGAATGGATTGTTTGCGGGCTTGGTGATTGGCGAACCGGTCATTTGTGCTAGAAGTTGTAAAGACGAGGTTAGTCTAATTTGAACCCCAGGTTTCTTGATCGAACAGGCGCAACTCACCAGTTTTCACCAGTTCGATAATGAAGGTTATAATCATCGCCAATGTCAAAATCCACGTTGCCCAAGCGGGCTTCTTCTTGAAAAACCCGCGCTTCTGCTGGCGGGGGTCATCACGACCTCTGTTGAGGTTTTCAACCGCGCCAGGGGAGGGTGGATAGGGGTTGTACTGAGTTTGTTGGTGCTGCCATTCTGGGTTGTTGCCGAATTGTGTTTGCGACTTGAGCGGGATGTTCTCTGAGTAGTGGTCGCCATCTGGTACTGCTCCAGCCGAATAATATGGATTTCCATCAGAGGCAATCGAATGTTGGCTCTCGCGGTTGTGATAGGGGACGGATGGGTCATCATGATGGGACTGGGTGTAGCTAGAGTAGCCAAGGCCAGGAGCCGCGGCGGTCGCGCCAACAGCTGGAGTGTTTCTCCCTAGTGTGGTCGCCCCCGGGGCAGCATGCTCGTAAGCCGGGGGATTGGGAATGTTCGAGTGGTAGTAGTCGTTGGAAGCCATGGTGGGCGAGCCGAGGCCGTGAACAGGGGATGGTTGGACAGCCAGGGAGGTCGTTGAATCGTCAAATCGCCAAAAGGAAGGTTGGGAAGTGAAAGAGAAGGAGAAAGAATCAGGCCCTATTAGCGATCGAAAGGGCGAAAGGGCGAAAAATGATGGTTAGATGGAAGATGAGGAGGATCAAGAAGAAAGAGTATAGGAAGAAAGAAAGAAAGGGCCAGGCAGTCACATTTGGGGAAGTTATTTTTGGAGCGGATCATCAACGCAGCCGCGCGGCGAGTGCGTGTGTTTTGGCTGAGTCTGTTGATACGCAACCGCCCAGGTGCTTTGAATTTACTTGAATTTACTTGAATTCTTCATTATAGTGAGTATAAATTATAATGATTATAATTATCGTCACTATTGTTTTTCTATTATCATATTCTATACTTTTCTTTATTTGATGAAGAATCAGGGTCAATTGACGCTGCCCGAAGTACTCCGACTCAGCCGCAGCGCCAAGCTGCGGCGATCAACAGGCCGCTAAAATTCGCAGTGGAGATGCCCAACCGCCTGAGGCTGGATTTTACAGAGATTGTGTTGGTAAGTGTAGAACGGTTGTTTTCAGTTGACATTAACTATTAGTATGATCCGCAAGGCCATGCTTCCCACCCGCAACACCCAAACATCCCTTCCAGGTAATCAAGGTATCCTGGTACCCCGAGACGTGGCAGATTAGCCTGGTTCGTGTGCTCGTATTTGTGTGTCATCAACCGCAAGGGTGTCCCCAGTGTAGGTCATCAGGTGAGTTCTGTCGCTGAAACGAATGTGGTATCCCCTCCGAATACTCCCTCAAAAACGCCAAGAAAAAGAGAGTGAGAAAAATGTGGTACAATGCTGCTAGGGCGCGAACAAGAAGAAAGACAAAGGTAAGGAGGACAGGTCCACGTAGACCAGCAACCCGAATTTGCAATTCGACTGTCTGTATGGTGCATAGTTGATTCCAAATCAACAAGGGGAATGGCATTTCATCGAAGAAGTTCCGCCTCAGCATGAAGCTGGCATGGATCTCGGAGTATATACGTTGTCCAAATGCAGTCCTCAGAGAAAAGGCCGAGGGGAATCCTTCACAGTGACCACGAGGGTAGGATGGCCTCGGTGGCGGAGGTGGTCGAAATCGGATCTCCATGCATGTCTATCATCCTTAGTGTGGCGTTGGCCTCGTCACTGTGGCCTGTCACCAGCCATACTGCGCGGGTGAGCTTGTGGAAAAGCAGGATCGGGAAGTATAGCAATAGCGCCCACAGTAAGAGTGAAAAGACGACCAGTACAAATGTATTAGCGACACACTTCTCAGTCGGGGTCATGACATAGAGACCAAAAGTGACTTCATATCGATAGTACTCGAGGCGAACACGATCAACCACCCGTTGGAATGGGCTCCGACTTTTCTTGCGCAACGTGTTTGAGGCATTGGTCATGGACGAGGAGTACCTGATGTGGAGCTCATCCATGGCCGTCGGTGCATGTGACACGTTCGTGGTCGTCGAAGTATAGCATGTGTGTATCTCGGCCGTGGTTGTCATTGTAGCCATGGCGTCGATCTATCGCCCATCCTACGACGAAAGGTGGAGGTAGATGAAGGTGGTCGGTATAGTTTGTCGTCTGTTGTGCTTCCTGATGGTCCCTTTGGTATAATGAGAAGATACTAGTAGTAGGGAAAGGGAAAGGGACTGGGCAAGAGGACGCTCGGTAGCGGTTTCCCCAAGTGAGGGTCAGGCGCATATGAGATTGACCTCAGCCCTCGACTGATCGGAGGAGGATATGCTCAGGCTGCACAAGCGAGAGGGGATGGGGTGTATCAAAACGTAAATAGTGAAAGGAAGGGCTAAGGGAGAGTGCAATGTAGTAGCGGTAGGGGAGAAGAGACTATGTACTATGCCATCGAACTAGTCCGGGTCGAGGAAGTCCTATATCAGAAACCGGTCCCAGGAGAAAACTGAAAACCGAGAAACAGCGGTGGTTACATTTAGTTATACTTTCTTCCTGTTCATGTTCCTGTGCCTGTGCCTGTGCCTGTGTCTGTTCCAAACCCGGACAGTTTGGTGCGGGAGGCACCAGGAACAAACCGTGGTTGATGCCTCGGATCAGTGCGGAGTATAGTGTGCATCAATTCATCGCTAATTATAGAGGGTTTTTATCTATCTCCATGTATCTATGTCTTTATTATACAGATATTTGTAGTTCGATGCATATATCTACGCTACGTGTGTTGTATATCATCTTATTGTATACTTTGTTTCAGCCACCATCGGGGTAGGCTCAGGGTCGGCCCCGCTACCCGCACCCGCACGCACCACTTGAACTTCCTCACTGCAAACACCCATGCCATGGCGAAGACATCGCAGACTACACGCGATTCGAACAAAGAGCCCTGTCGATGGATCCAACGAGAATATATCGACCACAAGGGTAACAAGGTCATTCTAGGAAAATGGGTTTGCTGGGGCAGGCAGTTTTATCAACCGGAGGAGTTCGAGGGGTATCGACTCCAGGTATACAGCACACTCCCGATCCAGCCAGAGCATTTTTGCCAGCTATATAGTTAATTTTTCTCCGGATACCAGCGGTTTCCATTTCTCGAAATTTACTCATACAACCCGTCCGATGCTCTGTCCTGCGTGGAGCACCAGCGCAACGAGGTCGCACATCGGAAGCGCCTTCATGCTGAGCGGCGGGGAGACGAAGATGATACAATTCTCCCCCCCTTTGATCCCTACAATGCGACACGGCTAGGTGATCAGTTTATGTCCGGATTCTGTTTTCTTCTCATATCTAGGATCTATCTTCAGGGCTATTTTCGTGATAATGACCATGGCCCTGGCCCCTTATGGATTGGCTTCGATCCCAGCCTTCTATTTGGGCTAAAGAAGCTCCCAATGATCAAAAGGCTAAGCAGTTCACCAACTAAGCTTCGCACCTTTGCAGAGTGGGGAATTGCTGTCAATCCTGAAATGATTGATGTCACTGTGAACTACAGATGATCAACCTCCATTTGGCTATGATATAAGTAATCTGATGATTAAGACCATTTCCTTATATGCTGATGCGTCTCATTTTGCGTTCGATTATGGCCTCTATGAGCCGCTCCCACCTTCACCGTCCCAGGACAATCTGACTTCGCAACATACCCGGGAGATTTTAGAGCAACAGCAGACAGATGACATCCAACTGGAGAAACCAGTAAACTCATTCTATTATGGGGACCGGAGAACAAAAGCATTACGGCTAAGAACACCACAGATGAGGAATATGATCTTCAATATGTGATATACGTGCCCTTTCTTGCAGACATTGAGCAAGAAAGGACCACTTTCCTGGAAGCGACGGCCCGCAAATTCACCGCCAGCATTATCTTGAATCTCTCTATCTTCAAGCCTACTGTCTCCAAAACAGTTCGCTTCGAATTTAGGATCCCCGACTCGTCTTCATTATCATATTTTCTTTCAGCACCACCGGACGGATTTGATATTGGCGCCTGCCACGAATTTGACACAGCCCCAGGCCAGGAAATGCGTATACGAGCGCTGCCTATGGGTCAGCGTGACTTCTGCTTTCGCCCGTTTCCCCATCAATATTTTACAGTGATACTTGATAAGCCTAGCTTTACCCAGGAGCCCAGTGTTCTGTTCTTCACTCTCCAGACGAAGGGGGGGCACTGATCTTGAGATTAGTCGGAGCGCCGGCATCCAAGAGGTTGCGAGGCGACTTGCAATGCTTGCGGTGGAAGAGAACATCCAAGGTGACGCAAGGACGCTCACACGAGAGGAACACAGGGAATTCCTGTCTTTGTCACTAGAGGAGTATGAGTAGAAGATGGCCGAGTGTGGGTCAGTCTATCATAAGCTGCCAGTATCGTAGCCTTTCTATGAGTAAAAGTATAGAAATAGGAGGGTTCTTTTTGATAAACAATCCCAAATGTTTACTGGAGTCACCTTAATTGAGTTTCTTTGTGCAGCAATGTGGTTGATATTGTATGTCTATTCTCCAATGGGGCTGTGCTGACCCAGCTACGGCAGTCGATAACCGTCAGTAGGGCAATAATTATGTAATTCGAATTTCGGCTGGGATGCCTGATGTGATTGGCTAGAAGGTAGCGGGGTTAGTCCTAGATAGGACTAGACTAGGGGTCTTGACCAATGGGAGATTCTTATCTGCGGGGAACCCCGGAGGTGTCCTTTAACATCGTACTCAGTAGCCATCGCCCGTTTGCTTTTTGTATGTAAAAAGGGTGCTCAGTGGCCATTACCTACGCGTGCTGGATAGCTATTACCTCCGCATACTATATGGCTAGTACCCATGCGTGTAGGCAACGAGGTGGTGGGGAAATTCCATAATTATTGCCCACTGGCGGCTATTGGCTGGCTGCCGTACCCAGTGATGTCACCCAATCTTCCCCGCCATCCGCGCGACTCAATTGCTCCTCTCTCAACGACTCGTGTTATCAACCATCATGGATGTCAATGATCCACTTGTTCAGGCCCTGCCACCGGCCACTGACTATTTGACCTACCTCACTTTACTCGAGTACCAGTTGACTCCTGAGCGCCTGCCATTATTGCACCAACTCTTGCAAGATGAGCGTCTCACCACCAACATCGGTTGGGACCTCGTCAAGCTGCTTCTCCCTATGCTCCCCGCATCTACCGAATGTCTTCAGGATGTCGCTCGACTCGGTAATCCACGAGAGGTGATTCTCCGCGTGGCGGAAGCTCTCGAACATCTTCAACCAGAAGATGGCGACGACGAACTCGCTGAAGAGAACAGCGATGCGGGCAAGCCTCTTCCGTCGCACATTCTCCAGTTCAATTGCCTCCTCGCCATGCTGTCGGTTCTGCACAACCGGATTAAGACAAAAGCCCCCAGTCGATTCATTGCAACCTCTCTCCAGGCCGCATTGGAAGCCTACGAGACCATGCCCTCCGACGAGACTACCCTAGCCCTGCTCGAGTTCCTTCGCGACGTATCTCCCAGCAAACGACCTGCTCCGCCTCCACGAACCCCAAGCCAGTCAAGCGTGCTGCGAGTCGCCGCGGCCTCAGCTCCAGACCCGGAGGCCGAAGTCCATTCCCCATCCCCCGAGGCCGATAACGAAACACAGCTCGTGGGGAAGTTCATCCAATTCGGTCTTATCGAGCTACTCAAGTCCTATCTTCTGAGCTTTTCCGGTCCGCTGGACCCTGGATTGTCTTGGACTGTTCGCATACAGGAGGATTTGAATCCAAACCTGCGTTTGCCCGAGCAGTCACAGCTGGAGGCGTACACTAGCAACAAGGAACTTAAAGAGCGAGACATGATTATGGGCAAAATTGTGGTAAGTTGAGACAAACATACCCCACAGGATGAAGAATTGAACTAAATTGTTTCTATGAAGGCGCTTTCACGGGATGTTGGAATCGAGAACAATGATCTTTTGTCGATTGTTTCACGGTCAGCAGCAGACCAGCCACCCCCACTCGACTTCGAAGAACCTCCCACCACCCCCGATCAGATCCCACTGGAACGCCATGGCTCTCTTTTGCTGCTGGCAGCACGGACGGCTGGTGCCCATGTTTTCGCATCTCGACAGCCAATTCCACCGCTGCCAGTCTTTCCTGACCTCGCCGAAATATTTTCTAATTTCGTTGGGGGCCAGGCTAGCCTCGATGAGGTGGCGTTTGGTCAACCACAATCTCTCCTTGATTCGCTGTTGGCGCTGACCGTTCATTCGACGACGCAAGAAATCCCGTCCCCATCAAATGAGACCGAATTCAAAGACTTCGTCATATTACTAACGGCTTGTACCGCCCGTCAAAGCCACGGAATTGTTCGCCAAATTCCAAATGCAATTGTACACAGCCATCCATCACAACTCACCCGATTCAAGCTCATCCGGACAGTCTTGGAGAATGACCGCCTAAACTCTGCCCGAGACAGCGCAATCACCTGGCTAAGGAATGAGCTTCTTGATGCGCCACCCGAATCAACAGAGTCTCTATTCCGTGATCCACTATACTTCTGGGTCCTGTTCCCTCTACTTTTCCGCACCATCAAGACAACATCGTCAACCCCGGATCTTGTCCAGAACTGGACCCGCCTCACCCAGACTGATGGCCCAGCCCTTCACTCTGCATTGAATCTCTACTACCTACTCCTCTCCTCGCCATCACTCCGAAGTCACCTGCACCTCGAAAAGACAGCAAAGTTCTTCCGTAGTCAGGTCCTGAAACCCCTGCGAGAAATCTTTCGTTCCTTTGAGTCCGATCTCACTTCCAAAGGAGGCGATGGCCTCATCGAGGCTGCAGTCGGCGAAGAAATGTGCCAGGTTGGCAACGACAGATCTGTTGGGTTGATTGGACTTATCCTGGACCAGATCGAGGATCTTGTTGCCGAATCATTTGGTACTGATGAAGGAGACCTCAAATATTACTCGGAGACGGAGGAAACGAGACTGGCGGAGATACTCAAAGAGACGGAAGGCTGGAACTAGGTCCATTACCCCCGTTGTGTCCTGTATGGATAGATGGTGCTGGGGATTGTGTGTAGATTTCCTTGTAAATTTGACTCAGAGATATTGAACATACTAGCATGTTTACGTTTTATTTTCTTGTCCACACTAGACCCAAGAGTATGAAGCCTAGTTCGAATCTGCAGGGCAACATGCCTTTGCCTATGGGCTAGCTAGTACCAGTGGCCTATCCATGGATGTACATATCCGCTGGCAGCTTGCCTTCTCCTGTCCAGTGCAAGTACTACTGCAAGCTATCTTGGCCAATGAGTTCAATTCAGTGCTGAGTACATTTGGAATATGCAGGGCCATTCTTTCTACTGCTCCACTGCCACTCTCTCCATTCGCAAGATTATGCCCGTACTATCTGACAAGGGTGCCCAATTGGCGCAATCAAAAAAGATTCCTAGGCCTCATAGTCACCCACTTAAATCGGACGCCAATTGCGCTCCAGGACACCTCCTAAAAGAACTACACCAGCCCCATATAAGCAAGGTGTATCCCCAGGGCAAGGTGTATCCCCAGGCATGTCTTCGCATCTGCTCCGAATGGCGAGAAGAGAATTTTCTTGCGCTTAGTGTCATTACTAGTACCACCCAACTATGGCTCCTCCTCAACACCTCGGCATTTAGAAAGACATTCTCGTCGCGATGGATAGTATAGCACTGTGTGCTAACCGTAGTACGTACTGGAATGAAGAACTCTGATAACCCCGCGCCACATCTGCGAGGAGCTACTACTACAAGAAAAAAAGTGGTTTTGTGGGGAATGGTCACATTCATAATAACTGCCACGGCCAGCAGGTCCGAAAACTAAGAAGATAACAACAGCATCGAACACACAAATCCACAACCCAAAGCCAGAAGCCATGAGAAAAGCAACACCACATCAACAAGAGAGAAAAAGGGGAGAGATTATTTTAGAGCCATCCAACTCGAAAAGTGCAGTGAAAAAGAGAACATAGTAACCGTAACCCCGATTCCTTGATACATCCCCAAGACACGCCCTTAGAAAAATCGACAAACGAGAACCGGCTCGCGTCTCCATCGGTGTAAGTGAAATTGATTAATTGTCGACTTGATCCGGGAAAAACCACAGACAGCGAACAGGAGAGAGAAAGCAAAGGATCCGATTTGATTGCCGGGAAAGAATGACTGGACGGGGCAATGTGAAAACAACGAATATGCTGGTCATGTTTATTTCCGAGAAAGATTTTTTTTTTTGGTTCCTTCCGAGTTTTCGTGGTGCTATTTGAAAAAAAAAGATTTAAGACTTTGATTGCCGTATAGTAGACCATCGAGGCAGAGGCAGGTCTGTCATTGCGGTGGGTTGTGGACATGGTGGATTCTGTGGTGGGTATGTGAAGTTATTTACATAACAACGCAGCCAGCACCGGGGGAGGCTGTATCGGGAAAAGGTCAGTCAGTATATCGGAATGATGGTTGGGAAGATGCAATGGGAAAGGAATTGGAATGGTCCATACCCTTAACAACGGCAGAGTTCTGAATCTGAGCGGGAGACATAGTGATGGATGGAATGGAGCTTGTAAAAAGCGAAAGGTTGGAAGTAAGATAGATGATTGGGATGATCGAGATGGTTGTGGATGATGGAAAAAGAAGTCTGTTGAGCCGGGCAGAGATGGGTATTTATACACTTGCTGGCCGAAGCTGCCAGGCTAGATTCATTGTTCTGAGTTCTGAAAATCGGAGCTATATGGGATCTGATACCTGGCCCTGAGATTGTCCCAGCACCTGGTGGCGTTTTCTTAATATTGTTGCCCTCGACGTGAAAGCAGGCGTCAACCTACCAGGTGGTTCAGAGGTGACACTCTAGACCTCACAACTTGTCGATTCATTGTTTTCAAGATGATTAGATGCAGGCACGTGGTTGTAAAATCACTCCGAGAATGGGAGGGATGTTGATTGTGCTTCTTTCATATTGGCATGCCACGAGGCTGGCACCTGTCAGTGCTGGGGAGAATTTGTGGAAAGGTACATATGTGGAATGAAGAACAATGTTAAGATACATCGAGATGGATTCATTGAGTTGAAAGAAGCTCGCCGCCACAGTGGAGAAGCTTTGAAATGGGGAGAAAACTGGTAGGTAGGTGGATTTCTTAACATTGTTCTCGGAAGAACAATGCTCTTGGCGCCGGTTGTTAGGGTTTAGGCTGACAACCCCCTCAGAAGTGAATCTACCAGTGGACAAAAACGAAAGCAGGAAAAATAGCAGCAGCAGCAGCAGTAGTAGTATGTGCAAGTCGAATCAAATTAATTCACATGAAATCACCAAGGCTCAATTTAGATTGGAATACAGATCATTGCAAAATCGTATCGACATCAATGTCCTCATGTATAGAGGGGCTCGGTCAGATCGTTCAAAGTCAACCCTTCCTTCGCAACATCCTCCTCAATCAAGAACATCAAAGGCATCTCAACTAGGGTTCCCTTGACCTGGCTTAGCAGCTCTTTGACCTGCTTAGCTCCCTCTGCGCCAGGGGCGAAATCATCGCGCACCACATGCCCCCACTGGAACCGGGCTGGTCGACCCATATCCTGACCATCGGCTTGCTTGTCCGCACCATGGAAGTAGTACTCATAGAACTCCTTGTAAGTGGCCCAGTTGCGCACACTATCCTCCGGAACGGCGTGGAAGACCTTGCGGAAGACGTCGGTGTTCGTGCGCGCTCGGGTGTTCCACATGCTTTGTACGGTGTCAGCGAGCGGATCCGCGACAATTCTGCTCTCGGGGCAATCGAAGTCGAAGTTGTTGGGAACTCCAACGGGTTCGAAGTTCGCGTCTGGTCGCTGGTAGTCCTGGGCAGGCAAAAGACCCAAGTGCTTGCGGAACAGCTCGCGACGGAGAGAGGAGGCGAAGCGGCTGGCAGTCCATGGCTTGCCGTTCATGCTGGACTGTACTGGGGTAAAGTCCTCGATGATTACAGCAATCTCGGAATCATGGTCACCCAGCTGCGAGCGGTCATTGAGGTTGGCAGATCCACAGATAACCAGTCGGTCGTCGGCAATCATCACCTACTCTCCTGTTAGCACTGAAAGTTAATCTTTTCCATGTTTAGATAACATACCTTCGAATGCACGTAGAGCTCCTCGCTCACGAATGCATCGATCTCAGCATCGGGGTGACCGTCCCACGGCACATTACGGATATCCTCCCCGTTCAGCATATAGCACGAGCTGACGCTATCCCAACGACCGGAGCTGGAGCCCTTGGCGCCCTGGACCTGATGCGCGGCTTGTTGATACTGCTGGAAGGGCGCGCTGGTATCAAACGCACTGCGAGTAGCGGTATGAGCAGGAGCTCCTGGGGCATACCCACCGGGACCAGCAGTGTTAACATCGTACTGTCTCTGAGCATGTCCGTAGTCGACACCGCTCTGTTGCTCCACGGCAGCCAACAGACCAGCGTTGTTAATCCGATCGTAGTTGCGCAAGTTGTAGAAACGGATGTACTCCATGGGGTTGAAACCTTCCTTGGCGATCAGTTCCATGATACTGTTACCGCCCCGGTTGATTGAGTTGTATTGGAATTCCATGATAGCGCGAGTTCCTAGGGTCTCGTCGTCGCGCAAGTCTCCAGCAAAGCATGGAACGGAAGGAATCACAACAATGATCTTATACTTCTGGCCTGCGCGAGCGGCACGCAAAATACGCTCCACAATTGCAGCTCCGATTGTGTTCTTCACTGGGTGCTGGTGATCACCTGTCGCCGTGATAAAGAATTGGTTCTCGATGTACACGAAGTGCTCGCTGTTTTTGATGACAGCCGCGTACGCATTTTGGATGGAGTGCTCCACTGGCGTTCCATTGCTCCACTTGGCGCAGCTACGCACTATCTGGCAAGACATGTTGCCACGACTCTGTGAAGTGGGACGGCCGTAGGTGGTGAGACGATCCTGATAAGTGTGGATTTGGCCGGCCAGCTGACCCCGGAGATTGTTTCCGTAGTTTGTGATATCCTCACGAAAGCGGCGCGGAGCAAAGCCTCGCTCCTGATCCCCTCCTTGACCTTGATAGTAATCGCTGATTCCACGGGTACCCGAATGCGAGGCCTCCTGGCTCGGCGGTGGCGCATAGTACGGTGCTTGACCCTGTGCCTGGGTGTGTTGGGCCGAGTTGGGAGATTGGGTAGGCGGAGGCGCATAGTATGGTGCTTGGCTCTGTTGCTGCGGCTGGGACTGGTAGTTCTGGCTGGCAGGTGATTGGCTTGGGGGAGGACCAGCGGGAGGCGGCGGGAAAGAATCACCGGTGTAAGTATACTGAGAATGGCCTTGGCTCGGAGAGTGGCTTGAGTAACCAGGTGGGGATTGGGAGGTGTTGGCTGGCAACTCGGTCGAGTGAGATGGGTAGGATGATGTACTACCAGCCTGGTATGGTTGGTAAGACGAGGTGGAGGACGGTTGTTGCTGCTGATACGGCTGCGGGCTAGCAGATGCCTGGCCTGGTGGAGGTGGGTAGCTTGAGGTATTTCCAGATGCGGACTGCCAGGACGGAGCAGGACTATGGGGCTGTTGTGGATGACTGGGTGAATCTTGACCTGGCGGGGGTGGATAGGTCGAGGCACTCCCAGTCTGTTGGGATGATGTGTTGTAGTGCTGTTGCTGATTCTGGCTGTGCTGGGCCTGGCTAGGGGGTGGTGGGTAGGTTGGTGTGCCACCAATTTGATAATTATTAGACGCCGCAGAGCTCTGGGGTTGTTGTTGGGACTGCGTAGTAGAAGACGCCTGGCCCGGAGGAGGTTGGTAAGTGGAGGTGCCTCCGCCTTGCCAGGATGGCTGCTGGACGTGTGGGCTGGCTTGTCCGGATGGATAAGGACTCTGTTGCTCCTGTGTTTGTTGCTGATGTTGCTGCGGTGGCGCGGAGCCAGACTGCGGGCCAGTAGAGTTGGGACGTCCATATAGGGCAAGTCTGACATATCGAGACTGTTGACGAACCTTATACTTCGCGTCGTAGATAAAGTTCCATCGCTCCACGAAGTGTCGGCGCAGATCCTCAACAACGCCTCCGTGAAGGCTCACCGAAATATCGGACCATCCCATTCTAGACATGGTCTTTCGATCGAGTTGGTTGTTCTCCCAGTGAGAAACATCTTGGAAATCAAGAACTCGCGAGTTGTTATAATCCTGGCCTGGGAAGACGTTCTCGTTGAGATCGGCCGGGTGAACATCGGAAATGGCATGCTGGTGGGTGTCCCAGCGTCCGAAGCACATGTCCAGCCCGCCCATGAAAGCGGTTTGGCCATCAATTAAGCACAGCTTCTCATGGTGGGCCCAGTAGAGAATAACGTCGTCGTTCATACCATAAAGTCCCTTCAAAGCGTCCTTGGACATTTTACCGAGACTAGCAGAGTCCAGAGACATATTTTGGAAAGAGCTGGAGATTGACGAGGCAAGCTCTTGACGATCCGGCAAGTGATCGGGGTGTCGAAAGACCGCAATATTGGGATGCAGATTCTCCAGGGTGTGCTTTGTGTGTGCGGAAGAAAGCGTCAAGGCCTGAGTGACTTCCTTGTATACAATGATGTTGACGCGAACACCACGCTGGGCCGCAGCTTGCAGCATTCGGTCCAGTCGGTATTGTTCATTCTTGGCTGGGGGTCTTCTCAGGTAAAGCTCAGGGGAAAGCCACCCTGCATCACGATTAGACAAACTTGTCGGGGACTCGGGGTTGCAAATGGGGAAGTCGACACTTACAGTCAAGAATCCAAATAGACTCGCGCGCACTCTCCAAGGCCCTCGAGACGGCCCAGAAATAGCTGCAGCCGTCCACGTACCACTTGGCATCGTTGCGCTCTCGGGGTGGGGCAAAGCTTCCAAAGCGTTGCTCAGAGGTGGGCTTGGGTGCGCCGTAATGCGCATAGGCTTGAGGATCGATGGTGTTGCCCAGTTTCTGGGCCACATCGGTACCCAGATCGGTCACTGCGCCCTGAATCTTCCCCAGGAACCCTCCGATCTTATCTTCCTTTGGGGGCCGTCCATGGTACTGGTTACCCTGGCTCTGGTTCTGGTTCTGGCCGTGGTACTCCGGTTGCTGCTGCTGCTGCTGGTACTGGCCAGTATTTTGGCCTTGGTTGGTGCTATAGCCGTATGGAGGTTGATTCTGGTTTTGATTCTGAGAATATTGCTGGATTATGAGTTAAACAAGCTCTCGCTGACAGTGGGAGTGGGGGCTTACTGCCTGGTTTCCGGGCTGACCCTGGCTCTGGCCGGAACTCTGGTGAGTCTTGTAGGTATCCTTCAGCTTCTTAAAGGTGTCGCTGAGTCCACGAGAGCTGTCACCACCCGAGCCACGCTGGGATTCATAATAGCGGCCATAGGCCAGGTCATCCTCTTGATGCGACATGGTTAGAGGAAATAATGTGAGGGGAGAGAAAGATCGGGGCGGGGGGTTGTTTTTAACAGCAGAGAGATGCCCCGCTGCCCAGCCACGATGGAGCCGTGGTGGCTGAGTTGGTTGCTGTCGAGTGAGCCAGGCTGCTAAATTAGTAAATTAGTTAGTAAAAATGTCAACTTTGAACTAGTAAATTACACTTTCAGCTCTGGTTCTCTTACGGAGTACGTCTCGCCTACTGCATTTTGCCTAGCTGGTAGACCGTGGCCGTGCTATGCGCATCATGCTACTACTCTGTCTACACTGCGGATCGCCCGGGGCTCCACTTATGCTGATCGGGGTTTTGCTTGCGCGCCACTTGTTCTTTTGGTTTGTACTTGCAACTGATTATCAGTGACGCCAAGTGATCTGCTATTTACGGCCGTATGGTCTGCCACAGAGACTGGTAGTAGTACTGTGTCCGATCGTGGGAACCCTAGGAGGCGAACAGTGGAAGAGTATAGTATAAAACTCAACAAAACATTCACTGGCATTTGAAACTTTTGCTGTGCCACTATACTATAAAATACCCCGATATGCAACTACTGACCACCCTGCGCCTATCGAGCGCCGTACAATACGACCAAATTCACTACTACTAGTACTACTAGTAACTATCACCAGTAGACTGACAGTATGAATGGTGTGAATACAACTCCCATACATACTAGAAGTAACCCATATGGCCCCGGGGATGGGATACCAGGATGATATTCATATTCATATTCATGACTCGATTGCCTTGGTGTACCACCAGTCCGATGTAGTAGATAAAAGCAATCTGAGTGATACCAAGACTCCGTCCTTACCATCTGATCGACTGTCCCACCAGAGCAAGCCAAGCATGTCGTGGCCAGCTGTCGTGCAAGAATCCCCGCACCAGCAGCCCCGCAACAATAAATTGCGAAACGCTCCTCGTCGCACCCCCCATCTTCTCCATTTTCTGCTTCTTCCACTCTTCAATCACCCCTTCCAACACAAACATAATCACCATGGAGCTCGCCACTCTTCATGTGAGTCGATGACCTGTCGTTGATCCAAAGCCGAAGCTAACCCGTCCCATGATAGACCTCTCAGCACCCAAATCTGCCCACTTCAGCGGCAACGCTCTTCAGAGCAAAAGAAGCAAAGAAATTGAGTTTCGAAAAGATTGCCGCGCACCTTGGTCGCAGTGAGGTTGCTGTCGCTGCTATATTTTACGGCCAGGCCAAGGCATCGCCCGAGGATATTCGTGGCCTGGCCTCGTTGCTCCAGATCCCTCAGCACCCGCTGGAAGAACAGTTGAGTGGATTTCCCGATCGGGGTCGCTCGGTCGAGATGCCTCCCAAGGAGCCTCTGATTTATCGTCTGTATGAGATTGTGCAGAACTATGGATATGCGTATAAGGCGGTGCTCAATGAGAAGTTCGGCGATGGCATCATGAGTGCCATTTCTTTCTCGACCAAGGTGGAGAAGGAAACCGACGAGGATGGGAACAATTGGGCGGTCATCACCCTGCGTGGTAAATGGTTTGTATAGCCTGATATCCCCTCGAGTTGGATGGAGACTGACAAGAAATATGATAGGTTGCCCTTCTCGAGGTTTTGAGAGGAACGAAGAGGTATAGGAATGATAGCAGATGGGCGTCTAGGTCAGAGTAAAGAAACAATGTAACTCAGTTTTTTCTTTCTTTTCGATCCCCGAGTAAAATTTGAGTTCTTTTCCCCCAAAGCATTGCCAGTTCGGGTTCTCAAGTGACGCGTTCGAGTTTGTGGTGGTTGACCTTCCGCCGCTGCCTCCCACTTCCTTCCTCCATCTCATTTCTCCTCTTTCACCTCAAACTTAACTTCCCCCAATTTATCTATCCCAACCCACGATGGATGAGAAAAGAAACGAATCTTCGCCTGAGCCTGTATGGCCTCCAGATGGGATGTTGCAGTGTCCCAAGGACGACTGTCCCCGCCTCTTCACGTCGCGAGCGGCCATGGAATCCCACCAGATGTCATACAAGAACCATGCACTCTGCATAGCCTGCAACATCCAGTTCGCGACTCACGAAGAGCTATTCCTTCATCGGCTTGTCAGCAAGCGTCACCATAATTGCCCGATCTGCAACCGCGGTTTCAAGAGCGAGGATGGCCGGGATTTTCATATCCAAACGGTGGGTTTGGCGAGAAACCTCTCCCCCGAGACTGGACCAAAAATATTCAACGGACTTCACAAAGAGATCTCATAGACTCGAGCTGACAACTACCACAGGACCATCCAGAGGACCAAGGCCTCACTTGTCCCGGCTGCCCAAAGACTTTTACGTGCGGCGAAGACTACATGAGTCACATTTCCTCCAACGCATGCAGAAGCTCTGCTGTAATGGCATTGAATGAGCACAATACCCGCCGTCAGAAGATGGAAAGGGTACTCAGCGAAGCATCCCAAGCCAAACCGAGCCTGTCTTTCTGCTCGGACGACGACAGCTATCGAGACAACGGAAATGACAGTGACAGCCTAGGCCTACCTCGACCTCGACCTTCTCAGCTGATGAGACAGGATTCTGGCGCCTTTGACGAACACCTCCTTCCCGATGGAAGCTACTCTCCAGATGTAAGCAGCAATTTCTCCCCTCGCTTCTCTAGCCCTCTCGCCGCGCCAGCCTCGCGTTCCCTCGATGAGGAAGATTCTCCTATTGCATGCCCGCGACTCTCAAACCCGCCGCCTTTTGCAAATCTGGCAATCAGTCCCGATGATCTGATCGCCTACGACGAGGACATGGATGTCGGTATTTGGCCGTCCTCACCGGCGCTCTTCAAGACACCTGACCGAAAGCAACTTGCGATGTCTCCATCGTCGTGCTCCTCCCGGTCTCTTCAAGAGATTGTCCCCGACTGGAACTCCGAGAAGCACTGGAACAGCCAGTCAAAGCGCTATTTTTGCGACTGCGGGTTTACTACTCAATATGTGAAAGTGTTTGAGCAACACGTGCTCATGGAGCGATCTACATCTAAGCACCAGTAAGTACATGTGGGGAATGGTGAAGACAAAAATCATTACTCCCACGATCAGCAAGGAATCTACTTACGTGTTGAAATATAGTTGCACGCACTGCGGAAAAGGCTTCCCCACCGTTGCCACTCTATTCAAGCACATTGAAATAGACCATTCGAAGGAAAATTCCTGGGAACAGGGAAACAGACGCGTTGGACAGACCCCCGGGTACGGCTCTTCTGCTGGACGCCTGCTCGACATGGATGGGCCCATGGACATCGGAGAACTCGAATTTCAAGTCTACGACCGCCCGCCCACTTTCGCCCAGAACGTTCCGCGTTACCGTGCGAAGATGGACTACGGATTGCGATCCACCAAGGTTCCTCATGGTACCTACTGGTGAACTCTCCCATGCGCATCAGTGGTTTTTTTGACCCTTTAGGAGTTAACACATGGGATAATCATATGGATTGTGGGTGTCAAATGGCGAAGGAACGAAACTGGTATCAAACTGTGGTGAAATGGAATGGAAAGCTGCGGAATATCGATATCTCCCTTCAATTCTGGGAAACAATCCTGGTGGAAATAATCGGTTGATAGCTTTTCCAATGACACTCTCCTCTTAGGAAACAATAATGCACTTGCCAAATCGTAGGATCCTTCGATCTCCAAAGCCTCTAGAAATTCTCCGCCTCACGATCCTACTACCAGTAGGATGCCTATTGGCTACTAGGGTAGGTACCATTCAATTTGTATCTGATCGCGCAGAATATCGTCTTAATCTAAATTTATAATCGGATCGATTCCGAAGAAGCTACCCGGAAAGCATAACAGAGTCAATAAATCGTGGGATAAGATTTGCTCAGCTAAAGGGGTATTTTCGAACAGGCACAGTCATAATTGATGCAAAGCATCTGCTGAAAGAAGAAACTTGAGGGGAAAAAAAGTAAATAAGGAGAGCAAAATATTGTATGTCTCATAGACGATGGGAAGAGAAAGCTGCAGCAAATGAAGCGCGAGCTCAAATTAACAACATCCCGTTCCACAATGTGTTCATTGGAAAGCACCGCGCTAGCCGTCAGATTTCAGACATGGGGTAAAGCCGGTGTATACGGAAATGAACGGGACTGTCAATATGTGGCGCGATGTGTTTAGCAGCAGTCCTCGCAGCACTCGAAGCAGAGAAGACCGGCGCAGCTGTTGAGATGCCAATATCAGCGGGTTTTTCTCTGAGAGAGATTGGATGGCCATTTCTTTGAGCTTTTGGATTGCTCTGGCGTTGTTTCTCGGGAGGTGATAAGGTCAAGGTCAATGTCACTTACAGGCCGCAGCAAACATCGCCGGCGCCACCACCGCGGAGCTTCATGTTCTGCTCGGAGTTCTGCAAGAAGAGAGGTCTGTATCAGCAATCGAAATTTCGGAGGCATTGTACTTGCAGGAGAATCTTACTGGTTGCTCAGTCACAACGCGGTCGGTGGAGGGAGCATCGGGGCTGGTGGGCTGGTGAGTGTGAACGGTCATGGCGTTCCAGGTATCTTCTTGAGAAGGTTCCTGCTTGGAGGAAAACCAGTTGGAGATGTTGTCGAACATTTTGGAGAGAAGAGTGGTTGGTATGGAGTAGTAAAATTGAATTGCTGAAAGGTGAGGTTGGATGGGAAGGAGATGGAGAGGAAGAAGAGGAAAGAGAGGAAGGACAAAGGCAAGACGGGGGAGGCAGGTGACCTTTATGGATCTCACTGTAGCTGGCTACCTGACACAATTACACGACTACGTATGGTAAGTAAGTACTGTACTCGAACACAAAAGTGAATTTGCCTATGAATAGAAGCATAGTTAGTACCAGGAACCTTGAAACCCACGGCTCGGAGCAACGTCGTAATGCTCGTTGTATGTAATGGGGGGGTAACCAGCCTGGTGGTGTGTAACCACCAACAGGGACGTGGCGTCCCCCGAGAAACAGACTGTGGGCATTGGACTATGCATACGTAGGGATCTTTCCACGAGGTCGGCCAAATTTGCCAATGATCAGCATACGGGGGAGCTCGGATTTCAACGTGGCGTCGATAATGATCTCACAGACTCGAGCGCCTCGTTCAAGATACACCGATGGCGTACTAACTAGTATTGTAGGAAGTATGTACATGTACATGTACATGTACTGCGAAGTTAAGAGCTCATAAAATCACCGGTGCCGATGGGAGTGGATTCCACTCAGCCCTGAAAAGCGCTAAGCTTCGGTCAAGCTTCGTCATTCTGTACTCCCTGCTTAGGGTTATTTTTAGTACTGTGGCTCATTCTTCCTATCGTATGGTGGCTGAAGAATATCAGGCCCTTCGAGTGGCTCACTTGGTTAGTAGTAAGGTTGGTGGAAGTTGAAGCACTGAAGAAATTTCCCGATCCCTGTCACATTTCAAAGGGGAATTTGTTTCCCAGTAGTACTGTAGTAAGAATTCAAGTTGTTGGGGATGCAGGTAAACAACCCGGGGAAGCAGGAACGCCAAGACCGGCCAGTTCTCATCACATGATCTGCACTGCTGGTTCCTCCGGCCGACCGGAAATTTTGCGCCCGGAGTAGAAACGAAGGGCCTGACCGGAGAAATCAACATCAACGTCGTCAGGTTCGCCCAAACCATTCAAAATGGCAGACCCCAACACAGAAATGAATACTCGCGCCCAACGCGAAGCAGACTACGAGCGCTTCAAGACCTACGCCGCGACCGGATTCCTCGTTGCCGCCCCCGTGCTCATTGCACTTCCACCCCGCAAATTCGACCACCTGACCGTCCTGCTGGCGAGTGCTTTCTGCGTCTCTGCAAATCATATCACGCGCGAACGCACAGGGCGGAGTATTGTTGATCGTATCGAAGCGCGGATCACGACCCGTCCGGCGGTCCTGCGGGAACTTCCCAGTGAGCGCGCGCAAGAGATTCAAGCCCGACTAAAGGCTGCGCGGGAAGCGCAGATGAAGGAGGCTGTCGGAGAGGAATTGGAGAAGTTGAAGGCTAGAGAGGCGCAAGAGCAGGGTGTTGTGCAGCGGGTTTGGATGGGTGGGGAGGCTCCCGGTTGGATGGAGAGGAGGTTGCAGGAGGAACAGAAGGCGTTGGAGGAGGGCAAGGGGTATGGTGATTTGATTCAAGAGCACATCTGGGATGTGTGGAACTGGGGAAAGAAGGAGGAGGAGGAAGAAGAAGATGATGAGTGAGGTTGATTGTCTGTGTCAGGGCGGCTCTCGAGATACTCTGATGACTAGGGTCCTTTCTCGCCCCGATACGCCTCCGTTGCATTTCATCAACCATCGACATCGACATCGACACCGTAAACACCAAAATCACCACACCCCAACACCCAACAGCCACCATCATCTGCCTTCGTGCATCTCTTGACGTGGCATCCGCATTGTACCACCATCTTATCACCAATCAGCATTAGGAGCCGGCGTTTGAGTTCACCATTTCTTGTCACTTCGTTTACTGTGTACTCCACTCTACGGCCTATGGCAATCTACATGGCCATGTCCATACTAAATCTACGAACTTGTACTACCAGAACAACAGTGGTTGATAAATATGTTCATTGAAGCACATACATGAGGAGTTGTCAAACTATCATAGTGTAGAAACACCCCAGAGCCATGACTCCCCAGGGCCCCCTTCACTTTGATTTCAATTTGACTGCAGACTGAGGATCCTCCACAATAATGATAGGGCCATTAAATAAAAATTTAAAACTGATAATCTCACTGGTAAGCAAAAGGCTTTGGGAAATACCGGAAAAACCTTAGGGCCATGACTCCCCTTGGTAAGTCCCTCCGACAAATTGAAGCCCAGGTAAGAATATCTTTTTTTTCTTCTTTTGTTTTTTCGCCCTTTTTCCACCGTGTGCATACTCGGATGATGAAACAAATCTCCTTAATCGAATCTCCATGGGCACGAACGGCGTGATCAATATCCAAGGTGGTCAAAATTGGCCGTTCCCCCATTGGGGCCGTGGACTTGAAGTTCTGGCAGATGCCACGAGATCAAGGGAAACATAACTTGTCACTTGGTATGGCAAGATAAAAACCTTGATCAGAACAGGCACTAAGTAATACATGAGACCCCGTTTTCCCTTTCTTTCTTTTCCCTTTCCTTCTGACCTTGTTGAGCAGCTGGGGATATGACCCCAACCAAAAGAAATGGTGAGTGCATGGTGGGTGTATGGGAACAGCCCACTCAGAGTTGAGTTGAAAGCTGTCTAAGATGGAACTTGCGTCCGAGGCTCCTAGACAACCAGGCAAGATATTCGCTTGTCAGATTCACATGGTATTTTGTCTGCCGGTATCCACATGCGGTGGCAAGAAGCGACCCGTACATGAGATGACAAAATAGAACAGATTGGAGGATTTGAGTACATCGCATTCCTTCTCTAGGCTGGACCGGGAGCTCAAGCGTTGACGACTGGGCGCCCAGTCGGACGCGAGCTCAACCGATACAAACCCAAGTGGGAAGAGGTGTGACTTGTCAAGACCAAGGGCGCAGAATTGCGAGCCTGTATTCGCATGGCCAGGTCGGAGTGGACCAATCCAATACCCTCGAAGGAGCGGTATCTTCATTGCTGCAAGTCGGGGGACCTGGAAGAGAGGTGGTCCATGGAATAAGGCGTTCTTGGTTTGTGGCAGTTGGGTTGCGTGGCTGCAGGTGCTGGTGGATGGCGCAGTGGATGGCCGAGAACACTTGTTGTGCCCCATGAGGAGTGTTTCTATGGCCAGGTCGAAAAAGACCAATCCAATACCCTCAGAACAGCGGTATTTTCATTGCTGCAAGTCGGGAGACCCGGGTGTGTTTTCATAGAAAACCCTGTGGGGAGTGTTCGCATGACCAATATCGACGGTATTTAGCTTGTCGATGTCAATTTGAAGAAACTGACGTAGGCTGTTGACAGCGAAGTTGAGGCGAACGGAATGATATGAAATGAAGTGTATACAACATCATTCCGTTGCACTTGAAAGTTGATAGCCGTGACTTGTAGAAAACTTGGTTCAAACCTGAGGCTGAACGCCCCATGATTTCAGAAACATGTCGATCACGGTATCATTGAGCTCTCTGTTTTGCCGTTTGAGCTCACCAATCTCATTGAAGACTTGGTACATCAGTGCGTCGGCATTGACTTGTTGAGACTGTAATGCCTGGCTAACAATTCGTTCTAACACCTGTGCATCAAAGTTAGTACATTTCGATGTCTAGAAGGCTGGCTATGGATAACCACTTACTGATTGATAATCGTGAACGCATTGATCAAGAGGTGGTGCGTCTGGCATTTCGATGTCGTTATCCTCGACTCTTCCAAAGTGGATGAAAGGTCCTTGGGGGTAAAGAGGAGCGGCATCAGAAATGATCGAATCCAAGGAGTCATCCAGATCGTGGAATGGACCAGGGCGCTGATGCTGGTAAGGCACCTGGTGGTGGATGGGGTGGCCGTGGTAGAAGACTGGCCGCTGGTTCTCCTGGTAGTTCGATGAATTTTGCATGTACCCATAATGTTGTTGGTTGCGGCGGTTGTTTCCATTGGATCCCCGGCCCTGATTGGAAGTGTGTTGAGTCCAATGAGGCTGATGTGGAGAGGATTGGGGATACGAATTCTGGCCTCGGTGGTGATTTTGGTTTTGATGCTGACGAGGACCCTTTGGCACACCGGGGTCATGTCGTGGATTGTAACCTTGTTGAAGGCCAGAGAAGTCGTGATTGCGCGCATTCTTCTTTTTGTTTTTGTTCTTATTCTTTCGGCCATGAGGGTTCTGGTTGTGGCCTTGGCCCTGGAATTGCGGATTCCAGTTCCCATTCCGATTGTTCTTCGGTCCTGAGCCGTAAGTGGTATTGTTTGGAAGAAACCCGGCATTTTGACTGAACGCAGGACCGTTTCCCCTTTGGCCGTTAGGCTGCTGGGGGAAGCTTACACGGTGATCCATGTTTGCTAGTGGGATAGGTGGATGTAATGAGATCCACAGCCCAGTCTCGTGTCTCTGCAGCGACAGGCAAGAGGGATCCTATTTCCGGCTTTGGAGAACTGGATTTCCACTTCAGGGAATATCACCTATCGCTATTTTTGGTAATCTCGATAGGACAAAACTATTTGATCGGACCTTTTTTGGGGGGGCTTTGATCTTTTTCAAAGCAACGCAGAAACAAGACCCTCAAGGAATCGGTGACTCCCTACAAGTCCAACCCTCAAGACGGTCTAGTAATCCTGGCTCACTTGCCTTGAGGCTGCTGAAGTGAGTGCTGGGTGGTTTCTTCTTGATGAACTCGGGATAGGCGAGCAGCCAAATTATCAGCTGCCTGGTGGAAAAGAGAGAAGACGGTGTGTGGAGGAGCAAGAAAAAGATTTCTGGGAAAATCGAGCAGGGGCGCTTTTTAAACCCAGAGATTGGTGACGAGTACACGAGTGCTCCGAATCTCAACTGGGAAAGAACATCAAAAGATATAACAGCGGAGGTCGGACGTCCCGTTTGGGCGAAAAGTGAAATCCTTGGCAATGTCCAAATGGACTAGTAGCCAACCCTTACCAGAGAAAGTTATATCTCTGGAAGTACTGGTATATTCCAAAAGAGGACTCGGAGTCTCAAGCTGGAAGTGGCGTAGATGAAGCCTACTTGAAATGGTAGAAAAGATAGGGTATGGTATTGAAAGAGGTTAAATGAGAGCAAGAAGAATATTCGTAGATATGTATTAATCTGGTGATTGATGGGCCCTGGTACCATAGCTAATCGGATTTTAAGAGCGCGCGGGCCAGCAGAGTACAATAGAGAGCGCATGTCTACATTATTTATGTGCTCTGCTCCCTTTATTGAAGATGCTTTGATTTATTGCGGAAGCCTCGGGCTAGCCAGTAAAATTTCGGAGACTGGATAATGAACATACTAAAAACAACTTTGAAGGATTGGGAGAATAAACAAAGAAACAATAGCTTGATGTGGCATTGTGCGTTTCAGAAAATCCCCGGTGATTCAACCCACGATCCCCGTAAATAATTTTAGAACATCGCAATGAGTAAGGGGAATTCACTGTCGTTAAACTCAACACTCTGCCAATTTTTAGACGAATCATCTGGGGCAGCCCTCATCTCACTAGAAACGTCCACGGGGAGTACGTTTAGACCGACAGGTAGTATAAACGACTCATGGCGCATAGTACTAGTAGCCTATAAAACTTCTTCGGTTGTGCTTCCTTTTGAGCCCAGGTCTTAATGCTGATGTGCATTCTAATTTTACTCGAGGGTTGGTGTTTGATTCGGGGAGGGTCCTCAAGGACTCCAACTTGAACTTCATGGCAACATAATTACAAACCATTGTGGGGAATCTATTCTTTGAAACTTGAAACCAACTGAGAGACTTTTCTAAAATAGGACTTCTTTTCCATTACCGGCTTTAAAAGGGCGTTTGTTCAAACCCACAAGTCCTTTATTGTTTCATCGTATTGTTCGAATCCGGACAAAGGACTGTCTCTCCATTGTGTTTAGATACCTGCATGCTTCAGATACTGTGCTTTATCAGATCAGAATATCTCCAAGTCAACTATTAATACTCCCATCTGTCTAGAGAAGCTTTTGATGAGCATCTCAGGGCATTTAAGGGAAGAGACAGTATCTGACCTACGTTCCTACTTGAGCACACCGTCAGCCTTTATCAACTCATTACCGGACACTTCCACTTACTTGAACACGTTGTCGAGCCTTACGTATTCAGCTATTTTAGACATGATGCCTCGTTCAGGTAGCCGGTTTGCCGACCCGCGTCATTGGCATCCTTACCCTACTCCTCCACCCACGCCGCCTCCTACTCACAGGATGGCTTGTTCAGGTATCCAGCGCGCTGTTTCGTGCCGTTTTAATCCTTATCCTACACCTCCACCCTCGCCACCTCCTGGCCGGTCCGTGAAGCAGATGGAGGCCCGAGATTATGGATCTCCACCCGCTACTCCAGGCCCATCGTCTTGTCCATCGCCACCACTGGTGCCGTCTCTTTTGCTCATAGAGTAGCGGGTTTAGATAAGTGATGTTGACCGTTCTTTGATTATAGAACTTGGATCTGGCGCTGTGAATATAAGATATGCATTTTCCTTCCAACTGTCAATATCGAATTCGGGCTTTTAGAACGCAATATATCTACCTGAGTTCAAGTTAATAGACTCACGTTTGGGTCCCTCCTACTAGCAGTTAGTGCTAGGACTTCGGTCCAGCATGTAGTAGAATTCTCAAGCTAATACCGAGTAGTAGTATCTAAATAAATCAATTTCCAAGCCCTGGAGGTTGAAAAACAAACCAGACCCTACCGTTCTCAAAAGGAATCTCACAAAATGCTATTCTGAAGTTGACTATAAAATACCAAGTCTAATTCATAATATCGGTCGAGACACCAGCTGTGATCAGTCGAGTTGAGTGCCGGTAAAGCATGTCGAGGCTGTCATGAAAATAGTATTCAAAATGCAACGCTGGCCACCGTGCTAATGGTATGCAAGAAAGCAGTACATCCAATGATTGAAATTTGGTTGACGCAGAAGCCCACGTCATTGTTTTTGCCGTTTAGCTCTTCCAGACGCAAAACCTCCATCCCTTCTCAATCCGCTTCCGACTCGAACTCGCTTTTTCTGAGGTTTTTGACCACCACCAGGAGACAAGCTCTCGTTTGAAATCAGACTTTCTCGCTTCCGCTTCTCAGGTTGCGCATTTTCTTTCTTGCGGCGTCTTTCTTCCTTTATGAGGAGTCGTCTCTGTACCTCTGCGGATATGTCTTCGGTCTCGTAGGCGGAGGAGGTATTTTGAGATTCGTCGGTATGATGTAGGGGTTGTGTGGGGTTTAGCTTTCGTTTTGAGACCGGGCTTTGACCACTTGTTTCGGCATTGGGGTTCACGGGGACATCATTCTCCTCCTCCTTTTCGAGTCTCGAGCGCTTCTTTTTCTTTCGAGGTTCTGGTATGGGCGATGTTTCATCCGAGGCCGTATATTCGTTTGTTTTCTCTGGATATTGGTTGTTATTATATTATCGAAGCGAGTATGGGAGCGGAATGCGGGCGAAAATCCAAGACATACTGTTCAGCTAAAATGTCGAGTTAGTCTCTAGTCCTTTGCAGGGCATGAGGGAACTCTGGGGCTTACCATATGCTTTCGCATCACATTGGACTGATTAATCGCCTGAACCGTCTTGTTTAGCATTGCCGAGACTGCTCGGAAAGCCTCACCGTCCGGCGCGATGTGACTTTTCACCGAGTCCAGCATTTCGCGATGCGACACGAGCACAGCTTCATGGCGGGAGAAGATCTGCTCGAGAATTGAAGATATCAGTCAGGTTAGTTCGGTCTCGTTGGTGTATACCTCGGTATCCCCTTGCCTTGAAAGCTGAGGGGCTGCCGGCGCCTTTTTCTTTTCTACTGCGGAGCCCTTCGCGATGCAGAAATCTGGGGATGACGACATACCTCTGCCCACGGGACTGTCGAGCCATTAGCCTGCCAGTTTTGAGGGGTTTCGCCATGGTTGGTCTCAGTATCTGTTGGATTCATGTTGGCATGCAAGTTCGGGCGAATGATATCCTGACAAAGAGAAAGAGAAAGAGGAAGAGGAAGAGGAAGAGCTCCGAGGGATCGTCGGAGGAGCTTCTCCGCGCCAAGAGTCTCCGGCGCCGCAGGAACGATCCACTCGGACTCGATAAACAAATTTCCAGTTTGGTTGACAAGTGTAACCAAGTAACCAAATCTACTGTTTACGTGCATCTACTCGATATTGCTCATCAGTTCCGATGAATGAATGTGAAGGTCATATTTCGACGTAAATCACTAAGCTAAAAGATGCAAATAATTCTGTGGGATTACTGTGTACAGGTTGAATTCCCCAACGCCACCTAGGCCATGCCAAAATCCCGCCCATAGACATTTCTTAAGAGAATGTCGGCTCACAGCCAAACAAGAAAACCATACATTGAACACATGAATTGATCACCAAGCTGCGGCGTCGAAGTCAAAGCGTGAAAGCTCTTTCTGTGAATCCTCGACATCCTTCTTGGCCTTCATACGCATGTAGAAGATGGGACAATCCCGGGACGAACAAATGACCTCGCAGTGGAGACTGCCCTGGCACCGTTGACACTGCGTCCAGAGGCGACCAAATCGAACCTCCAGGTCCGAGGTCTTGGTGAGGGTCTTTGTGTATAGCTCACCAACTCGAGGACGGCAGTTTACGCAAACGGCACCATCCATCTCATCCTTGCCGGACAGCGGCTTCTTGCAGCCCATGCATGTCTGGGTTCGTTTGGTAAACTTCATTAAACCACCAAGACTGGGTGCGGCGACGGAGATCGACCGCGTGTGCTCGCCGGTGAGGAGCTGATTAGCCTTTTTCTCGCCAAGTATAGGCTCGAAGATACGACCGAGGGGATTGGCAAGCTGGTTGTCTAGGTAGTATTTCGTATCGACGGGAACGTTATTTTCCAGCACGTAGATGGGATCTTCGGCTCGCTCGTAGCCTTTGGAATTCGTAGCACCCTTGATCATGACGTAGGCTACACGATCGCCGAGTGCAGGAGCAGAACCTGCATCACGCTTTGTCATGCGCTTGGCAAGTTCGACGTGTGCTTGTTTGGCAGCGTATTCCTTCTGCGAGAGCTGCTTGGTGATGACCAGTTTTGACATATCGACTTTGTTCTGGAGAAGGTCTGAGATCGTGGATTTGACATATCTAGTCAACTCATGTTAGCTGTTGCTTCGGGTCTCAGCACGTCGACACATTCCACTTACTCCTGGGCAGCATCGGGGTCTCGGTCGATCAGGATTTTGTTCAATACCGTCTCGATGACATTCTGGACGAGCACACAATTATCACGACGCACGGTCTCAATTCCTTTGGTATCCATCTTGTCGTGCTTTTCGGTATTCGTCCAGTAAAGACCAGCATATCGCTTTTTGTTGATCAGAAGGTATGGGAAGTACACCTTCTCAAACTCCAGTTTGATGGGTTTGATAAACTTGGACGAAACAAAATCTGCAGCTTCTTGGCCCAGCCTCATGGCTTCGGCTAATTCGCCGACTCCAAACTTAACCATGACCGAGTCAGTATCACCATAGATGACCTGTGCGTCGTGGGAATACCCGTTGGCAATGGTGTACCGAGCCTCAACCTCCTCCTTGGTTTTCTCAATCATTTGTCGACCGTAACTGGTGGTACTACTAGCGATCGGAAGACACGGAAGTTTGCCGACAGTGGCACCAGTCAGACCGTAGACACTGTTAGCGCTGATCTTCAATGCAAGTTGTCGACCGTTTAACACGGCCTTTTTGAAGGGGTCTGTTTCAACACCGAGCTCTTTCTTGGCCTTTTTTCGGGCCCCAAGAAGTTCCTCAAGAATTTGTGACAGCAGGCCCTTACGAACTTTCGTGGTGCAGAACATGTCACCGTTCGGTGTGACAATGTAATCCTCATCTTTCTTCAGGCCAAGCTTCTCGACACTAGTGTTGTTGAGTAATGTCGTATAACACAAATTGTGTGCTTGGATGATTGACGGGTACAGAGAGGCGAAATCGAGTGTCGCAATGGGAACATTGTAATATCCTCGTTTGGGCTCAATGACAGTAGCACCTTCATAATCTTGCTCATCATGTGATTTGGAGTTAGGGACAACGAGTTGTTGTTCGAGAGCCTTTCGGAACAGCTGACTGATGAACTTTACTTGTTGACCACGGGATAGCAGAAAGTTGAAGGGTACACCCGTTACTCTTGCCATCTCGGTATAGTTCACCAGACACATTAGCTTGTCCATCAACCGCTGTGGCAAGTAAGCATCTTTTAGACAATAGACTGCCAATCGTCGCCGTGAGTCCGGTGTACCGTTGAAAAGCTCCGTAATCATTGTGTGATGGACATCCTCCTTTTGTTCACCCAAAAACTCATAGGAAACTGAGTTGAGCGTGTAACTTCGCAGTTGGTGATCGCGTTGAACCAATTGAAGCATATCGAGCTGTATTCTGCCGTTCGTGTTTGTCGCCTTTGTCTCACGGTTACCCATTTGCTTGCTGGAGAAACTGGCCTCTTTGGCCTCTGTCTTCGTTCCCTTCAAGCGGGTCCAGTATGGGAAGTGACCACACTTCAAATGCTTAGCCCGATCCAAGAGATAAGGGAAATCGAAATTGGCAATATTGTAACCAATGATAACATCCGCGTCCACCTTTTGCAAGAACTCTTTCCACGCCATGAGCATTTTGTCTTCGTCCTTGAATTCCAGAATTTGCGTATTCACAATCAGGCTTGTGGTATCAAGACAAAATACGTTTCGGACAAACGGTTTTGCCTCTCCGTAGCGAGTCACGACGTTGGCTATTTGGATGACGGGATCCACGTTCGGCTCTGGGAAGATACCTTGGCGGCCGGCGCACTCGATATCGAAGGACAAAACGCGGAGGGGGGCCATCTTGGCCCATTCACCATTCGGCGCATGGGCAATCATGTCACGGTAGTCCATGACGGCTTCAAGCTGACAAGTTGACACCTTCTCCCACTCTGGGATTAGACGATACTTGGTAGCCGGCGCCTCGACCCAAGACATGCCGTGCAACCCTGTATCAATCATGAATCGCAATAGGTATTGGATATTATCAAACGTGAGGATTCCGGAGTCGGTCAAGTTGCCCCAGAGTCCCTTGTAGTTCATTGAGCCGCCTGGGGCTTCGAGCGCACTGCGGAGTCTGGCGATAAACCTAGGGTCGGCAACAGTGATCTTGAGGTACCAGCTTTTTTGATTCCCCTGGAAGCCGTAGATGTTCTCGCGCATCGTTACTTGGACTGACTGGATCACCGGAACCGATTGTGCCATTTTGGTCTCGAGGAAAGCACGGTACGGGTTGCAGTCGGCCTGGGTGAAACCGACCGGGGCAGCGATGTAGAGATAGTGCTGAAATCCGGTGACGTTTAAAAGAACTGATTGGCCGGCCTGTATACCATGTTAGATCAGATGGTAAGCGGGAAGTTCATCACTTAAGGCGACCATACCTCTGTGACACCGAAGAGGCGCACGGCGATCTTGTCGCCAACCATTCGGCCTTCTTCCGCATCAATCTGTTGGAAGCAAATATTCTCTGTAGCTGGGTCGAATTCCCCGAGAGGAGGCCGTTCCCATTGTTGGTCCTTCTCTGCGTTGTTCTGTTTCAACTCTCCCATGTCCTGGGTCAGCTTTTCGAGTACCTCCTCCTCGAACTGGCTCTTCTGCGGCTGGGTGGACCCAAATCCCTTTCTCTGAGTACCCATGGGAGGAGCCTTGAGCTGGGAGGACGTTTCATTTTCAATCTTGCGTTTCTTGAGCGCGGCGGGGGAAACGAAGCCATTGCGGGCACCGTTACCGTTTGTTGCGTCGCCCAGCACCCGCTTCTGGGGCATAATGGCTTCCGGCATGGTTGTAACTCGTCAAAGGTGCATTCATACACTCTTTGAAAGTCGAATAGAGGGGTCGTCACGTCGGGAAGGAGAGAATGTGTTGGGCGGGCAACTGTCCGAATAGCAGAAAGTCGTCGCGAGTGTCCTTGCAGGTGTTCGTGTCTGCCGTCGCGCATTCGACGTGACGCTCTTAACGCGTGAATGGTCACATGCTGATAAGATAAAGCTGACCAATGACACCATGTCACGTGCGTATACATCATCCAGTGATAGCCACGACATTACCATCTATCAAAGATCGTACAAGTCAACTGAGCTGAAATGAAAAATCATTTCCGAGTATCTGCCTGCTCTCTTCATTATATGAATTCTATTCATCTACTTTGGGCTGGACTTCAATGCGGCTCTTGGCGGCGCGGATGTTTTGCCGGCAGAAAAGGTGGACTCGGGCCGCATTTACATTTGCCTCTCCAGCTGACACGCTCCTTCCCATGACACTGGAATGCCATTGTTTGTTATAACTTTGCGTTGGGGTCAATTTAATTCGATTATACCTGGTCCATTTTGAATTATTGAGGCTGCTTGACGCATTGCTCTGCCCGAGCCCGTCTACTTGCCTGTGCCTACCCTATCAGAGACAAGTGGAATCCGATGGAAGCCTGAGTGAATCATTGCATTTCCAGAGCATGTTGACACCTTGCGTCTTTTGAGCCAACGCCTCGTGTGGCCTAATCGTCCAAGGCTGACCTTCTTCGTTCTCTCAATCGGAGCTGCTCTCGTCCATTGGACTAGTAGTATTCAAGTCCCAAGTCAACACCAAACAAACTTGAATATATATACTACCCGTGGACCCCGCCATCCCACTATCCGAGTCCTACTATACCCACAATATTCAACTTGAATTTGCAGCCAAAACTTGACAAACTGTCAACAAAGTTGAACCAACTTGAAAGTTGTTGTGTCTTGTGCTTCGATTTTGACACAACTTCTGAATGGAATCAAAGTGAAATTCCAGTCACTCATTGATATTTCCAGTTGGATATCAGCATGTCAATGTTCAGGTCAGCCGCAGATCTATCTTCGTCAGAGCCTGAATCCGATGGGGTTGAAGATGAATCTCATGACCACGAGTCTTCATCACATGGCGCAAGACCTAGCCACGGTTTTCGCCGGACAAGTCGCGACAGGGCGGCCGGCGAGCCATCTAAAAAGATAGATCCGGCTGGCAGCTACTCGGAAAACTCCCTTTCTCTTGAAGAGGCGTCTATCCCATCCCTGGACACCATCGATATCAATGCAGACCACCACGCCAACATGATGACATCCGCCCTTTTGGAGTTCTATTGTCAAAGTCGTGCAGCAGATATTCTCAATGCGCAACCCGGTTCGAATAAAACCTACACGAAGCAATCTCCGGAAGCTCAGTACCTTGGAAAGAAGTTGTACAAATACCAGTCCCAAATCCTGTCTAAACATGGTCTTGTTACAGATGGAGCCCACGAAGAAGAGCTGGGGGCTACTAGGCAAGAATATCGCGACCGTCTTGATATGCTCGGCCTCTCCGCTCTCGAAGGTCTCAATCTCGGTGAGCCCGGTGTCCGGTCACCGATCGAAGGTGGAGAGGATCGAGAACTCGCTCTGGTTTCCAGAAACATTCAAGGGATTGCTATTCCTGAAAGCGCAACTCCATTATGGCAAAGGGATGGGGCCGATGGCAATTTTGGGAGACATCTTCCCTCTATCGGTAACTTCGATGTTCTCGATGGCACACCAGGCGTACCGAATCCTTCACGCCCGCTCTTCGGAAGCTCACCAGTTGGAATTTCACTCTTCCCGCAACCGTCAGCTCCATCATTGAACAATATGTCTCGCTATTCCGTCGAATTTAGCGAACTCAAAATGCTGGGACGAGGCTCTTTCGGCGAAGTCTATCATGTCAAAAATCATATTGACTCGCAAGATTATGCTTTGAAAAAGGTGCCAATTTCGCAAAGACGACTGGACCAATTGCAATATGGCGGACAGAATCAACTGGAAACCATTATGAAAGAAATTCGAACTCTTGCTCGCTTGGAGCATTCGAACATTGTTCGGTACTACGGGGCATGGGTCGAACAAGCACACGTCTCAAGCCACAGACCTTTCGAACAACCTGCGCACCCGCGCTACGAACCCCCCCGAGGAGCCCTTGCCTAGCCAGGAGACCTCTAATGAACCCAGCATGGGAATTGTTTTCGGGAACTCTGAAAGCTCTATGGCAGATTCGCACCCGAATTCCTACCCCGAGGATCAAGGATCTTCTAATCGGATTAGGCGTTGGGATAGCCATGCGACATCATCATCTCGACATTCCAAGAAGAGTTCCGGAGCTGGATGGGAAGATGATGAGGATATCGAGTCCATCCCCCGGAATTTCGACAACCTCTCTCATGGACAAACATCAACTTTTGGAGAGACCGACGATATATTCACCGACGGACTAAGTCAAGATCATTCTAAGCTACAAGTCCAGCGTCAGTGCCGGCCAGGGAATCAGACCCCAGCTGTGATTCTTCATATCCAAATGTCGCTCCACCCTATCTCTCTCAGCTCATATTTAAATCCTCAGGCTGCAGCCAAATACAATGAACATGAATGCACACCATCGCGTCGTCACTGTTTCCATCTGATGCCATCATTAAAGTTGTTTCTCGATATCGTTTCGGGTGTCGAGTATCTTCACTCCAAAAATATTGTGCATCGGGATTTGAAGCCCGCGAATATTTTCTTGTCTTTGCCACAAAACAACAAAACAGACACATGCATTCCGTGTCACTCGGAACCCAACTCGCCCTCGCAGTTCTGTCACCCGCGAATCGGTGACTTTGGTCTCGTGGCAGATATCTCCCATATCAATACACCCGCTTCGGAGGGCACCGTGACTCCCTTCCATCACACTCCGAAGATTCAGCGCGTGGTGGGAACGGAGTTTTATCGACCACCTGCAAGCACGGATGATAGTGACACGCCAGGTTATTTTGATGAATACAAGATCGACGAGAAATTGGATGTCTTTGCCCTTGGCGTCATTCTCTTCGAGCTCGTCTACCAACTAAATACCAAGATGGAGCGCCAACTGGTGTTGAACCAATTGACCCGATCAATCTCCTTCCCGGATGACTTTGCTGCCAAAGTCGATCATGGCGAGACAAAGTTGGATATTGGCGTTATTGTCGCTGACTCCTTGATGACCTGTATTAAGGGGATGTTATGTCCGCAATCGCTTCATCGGTGGAGCTGCCAGGATGTGAAGGATCAACTGCGACAAATCTACAAAGCTGTAAAAAGGCTAGAGACACGTCAGAGTTGACAATGGTGGATAGCGATGGATCTGCATTTCCCCGAGATTAAACTATAGAAATACCCAGCATAAAACAATGCACACTCCTCTCACAATTATTCGCGGTAATGATCGGCCTACCCGACGGGCCTCGGTCTGGGGAAGCGGCGCTTCTTCACAGGCACCTCCCCGCATTCACATTGCATTCACGTTGCATAACCTCATTCAACCCCCAGACATGTAGAAAATCACTGTCTCTCTGTGGAACCGTCAATCATCCTTGTTCTTATCTCTCAACCAACAAATCCATCATCATGGCGCGCAACCTCCGCGCTCCGACCGCTCCCTACAGCGAGCCGCTACTCCCCCAACTCGATGTGCGAAACCCTTACTACACAGATCTGCACCACAACCTACGTGCCTGGGTTCGTGATTACGTCGATACTTCCATCGCACCCTATGCAGCGGAATGGGAAGCAGCTGGGCAAGTACCCGAGTCAGTGCGTCGACGTCATTGCGAACTGGGATTCAGCATCGTACATCCTCTCACGACCGAGGAGAACGCAGCTGGCCTGTCGTTGCCAGGGAATGTCCCGCGTGATAAATGGGATACCTGGTGCTCACTCATTGTGTCGGATGAATTGACACGCGTGGGCTACGTTGGCGTCATTTGGGGTCTTGGTGGTGGGAATGGAATTGGGTGTCCGCCGGTCGCCAAGTTTGGTACCCCCGAGCAGCAAAAGCGATGGCTACCTGGTGTTGCGAAAGGTGACATCCGATTCTGTTTAGGAATTACCGAGCCTGATGGTACGTCCTCTTCTTCTCTGAATACTTTCACTGTCTGTGCTGACTTTTGTACGTAGCTGGGTCTGATGTCGCTAATATCCGAACAACCGCGATCCGGGATGGTGATCACTATGTTGTGAATGGCGCGAAGAAGTGGATCACAAATGGCCTCTGGGCTGATTACTGCACAGCTGCTGTGCGAACAGGAGGTGCTGGACGATCGGGAATCAGTTTGCTTGTCATTCCCCTGGCTGCTCCGGGCGTGACTCGTCGACGAATGTTCAATTCAGGTGTTAATGCAAGTGGTAAGACTCATTCCTTCCACAGCAATTAAATACAACAAATTAACATTGACAGGCTCGACTTTTATTGAGCTGGACGATGTTCGGGTGCCTGTCGGAAATTTGATTGGAGAAGAGAACAAGGGCTTCGCACTCATCATGTCGAGTAAGTTTTCCCGCGAGAATATTCAGCTCGATCGCTAATCTCAATTCAAGACTTCAATCCGGAACGTCTGGCCTTGGCCTGTGCGTCGTTGCGACTGGCCCGTGTCTGCGCTGAAGATGCCTTCAACTATGCAATCCAACGCGAGACTTTCGGCTCTCCCTCATCCAGAAGGACGCCATCCAATCAAAGATATTCAAATTTGGTCTTATGATTGAGCCGGCATATGCATTCATGGAGCAGCTTGTGAATATCCTCGAGCTCACCAAGGATCGGCCAGTAGACGATGTCAAGATTGGGGGAATGACCGCCTTACTGAAGGTCATGTCTACCCGCGCACTTGAAAAGAGTGTTCGAGAAGCACAGCAGATCTTTGGAGGGGCAGGGTATAACAAGGCTGGGAAAGGAGCACGGGTCGAGCAGATTAGTCGCGATGCTCGTGTTCATGTCGTCGGTGGGGGGTCAGAAGAAATCATGCAGAAACTGGCCCTTCAGGAGGAGACGAAGGCATTGAGAAGTAGACGAAAGGCGCTTGAAAAACGTCAGTCGAAAGTTTAAACTGCTAGTATTAGGACTGCGTGTTTTAATATATGGTTCGGCCAATTTTCTATTGCCGGGGAGGCTTTAAGCTGTTCTGAATACATTCAAGTTTCTAAGGTCGATTTCTCCCATTGGCATGAGCTCTCGGCCACTGATTACCTAGGCCCTGGAGCCCTCAAAATGTACTTCTCTGCCACCTGGGCAATACCTTTCAACTCATCCATTACGCTCAAGATCAAAGAGAAGGGGTCGATACTACTACTGCTACTACTACTATTCAACAAGCACTCTCGGAATGAGTTGTGTACCGTACTAATGATAGTAGATCACTACAACAATCGCATTCCACGAGTCAATGTTCCACAGACATTCTCGGACATCTCGTCGAGGGACTCAGGAATGCTCCAGATACTACACCTGGACATGCCCGCCCTTTTTCATTGCCTAAAAGCATTGACCCAAGTGCCAGTAATTTTACTGTGCCCAAACTAGTATAAAACCTTGTCGGAAATATTTTCCTTGAAACTAGTAAGTATAATTCAAAAGGTGATATCTTCAAGCTCCAGACCATCAATTGCTCTGTCTGCCCCAGTGCCTGCATGGTATACAATACTATGACGGTGCTATCTGTTCTAATCAGCTTGACGGCGGTCATATCTGCTGTTTCAGCATGCCCATCCTGTGAGGGAGAAGATGAATCTTCGGTGTATCCAAGGGTAATGCGTCGTATGCAGCCTGGGGCTTTGGACGCTACAACAAAGCCAAGGGGACCTTTGAACTGGGGAGAAATCAATTTTCTTCACACATCAGACAGCCACGGCTGGCTAGAGGGGCATATCAAAGAGCGCAATTATGGTGCGGATTGGGGTGATTTTGTGTCTTTCACGAAGCACATGCGGGACAAGGCAGCCGAGAAGAACGTTGACCTATTGCTTATTGATACTGGTTAGTTCTTATTATAGTTAATCTGATTAACTCGAATGATGAAAACTAATGCGCGAGCTATAAATAGGGGATCTACATGACGGCAATGGTCTCAGTGATTCAACAAAACCGAATGGGGAGATCACGAATCCTATCTTCGAAAACATTGACTACGATATTCTCACTCCTGGAAACCACGAGCTCATTGCGTATGATGTTGCATACGAAACATTCTCCAAATTCGCAAAAGTCTATGGGGAAAGGTATCTAACCAGCAATCTCGATATCTGCGACAATTGCGAAGATAGCGAACCGGCACAGAAGCAATGGATTTCTATGGGTAACAGATTCCGGCATTTCACGACCAAGCAAGGGATTCGAATCATGTCATTTGGTGTAATCTTGGATGGAACGAACAACAACAAGAGCATGACAAGAATTCAACCAGCGGCTGAAATGATCCAAGAAGATTGGTTCAAAAACGCAGTGAATAATCCGGATATCGATTTGTTTGTACTGATTGGACACAACCCAGTCAAGCCTGGAATCCCCAAGGCTGAAAGCAGCTTTCCCCCTCATCATGCAAACTCTTCGGGAATTGCGCCCAGAAATTCCCGTTCAGGGATTTGGAGGTCATACCCATCGTCGGGACTTTCACGTTTACGACAAGATGTCTTCAGCCATAGAATCCGGCAAATATTGCGATACTGTGGGCTGGATTTCCCTGGATGGTATCAAGTCGAAATCCATCCAGAGCCGAGCAACCAAGCTCAAATCCGAATCTACAACCGGCGAAGAAGAAAGACCCATAGATTCTATCGACACGTCGTGCCCCAAAAATCAGACATTTGATATGGAATTGACACGCCGATATTTGGATTGGAATCGGCTTACATTTTCCTATCATGCGACAGGATCTCAAGACCAGTTCAGCACTGCTAGTGGAGTGCAAGTGACTCAGGATATTGACAATGGTCGCAAGAGTATGAACCTTACTCATGTATATGGCTGCGCGCCTCGAACATACTGCATATCTTGCAAGCCCTTCGGCGATGAAGGCAATGTCTACACCTTGGTCCAAACCGCAGCAGCAGCCACTGTGGTCGATCCCGATCGTGCCCAAAATTCAAGAATGATTATTGTGAACCAAGGCGCCATTAGGTACGACTTGGTCAAGGGTCCTTTCACTGTGGATGATTCCTACATCGTCTGCCCATATACGAGCACCTTCAATTACATCCCCGATGTACCTTACTCTATGGCTTCAAAAGTCCTCGACTACATCAACAATCAGAAGGCCAAGTCTAAAAGATCGTTGACAGTGGATACTATCTCAAGCCAGCTTCTGGGCTATGATGAATGCGACAACCCATCGCCTCACAACGCGACCGAGCTTCTAAAGCCAAAAAGCCTATTTGGTCGTATTCTTGAAACCGACACTTCGACTCCCGGATATGTGACGTGCGATGACCTTGGAAGTGATGGCGATGACACTCCTCATTCGCCAATTCCAGAGTACACTCAGCCAGCCCATGTCCAAGCTACTGCTGGGTTCCCATCAGAGGGCGAACCGAATAAGGTTGACATGATATTTTCGGACTTCCTCGCCGGAAGAATTGTGACAGCCTTGAATTCCTATAATCCGACGACAAATTACTCTACTAATGATGCTCGTCTTTATCTTCCCGAAAACTTCACGACAAATTCCTTTATCCCACGCTATGCCACCATGGCTTGGCAAGACGACATTAACAACTGCAAGATTGAAGAGTGATTAGAAAGAAAATGCTCAAATTGTTCCGTATCTCATATTCACGTCCTAGGCTAAACAAAAAAAAAATCGTAGATATTTTCCTCTAAGAGATCAAGTATGCTCAACCTAGGCGGCTTCGTGGTGGGTGGCAGCAGCGCCTTGATCCATCTTCTCGTTCCGGAAGATTTGCTCCTGCTCGCGGTCGTAATCCTCGGCAAACTTTCTTCCATGGCGACCAATCCTATACCAGGGAAGATCGAACATTTTGTCAATAGTCTCGAGGCTACGACCTGCGGCCTCAGGCACAAAGAACCAAACCCATACTCCACCCAGGAAAGAAATGACACCAAAGAAGTAGAATGTTCCCGCAGGACCAAGACCCTTATCAACAAGCAGCATCTCGGGAAGGGCGCGGTTAACAGCGTACTGGCAGATGAAGTGCATGGCCATTGTGATAGACGAGCAAATACCACGGATGCGGAGTGGAAACAACTCAGAGGACAACAGGTACTGACCACTGTTCCATCCGAGAGCCCAACCGGCACCGGAAATGTAGATAAATGCGATGGCGGCAGTCGAAGCTTGGTTCTGGGTTGCGTTGGGAGTAAAGTCAGGGTTGTTGGCGATAGGCACGATGTTGAGGAAAATGGCAATATAAAACATGGCAATGGTTTGTAGAACAATGCCAATAACCAGAGAGCGTTTGCGACCGGCCATATCGACAAGGAAGAGGGCACAAATTATAGAAGCAACAAACTTGACGACTCCGAAGACAACCGTCGAGAAGAGAGACTGCTCTTGACCAGTAATTCCGACAAGGGTGAACAGATCAGGGGCGTAAACCGTGATTGCAGAGCCGCCAGACCAGCAAGCCATGTTTTGGGCAAGATTGGTGAGGAACAGACGGTACGAGTTCCGTCGGATCCCAAGGATTTCCTTGAACAGGCCCTTCCAGCCCATGCCGAGAGTGGCCTCCATTTCTTCCTGGAAAGCAACATCCATTTCGGTCATTTCCTCAAGAACGTATTGATGGTCGGCGGGTAAGCCACGGAGTTTACAAAGCACTTCGAGAGCCTTCTCACGCTGGCCTTGTTTGACGTAGAAACGAGGTGACTCCAGCACGAATAATGTGAGGATGAGTGTGATTCCGGCAAACATGAGATGAATTGAAGTAGGAACGGCCTATAAAGCAAGCGTTAGTTAATCTAACATAAATGCAGGGACTAAGACTTACCCAACGGTTGAACTCATCTGCCATATGAAGCTCAGTACCCCAATTGGCAAAGTAGGCAAGCATGATACCACTATGCTAGATATTAGTATTGCAAGATGTGATATTGAGATCAATGGGGGACTGACAGGTACACAGCACCAGTAAACATGCAGGTGCAGAGACCGCGAATAGGAGCCGGGGATATTTCCGAAAGATAGATTGGTCCGACAACACAAGTTTGTCCAATACCAAGCCCAGCAACAAAACGACCGCCATATACAGCAGCCATGCTACCGTTGTTTCCAATAAAGATAGCGATACCGAGAATCCAGAGGACACAGAGTTGACGAGTAGCCCAAACACGGCCGATACGATCGCAGACGAGGAAAGCACTGTAATTGAAACGGCATTAGATAAAACTGTCGGCGAGAGCGATGAGAGATGAGGGCAATGTATCTACAGAAAATACTTACAGAAGAGCACCGGCGACACTACCAAGCTGAACCATCGAGGAAATAGTACCCTTGACACTGGCCAGCTCACCATCCTCAAGATCGTCAATGCCAAGTTGCTCCTTGAACGCGTGGGAATTAAAGACACCCGTAATGAGGCCCTCGTCAACACCACGGGCAGCACCCATGATGCCAAACGTGAAGACCGCAAACCATAGTCTCCAGTTTAAGGTCTCTTTAGGTAGACTACCTGTGTTGAATTTGAAAACGTTGATGGCAGCACCGCCTGCCATTATGAACGAGGATACTCGTACTTCTGAACGAATTGGCAGCGTGAGCTAGAGAAAGGGCAATAAGGACAATATTTCAATCAAATTAAATCTTGAAACGGAGGGACGATAGATCATTTCTTAAGTACTAATTCCATGTGGCGGGGGTTACATAGCAACAGACCCCGGACTCGCCAGTAGAACACGAGCGGGGGAGGCTCGGCATAGGTCTACTTTAGGCTGGGGTATCCAATCAAAATATCCTGTTTATTTATTAACTCGGGGATTATCGGGCAGTGGCAGGGTAAGCTTAAATTCGCAAACAGTTAAGTCAACCGAGTACGAAATGGTTATTTTGTTGAATCCAGCCAATTGTCCCTACTGAGAACGAGCAACACCCAGACAAGGATATCCGTATTTTGATTCCCATTTTATGACCCTATCAATAACTAGAATAAAATTGTCACATAAATGCTGATAAAATCCCCAAGAACACCAGTTTTCTAGCGTATCCCGAGTCTCTGACACCGGAGACTAGGAGGAATGGCACTCGCCAAGAGATTCTGGACCATGTCCCCAGGAATCCAATATGTATGCGGAAGCCAGATTTGAAGGTTTTCAGGATCCTTGGCATTTCGCTCTTTGAGACATCATTTGCTATCCGCAGGATCGCGAGAGAAGCACGGAGTATCGTAGGCGTGGGGCAGGGCCATGTATCAAAGCGTACCCATATTAAGGCCACCGAAGTATACAGGGATAGGATGATTTCTCCGGATGAACCTTAGGATGATCTTTCCCTAAATTAATTGTCTCTCCATGTGTTGGAGGCTGAGCTTTGAGTTTTATTCCCACGAGAAGGGGTTGAATTGTTTCATCTCCGCAATATCTATGCACCCCACACTTTTCTTAATCACTCCAATTCTGGAGGACATTTCTGCCGAGCTATCCATTTACACAATTGGGAAGAAAGTGGATAGAATGGCAAAGGAACCATCAAATAAAATGACAAATGCAGTATAGAAAAAGTCCAAGTTAGACGCCTGCCCAGGTGATTCACCGTTAAGATTTAGACGTGCCAGTGGGGAACATAATCTTACCAAAGTCTTTGAGAGGTCAGTACGAGGAGTAGTAGTAGTAGTATTACTCCGTAGTAATAAGCAAGTCAAAATAAAGCAAACCTTGGAAAGTGTTGGCTGATATTAAGGTTCCCTCACTGCTGTCGCTGTCAAATGGGCATTGGTTTCGAATGTTTTGACTTCAGCCACGTTAACGACCATCTGCGGTGGGCGGGCACAAGCACCCCCACGGAGACACACCGAGGACTGGCCCCCAGATTGCCCCCGGCGCCCCCGCCACCTGCCAAGGATTCCTCCCCCCAACCGCGTCTTGGCGAGTGAATGCGAGACCTGTGGTAAGGGAACACCACCGCTTCCTGCGGAGGTCCTCCCTAGTCGGGCTCTATCGGTGATTGGCATAAACTTTCACGGCAATCCGAGCCAATTGCTGGTGCGGGTTTGAATTAGCTCCCGTCGCAATCGGGACCTGTCCGAATGGTCTCCTGGCCGCATTCTTCCTTTGACCTAAAAACCCCAGATCTCAACCTGGGGATGGGAATTCTTCGGAGTATTTCGGAATGAGGGTTAAATGCCTCATCTCATATAGAGAAATTAGTGTTTTGATTCCTATTTTTCCCTACACGAAAACGCTAAGTGGCTGTCAAGTGGGCGCCGAATATCGCTACTTTCATGCCATCTTCAGTGTTTTATTTGTACCCAAGTCATAGAGTGCATTTATGTGGTGTGACTCCTCCCGCTTGTGCTCTAACACCAAATCAATTTGCCGTACTGTGGCTTCTACATCCTCACTATCGTCTACCATCTGGATGGACATCTCAAAGTGGCCGTTCTCCAGCTTGTGCATTTTGGCGCGATTCAATATCCATTCCATCTTACCAGCAGGGTCCGTACGGAAACCAAAGTCCATGCTTAATGTTCTGATACCCAAAAGAAGAACACCATCGAGTACACTCTTTTGGTAGTTCAAATGGATAGGAGGTACCTGGGCTTGTACGTATAAACATCTAAAGACACCTGGGCATGGAGGTGTTCGGGCACATACAAGATCTGCCATGAGAACGAGATGCTCTAGACGGAAATTATTGCCCGGGTTTAACTTGCCCCACTGGTCTGGCCCCCTTTAGGACCCCAGAGAGGACTTTTGCCATCCTTGGGGTTGTAGTACCGAGCACTCGCGGTAGCTGGGTTCAGCTTATAAAACAACGCGTTAGTCCAGCAGGCGCACTCACGCTCTCTATCTGGAGCCGGAATTGGGGGCAGCTCCATCTTAATTCCAACCTTGGTGTTCAAATCACCCACGGTGAAAATGGCTAGGCTGCATATCGTTTCATTTTTGACGCGTAGAGATGTGATTATGGCTTGGGCGGTTGAATCTCGTTGGCTCAATTTTAGGTCATCGAACTGGACATGAAAAGCACCCGGAGGAATAAGCTGCAGAAGATGCAGATTCATCTAAATATAGGATCTGGTTAGCGGATGTCGTCGTAGTACGTCTTAAAATAGATTCAGCCTGCGCGAATGAGCACAGCGGCTAGAAGCCACCATGTAGACAGATACCACGGTCATCTGAATATCAGGAGCATTATTGTAGCATTCGGATGGTTATTATGCATACGTGGGCTGCGCCAATTCTTTGGTGCAAAGCCAGCATAACGCCCATGTTCTCCTTGAAAAGGTTCAAGAGAAATGGCGTTTTCGAAACTATTCCGCGGATATCCAATGTCTTGCCAGTCAGCTGTCACGTCTGGGTGAAAATTAGGAAGATGAGAATTCGCCATGGCTTTAGACTGGCTTGCAAAAAAGCCCTAGTCTGTAAACAATGTTAAATATGTATGTTTGCTACTAACAAGTAATTCAAATGCAGGGTTCGCATGGCGAGTTCAACCCGAAATAGGAAACTGGGCTTGGAGGGTGAAATTGCAGGAGTTATAGCAGTTATGCAAAGTCCGTTTTTCATTTTTCAATTTTTTCAATAGCGTGCATTCAACCGTCTGGCCATCTCCGTCGGTAAAAGTTGCATCTAAATATCAGTCGAAAGTAAGCACATTGGCACAAACATCTGACTGATGACGATAACCAATGAACGCAGCTAGAATCGGGGGAATCCGGGGCTAGTAGCGCAGCTAATGCATGAATCACGGCTTGGGCTCCACATAAGCTGACGAGGTAGCGTGAAGGCCTACATAACCATTGAGGCAAAGCACTGCAGCAGCACTCATTGAACCGGTTACTTCCAACTTTAAGGTTTCCCCTTTTCAGCCATTTCGATATTGGAGGATATCTAGGACCCTGCATGCCAAGATCATCATGCTTATATATGCTTGTAATAGCTTTGGTACAGTATTCAATGCCCAAATGAAATATGGCCACTTTGATTGCATTTGGACATGCAAAGAAAATAAAGAAAGATAACTTTTGTTGGGTCAAGCAAGATTGACAGGTCGTCCTTGTGAATAAATAAATTCAGGGAATGGTATGCTCTTCCAGTTCAACCATACTAATACAGGACTCAAGTGTATGCGGGAGTAAGCAGCCTCGCTGCAAGCACCAAATAGCTATAGATGCTGGAGCCAAGATGGTCCAGCAAATTTCCTTTTTGTAAACAGGGGTCATAAATCAAAACGATTCGTCGGAACTTGTGACGACCTCCCCCGAATGCAGCAATTGCCCTTTCTCTCTCCATCTTGGCTATAATCGAAATTCAATACGACGGCCCTAGGCTGGCTCTCACTGTGGCGCTCTAAAAGTCATCTGAACCCTTCACATTCCTTTTCGCTCCAACTATGCCGAGTGTCTTCTATCTAGGTAAGATACGGACTTGACTAGTCAGGGTCACACAGATTGCCTGCAGAATACTTAGCGCGAACTCGTGGAAGATGAGAGTAAATCTATAGAGAAAGTGTAAGCCAGTAGTTCTCGTCATATTCAGCCCGTTCTCCGGCGGCCCGCGCTAGCTCCCGCACTGCTTTGTCCAGAATCGTAGATGGAAGTATCCATTCTGAATAATGAACTCGTAAGTCTGGTCTGCATCAGGAAGTTAATGTATGGGCTCAGCTACACTACGCCGTGAGGATTTGTTCTCAAAAGGCATACAGTGACTAGGCGCGTCGAGAAGACGTGCTGGGCTGATTGAGGCCTCTGCAAATAGCAGCTAGGACCTAGAATAATAGTAGCATTTCTGTTTCTCTCGTACATATCTATCTCCAAATATTATAATCTTCGACTTCTTCTGATGTGCTACGATCTGTAGAATCTTGCTCCCTACATTTCCCCCCCTAAAATCACGATGCTCCTGCCGTCAGCATGAGGTATGGAATGCGGGGGCTATACTACCTCGACTTCGTCCCGTGCATATTGCCTAAGAGCGATTGCAGCCGGCTAAATTTATCAACGCCAATGGGACTTCCAGATGTGCTGATGAATAAACATTCCACAGTAGTCTCAATCTAAAAACATGTCAAATTAGGAAAGTGAACTCATCAAGCTAGAAACATGATTGGGTCAGATCTATTTTTTGGGACTATCGTGCATGGGTTTCGACCAACTCATTCCGTGATCCAAGAGCTGGAGATATCAGGACTGAGGCAACAATCAATTCAATCCAGGTCAAGATCTATAAAAGCCTCTTGGACACCCACGATTCTACAATGTTTCCAGCAACAAAAGTGTTCCAGACAATCTCAATTTTTAATTTCTTTCAAAGGCATTTTCCATCTGTTCTCTCAATTCTCGACTACAAGCCAAAATGATTATTCCCAAGACGCTTGTTATTCTTGCCACGGCTCTGTCCGCCACCGCGACCCATGTCCACAACCAGTTTGGCAAGGATGGCTACATCCAGGACGATCAAGGCTCTGAGATTTTCCTGAAAAACAAGGGTTCCGTCACCGTCGGAGGTGGATGGGGATTTTTCTGGGTTGCTTCCTCCGTGTGTAGCAAAAACTCGGTTGCCTATACCTGGCCAACCAACTATGGAGGTTTGTTATCAAGTTAACATGGTTATCCATTGGCTTATAGAATATCAACTGATATACATTCAGACGTCTACATCAGAAGCGATGGCTTCCTTTATGACTCAAGCGGTAGGTGTCACTTGCTTCCAAAGTGCATGTCGGATTCAAAGACTGACTTTTGAATAGGTATCCAAATTTCTGGTGGAGCGCACCTCTGCGGTTAAGAGATCTACCTACAGACTGTTTGATCCCTGAGGGCGAGTGAAGCATGGGTATTTTGAATTTTGGATCGAAGAGGGCGAAGAGGACAGTGGGGTATCTTTTAACGGAGTGTTGTGATGTTGGAATATTGGAGAGAAAGGGAGAATATACGTGTAGGCTGTCTATAAATGGAATACCACATATTCTCAAAAAAAAGCAGGTGCTGACAAGAGTTAGTAGTAGTAGTAGTAACTAGTAGTAGTAGAACAGTCGGTATAAAACGTCGTTGCCTTAGGCCACAAAACACATCACGTCACAGTCACGGGTGCCCGGGTGTGGGGAAAGCTCCCTCCGACTCGTTTGTCCGCCACCTCCTCCGATCGTCTTGATCGACAGCTCTGGATTCATCGCTCTGGCGATGGAGAGCTTCGACGATGTGACCTTAATAGGTCCAGTATCCGATCCCCATGTCGACGATCACCACCCTCCTTCCAACAATGAAGCAAAACCCAGGAAACAGGCCGACGGCGAGTCAGTGGACTCTGCCACCTCCACGTCGAATCGATCGGTGACTGCAGCTCTGGCGGCTCAAATTGACTCGGGCAGTGAGCTCACCGGAGCGCATTCGGTATCTTCAGAGATACCGGCGGAAGAAGAAGATGAGGAACCCCGCGTTGCTACATCTTTCGAGCGGGAATCCTCCCCTATATCCGCACAGAAACATCGGTCGGGGTTGGACCTTGAAGACGAAGGCTTGAATCGAATGCACAAATTCACTCTTTATGAGACTGCAACACGTTTCTACATTGTCGGCATCAATCTGGCGGAGACACGCTTCCGGATTCTGAAAATCGATCGCACTTCCGAATCGGACGAGCTGAACGTCACGGAGGATGATATGGTTTATACAAAGAGAGAGATGGTGCATCTATTGGATGCTATTGATGATGGGAATAAGAGCTCCGGTGGCCTGAAGCAGAAATCCAGCGCGTGGGCATTGCTCGGCTTCATTCGGTTCACCGGAGCGTACTACATGCTACTGGTGACGAAGCGAAGCCAAGTTGCAATTCTGGGCGGACACAATATCTACCAAATTGATGAGACCGAGCTCATCTCATTGACCACAGCTGAGGCATCTCGCCTGAAGCCCGAAAAGCAGTCGGAAGAAGAACGATACAGAGCGATCCTCAACAACCTAGACCTCACCCGATCATTCTATTTTAGCTACTCTTATGACATCACTCGGACGTTGCAACATAATATTTCGCGAGAAAGAAGAGCACATCAGGATGGATCGGCTCGACCCGAAGGACAGGACAGTAATACCATGTTCGTCTGGAATAACCACCTTCTCTCCCCGGCAATAGGAACTTTCAAAAATCCCTACGATTGGTGCATTCCGATCATTCATGGATATGTTGACCAGTCGAAGATAAGTGTATATGGGCGGTTGGTTTATATTACCATCGTTGCCCGTAGGTCTCGATTCTTCGCCGGTGCTCGTTTCCTTAAGCGAGGTGCAAATGACCTGGGATTTGTTGCGAATGATGTGGAGACCGAGCAGATTGTTTCTGAGCAAACAACGACTTCCTTTCACTCAGCTGGCCCTACATTGCACGCCAATCCGAATTACACTTCGTATGTCCAACATCGTGGGAGTATACCTCTCTATTGGACCCAAGAGAATACAGGCGTATCGCCAAAACCGGACATTGAGTTGAACCTGGTAGATCCATTCTATTCAGCCGCAGCCTTGCATTTTGATAATCTTTTCGAGAGATACGGTGCACCGATTTACATTCTCAATCTCGTCAAATCTCGAGAAAGGACGCCGAGAGAATCGAAACTCCTCAAAGAATTCACCAACGCTGTGGAATATCTCAACCAATTTCTCCCAGAAGACAAAAAGCTCATCTACAAAGCATGGGACATGAGTCGTGCATCGAAGAGCCGAGATCAGGACGTCATACAAACACTTGAAGGAATAGCGGGAGGTATCATTCCAAAGACCGGGTTTTTCAAGAATGGCAATGACGTTGAGTCGGGATTGCAAATTCAGAATGGCGTCGCACGGACGAATTGCATCGATTGTCTGGATCGAACAAATGCCGCACAATTTGTCATAGGCAAGCGCGCTCTTGGGCATCAACTTCACGCCCTTGGTGTTATTGATGAGAAGACGGTTGAGTATGACACAGATGCTGTCAATCTGTTCACCAACATGTGGCACGATCACGGTGACACTATTGCCATTCAGTATGGAGGCTCTCATCTTGTCAACACCATGGCAACATATCGAAAAATCAACCAGTGGAGTAGTCACTCGCGTGACATGGTCGAAAGCTTTAAGCGATACTATAACAACTCCTTCCTCGACGCCCAGCGACAAGAGGCCTACAATCTGTTCCTTGGAAATTACATCTATGCGCAGGGCGCTCCGATGCTATGGGATCTGTCTACTGACTACTACCTTCACCATTCTGACCCAAGGTCATATTTAGAGAAGAAGCGACCGAATTATATCTCATGGTTCACGCCAGAAAACTTGAAAGAACGAGAAATGCCGCCTCTCCCATCCCGTCCGAAAGAGCCTCTTTCACATTTCGATGATTACTGGCTGGAGTACTACCGCCCACTCGCATTGTCTACTCTCTCCAAAGTCTTCTCCTACAAAATGAACTCCACCTTTCGCTATCCGCTCCAGATACGTCCTGGACATGCGCCCCCAGACCACAGCCCATTCGTGCCTCGCATCCCAGCAGACCAGCACCAGCGCGACCGGCCAACAACCAGAAGTGTGAAGATACAGGAACCATCCGATAGCCATGCGGCCGTTACAACCCAGCCACTCACGGAGACCACCGACCTATGGCGACAACAGGCACCATCCTCATCAAAACAACCTCCATTGACAGGGATAATCAAGGAATCCGCCTTCGGAATACCACACAGCTCCCGCATCCCACCCATAAATGCCCCAAACACCCAAAAAACCCCAAGCAAAGACCAAATAGCCCAATGGACGCTCGGCCAGTTAGTCACAGACTCACTAAACCCATCTGTCACTGGCCCGGAAGCAGAAGAATACGAACGCTACATCAATCATCCACTGAAAGTCCCGCTGGTCGTGACATCAGAGGACGGGTTGACAGGGGGCGAGCACGGTCCGAACTCGGATCTGTTCGAATATGCGAACAGATTTAACGTCGAGGAAGCTGCACTCGAATCAAATGCCGAGGAAAACATGGCAGATTACGCGGAGTTCCTGAATGTTTCTGAGGAAGGTCTCACTGTGGTCGGTGAGGATTACCAGAAGAAGCGGTATAAGCGGTATCGGCAGTGGCTGCGGGGGAAGAGTCTTTTTAAGCAACGGGTTGATATATGATTATGATCTCTATCTCTCTTTTGTGATATAGCATGTACATTTTCCTTTTCAGATTGATACCCCGGAATGCATTATGATTACCTTCAAGTTGTGATTGGCTATGCTATCACTAGCGGCGTTGTTTCTTACCCGAACTTGAAGCAAATCCTTCACACCTTCAGTCCAAGAAACCTGGCTTCAATAGCATATAGCGAACACCAAAAAATAAATTTGAGATTAAGCTTTTTCAACTCCGTACCAAGCTTAGTACCAAGCTTAGACTATGAATCGGCAACATCTAGAGCAAAAAGCCCCTCTAACTCAGGATCCGCATCGACCATAGCCTGGAACCCACTCTGCACTTCTCCCTTGACAGCGAGCTGATCCGGATCCAAGGATCCACCCGTGATTGGTATGGGATTCAGCAGCGCGTATTTTAAAGCGAAAGCCGTGCTCTGCAGATTACGGGCTAATCCATCGAGCACTGGGATTGACGTTTCCCCATTCCCCTTCCGCTCTTCAACCACGTGTAGCCAGCATGCTGCGAGACCGCCCAGGATTTCACCGCGCCATCTCCATATACGGGGGTGGGCGGCCAAGATTGTCGTCTTAGTTGTTGCGATTGCTGCGGATAGAAGTGGGGGGGTGTGCTGTTCCGAATGGATTTGAGAGAGTGGTATATAGGATAGGGATGATGTCTTGGAGGTATTTTGTTGAGTGAATCCCCAGTTCAGAGATGAATGTTGATATCCAGCCGAGAAGGAAGGTTGATAGACGAGGGTGCGGGAAGGATGTAGGTGCATTTGTGGATGCGGGTGTAGATGAGCTGATGTGGTGGAAGGATGAGATGAGGTTTGATCGTAGGATTTTGGAGAGATTTGTTATATAGGATTGGGTGTTCCTTTCCGTTTGTGAGATTGGTTGCTTCGAGGTTAGTTGGTAGGTTGCTTTTAAAAGAGCGAGGAGAGCAGGGTATGCTGCCCCGAGAAGTTTGAGGGAACTCGTTTCTGGTGTGATGCTCGGTAGCGAGAGGAGGCAGGCTGTGACGGCTTCTTGGAAGACCGAGACCAGGTTGGTTCGAAGGAGGATATCGGAACCACTTTCCTGGATGGGGCTCAGGAGCTGGCTGAGAAGATCGCATCCCTTTATTTTGTAGGTGATGTTATTATCATCAATCAGAGCTAGAATGGCTGGCACTAGGAGCGGAAAATGTGCCTCTAGGCTGGCTTTGTGGGCGGGCTTGGACGGGTCGGTCAACTTGTGTAAAAGGATCTTGAGGTCACTGAAGTCATACCTTATACTGGCATATAATCCAAGAGAGTACAGCTGGAGCGTAAACATCCGTGGTTTTCCATGGCTTTGTCGAGTCATCCAAAGCACCCCCGTCGAAGCGAGTTCGGGCCACGGGATGGAGGCTTTTACGGCCCTCGCTTGTAATCGCGGGATTCTTCGTCTTGGTAAAAAGTGGTCTAACCTTCTCTCTCAGAACCCGTTCGATGATCGGCCAGAGATCATTCTGGCATGCCATGTTGAGATGTATTTCGGCACAATTGTTGCTGTCGTTGGTAGTCCAGGGATCCTTTTTGGAGGTGAAGCTTGCCATGGCGACAATGACATCCGGAGAACTGGCGACTGGCTGGTTATCCAGAGTGGAAATAACCTTTGCCTCCATCAAGGTAATGAATTGTGCTGCCAGTTCTGATTTCAGGCGGCTTTCTTCTTGGGAGTTTTTGTCTTCTGCTCATCCTTCAGCGTTGCTCATCTCATCAGGCCGCAGGCCGCAGTCCTTGAAAGTGACATACCTTCAGTGATTTCAGGATTATCATCGAAGCACACGGCAAATTCCGATGACGGCAGAGCCAGTTGACTTGCCCAATGAGATAGGGCATTGATTGCCGTGGCTTCCGCTGCATTATCCTGCGCTGGTAGCACAGGATCATAGCCGGTTTCAAGGAAGCTGAGCGCGGCATACAGACTCTCGCAGGCCTATATCGCATTAGTATCACTCTCTCAAAATTTGGATATTTCCATGCATCTTTTGGTCTACATCGTGGAATAGCGACCTCACATCTAAATAAGAGGAGTTCTCATGGGATGAGACGTCCGTCCATAATTGTGCCAGAGTCAAGCGTGTGGACGCGGATTCCAAGGTGGTTGGGCGATTCCAGGGAGTTTGCTGGAGGACCCGGCGGGCCTCTTTTCGGAGCTGATCCATTTACGTGGACATATATGGAGTTATATGGAGGTAGTGGAAGTGGAAGTGAAAGTGGAAGAGGTAGAAAATGAATTTAAGTTCCAAGGCGGTCCGTCAAATCGTCACAAGCCCAACTCTGCGCGGCGGTCGACAATCGCGTCCAGCGCTGCCGCTTTATCGCCCGCGGGGTGCAGCAACTGCCATTCCATCGCCAACGCCGTCGCTTTGCTCATCCAGGGCCCTTTTGGTGGACTGCCCAGGGTTTGCATGATTTCAGCTCCATTCACGATGGGCTTGAGTTCACATACGCTTTCTAAATCACTATCTACAATATACGCAAGGAATTGGTTGTATTCCCGAACCACTGTTGAATGGTTAGTACGGCTGGGTCGGTCCGGGGGAGAGGATAGCTCAATGGCTTCTTACCTTTGCTGAGATCTCTTCCCTGCATGACTTCTTGAAGGATGGCCAATACCATACACAACCTCCAATCCTTGCCCCAGCCTCGGATTCGCAGCCCGGTCTGCTGGCGAATCTCGGCCGGCGTGCCACTGATCTCGTTTGCCAACAAGGAGTTCTTCCACTTGATGATATCGGCAAAGTTTAATGTCGCGTCACGGAGGACCATCAGGTTTTTATTGTCGCAGCGGAGGCCGTCTCGGGCAACCTCAACGGGTCGAGTGGGAAGAGGCTTCCCCTTTGGACCGGGAAGAGTTCGGATAGGGACTGATGTCCATGGAGCAAATGTTGCAATCATCCAGGCATAGTAAGCGCTGTCATCACGATGCATAAGGATCGCACGCAGGCGATCGATATCGGCTTCGAGAGATCCAGGCTCTGGGTATAAGATCTGCTGCAGAGAATTGTAGGCAAGAGACCAACTCGACGTATCGGCAACGGCCTGGTCGTGGTGATTGGCAAAGATAGTCGAGTAAATTCCGATTCGATCAATAAATTGCAACGCGTGAAGAGGATGGGGCCCTGTAGGATATTTGTCTGTCGTTAGAAGGTGAAAAAAGATGAAGAGACACACCTGTATAGGTAGACTCACCGCGCAGCATCTTCTCCAACTCGGTTCCAACGCGTTCCTTGCTGATCTTCAGCTTCAATGCATCGCTAATATCCTTATTTCGCATAGCCTTCTCTGCTTCCTCGTCGATTGAATACTCCAATCGACTGGCGAATCGGATTAATCGCAGTACCCGGAGAGGGTCGTCCTTGAATGTTTGATATGGTTCCAATGGTGTGCGTATAATATTCTTCTTCATGTCTTCCAATCCTTGCTCCGTCAAGTCTTCTAAGCAGGATTCATTGAGGTTATAAAACATCGCATTGATCGTGGCATCTCGTCGCAAAGCATCTTCCACCGCTGTACCGAACTCCATTTGTGGATTGCGACTGTCGTCTGTGTATGTCTCTTTGCGCAAGTTGACCAGGTCAATATCCAGTCCGAAGATCTTGGTTGTCACCGTCTCCAGGTGCTTTGACTTTTCGGGGTTGGCATCGATCTTGTGGATACTGACAATGGCATCATTGATTTCACCATTGGGCAATCCCTTTTTGTATTTTTCAAGGTTCTCAGGGATATCCAGATATTCCTTCAGGGCATTTCCGAACTGGTTACCCGTCATACTGCTAATCCCCACGTCGATGTCATGGCTGCCGACCCCAAGCAGTTTGTCTCGAACCCAACCACCTGTGAATCGCAACACGGTTTCGGGGTATCTCAGCTCGTTGCTGCCTTCTTCCACAATTCCATTTTGCTGTATGTATTGCGCAACGTCCAGGAGGAGGGTTCGGAGGGTGCTTTCGATCGGAGTGAGCTCGATGGTGGGGTGGATGTGGGTTGGTGCCATTTCTTCGCGCAAGGCACCCCGCGTGAGGGGGGAGGTCGATATGCGTCGTCTCTTGCTCGCTGGCTCGGGAGAATGTGATTCAAATTCGCGGCCACGCATGAGAGGGTGGTAGCTAGCTGAGCAAGTCTGTAGGAGAGGTTTGGAGAAGCTGCGCGGGCGTGTTGGTAGAGCTGCGGTGCGGAAGTGGAGAGGTGGAGCGTGAATGAAAGACAAGCGAGAGATCTCAAAGAAAGATCCCGGCAGGCGCAGTCTGGTCATTGACTTCGGGCGTCCATGGAGATGTGTATAGAGTCAAGGTCAAGCAGGTGCAGAGTCAAACTTGACTTAAAGATTGACTCACACCGTGACTGCTGATCGATAAGCTGCGGCCTCACGTGGTTGCGTCACCACCAAGTTGAATGCGCCCGCAATTACCAGGACATAAATACGTAAATACATAAATGCAGATCAATTTGTAGCTTGATGAAATTGTGTTTAGTATACAACTGTATGAGAGATTAAATTATAACCAGGCAGATTCAAACTGTCTCTTCAAAGTCAGTATTTTTTTCTGCAATAAGAGCGTGTTGCGGGACTCCACTCTCCAACCGCATCGATTGGATTGATTGAGGGCCTCATCAGTTCCGTGCCGTGATTGCTTTGTACCTACCGACCATATCAACCCAAACCCAAACCCAAACCCAAACCCTCCTCGTCACCTTCGTCAGAGCCACCCGCAGCCACTGCAGCCCAAGCGCTTTGTCCAACTTTGCCTTCCTTCACACCATACACTGACCGATCTAACTGGCCTGACCTGACCTGATCAGCCTCGAGCCCGACTTTATCCTGTTGTCACCCACCCAGACCGTCCACCGTCCCTTCACCTCAAAACGCAGTCCATGGGGGCCTGCCAATTCTTGAACACTTAGCATTTAGGTTCTTGAAGAACACTCGGTGTCCATGACATCGCCCGGTGATGGTACCCCGGTGAAACCTCCGCCGTCCTTCTCGCCCAGCGTTGCGCGAAACGCGTCCATATCACGATACCCGGATGAAAGCGAGGCCACTGCCTCTTTGGACGCCGAGTTGGCAGACTCTCGTACGGGGTCATCGCCGACCTCGCCCCTGCCTACAGCATCCACCGAATTACCCATTCGATCCTCATCACCGCAATCCCGCTCCGGTCGATCGTCCACCCCGCAATTAGCCCGGTCATCAATCGGCTCGCCCTTCGATGGACGCTCCGACGGCTCAGAGGATATCAGATCCTTGATCATCCGCGCTTTCTCTCCTACTGTCGCTATTCATGCCTCCGAGGACACCGATGCGCTGGTGAGGAATAAGGGGTTCAAAGGGGGCTTCTGGGACTTGGTTCGGCCCTTTGGCGAGACAATACCGGGGAAAGTGGTTATTCGGGATAGTATCGGATCAAGTCGTGCTTGGGAAGACTATGGGGTACGCTTCGTGAACATCAAAGGGCTCGGCGCGGCCAATGCTGCTCGCGACTCGCCCTTGGCGCAGATGGAGGAGGTTCTGGAGAAACAGTTGAATTCAGGAGAAGATACGCTGGGAGGTCCTATCTCTGGGAAGGACGTCATGGGGGTTCCAGCTACGACACCGCTATCCAAACTATTCCTCCGCCAACTTCTGTCGTCTACGTCCGCGACCCCTCACGAAACATTCGGTCATCCCGTTGCCAGCGTCATCGCGATCAGCTCCCGGAATACCGCACCCCTGGAGACGCTTCGGCAGCTGTATGCAGAGAGCAGTACTGGGGGAAAGCGGCTGCCGGACTGGATTCAGCAGGACTATCTTCGGTATTATGTTTTGATTCACGATGAAGAACGGGATGATATCGCGGAATCCACCAAATTATATGATCAGATGAAGAGGCATTTCGGATTACACTGTCATCTTTTGAGGCTGCGGAGCAGTCAATGTGTGGTTACGGATGATGACAGTACACAAGTACCCCCGTGCGAGTGGTTATCTCCACGGGAGCACTTGTCGGGGGTTGGAGAAGCAGGTAAATACCCCTCTTGATCTTTTCTGTAACTGTACACTAATGCTCTGCTAGAAACGCTTGTGGACTTGGGTACAGATGGCACCCCCTACCTTTTCGACTCCGACGCCACAGCCATCAAGACCTTCATTCGGGAGCTCATGGTGCAATCAGTAATCCCATTCATGGAAAACAGAGTCGCCGTTTGGAATGACCAAGTTGCATCCCGAAGACGCGGCATCAGCGGCCGACTTGCAGCAGTGTCACGTCGATGGCCCTTCGGCTCCAGTTCACGTTCCGGTATTGGATCATCAGGCGGAAATAGTGGGAACTACGATACAACACAGAACTTCTATGCGCCAGAATCTCCCGAGGCTACTCTGCGAAAGATGGCCGATTTTGCATTCATGCTTCGCGATTGGAAACTTGCAGCGTCAACGTACGACATGATTCGCTCGGACTTTGGCAACGACAAGGCTTGGAAATACCACGCCGGCTCTCACGAGATGTGTGCAGTGAGCATGCTCTTGAACCCGCTGGCGATGTCGGCCAAAATCAAACTAGAAAGCGTTGATCAAATGTTTGAGACGGCCTGTTACTCTTACCTCACACGATGCTCTGACGCACCCCACGCCCTTCGTTCTCTTACGTTGGCCGTTGAACTTCTGAAATCCCGGGGCGGTTCTGCCACCGAAACTGCCGCCAGGTGGGCCATGCGGGTCATGGACTTTGGCTTGGTTGAGTCTATCGGTCAGATCCTTTTTATGGAACGGGTGGCTGCATGTTATGCCTCCAAGACCCCTGTCACAGGCGCGAAGTGGGGTGCTCGTCGACGCAAAGCCGGCATGTGGAGTATTCTTGCTGCTGACCAGTGGTTGAAGGCAGGAAAGCCATCGTTAGCATCAGCTTGTCTTGAAGAGGCGGAACGTCTCTATGCCGATGTACTAGAGGCTGATGGAGCCTTCCCCATGCCGGAGATGCAAACTTTCGTTGATAACCTGCGACATGCCGTGAAGGTGGAATACCTCGAGGCTAGAGGTTTCGATGCCCGAGACGAGTCACCGATTGAGGATCCCATTGGTACGGAAGAGATTAGCGAGAAACTTGATAAGCGCAGTCATCGTCGCTCGTTGATCGGGCTTCCAGCGCAGCTGGATGCGGGCAATCTCAAGCTGAGCCCGGGGCCTGGAACTCTGGAGGAAGCGCCCAATGATGACTTTGAACGAGCCTAAGCATGATATTAATATCCAAGAATAGCATATAAGAATAGATCAGCTTCATTGTGTCAATTTCATCTGTACAAACCTTGGGCTTACGTTCTTGTGATTTTGTGTTTAGCTTGCGTATCGTTAGTAGTAGTTACTTCTCGGTAGTTAATTGAGTTGGAACACGTCACGGTATATCCATGTTTTCTATACCATCTTCGCCACTTGAAATCCACAAAATACCCAGTGCCTAGATGAGACTCGTATGAGTATTTTAAATGATGCCATTTTATAACGATAGCCAGAAGTTCTCATAGTCCCAACAACAGGTACCTTCTATAGTAAGGTATGGTTGATCACATGGCTTATCGATAATGCTGCGGAGCCGTGGGCTGCTTTGGGGTCCACCGGTGGTTGTTGATCTCCGACTCTCTCTTTCTTCCCCCACCACAACACCAACAGAGAATCTGGGCCTCGGAGCGCTCAACCTATTACGTACCACATCTCTCCTATCCTTGCTGAAATATCCACAAGCGAGGATACCAGCAGCATGAGCGAGCTCCTCGACTACATCCTCAAGAACGAGGATGCATTCAGAAGGTACTTAACATCCCAAAACCCACCTAGCAAGGCAAACACAAAGCAAACCAACCTCCAGGCTGTTGCATGAAAGGCTAACAACAACCATCTCTCGCCCCAGAAACCGCCTCCCATCCCTCTACTCAGACTTCGCCCTCCAAAAGAAGACAAACCCCGATGGCTACGCCGTCAACGTTGCAGCATGGGAACAGGCCCTGAACCATGCCGCAAAGCGCGGCCACACTTCATCCCGCGGTGTGCGCGTGCGCTCGGGGTCTACAAGCTCCCAGAAGAATAGCGCTTCTCGGCGCAAGAAGACCGATCACCTCATTCTCCGCACCGACGAGTTACTTTTGCGAGACTTGGAGCTGTCAGACCTCGGCAGGCCTGTGGCACTGGGTGCTGTCTTTGTACGTGCTTGGGCACGTCATTGTCTTTGACTAGGGGAATTGTGCTGATTCTAGGCATTTTACAGAATGAGGCGATGCAGAAGAGGAATATGGTGCCGCTGCCGATTTACAAGACAGATGCTGGCTGTTTAAAGAAAAGCCAATGGCGTATTATTGATCCCAGCGCTTTGAGTCCTTGGAATGTTATGAGTTGGGGGGGTTCGTCAGTTGAAGGGGGCTGTGATTGGCTCCGATGAATCTTCACCTAAATTGCAGGTACAGGAGTTGGTGCTGGTTGAAAATCTTAAGGTGAGATTTCCCTCTATTGCTAGTGGACTGCTGCCACTTACTATACTAATCACTCTCATGTCGTTATCAGGAAGCCTCAGACTTGGTTGTCAAAAGGGCTACTGGGGACAAACCATCTAAGCTTGATCTTATATATTCTAAAGAAAGCTTCGTCGAGCGATTCTCAGACGTATTGCACGATGCGACAGAACTCTCAGATGCAGATTTTGATGTTCTTCTAGTGTATTTGTCTCGCGACTCTGGCGTGATATCATATGATGGGAAGGTAGGTGGAAGCTATATACAGTGGGTCTGAGGATTGTTTGCTGATAATTGCAGACAATTAAATTCAAGTCTGCAGGCGACTCGACAGACATCACTCAGCAAGATTCGACCATCGCTTCAATCAAGACACTTGTCTCGACGATAACGAGACAAGTCGAGGGCCTCGAAGAAAAGATTGCCGACTTAACGGCCTCCGCAAAGACGGCCCTCAATAATAAGAATCGCATCTCGGCTCTTTCCGCTCTCAAGTCCAAGAAGTTGGTCGAACACAACCTGCAACAACGGCTCAATACACTTGCGCAGCTTGAGGAAGTATATTCCAAAATTGAGCAAGCTGCTGGACAGGTGGAGATCGTCCAGGCCATGGAGGCAAGCACAGGTGTTCTTCGTAGTCTGCATGCACAGATCGGTGGCGCAGAGAGGGTGGAGGATGTCGTTGAGGAATTGCGCCAGGAGATGACAAAGGTGGATGAGGTTGGTAGTATTATGGACGACGCTGCACCGGTGATCGACGAGGGCGAAATCGACGACGAGCTGGAGGCAATGGAGCAGAGAGGCCGCGAGGCCGAGGAGGAGATCGAAGCGGAGGAGACGCGGAGAAAGTTGGCCGAGCTGGACAGCCTGAAGGAGGCATCGGGCGAGGTGTCTCGTCAAAGGCAAGCGGACAAAGATACAGAAGCCCAGCTGACCAACAGGCTTTCAAACCTGTCGGTCGAGGAACGCCCGATGGAAGCAAAATAAGGCAATTATCCAAGCACCGGATTTCCATGCCGGTAGTCTGTCTTGGATTATGCCTGCTACTCAGCCTGACGGATCGAACGAACGACGAGGCTCAATGGTTTGATTGCTTTCCACGGGAATACCGTTGTCAAATGGAGCTTCCATGGATGCAACGGGTGCGGCGGAGCCTGTTGCTGATTCACCTGTGGATTTCTCAGACGCCCCAGGTATCGTCGATCGCACTTGAGTATCGCTCTTTATGCGAGCATTTGCGATCAGACGCTTAAAGTCAGTATCGTGGCTTGCGGACCACCCGGCTGCATCAAAGTCCTTACGCATAACAGCAGTGTTCGTCGCAAATGGCGATGGACCGGCTGCGTGTCCACCTTGAGTCCGCTCCCATATGTCTAACTCTTGCAGTAAGGCTCTTTTGGTTTTTGGAATCCTGGAATCACAATTGGAGTTCCATAGATTCATCCATTCTGTGTGGCGCCGTTGGAGCAACGGCCTTGGCCCCCATTCAGGAATTCCTAACTCTCTCAATTTCTTCCGTAGTAAATTATCCTTCAGTAGGGAGTAATTTATAGCGGGTAGCCTCTCGGGACCTTTGCCGGGTGAACTTTGGAGGCGATTCGGTTGAGGCTGTAGGGAACTATACGCGACACTCGATTAGCCTCAATACCCGAGCTCTAGCCGATGCTCGATACATACCTGAAGGCAGACGATTTGGACGCTGGTGGAGGCGCAGGCTTTACTCCTTGGCAGGTATCGAGGTGGGAGAATACTAAGTGGGCTTTCATCCTGCGCTGGCAGATCGGACACGCGACCATACCGTCATCTGCAGCAATGTGAGATTCGTTCAAATGCGCGAGGAAAAGCAAAGGTACGAACCAGGAACGTATTCTTCTTCCCCTTCGTCTTGACTATCGTCTATCACTTCGACGGTCTCCCGCACCACCGGCTCAGGGTTCGGTGCATCGTTCTCAGTCCGTTGTGACCTTGTCCGGGCGCGACGTGGGCTGGCTTGCACCACTGTGACTTGCTCCCTCACGTCCACGTCCACGCCCACGCGATCGACCTTTCTCTTTTTCGGTGACGGCTCACGTATCGTAGAATCCCCTTCCTTCAGACGCGCTGTTTCCTTTCTTGCGAGGTCAAGAACACTTTGTCGTGCATTTTGAAAGGTCTCGACGAACTCTTGAACCGCCCAGTTGCGACGCAGCTTTAATTCCTGATCCGAGCTCCGACAAACTGGACACTTCCCTTCAGTGCTGAGACATCGACGAATGCAAAGTGAGCAGAATGTGTGCGAGCAGGAGGTGATAACCGGGTTGTTAAAGAAGTCCTTGCAGACTTGACATCGCAGTGAGGACTCGAGAGGTGCGAGAAGGGAAAGTGGGGTCTCTAGCCAGTCTGTAGAGTCGGGCACATCAAAAGAGTCCATCTAGGCAATATCAGGGGCCTGCCTACCGGACAGTCCAACAGCGCCGGTCTGCAAGATATCAATATCAAATGTCGCGGAGTGAACGATGCGTCGCGCAAGGCGGAGTGGGCACGCCAAGACCCGCTGACTGATACGCGTAAAGTGGTGGGCACGCGTCAAGCAACTTGAGAGCTTCCGAGCTTCAAAGCACCATGGACTACAAGATGTATCTCGCAGAGAATGTCCTCAATGAGAGGCGCACGGTATGGTTGCAGCTTTGGAGGGTTCTTATAGTCCACTGATAATTGTCTCTAGGTCACTTACCGTGCTCTGAGCCGCGCGCTGAAAGTACACGCCACTAAGGCCAAACAGTACAGCCTTCGCTTTTGTCCCCTCGATGAAAGAAAACCCGAGCTAATCTTTCGAATCTAGAATGCTCTATGAGTTCCATCGCAATGAAAATGCAAAGAAGCCCCAAAGTGTCCACGCAACATACGTCATCTCCGGATTCCAGAAGCCACCGGCAGCAGAGACCCCCGTAACGAACGGCCATGCGAAGGATGCGGACGAGGTCATGCAGAGCAGTCCCTATCTGCCCAGCTCGATACCGAATCAAGACGCCTCTTTCGAGTCGCCGCGTGTGATGTCTATCATCATTGCCCGGGAGGAAGATTTGGAGGGTACGTTGGGCACCACAATCACTGCTGGTGGCCCGGGAACTCTTATGCTGACACTTGGAACTATATGCAGACGCGAAATCAACCTTCCACTCGATCTCCACAATCCATGTGTACAGCCTTCAACCTACTGTACTTCAAGATCTCAATACATTGACAGATGTTTGCCGGGAAATTGCGACAGCCCATGCTCAGGACGATCCTTTGGAATGTGGTGGACAATGGGGCATGATTCAGAATCGCAATGTGAAGGTCCGTCTGAGCTTCAAACAATCTTTCAAGGAATTTATGGACGCATATTAATGATTACCGGTGTAGCGACGGACTGGAACGCGCCCTCCTCCCCTGCCGCGCAGCCCAAGTCCGAACCGGTGGTCCCTAAGGCTAAGGCTGAACCGGCAGTCCCAACAAAGCGGCCCTTACAGAAGGAAGAGTCAACGCCCCAGCCAACTTCCGAAAGCGAATCTCAATCATCATCGAAGCCTGCTGCAAAGACCGCGCCTAAGCGCGAGAAGAGTAATCTTTTTAGTTCGTTTGCCAAGGCTAAGCCTAAACAAAAAACATCGACTCCCGCACAATCAGTTAGTATCCCTATCAACTCTCGAATTGTGTGTTTCTCTTATTAACTCTGACTTTAATCTAGACGGAGCCGAGCCAGGATGGTCAGTTTTACCGCGACTACAAATCGTACGCTAGCTCACATATCACAGTTGTATTGGATGATGCCTCCGAGGAAGAACAGGAGGAGCTTTTCCCAGAGTCTGGTGATAAGTCCGCATCTGCTAACCGCGAGAGCAAGAAGGATCGCGAGGATAAGCTCAAGCAGATGATGGAGGACGAGGATGCCGATGGTATGTTCCCCAGCTTCTGTGAGGCCAGTCACAAATTACTCATAGAAGTATAGATGAAGAAATGCCGGATGCCGACGAGGAGCCTGAACGAGAACCGACACCTGTCGAGCAACCCCCACCTCCCAAACCCGCCGAGCTTAAGGAAGAAGTCACCGTACAAGGTGGGCGCCGGCGTGGCAAGCGACAGGTCATGAAGAAGCGGACGGTGAAGGATGAAGAGGGGTACCTTGGTAAGTACAAATATCATCATCTAAGCCCTTGTCCAGCCACCATCCTTACCTTTACGCAGTCACCCGAGAGGAACCTTCATGGGAGTCATTCTCCGAAGATGAGCCGGCACCGCCTAAGAAGAAGCCGGCTGTTAACGTACCCAAGGGCAAAGGCCCGAAGGCTGGACAGGGGAACATCATGTCATTTTTCGGCAAAAAGTAATCGATCGCATATGCACGGAGTATAGGAAGTTAGCCACGAATGGAAGTTCGCTCAGCATTGACCCGGTGATGAAGTTGGCACGGAGTATACATAGTTGTGGTCGTCGTAATCTTGTATGGTGTACTTTGGGTGTAGATTCAATCAAAACACCGCCGATCACTTCTCCGCATTTGTGGGGACGTGGTGCAACGGTCCCTCTCATCCCCCTGGACGATGTCACCTCGCGCCCACAATTTCCCCGAGATCAATAACATCGGAAGAGCAATGCGGGATCGAGCGTATGTACTGCAGCCTTCCTGGGCTCGGCAATTGAAAGGAAATGAAGTGGAGGAATGCGTGACCCAGCCTGGTTGTGATCGACACCAAGCTATGCCTCCCCTCTTATTTACCCCCAACCCCCAATCCCACCTTGTCGGGCTTTCTTTACTCACCTCACCTCGCCTGTCATGACCCTCTCTACGTTGCTTGTCGGTGCGCTCCTGGCCTCTCAGGCTAGTGCGATTCCTGGACGCGACAATCCTGCGATCCTTAAACGAGCATGTCCCGACTACACCTCGTACGCTTCGACGCCGCAGTATGTACCTCACTTATAGCTAGATCGCAAATAGCTAGACTAACCTCTCACAGTGGCCCTTACAGCGACGGTCCTTTGAAATTGCCTTTCCAGCGACCCGCTGAGGCATGTCGTACATTCAGCTCGCCCTCCGTCGAGAAGGTTATTGATGATATGACCTCGCGCCTGGTCGACAAAGACCTTGCGCAACTTTTCCGGAACGCCTTTCCGAATACACTCGATACCACAATCAAATGGCATGTCAATGGATCCAGCTCAGCAACTTCGAAGCGTCGCGTCAGGCGCGATGGTGCGGACTGGAGCGGTGTACAGACGTTTATTGTAACAGGCGATATCAATGCGGAATGGTTACGTGATTCCACCAATCAACTGGCCAACTACCAGAAGCTGGCCAGCGATGACAAGAGTCTTTACACCCTGATTCTCGGTGCTATCAACACGCAGGCTGAGTTTGTCATTCAATCGCCTTACTGCAATGCCTTCCAGCCGCCCTCCATTAGCGGTGTGAAGCCCGAGAACAGCACCCAGCAGGATACTGTGCACCCCACATACTCCAAGAATTTTGTATTCGAGTGCAAATATGAGCTCGACTCCCTAGCTCACTTCTTGTTGCTGGGAACCGAGTTTCATGAGAATACCGGGTCTACCGAGTTTCTAACCGATCGCTGGTTCATGGCGCTCAAGACTGTTCTTCGTGTCATTGATGAGCAGTCACAGCCTACTTTCAACTCCAAGAACCAGTTTGTCTCCAACCAATATACCTTCCAGCGCGAGACCAACATTGGAACCGAGACTCTCAACCTGCAAGGTGTTGGAAACCCCCTCAACGAGGGTACTGGCCTTATCCGGAGTGCTTTCCGCCCTAGTGACGACGCCACCATCTTGGGCTACTTCATCCCGCCTAATGCCATGATGTCTGTTCAGCTGCAAAAGATCTCTAAGATCGTTAAGAAGGCCGGAGGTCATGATGACCTGGCTGATGAGTTGGAGCAGCGCGGCACGAAGCTTGCTGCGGCCGTGAAGGAACACGGAATTGTGAGCCACGGCAAGTACGGTGATGTGTATGCCTTTGAGGTCGATGGCTATGGTTCACGTATTCTCATGGATGACGCCAACATTCCTTCCCTGTTGTCTCTGCCTTATCTCGGCTTCGTCGACAAGAGCGACAAGGTCTACCAGAATACTCGCAAGATGATCACCGACAAAGCCGGTAACCCCTACTACCTGGAAGGTCCTGCTTTCCACGGTATTGGTGGTCCTCACAGTAAGTTTTCACGACACAGTGCACTTACTCCTCGAGCTCCCAGCTAATTCATTTATCGCAGTTGGTCTCGAGAACGCCTGGCCCATGTCTCTGCTCATGCAAGCGCAGACCTCTGACAATGATACCGAGATCATGGAGTCCATCAACCTCGTCCGTGACTCGAGTCTCCTTGGCCTTGTGCACGAGTCGATCAACGTCACCAACATCAAGACGTATACCCGCCCGTGGTTCTCCTGGGCTAACTCGGTTTTCGCCCAGACCCTTCTTAAGGTCGCTTCTGAGCGACCGCACCTGATCTTTGGGGAGGATGCTGAGCCTTATAATATCTAGTAGTACACAATCCACCTTTTATTAAGGCCTGGAGTTTACTTAGAAGTTCTCACAGAGGGCTACGGTGTATTGGACCTATCCATGGCAAATATTATTTACGAGTCAAGAACAACTTATTTCCTTCGTGGCTTTCATTCAACATAAAATGTTAAACATGGCACGGTACATTTCTTTTCAGAACTTGAAGTTCCCCGCTTAGCCACATCTCCCGAGGTCAATTTTCAGCTCCGTAGTAATGTGCCATTCTCTCTTAATATTTGCACTTTCAATGCTTTTCCCGGGAAATAAATAGCCCCGCCTAACGACTTTGCACACTGCTGGCATACTCTGTGAGATATTTATTTCTATTCAATTCAGGGTTCTATCTTGAACCTAATGCAGCCTAAATATAGATCGCAATGGCTTTGCGGGCGTTCCCCGTCCAAATGTCACGCCTGGCCCGTAGCGAGAACAAAGGAGAGACAGTGTACACTGTAGGTAGAAAAAATGAAGTTGAAGAATGGTCTATCATCAAATGGAATAAATCGGGTACTAGTAATCTAGCGTTCAGTTATCGACCAGGATCGGCGGATTGGCGCATGATATGAGCCAAGCTGCAGTCGCCTAGGGAATTTTTCATGCGCGCAAGACTTGACGATTGGCCATTACGGCCAGCAGAAGCTGACTCCGCAGAGACCAAGGTGAATTCTGGGCTGTACAGTAGTAGGCCACCACTCACAACACAACACGCTATTCAGAGTCTTCCTTGCACGGATCCATTTTAGTGTTTTGGTTTCTGCTTGGACGCAACCACCCATTTCAGTGGCCTCCACACCCCACTTTCTAGTTACGCCGCTAGCTAATGTGGGTTACGGTCACTGCTAATTCGCCAGTCAAGGGTGAGTGTTCCGACGACATATACTCGTAATCACTTGAACGAAACGTATAAAGCCCTTGGGCCCAATCCATAGTCCATTCCATTCAATCATCGGGACTTTTCTCAAGTTTCTTCCTTTTAAAAGATAATCAAGAATTGCTAGCTATTTCACTCGCATTCTGTGCATTCCTCTAGCACATGAACACCATATTTGAGATGACTCCATCTTTTTCATCTGTCGCGGCGGAATCAGCGGGACTGCCAGTGGACTTCGGGGCAAGCAGCGATCTAGATCTAGATCCAGATCATCTGCTAGTATCCTTCGAGGACCCCACTCATCATAACGAAGTCCAACCTCCTTCGAAGAATCAGTATCTTACCGATCACTTCAATGGGTGTTTCCAAGGGCATTATTTGCCTACGGGTGGGATGAACGAGATATCCCCAGCGTGCACCTGCCGCAATACCAACGCTACCATACGGAGGGTCAATGACAACAATCACACTATCCGTCAATCGGGGCATCGCAAGTCCCTACTGCCTACTGCCGTCCCACAAATGATTGCCTCTCACGAAAATCTACCTTGCCTTCGGCCTATTGTTGGTATTGGATACTCGACGGGAATTCCCTCACTCACGCCTCCGTCAACACTTGTTTCAAATCCAGGCCATCCCTATCAGTGTGGTGATTCCTATCAACCTGGATCGGGTTATATGTGAGTTTCAGCGCTGGCCCCAGGGTTACACGGCTCCAGCTAATTCCTCTAGTGATTCCGAACTTGATCCGCCTCGCATATTCCAGTGTAAATGGGAAGGCTGTCCATATCGCGGAAACTTCACCAAGCTCCCGACCCTATGGCGACATATACAATCCACACATATCTCCCCCGACGAGTATAATTGCACTGAATGTGGAAAGACCTTTGGTCTTGGTCGAGGTGATAAATTCAAAGTTCACATGAAGGTTGCCCATTCCGAGTCGAGGCTAGCTAGGGACGGAAAGGACAACCGCTTTTGTCCATTCTAAAGCCAGATGGCTGCCTCTATTCCTCTCAATCATTTCTTTTCATTTTGATTATTGCTTTCAAAGTTAGTCTCAATTATTGCCTGCGGTCAATTTTTTTTATTGAAATGATTCTATTGTCGGTGCTTGCTGTTGCATTTTCTTGTTCATATGGTCATTATCTTCACCGTTTCATTATCTCCATTTGTGCTGATGCATCTTTCTAGGAAGAGGCTTCTTTTGATAGAAACATAGGTTCGCCCGGAGAGGTTAAACCACAGCTTTGTCTGAGGCCCCAAGGGTTGGCAATGCTTATCCATTAGTAAAAAGGTCATTTCAAACACGAAGATGTTAATTTCCGAATCGTAGTTTAAACAGGCGCTGACTTAAGCCAGTGGCTCACCAAATAACGGGAAGTGGGGATATGGTTCCAGTCACGGCCCGCCTTCCATGCGGGCGGTTCTGCCCCTGGTTCGGAGCGGGAAGTAAAGCTTGAAACGAGTCCACTCGGCATACCTGGTACTCCGTACAATATAAGGCTAAGCAAGTCTTAAACTCCGACGAGATGGCTATCAAAGTACTCACGATCGGTCTTGGAACTCGGACTAGGATTGGAAGTGCAGATCCCGCTTCAGATCTGCATGAGTCTGCTCATGCTTGCGGGGCCTAATGACGTAATGACGTTGTCCTGGCTAGCTTTTAAGTAGCCAGGGAAATCGAATAACCAAATGAAAGAAGGGAGAATCCCCTCTCCTCAAAAATGAATACACTGGCAGATCGTTTGGAGCACAGCCACAGAAGTGAGGCGTCGGGGCTTTGGGCGCCGTAAGGCTTTGTTTGCTGAGAACACAATCCGGTCTCAGCCACCGTGGGTTCTGGCCCAACGTTATGAGATAATTTGGGCTACGGCGTTGTAACCGATCGGAAATGCAAACTAATAAGAAGAAATAGAATCAAAGCCTACTGGTTTGCCAGCCACTTTGATAATTCCATTGGATAAACCGAATAAGGCTATCCCTTTTTCGTCGTGTAGATTGAAATGAGATGAGGTTGGGTGGACCAGGAAAACGAAGCCTTGACATGTCACCTTTCATGAAGGTGGCTGTGGCTGGGGGAGTTACTATCCAACCCCATACGAGTATGATGCATTGATTATGATGTCAGTGGGTGTTGTGATTTGCAGAAGCATTGCTACCCAATACGGAATACCCCTCTCCCAACCCTTAATCCCCAACTCCACCAAAGTAATGGACTTTCAATTCATATTGGAGACGGATGGGACGGTTTGTCGAGGCAAACTTTCTTCAGAAACAACCCAGTTTCACCCTTGACCCGGTGGGCACTTCAGGGTCAAGAGCCCAGAGGAAATTCACCTCGAACCCATGATGGAACCCCCGAAGGTTATGTCTGTTTATTCGCAGCATATTTGCCCGAAAAGGAACGGTACATGTTGAAGCTTCTCGGGGTCGGTCTCAACCAACCTGACTGAGCAAGGAGCCTGTCACATAGAAGATGACATTGAGAGACCTAGGCCAATTCAGGTCTGGGAAAGGTGCCTGGAGAGCGATGCCTAGCAGGCAATGCGGTCAACAGGAACTGGGAATCGAGGCAGTCTTCCATTGACCTTCGACGCCCGGGCGGCCATGCGGGTCATTAAGAACCCTTGGCTCAACCTACAAGCCTCTCTGGGTTTATACCCAGGGGCTTAGCATCTGGGTACCTCAACCCCCCCCCCCCCCCCCCCCTTCCGCGGTCGTTTGGCTTTTGACCAATGCATATATGAATCTCAGTCTGTCCCCGGACAATTTGCGCAAGGGATTGCTTCACAAATGCACGAGCTCATGCACGAGCTCTTTATTACATAGGTACCTACCCCTGCATTGGAACTTTTACTTAGCCTTTGATACTTACTTATCTTGTCATTAGTACTCCGCGTCATGTCTTCCAATCTACCCACCATGCAAAGTCCGCCCGAAGAAAGTGTTTGTAAGCTGGTCTACCCGATATTTGTACAAAGTGACGATCCAAATGTCCAAGGGTATAACGTGTGGTTCAATCAAAACCATATGCCGTTCGACGTTGTTCCATTGTATCCCGTGGCCCAAAACGTCACGACAACGACTCCCACTCCATTGAATAATTCACTATCCGCCGCACAGCTTTCTTTTGATTCTGGCGCCAACCCCCAAGGAAATATCCAACCCCAGATATTCTATACTTCTGTTGGACAGGACACCCCTACAGACCCTGGATTATCTACCCACCGCTACTCTACAATAACTAGCCCTTCAGCCTCTTCGGCACCATCCCCGGGCCCATCTACTCTCCTACACAATCCAAGGAGATACCACTGCCCTAGCTATCGTCCTGAGGTGCAGGAAGCCAGGTAGGATCCCAAACTCAAATTGAATCTACTATTCAGATTTGAGGATTTAACTTGATTCTCATAGCGGAAGCCAAGCCAGGCCGTCTCCTCGTCATAGGTGCGAATGGAAGGATTGTGCCGACACCAAAGGGTTTCGAAGCCTACATGTTCTCGCGAGACATGTAAGCGAACAGCATATCAAAGAGACTATCAAATGCCCTAATCCCCGATGTCAAAAAGAATTCAAGAGGCCTTACATGCTTAAGCAACATCTGAGCAATCATCACAACACTGCTCGAACAACGACCGCGCATACCTCTACTAATTCCTCGGCTGATTCTTATGTTTTCCCCTCTGATACATCCCTCTGAGGCGTTGTCGGAGCTGCCCCGTCCTTCTTTTTATCATTACCACGGGTTCCTTCTTAAACGGTTGGCCTCAAGGCCAGGAGATATTAGCCTGTACATTCTTCTAGTTATATGTTTGTTTGTTTGTTATTCAATTTCTGAAGCGAGGACGCGAGGGCGCGAGGGCGTTTGGTCATGTCTTTCTCTCATTTTGTCACTGCTGGCGTTCAAGGTAACGGGTTGAACTATTTGCGTTCCTTTCTTTTGACCTCACTGAGTTACGATTGAAAATATATTTTGAAATAGAATACAGAAAGGATGGAGCGCACGGTAGACGTCGTCAGTGCCAGTGGCTCTATTACTATTACAGTGGCGTTGCAAAATTTTGAAACCCCATGTTGACTGTTCTTGTCTCCGCCGTCTAATCGCGGACTAGTAGCTACCTGGGATGGAATAGATTGGCCTATCTATTCCATCTCAGGTAGATATTAGTTTCCCATTAGAAGGCGGTAAATAATGCTGGGCAATATGGGGTTTCAAACTTTTGCAACTCCACTGTATGCTCGGCTTGTATGCTGTTGTCACGGTTGCAACGAAGTCAATCTTATGTATTATACTTGTATTGTTTTCTCCTTCTAGCCTCTTGATACTTTTATTCGGCTTTCGGTGTATTTACAGAGTCGAGGAGAAAAGCATTCATGCCATATCATTCCTTTTCAGGGTCCACACAGCTTTTCGTATGCCTGAAACCTGGAGCTAGTAGTCAGTTTGCTGTTCTTCTGAGGTGCATCGCTATTCGAGGACTTTACATGAGTGACCTCGTAAGGGTGGTAATTATGTGATCTTTGAGGCACGATTTAAAATATCACTTTGTCTAATTTTACTAACCGCCTCGGTACCTTGCTTCTATTATAATATCGAGAGGCCTCGAGCTTTCAGGATTCCACTCGGGGAAGGCCTAATCCCGCTAGAACCCTTTGGGGTCCAGCCTCCTTCCATGCATCAAATTGACTCTGATTTGCGATGTAAACCGATCCAATCATGCCTGGTGAATTTGCACTGAGTCCCCTGTACAACTTATTCTGTCGAGGAACAACCACCATCCATCGTTTTGTGAGTATCCAATTATGGGGACACGGGCCCTCATTGATCTTCAAAACCTCGCGTGTTTGTCGCAAAAGCCGTAGATATATTTCCATGAGCTGCTGGCTGGTCCTCTCTTGACCCTCCGGTGGGTCTTCGAACCTCTGCAAGAAGTATACGCAAGACGGCGTACCTGTTTGGGACTCAGGGTCGTAGTCTGGAAAGAACCTGAATCCGTCTGCATATCCATCATTGGCACCTGGGGCTGGAATGACTTGCAGATGCTTATGAGCTCTACTAGACCCCGCTGTGACTGTGCAGTTGAAAAAAGCAAAATGCTCTACTTCAAGTCCACACACAAGACTCCATGCGGCCTCCATGTCCTCGGCGTCAAGCAATTCATACTGTCGACGATATGAATCAGTCGTCAGTAGAAGTAGCATCGGTCGGAAAACCGGGAATTTATTGATCACGAGGAAGTGAGTTTCATTGATTCTGGTGATGCAGATATCTGGGTGATCGAATGCTAAATCACTTCCAGGGCCGAACGTTTCGGGCTGCGCATCGGTGCCATCACCGAGGTTCGACTGGGCGCTCTTGAAGGGCTCGCCGGCCTGTGGTTTCTCGTTGAGTGCCTCAACCACATTGAAACAAAACTATATCCGCATTAGTGTCGACAGCGACGAGCTGGGATAACGATGAGAACAAACAGTCATGCCGCTGTCAGTAACGACGACGGGGTGGCTAGGTTGGTACTGAACTATGCCATTCGAGACAAGCCGATCGAATTTGGAGCAAATTTCATCATAACTTATATCGAGTGGCATCTTGAAGTCCAAGGAGTGAGGTCTTGTTTGCGATGAGGCTGAGGTTGAGGCTAACAGGCTACGAACAAGCGGTGGGCGGAAAGGGCGGCGACCCCTCAACCGGGGCCCCCACTTCCACTTCCAAGGTTGGCCGAAGAAACGACCAGGACAGACATAGGATTTAGTGAGTGCAATATTCATGGATTCTCAAAGGCAGACAAGAGTGATTCAAATAGAGCACAGTCTCGTTTTAAAGTCCTAGTAACACCTACTCCCAGCTGAGAATCTCGACCAAGCCTGAATAGTGCATATCATCGGGAAATACACACGTGCCTTGATGGGTCCTATTTAGTTGGTCGTGGTTGGCTTCTTTTTCACTAGTGCTTACCTTGTTGCAAATCTAAGCCTTAATTGTCATGTGTGCCGAATCCCTTGCCACACGACTTTGGATTCATGATACGGTGAGATATTCAATGATGTGGAATACTTGAAAATTTACGTATCTCGGTGAATGACCCAGCGATGGTGGAAACAAACAATTGACTGACCTTGAAAGCCGATGGTTTGTAGATAGAATGAATGTTTCCTCACCTTTGTCGGTAGATTCGGGATTTTTGAACAGCGACCGGTGTATTGTTCCTGTCACCCGAGAAGTGTACCGGAGGAAGCCATCAAGCTATGCCTAAAATGCCTTGCGTTGTCAGACGACATCCAATCGCACTTTCGTCTCCTCATAATACTATCTGCCGTGGCAATAGTCTCGAAGCCCCTCCTGTACGCAGCTTCTCTCTGAATTATGTTTCACCCTTCTCTCTGCGTCTGAAAATACCCAATATTTGAGTTTATCTGGTCTCACACCGAGAGTCGTTAAAGCAAGCTCAATGACAGAACTTAGAGACCCACTCAGTCGGGCCGAGACTGGGGATCTGGGCAAATTCTCAAAGCTGGAGGCTTCCCTTGTAGAGACCAAGGTTGAGCAACGTCCTAATTCAAGAGCACAAAACGATATCGATCGCCATGCCCAACAAACCGATCTGAAAGTCAATGAATTGGACTTTGACTTCGATGTTGGCGTAAATAACTATCCACTTGGTAATCTCGGATCTCTTCAACAAGTTTTTGATGCTGTGCAATGTCATCAGCATTTACGAAAAGCGGAAAATTTCTCTCTTGAAAGCAATGTTGAGTGTTTGCATGTGGACTCGCAGAGAGCAGGTGGGATGAATCTCATAACCTTTGAGCTCAGAAACATACTCATATTATGCAGAATGGCGAACATTGACTGCGCAGGGAATGGGTGACTTTCTGCAGGTGATTTTGGGACCTCACCAAATCGAATCTACTCCAAGGACAAAATCTCACATATCATTCTTACTAGTAGAACTTCGATTCCAGTCGAAAAACGAATTTGCCAGATTATACCCCATCAGAACGCAGACTTCTTGTGTTGTGAGGGCATCCCAGCTCGAAATCTTGATTCTTTTACTGACCTGTTTAGTTTCGTACCATTGGTGCCCAGTGAAAGAACCTCCTTCGGTGTACGGGCTCTAGTGACACAAGATAATACACAACTACTTATTAGTAGCCTGCAAATTAATCCGCTGTTTGCCTTAAACCTTCTCGGCCGACCGGACTACTGGGCACCCAAATCGCATTGGGAGGCCGACAACGATGGAAAGTTGACAGCATGTGGTATGTAACTATCATGGGACACAAACTCCGGACGAACTTCAGTTGACAGATAAAGATTTGTTTTGTCAACACCCACGATGGAATCTTCATGTTCAAGGATCTCCTTTATCGGTATATTCACGCCATGATCTCACTCGCAACTTAACAACATATCATCATATCCCACAACGAATCTGACACATCCGTCAATACGCTCAAATCGATTCTTAACATTGCAATTGATACTGTCTCGACATCAAGCAAGGCAGCTCTTTTCATGGATGACCCCTTTGACATTCACGTTATCCTCTCCACGTTATCATTGGAAGCTTCTAAACATCACGTCGCACGGTTCCGACGCTTCATGTGGACTCAGATCAATAAGGTTAATGATCACCTTGCTGGCCTTGAGGCTAGCGACCGGGCCAAACTTGGAGATCTAACCAAACAGCTCCAAATAGTCTCCCAGAATGCAGACTCTCATATTGCAAATGCCGACGTTGCTATTTTCACAGCATCTGCGATCCGAGAAGCACATTCACGCCTCAGCTCTTGGCTCCCCAACTCCAGACCATTCATACAGCAACGTGCCCAAGACTCCATATCATATGTCATTTCTTCGATGGAAAAACAGAAAACGTGGTTTCTTAATTACAAGCAACGGAAGGATAGTATCAGCTCCTTGGTCTACAGTCTTGTAACGCAGCAAGATGCGGCCAATAACATCCAGATTGCGCGCAGCATGAAAGAAGACTCGACATCAATGACTTCAATTGCTGTTTTGACCATGGCATTTCTACCGGGAACCTTCGTTGCGACCGTAGTTGATGCCGATATATTTGGGGCTTCTGTCAATGACAAGGCATGGCTTATCTGGTTGACGATTACAGTACCTTTGACCCTAGCAGTCATGATCTGTTGGTGGATCTACCAAAAGTCAAAAGAGCCCAAAAGTACGGTAAAATACACGTTGAATGATAAGGATAATGTTGGGTCTATCGTCAAAGGAAGACGAATAAGTTCGCTTCGAAGACGTAGTGCCTTCAGCAGTTTTTCCTTTCGAGCGGGAATCAATCGTGAGAAAACCGCCATCAGCGATCAGATACCATAGGAAAAAAATCTCGAAAATATTCTTATGCCAATTCAAATCCATAGGGTGAATGAGAAATACATCCCAAGAACAGCTGGCGAGAAGCCCCTATAGAGCCTGCCGAGTCAAGTCTTCCAAGGCTGCAATACTCCATCTTTCGGACTACTCCCAGCTGAATTCGAACTCGTCCGGTGAGCTGGCTCTAATCCTTCTCTAAGCCTGGGGTGTTTCCAGATATGCAGGTGGCAAGATATTTTCCAGGGTCGCCTTGATTTGGAGGGCCAAAGTTCGCGAGTGCCAACGTTGCAACTGAGTGTAGCCGCCCATTACCCAAAAATTGTCCAGGCGCGGGTTACGCTTCCACATCCCCGGATTTCACCTTCAGCATCGACTCCCCATGTCACCTCAAGACGTGCGACAATCTCTTCTGGCCCAAGTACTTTCTTGCCTTCGACCTTTGAAGCCCCAGCACCCAGGATCTCCGCACCTGTCTGACGCAAATTCCCATCTGCGAATCCAGTACACCACACGATCGCATCAGACTCGATAACACTCCCGTCAGAGAACTGGAGGCCAGTCGCTGTGTACGCGACAGGCTCAACATTAGCTTTTACCACAATCTTCCCGTCCTCGATCAGCTTGGTGCCACCAACATCTACATAGTGTCCACCAGCTCGCTCGAGAAGGTTATGCATAAGCGCTTGACTCGGATCACTGCTGTCAAGAGCCGGGAAGCCAGCTGTCTTCAATGCTTCATATCGATTGGGTTCTTGGGATGCGAATAATCTGAAAAGGTTGCGGGCAAGCTGTCCATCTACAACCGTGGGGAGCAACAGGAAACGATTGTCCGATGCTTCCACGCCAGCGTCATAAGCGCCGAGACTCATCTTGTGGCAAACATATTGTAACGGAACCATATAAGTCGGTGTTCGAACGTTCATCGTTGACTGGAGCCCTGCTGCATGGCAGTCCTCTAAAACATCAAATGCCGTGTTCGCAGATCCGATGACGACGACAGACTGATATTATTACAATGTCAGTTTTCATTTCATGGAGGGAATCATCTCTCTTGTGTCTCGCCGATGTGAGCTCACCTTGATACCCTTGTCATTTAAGTCCATTCCACTCTTAAACTGGGCGGAGTGAATACTCGTGCCCTTATAAAGTTTCTTTCCTGGAATATACGGCATGTTGGGCTTTTGCGATCCGAAGCCTGTTGCTAGAACAAGCTGCTTGGAAGAGATCTTTCGCTTTCCCGCAGGAGTATCAATCTCAATATCCCAGCGCTCGGTCGACATATCATATTGAGTGGACTTTATTTCCGCCGATGTGATGATATTCAGATTAAACGTCTCGACATAGCGTCGGACTTGCGACGCAAGCTCATCCTTTGACAGCAAGTGGGGAGCACAGAGCTCCTTGTCATAGCCTAAGTGTCAATATTAGCCGTGGACTACTGGAAACATCAAGAACGCAAGATTTTACACAAAAATGGCATTTCACAGACGGTCGTCGGGATGTGAAATTTCAGGCAGTCATAGCGCAGGGCCCAGTTATCGCCAACTTCCCGAGTGCGTTCGGCCATGACACTTTCGACTCCTAAAGCCTTCAGACGCGCAGAGAGCGTAACAGCCCTAAGCAATGTTAACATCAAGCTTTAGATCAAGCAGAGTTCTTGAGTGTTCACGTACGCATTGCCGCCACCGATGATGAATACCTCTGTTTCCACGCTCTCCGATGCACCCAAATCCTTTCCGGGTGCCTGGAGTAATGATTCATCCTCCGCCTGAATATCCAAGCTCTCGAGTTTCGTACTCAAAATCCATATCTTCCAGTCAATCTCTGGCTTACCAACTTCCGATTCGACTTCCACCGGCAACAGCATCATCTTTCCGCGACATGTTGCGGCAGGCGATTGTGTTCGAAAGACAATTGGACAATCGATAAATTGCTATTGGTCTAGATCAGGCCTATCATTCTTGAATCCCTATACGTGCGTGCTTTTAAACTTACAAGGACTGGTGTAGCGGGAAGGAAAATCGCCGCACCGTCGATCGAAATGCCATTCTCGATCTCTCGTAGTTTATTGGTCTTGAGTAGCGCCGCGGCTATGACCCCTGGGGTGCTGAAAGTACGCAAATGATATGTCAAAGCCAATATGTCTTTCCAATACGCCTGCCTCGCGTAGAAGCAATCTGTCAGCGAATCTGCATCGCGATTCGCCAGAGCAACATTCAAACGATCCAATAAGGCGTTCGCCTTAATAGTCGCTTGTTCTCCAGCCATGAAAACGAGGTCTACCAGCTGCGGAGCAAGTGAGGGGACCGGTTGTTCATTCATCATCGTCCGAAGGTCCGCCTGCGGGGGGGTACTCCATCTTTCCATCTGGACATAGGTGTCAATGATGAGATCATTCAAGAGGTTGTGACGCTGTGCTCTACTCACTGATAGTCATGATGGGCGGTAGTTCTGTAACAAGTGATGCAGAAGTCTTGCGGCATGGGATACATTAAGAAAGAAGCTAGGTTCTATTGCACTCGCACTCTTCCCCGCTTCAAGCCCCCCCCCCCCCGGTTTACGAAGCCTCCCTCGCACAAAGACTAGTCAGCAAAAGAACGAACCAGTCAAGCTTAGAGGGCACGCTTGGTGCGACCGTCCACTTGTTACCAAGCGGGAAAAGTGGATAATCGACACGGCTCAGTAAAGATCACTGTTGAGGTCTTTTCCGCAGGACAACCATGAGAGACATATGTACGAGCACGCGCGGCTTCTCTGGTTCACAGATGTGTCGAATTTCCATTCTGTGCTAACATAATGGTATTGTGGTCCGGCCAATTTCTGCCTCGAAAGTTTGACGGCTCATCGTCTCAATTGGACAAATCAATCTGGCGTTGGTGGGGATACCCAAAATCGACCTGTCTTAAGGTGGGCTCCCGCAGAACGACCGCTGAATCTCACGTACGCTCATCTCTGAAGGCTGCCGCCGATCTGTCCATTCAAGAACATGATTGGAGCCATAGATGGAGACCAAAGTTGCTGGGTCTTGATAGCCCGGCCCGCCCCTGTGCTCAGGCGAGGCGGCTAGCGTCTGATATGATGACCTCGATCTCCATCTTGATCAAAATATGGACTAGACTGATTAGCTTCCCGCTGCCGTCAGAAAAGGATAGCGGATATCCACTTACCGTGAAGTTTGTCGGAACGCCCCTTGCGACATCACTGGGCAAGTAGCGGTCGACAGGTCCACACCACACGAGCCTTGGCTGCGATCCTTCAGAATGAAAATATTATGGCGCACATTCTAACGGGTTAGATTGAAGGCGATGCCATACGATTATTCACAAATAGTAGTGCCATCCCAGTAGGCTGGGTCGCCGAGTTTCTAAATCCGCGGGCAGTTGGGGCGTGTCGATGCTAAACACAGGAGAATTCTTCAGACCTGTTAATCTGCTGATCATTTCGATCACAAAACTCAATACATTAGCCTTGCTCCCCCTCGCTAGATTGGAGGCCGCTAAGCAGTTATTTATTTTGTCGTCTTCTACCCCCGGCTGCTCTGTTTGAGCTGCCCTGGCCATCTGCTGAGCATGTCCCCCGAGGCTCTCGCCGGGTTGTTGGCCGCGCCAGCGCTCGCTGCGCCGGAAGGGGTGACGCCAAATTTCGAAAACCCGCCAAATAGCAATGGTTTGGCCTGGTTTGTGACAACTATTTGTATGGTCGTTGCGACCGCATGTGTATGTCTGCGCTTGTTCGCTCGGGTGTGGATTGATAAAAAGATTCGTGTGGAGGAAGGTGAGTTTGGATTAGCTTCATACTATGCCTACTCAATGTGTCTAGCCCAAACACGACTAATCATTGTTTTAACGACAGTTATGATGATATGCGCCTACGTTCGTTCACCTATTATTTGATGTGGTGTGAAATCTTACTATAATATACTGATTACTTCTAGGGTGCTTACTGGGGAACTGCTTACGCTGGCTATTCGTTGATATTCACGCCCGGTTATTTTGTTCACACCTGGAATCTCCACAACAAAGACCTCATCCAACCACTCTACGTGAGCTTTGAATATGACCAGTGCTTGAAACCTTTTAACTAGAAGCTAATGGACGATTTTAGCTGATTCTCATCTACGGCTGCTGTTATTCGGCGGTCTTGCCGTTGATCAAAACCGCTATCCTTATGGATTGGTGTCGAGTTTTTGTCCCAATTGACAGAACTCGTAATCTATTTTGGATTGGATGCTGGGCCGTGATTGCCCTACAATGTCTGTGGGGAATACTTTGCATCATTCTTCTGAATATGCAGTGTCGTCCTCACGAGGCGATCTGGAAATTCTACATTCCCAGCAAATGCTACTCTCTGCCAAATGTGATGCTTACATCTGCCTCGGTGCAAGTTATCTCCGATGTGGCAATGTTTCTCTTGCCACAGCGAATTATTTGGAGCCTGCAGATGAGCTGGCCGAAGAAGATCGGTATTTCGATCATCTTCGGTGTTGGTATCCTGTAAGTTCTCAACTACCATTATCGCAAGACCTTGGCCTTCTAATCTTGATTTCCTAGGGCATCTATTTCAGCAATTTTCCGCTTAGCTCATACGGTCGCCTTCGCAAAACAAGCAGACAGCATGTATCTAATCGGGCCTCTCCTCTTTTGGGCCTGTGCCGAGATGAGTTGCGGTTTCTTCATCTTTAGTGTTCCCTGTTTGTCCAAGATGATCATTGAGACCGGACTTGCTCGTCGATTGACGAGCGCCCTTGGACTTAGTGCAAAGCCTAGCAACCCATCTGATCAAACTCCAAATTCTGCCCCTCGCCATTTGTCGCGTGCTATCTCTCGAGGAAATATTTCTAAGCCTTGGCTCACGACAGATACAAACTACCCCCAGATAGACGAAGACAATATTCCTATGAGGGATAAGGGGAAGTCTGAGTCACAGACAAATCTACATAATGATCTCGAGTCTCAAGATTATCAAAATGATGCCCAGGCAGGCAGATTACATGCCAGTGTCACGAATGACTCTCGTTTTCACTCTGGTAGTGAGCAAACATCTTTGAAAGAGCCAAATCTCTAGCTTTCATGGGGTTTATCGGCTTCCAACCACACAGTCTCTAGGTCTGAGGATCCACGGCTTGGGGCATAAATAGAGAAGGACGAAAATTAAAATAAAGAGAAGTGAATTAGGAGCAAGGACATATGACTATTAAGCGATAACGGATTCCCATATCGCATACTGTAGGACTATCCTAAATCAGTGCTTCCATCAGCAGCGCATCCGGATTCCTCGCCCGGCTGAGAAACGTCCTCGAAAGTGACCTCCATCGGCGATGAGTTGCCTCAGTTCAGAGTGAAGCGTCTGAACCTAACGACGCGATATTTTTGTGATTCGCCTGTCTAATTCGATAGTTAGTTATAAGCCAATTTCCAAGGTTGAAGATAAACACACAATCTTCTCGAACGCACGCAATTTGAAATTGGCCGAAGGAATCATGGATCGATTTGTATAATGTGATTCAATTTTCAAGCTCGTTGATCTTATAAGATCATATAACAACCCTGGAGCAAAGGTGGCTCGGAATTATCGATATAGCGCTTCCCAGATTTCGGTTATGTCGCCCGAACCTTACTCCTCTAATTAGTACGTAGTCTTAAACAAGAAGGCTCTAGAAAAAGTACCTCAGAGAAGTAGTTTGAATACAGCAAGAGAAGGAGCGAACATTTATGCCACCCAGACCATCCGTTATATGATCATACCCCATGGATTCCAACACGATACGGCGAACTGCGTTATGTGCATTTCCTGACGGATCATCTTACCGAGAAGGAAAATCGGACAGCTCGAGCCTTGATGCTAGCAGACTACGATGAAATATACCGGGCCAAAGAAATGCGGCAGGATGATCGCATGAATCTGCAGGCTGACTCGGAGTTGACATACGATGTCTTCTCAGACTGTTTTATGAGAAACTGCTCGGCAGACGGTTACTTTTTTCCCTGGACGGGAGGCAACGAGAGCGAATATCAAGACACTGAGCAGAGGATTTGGAAGATTATCCTGTCTGAAGATTTCCGACGCTACAATGGCAATTACTTCTTCTGTGTCGATGAAAAGTCTGTCCATGATCAGACAGTGATTCGGGTGGTAGTAATCATGAGCCAGACATGGCTTCCATTCATATTGCTTTAAAGGAAAGCGGCCACATGGCTCCGAAAAGGTCCGGGAGTGGAAGAGTTTTTCTGGACTCGTAAGCCAGCCACAGAGGCTTATGCTTATGATATTTATCGTGATCATGTTGTTGGACTTCACGACGATCATGTCGAAGCATTCCAGAAACCAGATTGGATATAGCATGTCAATTTGAATATCCAGAGCTGAAAGATGCCTTTGGAAGAAAAGAAAAGAAAGTATCAATCCAGAATGCATTTTCATCATTCCTCCCAATCCTCTAGATATGCCAGTGCATTAAGTGATGATAAGTGGGTCTGATTGTTATGCAGGCACAATCACGGCGAGCCAAAAGCTTAACTCAATCAGCTGAACGCCACGTCTTACTCTGTACGGATACTCTGTGCATTATTCATACAGCAGCCCATAGCAACGTCCAACGATACGCCACAATCAATAAATGTATGCATGATTGCTCAAATCCACCCAGGTAACATCTCCAAACTACAGCCTACACTGCAATCCACACCCACTCGGCATTGCCGATGAAACCCCATCGGGAATCCAGCACCAATACAGAATGCAACCGAGAGACCCACCCAATCGAACCCGTGCCGAAGGCCCGATGAAAAGATTTGTTATGATTGTCGCTATCAGGCACGCAAGCCAGGGCCAGGGCCAAGGCTAGCCCTCCCCTCGGGCGCAGATCGAGATCGTCGATCGAAGTCCTGTGAAACCCTCTTCCCACCCCGATCCCATCCCATCCCGGCACTTGCGATTGCGATTGCGAGCAACACACTCGACTTTCGCGACGAGAATGCCACAAGGATGCGCCCCCAAGACGGCGCCCAGGGTTTACCCGCGAACTATTCCCTATTGGCGCGTCTTGGTCGATCATGGCGCCGTCACCCAGGAAGTTCTCGATTCCGAATTCGCTGGCTCCGGTACTGAAGAGGATCCCTACGCCGTGACCTGGATCCCTGGCGACACGCGCAATCCACAATTATTCAGCATGGCCAAGAAATTGTCCATCACGTTGACTGCGGCGGCGACAACTTTAATCGTATCCCTTGCCTCTTCTGCGTATAGCGGAACCATCGACGAAGTTATCGAGGGATTCGGCGTCAGTACTCAGGTTGCTACCCTGGGGCTATCGCTGTATGTGCTAGGCTTCGCGATCGGCCCTCTCCTTTGGGCTCCTGTCGGCGAGGTCTGGGGTCGACAGGTCTCGTTTTTCATCAGCATGCTCTGTCTCGCTGCGTTTTTGGCGGGTTGTGCGGGCGCGCAGAACATCTGGACGCTCTGCATTCTTCGTTTCTTTGCTGGCAGCTTTGGCTCGTCCCCTTTCAGCAATGCTGGTGGGACAATCTCGGATTTGTACTCAGCGAGGCACCGCGGTTTAGCGCTGAGCTTGTACGCTGCTGCTCCCTTCCTAGGCCCGTCGCTCGGTCCCATCATTGGTGGCTTTTTGGGGATGAAGGCTGGCTGGAGATGGGTTGAGGGCTTCCTTGCTGCGACGGCTGGTTTTGTTTGGATACTATCGACACTGATAATTCCTGAAACATACCCTCCGGTTCTTCTACGTCGACGCGCCGAGACCCTCTCGCAGATCACGGGCAAAGTATATCGAAGTAAAGTTGAGATCGATAAAGGCCGAGTGTCATTGGGGAATTTGTTGAACAAGTCACTTCTCCGACCCTGGGCTCTCCTTCTCGAGGAGCCGATTGTCTTTCTTTGCGCGGTATACATTGCCATCGTCTACGGTACGCTGTATATGTTCTTCGACGCTTTCCCTATCGTCTTTCAACAAGGTCGTGGGTGGAATCCAGGTGTGGGCGGTCTTTCCTTCCTGGGGATCCTGGTCGGCATGCTCATTGGTATTGGATGTACGATCCCTGCAAACATGCACTACATCAAAACTATGGATGCTCACGGCGGCCGCGCGCCACCAGAGACACGCCTGGTGCAGTGTATGCCGGGTGCTGTTTTGATCTCTATCAGCCAGTTTTGGTTCGCGTGGACGAATTATCCATCCATCCACTGGATCGTATCTATCATTGGCACGGCGCCGTTTGGAATTGGCGTTATCCTGATTTACCTCGGGATCATGAACTATTTGATTGATTCATACACGATCTACTCGGCATCGGTTCTCGCGTCGAATGCTGTTCTCCGCTCTGTCTTCGGTGCGATCTTCCCCGTCATCTCGCTCTATATGTATGGTAATCTGGGGATTCACTGGGCTCCGTCGATCCCGGCATTTCTCTCGGTTGCTTGCATACCGATTCCGTTCCTTTTCTATAAGTACGGAGCTGTCATCAGATCGAAGTGCAAGTACGCAGCCGAGTCCGAAGAGTATATGCAGAGAATCAGGGCGCATACACTGAAAGAGAAGAAGTCTGATGAAAGTAATACGGGAGAGATGATGACGTCCGAGGAATCTGCTCTTGAAAGGGCGACTACGCTACATTAATCAGGCAATTGGAAAGGGGAGAATACATAGACATGGATAGACTGTAAATAGAAGCATTATTGTTGACGAATCGAAAAACCATTTCATACTACATTCACACGAGACCATGTTCGGTCAAGATACTCGGAAAACAACGCGAATGACCTCTTCCTATTAACCAATGCTCGTTGAAAATTGGATGAACCCTTTGCTCTGTCAAGTTCTCGCCAATGGTGTAGTTGGGTAACAGGTTCTAGCCACCACTACCTAACGGGCCTATCTGAAAGGCAGCACCAGATAGCGATGTATGGCTGTCTGGGACCATGCACCGATGAGACGACTCGGGAGTGGGCGGGCTGCGACAGTACAACACTTTGAAACGGGTGCACACGTGGACAAGTGGTCGTAGGTTTTTTGTTCTTTTTTTTTCCTGTTTCTATTCTGGCATATCAGAGAAGAATTATCCTCTACTTTTTTCTGGATTGGAAAAAATTGAGAATGGGTGGTTTTCATCCAATATCATAAGATGATTGTATATGATGGGCCATTTTATAGATTCAACTTAATCCAACTCGTCTAGAACTTACATTGACCTTGGACAGCCCCACTTTGTACTGTTACCGGAAGACATCAGGTTCGATTTTCGCTTTTGTATCAGGCTTCTTTTCTTGGAAAAAAGAATACTTCCCATTTTCGCCCTCTACTATACAATTGACAGCAATCGACTTGTGGTCACTTTGTGAAACAGGAAATGGACTCTATTGCCATGGTGGTATATGTAAGAATACAGTGTATATGCATCGGATCGGATCGGACCAGATCAAATCGAATCAAATCAAATCAACACCCTGCGCAGACCATCCGTGCCCCCAAGGACTCTTCGCCCGGTAACGGGGCACCTACCCTTCCCACTTTCCCATTTCCCACCACGCTTGCGCGTTCCAGTCTCTTCGTTGGCCCGCCCGTCGTTCTTCTCCTCATCCTCCTCGTCTTCGCCAGTGATCTCCTCTTCCCACGCGGCGCCGGCACCTCCTCCGTCCATGAAGTCCAATTGTCGCTGGTGCTCGCCGTTCAACCAGTGGAAGATACAGACATAGCAGAAAACGTAGCCTGTTTGGCAGGCGGTCGGATTTGTCAAAGCGTTCAGGCAGACAGGGCATGTATTAGCGCTGGAAGTATCGGCTGGGGGGTAGAGGAACAGTGAAGATGGGGAGGTAGGAGGTCGCTGAAATAGGAGGTTGGTGTCGTCGTGGTGACTTGAGAGCCGACTTGAGATCTCCAGAAGCAACCTTCTTCTCTTGCTCAGCGACCTGCTTCTTCTTCTTCTCCTCTTCTTCCGCGGATTTCTTTCGTTCGGCCGTATTAGTGAGGCCTGAGATCACGGGGGCTGGGAGGTCGAGGACTTCGGTCGCTTTGCGGGATAATTGACGAGAGAAATCACTAGCATGCCACCATTCCAGGAACTTCAGCGCAAAGATAGATGCTGGGAGGAAGTAGCGAAGAGAGGTCAGAAGCTGGGTGTTCAGGTTCTGTGGGCTGAGCAGACCCATCAATCCCGAGCCTGGTCGCTGGGATCGACTGCCACCGGGGGCGGGCTTGGGATCGAGAACTGCAGCGATGGCACGATGGTCGGCGGCCCCGAGGCGGCGAATGCGAGAGCCGATCAACCAGAGGAATGGAGAGGAATATTTGGTATTATCGAAGAGGTAGGCGAGGTTGAACGCCAGAACAGAGAAGTAATATGCCGCATTCACAGATGGGTAGACATTGCGCAAGAACCACTTATAGTAGTGGAAGATGCGCTGGCGCACTGTCGGGTTGTGAGGTAGGTCATCGCTGGGGTTGTATCGCGGCCCGCCGCCCATCACCAGAGACGCTTGTGGCGCAGCGTGGATATCATATCCTTCATCTAGCTTGCGCTTCAGATATGGAACACCGACCATCACCAACAGGTTCTTCCACACGTCGATGGAGTGCAATTTGAGGGCGTCGCGGACCGGACCGTCAGCGCCGACCTGGGCGCGTGGGATTTCGCCATTCTTGGTGCGGAGAACGCGCTCGCGCTTGAGAGAGTAGAAGTTCTCTGTGAAAGATCCGCCGAAGGTGCGCAGATAATAGCGTTCGACAACGAGGGAGAGGAGGGCGTAGACTTCGTCATATGAATTGAGGATCCGGAGAAGGTACCGGGGGTGGCGGTGAGTCGCGACCGCGAGAAGGTATCGAATAGAAGGTGGTAGGAGATCGGAGAGTTGTTGTTCGGCAAGGAGTTCTAGAAAATGATAGACTTGTTAGCGAACGTGGTCGTGACCGCGGCGCAGCTCAGATTGGCCGATGAAGGCGAATAGAGTACCCCGTCCAGGGATGACTCCCCCGCAAATGGCGTCGAGACTCACCGAAAAGTGATGGCTTATGCTCATCGAACTCTTGTTGAAGACTAGGAAGGTACTCCATTTTCAAGAGTACCAGTCATCGTCGACCAGAGAGGGGGGCGGAGGGGAGATAGATGGAGGAGGTGGTGGTGGTGTGAAGGTTGCGGAGTGGAGAGTGGATTGCCGGAAGGAGAACGGGGGGGATCGGCGGAAGCCGAGGTTCATTGACACCCGCGTATTAGGAGTATGACCATGACAAGGACTATGACTCGGACTACGGAGTACAGTATACCTGATATCGGTGAATAATGGTACTTCACATTCCAACTCTCCTATCTGCAAGCAACTATGTTCCAGTTTCCATATTCTAAGAGAGATACAATATCTGCTTTCTAACCCAACTACCCATCGGTTACAGTTCCATACCCGATCGGCCACCTTCACGAACAAAGTCGGGCTTGGTAACAACGTTATGTTCATGATTTTGAATCTGGTCCAGGAATTTCTTCGCATTTTCAGGATCATCAGCGAAGAGAGTATCCGCAACATGTCGCTGGGGAGTCTCGCCCATCCATTGGAATAAGGAAATATCTCGGAACTCGTCGGCGCGGAAAACCTCCAGCATCTCAACAGGTTCATCACCGATATTCTCGACGAAATGGCCCATGTTGCGGGGCACAATGCCAACATCGCCGGGAAGATAGTCAAATGTCCGAGCGGTGCCCTCGGCAGCAAAGATGGTCACTCGGGCACGACCCTTGATGAAGAACGACCATTCGTCGGCATTCGGATGCCAGTGCATTTCCCGAATGGCGCCAGGCTCAATGATCGCATGGGCGGCTGAGACAGTCTTGGAGATGGGGAAGTTGTTGGAGTCGGTGATTCGGACTTGCCCTCCGCCATTGCTGCTCTTGATAGGCTCTTGGTCAAGCATTCGGTGGGTGAATTGATACTTGGACTTCTTCGCCTGCTTGCCACGGGGCGCCTCGTCATCTATAGAGCCTGGCTTGGAGCCCTGGAATATGTATTTTTCGCCTTCGGGAATATGGGCGAACACCCTGGGGTCCAGGTTGAAGTTTTTGGATAGCACCGATTTGGGGGGTATGTGCTATACATTTTCGAGTATTAGTCAAGGAACAGACAATCGTTGGACACGTTATAGCGCTTACCAAGCCAATCCGTCAGAATAAAGGTCGATTCCTCGGAAAATCGTCCATCGTCAAAGATGAGAAGGAATTCTGTTCCATTGGGGCTTAAGCCTTGTAGGGAGTGAGGCACGCCGCTGGGGAAATACTAGAGTGAGGATGATGTTAGCCTTTGGGTCCCTGGTCCGAAACTTGAATTTGGAGGCATGTCCTGAAGGAAGGAAGGTAGGTATATACTAACCCAGATATCACCCTTCTTCAAGTCATCAATGAAGTTCCCGCCCTCGTAATCAAGCGCGGTCACTCGAACTTCGCCATCGAGAACATACGCCCATTCAGCCTCTTTGTGCCAGTGAAGCTCTCGGATCACACCCTCATCAAGTCTCATGTTGACAGCAGCAAGCTCGACACTTGTTCCGAGTTCACGAACGGTGGTCTGGCGGGTCCATCCTCCTTCCTGTGTAATGTTGGTTTAGTAACTGGCTCGGGAAAGGGAACTACAGAGAAAAGAGAGCCCTTACCTCAATACGGATATGGGAATCAGCAAAGCTCCAGCGCATATTAGCCAAATTACCCTTGTCGGTACTGGGAGGTCGCACAAGATCTGGGCTCTGTCTGGAACGATCCTTGTTCCAAGGTCCCAAGACCGAAGCGCCTAATCCATTGCGCCAGGGGAGAGGGTCGAGCTCATCACCAACTGTATCAACAGCTTCATCGTAAGGGTCTCGGTGGCCAGGTGTGAACGGAATGCGGCCGCCTCCCGTCACACTATTGTAGGATTTAGGGAGTTCAAGGCCATTTAACAGGCGTTGTTGGGGACCATCTTGTACGGGGATCGCACTACATAAGTGGCCTGCCAGGGCCAGCAGTAGAACGGTGGAGTGCATAGTGACACCAGGGGTTTTCCTTTTTGCTTTTTTTTGGTGTAACAAATGGCTGGAGAGGGAAAAGGAATGCTTTTTGAAGGAATCAAACAAGTCAAGTAACTTTGAAATGCCGCGGGTTAGTTTGCGGGGAAGAAAGACGCAATGACGCGCTGAGGCCTCGCCACTCGCAGTCATCAGAAGCACGTAATCCATACGTCTATCTTTACTTTTCATCTTATACCGCAATCCTACAAGTACAATTCTTTAAGCTTTAATTTAAATGGGTCTACAGAAACAATGCCTGTATGTTTGTAATAGCTAAGAAATGCCAATGGTGTATTTTCTACCATGCTTGAAACTACCGTCGATGTAATGCAGGCCAAGGCATTTAGAGGTTGAAGTGGATTACTCCGCATTCTCCGCACTGAAATGGTCTGAGCTTCAAATGTACTCGGAAGGCACCGATATAAACTTGGCTAGGCAACCATCCCTTGTCAATTAGCGGTTTTTATTGGAGAGTTGAGAAACCGACGGGTTCTTATGCAAATATTTTAATAAACAAAGGTATGCTACAGCTATAATACAAGGGATCCATGGATATTAGATTCACCAGCCTTCCTTCTTCCTTCTTCCTTCACCAATTGCTCTTGGCAAGTGCCTCCTGGCACTGAGTCCAGACACCTAAGAAGGAACTCGGAGTCTTCCTCTCGGCCCGGGATTGGATATCAGGGTCCGCGACCAGAATGCAGTGCATGAGGGAGGTCACAATTGGACCCTGCAGCCGCACCGGAGTAACCTCTCGTTCCATCATAGGAACCCACTCGGAGACACACTCGCGCGCCCGTCGTTCATCCCCAAGGTCAGCGTGCAGCTGGAACAGTTGGGCATAGTCTTCGGGTGTGCGGATGACACCTTTCAGGGGAAATTTCCGCCACAGACGCCAGAAGCCATCGTAGTCTTCACATCGAAACTGGGTTGCCATGAGCTGGCGGGCCTCTGCTTCGTCAAAGGCGACATTGGCACCAGAAACAATTTTTGACAAACGATTCAGCATCTGACGCTGGGATTCAGACCATTCATTGCCGGTTGTCGATTGCGGTGTAATTTTTGACTGGGAACGATCTTCCTTCGACGGGAGTTTGGTTGTAGTATTAGCTACGCGATAAAGCATATTGAACACTTTCATATTGAGGATCGGAACACCCCGGAGGCTGAGACGGTCGAGAACTTGCAGAGCGAGCTCGATGTCTGCCTCGGGTAGATATGAGACAGGCTGTCCATGACTGTCTTGAAGCTTTTGCGGGGCCAGGAGCGCCGAGACAATCTCAAAAGCGAGATCGTCCTTCAAATTGTAAGCATTGCCGAGATATTCAGTAAATGAGGCAGACAAGGCAGGCTTGCTGTATGCCGGATGGTGGCAGGCAATGGCAATCGTAGCCAGTCTTAGGCGCAATGCTGCTAGGGATTCATGGGACATGTTGGCCGGAAGGCTCTCGTTAAGCAGTCGTAGAAACAGAGTAGATTGATAATCATCAGGTCCAGTTCCAAGCTCGATCCTCGCATTCTCCTCGGGAAGTCCAGTCAACATCTTGAGCAGCGATGCAGTGGACATTCCAGGTGTTTTTCCGGGAGCTGATGAAGCTGCAAAAGCGGTAGCTGGATCCACTGATTTGATGGAAGACGAGGCACCTTCGCGACTAGTGTGAAGACCTCTTTTCTGGCCACTGGGATAGCTGGCAGCACTATTCAAAAAGCGGCTCTTTGCCGAGGATTCGGTCTTAGGCGCAGGTTCCACATTGTCTTGTTGAAGTTCGCGAAGGCGTTTCCGTTCGGCACGGTCAAAGTTCCCTTGCCATAGACCATCCAGGTCGACTTCGGCTCGCTTCTCCTCGGTGAAGATCTGAACAACCACGGTGGTACCAGTGGCAAGCTGACCAAAGCCTTCTAGTCCGGCATCTTTGAGGTCCAATCCAATGGGGCTTTTTTCTACAACGCCCGAATTAACACAGATCCAACCCGTCGTGATGCCATCATCCTTTTCATCCACCATCCTGCCGGCATCGGCAGCAGCGCGCGCTCGCCTGGCCTTGCGACGGAGCTTGATTTTCAGCTCATTGCGTCCAAGTAAACCATCGGCGAATGGTGAAAGCTTGTACGTGGCCCGAAGCCACCTGCACAGACGATCGGCGGCTATGTTCAGATGCCTCACACTTCGTGCTGTTCCAATTATCATGATGACATTGGCGCCCAGTGCGGCGGGTGTTTCGAGACCACGAAGATCAAAGAGTTTCAGGCTATCCAAGCCGAGGTCTTTGTACGAATATTCGAGGAGGACAGGGAGTAATTCGGGGGAATTTTCTGGGATTTCCGGGATGTGATCTCCAGATACAGGTCGGGACTCGTCGGCGGTTGGCTCACCCTGCAGGTACCAGGGCACATGAGATGCAGAGGTGGATCCGTTATTTTCGACTTCGGCTACCGTATCCTCCACTGGCGAAATATTGATATCAGGATTTTGTGAAGCAGGAGGGCGATCAGACCGCAACGGGCCTACAGTTGAAAAAGCTCTGGGGGTGAACATGTGTCGAGGGGTGTAGGTGTATCGGGGTATCGGCATGCCCGATACAGCCATAAATGACCGAAGGGCCTCATGGCGACAGGAATGGCACACGGCCCCGCGTAATAAGGCTCTGCTCATGGCGACGCTATTGTACTGGACCTTCCAAGATCGCTCGAATTTCCACGCGATATTGGCAGAAATTATAGGCGGTGAGTAACCCGGCGATACTGCGGGTGCAAACAGGGCAAACGATGAGTCAGCGATAAAAGATTCGGCCATGGCGGGGCAAAAGTTACAAATCGATCTGTTCGTGACTTTATCCTCTCACAGACTCCCTTGATTTTCGAGTATATCCGATTGGAATCTCGTCAAGATGTCGATGGATCTGGATGCCCCCGTTCCCATGGCGGCGATGCAGCAGGACCAGGCCATCTCTGCAACGTGAGTCTTTTTTTTTCCTTATCGCGGAGGGGTTTTTTTTTACTACTCCGGTACATTGTGAATTTCAAATACTAACTTATCCAGTATTCTCTGCTGCAACTGTGGTGCTCCTATCGATGGAACTACCGCGGCCGGAGCGCTCTGCCAGGATTGTGTTCGTCTTTCGGTCGATGTCTCCCAAGGAGTGCAACGTGAATCAACCCTGCATTTTTGCAAGGACTGTGAGCGTTGGCTGCAGCCCCCGACCAGCTGGCTTGTCGCTGCCCCCGAATCGAAAGAACTACTCGCCATCTGTCTGCGCCGCCTCCGTGGTCTATCAAAAGTCAGAATTATTGACGCCAGTTTCATCTGGACTGAGCCTCACTCCCGTCGTGTGAAGGTCAAACTTACGATTCAGCAAGAGGCTTTCCAGGGTACGATCATTCAGCAGAGCTTCGAGGTTGAGTACGTCGTCGCTACACAGCAATGCCCGGATTGTCAGAAGAGTTTCACCCACCACGCCTGGCGCGCATCCATCCAGCTTCGCCAGAAGGTCCCCCACAAGCGTACATTCTTGTACCTCGAGCAGCTCATTCTGAAGAACGGCGCACACAAGGATACAGTCAATATCAAGGAGGCGAAGGACGGTTTGGATTTCTACTATGCTAAGCGTAATGAAGCCGAACGAATGGTCGAGTTCCTCTGCAGTGTTGCTCCCATTACTTCCAAGAAGTCCCAGGAGCTCATCTCGATGGATATTCATACATCCGGTAAGACATCCGTTTTCCTCGCTTTCACCAAGCATTTAATCTAACAATTTTACTCTGTCAGTCGCTCAATATAAACACACTTGGTCCTGTGAGATCATCCCCATCTGCAAGGATGACTTGGTTGCGCTTCCGATCAAATTAGCCCGTCAGCTGGGCAACATCTCTCCCCTGACACTCTGCCACCGCGTCGGCAGTGCCGTCAACCTCATCGACCCCCAAACCCTCCAAACCTGTGAAGTTCCTACTGGCGCTTACTGGCGCTCGCCTTTCAAGAACATTTCGGATGTCACCCACCTGACAGAATTTGTCATTATGGATATTGAACCTGTTGGTCAATCCAATGGTCGATTCTTCCTAGCCGAGGCCACTGTTGCCCGTGCCTCTGACCTGGGATCTAATGACATTACCTACTTCACACGAACTCACCTTGGTGGTGTCCTTCACGTCGGAGACTCCGCTATGGGTTACCATTTGGCTGGTACCATCTTCAACGATGACAACTACGAGGCCATCGAGAACAGCCACCAGTACGGCTCCACACTTCCTGATGTGGTCTTGGTGAAGAAGCACTACGCTCGCAAGAAGAAGCCCAAGAACCGCGCCTGGCGCCTCAGACGTATGGCTCGCGAGTACGAGGAGGAGGCTGCTGCTGCCTCCAGTGCTCCCGCCGCCCCTACCAAGCGCCAGGAACAGGAGGCCAACCGTATGGAGGCCGATTTCGAGATGTTCTTGCGCGATGTCGAGGAGGACCAGGAGTTGCAGCATACCTTGGATATCTATAAAGCTCGCAAGGCGGCTCAGAATGCTGATCAGATGGAGGAAGATAGCGGCAGTGAGGACGAGGTACCAAAGATCAACATGGACGAGCTGCTTGATGACTTTGATGAGCTTAAGATGGGTGACGAATGAGCTTTCTACGAGTGATATCCTTGACGATCATGGCTGGCGTTTATTTGAAATTTCTGACGGGCTTTCAAGAAATCATAAAAGTTCTGAACATTTAGATTATGGCAGTGTGAATAGCTTGCGCAGTGCAAATATTTCTCTTTATCATGAAAATAATCTTTGGTAGTAATGTAGAACATGGATATCTCAATACAGTAGTTTGAATGATGGTATTCACAATAGAGATCAAATCAAAAGATCTTGCCCAACACCCTCTTCGCATCATCTCCAATCGTCTCCGTCTTCTTCGCAGAAACAACATCGTTTTGAACGAATGTCCTCCGGGGTTTCTTCGGGTTCTCTGGGACCTTCGCTGGAGCCTTGACCTCGGTGGTGTCTCCCGCCTCAGTTTGTCTCTTCCTCTTCGCATCGTTCTTCTTGGCCATACCCTCCTCGACTCGTCCACGCTCCACGCCCGCCATGAAGACCTTCTCTTCCCTCTTGGCGCGCAAGTCCTCGGCACGTTGTCTCGATTCCCTCTCTGCGCGCTCTCTCTGGATTTGCTCCATCAGGTCCGACCATTTGTATCCACGAACTAAAGTGTGGTATGTTAGCATTAGTATGAACATGACAGTACCTGCTCGGTACTACTCACGATACTTCATGTTCCAAATATCATCATGATACCACGACCCCTTCTTTCCTCCCACGAGTTGACAGTTCAATGTCTCGGCGGCAAGTTTGGCCCTATATCTAAGATCAGTAACGCCGAGCATGAATAGTTTCCATTGAGAAACATACGTAGCCTTGCTTTGGAATTCCACCCATCCATCAGAATATGTCTTCCTTTTATTGGACTGTCGCTTCGGCGCGCCATTGCCCTTGACCGTCGGTTGTAGGAATACCCTAGTGATAGGCGCAAATCCACGCTGCTCTAGGAAGGACCGTAGAGCGGAGGGCTTGAGGTATGGTGGCAAGGAACTCAGGTAAATGACACCGGGCTTCGATTTCGACTTCTTGGTCGGCTTGACCGGCTTTGTGATGAGCGGTTTCTTGGTTTTCGAGGGCTTGGAGGCCGTTAAGTCGAGGTAGTCGTCCTCTTCTTCTCCGTCGCTGTTCTCTGCACCCTCCTCCTCCGCCTCCTCCTCCTCGTCCGAGGCTGCTTCCTTGCGAGACTTCGCTTGTTTGTGCGCTTTCCCCTTCTCCTCAGGTGTGTCGTCTTCAGAATCTTCTTCGTCGGACTGATCTGATTGCAGACCGAACAGGTCTTGGGTGTCTGCCGTTCGGCGCCGCTTCACATTGCGGCCTTTGTTTTTCGTCACGTTCTCCTCGGAGTCATAGCCGCGGTCGCTATGCTCTTCATCTTCGCTTGGGAGGTCGAGGAACTCGTTATGCTTGCGTGTAGTCATTTTGTGGTCGTTTGAAGAGAGGATCATGGCGAGTCGCAACGACCTGAACTTTTTTTGGGTGGTCCGTGCGCTCCGCCGCTCCTCCGCCCCACCTGGGCACTAGTACTAACCACTACCAACAAAGAGCATGAGAAGACTCGGAATAGCTTAGACCTTACGTTAAGTCCCTCGGGATAATTGTAATATTGAGGTGGGGATAAATTTTTGTGAAATTTGTTCTCAGCAAGGACAGATCTATCCTGCCCGGTATGTAGTATGAGATATGTGTATCTTCAGGCTCTTCTATGCCTCACGAACGAAAAAGAAAGTGCAAGGAAGAAACCAAAACGCCCAGCAGTGGGAATCAAAGGCCGAGGAATGGTTCACTCAGCGTGCAAGAGAATATATAAAACGATCTATCGCGAAAGGCATTTGCCCTGAAGCCAGTATCATATGCGTCGAGAGCCTCAAAGGTCGTGTTCAACGGTGAGAACATAGATGATTGGGTGTCGGGGGAAACACGGGAACAAAGTCCCCATGATTGCTAGACTTTGACTTGCAAAGATGGCGACAAGGTGTGAGCCAGAGAGCCCTCGATCAAACCCCTTCGCGAGCTATCGCGCGGGTGCTTCAATGGCCCTCTGGGCGTATTGCTCGGAATAGCAAAGATAAAGTGACCCGGCGTCGGTGGGAGAATCCTGCGTCTGGCCGCATATTTAAATCCCCAATGACCACTTCAATCGCTCATAGACGAAAAAGGCGGTCGCACTCATCGGTACAATCTTAATATACCCAATCGTCAAACCAACCCAGAACCCTCGGAATCCCCGCTCAAGCCAGACCTTCCGGCCAGTCTCAAGGATACCCATGCGGCGGCCATCACCAACAGCGCCGCCAACTTGCATCCGTCTTCGGACAACTTCAAGCGGGTATGAGAATGTTTGCGCCACGAGACCGGCGGCGGCACCGGAGAAAAGCTCTGCCGCGGCCGTGAGCTGGGGATGTCGAGATCCCTTCTTCGGCTTGGTCTCTGAGTCCGGAATCGTGGTATACGCTGAGACAGAGGGGTAACGAAGCCAATCGCCCACTGTGTCGTGAGTTAGGAACGACACGCCCGCGTAGGGGAGCATGCCGAGGATGGTGGGGCCGAAGCCACGGTAAAAATTCGCGAGACCGGACCGAGGAACGGCCTGGTTGACTGTTGATGAAACATTCTCGGCGACGATGGCGCCTGTGGAGGCTTGTTGGGTGCCTGTGGCGGCGGCTTTTGCTGTTGATGTAGCGCCGGATGATGGGGGTGTGATGCGTTCGTTGTAGATTTGTTTACAGATATCTGTCAAGGATGACCGGGATGTGCGTTTCGTTTCGAATGCCAATCGTACACGGATCAGCTCGAGCGGGTATGTAAAGAAGACAGAGGTGATGCCAGCCAGACTGCCGGATACTAAACGGCGGATTGCAGTCTCTTGTTCAGGCGAGGCGATGAGGGTGGCGCGGATTTGTTCGTAGGCGAGGAATTTAATGGCAGCGTATGGGAAGATACGGAGAAGAGTGGCCGAGTGGCCCTTGTACAGGCCCCTGGAGCCTTCATACCGCTTGATGTCGTTGATCGCAGCTAGAAGTCCGGACCAGCTGCCTGCGTATTTTGCAAATTGCGGATTCGATGCTTGGAAGAGGATCTTGACGCGATCGAGGGGTGCGACGACGGTCTTGGCCTATGAACCATCTCATTGTCAGTAGGTATATTCTCCGAGTGTAAGAGCAAAATAAAAGTGGCGGTTTTCGCTCTTCCACTTCCACTTGCACCTCCGCGCACTCACCGCACAGCCCGCGGCTCCTCCTGCTAGACCGCTTCGTAATATGTAGTCGAGACTTTTCTTCTGGACGGGCTTGTTGCCTTTGTTCTTCTGCTCGTCCGCATTGATATACTGGCCACCTGTGCCACCTGTAATCGGCGCCGGAGAGGCTCGTTGGTGTGCGATCCCACTCATCGGAGAGTTGAGATGCGGACTGGTATCCGCGCTTGAGGGAAGGTATTGGCGTGGTTGTGGGAGAAGATCGGAATGAGTGTGGGCATGATCTGGGAGGCCCGTCGACATGAGAGGAAGGGGGGGGAGGCGCAATGTGCGCAGTGTGCGGCCGAGGCGCACCGAGGAAGAGGGTCTGGGGAATAACGGTCTTCCCCTCGTGATCACTCGGCGATATCTGGGAAAAGTTGATTTGGTCTCGGTTTACCGGAGGATCGTCGGGACAGGGGACCTGGTGATACAGCGACACCACGAGAACGACAACACGACCAGGGCGGTTGAGAGGTATCTGTCGAAGGGGCGAAGTAAAGGACGATAGTGAAAGAAAGTGAAAAGAGAGTTAAAACTTTGGAGGCAAAAGATCTCGCCTCGCCGATGGGAGCGCTGACGTCTTTTGCCGTGGACACTTCGGCGTACAGGCCTGACATGCCGATACCAGCCGCACCCCCGCATTTAGCCGCTAAATGACAATACAAATACACGGGATGACCATAAAATACACGGGTGGCGGGAAGCGGGACCACCCAACGAGTCCCGAACAACCGAATGGTCAGCCTACTTGGACGGCAAGAATCGGTGATAGTCAAGAGTTCTATGTGCGTGCATTTCTATCGGGTTTCTGGAAGAATAAAATAGTAAAAATAGAGAGACAGAAAACAATTCACACAGTCAATAATCACAGTGAAAACCCCCCCCCACCCGACTCCTTCCCCAGCGCAGATGCACGGAATGTATACAGCAGTTCAACAAAGACGGGAATGTTACAATATCGTGGTCGCATGATATCCAGTAGATGCGAGAGAATCAGAAGTACAGAAGAGAAGTAAAGGTGAATGACAATAGAGACACTCCCAAGTCCCAGATCACCCTCGACGGGAACCTTGTCGAGTCAATGCCTTGCCTCGTGCCGCCTTGGTCTCGCGAGTGTCGTCTGTATTGCGCTTCTGTCGTTTGGCCGGTCGATCAGGGTCCACGTGGAGATGTCCGACCTCGTTCATGGCAGTTGTATTCTTCCAGCGGAGACAGCGGAGACCGTGCTCATTCACGTCGACATAGGTCTTGTTGCGAGTAGTGACTCGCTTGCTGGGCATTTCCTCGGACTCCGCGCGCTCACGAGAGTCGGCCAGGTAGGCCTGACGGTTCTTCATGTACTTCACAATATGAGTCTTCTGCAGCTGTAGTTCCTTCATGAGCTTGTGTTCGCGATTCCCTCGCGGCTCCAGCCAATCAATTAATTGCTCAATCGACTCCGGCTCCTCGTAGTAGCCCCATTCGCGAGCACTCGCCAGGTGCGTGGAACCTTCTTCATGCTTCTTGCGCTCAGCAGGCGTAGTCTGGAAATGTTTGTGGTAAACTTTGCGTTGCTCATCGGTCAAGTCAATAAAGCCCGCACGCTCCATATCGTCGGGACCCTGCACCCAAAGGCGGCCGTTGGCGTACTGGGCCTCGGAGGTGGAGCTATCTGGCATACCCTCGCGAGGCATTGCGTTGCGTTCAAACCACCAGTAACGATTGCAGAAGCGATCCAGTCCTAGGCAACGTGTTCGTGGGCAGTCGGCCTCACGCAGGTCGTTATCGACTATGTCAATTTCGTCCTGGAGCTTCTCGATCTTTGCCTTCTGGTCATCGATCTTCCTTAGAACCTTCTGGTATTGCTTAGAACCCTTGGGCTGCTTGGCCAGCTGCTCCTTGCGTTCTCGCTCAATCTCCTGTTTTCGTTTCCGCTCGAGGGCGCGATCGACGCCTCCGCGTAGTGCTCGTGGCCGAGGCGTATCTTCATCCTCCGAATCTATCGGCATCTCAGAATCCCCTTCGAGAGTCAACTTGGAATCATCAATCCCGTCAAGTTCTGGCACGGGTGAAGGTGATTTTTCCTTCTTTTCATTCTCGTTCTTTTCGGGTTCCGGTTGGAGGGCTTTCCGATCCAAGTGGAGCTGGCGAAGTTCGACGAGACTGGGGAAAAAAATTAGTATTTATCAAGAAGTCAGACGAAAAGGCCACTGTGTTACTTACGCTGCCTTGCGTGCTTTTTGGTGTTCGATTTTCACCTTCCGGAACTCGGTCATTTGGTTGCTGCATTCCTCCAGATAATTTCGGATGGCCTTTGTCTCTAAGCTGAGCAGGGTGATGATCTGGAGAGCCTTGACACGTAAATTAATGTCGAGAGTACTGTACTGTTGTTGAGCAGTTTTCTGGGTTGGCTTCGCATCGAGCGGTGCTAGATGCTTGAGGATCTCGTTGCAGATCACCTCATAGCGAGGGCGAACAGCCAGCTGGTGCAGGAGACCGATCATCACCAGTTCCCATCCACCATTGCGGAAGTCCCGTCGACGAAGACGATCAATCCATCCATAGTTGACGAACATTTCTGCGGCACGATGGATCTGAGTATCTTCCTCCTCTTCTTCGTCAACTTGCGTTTTCAGCGTCTCCAGCTCTTTCTTGGCCAAGCTTCCTCGAGTAGTCATTCTCCCGGCCGATTCTTCGGGTTCTTCTTCTTCTTCTTCATCTTCTTCATCTTCATCCTCTGAATCGTCATCCTCTGAATCGTCAGATTCTTCAGCAGGGAAATCGGGGAGATTGATCTGGATAGCACCATTCTCATGTTCCGAATTGACCAATTTCTTCAGAATCGCACAATGTAATTCTACAAAGAGTTCACAGTCCATTTGCTCCGAAGAGAAGCGCATAGATTGAAGAAAATCATCAAAAGTGAATGAATCAATCTGGAATACCTCACAGTAAACGTTGAGAGTATCCCAGGTCTCCAGAAGCAACCCAACGGAATCAGGCTCCAAGTCATCGGGCAAAAGATCCTCGGCGCCATCATTATCTGACTCGCCTAGCATCATGAACTTCAAAGTTGGGCGGTGTTTGTCATCTCGGCAGGGTGGAAGCTCCAAATCTTCCATCGGATAACGGATCGGCGGGGGGGAGGGAGCCGTCGACTCGTTCTTGATAATCGCAGAAGGCGGATGCATTTTCTTGTCACCGACCAGCGGTGGCTTCGATGGGCGCAGGGGATTGTTTGGAAGGAGAAATGAGGGGTTGCCGTTCAGCGATCGCTGATACTCCTCGTACTGCGCCTGGCTAGATTTTGCTAGATCTTGGGTAGACTGTTTGGATTTCTGCCCTTTCATAGCTGGTTTGAGAGCTGGCAGTTGCTGGGAAGAAAAGAAGCCGAAATATCCGTCTTGGTCTGCCTTCTTCATTGCCTTCTTCTCCGCGACCTTTGAGCCATACTGAAGGTGTTTGGGGACCTCGGTGGATATCTTATATTCGTCGGCAATCGAAGCTTTGACAAGCCAAGGCGCACCAGTCCAAGATTCGCGAGTCACGTTGTGCTTAATGAACCCCCGTAGCATCAGCTTGGTGAAAGCCTTCCGGTCGCGGGTGATATGATCATGGTCCAACAAGGCCTCCTCGTTCGGACGATCGAGGATCTTGACCAGATACGTAGAAACCGCTGGCTTTTTGACAGTGCCATCAGCAAATAGTTGTTCGGCGAAGTTTGCCTTATCCCTGATAATCCCATGTAGCCTACTGCCATCTTCCAAGATGATCAGTACATTTTCTCCGGGGTAAAAATCGGACTTGAATTCCTAGAGCCGTTTGTTAGTATTGTCGCAGAATTCAGCGAATACGGTTCTTCTCACTTCAAATATCTCGTCCACTTTTAGTTAAATCACCGTTAGTACGTGCTCAAGTTCAGTATATCAATCAAGAGGACATACCCAGATGATCGACCCTCGAGACGGTAGAGAATTGAATTCGACGCAGAATTGGCTCTCTCAGCGCTTCCGGGAAACTGCTGTTCACCTCGCGCGATTCCTCCATCTAATGTCGAGATAAGTAACTGCCCCTCACGATGGAACCGCATGGCGGAACGGAGACAACGACATACCTCACTGCGCATGGCCTCGAAAAAGTTCAGCCCAGAATGGCCGGTAATTTCACAAATAAACCGACGCTGTTTGTAGAAATCCATCCGGGCGAGGTACGCCTCATAGCTCGTGAAGACCTCGCTGGTCTCTGAGACAACCCAAACCTGCAACGCCATGTCAATCGTCTGGTTCTTCTTCTCCTAACATTCCCATGCGATATAGATACCTCAGAATTGTCATCTTGAATCACGGGTCGTGGGAGGTATGTGACCGGCTTCCGTTTGAAAAAGACCTAGGTCACAGTGTAAGCTGCGCGTGTCCCCCAAGAATAGATTCTGCCTCCGCATCGAGTATTCTTCCATGAGGGATTCGAATCGGGGTATACGATATGGCCATACCATGGTCTTTTGACGAAGGTATAGGTACGCGTCAGTCTACCGGAGACGACCGCGACCGAGCTCGAGGATAAATCGACTAGACAGCACGCGATATGATCAGCCAATATGTCCGATGTATATAGATTGAGAGGGTATGCGATAGGTGTTTTGCGTCTGCCACGCGCAACATAAGATCCGAACGATGCCGGGTGATGGTGTCGAGATCGGTCCAGACTTTTCGGGGGGGAGCAGGAGATCGAGGCGACTCGGCAGCAGTGGAGAACAAAGATGAAGTAAACTCGCGGACTTACCGAGAGTAAACGCGTCGTAAGTATACAGTGGTAGGCAACAATTCCTTAGCCGTGGCGGGGTGGTGGGAAGAGATAAAGTGCGCACGATTCGGGGAAGGGGAGGAGGATAGGAAGTGGAAGGTTGAAAGTGCCAGAGGAGAAGGTAAAAAGCGCAGTGAGGAGCGGTCGATCAACCGCGCCGGAGCGGCGGATGCTGATTGGTGGAGAGGAGGAGCAGGGCGGGCGAAGGTGGAAAATGGAAAATGTGGAAAACGACTTTCTGTTCCCGCCGACCCTCTTTGCGCCCCCCCGTGGCCGGCTTCTATCGCCCTCAACGCGTTGCTGGTCCACCACACCCCCATCCATACCAGTATTTACCCTCATTCGAATCGCCAAGTCCTGGAGAATCGATGGGAAATGGTTTCGGTCGATTTAATTGTGAATGATCCCATCTTCCATCCGACTATCAAATACTCCTGCGAGGGGCCTTGTTGTCACCTATCTAGTTTGCCAACTATGTCCACCATAACCATCCCAAATTCTCGATTTTTTCCACCACCACAATATCCAACAGTCATTGTGTCTGTCAGTAATCATTGAAGTGACTCCATCGTGTTCCAATCCCTCATCGTTCCTAACAATAGATGGCCCAAGTTGGCAGGCGATAGATGCATTGTCATGACGTGCCAAGTCTTTGACAACTTTCTGTCCTTCATATTCACCACTCCAGCTTCGACAAAACATATGACCTGTGGGAATTTCTTGCTTCTACCTATATTCCCGAACATTGCGACCAATGTTCTTTTCTTGCCTTGCCTGTTTACTTTGCTACCATGAATATTGTATCCGACGTCTGCAAGCATTCGCAGGCGGTCGCCCCGTCTGAGACGATTGCAGAACTAGATATGCATTAAACCCATCATTCCAGGATATTAGGATAGAGCTTCAATGCATTACGGTAGCTGCGCTCACTCAATATCCTCGGAGTTAATCCAAGCAGTGCCAAAACCTGGTCATCTGGTTCATCGCCTACCTACCTACCTTGAGGAACTTAGCCGGAAAAGCTAAGCACGTCTGTGAGTGGACTTGTTTGAACAAACATTGTATACGCAGACTTTTTCTATCAAGCCAGGAAGCTCACTCCAGTTGATTTATTAGGCAAGTAGTCAATAATTTCCGTACAGCGTGATGAAGAACTACCAATAGACATGTACCAACAGACATAGCTAGGAATTGCAGCTCCGAGGGCTCCCGGAACTGCTCTTCTGCCTATCTATTAATGGTTCGCTTTCTGATGTTTGTATTTCGTTCACCAGACCAAACTCCTAGATAAGAGCAATGTGTTCTATTATACTTAAAGGCTTCTGGATACTACTGTCGTATTCAAATTTATGATATAGTCCGAATTCCAGTAGGGTGGCCATTGCATGGAATTTCGCTCATATTGACTTTTAATTTTATCTAAGAGTGGGAAAATTACGACGTGAACCTCATGGCCGTGCAACACCGTTGATGGAGAGCCCACCCGGATGTGCCAATTCCAAGGTTCTCGAGAGAAAATACTCCGCGCCAACGCAGACTTAGCAATACCATTGGAAATTACTGATAGCAGCCTGAGCATATGATGAATCATTTTTGAAGTGTACTAATACTAGTATGTACTAATAGGTAATACTTCCAACAAGATGTTTCTGGGAATTTTTCATTTTCTACTAGGAATTTTCGTTAGGGTTCGTGGCTCCGATATATAATATGGAGATACAGAAAACTCTAATGTATCAATTTAATTGGAGTAGTAGAGCCAAAACATGACGGAATTAAAGATCTTGATATTTAAATTCTAACTGCGAATTGGCAGACATAAATAAACTGACACTATGATACACAAAACATTTTCTCTCGATTTGACGAGCATTCGTTTTTAGCCCGCGTTGCATGGATTTCACGGGGCGGCGCTAACCTGATTGGGAGTAGCGTCAAATAGACTCCGTGGTTGAAGTGGGCCGGACCCACGTGGATTGGGTTACGTCATCTTGTCATAGGAGATGGGCATGTAAGCAGGGAAGCGAATCATGATTAATTTTTAGTTACATGCCAATCCGAGGCTTCTTTTTCTATCTAGAAACCGATCTATTCGGTGAAATAAACTACCATAAATCCAACCCAGCTCCCGACAACACCAAGTGCGGAATAACTGCTCATGAACATCAGGGGCAAGAACTGTAGTCGTTCGAATCCGAAGATCAGTTGGTGAACCAGCGAGCAGTACACTATCAACGGAATGGCGAATGTGAGGTATAGCAAAGCAAGTCGGTCGAAGACGAAAATTCGCGGTCGCTCTGGGACGGGCGCGACCCGGTCAAAGACGAAGAGGAAGAGGATCAACCAGAAGACCGTGTAGACAGTCTTGAGCGGAAATTCTGCGGCGGTAAATAGCAGCGGGAAAAGGGAGACATGACCGGCAACTGCCAATGGCCGGAAAGCGCTGAAATAGCGACGGTCCTTGAGAGCGATGAGGCTGAAGGGGATGATGATCAAAAGAATCGCCTTCTCATGGACGTGCCAGCCGAAGAGGAAGGATGCGTATCCACAGAGTGTCAATGCTCCTACAAATGTCTCCCATTTGGGCCCTGAATGGAACCAAAGCTTCACAAGAGGAATCTATGCTGGATAAGTATTTGATGCGGATTATCTGGCGCGGAGTAGTACATACAAGTTGGAAGATAAATGTGAGCAAAAAGGTTTGCTGGCTGCTGACCTCTGGGAGGACCGCGAAGGAGGTATCACCAACGAGCCCACGGGTGACACTATTGAGGGCGTCTTGGTTTACCGACAGTCCCAGGCGCGGCGCCACTAGAAACCAAGTCAGCAAATCGGGCGTAAGTCTGCCAGGAAATAAAGAACATACAGGGAATCAAGGCGCGATCGGTAAAAGAGTACATAGCCCATATATTTGGCGCCCAGTACGCATGGCACAGCCCCCTCGAGAAAGGGAAGAGGCGATCCTTGAGCTGTAGTAACTGGCCCCATTGCACAAAGGGACCAAAAGCAATCCCGAAGACACCAAGAACACAGACCCCGAGCTTAACTATATTGAAAAACCGAGGCCGGAAGACATTCTTGGGGTCGAGGCAGTAGAAACGGCCCAGGTAAACGAAATAGGCGAGGGCAAGATATAGGTAGATGTGTTTCAAGCATAAGAGAATGGCGAAGAGAATTCCACTGTACAGAAGTGTCGATTGTTTCCGAGCCAAGACAATGGAGAGGATCAAGATCCCGTACAAGAACCCATTGTACTGGAAATGAATGTGGTCGATGATAAACAGTCCTGGGGAGAGAAGGATAGAGAGACTGGCCACGTGCGCAGCTTGTTTGTCCCAGGAAGGAGCCGACTTGACGTATCTGTTAGGATTTGGAGGAATTAGTCTCGTCTCTTCTTTTGATCAAGGCAGTTGATCTATCTTACCGACTCAATGCAAATACCAAGACCAACTCGGTCACAATAACAGTGGCGCGCTGGAAATAAACTGTCTGCCAAGAATCATATCCCAAATTCTGGACAACCAGCATCGCCGGATCAACATATGCGGCCGCTTGTGACATAAGCCATTCGAAGGCTGCGAAGAACGGGGGGTAATCGAGGGTCCATTCGGATGTTTTCTGCAACAGTGTCAACAACGGCCAGGTAATTCAAATCAGGCGCGGGCAAGGACAAACCTCGTAATACCATTCCTTCACAGGTAGCGAATGAGTAATAGCAAGCCAATTCCGGTGCACTTCAAAGTCCGTCGACTTGCTGCAACACGGTTAGATATCGACCAAGGAGTTCCGAGAAAACATGCGACTAACTATGCGGGAAACAGCAGCACCTTGAAGGCTGCTGCCACGATGGCGCACTGCACCAATGAAGGATAGAGCTCAGCCATTGCGCATTTTCCGAACTCGAGCGATCGCAAAGAAAAAGTTACCAACGAACCCCAAGTGAGTGCGCGGGCGATCTGCCCGCGCAGCTCTCCGCATGCGTCCACGTGACTGTGGAGAACTTGCGGACTCTGGAAGAATGATCTTCCGCGATGTCATGTGATTCGCTTGTGTATTTGGTTTTTCCCAGCGGGCTCACCCACTTCTGATTTTCTTTTCTTCACGAGTCTCCGCTCACGACGCCGTACCCCTTGAGGGAATGAAGTCGTCGTGCTTAGCACCCTCTGGTTTCGGCATTCTGTCGCGACATAGAGGGACCTTCGAGATTCGCAGAAGGACTTCCCGTCGTTAATCGCCCATTCCCTCTGTCAATGAGCCGGATGGGTTTCATATTCAGGGTTACATATCAATTAGAAAAAAAAGCAATGGCTGCACTGGCAATCAGATGGTCATCTACCAATCCAATATATAATTTCCCATTGCATTTAAATCCACTTTCACACGTAGTAGAATAGTGGTGTGTATTCCGCTCCTTGGCTAGGAGCTGACATGATGGTCGCTGTCACATGCAGCAGTCAACGGTGCTCAACAGACGCTTGATGCGGCATGAAGGACCGGGGGGGATCACCAGGGCTGATCTTTATTCTTGATCAATCATCAACCTTGTATTATGCTAGTCTTATTTCGGACCGAGGAACCCATTCCCCAAAGGAGATACATTCATATGTACTTAGTAGTACGGAGTACGGAGTAGTTAGTACTTACTACTCTTTTGTCTGGGCGCGTCGGCAGGACTTCCCACTCGGCCTGGCGTAACTAATCAGCCAGCGAACCTCGGCAACTTTCTTTCCCCACAGCCCAGGTCCGCGGCTACCCCGACCCCGAGACTCGGTGCTTTTTATTCACGATAGCCTGGTCTTTGAGCATTTGATTCTGTTCTTTATCTGGTCCTTTTATTCCGCTGCCACTGTATACACCGGGCTTCGAGTGACGTTGAGAAGAATACATTTGAGATTTTACGCCCCGATTATATACCAAGACAACGAACGACAAGATGCCGTTCAACACTGCCCTGACGCGCAAGCTGGGCATTCGCGGTAGGTTGCTCTCTTATGGGCATCAAGGTCACGATGAAGAGACTGACAGTGTATAGTCCCCGTGGTGCAGGGAGGTATGCAGTGGGTAGGATACGCCGAGCTGGCTTCAGCCGTTAGCAATGCAGGCGGCTTGGGTCTCGTACGTTCCCCGTTCCCACACAGACAGATTAATCCATGGACTGCGGCGAGACTAATATCTACTCATGTAGCTCACTGCTCTCACTCAACCTACCCCCGAAGATCTGCGCAAGGAGATCCGACGATGCCGCACCATGACCAAGTACCCCTTTGGCGTGAACCTGACCCTCCTCCCCGCCCTTGTGCCCCCCCGACTACGCCGCCTACGCCCAGGTCATCATTGATGAGGGTATCAACATTGTCGAGACCGCTGGTAATAACCCGGGCCCTGTTATTCAGCAGCTGAAGAAGGCCGGCTGTATCATCCTGCATAAGTGTACCACCATCCGCCACGCCAAGTCCGCCGTCAAGCTCGGCGTCGACTTCCTTTCCATCGACGGCTTTGAGTGTGCCGGCCACGTCGGTGAGCACGATATTACCAACTTCATCCTTCTCAGCCGTGCCCGCCAGGACCTGGGTGTGCCCTTCATTGCCTCGGGTGGCTTTGCCGATGGTCAAGGTCTAGCTGCGGCTCTCGCATTGGGTGCCGAGGGTATTAACATGGGTACTCGTTTTATGAGCACCGTCGAGGCCCCCATTCACCAAAAGGTCAAGGAGGCTATTGTCAACGCCCAGGAGACTGATACTGCTCTTGTTCTCCGCCGCTGGAAGAACACAACTCGTCTGTTCGCCAACAAGGTTACCCAGGATGCTCTGAAGGTTGAGCGTGAGAGCACAACGGGAGATTTCAGCGAGATCGGACCCTACGTGAGCGGCAAGCGAGGCCGCCAAGTTTTTGAGAACGGCGACGTTGACTTTGGAGTAAGCATACCACCCAGTATTGGTCTTGATCATAATCTAACAAGTGTTTCTTAGGTTTGGACTGCTGGCCAAGTCATTGGTCTTATTCATGACATCCCGACCTGCGCCGTTCTGCTCGACCGCATCGAGAAGGAGGCCCAGGAGGCTATGAAGCGGAGCCAGTCACTGTATATTGATGCTCCTACCAGCAAGCTTTAAGTGGCGATGCTCTAGGCTTATTATATTGTTATATATCCTTTTATTGTTGAAGTATACAATAGATCGTGACAAGAGTAGTTTCTAGTTATGACGAGAATATTCTGATTCAACTCCTTGCCGTCTGGTGCTGTCACATGGTTCTGTCTCTGTAATACAATCTAGTATGTACTAGTTAGTGTCGGCCAAGACACTACTTGCATTCGACACTACTTGCATTCAAGATATTACATGGACGATGGGAAATCTTTTCTATAGGGTGCCGGGTTGATACTAGCCACGCGACCCTCTATGTATGCGATTGAGAACTTCTCAGGTTTCCAGAAGTCAGATCTCGATTTCCAGAATTAGTCATTTTATCAAAGGCCTTCATGGTAGTGCAAGAGTCATTTTGGCATGGAAATACTTGTATATGTGACCCTAGGTGCAAGCAAGCACGTAAAATTAGATTTATCAAAGCGGTTCAACTTGCATTTGTGAGCAATTCGAGTCAAAATTATGATGAAATGAAGCTACTCGTACTGCGCTATGATCACCATGTAGAAGCAGGTAATGTCACATCTATCTTTTCTGAGCCTCTCTTATGCTTTTCTGTTTCAAATGTGCAGCTTAAAGGGATAACTATTCGGAGACCAGCCCAACACGCCATGTCATCCACGCCGATGCACACACCGAAGCTAATCAGACGATGCCAAATGTTTCAGTACGGCTAAGACACCGCTATTTCCACAAGGGATTGACTCGCACGCGATGGCTGGGGTCAATGCGCGGCATTCCTTCAGGTGGAGCTCTCTTGTGCCTGAGATCGACGATGACCAGGCCCGAGCATTCCATCGTCCACTGCGATGCCAACCGCGGCCGAGCATTTGAACACAACAGCTGGCGAATGCCGGGATATTAGCGCAAGCAGGTGACTGAGAGCGAGCTGGATCGCCGAGCCGCTCGTGTCAGCCAGGGGCATCCTTGCATACGCCCTTGAGAGATCCTCTGGGGGAATGCGGCCCTCTGGCCCTCGCGATTGGGCTTGTCTTGATCAACTTTGCAGCTTTCGGGTGGATCGCTGCAAGCTCCGATCATGGGAGCTTTAATGCGTCTGCCACGGTGCTGCATGAGATCATGTTGATGGATGTGCCGTCTTGTCACTACTTTGTACAACAGATGTACAGAGTAGATGCGTTGTTTTCAAGTACTCAAGTACATTTACATTGGTGAAAGTACTTGGGGAACTGTTAGAATGTAGAATAACCCGATTGATTGATTGGTGCTCAACGCAAGCGCCTCGTGTATCACTTTCGCTCAAACACATCCGCCGTCAGATTGAACGCCGACCGTTTCACAAAAAAAATATTAGCGCAACACGATCCCATCATTCTATAGTCAATGGCTAGCAAATCTGTACAACATCTCTCACATTCAAAGTACCTTTTCACATATCTAGTACATGCCTAATCTCTACCGTAAGTTCTGTACTAAATAGGTGCTGCACGTACAATGCAGCAATCCCAGCCCAAGACACCCCTTGCCCCAGCCCCAGCGATTTAGTTTATCAGCTATACTCCCCCCCCACGTCCCAGCACCCCGAAAAACCCTCAATCTCAAGTACAAAAAGAGATAAATCCTCCAACATCAATCATGGGCTTCATCTCTTCTGTTGCTCGTTGCGTCCGCGATAACAAGCTCTCCCGCAGACTTTCCACAAATAACAAACCACAACGTCTGGAAGACGACTACAACGACTTAATCAAAATTTCCTCAAATACAATCTCCCTTGCTCCAGCTGAAAGCATGGCGTCTGCTTCGACAGCTGTCCACCCCTCCGTCCACGAGCCCACCTTCCCGACCGAATCCCCGATTCAACATGAGCAACTGAGTCCCGCGCAGCTGAATTTGAGCATTCAGATGCAAAATCTTTTCGACAACGGGCAGCTTCTAGATGATGCAAATAACAGAGCCGTGAGAGCGTTGTCAAGACCCGAGTATCCAATTCTCAAGCTCGACACCGTTCAGTCGCCGTTCGATACACCACCCAAAAAGTTACAGGCTCCCCTCGAGACGGGGGAGAATATGGTGCTGGATGAGAGCAAATATTTAAAAAATGGCTACTTGAAGCGCCAGCGAGAAGAGAAGAGCGGTGATAATGTCGGGGTGGAGAAGGAGAGCGGGAAGAAAGGTTCCAAATTGCGTCGTTCGATGACGGGCCTCTTTCGAAAGACGTATAGTTTCAGACTACCTCGATCACCAGTGTCTATGAAGACGCTGCGTGCTCCAACATCTCCCCGGTGGATCGACGTAGATGCTTCGAGCTTGGCAGATGAGGAGTGTTTGGTTTCGGAGAAGGATGAGGAAAAATGGCTGGAGGCTCATGGAATTGGTGGAGGGCGGGACATTGGGATCTGGACTAGCGAAGGTGTGGGAAGAACTTATTGATATGGAAATTATTAAATAAGGAGTTTGTAGATAGATCACCAGCTGGACGCAAGAGAAACGAGGTTATCTAAGTTAATAAAAACAATCATAAATAACCACCAAGCGGATCACTTCCTACCCGTGGCCGAGGAACTTTGGTTGAGTTTACTACTAGTATATAGTCAGAGGCTCAACGCCACTCTTTAGGTCTGAAGAGCCAGCAGCCTTTGGACCTGACTGCCATATAGTGCATTGATATGTTGCTCAGGCAAGAGATATATTGGCGGGAATACTAGTATTAATTGATGTCTACGTGGGACTTTGACCCGAACCTGGTTCCAGAGTTTACGAAGGGGAGCTGGTAAATTATTGACGATTGGAGTCGGAAATGTTTTGAAGATGCAGCTTGAAGAATCCACGAAGGGTGATTTCAATTGAGAGGAAGTGGAGTCTACTAGTAAGATACCACTGATCAAGCAAACTAGAGCAAAATCTAATGGATTAAAGATATATATGCGAAAGAATACCGGGATAGACTGCAGCTAATCCGGTTCCAGTGCACCAAAACAAGAAGCAGAAGCATCATGCCAAACACAAGCATAAAAAACGAAAACAGTCTTCTTTCTCCGAGGAGTGCCACACGACACAGCTAATGATACACGGGCGCGAAAAGATCAGATCGCCTAACTATTCCAAACAAATGCCAGCCACTCCGACTTTACTTCCCCGAGAATCGATAACGATTCACTTTAGCGCTCGTGCCGAAACCTTGATACCCACAAGGGTGACCAGGGCCGGCGCAGAGACCAATGCTTCTCGCACAATGCCAGAAAACATGGTAAAGCGCTTAGATGATGGAGCCAAGGGCAATGCAGGGCAGGCCGACACCGACGAGGTCGGAGTTCTGTTGAATTGTTAGATATGGCAACTAATGGGTATAAATGGATGAAACTTACGGCGCTGGAGGGAGAGTTCTGGCAGCAGGCAATGTTCTGCTTGCACTTCTGGTTGACCAGATCCTGGATGGGGACGGCAATGAGGATGGGGATCTGGAGGTCCAGCTTGGAGCACTGGTCGAAGAGACCGAGACCGTCGGAGCCGGATCCAGCACCGATCAGGTTGCCCAGGGTGCCGGCAAGGATGCCAGAGTTGACGTCGGTGGTGTCACCGGCGTAGGTGGCCTTGTTGCAGCAAGAGAGCTGAGCCTGGTCACCGCACTTGGCCTGGGCCTGCTTGACAGTCATTTGATCGGGGACAGGGAAGCGGACGTTGGTGTTGCCCTTGTTTCCGACACCGTTGGCGTTACCAACACCGCCAGCAGAGGGGCCGGAGGGAGGAAGGGCATAAGCGGTGGCAGCGAGGGCCAGAACAGCGGAGATAGTGAACTGCATTATGTCGGTGGGGTTGGGTTTGAACGAAAGGTGTTCTCGGAAGATATGATTTTCTTGAGAAAGAAGAAAAGACTGCTCAGAAAGAGATAGTTAAAGAGAGTGATGCGTGATGAAGAAAGGAACAGTTAGGCGATGAAGGAAGACGCTTTTATACATCTCAGTGGTGGTCTGTGGGCTCCTTAGTTCATTCACTTAGAGCCTGTTTACTTCCTCCATCGTAATCTCCTCCTTCTCCCCGGAATGCGACCTGTAAGGAAAGGGAAGGGAGGATCACTCCACCTTCAGGACCTCCTGGTATGGATCTACGAAACCAGTTAGACTCTTTTCACGCGCCGGGGTCATTTGGCCTGGCATTCTTGCGCTCTGGCCCTTTAGAGAACTCTAGAACCATCAGCATCGTAGCTTTAGTTTGTTTGTCTATCGATATTCAGATTCAGTATTGTCTCTATTGCTTTAGACCGATGATAGTGTTGCCCGTTGGTTTTGAAATTATGTTCAATCATCAAAATGTATCTCTCGTTGGATAGTATCGAACAAGGGAGTTTTCCCAAGTAGCCAATAGTTCTTCTTTTTGAATCAGGTACCTTATTGAGTGGATCATTTGGGCCTTGTTCCTGACCCAGCCTCCGCAGGGGGGGGGCACCGCTGGTGGTCTCCTCCGCGATGACCCTGCAGGCTCTCGGGAGCTAAGGCATGTAACCGGGCTCTACACGCCAGAGAGTGGTCGAAAGCGTGCTACTCAGCGAAAGCACCCCAAAATATTGTGGAGTGTATGACGCATGGTTAATCTTGCTGCAAGGGAGCACGCCCATCAACCCACTTGCCGTGCTTCGGCCATAGGGATGTCTTTCCCGTCCTCCCTTCATTGTTTCACACCCTTGGACCACAAGGAAGAATTGAGCACCGTAACGCTGCTTAATTACGTCTGTCCAGAGGCCCTGGTCGGACTATGTGAGATCCCGAGTCACAACAATAGATTGACGATTGTCATGCACTTGGCTTTCGTTACAGGTAAAACACTAAGCCCTAATTCGCAGTGCCTAGTTTTACAAGAGGCCCACGTTCATATTCCGGAAATCTTTTCCTTGGCCTATAGACTGGCAATCCGTGACCCCTGTTTCGGTTGCCCTCACTTGACCCCCTACCCTAAGAGTTGTCTAGCCTAGCATATGTATGGTTCTACCACTACATGCGAATCAGGTTTTGTCCTTTCTAGTGGGGAGATTGAAGTTCTTGCAATCTACGACTGGCAAAGACCAATTTATTTTAATTAGCTGTTCAATCATTTACAGCTATAATAATACTTTGTAGTATCTTGCATAATTGAGTCAATGATTTGGTTCTGTTCTCAAGGTAAATATAGAAGTAGTATGCACGTACTGAATAGAGTTCACTTAAATATATTCTGTCCGGCAGTCATGATCCTCTTAAACATATCAAGAAGTTATGATGTAGTCCAAATCGGAATTATATATATGGCTTCCATGGTTTACGATGAACCAGACTCGGATGTTTCGGGGTTGGTGGTACATTATTTTTTACTATGAATTCACCATGCATTATTTATAACTTTGGAAGTTTTATTAAGATACTCTTGATTGTAGGATGTCTTGATCTGGGCTTAGAAAATAGTAAATGAATGCTCAGGTGGTACTACTAGTACGTTCAAGTTCAGGTTTCAACCTTCAAGCCCTGGAGTTGGAATGTCTGATCGATGTATATTGGCTGTAGTCTTGTATATATATACTGCTACCTATTAGTAGGTAGTACTAGTGAGTTGGTCCTCCAGAGTAGTTGACTAACCTTTTGAAGAACCTTGAAATCCCTCCGCCCATTTCAAGTTCTCGTTTAGTACTGTATTTATGAAGAAATGACGTGGGATTTCTTTCTTAAGTCTATAGTCAAATTAAAAATTTCTCCAGCTTGAAACAATGCAACTATCGTCCAACTCGTAGTATGTCTTGAGCCTTGCCCCAGGGCGGTGAGGACTCGGGCGCTGTCCATTGGTTTGGAACATTAACCGCCTCCCCGTGCAAGCAACGCTCCCGAACCTGCGCATCTCCTAGTTCTCACTCAAGAGGTGCCTAGGTGTGTGTTGACCGCTACCTAGGATGTCGGAAGCTTTACAGGATACTGCGGCTGCTGCGGAGGAGCGCACCGGCACTTCTCCAGTGCCGTCGCCGCCACAGGCCGTCGTCGAGCAGAAACCCGAGACGCAGATAACAGCAACGAAAGACCACGATAACGACGACCAGGATACCCCGGAACAGGAGGAGGACGAGGAGGAGTTAGAAAACGACGACGAAGAAGCCAAAAAAGAAGATACATTGGCGCCCCCCTTGCCCGACGAAGTCCCTCCACCGCTCCCCGATGAAGCGCCGCCTGGTCAAGGCGAGGACGATGGCTGGGAACCCGTGTGGGATGCCAACAGCCAGGCATACTATTTCTTTAACCGAATCACTGGAAAATCACAGTGGGAGAACCCTCGCGTACCCACCGAAGAAGCTCCAGCTGCAGAAGAACCTTCGGAGAAAAAGGCGCCCATGCTTGGTGGTTACAATCCCGCCATCCACGGTGACTACGATCCGACCGCATCCTATGCGCAGCAGTATGAAGAACAAACACAAGAAACTGGTGGCCCCGCGGCTGATCCGACTGCCGCGTATGCTGCTGCCGGTACATTCAATCGTTTTACTGGTCGTTGGCAAGCTGGATCAATCAATCCGGAGAACCACAGCCAGGATAACAAGTCCCACCGACAAATGAATGCATTCTTCGACGTTGACGCTGCGGCCAATAACCATGACGGGCGGAGTCTGCGGGCGGAGCGAAGCGCTAAGAAGCTCAGCAAGCAGGAGCTGAAGATGTTTAAGGAAAAGCGAAGGGAAAAGAAGGAAGAGAAGCGCAGAGCATGGTTACGGGATTGATTTGTTGGCATGCTACCCTTATCACCTCTGCTTCTACTCTCATACACACCATTCGCATCATGGGGCTTTTGATACCTTTCACACAGGGCGTGGGTTTTGACGGCGTTTGCGGTTTCTTGGCTTTTTCTGGCATGCGGATAGAGGCAGTCTTGCGGAGCCGCAAAGGCTTATACTGCCTTTTTTTCCGCATTTGTAACATTAATATTAAGCACAAAATCTAATTGGTTGCATATACACATAGAATTCCTGTGACAAAATTAGCTTTGCACTTTCTGCTCGAGATGATCTCATAACCCGACCTTGTGTCTCTAATCTCTACTTAAGAAATAATTGACTGCGAGTCATACTAGATTACAATAGACATATCGCACCGAACCCGACAAGAAAGTCTCAATGACAAGCTTTTAAAATTTTATAGATGGCCCGCCCTAAACGGGCAACCCCGCCATAAAGTCACGTGCGGACCGATATCAAAGTTTCTGCGGCGAGGGAAGACTTCACAAATTCAAGAAATTTCCAGGTTGCGTCAATCACAAAAGGTACGAGTTGTGAGTGTGTGTCCGTTATACTCAAAGCATGCGTGTTATTATCTATTTCAAGCCCAATCCCGATCAGAGTGTGGTAGAATGGGAAATCCAATGCATCACCGATCAGTGCTCTTATCATACTACTGCAATCGCGGGGATCCTCGCGATTGATGACAATATTTGCATGTTTGGGCCGTGAACCCTTGACTCAGATCTTACTACTCTCCATTAAATTTCTCCCGATTTGATCTTTACACCCATTCACTTGCTTATCGTCCAATTCATCTACTGACACCCCGCTAGCGCATATCGAATTCTTGTCTGTGGCGGCAGAAAAGATCAACGGTCCACTTTTCCACGAAGAAGGATCCGGCACTGAAAAATAAGTCTAGTTAAGACTTCTTAAATCATGGCCTCCTTTGATTCAAAGCCCAAGCCTACTGTGCCCATCGCACTCCCCGCCGAGTCTATTGATGACCTCATCTACGATGCCCGCGCAGGCGATCTGGAGGCCTTGACGGCCGATGTCGCCAGTCTTGCATCTCAAAATAGCTGCCCCGAGGCTCAGATCATTGCATCTGCCATTGATATGGAGGACGAGAGCGAGGGAGGCACTGGATCTTGCGTGTTGCATTTCCCTGCCGCTAACGGCAACATTGGTATGTTGAAATGCCCTTTAATCAATTTCTTCGAGTGTTCATGCATACACACTGTGTGCACGCATGATATATAAAGTATGCATCATGCTGACTCTAGTAGAAATCCTCAGCTTTCTTCTCCAAAAGCTCTCCGCAGGAGACGTCGCCCAGCGCACGACTTTCATCAACCACACTAACCACTCCGGCAACACACCGCTGCACTGGGCCGCCTTGAACACGCACCTGGAATGTGTCAAGGCTCTTGTCGAAGCTGGTGCAGATGTCGCTATCAAGAACGATGCCGGCCACGATGCCGTGTTCTTGGCTGAGCGCGCTGCTTGGTCTGCCTCTGCCGAGGTTGTCGAGGAGAACGAGAACGGAGACCAGGAGATTGAGATGACCATTGGCGGAGATGAAGGTGAGGCCCAGGGTGAGGGCGAGGGCCAGCAGTCGGCTGGTGAAATGTCTGCAGGCAGACAGGTTGTTGAGTGGCTTCTCAGCTCGGAGAAGTCTGCTGGCCTGGAGAGTGGTGCCAAGGAGGGCGAGAGCTCTGCATAAATGAAGTTCTGTGTTAACTTGTTTACGGATTACATTCTTCTCAAAATTTGGCAATATCAATAGACAAGGACTGGTTGTTTTCAGCTGGTTCAAAAATACTTTATCTTACTTCGTTTCTAATGAAGACGGGAAATCTTCTTTTATTTTCTTAAGGAGTTCAGATTGGAAATGCCGCTAAGTGCGAAGTTCTATTTTTGTTTAAGCCTAAAGGTATGTATGCAATATTCTACAGCCCAAGACCAGCCAACCGGACGCCCGTCTATAAAAACATCATGCATCAATCACGTCGGACTTTTCTCACCTTGCCGTCCGCATTTTGTGGCGAGGCAGTCTTGGTATCAATCTCCCTAACCTTAGCATCAAATCCAACCTTGAAACGCCGATCCCGCCAGACAACAGTCACACCGCCGTACACAGCAATGAGCCAGATGGGCAATGCGAGAATTTCCCGGCCTAACCAACTGGCAAACCACTGCAGGAAAGTGCGACGGGTCGTTTGAGAGCGGCATTGAACGGGCCGTGCAAAACAAGGCGTGTTGTCATCCAATTCGATTGCTTTGGCAGAGTGTAACTTAACGTAAAGGGTCCAATCGACTAGAATCCAGAACGCCATGCCCAAGGTAAAAAGTGCAAAGAATGCGGACCAAGTGGACAAGTTCAAGCCAAGCTCTATTCCTTTGCGCTCCATGTACGGTGCCAATGCGGTCGTGACGCCCCAAGCGCCGTACATAGAGCAAACAAATGACTCGGTACCAGGCTCGACAAGTGTTGCGAGCAAGACGGTGAATTTGCGAACGCGAAGCCATCGAATTCGACGCGCAATGTATCCACGGACACTCATGTTTGCGACGGGTTGTATTGCCAGGTCTCCGAAGACCATGGCGTGTTTTCCCCAGTGCTCACCGAGCTCTTTTTCCTCACGCACCTTTCGGCGCCATAAAAGATCCCCGATGAGGTGGTCTTCGCAGATATTTTCAGAGAAGTAATCGATACCAGGATAGCGGGGATCGGGCTGGGCAGTCGATGGCGAGGTAAGATAGTCCAAGTGGGAACGTCGGAACATGTTCGATTTACCCACAATGCACGGTGCGACGAGGACAGTGTTTATGGCGGTGTACATCTTCGCGTGGGCGGATGAGAGAAATAGTTCCTCCAGACGACCACCTCCGGTAGCAAGCATGCTTGCCAGCCCGTCTTCTGGCCGGCTAGAGGATAAGGCGATCTCAGCTTCCGTGGCCTCGGGACGGGCATCCAAGAGCGCTTGTCGTTGCTCCGGAACATTGCTCTCCCCCGTTACATCCACGGCCAGAGGCAGGTGATGCACAAACTTGTATTTCTTGCCGGGGGTGGCTCCAGTTCCACATAATTTATCCACCATCCGGGCGCAGACTCCCTTCCCAACCCAGACATTGCAATCGATAATCCAAATGATATCACCTTTTGCTTCACGGTAGGCCCGACTCATGTTCCGGACCTTGGGATTCGGTCCAAGTGCGTACGAACCAGGCTCGCTGCTCTGCAAGAGGGGATCTTCCTCCTCAACGTAGACTCCCGCGTCGACATCTGGGAAATCGGTGATCAGTTTACAGAGAGTTGGGTAGGCTGGGTCCTTCCGTGACTCGACGCAGAGGCAGACGGTTAACTTGTCGCGCGGATATTGCTGTTGAAATGTCGCTGCGAGACAGTCGTAAAGATGTGGCTCAAGACCCTTAACAGGACGAATCGCGGTGACATGGGGGGGCGTTGGGATCGGACACCAGATGCGAAGGGCGCGGCCGGCGCAAGAAGTGTCTCCATCTGCAATGCCGAATGAGGGTTAGCTAGTGGTCTAGTAGCCCCTTATGAACGAGAGACAAGCGGAATTGAGCACCGGGGTATAGTGCATACATCTGGAAATAGCCCAACGCGCACACAGCCAACACGGCGATGTACCAGATCAGACCAATCCAGCCCGCCGCGACAGACACGGACACAGCGCCATCGGTGGGCGATTGGAGGAACGGCAAGGTCGGCACTAGCATGAAAGATGGAGGGAGGGTGCCGGCAAGGCGCACATTCTAGGATTGTGGACGAGGATAGAGAGAAAGTCCAACTTCCGTTGGGTTGGTGGAGGTCTGCGAGCTGCTCAGCTCGGATGCGACGGATTTCTTTTTGCCGCACCGCCGCCTTCAGGTAACACGAGGCTATCAACACGTTTTGTTTCGTGGATTGGAGTGATCTTACTCGCGTTTTCTATATTCTTTGGTCTTCTTCTCCATCACCTTTATTTGGTTATTCTTATTTTCTTTTCAATTGCGCTCTTTTTGCAACACTCTGCTTTTATGCTCCCTTGCTGCTTACAGTACACCGAGGGACATCATACACATACCCAATTGGACCTATCGAGATCCCGCTATTGACCAGCCCGACGTGATTCATAGAGAGAAAAATTGATTTGAACAGCTTGCATATGTATTTCAGATCGAACGAATAACGGAAGTCTCCCTATTCCAGCTAGAAGCAAAAACGATTTCCTCCATACCCCATAACTCCAAAATTCCAAATTAAAACCAAAAGTTCATGTAGTAATCTCACGTCTTCTTCTTCTTTCGTACTAAGCCTGCGTTGAGCACATTCACAGGAGCTGGCTGCGATGGAGCAGCGAAGATTTCATCTGGCCCACTTGGCTGCAATGCACTATCCTCCATGTTGGTGCTTTGACTTCCCGACTTCTTTCGCTTGCGGATGAGGCCGGTATCGAGAATATTGTTTGTCGTTGCCGTCTCAGCATTGGTCTGTTCAGGAGAGTGGGTGCCCACAACCTGCTTGCCCCATGTAAGCTGGTCGGCAAGATATGCCACCTGGTCGATGTATTCCTTGGTGCTGGTGACAATTTCTTTCTCGCTGTAGAGATGATCTAAAACGCCATCCATCATAATTTTGTAGTCGGTATCGCTTAAGATGACTTGTCCACGTCCGGCTTCGGGCCAGTAGAATGGATTTGTGTCGGTGAATTGTGACGTCGAAGGCCGGTCGAAGGAGGACGGCAATCCTTCTGGGACTTCGAGTAAATCTTCCGAAGGTGTCGGTTCTGTGGGTTCACTTGGCGATGCATTGTCCGTCTTTGACTGCTCAGGGGCTTCCTGGACCGATACATCATCAAAGGAGGACTTGGAAGTATTCGTAACGGTAGAAATAGTCGGTGCCGATAAGGTACTGCGTGAGCGACTGGCCATAGTTGTCGAGTTCATCAGGCCAGGAGGATTGATAACAAGCCACAGGAATCCAACTAAACGGCCGGCCGAACACTCTTGCCGGAAAGACATCATCTCCCAGAACTGGTCCAAAGACCGAACGCTTCGCCACATGCCAGTATTTTGAGGGGCGTCACCCTCACCCTCCGCTGGCTCGGGTAGCTCATCGTCCAGATCGATCAGGAAGCGCGTTTTCGGGTCGTCTGGAAGCCGGGGAATCAAGCACCGCGGTGGAGCCGAGGGGTTATGAACCATTTGCTTGAGGGGATAGCTACTCAACCATCGTGGACGGTCCTGAGGGTCCGATTTGGCAGTAGTTGGGAAGAAAGTACGGGTTTCAAAGCGATCACACCCCGGGACAATCAAATAGGCTGTCGCAGATGCCTTGGCTGCTTCACCCATTTCACTCTGTTGCTTGGAGTCCTGGGAGACGGACTCAGGCTCATGCTCACGGAGAATTGGATCGACTGATCGGCACCACCACTTGATAAGGCCGCGATCATCGAGGACATGCTTTTCGGCGTTCTCGATGCTACCCGGGAAGAGGTACTGGTTTTGGGCGCGTGCGAACAAAGATATCACTAATCGGACCCCCGGTCGCTGATGTGTGCGTGCCAGATATGATAGAAATGTGTTTGTGACCAGTCGCAGTACTGATACCTTATGGGGTAGCTTAAGCAAGTGCAGTAAGCCCGTTGAGTCGGCCTTAGAGACGAAGATGGTCGTTAGGTGGGCCGTGGTATAGACCAGCACCTCCATGCCAAAGACAATGAGCTCCGCACCTCCATGCTCTCCATACTCCTTCGGTGCATCAATTGAGACCGACAGGAAATGATTTTCACAGAAAGTTGCCTCTGTAGTCTGGCCCGGTGCAGCTGCAAACAAGGCTGCCGAAGGGGCGGGAGTGGATGAAACATGACGGACGGTGATCTGGGCACCGGTGGGGAGCACCTTGGCCAACAAATCCCCCAGATCTCCCTCCGCTGCCATTGTGCACCAATGAGATTGACAATCACGCTGCGTTGGATTGAGAAGTTGTGGAGCTGCTGAATCAATCGTGCTGCACTTTTCCGGTGCAGCACGATCACGTGAACGACGAAGGGAGTGGCTGGGAATGAAGAGATGAATAGTAACCAAAAAAATAAGAAAATAAACATTTGATGCTTCTTCCTTATATTAAAAGTTTGAACCGATGCATACTATATCCGGTATTTCAGAGGGACTGACTGTAGTAGTACGAGGAAACAGGGTCAACTGAGCAGCTATACGGATCTGCCGGCCAGTTCTGGGACAATACAAGCTTGGCAAAGAAGAACTTATAGAGCATTTTGTGTATTTTCGATAGTTCTTTTTATTAAAAAAGGACTAAATATAATGCTAGTACTAAGAGAAATTAAGTTGCGCGAGAGTAGCAGGAATTAATTATTCCATGAGCATTTAGGTCTCCTGCCCAATAATAAATGTATCTTAAACCTTAGAACGATATCTTATTGAACCAGCAAAAGGACTCGTAGATTCGGTTTGGCTACAAGCTAATGACTTTCATTGTCATAGATTCACTATCGTCATTGTGACTGTGCAGTGGGAAGAATAAGACCAGAAGGGCTTTCATGATTATCCCCCGTAAGTCCCAAATTGTAGCAAGGTAGATTCAATACTCATAGGCGTTGGGATCTAATTTAGAATTTATTTTCTCCAGCGTATCAAATGCGTTGCTGTCGATCATGACCTCCAATGACTTTTCACTGATATCGAAACCACGATTTTCACCGCAACACCCACACGAAAAGGTGCAGTGGCCGATACCAAGCTCACGTACGGAGCTCGTTTTACAGTGGCGTTGCAAAAATTTAAAATCTCTTTTTGACTGTTCTCTTCTCCGTTTTATAATGGTAGGCTATAGTTATAGACTTCAAACTTTTGTAACGTAACTGTACATTCAAGATTTGTACATCATCCCCAGTCACGCTTACAGTAGCCTCCGCGGCCCACACAATCGTCGACGAAAACTTGATGCATATACCATCGTGAATGTTATCTCCAAAGCCCATATCCTCTCTGAAATACTAGTCATCTCTTTCAGACAACTGGAACTTCCAATACGACCATTTATCTTGTAACTAGTCATCCATATTCTTTCTGTTTCCCAGCTTTGGGCAGTAGAGCCATCTTTTTTTGACACATTTTTCAAAGTAGCCACTCACCTGTGGATTTCAAGTAAAATGCTCCAATAAAAGCTCAAACCCTAGGTATCTTCACCTGGGAATCAATTGACTCCACATAGAGACGCCTCTAACTGGGCCTAGTTAGGCCGAAATATGATAAGTCCGACCTCTACTCCATACGGAGTAGTCCGAGCTCCAAGGTTTCCACAATGGTTGCTTTGCATAGCCCTGCTTCCTGAAACTGTTTTAATAGGGCTGGGTGAAATGTCATTTGCTTGAACCCACCGCTGTTGGAGCAGACATACTGGGGATTCCGGCCCCAAGATGCGGTGGATACTCAACAAGCCCTGGGTACATGCAGGCTCGGTTAAATCGATGTTGAAGCGTCCATCCGTAATCGTAAGCCCATCACACGATCGTTTCTAGTCGGAAAGCCGACTGTCCGAGTGCCGAGATGTTTTACTCATTTACCCCCCCCAAGTAATCTCTTGAAGGTGAAGATCAACATGCAGAAGTCCAGTCAAAAGCCAAGACGGCACACCCCTTTCTCCACCGCGTCGGGCTTAATCCACGCCGTCAAAGACCGAAATGTGTCATTTCTACAAAGAGTAAATGCGACGAGTGCGCTTGCGCTAGGGCCCTAGTAAAACTGCACAGAAAAGGCCGATTCTGACAGATTTCGATCGAGTATGCATCGTACCACTATATAATCACGCCATCAGCCCCCAAAGTGTAGCCATTTTCACGCTCGCTCATTGCTCCCAGCCCAATTAAGCTTATTCTACATAGCCCTATACCATCCATCTCCTCGATCATGGCTATCCCCGATACTCCCCAAGCGGCCAGCGCTAGTCCCGCCACTCCTCGCCGTTTACTACTCATCTCGGTGCCCCGCACCGCTTCCAATCTTCTGTTGAAGATCTTAAACATTCACAATCAACCCCAGTTTCACACCAGCCCAAAGGGCGGGTACTTCTTCTATCCCGCATTCGTATCTGCGGCCCAAAACGGCCATTTGGCCAAATCACCGGAGCAATGGTCACAAGAGGATAAGCAATCCGTGAAGAAGGGTTTCCAGGGATGTCTGGATGCTCTCGAAGATGAGTCTTCGGTGGCGCAGAAGGACAACAAGGCCATGTTTGCCAAGGAACATGCATTCTGGTTCTTTAACCCGGCTGCCCTTCATAAGATGAGGACTGGTTATGAGGACCCCGAGTTTTTCAAAGAGCTCCGGTCGGATATGCCCGAGGCCTACGGCCCGAGCAGTTGGTCTCCGGCCAACGAGACCATCTTGTCAGATGAGTATATGCAGTCCTGGCAATATGCTTTCATTATTCGCCACCCAGCTCTTTCCTGGCCATCGATGTACCGCGCGATGTTGAAGATCGCCAAGGAAGGGTACATGGATGAGGACGGGATCAAGGGCTCGTCCTTGACGAACATGACCATGCACTGGTCTCGTATGTTGTACGACTGGTGCCTGGAGCAGCCGGATATTTCGGTTGCACCACCTGTGGTAGATGCTCACGATCTCATCCACAGCCCAGAGATCGTGTACAAACTTTGCGAGCAGACCGGCCTTGACAAGAGTGCTCTGCAATTTGAGTGGGATGGCAAGGATGAGCAGAAGAAGTCCGATATTTGGGCTTCTCCCGAGTCTGATGCTGACCAAAAGCAGCGTGATTTGCATCGCCGTGCTGCCTCGATCATGCTCTCGACCTTGGAAGACTCTAAGGGTATCGTCAAGGACAAGGCACCCGTAAACATCGACATTGACGCTGAAGCGGCCAAGTGGAAGGTCGAGTTTGGCGAGGAGATTGCTCAGATGATCGAGAAAGCCGTGAGGGATTCCATGCCTGACTATGAGTACCTCAGGGCTCGTCGAATCACTGTGTAATGCCGACCTTGGGACACTGCGTGTCCTGGTGAACGACAAGAATGAACTGTACATGTCTAAAATATTATATAATTGTCAATAAATCATTTCCACTCACTCACCAAGAGCATGCATTCAAGTCGATACGGATCCCTTTCCAAGGTCCCGTTGTATCGATCAATCGATCGAAATAGTAGATGTCATGTTTTACATGCATGCACGAACCGCAGAAGCCAGATACCAAACGTTGCAAGTCATGAGACGACGAAAAATAGATTTGTTTAATATAGACAGATAATAGTACACCATTGGATATGCAAAAGAGACCACGCTTAGCCTTTGTCCAATTACCGCTTGTTTCCACCCAGGAAGGCCCTCTTCTGGCGGATGTAAGCAGCCACAACATTCTCGACACTGCGGCGGTCGTGCTTGCGGGACCTAGATAAGCGGATTAGTACCATAATAACGACTAAGGTATAGGTTAGGTAGGTTGGAAGATCGACATACCGCATGTAGAACAGTCTGGCGCGGCGAGGCTTGCGCATGGCACGCTGGACGATTTCGACACTCTGAATATTGGGGTTGAAGATCTTAACGGACATCTCGACACCAACGCGGGTGAGCTCATTCCGCAGCAAGACGGAGGTGTCGATGCCGCGCAGCTTGATGCTCAGGACGACGCCGTTGAAAGGGTCGCCGTTCTTGAAGGTAACTCGGACAATATCGCCGGGCTTGACACTGCGAGCGTTTCGCCGGTAATCAAACAGAGCCTTGCGGTCTCCCTTGGGATCGAGAACTGTCATTTGCGAATCGGTAACACTGGCGACTGGATCCTTGCAGGCAAGGCGAGCAGACGGGGGCGGAGGGTAAACCTTGACAGGCTTGGGGCCTGGAATTGAATGGCACAATTAGCAAAGACGAACCTGACGGATTATTTTAAAGACCAAATACACACCATTTTCCGGCTGCATGCGCTCAGGTAATTGTGATAAGAATTGCTTGGGGAGGTTCGGAGGGAGAGGAACGCGCTCGGGGCGCTGCGAGTAGATGGACGAGATGAATCGACGACCAATTTGCGGCTGAACAGCTTCCTGGGTCTTGAGCAAAGTTCTCAGACAGCCCAGCTGCCGCATTGTTGGTAAGGCCGCCATGGTTGTGATGTTGCTGAGAGAGTTGACAAAGTCGGCGTTGAGTTTTGGCGCGGACCGGCAGAATTTCCGCCAAGCCTCGACGTTAGTCCCTCGAGATTCTTCTCCGCCTCCTCTTTCTCGCGCATCCACGTTTTGCTGGCCATTGAAAACAGTCTGTTGAGTGACTGTTCTTTGCTGCTGTGAATTAATTGACCAAACCCTTGCTACATCGTCTCTCGCCATTATTCACAACCCCTCCATCATGGCGCAAACTGCCATGGGTAGGCTCTTTCGCTGGCCGGGCGCCCTCGGCCAGTCGATGACCTTTTCCCAAGTCCGCAATTATTCTGGATCAGGTAGGCTATTGATCCTTTGGTTTGCAATTGGCTCTTGTCCATTTTCTAATGTTTGATTTTTCCCGATATACAGCTGTGCCGACTTTCACCCCGACTTCCTCCGCCGAACTGGACCAGGCCCTTGACCGATTCCGACAACAGCTTTTTATTCCCTATGGTCTTCCCAGGCGGCAACGGAGAAGCATGTTCCAAGAAAAGCATGCGCAAAGGCTAATTCACGAACCCATCACTGTCAGCATCGGCGAGAATGAGCAGTTCACTTTGCGACCCATGAAGCTCACCGATCTGCCAACCAAAAAGGAGGCCCTGAAGGTTCTCAAGCTTATGGAGGCTGCCAACGATTACAAGAACCTCGTTCCCTTCATGGGCGGCCTGGGATCGGCCGGCTTTGTTCTCAATTCCAACCAGTGGGAGCACCTAATTCGTGTGACCAACAAGTCTAGCAAGCTTTCTGTCATGCTTCAATGCGCCAAACAACAAAGCCGCACCGGCCTGCAACTACGCGGAATCGACCTGAACAGACGCTTGTTCTTTGAACTGCACACTATTGCCCAGAAGGCGGAATACAAGGGCGAAGAGGTGAAGAAGGCCATGGGGTTTGCGAAGCAGGCGATCGAATTGATTGAGGCAGACCGCTACGTGGACAAGAACTGGAAGCCTGCACCGACTAGTGACCCTCTGGCTCAACCTTTTGTCACTGGCACTTTGCTGGAGCTCGCCGCTTCCCGGGCGATCAACGAGTTTGGTGGCAAGGATGAAACCAATGAAGTCATCAGCGCTGCCCGGAAGCTGGTCCATTCCAAGCTTTTGTCCCGAAATGAAACTGCCCCTGCTAGTGAATATATCGGGGACCAAGAGAAGTGGCTTCAGGAGACAGTCCCGATCTACAATGGACTTCGATTGAGTCTCTTGGTCCATGGCATTGCTCTTGACAAGGAGCTGCACTCGTCTCTTACGTCCAAGCTTGCCAAGGTCAAGGCTGCACTCGAGGAGCAGATGGCTAAATACTCTGCTGAGGGCGCGAGACGTCCATTCAGCTATGATACCTTCCAAGCTGCGCTCAAGGAATAAAGGAGCGAGAGTTGCATTTGCGTACGGGTTGTTTTGGCTTTAAAAGCATGTATATTACCTTCATTCCAAACTCATTGGAGTTGGTCTTGTATTTCATAAAATGGAAAATATCGACTTGAATTGAGCATCGCCACTGGCGCTTTTTGTTAGATGAATCCCCGCTGGGCGCTGATGAAATATTTCAAATCCTGAACTAATCTTGCTAATCATCAAATGGCAATCCACCAATGATTTTCATATAGGATGGATTGAAAGAAAATGCAAATTCCGAAGGTACAATGTCCCGACGATGCCAAGTGAAACTAGCTCAATTCCACTGTGTTGTCATTGCTGATACGGACACGGGTGGGCAAAGTAGTTTTGCCCCCAACAACAGCGGGACCAGCGACAGTAAGCTAGAATAACGAAGAAGTTAGACATATTACAGAGAGGCGGTACGGATATGAGAGATATTGTAAGCTTACCTGGCCTTCAGGCGAATCGTCCGACCCTCCGTTCTCAGAGACATCGGTCAGTGTGATTTCAGTGCTACTCAGCGGAGCGCCGAAGTGGGCAGGTCCACTAAGGCATCTGTAGTCAAAAATATTTGTTTGAGCAATGGCACCCGCGATGCCAGGCCCAGTCAGCGCATATACAATCCGAGCATCGGTGAAGATACGGAGTTCGGTCAGCTGCTCCGAGGTGAGGCGAACAGAGGGATCGGCATCGACACGGTGGGAGATACACAGCAAGCGCAGGTTGTCCAAGGATAATTCGGCGGTCGGGCCAACTCGACTAATTTGGCTGAGAATGTTCTTCGATGGCATGTTGCCACCATCCAAGGTTCGTGCCTGCACCCAGCGACCAAGCGAAGAAACAGGTCCAGTGTGAGGCTTCATGACACGCTCATGATAATCGGACATGGTGTGGGAGGATGCGACGATCACAGTAGGGGAGATTCCAAGGGTGGCAAGAGCGAAATCGACATTTTCACCGGCAACTGAGTTAAGGGCGATGGAGGCGTTGCAGTAGAGTGCGTTCATGATTTGTAGCAGGGGATATGAGCGAGAGAGGGAGTCGATGGACAGAACGAGATCAGACGGGGTGAAGCGTTGGTTACGAGGGAGTGCAGAGCCCAAGGCCGCGAGAGCAGAAATTAGGTTCTGCGATAGATTTGTGAGCACCACCATTGTTAGAATCACTAGGAAAAATAACAATAACTTACCTCTGACTGGAAATCGATAAATTGACCAGACGTAGAGGAGGACGGCCACACAGTATTTACAGCCGGAGCCGGAGTAGTTGGATCGTATTCGGGAACCTCAAGACCTGCCAGGTCCTTGTGCTCTTCAACAAGTTCGTGCCAGACAACAGCATTCAAAGTACCCTTGACCTCCTCAGGAACATCGTGCCAGTCCATATGACGGTTGCCGTACTTCGCGACCCAGACGACGAGGTCAAGCTGCTTGTTACCGTTTGCGACAATAGACAGGTCAAGTGATCCAGCCTCGGCAATCAGGGCATCAGCCTTGCAGGCTTGTAAGTGTGCAGACAGAGTCTCCGCAGGCAAGTTGTGGGGCACAATGACAGTCTTATATCCATAGAAGGAACCAGCTGAACCATTCAGATGTTAGCAGATAGTTTAGATAAACCATTGTCGGAGTATTTACCAAAGATAGACGTAAGTAGCTCGACAGAGTCGGTAAGACAAACAGCCACGGTTTTGGCATCAGACTTCTGCAGCTCCTTTCCAACTACATTCATTTCCTGGGTGACTTGAGACAGAGAATGCTCGATGGAGTTCTTGCCGAGCACGGTGAAGATCTTTCCCTGCTTACCAGATGCAGATCCATCAGGGTTCAAAGATCCGCGCAAGGCGGCCTTCCAAATATCACGCAAATCACCCCGTCGACCGGCGGTATACTTGGGAGTACCGGGATCCTTGACATTCAATCCAGATCGAAGCGGGAAGCCATATGGAGTCTCCAAGCAGCGGTATGTTGCGGATTCACCGGAGTTTCTAATAGGAGATGCAGTGGACTGGCGAGCGAGGAGAAATGGATGAACGTCGGGGTCCCGGGAGGAGAAGAGCGAATAAAGAGCGAAGGCACCGAGCAGGCCGGCGAAGAGGGTAGAGTATATGTTCCAATCAGCCAGCACATTTGACAGTGCGGCATCCACCTGCTCAATGAGTGACGCTTGATCCGCCATTTTATTGTCAGGGTAAAATGACCCGGATAAGTGCAAGTGACAAAGCAAACAATCCGATTGATGACAGACCACGCCCCGGATTATAGCTATGACGTTGAGGGGTTGCGGCGCGTGCGGTGTGTTCGGGTCCGGGTCAACTAGAATGCCGGGCGTCTAAATTCGCGTGTGCGGCGGCTTTTCGAGTCGTTCCAGCCACTTGCGATCACAACAGAGTCCCTCCTGAGCAATGACCATTTGAATCCCACCCCCTCCTTTCCAGACAAGGGGCAACGGCAGATATCAATGCCCGTGTGTCTCTACTGATTTTCCCCCTCCCCAATTACGCCCAACAAAGGTAAGTCAAGGTAAGTCCAATCTCGTTTCCGCGAAAGGTAAGTCTCGTGCCCATCCAAGCTACCACAACGATAGAGTACCCATTGACAAGGGCTTACAGTCTCTTTTGCTCGGAATAGATAGCCATTGCGCTACTTCACTATTTCGTCTCAATTCATCCCGCTCTTCTTGACCTTATTTCCCCACTTTCAACCGACCACTTCATAAATGGCCTCCCAATCTCTACCCTCGACCCCCAAACCCGCTACACCTGTTGTGGCTCCTGGTTCAGCGTCTGGCACCCCGGGAAAATGGCGGCATCCTCAGCTCAGCGAGATCGTGAGACGGCAAGAAGCCTCAACTTTTGGCGATAAGAACCTGAGGAAGCTCCTGTGGAACGGCGGTGTTTTGACCGGGACGTGGATATTCGGCGATCTCTTCAAGACCTAGTAAGTTAAGGGAGTTATACATTGCCATGGGGTGGAGATTCTAACAAATTTCACTCTAGCTCGCGTCTACTTGTCAGCGCCGACCCTAATTCCATGTACAACTACCTCCCGCTGTTTATTCTACAGCTTTATCTCCTTCTCAACGTCGGCTTCGCGCTGTGGCCTCTCTTGCGATCCAACGACGACTTCTCCGATATCCCCCTCACACCTACTCAGCGGGCACTTCTGGGTATGGACCCTAATGCAACACCACCTGCGACACCGGGGACAACATATGTGACTCCTCCGCGGTACCGGGTGTCTACCTCGCGCAAAGGCAGCCCCGCGAGCGCATCCGGTCACAGTCTCTCTTCTCCGCTCTCCGCAAACCCTGGATTGTCTGGGCGCCGAGTCTCGTCAGGCCCCTTCTCACCAGCATCGAGTCCGCTTTTCCACAAGAATGTCGTAAACGAGAGTGGAGCAGGTGGTGGCCGCAGACAGAGCTTTGGGTCATCTTCCCCCCTTGCTCGTAGTAACTCATTCAACAACTCGTTCAACCACTCCCTCGGCAACTCTTTCAGCACTTCCCTTGGAAACTCCCTAGGAACCTCATTTGGAGAATCGACGATGGCCCCGAGTACCCCTTCTCCTCTTGCCGGCAAACGTCAAAGCCTGGGACTGAGCAACAAATGGCTCTACGAGCGCAGCAGACGGTTGTCTGCAAGCAATGGCACTCTGTGATGTCTGAATCTCATGCCGTTGCTTTCATATTTATTTTTCTTCTTTTTTCTTCTCATCGGCTGCGTGGATAGGAGTTTGTAGAATAGGTCAGGGTTCATTAGCGCTCCATAATCAACAACAATATTTCCAAAGCATGCGCCTATTCCATAGTGAGGGTTGTAGCCATCCAGTACAAGGTCTGTGGGCCTACCGAAGTCTCCCAAAGTTCAAAATATACTAGTACCACTACTAATAGGTCTAGAACATCGCTCGAAGCAAACTTGAATTTGAACTAGTAAACAACGTTTGCCCGCAAGTAGATAGTAGGTAGCCCTGGAAGGCATAATTATAATCCATTCAGCCCCAACCTGGGAAGACATCCATAGATGATATTCAGAGCCCACTCCAAATCATTGGTTTCAGCTGAACCATAGTTTGAAGGCATCGTGGCTACCAGTAGGTACCTAAGTTTCCCTCGTCAGCGTTGGAGTACCTACTCGTAGTACTACTGAGTGGTGCCCGGCGCCGCCTAGGCGGCTCGGCAGATCTCCCATGTGTCCCCCAACTCCGCAAACACGAACCAACAACCAACTTGAACACTCTCGGTTTGGACGCCTACCTTCCTTCTTCAACCGCGGACCTTCTTAACGATTCCAACTGCATGACTCGCAGGCTGTGAGAAATCAATATTCCAAACAATGGGGGCCTCGGAGTCCAAGCTGGTCTTCAAGCAGGGTATCTTCCGCCTCTCTGAGGAGAAGGAGATCCCCGCAGATGACCCCTACTGGACAAGAGTACGTCATTTCTATCTCAAGCTGATTTTATGCGCTCTAATTCTGCGCAAGAGACATTCTAACTGACTATGATGGTAGTTTTGGGAGCTCCCTGAATCCACCGAAGATGTCTTCAGCTTATTTACCCCCGCCGATATTCGTCGAACGCGAGACAATGCCCTCTCCAACTTCGAAACGTTACTCCTATCAGTCTCCTCGCGTCTTATAGTCCTCAAGAATCATCCTTCGTTCCCAGATCCAGACCTGGCCCCCGAGCGCGATGCGCTCAACTGTATCCGCGTCCTTACTCGACTCCTCCCCTTTGTCTACGAAGCCGACCACCTCGAAGGATGGGAGGAGAAGTTCTTCTGGACACGTCGCATGAAGAAAACCAGACAAGCTCAGATCGCTGGCGAGGTCCTATTCGACGAGGCTGGGCTGGCGGACCAACAAGATGGGGATTCCCCCCGTTCAGAGGAATACGAGGAGGTGAAGCCGCTTGCCGAGGAGCTGATTGACACACTCTTTGACTTGCTATTTTTTGCGGATTTCACCATTCCAGTTCTCCCGACGGCGAAGGGCAAGATATCTTACTCGATATGGCAGAGTGGTGTTGGCTGCAACACAACGATGGGATCCAACAAGACCTTGGAAAGTAACCGGTGTGAGATTCTCCGACTTCTCCTCACCATGACCGGCAAAGCGATGTATCTACCGTCAAACACCCTCCCGGTTCAAGGCGTGAAAGCGATCACCTACATCACCACCTGCCAAGATAAGCAATCTGTTTTGACACTACTCTGCTCTCTTCTGAATACGGCCATGAAATACAACCCTGCATCATGGAGAGTTCCATACGACCATGTGGTCTGGAAAGATCCCAAGCAGATCATGGTAATATACAGCCTGCAGCTTCTCCTGGTTCTCCTTCTGTACCCTATTCCTGAGGATGGTCGTGGGGCCCCGCCAAAGAACTACTACCGTCATTACTACGGAAGATTACATAGACCCCAAGACTTCCAGTTTCTGGTGGATGGTATGACCAGGATTTTGAATCAGCCTATGCAAGCCACCGCTTCATATCTTCCTGGCAGCCAAAGATCGGTGAAATGGGCCCCAGAAATTCTGGTTCTGTTCTGGGAGACTCTGCAATGCAACAAGCGCTTCAGATCATTCATTATAGACTCCAACCGATCTCATGACTTCATTATCCTTTGCGTCTTCTATGCCATGGAGTACAGAACCGATCCTTCAAAGCAGGGCGTGGTGCGCCTGTGCGTATTCATTCTTCAGACAATGAGTGCAGAGGCGACGTTTTGTGAAAGTCTCAACATGAAGTTTGAAGCTCAGGAGACCTTGCCACAGCCTATCAGGCTGGTCAAATTCCGAGGCTCTTATGCCGATTTCCTGATCATTGTTCGTTGTTTCCCATTCTTGAAGGTTGAAATGATCTGCTAACCATATCCATTAGTCTATCCACACTCTCATGGCGACCAGCAAAGGAAAGCTCGATACTGTTTATCCAGCTCTCTTGATGATCCTCAACAATGTGGCCCCTCACATCAAGCGAATCTCACCCAGTGCCAGTTCCAAGGTCATCCAACTCTTCTCTTCAATGTCTACCCCCAGCTTCTTGTTGGCGAATGAGACAAATCACACTCTTCTTGCAGCGCTCTTGGACTTTATAAATGCAATTCTTGAGCACAACTTCACAGGTATGCTTTCTTATCTCATGTCTTTCCACCTCTGTGCCAGCAGCTCTAACGTTCCCAGAAAATTCGTACCTTGTTTATGCAATCTTGAAGTACAAGCAGCGCTTTGAGGCCGTACGGAAATTCACACTAGAAAGTGGCCAACAAGAGATCGAGCGTCAGAAGGAGAGGTGGAAGGCCGGAGCGGCCCCTAACGACACGCCCGCAAGCCCGACTCTTTCGCAATCCGAGGAGGATCTCCATCTTCCGTCGGGTGCTCGGTCGCCTCTTACCCAAATCCCGGAAGAGAACAGTGCCTTCGCGATCGGCGAAGATGACTCTGATGATGAAGGGCCACACACACCTTCTCAGTCTTCACCATCGGCACAAACATCTCGCAGGCCCTCAATTGCATCCACGACTGACGAGACCAGTTCGCAGCTGCGCGGGATGTCCGAAAAGGCTCGCGGCAAGAAGCCTGCCGGACAGCCGTCGTTCTCGCGCCAAAACAGTATGACTAGTCAAACTAGCATGTCTGCTCTATTCTTGTCATCTTCTACGGCTTTCACGCCCACTGTTAGTTGGGTAAGTTTTAGGGGTGGCACGGATTGCCGTCCTTCCATTTGAGTATTTTCGCTGACATTCTTAAAAATAGCTCGAGTCCTGGCTTCCGGAACTGCCCCTACACACCATCCTCACCATCATCTCCGCCATCGCGCCCCATATTCCCGATGCAGCACTACAGACTACATCCAGCCCCGAAGCCCGTACTTTGATCACCAACCTTCCGTCCTTTGCCGAAGAGCCCCAGGTCAAGGGTATCATCTCAGAGCCAATCCCGACTAGGGTTCAATCATTTGAATGGTCCGCTCTCTCGATGGGTTGGTATGAGTCTCTCCTGTGGGGATTCATCTTCTCCAGCGAGATGGTCGTCGGCACAGCCGCAGGAGCCACACCAGGAACGGTGGGTGTGTGGAATGGTACCGGGATTCGCTTATTCAGGGTGCAAGAGGCAGCCGCGCAAGGACCGACCCTGCTTGCTCCCAAAGGAGCGGTTGATGCAGTTGGAAGCAACCTCGTTCAGCGCATCGGCAACCTCAGTCTACGCGGCCGCAACTCCACGTCCCAAGAGCCACCGGCAAGGGGCTCATCTCCAAGTATTCGAGAGGTTTAGATGCAAGAATTATTGATGTACATAACACCGTGACCGTGACAGCACGATATGAACTTCCCTCTGGATGACTATGACCTTTCTTTGTATGGATATATAGGATTGTTATTTTTAATTTGATTACCATCACCTTCTCCTGAAGAACTAGTAGTTACCTCCAAGATAATAATATTCCACTAAACGAACTTGATGGTGAAGTTGCTCAGGTGGTCACCAATGCCGCCAGAGCACGTGCAGCGACCAATCCCGACACCGCATTTCCACATTCTTTCAAGTTGGTCTCGCGACTCCGAGTCTCGCTCTTTCTCTCCCTCCAATTGTACTGCCAAGCAAAAGCCTACTATTGGCATAACGCAAATATAGGAATTCCTGATTCCATACAGTATCGGGTGACAATCATCCATGATGTTTCTTTCCGTGTTCGCGACGCTTGCCGCTGGGGCCTTTGCCGTGGCTCCCGGCACCTCTAGCTTGCAGAACATCTTGAAAAATACCCACGCGAGCTATGACTATGGATACCCAACGGATATTACGAGGGATATCATACCGGTATGTTGAATTGCAGCATGGTCTCCTCGATGCATATCTTGTCGAGTCTGCGGGTATTCCGGTTTGTTGGACTAACGTCATGCGTAGATTCCCGTGCATTCCCACAAGTACGCGACCCTGGACCTCGCACCTCAAAATGATCAATGGATCCCCTTTCCGTGAGAAAATTTGCTCATTGGTAATTAGTGACTACTGGAGGGATAGGCCTTTTTATACCGGTAGGTGTCTGGCATTTTCTGTCCTTGTTCCCCTTCCCCACCGCTAACCAAGTTCTTAGGCCTGTCAAAGGGTTGTACATCCACCGAGGCGGATGTCTGGCTATACAACGGCACTCTCTATGTCTGTGTCTACGTGCCTTCTCCTGGATATGCGAAATCGCTAATTCTTGTTCAGGTCGGCCATGACGAGTCATCGCTCACGTACGAACGCACATTAGAAAACCTCTACATCAATCCGATCCTGGATGTACTGGAGCGCCAAAATCCCGACAGTCCATTCCTGACAAGCCCAACAAAGAAGTCAGTAACCCCGGCCTTTTTCTTTTTCTTTAAATGCAATTTGGCTGACTAGAGCGAACAGTGGCGTCTGGGACACCGATACTGCTCAAACACTCTACTTCTTCATTGATGTGAAAACTTCCGGCCACGAAACATTCGAAGCTGTCATCAAAGCCCTAGAGCCCCTGCGTCAGAAAGGCTACCTAACCACACTCAAGGGCGGTAAAACGGTGGAGAACGGACCAGTGACCATTATTGGGACAGGCGATACCCCCCTCGACATGGTGCTGCCGGTCAAGGACCGGGATTATTTCTTCGATGCGCCTCTTGACGCGTTGGCGGATTCCAAGTACCACAAGCTCGATCACAGAGTTTCCCCCATTGCCTCGACTAATTTTGTCAAGGCCGTCGGTCAGGTTAACATCGATACTGAACCCGTTCTTCGAGATGAGCAGCTCAAGGCACTACGCTCTCAGATTTCTCTGGCGAAGGAGCGTGGAATCGGTGCGAGATACTGGAATACGCCCAACTGGCCGGTTCGTCAGCGTAACCTTGTATGGAGGACTCTTTTACAGGAAGGGGTTGGGCTGCTAAATGCTGATGATCTGGATGCGGTGGCTTCTTTCTTCTGAGGTCTCAGGCGTCGAGATCGGCCTCCTTATACCTAGTCATCGCACAAACCCACACGCATTGCCATTTTATGGGCTTGGCCCAGGTACAGAACTTCTGTCAATAATTATCGGGGTTATTCCGCGCTGCGTTCCACCTTGGATGGTGTTTATTGATAGTTAAGAGATGGATTTGTGTAAACTTTTCAGACGACAACACATTCGCCTTCCACCTGGTCATATCGGGGTATCAATAAATCGAAGATTCGTTAATAATTCATTCCGGCTTTCACCCCATACATCCCCCGGTCATCGTTCCGAGGTGGGTGGTTCATCATCCAGACTTCACATTTGGACCATATCCTTCAACGGTCGGGGGTGTGCAGGCAGTTGCGGCACTTGTGAGGTGACAACTTGGCTTCGACATGTTGAATATTGATAGCGGCACATCTGTCATCCTCCCGAGGCAAATGTTTCCGGCATTTGACAAACTCTCCACCGATGGTGTGGCCACAGGTGTAACGAATTTGCATCTGGGTGCAGTAGTCTGGCCAACTGAAGGTTTCTTGATCACGTCTCTGATTAGCTTCTTGACACAGACAAATTGACATGTTGAATAATCCAGGTCTTCGTACCTTCGTTTTCAGCTAAAACTTCACTCGCCTCAGCGAGGTCCTTGGAGGATCGGGTAGCCATTGGATGATGGATTCGAGCTGTTTTGCTAAGCAGGGCACCTTGAGATTTGATAGAAGCGGTCGACTAAGGAGGAGAGAACTTGAAAGGGGTTGGGGAAGAAATCTGGTAAAGAAGGAAGATAGGAGAGTAGGAAGGTTGCAGGTGACTGAAGTGAATGGAGGAAAGCAGGAAGGTGGTAACTACTGGTAGTAACTACACGGCAGCCACAGAAGCCCTAGAAGGCTCCAGCCTACCCTAATAGGAGTGAATGAAGCAATAGATTAAGAACACCTGGGTATGTTAAGATGTACGTGGATGTCGGATTTCTTGATATCAGTGATATACTTGAAAGTTACGGGGAATGAGCTTGAGTACCACCGACTATCCTAGTTCAAATCCATCCCATCTTGATATTGAGACCGGAGCCCAAAAAGGCAGTAAGGGAAGAATGATTGAGTACTCAATAGATATACCGGAAACTAAAAAGAAGAACCCTGCGTTAGCGTGATCTGCATCTCAAATAGATTCTGAATAAGATAGAGACTTACTTCAAATTCTCCCGATCAGTCAAATCCAAGAAAGCAGTTGCATCCAAGTCTCTACCTTCAAGACCCCCCTCCATCTGGGACTGGATGCGATCGCGCTTCTGGTTCTCCCACCGAAGAAGGAAGCCCAGTATAGTGATGAGTGCCGCCTCGATCAAGTGGGAGACTATCATGGACCAGATTCCAAGCTGATAGGTAGGCCTAGTGCTCTTGCATTAGATACCTTCACTCTATTTCGTATGACGGGTGCAAACTTACGATTGATCCGTCTTATAGAAGAACGGTCCCGCGATATTTCCGGTACAATATCCCAGGAACAAAACAGCATTGGTGACAACCTTCTTTGTGTGTCCTAAAACTATGTTAGCATAAGTTCTCATCTGCAAAATCGCACCTGAATCAGCTTACCTGCGGTGTTTGCCACTTGCATACTCAGTACAAGTACAAAGGCGGCGTTATATGGCCCAGTCAGATAGTAGCAGATAAGTCGACCCACGCTTCGATCAACAGGTACAAATCGAAGACCAAAAGCACCGACAAGATTCGGAATAAGGAAGATGAGAACGAAAACGCAGCGGCGGTTCTCGAAACGGTCGTTCAGGTAAACGCAGGCCAAGATGGAAAGAGCGATGATAGCTCCGTACGGGATCTAATGATGATAGATCGATTAATTGTGGAGTTTAAGAAAATTCCAGTTCCTCCGATGAGACTTACTTGCATAAGAGTTGTCACCAAAGTTGAAAAGCCGAAGCCCTGGATGATGATGGTGCCAAAATTCGAGATCCCGCCATTGGGAACGTTGCCTATGGCGAAAGTTAAAACGGATTTGGAGGGTGTAACTCGAAGAAGGAGGAAACTACTTACAGACTACACCCAGAATGAAGAACATGTAAAGCTTGTAATCCATGAATGCTTCGAGAATCTGATATGGCTTCAGATGCTTGTTCTCCACACCGGTCTGGTTCTCCCTGATGCGATCAACGGCAATGCGTTTCTCTCTCAAACTCAGGCCACGCGCCGTTACAGGCGAATCAGGGAGAAAAATGAACATGACGATGCCCCAGGTGGAGCATAGAGCACCACTGACACCTGTTAGCGATTATTTCTGAGCAATAGTAGCAAGGACGGGGAATTCTCACATCACAATGAATTCGTATTTCCACGATGGCAGAGCTCCTCGAAGATGGCCAATACCATATCCCAATAGGCCACCGAGGGCGATTCCTATTCCATTGGCTGTATACCAGAGACCGATTCTGACCGGTTGCTCACGACGAGTATACCACATGCTGGTAATCAACATGAAAGCGGGATCAGAGCACGCCTCGGCAGCACCACCTAAGGCGCGAAGAACGGCAAGTGTCTCGAAGCTATTACAGGCAGCTTGGATCATGAGGAAGACACCCCTGAGGCCGAGGTCAGTCACAATACGGGTTCAATTATGCAGACATAGGATACTCACCACATGAAAATATTTGCACCAAGGTATTTACCTGCGGAGAAGAATTTAGAGGACTTCTACAATTGAAGCTGTGGGACAGGAGCAATACCGATCGGAAGTCGTTGCATCAGGAAATTGGTCGGGAATGCCCAGGCGAGAAAACCAAAGTAGAAAATACTGCTCAGCCAATTGTACTGAGTACCGTGGAGACTGAGGTCATCGCGAATTCCGAAGATCGCAGCGTAGCTCAATGTTGTCTAGAGCCAAAAAAAGACATCAAAATGTTGACAGTGATTTTGACGATAGACGGGTGTAAGGGCACCAACCTTGTCGATGTAGAAGAATGCATAACAGACAGCCAAGTAAGGGAGAATCATGAAATCGATTTTCCGTAGGACTTTCTTTGCCTCGGCAGGGTCAATGTCCTCGTGCAACTCATCTGGATTGTTGAATAGAGCCATCGCAGTGTCGCCATCGGCGAGCTTTGCAGACTTCCATTTCGACTGGACCTGGTTGCTTTCTGAATGAGATATGGCCGGGATGTCGACAATGTCTGTCTTTGAGCCAGCTGATGGCTCTTCGGTAGGATTGGTCCCCATTCTTGCGATTATGGTCGTTTCAGCTCCGCGATGAAGGATTAGAACTTTGATAGAAAATTTGGGGAGGAGCAATCGTTAGAAAAGGAGTGGCTCGAAACGGCGATATCTGCAAGATAAAGGAAATAGAGACACTGGTTAGGGGCCCTGTCGAGCATGCGCCTGCAGCGTCACACCTTGCCCGTGCTCATCTGCATAATCCACTCGTGTACTTCTCCCTTCAACAAAAGCGAAAGCTTAAGCTACCCCATGGGGCAAGCAGGCTCCGGCATCAAACAGCGGGGAAGGGCTCATAGACCCAAACTTGTCTCCACATCGACGCAAAGACGTCGTATCGTATGAGGGAGCTCGCGGAATGACGGCTTTCGGCTTCAATTTGAGTCTTGGCTGACGGCTATTGTTTAGGAGAAATCGAGGTTGTGCCGCGGTCGCTGCTAAGTTGCTGCGTCAGGCAGAGATGGCGTTGCCAAGAGAGTTTTCCGGCCGATAGATGCAGGCTGGTGAATCGTTGGAAGGATGGAACTGGGAAGTGAAAGTCATCGGAGGAAATCCGATCATGCGGTGATCTCGCCGGTTAGATGGCTGGTGGCTGGTGTTGAGCCTAGCTCTAACTCTATGGCTTTTACAATTCGCGAGTTGATAGGTCGAGCAGCTTGCCTCGGGGAGTTGAAATGCTCTTTGAGCCAATGTAGATCGCGCACGGGCAGGGTGAATGCGTGGGGGTCGTGGGGAATCCGGGGAGTGCGGAGAAAATCCACTTTCTTGGGGTAGAAAAAGAAAAGGAATGAAGAAGGATGTTCATAAGTCGGCTACTAGGAAGTTTACTTACGGTAGTGGGACTGAGAGTTAGGAAAGGTTGAATGAGTAACTTTTGTACTTGTTAATTATGTTGAATACTTTTATTATCCAGTGGCATCCCTTCAAAATTTCCTCATTTTTACTTTTCTTCCCTCTAAATATTATTCAATTCAATTTAATCCAATCCACTTCCGCCTTGCTGCGGAATGCAATTTGGAACTCATCTGAACCATTCCTCGATATCATCTCCGGTTAAAGTTGAAAAACCGGGACTATAGTTGATTAGCATAATGCTACAATTAGTTTGATTCGGAATGCACTTACCGCCAGGAACAATATGATCAGGTTGGACGCGACAAACGCGATGAAGATACCTAGATCCCTCCATCGGTGGTCGAAGTTCATGCCGAATGCCGCGTAGAACTGGTCTCCGATCTTGTACGCGCAATACTCGCAAGTCTGGGTAGCATTCTTCACCAAGTATCCAGCCCCACCGCGCTCGAAAAAGGATTGCATGTATTCGCCACATGTCTCGTTATCGGGAGCATTGAATGTGTTGAGTTCTATATCTGCACAGGAAACATCACGCCCATGGAGCTCCGTTACCACCATTCCGCCAATCAGTCGGGTAAACGGATCAAGCTGGTAGAGCCATGCGCGCCAAAACCCTGGGATTTGTGGCTTCGGAATTGCGACACCACAGAAGAGTGAGAAAATGATCACAATTGGTGGATTTAGTTGGGAGGCAATGAAGCTGTTCGGTGTCAGGGCTGAGATCATCTGTCCGAGAGTCACGGCAAAGATTTCTGTGATTAGGACCATGAAAAACTGGTATCCCGCACGACTGCTTTCCATAGAAAAGCCTGGGAGATAATATAGGGGTAGGAAAAAGCAGACGGCGCAGAGAATACTGTAAGGCATCTCTGCCAGAACGAGAGAAAATGCAAAGGCGAACTGGCTGTACGTCTTCGAAGCGGATTCACGGTAGAAAATCAATCGAGATAAGTCGTACTTAGGCTGAACTTGCTGTAGGATAATTGCTGGCAGCACCGTCACATTGAAAATAACGAAGATTCGATATTGAAGCGAGGAACGAGAGTCGTCGAGTTGCAAAAATGCGAGGCCTGTGATAAGTGCAATAACAACGTGTGTGAAAAGTCGAGTAAAGCCGTAGTTGCGCGAGCGCCAGAACGACAAATGCGTTCGTCGACCTACTACCTTCATCTGATGCCAAAGTGGCGATGCATATTCTCTCTCAACGATGTCCTGTTGTTGGCTCGCTTCCTGCTGGACGGTCTGAGTACGACTTCTCTTGATTTGAACGATATCTTTCTTGATAACTTCTAGCTCGGGAGCTGTTCGCCAGACCTCGCCCCAATCACGTTCTCCAAGTCGTCGTGTTTGACCTGCGCCGATAGCATCAAGCATCCACTCAGCGGGATTGGCGTCAGCAGGGCAGTCTGCACCGTTGCGACGGAAATAGTCCAATAGAACGTTGGAATCCGTTCCAATGTCACCAAAGTAAACGCATTCTCCACCCCTTTGCAGGAGTAGAAGCCGGTCAAAATTTTCAAACAGAGCGGAGTTAGGCTGATGAATTGTACAGAGGATTGCTTGACCAGCCGCAGCCAGCTTCTTCAAGAATCGAATGATATTGAAGGCCGATTGGCTATCCAGGCCAGAAGTTGGCTCATCCAGGAACAAAAGTAGTTCAGGCTTGGCTGCAAGCTCTACACCGATGGTAACCCTTTTTCGTTCTTCCACAGACAGCCCAGTCTCCGGGGTGCCTATTATTGCGTCTGCTAGACTCTCAAGTTCAAGCAAGCTGATGATCTCCTCAACATATTCGTATTTTTCAGATTGGGGAACTTCAAATGGCTGGCGTAGATCAGCAGAGAAGCGCAGAGCTTCACGAACAGTGGCCATTGACTCATGCACATCTAGCTGCTCGGCGTATGAAGTGCTTCGCTGGAACGAGGTGCTGGGCTTGACTGCATCAACAAGGATATCACCCGTCACCACGCCAATGTTCTTCCGTGCCGCTAATACATCTCAGGAGAGTAGTTTTGCCAGCTCCAGACGCGCCCATTAGAGCCGTGAGTTTGCCAGGCTGAACGTAACCATATACGGAATTCAGGAGTCGTCGTGTGCCGGATGGCACGGGAACTTCATAAGATATGTTCTCCCACGTAAGGACAGACTTCGAGGATATTTCGAGATTGGCACCGGTATCAACGGTCTTCGACTGGCGACTTGCTTTCCTCACCTCAAGCGCTTGATTCAGCTGCTTACGTTCGTCGTTTTCTTTGTGGAAGAAGGTGAGTGTCTTTCCGCCTGCATTGAATTGCAGTATCTCGCTGAAGTATAGATTCATCCCGAGGAAACCGAAAATTAGGGCAATCATAATTCCAAAGTTCCTCCAGAGATCTCCGGTGTCGTAGCTGAATGTCGTAGCAAGATAACTCGATCCTGGAATGATGTCCGACCCCGGCTCACCGCCGGCGAGAGTGCAAGCTTGGTGTGTAATATCGCCATACCCAGGGCCACTGGGCACCAAGGAATCTTGTGTACATGTCATTGTAAGGCGACTAAACTCGTTCACCATCAGAGACGCGAAGCCCAGACCAAATGGATTGATATAATAAATCCATCTTAACCAGACCTGAGAGCCAGACCACTGGATTAGATAGCCCGAGGTCAGCACGAAGAGAGTAATGATAACAGCAGCAAATTTCATCGCATAATCAAAATCGGGACAGATAGACCCAATAGACCTGAAAAGTGCAGTCATACAGACATATCCAGTGAGAATAACGAGGACAAAGGTGAAGAATGCCCCAGCATCGAGGACTAAACCGCACATGAAGTAGACGATGATGCTAAAGATCAGAATGCGCGCTATTGCGAATGCAGTATCCACCAAAATCTGTGCGATAAAAAGAGCACTTGGTCTGTAGAATGTGAAGGAACGATGCTTATTGACGATCGTCCTACCCATCATAGTGCCACCGAGCTCAGAAAATGCTTGAAAACCGTTGAAAAGCATGCTGATGAACAGTAATCCGCCCCGAGTAAACGCACCCGCGCTCGTAGCGGGCTGGTGGAGCCACACGGTTCCCAAAATGATGGCAATACCTGTCGAAGTAACCCAAGAGACTGTCAGCGCAAATTTGTCTTGCCACTTGAGCAAGAAATGTCGTTGCATTAAAGCCCAAATTTGTATGTGAAAGGGGATGGAATAGACAGATGATCTCGGAGTGAATTTGCGTTTGGCCTCCTGATTGGCCATCTCGAAGTCGTCGTATGTTTGCTTTTGTTGTTCGACCTGTGTGCGATATGCTTGCATTTCTTCATCAAGTTTCTTGCTATAGGCTGACTTCTCAAAGGCCTCTGCCAATGCCTGCGGTGTCGAAGGTACGTCATCGGCAGTTCTTCCATCCTTAAACTCCCGCTCAAAGGGGTCGGTACACCCTGTCACATAGTCCGGGGTGGTTTGCCGAGGCTTCTCACGAAAGCCAAGCCCTTCAAAGTAAGATCGAGCTTCGGCCGTCGGACCGAAAAATACTTGCCGTCCACTATCAATGACCAAAACCTTATCAAACTGTTTATAGATGTTTTCAGATGCTTGATAGAGGGAAACAAAGGTCGTTGTTTTGTAGATGTTGGTCAAGATGCGCAATGACTTGGCAAAGTCCAGAGCAGTAGAGGCATCCAAGCCGCGAGTGCTATTGTCCCATGCTAGCACAGTCGCGGAAGTGACCATCATTTCAGCAATGCTGACTCGTCTTCTCTCGCCACCACTAACACCACGGATGAATTGATTTCCAATCACTGTATTGGCGGTATGTTCGATGTTGAACATTCGCAAAAGCATTTTGACAACCTTGTCTTTGAATTCGGCCTTGGATACCCCGAATGGTCTCTTTCCAGGGGTCTTGGTATCCAGAGCAAAGCCAAGAGTTTGCTTGACGGTCAGAGTTGGTTGGTGGATATCATCCTCTTGGTTATACACAGCCTCACCACGGAATCGTTTGGCAAATGCTTTGGATTCAAAAGGACCATACATCACCTCGCCATCAACGCCAGTGTATCCAAATCTCTGATTTGCGATGACTTTCAAGAAGGAAGTGCACCCAGAGCCTGGCCTACCAAGGACTAGAACCATTTCACCTGGTCGGGTGAGCCCTCGAAAGCCTTCCAAGATATTGAATTCCTTTCCTTTATTGCCATATCCAAGCATGTTCATGATCGTTTCTGGCACGTTGAAAAAGTCGATGATCGCATCGGGAAAGGTTTTGATATAGGTCTTGACGCCTCCCATTCCTCGAACGGAAAGATTATTCCAAATAACCCCTTCATAAATAGTAAGAATGATGAACCTCGTTCGAAGGAATAGTTAAATTACTCACCGATATGCTTGTCCTTTATACCCGCTTCCTCCTCTGCGGTTCTATTGCCTCGGAGGGTAGTCTCCAAATCCCAGAGATCATCTGAATCGGCGGAGCTTCCTGTCCCTTCAACATCTTCGGCGGTGACAATTGGTCTCGAAGCTCGAGAGGCCTGCTTGGATAAATGACGGGCTTGATGAGAGATGCTTGAAAACTGGCGATTTAATTCCTCGAAATCATGCTCAGCTTTCTCTATATTCACTCCTGTCAGAGTCGACGTGAATCCTTGCGGATTTGAGATGCGAAGCTCTTCACGTTGTTGTTCATAGTCGCTGGTCTGAGAAGAGTCGACTTCGGAGTTGAAACTCCCTTCTCTCTTTTCGGTCTTCTCCTTCTCATCCATTGCAGTGGTGCCGGGAAACCTTCAACTGTAGGATACTTCGATGGGGGATGAGCGTGATATTTTATCTCTGCGAGCCCCACCCCGGACCAAGCGTCCCACGGTGGTACGTTTTGGCTACACAGGGTAGATGTTAAAGTGATTGGGGTTGGTGGAGCTTGCCAGAACAAAGTGGTGGGGGGTTTTTTTTTAAAGAACTACCAGGGAGAAAAAAAGGAAGAGCAAGAAAGCTAGCAGAGAAAAACCCTTTACAAAAGCCAAGGACAGCTAGTATGTAACCAAGTGCGAGGTTAACCCCTAAGCCCGACCAGTCATCACTCGCCTGCTCCTTCAAACATTGTCCACTCGGCTCCACTTCGAGATGGGGTTGGAAACCCTTAGCGGGAAGATCATATATAGCATGCTAGGGTATATCTTCCATAGAAACCTTGAGTGAACTAGCGGTGATGAATAAAGCTTCGGAATCGGAGTTCAAGTGATCTGATATTGGCTGATCGATTCGGAGTTCAACGTGACCTATACGGGGTTGCAGCTACCACGCGGCAAAACCCCGGGGGCCGCCAACGTTGTGGAGACCATGGATGCATGGATGGAGGAGGGGGCGGGGAGGGAACGTTCTTGAACGGCATGTTCCGGTGGCGAATGTCCGTGTTCTCTTTCGCTTCTTGTCTTTCATTCGACGTTTGACATCGGGGTCCCTTTTAGGGAAGCCGTTTGTACAAATTACTCACGTTGACTCACAAGATAAAGGACGCATGTTCCTAGCCTCGGATACTTCTTTTTGAGTTCTTACAACACTCCCGCCATTATTCTCTGTGGAAATTATCCACCAGAGGAAAAGGAGTCCATGTGGGGGAGAAACGGAGGGCAAAGTCGGCCTGGCGCGACAGCTTATCGCCAACAAAGGGGGGTCTGGCCGACGCTAGCGTCTACATGCCTAGATTCTGCATCTCATTAATAATCGGAGCCATAGTTCCGCTGGGCTAATTCCGCGATTTGACTTGGATTTTGAGATAGGGATCATTTGGTAGCCATATGTACCGGGGTAGTTAGGCAGGGTATGCTCGACACCAATCAACATGGTGAGCCAAAGCCCGCGCCCTTTGAATGCACGGATACCGTCGTTGTCGGATATAGCTCCTTGGCGAGTTTGGAGAACATTTCTGCCCGAAGATGGCGGCTGCCTTGGGAACTTTTCATTTCCTTTAATATACTAGTAACTATGGAGTACTAGTTACATGTAGCGTAGCCCTGAAAGCCGAGCACTACATACTATCATCTACCGTACTACATCGAGGCTCATACCAAGCCAATGATAACATGAAATAGTAGTTCATATGCCATCTAATTCAACATCTACTACTTACGACTCTTCAGCACCCTATTAAAGATTTTTAAAGGCTACAATCACTTGATTGATTAGAAAAATTCGCAGTAGGTTTATAGTGCATAGCAGCCCCAAATTACTCGGTTTTATCGTATAGAGACTTTTATGGCATCATATAAATGATCAAACCGAAATTTAACACCGGACAGCTAGCAAGCATTTATTTTGACATAACTCTTCATATTTTCGGAAATCTATAAGTATTAATATAAGTCTTGAAGATTCAGCGTACACCGTCTGATAATTATTTTATTGAGATCCAAACTGCAGCCAATCCACTTGCCATTGGCTAACGCGACAAAGTCGGCCATCCTGGCGCTCCACCCACTCGTCGGTTCCAACAGCAGTTTTGCCGAAAAAGACATCATTTGGGTCGTACTTCGCTTTGATAGTGCGTAAAGTGCGATAGTTACGCCCGTAGAAAGCTTTCTGCCAGTCGGGTTGACGGAAGTCGCCTTCGTTCATATATGCACCCGAGTGAGGAGCGATGGCTTCGAGCTTAGGCATGAAAATTTCAGTCATTTTCAATTGCAAAGCTACCATCTCCTCATAATTTTCGGAGCCCCATTTCCACGGAGTAGTCAGGGTTGTCGCGATAATAGTCTCTCTCCAGGCCAGGAGAACCGAGTTGTAGACATCACCAGCAACCTCATGGGATACGTTCAAGCCGACACCAATGAACGTTCCACCATTCTCAGTAATTTCACGATAGGCTTTGGTCACTTCCTCATTGCTATCCTCGACCAGGTATCTAGGGATGAGCCAGCCGCCGTATTGAGCCTCGCCCACGCCGATCGTCCCTTGTTCGCCCTTGAACTGGTTATAATAGCTGCTATACTGTGAGGCTCTCATGGTATAATGAATACTGATCCTGTTTAACGCCTCGAGAAAAGGCTGTAATAAGGAGATTAACTCCGCTTTGGGTATATTCGGTCCGGTAAGGGGGGAAATGGCAAAAGTGGTGTTGGTATAAAACCAAATACTCATAGCACCAGCATCAACAAGGGCCGGAAGGTTGGCGTGAAAAATAGATATAGCTTCGTAAAATGCGTCCTGGGAGATATTGGTGTTGTCGAAAGAAAGGTGAAGACCAGAGACTGGCGTGCCCGGGTGTGCATTAGAAGTCATCTCGTAGACTACAGCGTAAGTGCCTCCACCACCTCCGCTTAAAGCCCAAAAAAGATCTGAATTCTCATTGTCACGTCGAGCAGTCCGCATTTTGCCTTGACCGTCGATGGCTTTCCATTCCAAGACTTGATCTGCTGCAAGGACGTAGCGCGAGGCGAGAGCGGAGTGGCCACCCCCCCTGACTATATCCTCCAGCCAGTCCGACCGTAGGGCACTCTCCACCAACAACCTGAAGATTGGCACGGTCAGCTGCCTCGTATGCTTCGAAACCCTGAATACCGGCCTCCCCCGAGGCACGGTTTGAATCTAACGAATCGCTATCTTTTTCATCGGATATTTGCACTGTCGCCAGTACCATATGGTCTATTATCGCTCAGCGGCCTTTGAAGGATTTCTCGCAACAGCAGATGATATGACACGTGAACACGTTGACAGCCTTGGTATTCTGCCATCCGAATGGGTGGGGAGATGGGATGCGCGAAGGCATAAATTCGATGAAGACGGTAAGCCAAAGCATCGCAGGTCTTTTCAATCCTGGGACGATCGTTTTGAGGATAGCGTGCAACAGCCCAGGCGAGATAGCGGAATGTCGTCATTTGAAGCAGAAGAGAAGGAAACATTGTTTGATATGCTGCGACCGATGCTCTCATTCAGGCCTGCTAGTCGCCCTACTACCAATCAAACTCTCAATTCAGAATGGATGTTGAAATGGGCCTTGCCTGAATATCGCAAAAGCAAAGATAATCAATGAGATAATCCAGAGTCGGACTGCATATATCACCAGATAACCTGTTTTGGATAGACATGATACTGAATGATTATCCACGAAATTGTCCATAGAGTAGAGTAAAACCTTCTTTAGCGGAGCAAAGTGTGTAAGGCGCGGTATTTTGAGGTTGTGTAGTAGGCGATGATGTTGTCGTACACTCCGAAAACACCCAGCATTAGCAGTGACATCGTTGGCTGGTCTTTCACACATGGGATTTTAATTCAGTTGTTTATGGTGTGGGTAGCAGGGTCAGATGATGCGCTCTTTAGCCGACCAGATGTGAGAGTACCCTCGCTTTCATTGCACACAGCAGGTGGCTATGTGCAGGTGCAAAGGAGACTAGTGCTTCAGGTGGTAGTAGACCAGCCAATGATGCATGCTTGACTTCAGCTTGGAAGGTCAAAGCGCGATCCTTGCATGACAAAGTATGATTCTCACCCGGTGTCACCCCGTTCTCACCTCTTCACCTTGCCTAAGCCCTCCCTATAGTGGGATGCAATCAGTATGAATCCAGCCGGAAGTCGCTAGGTAAAAGCGCTGGTCCTGCATGGCAACTGACAAGGTTGCGTTCTTTAAGTGACAAAGATAAACAATACACAGTATGCAATCCAGTCTCCGTCTCTCTCCGTGTGACCAAACTCCAGCTACCTCGTCGAATGTTTGTCAAGGCGATTTCGAGAATGACTGTAAACGACAACTAGATATGCTTCGGTGATTGGGGAAGCCCGAACTCGAGTACTTGACTCTGCTGTCTTGTAGAATTCGCCATCAGCAGACACCTTAAGGAGACGAGACACAATAATAACGCATGATTGGCGGTGTGATACCGCTCTCGTACCAGAAAGAGAATCATATGATTGGGCGAGAGGGGCCCATTCAACTGCGAGTAAACGCCAGTGGTCTTAGCAGTTCTCCAGCCCTCTTCTACCCAATGTTGCCCGACCGCTTTTTATTTCAGCCGTGCCGTCTTTCATAAGCGTTGTTCTTTTGGGATACTGTGCGCTCTGTCCATTGATATCCAGCACAGAACTTAAATCTACCTGAACCTCTACGATTAGAGGGGCCAAGTTGCGTTTTTAGGCTAGTTGTTGTGCTTAGCGATCATAGTGGTCTGCAGGCGGATCCAATTTGTCCAGGCCAGGAAAGGTGGAGGGAAATAATCTTCTAAAGAAACCTCGGCGACCGAACACTAATCATTCTTCCTAGCTCACCCTGCCCCTGGGCGATCCTGCAAGCGAGCATGTCTCAACCTAACGACTACGTGGTTGGGTGGATATGCGCTATAAAAACGGAATACGTTGCTGCGCTAGCATTCCTCGACGAGGAGCATAGAGGACATGTGGCTGTGTCTCCAAATGACAACAACGCTTATACACTGGGAAAAATAGGAGAACACAATGTCGTCATTGCTGTCTTGCCTGACGGTCAGTACGGCATATCCTCTGCTACAGGCGTCGCCAGGGATATGATGCACAGCTTTCCTAATGTGAAAATTGGCCTGATGGTCGGCATTGGGGGCGGTGCGCCAAGCCGAAAGCATGATATCCGTCTGGGCGACATTGTGGTCAGCGCTCCTCGAGCGGGGAGAGGGGGTGTGTTCCAGTACAACTTCGGCAAAACAATTCAAGATCAGAGGTTCAGGCCGACGGGTTTACAAAATCAACCGCCGAATCTCCTCCTTGCAGCAGTGACTGCACTTGGTGGTCAGTATGAGATCGATGGTCATGGCATTGAAAAGGTCATAAAAAGCATTCTCCAGAAGAAGCCAAGACTGCAGAAGAAGTATAGCCGGCCAGACCCAAGCAGTGACAGACTGTATCAGTCCAGGGTCGTACATCCTGAAGATGACGACTCAAGTTGCGTGGTATCGTGTGGCACCGATCTATCAAAGCTGATTGTGCGATCTGAACGAACTCAAAACGAGGATGATCCGACCATCCACTACGGCCTTATTGCCTCAGCAGACCAACTAATGAAGGATGCGTTGGTTAGGGATAAGCTCGCCGCGGAAGAAGACATTCTATGCTTTGAAATGGAAGCGGCGGGGTTGATGAACCATTTTCCTTGCCTAGTTATCCGCGGTATGTGCGACTACTCTGATTCCCATAAGAATAAAGAGTGGCAGGGTTATGCAGCAATGGTGGCTGCTGCATATGCGAAGGATCTTCTCTGTCGAATAGCTCCAAATGGGGTTGAAGCTGAAAGGAAGATCAGCGATATTTTATCCGGTAATTCCAAGGTTAAAAATCATATTATTTATACGTGTTAATCCTATGTGCAGGCCTCCAAAATGTTGCAGAAGAGCACCGGGACGTTGCAAAGGAGCATCTCCAAGCCCAGAAAGATCTAGCCAAGGAAAAGCTGTCCGAAGACGAGCGGAAGTGTCACCAGCTCTTCCGTCTCACAACTGGCAACACATACGAATGGTATAAAGAGCGGGTGGAAGAGAGGGTTGAAGGCACTTGTATGTGGTTCCTCAACCACGGGCACTTCCAGACGTGGTTAAACCAAGAGTCTGGGCCCTTACTAGTCTCGGCAGATCCTGGCTGTGGAAAGTCGGTGCTAGCCAAGTACCTGATTGACCAGGGCCTGCCACGATCGACAACAATCTGCTACTTCTTTTTCAAAGAGCAAGACCAAAACACCGTGCGGCAGGCGCTTTGTGCCTTGCTTCACCAGCTCTTCTCCCAGAAGCCGTCTCTGATCGAACATGCCATGCCACAATTCTACAAGGATGGACAAGGTCTAATCGACTCTATACAATCCCTCTGGAAGATTATACAAAACACGATAAAAGATCCCAAGACGGGACCTGTAGTCATGGTTCTTGATGCCCTGGATGAATGTGCCGGATCAGAGTTTGCAGACTTGGTGCGAAATGTGGCGAGCCAATTCCGTAGCGACCAGTCAGGCTACGGCAAATTAAAGTATCTTCTGACCTGCCGCCCATATGACCAGATTGTATCCAAGTTCCGCGGCCTGTTAGAAGATTTCCCAAATATCCATATCCCAGGAGAGGAAGAGTCGGAAACAATCATCCAGGAGGTGAATCACGTCATTGCGTGCCGGATCAATCAGCTGTCGATAACGAAGCGCCTCTCGCTCCAAATCAAGGATCACCTGGAGAAAAGATTACAGGAGACTACCCACCGCACTTATCTATGGGTATACCTTGTGTTCGACTACTTGGAGAAAAGAAGACTTTAAAAAAACAGTAAAGGGGGTTGACTCTGCTATCGCAACACTTCCGAGGAGTATCAACGAGGCATATGAGCAAATCCTCAATAAGACTAAAGAAGATCCGATGGTTCGGAAAGTCTTAAGTATTATCTTGGCAGCGAAACGGCCACTAACCCTCTCGGAAATGAACGTTGCCATAAATATAGATGACACATCACAGTCTATTCAAGACCTCGACCTAGAAAACGATGAGCATTTTAAGACACGTCTCAGATCTTGGTGTGGTTTATTCGTCTCAATCCATCAAGGCAGTATTTATTTCCTTCACCAAACGGCTCGCGAGTTTCTCGTCGCAGATTCGGCTTCGCCCACGGCTGTTTCGACAGAGCTGCATTGGCATCACTCTATCACTACCCAAGCTGCACACGCCGTTCTTGCAGAGCTTTGCGTGCTTTATCTGAACTTGTTCAACTCCAACGATACTCTATCGACAGATGCGAACGCGGAAAACGGCCACACTTTTGATAGGGGCGCGTTCTTAAATTACTCAGCTCAAACTTGGGGCGCCCATTTCCGCGAGGCTTGTATTGTCGATGATGCCGGTATTATACCGTTTGCTCTAAGAATTTGCGATCCAGATTCAAGCAGCTACACGATATGGTTTGAAATTTATTGGAAGAATACCTTCTGGGACAATACGGAACATTTTACAGATCTCATCATAGCGTCATACTATGGCCACCATGTCATCGTCAAGCTTCTGCTCGAAAAGGGTGCCGATGTCCAGGCCAAGGACAAGCAAGGTCGGACGCCGCTGTGGTGGGCCGCCATGAATGGGCACGAGGCCACTGTTAAGCTGCTACTCGAGACGGACGCCGATGTTGAGGCCAAAGCTAAGCAAAGTCGGACGCCACTGTGGCAGGCTGCCGCAAGCGGGTACGAAGCTATCGTTAAGCTACTGCTCGAGAAGGGCGCCAACGTTGAGGCTAAGGACGAGCATAGTCAGACGCCACTATGGCAGGCTGCTGCAAGCAGGCACGAAGCTATCGTTAGGCTACTGCTCGAGAATGGTGCCAACGTCGAGGCTAAGGACAAGCAGAGCCTGACGCCGCTATGGTGGGCCGCTGCAAGCGGGTACGAAGCTATCGTTAAGCTACTGCTTGAGAAGGGTGCCAACGTTGAGGCTAAGGACGAGTATGGTCGGACGCCACTATGTCAGGCGGCCGCGAAGGGGCATGAGGCAATCGTTAAGCTGCTACTCAAAACAAATGCTGATATCGAGGCTAAGGACAAGCAAAGTCAGACACCACTATGGCAGGCCGCTGCAAGCGGGTACGAAGCTATCGTTAAGCTACTGCTCGAGAAGGGCGCCAACGTTGAGGCTAAGGACGAGCATAGTCAGACGCCACTGTGGCAGGCGGCCGCGAAGGGGCATGAAGCTATCGTTAAGCTACTACTTAAGACTGGTGCTGATGTCAAGACTAAGGATGATTATAGTCAGACATCGCTATGGTGGGCCGCTGCGAATAGGCACGAGGTCATTGTTAAGCTACTACTCGAGACTGGTGCTGATGTCGAGGTTAAGGACGAGGATGGCCAGACACCGTTATGGCAGGCCGCCGCAAAGGGGCACGAGGCCATTGTTAAGCTACTACTCGAGACTGGTGCTGATGTCGAGGTTAAGGACGAGGATGGTCAGACGCCGTTATGTCAGGCCGCCGCACAGGGGCACGAGGCCATCGTTAAGCTGCTACTTGAGACTGGTGCTGATGTCGAGGTTAAGGACGATAATGGTCGGACGCCGTTATGGCAGGCCGCCGCGAAGGGGAAGGAGGCAATCGTTAAACTGCTACTCGAGACTGGTGCCGACGTCAGTGTTAAGGATAATCAGGGTCGGACGCCCCTGTGGTGGGGCGCTACGAACGGAAATGAGCTCACTGTCAAGCTGCTACTTGAGAAGGGCGCCGACGTTGGGGTCAAGGATAATTTTAGTGAGACACCGCTGCGCCAGGGCGCCGTGAGCGGGAACGAGGCTATCATTAAGCTACTACTCGAGAAGAGCGCTGATATAGAGGCTAAGGACGAGTATAGTCGGACGCCACTATGGTGTGCGGCTGCGAGCGGGCACGAGGCTATCGTCAAGCTGCTACTTGAGAAGGGCGCTGATGTCGAGGTTAAGGATATCCAGAGTCGAACGCCGCTGTGGTGGGTCGCCGCGAGCCGGTACGAAGCTATCGTTAAGCTACTGCTCGAGAAGGGCGCCAACGTTGAGGCCAAGGACGAGCATGGTCAGACGCCACTATGGTGTGCCGCCGCGAGCGGGCACGAGGCCATTGTTAAGCTGCTACTCGAGAAGGGCGCTGATGTTGAGGCTAAGGATAACCAGAGTCAAACGCTGCTGTGGTGTGCGGTTGTAAGCGGGCACGAGTCAATAGCTAAGCTGCTACTCGAAACGGGTGCTAATATCGAGGCTAAGGATAAGCAAGGTCAGGCACCGCTATGGTATGCTGCTACAAGCGGGCACGAGGCAATCGTCAAGCTGCTACTTGAGAAAGGCGCCGATGTCGAGGTTAAAGACAAGCAAAGTCGGACGCCGCTATGGCAGGCGGCTGCGAAGGGGCACGAGACAATCGTCAAGCTGCTAATCGAAACGGGAGCTAATGTTGAGGCTAAGGACAAGCTAATTCGGACGCCACTATGGCAGGCTGCTGCAAGCGGGCACAAAGCTATCGTTAGGCTACTGCTCGAGACGGGAGCTGATGTCGAGGCTAGGGAGGATTATAGCCAGACGCCGCTATGGCAGGCTGCTACAAGTGGGCATAAGGCAATCGTTAAGCTGCTACTTAAGAATGGCGCTGATGTCGGGGCTAAGGATAATTTTAGCGAGACACCGCTACACCAGAGTACCGCAAATGGGCATAAGTCTATTGTTAAGCTGCTACTTGACCAGGGCGCTGATATCGAGGTTAAGGATAAGCAGAGTCGGACGCCGCTATGGTATGCTGCTACAAGTGGGTACGAGACGATCGTTAAGCTACTACTCGAAAAAGACGCCAATATCGAGGCTAAGGACAAGCAGAGTCGGACGCCACTATGGCAGGCTGCCACAAGCGGGTACGAAGCTATCATTAAGCTACTACTCGAGAAAGGCGCCAACATCGAGGCTAAGAACGAGCAGAGTCAGACGCCGCTATGGTGGGCCGCTAAGAACGGGCACGAGGTAACCGTTAAGCTGCTGCTTGAGAAGGGTGCCAACATAGAGGCTAAGGACAAGGATGATCAGACACCACTATGGCAGGCGGCTGCGAAGGGGCACGAGGCAATTGTCAAGCTGCTACTCGAAACGAGTGCTGATGTCGAGGCTAAGGACAAGCAAAGTCGGACGCCACTATGGCAGGCTGCCGCAAGCGGGTACGAAGCTATCGTTAAGCTACTGCTCGAGAAGGGCGCCAACGTCGAGGCCAAGAACGAGCAGAGTCGGACGCCGCTATGGTGGGCCGCTAAGAACGGGCACGAGGTAACCGTCAAGCTGCTGCTTGAGAAGGGCGCCGACGGCGAGGCTAAGGATAATCTTGGTGAGACACCGCTGCTCCAGGGTGCCGCGAAGGGCCATGTGGCTATCGTAAAGCTACTACTCAAGAAGGGCGCGAGTATGGTGAGACGCCCCTGTGGCAGACCGCCGTGAGCAGGCACTAGGCAATCGTCAACTTGTTTTAACGAAAATCTCGATAATTGCTTGATCTTGCCTTCCCGAACCTTTTCTCCTTACGGATGGCGAATCAGGGTGTCCCTTCCCTACCTTGTATCGGGCCATCTGCGCTTGGACCTGGTAACGTATTTCACTAGTATTCGGAACACCCCATCACATATAGATCTTCAATACATGATTATCCAACTACCACCAAATATATTGATTCAAACTAGGTTACTAGGGCAGTAATTAATTCGATGCCCTGAATTATTACATCCAGAACACCTAAATACACGCTTGGTTGTAGGCCCAGTGCGCTCGGTAGGCTGCTGAGCGTGTTCGCTTTGATCAGGTTGAATTGATTCAGTAGGCACTACTGGCAACGCTTCCTGCTCTATAAACTCAGCAACCGATAGGCCTTCCTGACGTTCAATCTGGAGATTAGACCTATTGCGCTTTTGACGTTTCTTTTCGTTGAATCTGCGTAGTACTTTATTTTCCTCAGCAAGTAGGATACCGCTTTGAAGCGCTAGGTGGCAACCCTTGATTAGTTGATCTAGTGCACGATTGGTAGGGCTTCCTGGCGTTGTTGATCGCTGGCATAGTAGGCGCTTAATTGAGGAATCTTTCTTAACAAGCTGCTTCGCTGTATGTGGTGTTTTAGGTGTGAAAACGCTAGATCTGCTGCTAGGCCTGCTTGCTGGTGGTGTTGGTGTTTTAAGCGATATATTGTGTTTGGATAGGACTCGCTAGGCGTTGATTGGAACTAAGCCTGCACCGGCGAAGCTTGATTGAATTGTGTCTGTTTTGAAGGCTTCCTGGCGTGCTGAAACGTAGGATTTTAGGAAATCAAGCTTACGCTGAGTTTTTGGCTGAGGGCGGAACTTTTGTCACCAAGGTTTTCCGCCGATATGGTTGTAGCCTAGGCGGGTTTGGGATTCGATTAAACGACCGTATGAGCGCTTTAACATTGCAAACCATCCAATATCGAGTAGTTTCAGAAGATTTGATGAGTGTTATGGCATACAAATTGATATAATATCATTTTCCTCACAGATTTTATTGAATTGAGGTGTTAAATGACTACCATGACCATCAAGAATCAATAATCGATATTTATCTTGTGCACGCGTAATCGTTGCTGGAATAAATAGTTTCTGTAGCCATAGTATACCGATTTCATCGGTTGTCCAACCGTTTGATGATGTTTCGATTCGCCAATCGCTTGGGAGATTGTCAAACCAGCTTGCAACATAGTTTTTGCCTTTGAAGATTATACATCGCGGAAGCGAATTGCCAGTTGCCGATATAGATTCGATTGATGTTACCCGCTCCCGATTTCCTGGTTTTAGAAGAGGTTTCCGATCGTAGAAATCTCTACGTGTAACCACCCTGGCGGTAGATATAAGGCCCATTGCGAATCCGGTTTCATCGAAGTTATAAATATCCTCGTTTTGAATCCCGTTTTCATTTTTAATCAATCGTACGTTGCACTAATCGAAACCATTCGCGTAGGCTTGCTGGATCTTCATTTTGTGCACGTTGATACTCATAGCGCTTTGAAAAACGCGTACGTAGCTCTGACCGATATTGAATATATCGTGTAACCCAATTGGTGCCAACCTCAGCAAGGTGCAAAATGGTGTCACCATTCACAGTATCGATCGATACCAGGTGTGGACCACCCCGCGCAGCATCGTACTGCTGCTGAGGCAATGAGCTTTTCTGCGAGAACTTCGTCGGCCATAGTGTTGTGGTTGATGGGGGATTTGCGGATTATACCACGTACCCTGCAAACCGCGTGTCCAAATTCAAAAACCTCTCGGATGTGGATACGACCTTATTGGAGGCCATAGCTTGTGCAGCCCACGGGATAGATAAGATTGCTCCTCAAATGGGCTCCAGTGTGCTTTTGTTTGGCGCGGGCCCGACAGGGCTTATTCTTGCCCAGCTTCGTCAAAATGGCGGGTGTCACACTGTAATTGCTGTGCCGGCTGGGTTGAAGATGGAGCTTGCGAAGTCTTTCAACGCGGCCGATGAATTTGTTTCGTAGTCTAAACTAGGCCACTAATCGTCATTTGGTACTGGTATGGAAGTCGCGATAAGTCTGTCATTTCTGAAATACTGGATGAAAACTATTTAACTAACATGCAATTACCACTTTGTAAGCAGTTTACCTAATAATGCCAAGTAATTTGGAAGTGTATCCGACTAGTAATGGTATCTATGTCGCGACACACCCCCATAGTCATTGCTTTCCCGCTGTAGTGATCGTCTTTGTAATCGTGAATTTTCAAGTGTTTTATGTGATGAGTCCAAATCCCAAGGGCTCCAGCACCCGCAGATTTGCCATTGTAATCGTGACCTGTATTTCTTATCACCAGTCGGATATTGTGTTTCGAAGCAAACCTGACGGTTTTCGAATTGTGATCTGGTCGTGTAACATTGACAGTATAGACGATGTAGTTACCCAGGGTACAAGGCCGAGACACAGGATTGTAAGGGTCGCAAGTTCCATTCGCGAAGAAGGAAGCCATGACCGAAGATGAAGTCTCGTAGCTAGGGGCTCGCGTTAGCAAATTGTCCCCAAAATGGCTCTATAATTCAACTTACTGCTCTTTAGGAAGCTGCCAGCCGTTTCGCAGCTTCGCGCACTCCTCCGCGTTGTAATTGGGGACATGGCAAGGAGTACCAAGGGGAACATTCTCCACCAACTGACCGTCTACAGATTGATTGAATTGAGTCCAGACATCTACCACTGGCCAGCACGCATCACCTGGGAAGCAACGGCATGCGGTGGTCGCGGCCTGGGCAGAAGCTACCAACAAGGAAGCCGCAAAACATGTGTTGAGCAGCATAGTGTTGAAGGTCAACGTTGTGTCCCCTCGCTTTCATGAAAAATTGGAGCAAGGAAGTAAGACGCAAAATATGGGGCGGCTCAATAGGGGGGGTTTGTTATGACTCGTGAGTTTGGGCCCCATTTGCGTCGCGTCCGACAGCCACCTGTGCAGCCCACATTGCCATCACCACTCTCAAAATTTGCTTGAATTTTTACTCCGGAGTTGACAGTTGCCCTATCGATGGATGAAACGAGATAATGTGCCACCCGGGTAGTTTGCACTTTATACTCTACTGCTACTACTAGTAATAACTATTATTTAACTATAATTTAGGTAGTCGAGAAGTGGATCTCATCCCCCCGAGCCCGGGGGTGATAGCCTACAAAATAGACACATACTACTACCGTGACTCCTACTATATAGTAACTATTAGTTAGTATTAATGGCCTTCAACAATTACTGCAAACCTGAAAATTGTGAGAGCCAGAAATTGCAAATACATTGCTTTTCTTCGAATCCGAAGTTTTCTTAATTCAGCGAAGTCTTCACTCATCATTGTAATTGCCATCAATTCAAGGCCCAATTAACCTGCCGCTGCACTATGATTCTGGCTTCAAAAATTGCGAGTTACTACATAAAGTACTCGGCCGACAACAATTTCACATCGGGATACGTGGATCACAGATGTTTGGTCTTTTGGGGGTTTCAGGGTACCACTTCTGAATGGGTTCTAAATCTCGGAGAGAACTCCCTTACCCCTCTCACCTTCGGTCGACTGCCCTCCGACACTCAGGATCTGCACTTATAAGTACAAGTCAGTAAGATGATATGCTAAAAACCAAACTATCTTCTCTTTATTACACCACATCACATTTCTTCTCAAACATGCCTGGTCGTCTTCTAAACAAAGTAGCAGTCATTACCGGATCCTCTTCCGGTCTTGGTCGAGCTATATCGCTGCACTATGCTCGAGAGGGTGCCAAAGTTGTCTGTTCTGATCTAAAACCGACCGCTCGCCTCGATCTAGGGAATGAACAAGAGATAGAAACGCACGCGCTAATTAAGAAGGAAGGAGGGGAAGCAATATTCGTCAAGGCCGATGTTGGTATCGCTGGTGAGATGGAGGCCCTTGTTAAAGCCGCAGTGAACGAGTATGGGAGGCTTGATATGTAAGTTCTCCCGTTCAAATCAAGTTCCTGTCGCTGACTATTTTCTAGACTAGTGAATAATGCCGGAGTCGGCTTGGAGGCTCTTCGCCCTCTGGCGATGTGCCACCAGACCGATGAAGATTTGTGGGATACGACCATGAGAATCAATTCGAAATCGGTCTTTTTGGGTTGCAAATATGCAATCGCACAGATGCTTACACAAGATGCTCACCCGACCGGAGATAGAGGTTGGATAATCAATATTTCATCCATCATGGCAATGATTGGAGGCTCTCATAATCGTATGTCAGCTCTATTCATTGGTAATCGGATTTATTGCGTTACTTACATGAGTTATAGCGTCTTACTGTGCTTCTAAAGGGGCTGTTAGCAGTCTGACAAGACAGGTTGCGCTTGATTATGCCCCTCACAAAATCCATGTGAATGCCATCTGCCCCGGATGTGAGTTTGTGACCTTGAGACATAATTTAAAGAGACTTAAATTAAACCCCATTTTTACAGATACACAAACAGCCATTTTTAAAGACACAACGGAGGCTGGAATGTCCGTGGAAGACCTGGAGCGGAAGCATCCTCTAAATGGTCCCGGAAAACCAGAAGACATCGCAAAGATGGCTGTTGTTCTTGCTAGTGATGATGCATCATGGGTTACCGGAGTTTCCTGGCCTGTTGACGGAGGATATACTGCACGATGAAGACATTAAATGTCTGAAACGCGACCTATCTCTCGAAAGCAACCTTGGAAAATCAGTAGAAGAATGTTGAACGCCGGAGAGCATCACTTTTATTTGAAACATGACATGAGAAGCAAAATATTCACTTCGGACTTGTCATACAAAAATAATTACCGCTGGATAAAGCTAGGCAAATAATCTATGGATGACAGTGTTTAGATGTTTCCGTGGCCGTAGAGACTCCAAGGTTTGATAGGCGCAACAGGAAGAATCGCAGATAGACATCAACGGTCAAATTTGGAAATCCTGCGTATGATGATTTTTGTTCGGTACCTGGTCTGTCGTATCTCTTCTGGTCATGGAAATTACTAACAGAAACAGTCTGGTCATGAATGTCAATGCAGTACGGTCGTTATTTGAGTCTTGACTGCTGTCTTACGCTGACGGTACATCTTGGCGAATAGAACTAACTTGCGACCGTGGTTTCCTTGGGCCCCCATTCTTCTTCGTGGATACGCCTTTGAATAATTGTTTCTACAATAAAGTGATATGATTTACATGTGTCCTGGAAACCTTGCTGAGCGGGGGCGAATCAACTCGGATTTCACGATCATATTTGTCACTCGGCCCAGGACGAAAATATGCCAAAGAAGAAAACATTTGTAGGGACATTTCCCTCCCGTCAATGAACAGTTCTCGCTTTTGTAGATTTAGATTTGGGCCAGCCACTGGAAGTTCCTGTGGACCAGAAGAGAGGGCCTGAGAGCAATGGCGGCCGTCAAAGGAACTGATGCAACTGCAATTCATCGACACGTCGTCCGAACCAATTAAAGTCCCTCGACTACGCAACCCCATTTCTCAGCTGCACTGTACAATGCCCAAAAGAAAAAGAAAGAAAAATTCCGAGCAAATAACGTTCCGGTCTAATAACACTCTTCCAAACAATACAGTGCAACTTTTCACTCGGTGGCTACCTGCACGGAGAGGTACATCGCCATGATCCGGATTTGTTTCGATCCCCTTTCTCTCAAGCTTAACCACACCGGACCACCCCTCAAAGACAAAGAAACTAAGTTTCAACAAATAGCCTGCTAAATTGTCATTTTATCCCTCGCCTTTTTACCACTGGCAAAATGTGGAGGAAAGCATTATACTTCGAAGCCCCCTCCCGCTGGCCATGGCTCGTATCGCTGCGGTCATCGCAATCGTTCATTATTACGACCGTTTCGCTATCCATGTTCACTGTGGGTTTAATTTGCTCAATTTTCCAACGGCAGTCATTTCAAACTAACAACACCAATACAGGATCTCTTTCTCTACACAATGATATCAAATTTGTCCACACAATTCAAAAGAAATTAACACAATTCAAAAGGAATTTAGTCTAACAAACATAGATTGTGCCTATAATGCCTAGCGCATTGGTTTTGCGAGCTGGTGTCAGCTTTGAGGACAGTAAGTGCTGTTATTGCTCAAACTTATGAAAATGACTAAACCTTTTCATCTCCACGCAGGAGAGTTCTGGAATAGTTCGCTTTTGATTTCCGAAGCTGTCACGGCTCTTATCTGCAGCCCGATCTTCGGGTATGTGCTTGACGTCTCCGGCACTCGTCAAGGGCCCTACCTAGCGGGCCTCGTTCTGTTATTCGCCTCAATGGTAATTTTTACGGCATCAAGATCCGTACTCTGGTACACAGTCGCGCGGATACTTCAAGGAGGAGCAACTGCAATGGTTACGGTCGCAGGGTTCGCTATTGTGACAGATGCAGTAGACAAACATCATTTGGGACAAATGCTCGGCTATATTGGAACAGCTATGACTCTGGGCTTTGTGTCTGGTCCTGTTTTAGGTGGAGTGGTATACAGTATTGGAGGCTTCTATGCAGCATTTGGGATGGCATTTGCCATTATTACCTTGGATCTGGCTTTGCGACTGGCTGTCATTGAAAAAAAAGTCGCAGAGCGTTTCGTATCCTCTTCAGACAACGGAGTGGTCTCACCGAGTCGAGATCATGACCACAATAACCAATCATACGGCTCAGCTCAGAGTACGCCGCGTGGACCCAAACCCCCAAGACCAGACGGATCCCTTGCTTTGTTCAAGCTCTTACGACAGCCTCGAGTCTTGATAGCTCTATGGGCCGTTATCGTAAGCGCAATAGTGGCGTCCGCCTTTGATGCGGTGAGTTAATGTAAATTCTCCCGAAGACGCACCCTCATTAATTCATATTGCTTAGGCCTTGACTATATTTGTTGAAACAATTTTCCATTGGGATGTTCTAGGAGCTGGTCTCATTTTTATACCCGGTGCTTCGGCGGCAATTCTACAGCCATTCTTTGGTACATAGCATTGATCAAATATCTGAAGGCAAGAATCTATCTAATCTACTTGCTTGCTAGGCTACCTTACTGATCGTCTTGGGTCACGGATAATTGCTTTTTCGAGTTTCGCCATTCTATCACCCACCCTTATTTTGCTTCGTCTCGTTGAAAAGAATACATTTCAGCATAAAGCAATTCTGTGTGTTATACTTGCCACCGTTGGGATGTGTATCGACCTCGGCGAGCCCGCTCTTCTGGTTGAACTACAGAAGGTTCTTGATGACATGGAAGCTGAGGATCCAAGAGTATTTGGTGGGCAAGGCGCAGTTGGGCAGGCCTTCGGTCTTCAGAGTATGGCACATTTCGGTGGTTTCGCCCTCGGGCCAATTATTGGAGGCTTCGTATCATTCCATTATGGTTGGAATGTTATGACATTTTCTCTGGGCTTGCTGTCCCTAGTCACAGCCGTTCCGATGATGTGGCTTAGTGGGCCGATTCAAGATGACCATACTATTAGTGAAACAGGAAGAGATCCACTGATGGATTACTGAGTCGATAACTAGCCTTGAAGGCTCAATGAAAGGAATTAGAAATTCTCTTGTACGAATTCTAAGGTGTTGTGATTGCCCAAATATTGTCTTCGGTGCTTTCCGTCATGCAGTAGTATGTGAGTAGTAGATGAAGCATTTTGCCAATATAACAGTGGCAATTACTTGTTATTATTTTACAAGGCTCTAGTAAATAATGACTATTCCCCACGTGGCACTCCATAAGATTCGTCTTCTACAATTCAGATTATGGCGTAATAAAAGTACGACGGACTCGGACATCGATGCCGACAGGATTCTCTTCGCGAACCCCTGCAAGTCTCAATCATAACTAGCCTTCTCGCGGAAAGTAGGAATCCTGCGCACGACCTTCGATAATATCGATGAATTGGACTCGATTAAGGCGCACATGCCGGAGGCACAGCTTCTGCTCCGCGTATATGCAAATGACGACACTGCTATAATTTCCCTCGGGGGGAAATATGGGCACATCTTGATATGGTCAGGATACTTCTTTTTCGGGTGAAGGAATTAGGGCTTAACTTGGTTGGGGTCAGCTTTCATGTTGGTAGGATTAAGAATAAACCCAACCCCTCTCCCCTGTATAGTTCAGTGCACTAAGCTAATTTACAAATAGGGGCTGGAGCAAGTAATCCTAGCTCATTCTGCCAGGCTAGCAAAGACGCTCGATATGCGTTTTTGCAAGCCCAGTAACCCTATGCCCTAGTATCCTCGGCATAAGGGGAGGATTTGAAGATAGCAGTTTTAAGCAGATGGCTACTTCAATTCGAGATGTGATTGATTCTGGCTTCTCACCTGGTATCACAATTATTGCTGAACCGGGTAGGTTCTGTGCACGCGCGGCGTATACGCTTACGTGTCGAGTGATTTCCCGACGAAGACAGATGACGAGTGCGTCCGCGGCTGGAACTCCGGACATGCTATATCAGCATGATGGTATTTATGGAAATTTTATGAATGTCATCATGGAAAGGGAAGTCATGGTTTCGAAATTGGCTAGAGGTCGGTATGGCTCAAGGCCCTTGCTGAGTCAATTTGAGAGACAGCGACGAGATGGGGAATTTGTACACAAATATTCCATATGGGGACCGACTTGTGACAGTATTGATCGTGTGGTGCGAGAGGCAGCCTTCGATTGCGAGGTGAATATTGGTGATTGGCTGATATACCAGAACATAGGAGGTGAGTCAACCCACATACCACATTCGGACTTGAGATGGCCAAAAACTAATTTGCCCAGCGTATACAATCAGCACGGCAACCCAACTCGATGGCTTCCATGGCTCCCATGATAAGATCTATGTGAACAGTGAGCCAATTCTGGATCATTGGGTGATGATGCGAAGCCAGTTTGCTTGCTACCCCAATGAAGCGCCATAATTTCGGGGGAAGTTGGGAGAGTGGCAGAAATTATTTCGCAAAGTACGATGTTGAAAGCCAGAGGGATTTTCTATTGTCGATAAGTTTATAATTAACATTCAAGTGGTCAATGATTCCCTCGGCTGGATATCGCTCTTCCCAGACCAGAGATCAGCTTCTGTAGCGCTGATATGCTTGCTCTTGTTGGCAATTTTGTATCCAACATACAGTATGAAATACAAAGGAACAGCAATATAGGCTGCCACAAAGGAACGGTAATTGAATGTCGTCCTGCCTTCTCTAATGCTGATTGAGTTGAAGATCATGGTTGATGAGATAAAGAGACAGAGTAGAATGCCAATCCAGCTACCTGTGATGCCAAATGAGGCCCTAAAGACCAAAACGGAGTCCGATACCCCTTGTGCCTTTCGAGCCCGTACAAATGAAATATGAGTGACGAGCATCGACATCCAGGTGAGAAGCCCAAGCATGGTGACCATATTGACGAAGTAACTAAATATCCGGGATGAATCTCGCCCTACATTCACGTAGGCAATTGTCGTCAGAGCAGCACAAATGCCAAGCGCGTAGAAAGGTACGCCTCTCCTGTTGGTCTGCGATAGGAACTTCGGGGCGCGACGATTCACTGAGAGATCGCACAATGCTCTGGTGGCGAGGAATAGATCGTAGTTCGCTATTGACAAAACGAAGATCAAAATGCAGGCGTTCAAAAGATGAGGCGCGACGGCTATTTGTGCAAGACATAGAGCAGCAACAAACGGGGATGCGGCCGGATATTTCGCCTTACGAGAGTAATCAAGGCTCAGGCTCTCAATCCACGCCTCAGACACGAATTTCCGAGGTTCCATCATACCAACAAGAGTGATCCCAAGGAGGTGAAAGACGAGAAGACGATAGAAAGTATGGTTGATCGAGCGGGAGATGGCCTTCTTGGTATTCGGAGCTCGTGCCACGATACCCGATCTCTCACTGCCGACATAAGCAAACGCTGCCGGCGACATTGTTCCGCACGCCATGAAAAACCTTCCAAGGGCACTCCTACCGCCATCATTTTCGAAGTCGTCTGATTCTCTGAAGTACCGAAAGCCCCGAATATCACGGTCTGGGCCTCCGCCGAGGGTAATGACAAAAGATAAGATCATGAGAGCGGCCATAACAACCAATTTAAAAGACGAGACGTAGAACTCGACCTGGCTGGGTATTCGATGGTGCACACAGTTGAGGATGGTGATTGTGACAAGGAAGATGGTAATCCAGACTACGGGGTTCACAAAATCCGTATCGACCCAGAAGGATATCACCAACGAAGCTGCGACCAGTTGATTTGGGGTGATGATAGCATATTTCAGCCAATATCTACCGAGGTATAACGGGTTAGGCCAGGCGACTTGAGGATTGGGAAGGAAGGGGGGGTCAGCTTCATATTACTCACATCCACCCGAGACTGAAGCCCAAGGCTGGATCACAGAAGCGAACAGCTTGATCAGCGACGGTGTACGGGTCTGGTAGCCACGCAGTGACCTCGCCTAGCGCCGAGAGAACCAGGTATACGGTAAATCCAACAACCGAGTATGATATCAACAGAGCGGGTGGCTGTAGGGTTGTCAGCGACGGCATCGATCAGTCAAGTCTATAGGATTCGGAACTCACGCCACTCCTAAGTTGTGTCAGTCAGGTCCAATGTTCCAAGGATGAGTACCTTACATCGACATGGCCAGCCCACTTGTTACCATCAGTCCGGTCCCAATCGCGGACCCGATTGCTGTACGCTGAATTAGTTCGAACTTCATTTGAAACATCTAAATGAGAAAGTGACGAACTGATGACACTGAGCTGCCGGGTAGTCAAAGACCCATAGATATCAGCAAATCCAATTGCAACTCTTTGCTGGTGAGCCACATCGGGAGCCGGTCGAGTTGGCGTACTGGGTGTATTGGGCGGATGTTGAAGATCGTCAGCGTCATCATTGGAAGAACGAAGTCGTCGTGGCGAAAGCTCAATGGTCTCCATTCGCAAGAAATGGTCCAATTTCCATTCTGTGGTCAAGGCTGAGGTGGCTGGGGTGTTGATGAGGAAGACAAGGCAGGCCGCGAATGTCTTGAGGTCGGAGTTGGCTCCATTTAAGGAAGGCGCCTCCTACAATTTACCACTTACAGTTTACAACTCATCAAAAAGCACAAGCACACAAAGATGGAACCGAGCAAGCCTGTCATGGATATAATTTCCTCTATATATGCAAAGGTAAAACGAAAAACGCCTCCGTGGAGGGGACCAAAAACAACTCAATATAGAAACAGAAATGAAAAAAAGAACACGCAAGGTCAGGTTGGATACCAGCAACCCTATCGTCATGAGAGGTCCGTGAGATGCATTTTGGCAGCCTGTGACAGTACCCCATTCCAAAGCCGAAGAAGTCGCAAACGCCCTTATAAGCAAGACGCCCCAAATGAACCAGCAGGAAAGCCCTTCACTTGTGACCCGAATCGGGTTCGATTTGGTGGTGGAGGGTAACAGGGAGAGGAGTGGAAGATATCGTGAATAGATCCTCGGGATTGAGGGCTACCGATTGAAGGATGAAGTGGAGAACGGACGCCATGTTGCCTGCCTCCCCCAGGAAGGAAGAAAAAAAAAACAGACGGAAAAAGGAAATGGCGTGAATTAGATGCATCAGATCATCGCGACATGAGGGATTCGCTGGACTCAGTCCGCGGGAAAATGCGAGTGTACAGGGAGTCGCTCGACTCGGTACGGGGGAAGTGTCGTTGGTGCTTCCGAGAGATCACACGGTCAGTGTAGACACCCTTGGCGGTCCCCGGATGACAGTCTGGAGATACTCGCGGAAATCGGTGGGCTTGAACTCGGGGTATAACTCGGTGGTGAGATGGTATCCCAGGTACTTGGCGTACTCGGGATTGTTGTCGCCCCGGATGCCCCAGGAGTATTGGTATTCGGCGAGGTAGCGAGGGATGAACTTGATAGGGTCGAAGGGGTAGGTTTCACTGGCTTGGCGAGCGGCAACAACTCGGCTGCAGATAGTCTCTTCGGGGACCTGTGTGATGGAAGAAAAACGCTGTGTTAGCCCGCCGCAATCGGGTGGAAGAAGAATCATTCAGTGCACTAGGGGCGGGTGCCGGGGACGTACATAGTTCCGATCGACCTTCTCCTCGGCAAGTTCCTCCATCAGTTCGTAGATCTGGTTTTGTGAAGAAACCAGGTTGTAGGCGAGAATCTTCTTGTTGAGGGTGCGGGGGTCGGAAATGATCATTGCCATGTAGCGACCGATGTCCCGCAAGTCGGTGAGCGCAGTGGGCATATTTCCATCTCCAATGATCTCGTCGTTGCCGGAGGTCATAGCATAGTCGACACGGCCGGAAGGAAGACGAGGGTAGGAGAGCTGGTACCACCAACCCACGTCGACAATGGTGTACGGGAGCCACAGCTGGCGGATCTGGTTGTAGACAATCTCTTTCTGTAGAGGGAAACACGCGAATGGTCAGCTCCAGTACGACATTGCACCACTCTCCCCTCCATCTCTTCCGCTCTTCTTTCGTTCGGGGGCTCTTTCTTACCTCGTCGCGCAGCCACATCACACCACCGGGAGGTGAAACGGTAATGAAACCACAGGGAATGAAGCGCTTGACGCCAGCCTTCTTCGCGGCCTTGGCCAGCGGGATTTGATCCTGCTGCTCAGCGGGACCAACGCAGCTGATGACAACGTCGATTTCGGACAGGGCCTCGATCAGATGCTCCTCGGGGGCCTTCAAGTCACACTTGCGGATCTGAATACCGTTATCCGACAGTCGCTGAATGGCGGGCTTGTGAATAGAGGCCGGTCGGACCAGAGCGATAACATCCTGGAAGAACGAATAGCAAACGTTAGTCTAAGCCCTGGAAAATCCCGAGAGAGAGACTTGAGAGACATAAAACCACTCAGTGGAAAACATACAAAGCGACCATCATCGAGGAGACCATTTGCGATGGAACCTCCGGTTTCACCCGCGGCCCCGACCAACAGAACCTGGGTTTTCGACATGTTGGCGGGCAGTTGGCTGGTGATTTGGTGGCGAGTCAATAAGGAAAAGGTAGTAGTTGGTGAGGTGAATGAGGAGGGGGAAAATGGTGGTGGGGGGAGATGGAAAGGGAAGAAAGAAAGAAGGGGCAACGAACCGGATTGAGGAGTTGACGTTATAAATTCCCAAATGTTTCCACCCAAGGTTGCTACCCACTTTCTCTCTGCCATCGGGAGTGGACGATGGTGGGTCGAAGTGGATGTTCTCTCCCCTCAAACGAGGGGGAGAGAGAGAATCAGACCAGAGTTGGGAGAACGTCATGAGGAGATCGTCGATTTACTGTACGGCTACTAGTAGACTAGATGTATCCCAGTACGGGGAGTACTGATACATACTACGAATATATAATGTAGTAGTATCATGCCGTTGAATCCCATCCCCATCGGCTTGACAACTTTTTTCCAACAATTCACGGGCCGGTGTGGTGGCTCGGGAGCAAAATCCTTTCCTGGTCGGCGCCCTTACGTCATGGTAGACGGCTTCCCGGCTTGGTTTTGGGCTGGTTTGGTGGTTTGGAAGAAGAATGATGTTTGCGGTCCTGAAAAAGAGATTGGGAGACCTCGTAAAGAGGTACGAGTACTCGTACTCAGAGACCATGGGGACATTCCACCTGCACTTGTCAGGAGATCGTACCGTGCGACGTTCGTCTGAAACTAGTCGGGTGGGCACATTGAGAGAGTAATGATAGTCCTGCGCCTCGGTCCTTTCCAATGGTAAGGTTCCTTCCAATCCTATGATAGAGCGAGGATCTGAGCAATCTGCTGCATACCAGTAGACAGACTCCTTCCCGTCACTACTACTCCCCCTCCCCCCCACGTCAGCGATCTTCGGATCTGCATAGAGGACTCGGAAACTTGAAGCCAAGTTCTGCCCAGTGGCGGTCGGGACCTTCAATCTCAAGGCTGTGACGAAATGCGACCAGGAAGATTAGTCACGCAAAGCCATCCTCCTTATTGGCGGATATCTGTCCCAAAAAATCGGAGGATCCCGTCCACGGTCAGCGAATCGGGCGACCCAAATGCACGCGATGCGGCTGTGGGATTCCCCGTTTTAAGATTGAGGGGGGCTTTGGGGCGGTTTCAAAGGGGGACACCATTGGGTGTCTCTGACCAGAATGAACTCGAACACCATCAAGTCGATCAACAGGTGAAGGTAGCCCGATCCCTTGGAGCAAATCGGAGCGCCATTATTACCGCATACCCGGGGATGGCCAGCCACAACCGCCTCGGGCGCGGGAGATCGGTGCCTGGTTCGACAATCCTGGTTGCCCTCAAGGCTTCGCGGACTTGGTATCTCTGCCATCCCCGTTGTGCGTCCCGGAGCACCGTAGCCCGTCAGACCGCATTAGGACGGAGTCTCCTCCCCATTATTTTTTTTTCAGCTCTGCCGGATTTTGTCGGGCACGATCCTCCCCCAGGGATTGAGGGGGTCGGTGGGGTTGCCGGTAATGGCTGGAATTTGGGTCGGATCGAGTAAGCCTGATAGACGATCTCGGGCTCTGGGCTTGTAATGTAGGTGCATTGGAGAATGGACGCCCTTGAACGTGAAACCTGCATGAATATGATGAGCGCTTTCTGCGCTTTCCCCGCGGGTCATGCGGTTGAAATCGCGGGGTATGATCGTGCGAGGCCATACTCCACACTGTCACGGTAGTTTCGCGCAGCCCAAGAGGAGCATTGCGGAGTAAATTTGCAGTAATCGTAGCCATTCAGGACTGCCAGGAAGATCGCACAAACTGTATTCAAAACATTCCTACCGACGTCGTCCTGTGAGTGTCGGTACCGCAATGGTCCTGGGAATCCTTTGGAAGAAGGTGAAGTGGAAGCGGAAGTGGAAGTGGAAGGGGCAGATGGAGAGGCACCTGACTGGTGCGGACTGCCTACGTTCTGTACACTGCACACTGCACACTGCGAACACAGTTATTTTAATCCAATTGGAATAACGAAGTATTTCTCATAGTCCATTCCATGTGATCGAAACAGACATGTTGGCTTCGACTTGGTATTCCCCCTCCTATCCCTTTCCCAGGATTGATCTCCTTTTTCAAACTTCATGATCAATTATTCGGTTATAGTAAGAGAGTACCTTCAATGATCGCATTAGTAGTGTTCCTCGCATTTCTGTCGGAGAAAGTGATCAGCATGTGTCCCAACGATTAATACAGACAAGAAGCTTCGAACATCTTGTCTACGAGTATGGCTTCCAAGCGTAATCAGAGCACAGAGATATAGTACTATGCTTGAGAAATACACCGTGCAAGGATGATTGATAATAAAAATAGCGGTCCATACCTAGGTACTCGAAGATATTTTGGTACTTCTTCTAATCGCATCCTTTCTCTCCCCACAACTCGCCATTGTCGTTATTAGTCGAGTCTACGGCATGATCTACCGCCACGGTAGGTGGGACAGCGACGGTCAGTACTGCGCAAAAAAGAACCAATATAATCCAAGAGTGCATTATGAGGCAAATGCCAAGCTTCGAGTATTTAAAAGAGCAACTGGAGGAGTTTCTGCCATATTATGGTCCATGCAACGTTCAAGTTCCAGGTCTTTATATACTATTCAGAGTCGAATCTACTAGTAATACTCCAGGGCTGTTACTAGTAATAGTTAGTCGTGGTACCAACTAACTATTTCCTACAAGTAGTATTACTACGATAATCAGGCCCGTGGTTGGACGGATCTTAAACCAAGGATACGGCCTAGAACACCACAACCAATGATGTAACGCCCGTCCCCAGCTATCAAAGAGCTTTGTTTTGTCTCACAAGCTGTCGATGCTACCAAGTAAGCCTGAGCCCGGCCTTCGGAGAAATGTTTCGGGGAGTTTGAGATTGAGAAAATCACGATTCTAAATAACATACTTTGTATGTTGCTATAATCAAAAGCCATTCTTCCCTTATGGAACCCATCATAACCTCAGTCTCGTTTGAGTGTGGGGTGCAGTCAGTGTCACCTACCCTGCATGATGGAGGTGAGCCTGCCAGAAAAAAATGTGAATTTGAAGATCGTTGAATTTAGTGATCCGATCATAGTATTTCCAATATGACGACCCAGCTCTATGCGGTGACGCAGAATATGAACATAGAACAGAATCGAGTTGAAAGCTCGGAAAAAGTGAAGCAAAATAATCCGTAAGAATCATGACCAGCACGACTCAAAATGCCCCCAGAGACTCCCTTGCGCCAGTTCATGCTTTCATTTAAAATCCCAAGCTCTGCGTGGTTCTTCCCATTCGAATACTAGTGCCAGTCTCCACCTCCCTCTGGAGCTTCCTCACGTCCCACAGTTCCCCGCGACAATAAAGCCGGAGAGTGACAGTTGCCCCTTGTTTGAGCAAAAGCATCTCTCTTTGCTTCCTTCGCTCTTCTATAATGACAGCCCACTTGGCCCGCACAGCCTTGAGCTTCTTCCGACGCGTCGGCCAGCTTCGCTTCCATAAGATAACTTGATGTGTCTTCTCCAGGTTTTGGTCAGTTGGCCACCCCCACATGCGCTCTGCCGGGAGCCACCCTTCGTCTTCATCTGTGACTTCGATTTCCTTGCCGGAGATGAGTCTGTCAATAGCGGCCATATCCCATTGCCATGAGCGAAGTTCATGGAGATCATTTGAATCACGGCAAAGGTTCAGTACGCCCCGTCGAGCAAGGTGGTGCTGACGGATATGGTAGTCGACTTGGTAATGGGCAAAGAGAACCGCAGCCTCTGGGTCGGCGTTCTTTGTCTCTTCCAGAGCCCGGTTTAGATTGTTCTCGACCAGGACGTAGTAGCGCTCACGCTGTGAAACGGAGATGCGACGCCACCACGTTGGATCCGTGTGCTTTGTTTCAGTGTCCAGGGGAGAGATATTGTCATCTCTGGTTCGCTTGTTCACAAAGAATGGGGGGTAATGGCTGGAGTTGTAAACACCATCATTGATATCCCCCTTCATGATTGCCTCGGTGATGGTGATCTGACATTTTGTGCAGCCGAGGGCTTCTTCCAGAGCCTCAAGCTATGGGTAATATAATCAGCGTTGTTCACATAGAATTAATCGCGATCTGAGTTCGTACTAGATCTGTCTCCGTGGCCTCGTCCCATGCCTTTTCCATTGCCTGGATGTCTGAGGCATTGTGATTCTGTTCATCCAAAGTGCCATACATTTCGAGAGAATTGTGAGTTTCGATCTCGTCGAATCGTGTTTGGGGGCGATATTCTTGTGTATGTGAATAATAGAGTTTAGAAACCCTCAGTTCATAATGTTCAAGTGATGCCGAAATTGAGTCGATTTGAAAACATCAAAATGAGCATTTTCTGGGTTATTATACTCTGCCCGGTGAAGGTTATCGGGGAGAAGTGTCTAGGCAAACGAGGGTTGTGATGAGCTGGGACGCGATGGACAAAGAGTCACTATGTCTAGATTCTATTTCCAGATTAGGGATATCTGTCACCACAAAGGTTTCTTTGTGGCGTTGCCGCAACTTTCTTGGGGAACAAAGGACCACTAGGATTTTCGCAAATACAATGAGGTCAACGACTTTTATGGCCGACTCGATTTAGGAAAACGCTTGCTTATAAGATTACTCGACCTGGGGACCTCATCGGGGCCGCTTGAGGAGGTCCGCGCCAAATGCGTCAAATGACATTCCTGAATCTGAGCGTGGCTGGTCATCTGTCCCGAAGTCCGCCGATGCGGTGAATTACCCCGGGGGGCGTGATGGGGTCACTGGGTTTCATTCGACCTCACGGGCAGCTTGGTCCCCGCATGCCCCGTCTCAGAATATTAGATAGAGAGGTACTCCGTATATATGGCTCTCGACCGCATCCCTGTGCTCCGTAGATGAGGGGTGAACTGGCGGTCGCATGGCGCGGAGCAGGTTAGACAGCCCCGCCATTGACAACATGCCGCGCTCCCTTGCGACCAGCGGATCATCACTCATGAATGAATCGTGGATAAAACCTCAGAAGACTTGGTCATTACTTGCTCTGAGTTCTGAACAACTTGCTTAGCCCGATAACCCCCGCCTCTCTACTCTACCAGCACAGATGAACCTGGTAGCCTGATTCAATCCTTGCAGATGAAGTTAGCCCGTGGACTTTCCTGCTGATGCCAGAAAATACTGGCAGAAGAAACGACTCCCTAAGATAGGGAAAGTCGTCATACCTCATACTCATTTAATGCAACTGATGTTGATACAGTAGTGGTATCTACTGGTAGTATATTGGGATTTATAGTTAGCTTTAGTAGTTAATACTTAATACTCAGGTCTGCGCCTGTAGATCGGAAAGTTCATGTACTCTGTAGATCAAGATAAATAAACGCGTCATGACGCACATAGTCACCGACATGGCTGTATGTCTCTACTTGCAGAGTTCCAGCATCTCCCATGCCCCTGGCAGTCTTCTTGTGAGATGCATGCGTTTATGCACGCTCTATGTAGTACTATGAACCACATCCATGTTAATTCACAGGGGCAAATTTATTTTTGTAGCGTGATTACAGTCTGTTACTGTATAGTCCCAAATTTATTTTAGCAGACAACTTTGCAGAGAGTCAAAAATAAAATAATAAATAAACGGCTGGAGAGATTTTGAAGAAACATGAGGTTCCCGCTGGCTTAGCACCACCATCACCACCACCATCACCAGGCTTACAACAACTTGAAGCCCCCAGCAAGTTCATCCCTGACATGTCAACTTTCATAGGGATTTCAATAACATATTATACCTCACATCCATACTATTTCTTAGTTTGTTACTAGTAGAGAGTGTGCGTTGTCAATTCAGCATTAAGGGTTGGTGAAATAATTATTGGTAGAGCATCTTGTCATTATTAAAGATTCCTAGAGGGACTAGTCAAATGTAAAGACCTCCCGTATTTCTGGCGTGATTGAGCTTTCTGTCCAAGCAAACTCCTCCTGTAGCCATGAATCCCAGCCCCAGTCTACCCATTCTACAAAGTTCGCCGGACGAGCTTTCCAACGTAACAGAGGGGATTTATACTGCCCAAGACATCGCTCAGACACATCCCATAATTTATTATCATCCTTCGCCCGCTGGAATAATGTATCATCAAAGTCGACAAATACAACAGAGGGATCTGGGCTATCATGATCAATCACTATGACGTTCCGGGGATATAGATCAGCCAAATAGATGTCGTTCGCATAAATCTTGCATTCTAGTTCCGCAATTGATGAAATAATTCGTTGGCGACTAGCTTTGGAAAGCTGTTCTGGCACCCTTGACAGTGGAATACCTTGTATGTATTCCAGTAAGACCATACGAACCTCACGGGTTCTATGAGATTCATCCGGCAATGGTAGTGATATGGAATATGAACCATAGTAATGGTGAATTCCTTGGCCCCCAGTAGCGAGCCTCCCGCTGTGTGGTCGATCGATGTATGACTCTCCGCGTCGGTGTTTCTCCACAACGAGCCGTAGTTGGCTAGACGTGCAAATGGCGCCTTGGATGTTTTTTCATCTCCATCCACAAGTGATACCTCATTCCGGGTACGCTTGTGTGCTATTGTTTCTTGACACTCGGACACAGCTATGTACCTCTGTCTTTTGTCAGTCTCGGATCTGTACCAATTATTGAGCAGGGCTTGATGACTTACCTTGACTGTTGTCACTGTTGCTGTGAATCTCAGAGTTGTGAAGGGGTTGGTGGGTGAGTGTAAATATTCTGCTATCCCACAATCCTGTCAGCTCTGAGACCAATAATCATCAAACTTAACGCCCTAGGAGTAGAAGGTCAGGCTATGATTGCAATGAGTGCGATGTTCCAGATAGTTGGAGAGGTAAACAAAGATGGTAGCCTGGCCGGTGGAGATGTTAGAAGGCAGGAAGGTGTGTGACGTACCCAGGTACCAAACCACTAGCAAAAGCCATTCTGATCTTATTTCATGCCCGCAGCTCAAACCTGAACGATATCTCAATGGCCGAACCCAAGAGTGTCACAGCTGGTGCACCTCTCGTGTTTCCAATTATCTGCCTCACTGCGTCCCTACTTTTCATCCTTCTACTGAACCGCCGTGCATGTGAGAGCCTCGCCACCAAATGCCACCAATTCATTTACCAGTCCTATATCACTGCCAAGGACCAGGTCTTCCAACAATGGTTCGCTCTCCCTCATAATACAGCCACAACCAACGAACTAGAGCTGCGCTATGGGCTTCTCACTCCATCCGATACACCGACTGGATCTTCTTTCGGGGACGAGGACGACGAGTACAATCGGTTGGACTGGGAAAGTGGGAATGGATGGATTGACATTCTTGTCGACAATTACGTTCGGTGGTTAATGGATTCTGACTGGGACGACGATACGTGGTGACTCGTGACGATGGGAGCATTGTGTTGCTGGATACGCCAACGGAGTCATGTTGCGCCCAAGTGGTGGATTTTGTGACTAGTGCATGGATGTACATTACCTCGACCAAGAAATTATTATTCCCGTGCGGTTTGCATGTACAAAACTCGGCCATGATCCTATTTCCCGGTGAGCTCTTCTGTACTTATTGCGCGTGAGTGTAGCGTAGAGTTGCTTGGATTCGTTCGTTGTATTGCTCTCCCCCTATCATAATTATTCATCATTCCGTAAACCAATTGCCAAAATACATTTCATTCCGCATCAGCCCGCACTACTTTACGGGGCGCAGTATCCTCCATCGACGACCAAATCCGCACCAGTAGTGTAGCTGGATGCGTCGGAGGCAAGGTAGAGGTATGCGCCCTTCAATTCGTGGGACTCGCCCTCCCGACCCATGGGGATCTTGTCGCGCCAGATCTTCTTGGTGTCTTCTTCCACGAAGCTGGAGATTTCAGTGGCAATGTATCCCGGGGAGACTGTATTCGCACGAGCGAAGCGAACCCACTCGACAGAAAGAGACTTGCCTATAGATCTTATTAGCAGGACTAGAAGTGCAAATCATGATCTCCGACAACGTACAAAGGTGGATCACGCCGGACTTGGCAGCGTTATAGGCGGACTGCAATTGGGGGAAGTTGACAATGTGGCCGCTCATTGAAGCTGTCGCAACAAAGCTGCCGTAGGTGAAGTTGGTCAACTTGTTGCCATTGGCGTCAGTACCTTCCTCCTTCTGTCGGCGCCAGTGGGCGGCGGCGGCGCGAGCACAGTAGAAAGTGCCGTCGAGGTCAACACCGATAACATTGCGGTAATGTTCAAGGGAGCCGTCCACCATGGAGCCTTGGGTCCATGGAATACCAGCGTTGGCAATAAAAACATCCAGACGGCCATTGAAATCCTTCACAACAGTGTTGACGGCCTCCTCGACCTCCTTCGCATCGGTGACTTGAACCTTATAGGCTTTGGCTACGGTGGGGAGATCGTCTGTAAGCTTGGTTTTCAAACAAAGAGTAAGATATGCGCGACGTACCCTGGACACCGTACTTCTGGGCAATCTCGGCAGCGCGCTCCTCGCACTTGGGATTGCTGTTATACCACATAGCAATGTTAGCGCCAGCTTCGGCCAGACCCTGGGCCACGGAGAGACCAATGCCGGCACCGGCACCCGAGACAATGGCAGTTTTCCCCTTCAGGGAGAACATGCTCATCATACTGGGGTGCTCTGGGGCAACTGTGTTGTCATGGACAAATAGTCCCTGCTTGTTGATGGGGGTGGCAGCCATTGCGACGGTAGAATGGCAAGGTGTTTGACGTCTATAGGGTTGGGGAAAAGGAGGACCGCAGGGACGGGCGAGAGAAGATCACTTAAATAGAGCTCCGGAGAGACAATACCCAGCATACCCCCACTCAATACGCTCCGACGGTGTACAATGCGTTGGCCGGGGGAGCTCCGATGGTCCACTATTCAGAGAGTCGCGGCTACGGGTTCTTGTGGACAGCAAATGACGCTATACGTTCCAGAACGGAGAGTAGAGCGGGGCGCGATATGGTCGAAGTGGGATGCAGCGCCTTTGGAGGGGCATTGAAGCGCGTGTGGGGGGGACAATATGGAGCTCCATCAGGCAGACCAGCATACGGTCAACGGCTCAGCGGCGGTGGTACTGACTTCCTGAGCTTGCTCGCACTTGAAGATCGCTTCTGTTATGTTTCTAAAATGCAGAGGGCATTTTGTTGCTGTCAATGGACGTGAGGGCGGCTAAATGCGCAAAGCTGGGGCTATCAATGAGCCGCTTCGAGGGAGAATCGGACGTCTCTCACCCCAGGGCGGGTCCCTCCTTCTCGGAGGTGGATTGTTGTTCCATGGGGTTCGTGGCCGAGGCCGAGTCGGGATTCCAGTCGTGCCGTGCCGGGGTGATAATCCGTCCAGACACCGTACTCGATCCGCTAGGAGACCAAGGGCGGACTGCGAGATCTTTAAATCCTAGAATCTAGAACTTAACTGGCAGATCACATTTCCTCACTGTATCAGGGGCAGTATTGGTCTACCACCTGATTGAAACGATGTTCCGCGGGGGCGAGTTGGAGTGGAGGAGTGAGGTGGAGTTGTTGTTTGAGCCGGCGGAAGTTGGAAGTCTCCACTTTCTCTTCTCTCCGCCGGATGTGCGCCCTCCCCCACACTACTCATATCGGAACCGACTAAGGCGCTGAGTATCTCACTAGGTGGGATACCCAGTAGTATAATGTTTATATCTCCAATAATTTCCAGTACTGGTTACCTATACTACTGACATACTAGCATCAACTAACTTAGGTACTTGCTGACGGTCACTTCATGCGATGCCAAAAGGCCCAACCTCCATTCCAACTAACAGTGATCAACTTGCAGTTTACAGTTTTCTCAACCCATTGACGTTCCCTTTAAGCTCCGAGTGTCATGACCTCTCATAGAAAGGGTGGCGGAGTGTGTGGCTGCCAGCATTCTTCATGGTGCTGGGGGTGATGCGGCCACATTCTTCGGCGTATCGATCAATGCTCTCATAACAACAAAGCATCCCCCGGCGAGAATGTCCGCGACGCCCATTTGCATTTTGCGTTTTGCCTCCTCAATTCTTCAAGCTGGCTCTGTCTTGATCTTGTATGGTCCGCAGTCCTGCTGCTTTTTCCGAACGTATCTGCCAGTCAAGTCAATCAATCTTGCTAGAACGACCTCAGACCTACAACAACAAGCCAACACCACTCAGCGAATGAAAGATTGCACCAGAATTGCCTCGCGAATCTCGCGGCCAGCTAGACGGCTATGGTGAGCTTGAGCGGCGTTGTTGCCATCGCCGCTTCAGGCGCGGCTATCTTCGTCGTCTTCGCAGTCGTTTCGATTGTCGTCTGGGTTCGCGTTCGAAAGGAGCGTCATGCGTTGAGAGTCCTGGGTCTTAAAGAAGGGGAGTTCTCCCGTAGTCTTCAGACCTTCACGGGGAATACATTGACATCACTCTCCCACGAGGAGGGGACGGCACTCCGAGCACACGGCCAATTACCCTATGGCAAACCGACGGAATGGGGTCAGCTCGCATCTCGAGAGACTCTTCTTCGGCCCAAGAATAACTCGGACTCGTCGTTTCCACTGGCCGACAAAGCCCGATCGCTACGAAATTCCCTCAGGCGATCCAGATCCAAACGCCTTTCGAGATCCTCTCACAAGCGTCTGAGTTCAATGGCTACAGTGAGCGAGATCCACATGCCTGGTCCTCATCATCCCTCGATATCCAGAGAAGATGTTCCACTTTCGGCTATCGAGGGAGTCCTAGAGTTGGCTGCAGAGCGAACTCCCAATCAAACACCTGAGATGAACAAAGGGGAGGAAGAAGGTTTCATCCTCGGCATGCGCCCTGTGTCTCCCGGATGGCCATTACCCATCCAGAAGGATCGATCTACCTTGTTTCCCATGTTGGAAAACCGCAACTCGCAAGATATGTTCGATCCATCTCCACGAATCTACGAAGAGTCTCCACAACGGCTCCGAGGAGGAAGCATCACGAGCCAAAAAGCTGGCGCTATTCCCGACGATATTCCTCCTCCTCCCCCGCCAGCTGCCTGGCCACCGGACCGACTCAGCTATGCGAGAAATGACTCCGTGATGAGGTTATCTTCCATGAGTTTGGATACCTGTAACAGCTCCATTTTGGATGATGGCAGATTTGGTTTCAGATCCGCTGATACTGAACTCACCTCGCCCATCTTCCCGTCCGGTGGAACCTTCGTTCCGTTTAGTGCAAATGACGTTGGAATAAAGAATGGACGCAGGAGCTTTATCGCCGCAAACACCGGCCAGGGCATGCCGCCGTTGCACAATTTCCCCATTCGCTCGTCTTCGACGGCAGAGACTCGTCGAAGATCGTCAATGGAGCCCATGGAGCCTCGCAGGAGCATGACGACGGCTTCTCGGAATCCTAGCAATGGAAGTGATCGATTTGGTAGACCTCCCCACCGGAGCGATTCAGTCTCATCTAATAATATACCCACGAGACATTCATCTTTCCGCAGTGGAACGCCAATATCTATGGGAAGTTTCCACAACCTCAACAATCCCAACTGGCGATCACCTCCATCTCAGCCATCCCCGATGGCTTATGTACCTCATTTCAGCCAGTTTCAACGATCAAATCTCTATGATGAGCAGCGTGAGAATGACCCGTTTTACGGTGGCTCGCCGCATTCAAATGGTACCCTGTTCTCCATGGGATCACCCGGAACAGCAACAGGCTCTATGCCCCCTAGCCCCGTGCAAAGATCGAGTTTATCTCAACGAGGGGCCTTGCCATCTGCCTTGAAGGGCAGCAACTCACAACGCAAGGGCAAGGGCCATCGACGACAAAACTGTGTTCGTATCTCGATCCATCCACCCATGACTTTTGGTGGACCAACATTTTCTCCCACGCTTGAAGAAGAGCCGGAAGATCTTGATGCGATGGAAGAAGTTGACCTGCGCGAGAGTGCCATCAATGGGCCTTCCAAGCCCCCACCAGTTTTGTCAACCAACATCTCCCCCATGCCAATATCTAAACGCGGTAGCCGGCGAACCAAGCCGGCTGCTAGCACCCTTGGTCCTCTTGCTGAAGAGCCACAGTCTCTGCAGAATATTACTCCATCCAAGAAGAAGAACCATGCCCCCAATAGCAAAGAAGTTGGGTCTGCCCCACTCGATAAGACTCATGGCTTACCCGAGCTGTTCACTGCCCTGCCATCATCCGCTGGGCTGAACCTGTCTCATACGCCCTCGCCTGATCGAAGCACAGCGGTCTGGTCAATACCCGAAGTACCTTCACCACCATACGAAGATTCCCCTGGAACTGGAAGTCCAAGACGAACCGCAGTCAAAGGTCCACGCAGTCAACCGGGTAAACCATCTCGCCGCAACTCAGCGCACATCCAGCCGAAGCCAGTGAAGCCACTCATGGGATTCGGCTCGCCTACTGGTCTTCCTCTCATCACAGGAACTCAAGGAAGCGACTGGCGCAAGTCAACCGATTCGCTATTCCGAACAAACACCGACGCTGCCGATGGCTCACCCCGACGGTCACACGATCTCCAAGGCTCTATGCCGGACGGATTCGACGAAGTTACCAGCTCTTCGTCACCGGCTCGTACAAAGAGGGGAAGAAGTAATACTGTACGAGACCGTGTCACGATCTGGGAAGATGCCAATCGTAGTGCATCACCGCCAAAGCCCCCCCGCTACGCATTTACCTGGTATTTATAGTTACGCAGAGACCTCACCATCGCAGAAAAACAGTCACGGCAACATCCCCCGATCCATGTCTCGGGGCGAGAATTCTCCTCTGCGGAATGGAAGCCAGCGTATGCCGCCGACGCCTACCTCTACTCGACGTGGCCTGACAACGCCTACCGGTAAGGCTCTTGGGTTGGGGATTGGAGGGACTCCAGCCAGCTTGTATGATGGTGATGGATTCTTCAGAGAGTGATTGCATTGAAGTTATTGTTCTTTTTACTTTGAGTGCATGAGCTGTCTTCTTTTTGGTGGGAATTGTTGTTCAAAAGCCTTATACCTTTTCTTTCTTTCTTCTGGTGCATTTGCCCTCTTATTTTTTTTTTCTTTTTATCCTGATGTGAAACGCTTGTTTTGATATCCACGGTCTAGTTAGTAGTAATTATCAATGAACATCTCTATGATACTCTCATTATTTATACTAGATTCATCAAGTCGATCCAATTGAAATGCACACGCCCAGGTGGGTGATCCATCGTTGTAAACGGAATAAAGTTGAGCATTATCGGTTCCAAGTCAGAAAGGCTTACCTACCTATTGCTACTAGTATCCAATCGTCTACGGGTGAAAATAATGAGAGAGAACTTCTCTCTCATTAAGATCTGAGAATTGTATTCCTTTGAAGTCGAATGGGATATACGGGTTAGAATAGTACTATATATATGCCCAAGTGATGGCAGGATTGCAGGCCCCGAGGTGTATTCCAGGCCGCTGCTACTAACTTGAAGAACTCTGGAATTTCAAGTTGAAAGTTGGTAAATTTACAGTTTAGTTGATTGATTAATACAAATCAAGAAGCTATTCAAGTGATGTACCTACTGATAGTAAGGTAGTCTGGGTAACTAGTACTAGTACTAAGTTATTCCAAGGTTCAAGCTCGCCCGCACTCCGCCCGAAGCTGCCCTGCCGCAACCAGCTTTCCCTTTTCAACCGCCACACTTCACATCTTTTTCCTCCCCACCAGCTTCCGAGTCCCTCATATTTCTCTAAATTGCCCAAGATGGAGGTCCTTCGTACAGCCCCCGATACATCATCCTTCGTCCCTATCGCCGAGCACCAGTCCCGCACACCGGCCTCGTTCCACGATGGTCCTACAGTCCTACACTACCACAGCCAGAGCTGCAAAGTCGTCATTCTCGAGCGCGACCTCGTCGCTACCCCTGCGCTGAACGCCCTGCGCGGCGAAAATGCCACAAATGGATCAACCGTAACCGAGGAGGAGGAGAAAGAGGTTGCTATTGACAACGTCGAGACCTGGGTGACGTCCGAGTAAGTCCTCTCTTTCCGCTCTGCAGATACCGATAGCGCGCATTTCAGTGCAGAACCAGCGCATTCACCGCAAGGTTCCCACTGTTCCCTTTATATATCCAAGCGATAAATTTTTAGCTAACAGGCCTCGCAGTAAATTCCTTCTCTTTTCCTCCTCCGCCTCAACGGGCGTCTCAATCCCCTACCCTTCCATCTCCCTCCACGCAATCCAGCGCCTGCGCGTACCGGGTGCCTCCGATGACGAAGTGCAAGGACTGTACATGCAGATTGCGACACCGAGCGCACCCTCCGGAGAAGACGATGAAGAAGAATGCATTACAATGACCGTTGTGCTGCCCTCCGACGCGACAACCAGCACAGCCTCCGACGAACTCTCCGACGAGCCTGAGGAGAGCCCCATTCAAACCCTGTACAATGCCGTGTCAGCTTGTTCGAACCTACACCCCGACCCCGTTGAGCCGGGTGATGAGGATGACGAGGAGGGTGCGAAGTTCTTCACAGCCGATGGTGCGGAACCTTCGTTTTTCCAGCTTGGCGAGGGAATGACGGGCTCTGAGAATGGGGGGTTGCCGCCTCCCGTTGATGGAAGCTCTGGGTGGATTACGGCGGAGAATATGGATCAATTCTTTGATGAAGAGGGCAATTGGATTGCTGGAGGTGAGCCGCCATCTCTCCCGCTTGGGCCTGGGGCTGGAAATGTGCATTCTCGGGAGAATGAGGATGAGGATGGGGAGCAGGATGGGAAAGAGGGTGCGGATGATGATGAGACTAAGTGGAGAAGAACTGAGTGATTGGACGGTTCATTGTATGAATTATAAAAAGTGAAATAGAAGAAAAAAGCGAGAAACAAGAATAAACTTCTAAACTTATTCCAATCGTCACATGGGATATGTAATTGTACCCTAGTCATAAAACCACAAAGAAGAAAGGAAGAAAAAGAAAGAATACAGCTGAGTCGCCGAGGAGCAGCCCTTCACATCCACGTTGCTGCCAGGAAAAGAGACGTAGCAGCTGCAGTACCAAGATCCGAGCCCGCCCTTGATTTCCGACTAGGAAATTTCGGGTCCCTCGCATCACCATTTCGAGGCGCTTTGATAGAGCAATATCTGGCATCCTTCAGGCAGCCCATGCCGCAGTGTACGGTCGTGTTTCCACAAATATGGGAGCTTCCACAGCATAAGTTGAATGGAGAGCTGATGTTTGTTTGGAATTGAACGTGGCTTGTCCAATGCCCATTCTCTATTGTAGCTGGATCAGTCCAGTATGTTCACGCCTCGACGGTGCTTAAGCTAAGGTATGCTGCGAATTATTGGAAATGCATGTCAATATACCCCAGGCGAGTTTCTCAATTCGAGCAAGAGTGACTTTTTGAAAGCAGTGCTCTCCGCCCAAGACAGGCGCGCTAGACACCCATAGTTGGGAGAAAGAGGGCGACTCAATTGTCAAACTTCTTCGTTGTAACATGCGCCTGACTTCCTCGGCTAGGTGCCTTTTCTGGAAGCCTTCACGATGAACAAATGAATGAGCAAGTTCATCGCCAGAAGACTCGGAAGCGAATTTCGACCCGGAATCAATGACTTTGACAAAGCGTGAGCAATTTCCCCACCTGTCGCGATGTAATGCACACGGGCGCAAATATTTGATAGCATAGTACCTTGTTTCAGGCAAATTGCAGCGAAGTGCCCATTTTCTCGCAATCGCATGCGCACATAGTTCCATAACCATCCCGAAGATACGATCGAAAGCGCGATCAGCATGGTGTCCCAGCGTTGTCCAGTGTTGAAAGTTCATTTTACACCAAGACCCCCAAATGCCCTGTCAAGCTCATCTCCTTCATTACGGGGTAGCATAGAAGGCATGGAAGATCCCTGGTCACCTGAAGAGCTGTCTAGCAGACTCTCCCCGTTCACGTCTGGTGATATCGCTGTGCGACTGGGTTGAAGGATTTTCTCATCACGGTCTAGCCACCCAGGTGCAACGCGGCGCTTCTCCGCCAGCTCGCGCTGCTGGATCGAGTCTTCCCAGGCTTTGAGTGCTGCCTTGGAATCATCATGCGTCTTCTTCAAGTGTTGCTCGAGGGATTGGCAAGCTGCAAGGATATCGTCTGGGTGGGCTGCATGCTCGCCGCTGGAGGAAACGACATAGCGTGCTTTGGAATCCGGATTCAGGGAATCGACAGTGACGGATGGTGGCAGCGTTGAGGTCACGGATTTGTAGGTGTATGGTAAGGTGACGGAAGTGGGGAGGTTGATGAAGGGCGATACGGTGAGTGGCACTTGGGCCAGGAGAGGGTGCGGGCCTGGTAGTCGTTAATGAAAGCCGGACATGTGTGTAGCAGCATGATGAAAACTCACGATTCGAGTCGTACATGGTCAGCGTTGTTGGTTGTTGAGGTCGTGGAGGTGTCAACTGGACTGCGGAGTGCGGAGTTGGTCCAAAGCTGTCACGGGGTTGCCAAGTCCCCGCAGACCCTCATCGAATTTCGAATCTCAACACTTCATCACCAACTCTTTTTTTCTGCATTGCTTCCAGGACACCGAAGAAAATGGGAATTATGATCCGCATGCTCTAGATAAATGCTAATAAAGATTCACGAGTTGACAAACAAAGATACAAGACCAACAAATCCAGAAATACCACCCAAGATTAGTGTCATACCTCCCCATCCCAGCCCCAATCTCGCATAGCCAGCAACAATAGGCCCCAGGAATTGCCCAAGAGCAATAGCAACATTGCAAAACGCGTAACCTGTACCCATGCCACTTCTTTTGCGACTGTCGATCCCTTTTTTAACCTCAATCTGCCGCACGGCATCAGACACCTCCGCCATGACTTGTGCTTGGGAGGTAGTCATGAACAAACCCACGCAGGTCACTAAAGCAACAAATAAAATCTGGTGGCTCGACGATGGCGTTTCAACTAAGCGGAGTGCAGAGAGCGGAAACAAGGCCAGAATAAGCTCAATGGCGACCGTTCTTCGGCGATCCCAGCTCTGACAATATTTGGCCATTGGAATGCTGAGAAGGCTCGGGAGAGATATCCCTAGAAACAAACATCCGGACTTCGTTGAAGACCAATCATATGTTTCCATCGTGAATAGTGGAAGAGTCTGTGGCTTGGAAATTAGCAAAATTGCCATCGTTTTCACAAAGTTGTGAACATACGGTCTCGAATGCGGAAAGAATGGATGAAATCGTGATTTCAGTAACTATGGCTGCTATGAAGCGGGTATCAATAAAGTTGCGAAGATGCAATTCGTTTCCCGTTGAGCCTTGCGTGGATAGCAATGGAGTTTCCTCGCCCTGGTATTGTGCGAACACTTCCGCCGTGTCGTGATCTCCTAAAGGGTTGACATTAGAAGTCAGAATGCGAGTATCGTGGATATCCGAAAAGGATTCTTACTCTTTTCGATCATTAGGGACCTGAGAATGATATCGCAGACAAGCATTGAAATCGGAAACACAAAAGCCCCATAGATGCCAAAGTGGTCGAACCTAGATGAACTCAGTTTTGAACGCCAGATGCAAAGCAAAGATGGAACATACAAAAGCCCTCCCAGAACAGGACCCATGATCATTCCCCAGGTGAATGAAGCAGATAGAAATGCCATATACTGCCCTCTCTTCTCAGGACTGGCAGTGTCTGCAACAATCGCGAAGCTCAGAACACCCACGATGGCACCAGATAAACCCTGGAATACTCGGGCGATAACAATGACCGCGGGTGACTGTCCGAAGAGAAAGAAGGAGGTTGATATTGCGATTGCAACGTAGCCTACAAGTAGAGGGTATTTTCGAGATTGGATTCGGTCGCTTAGTAGACCGACCAGTGCTGCCGATGGTTAGTCTGTGACTGTACAAATTCGTGTTACTTACGAGAGCCGATTAGCAATGCTGCGCCGTATGATGCAAGTAGAATTGATGTCCATTGTTGAACTGTGGTTTGGAAAACATGCATAAGCTTATATCGTCAAATTATAGAGGGTGATTATACTTGAGTCTCTCGAGGTTATGTTATTATTGATGAGTAGATATGGCAATATGGGAACAATCTGCTGGTTATTAACTCGGGTTCTATGTTGACCAGCATTTTCTCAGGTGCAGCTTCTTACCATGCCATAAAGAAAAGTATCAGTAAAGATTGAGCAACACATTGCGATGAGGACAAAAGCGCCCGATGATCGAAGCCCGACGAAGAACCCCATTTCCGAGTAGCGAAAAACAAAATCCACAGCAAGGCGATTCAGGGGAAGTAGAAAAATAGGAAGATCTCAGGTCGAAACTTGAAGCCCTGGAGACAATACAGAACCAGTCAAGCTTCCGTCAAACCTTAGAGCTAGAAGAATGGTGACAGATCTGTAATTTAGATGACTGATAAAGGGGGATTCTTAGCTTTAATAGATCTTACTAAATCCTAGTAGCCCCTCAGTCGCATAGAATGATTCAGCCACGAAAAAGCAAGAGATGGAAGATTCGCAATTCTATAGCGAAGAAAACACTAAGTCTTTCTAGCCGTACCTGTCTAGCCGTACCTGTCTGAAACTACTGACCTTCGGGCTCAGTCGCTAGCTTAAATACATAGAACGTCTCATGGGCCCCTCTGATACTTTCGACAAAGAATGCATCAGTCTTAGAAGAGAGAAGGACAAGCTCATCTTCCATCCATTGCCGCATCTTCATTGAAATATGGTTCGTCTCCAAGACGGACTGGTTATCGCTGTTCACGACTTCCAGCTCGAACTTGACGAATTTAACATTCCCTTTCAGCTCTCCTCGGTGATCTGATTCTCTATAAACTATCGAAGGAAATACAACACTCTGGATTTCGCTAACCCCTTGAGGTTGATGGAATGCAATCTTCTCGTTGGGGTTGAGCAGAGAGCCATCGTAAATTGATACATAGGCTCGTCCAGTTCCAGGGCGAAGCACCTTGAAAGCCTGGTTTAAGAATGTCTCTGGCTGACCAGGCTCAGATAAATGACTGATAGAGCCGATAGAGAATATCAATAGATCGACTTTCTGGTGTTTGCGTGGGTCCATGACCTCTGTCAAATTGAGAGCAGATCCATGAACCCAGCTGACAACACCTTTCAAAATCCCCGTCGTTATGATTTCGGCTTTGTCCAGCATGTGCTGGGCATTGTCCACACCTATCAATTCAGTGTTGATAAATTCACATTCAGACTTGATGGCGTTTGACTCAAGGCCGTGAAGGACGCGGCCCGTTCCCGTCCCAACATCCATGACGACGAAGGGATCTTCGGGGGTAGGCGATCGAAGAGCAAAAAGCTTTTGATAAACATCCCAATAGAAAGATGAGTCATCGACCGACCGTGAGTTCGGAGCGACCAAGTCGTAATAATCGACTAGATAAGGCGAACTGTAAAGATCACTCGGTTGTTCGTCAAACGTAAGAGTCATGATTAGATTTTGCTGGAGGGTCTCGAAGCTCTCCTCTAAGTTCCAAAGATATGAATTGGTTTATGAGGACCTAGACAAAAATACTGCTCACTGAAAAGTTGGAAAAGGGGACGCCCCTGACAAGCTGTATCCAGCACAGACGATCCAGCGAGCTCCAAGGCACTGACCAAAGGGATATCACACTCTCGCATTAGTTCGGTGGATGCAATGACCCCTCACTGTACGAAATGATGTGCCGGTATGGTTCTAGGTGCGTGCCGAGCCGGTGGCTGGCTGTAGGAAAGACAGAAGAGGTGCCACGCATTGCATGCAAGGTCTGTCAGCTCGATTTAAAAGCTGACCAGCTGAGACTTTATCACGAACCCATCCGCTCCGACTCCATGCGTAGGCGCCCATGCACCCCAAGTTGACAGCCCGCATGAACGATGCACTAGCGGAAGTTAAATGTTATTCTATGACTGATAGAACTCGCTTCAAATTACCCATCAGAAAAACATTTCATATCATTTGACAGGGGCTCCACAGAGGCTTCTATCCGAAGGTTTGCAGGCTGCCTATCGCCCCAAGAGAAAGTACCACAAGGCAGCCAAAACAACTGAAACTATCACAGCCAGCCACGGCTTGAACAATGCGATCAGCATTGCCGTATCCGCCTCACCCGCCCCCTGGTTGAACTCGTTCGTGTTATTGACCCTGGGATACGGCTTGTCGGGCACGGGCACACCGAGGAACGTGCATAGTGGCTCCCATCCATCACCCAGTCGTATTTCGAGAAACCTTTCCGGCGCAACCCCCTTTCGAACCCGCTCGTTGTGTTGTGTAAAGCGCTCCTTAGTTCGATGACTGTGGTAATTGTTCTTGCAGATCACCTTGTAGGCCATTTTGACCATACGCATCTCGGGTCCAAGCTGTTTGTTATCAAAGTGCTGAAGGATGTTGAGGAGGGGTTTCTCCAGCCAAGGAATTATTGTGTTATGAATGGACTTGAACCATGACTCTGCAGACCGCGTTGTGAGAATAATCTTGGTCTCTGGGTACAGTTCTTGAAACTCATCCCAAAATAGACATGCAGGAATGTCCAGTAGCGCATCATATGGTCCTCGTAGCTTGTCAAAGTCCTGTCGATCATATGGGCGACCATCCCCAAAGAACCTGCACTTCATAGCTTCGGTCCATTGATTATACATGCGACTCGGGTTGTCAATCGGTTCGCACATGTGCCAGGGAGTGTACCCGAGTTCTTGCAGGGCCAGGTACAAAGCTGGGAAATCAGTCAATCAGGCACCAGATGTCCGGAAGAAAGCTTACACGCCGTTCCAGTGCGCGAAAGCCCCGCAACGACCAGCCTTAAAGGGGTCTCGGGCTCGTATGGTGGTTCTTTATCGATCAGGCGGCTCATGGTTGGGTGTTGGGCGACAATGGTTTTCCGAAAGGATGTTGGAAAAAGGGGGGAAATCTCTTGCAATGAGAGTCTGAATGAGATTTAATGGGATTTAACCAAACGGCGTCATAGCAAAGTTCGCGCCAAATTAAGAGCGGGACAAAGTCTGTAGGCATCAATAATTCACAGGTTGGTGAAACCCACACCTCCACCCACTGCGGGTAGGGCGACCAATCGACTCCAAGTGATTTCCTTGACAAAATGCAGGGATGAGGGGGGTAGCTGGAGCAGCTGGAGCAGCTGAATGGTAATCAAAGTTCAGCTGGAGCAGCAACACTCCAAATGAGCTAATGTACACTAGTCCTAATGTCAAATGAGTGTGGGGACAATCTCCCATCTCGCGGTGAGGCCATACAGAACCATTGCATTATTACCAGTCCAGCAAAATCTGCCGGCAGTACCACAAATTTTTCAAATCACGAAGTTCGGAAATTCAAATGGAGATTTTTGAGGGGATCATTCTTCTCACTGGAGCGGTATCACCCCAGCATTCATATTTCGTCCCATACTCGGCTAACCTAAGAAACAGTGGATCCTTCTCCACGCGGGCTTCGCAGTATACAATCTCTTCTTTCATCCTCTCCGAAAATATCCCGGTCCAAAACTGGATGCAGCGTCACAGCTCGCATATGTCTATTATATGGTGAAAGGAGAAAGCTGCAAGCATCTCGCGAGACTTCACGAGAAGTATGGCGAGGTTGTCCGAGTCGGCCCCAACGAAATCTCATATTTGACGGTGTCGGCCAACAAAACGATATTTGGAAACAAACCCACGGAAGAAACTACCTTCGAAAAGAATCCGGCTGTTTATATCCAGGGATCAGGGATGTCGGACAACCTTTTGTTTGCCAGTACCCGCGAACATCCCCGATTCAAGAAACTCATGGCCCCAGCGTTCTCCGATCAGGCGATCAAAGAACAAGAGCCAACAATTCAACAGTTGACCAGTGTCATGACGGACTCATTGCGCCATAATAGATCCGGCGAAGCATATTATCCAAATGCTGATGGGGTAGCGAATGTTGGTGCTTGGTGCAACTTTCTCGTCTTCGACATCTTGAGCGCCCTTTCTTTCGGAAAACCTGTCGGCTGCTTAGAATTGGCAGATTACCACGAATGGACCGATGTCATATTTGGGACCATGAAGCACGCTCACTTTGTACAATGCGCCCATCGACTTAAGCCCTATCACAGATTACTCGAAATGCTGATTCCCGGAGAAATAAGTGACCCCTCCGACAGACACATGGAAAATGTTCGAAAGTATGTACGAGCACGGGAGAAAGCAGACACCGTTTCTCAAGCAGATTTTGCTTCTTATATATTGAAAGGAATGTCGGAGGACGAGATGGTCGACAATATTAACATCCTCGCAACCGCCGGTACCGAGACTACTGCCACAACTCTTTCGTCGCTGTTCTACTATTTAACCCACAACCATAATAGCTACCAGAAACTCGTGGCAGAGATTCGCTCTACTTTCACGCACGAAGATAAAATTACCTTCAATTCGATTGGTAGCCTGAAGTACCTGAAAGCCGTCATCCAGGAAACCTTTCGTATTCACCCCTCTGTTCCTGTTGGATTCCATCGCATCACCCCCAAGGCCGGCAGCTACATTGACGGTCAATGGGTTCCTGGCGGGGTAAGTACTTTTTTACTATTATTCAACGCCACATTGACACAACATGGAATTCAGCTGACCTCCGCTGTCCGCATATAGACATGGGTTTCAGTAGCCCTCCTCGCCGCGTACAGGTCGCCAAGATACTGGAAGCACCCGGAAGAGTTCATTCCGGAGAGATGGCTGGGTGACCCGGAGTTTGCCTCAGACAACCGTCAGATTTGGGCACCATTTTCAATTGGCCCAAGAAAGTGCATTGGGATGAAGTAAGCCGCGCAGAATGAATGGTGACTATGTACGAGACTTTTGCTAATCACATTTCAATTCTAGCTTGACGTACTTGAACATGCGATTGATAATAGCTCGTTTGCTCTGGAACTTTGACTTTGAGGCGCAGCCGGACAACATCGATCCGCATGGACTAAAGGAATACGGGGTTTGGCAAGGCCATGTTCCGCTGAACCTACAGATCCGTGACGCACGACCCTCACGAACTGGCGCATAGATAAGGGGCATTGTGGATGCAGGGCAATGTATTGTGTCTTAAAGAGTGATTGGCAAACAATGTGAGCTGAATTTCGGGGATTCTGAAGCGAGCACTTGGTGGCGTCGAATGGGTTATGGCTGCCTGCATACAGGGACTCCATAATTCGTCAGGATGTGCAATAAGGTGCATGACAGCTGAACTCGATTTAGAGTTCAGCTACGAGAAACTTGAGATATGTGTAAACTGCAGATTTTAGCTATTAGCCAAGGCTTTTTGACAACAATATTGCTAATCTAACTGTGTCGATCAAACATCGGTTGCTGGGTAAGTCGGCGATCATAGCCGGCAATCATAGCTGGCTTCGCATAAGGCCATCTTTGTGCAACCATGATTAAAAATTGATAGTAAGGTTACATTGCGTGGAGAATTAATTTCCCCGCTTAGGACATTTCACAGAGTCCATTGCGTCTTTCTTGTAGCTACCCAGGTGAGGCAAAAGAAGCCGACCACGCTATTCGAATTAAGATGCCTAGGAGGGTGAAAGTTCAAACTTGGACTTCAACCACCAGAATATCATTTTCCGAATAACTGCCTACCTTTCCTTTTTCCGCTTTACTAAACGATAATCCAAGATGGCTTCCAAACTCATCACTGTTTTCGGTGCCACTGGTAACCAAGGAGGGTCTGTTGCCCGCTCATTGGTAAAGAACAAGGCATTTCATGTTCGGGGAGTTACCAGAAATCTCCAGTCAGAGTCTAGCAGTGCTCTCAGTGTCCTTGGGGTAGAAATGGTTCAAGCGGATGGTTTCAATCCCGATCAGATGAAGGCCGCATTCCAGGATACTTGGGGCATCTTCTTGAACATCAATTCCGACGATAAAGTTCGTGTCTAATGTGATTATACAAGATTCCAAACTAATCAGCAATCAATCCTTTTTTAGATATTCACAAACCAAGATGGTCCGTCCGAGTTTGACATGGGTAAGGTCATTGTGGATGCTGCTGCAGAAGCGGGAGTACAGCACGTTGTGTTCAGCTCAGGCCCTGCATGTACTGAGATGACCAACGGGAAGGTCTCTATGAAAGCCATGGATAGTAAGTTCTAACATATGCATTATGTGCTGATAAGATCACTGAACTCTTTCTAGTGAAATGCAAGATCGAACAATACATCAAGGATCTTGGTATTTTCAAGTCTGTGATTCCTCTTGGTGCAGCCTGGTTTCTAGAGAACTTCTTGAGCAAGGAGGTTGCCCCAGTATTTGGGGGATTTCCTTACTTCCCGGATGCTTCAGGCCACCTAGTCTTTCGCTGTCCATACTGGGGTGGCAAAGAGGATGTGCCCTGGGTAAGTATCTCGGATGATTTCGGGGATATTGTACATGGTGCATTCTTGGATCCAGAAACCTGGAACAGACACTTCATTCATGTTCTCAGCGATATCCGCAGCTTTCCTGAGGCTGTAGCAGATTTCCAAGAGGTGACAGGCCGGGAGGCAATCTGGGACCCCATACTCCCATCGTGGGAGGCTTTTGAGACACATGGCATCCATGAATTGGAAGACGTCAAGCTCATGTTTGGGTTTACACAGATTACTGGGGGGATGTACTTTGGAGGTCCAACGGAACGTGAGACGGCTCATAAATTGAAGAAGGCAACAGCAATTGCTTTAGGATATCCCGAGGAAAAGCAGGGTCTGGTCACTCTAAAGGATTGGTTCGCAGCTCGGTTCGGTAACATGGGCTGAGGAAGGCAAACGGGATCGACAAACAGGATAGCTAGACTATTTGATTACTTGCAGTTAGTAAAGTTTGGAATGCAGTCTGCAGATCTAGCAAGAGAACTCCTCGAGTGATTATTTCTACAGATCGACAGCTAAGTTTACATCACTCTCGCATGGAAGATGATTAGGATGTTTCACATCCCTCGTATTTACACCAAATTGGTGATTTGATTATTTAATAGGATCTAGATCTGCGGAAATAAGCAGTTCATGATTCCTTTCTTGGCTAGCTCTGGGTGGTTCGGACTGTGATAGCATCCACATTCATACGCCTCTAGGCAACCCAAACATGTCGGTAACCCCAACCAGTAAAAGAACCCCTCGAAAATATCCCAGGGAAACTGTCTCTCCGATAGCGTGGTGCATGGTAGTTAGACAGGCTGGCTGAAAGCCAGCGCTTCCGGGAACCCTTCAGTCACTCGAATTCTGTGTGGCGTTCCTACGATTGGTAGGAACAGCTTACCTCTGCACATTATAGCAGGTCCTGGCTGGCTGGACCTAGAATGTGTGATTTGGGCTGCTTTACTGCGTCGTGGGTCGCGGAGGTCAAACTTTAGCGGATAAGGGGAATGTTCGTCTGCTGTCCTGGTCCAAATTGAGCATATCAAGATACAAATCCAATACTTCAGAACATTGCTACTGCATCACGCCTTCTATCGTTGAATTGACCGAATTATTTCTCCTCTATATCAATGCCGTCCGAGAAACTGACCTATAGGGAGGAGTATGACCTAGTCGTCACTCAGGGCCATGGCCTCGGCCAGATTTTCGATGTCCAAGCGAGGCAATCGCCGAATTCCGTGGCGGTTTTTGATGACCAAACGACCCTCACGTACTATCAGCTACATAGTCAAGCTCTGCAAGTTGCTCACAAACTTAGAACCCAGGGCTTGGAAATTGAGGAGCCCGTTGGTGTCATTGTGCAGCACGGCGTAACAGACATAGTGGCCCAGATAGCTGTCATCTATGCCGGGGTAGCTGCTCACCTATGGATCCGACACTGCCAGATGCGCAAATCGAAAGCCGACTGGCAAAGCTCGGGGCTCGATATGTGTTAGTCGACGAGGTGAACATGGGCCGAGAGCTTCCCTTTATGCGACTTAATATGGATGACCATTCAATCTTGACGACCAAAGGCTCCTTATCTGTGGGGACCGATATTCCAGTTTCAACCACTCTGGACCATCGGACACATCTGATTCATACATCTGGAACCACAAGCGAGCCCAAAGCAGTTCAGATTGCGGCTCGTTCAATCCTGCAGGTTGTCTACCATGCACCCTTCGAGCCCGTCAGCCCCACCGACACAGTTGCCCATGTCAATAATACAAGTTTTGATGTTTCCCTGTTTGACATATGGGTACCTCTCTTGCGCGGGGCTCGGATAGCTATTTTGAGCAAGGTTGTTCTCCTGGATCTTCCAGCGATGGCCGCCGCAATTTCCCAAAAGGGAATCTCAGTGATGGCGACTACAACCGCTCTCTTGAACCTGGCTGCATCGACCTATCCACGTGCATTTGCTCAACTCAAAATATGCTTCATTGGTGGAGAGGCTGCGAACGTGGCCGCGATCGAAACGATTTTGCGGCACGGTCCGCCACAGCATCTGATAAATGCATACGGCCCGACGGAATGCTGCATATTTTGCCTTGCCCACCGAATTGTTCCTGAAGATCTGAAGAGCGGAGTTGTCAGTATCGGGAAGCCGATCGGTAAAACCGTTGCTCGTATTTGCGATGAGTTTGGAGCATCGGTGCAAGATGGAGAAGAAGGCGAGTTATGGATCGGCGGAGCTGGCGTATCTCCTGGATATGTGAATGATCCTGAAAGGAATGAAAGGGCATTCGCACGCTTACGGACAGAGCGTGAAGACCAACGATTCTATCGTACTGGCGATAGGGTCAAGAGGCGCCCTGATGGACAGATCGACTATGTGGGACGTCAGGACCACCAGGTCAAGGTTCGTGGATATCGAATTGAGCTCGAGGCTGTCGAAACTGCAATGTTGCGGACTGAACAGTTCTCCGAGGCCGTCGCACTGAAGGTAGAAGCCAATGGTGGTGCGGGATCTCTTCTAGTCGCCTTTGCCGTGCCAATCTCAGCCAAGCCCCATGCACTGATACGTGCTATTGACTCCCTCAAGTCTATGCTGCCGGATTATATGATACCTCAAATCGAATTGATCCCAAAGATGCCGCTCAATAGCCATGCCAAGGTTGACCGCAAACATCTTGCGATGTTGTACCGTGAGCGATGGGCAAAATTAGAACCTCAAAGCAAGAATGACGGCACCGGAAACACTCAACAGAGACTGTCAGGTCTTTGGGTCGAGATACTCGGGCTCCCATCTTTGCCGGACGATGCCGATACGGATTTCTTTCAACTTGGGGCCACATCCCTTCAGGCATCGCTCTTGATCAGCCAAATTCGAAGATATCTTGGTGCCGATATTTCGCTGTTGACTCTTTACGATCATTCCAAGCTGGCTGATCTTGCATCTATCATTGAGAAATCGCATGATCGTGTATCAGAAACTGTTCGTAATGAAAGCGAAATATGGGTCCAGGATACACGTATTGGCGATGACCTCGCTCCTCCATCAGGGCGGGTCATTGATTGGCGCCGGGACACAGAAGGACGCGTATTCTTTACCGGTGGCACTGGCTTTGTCGGGGCGTTTCTTTTGGCGGATATTCTTCGCGCACATGAAGTACATCAAGTGGGGTGTCTGGTAAGGGCGGCGAGTCCCGAGGCAGGCCTTGAACGCATCAAACACGCCATGGGGAAATATGGCCAATGGGAGGAACGCTTCTCTGATAAATTACTGATACTCTGCGGATCCTTGGAAGATATTTACCTCGGGCTTGGCTGTGAAAGATTTCATGAAATTGCCAACTGGGCGAGCGTGATTTTCCACCTCGGTGCCAAGGTCAATTACACTCAACCATACTCCCTCCACCGACCAGCGAATGTGATCGGCACGAGAAATATTGTGCGACTGGCTTGTGCAGGAGGTCGCACCAAGGCGGTCCATTATGTTTCTAGCATCTCTTGCTTCGGCCCCACTGGATTTGTAACTGGGACCAACGTGATAGCCGAGGATGAGCCTCTCCTCAAACATGTCGAAGCACTTCCGTTCGATCATGGGTATGCCCAATCTCAATGGGTTGCTGAGGGATTGCTGAGACGCCTCATGGATCGCAATTTCCCTATTGCCATCTACCGCCCTGGCTTTATTACGGGTCATAGCCAGACTGGAGCCTGCAACCCGGATGATTTTTTCAGTCGCCTGATTCAGTCATGCGTTCAGATTGGCTGCTATCCGCTTCTACCGAATCAACGAAAAGAGTTTGTTCCTGTAGACTATGTCAATGCGATCATCTTGCATATCGCTTCATCTGCAGCGTCAACTTCACTCGGCCACGCTTACCATATCGTTCCACCAAGTCGCAACGTGTCGATTGATATGAATGAAGCAATGGATCTTGCAGGTCTCACATCGCAAAGACCAATCAAAGGCATCCCATATCAGGATTGGGTCGATGTCCTGTTAGATAACTGCCCAGCAAAGTTGCAACCGCTCCAGCCTATGCTAGCTGAAAGGGCCCACCGTGGCCTGACAAGATGGGAGCTGTACGAAAACATGCCGTTATATGACACCACGAACACTGGTCGCATGCTGGCTACGCTAGAGAAGGGCCTCCATTTCCCGGTTCTTGATCGAGAACTCATGGAAAAATATTTGTTGTTTCTTTCGGAGTGCTAGCCCTGGAGTCTTTCGACATTATCGAGTACATCATCAAATATACTATTCGTTCAGGATATTCAAGTTTCCATTTCCATTTCCACCTGGGCATGTAATCGTAACGGTCATAACTTCGTATCACATGGTGAGTCTGAGTAATATATACATAGAGATTATTTTCGATTATTGACGAGCGGAAACAGTGGGTAATGCTTCGCTCGATCCATTCAACTTCTTCTTGCACCAGCCCTTGAATGAGTCGATTCGTCTGGTTTGTCCTTGACTCTGTCTTCTATTATTGGTGGATCGTGGAGGTTCTTCTTTTTGTCGAAGTTGTCGCAAATCGTAGAATGTCTCTCTGCAAAGAGGGCACTTCGTATCTCTGTTGCAAATCCAATCGTCGATGCATGGTTGGTGAAAAAGGTGTTCACATGGGAGTTGTCGGAAGGAATCTGTAGTTCCCAAATCGTCTAAACACATTATACAGGTTTCTGGGACTGAAGTACCAGCTTTTTTCTATCAGCATATTGCATTTTGATGAATTTTCGAAAATGACTGTACTATTAATAACTCACCAGGTATTAAACCCTCGCTGCACAGAGGCATATGCGTGAGGTCTACATCGTATTTCAAGGCATAGGCTGTAGCCATATTGTTGGGAACCAACAGGAATGAATGACCGTTGCGAAAAATTCAAAAAGATTAAAAACACTATAGGCAGAGTTAGGATCCCTTAGGGTGCGACAAGTCCGGGGTTTAATAGGTAAGCACTCTCTGAAGTCATCGCGCCGATCGTTGCGTCAGTCTCCGATAACAAGGAATCCGCCCCACCTTGCGTAGGGCCCAGAAACATGGAATCAGCCCAAAAGTCAGCCACAACCCCAATGTGGAGAAGGTGCCTGTAGATTTAATTTGCTTAGGATTTGCAAATCGAACGATGACATTTCATTTACATGTGCCTGGGCAAACTTTGTGTATGTTTTGTTACAAATACACGATAGCGATGAGCTCATCCATTGCCTCGTAGTTATGGATGCAGCCGGGGAATGGCAGATACGGAGACCAGCTCAGAATTGTCATAAGATTGTACGGGAGTGATATGGACTTGCTTTCAGATTCCTTCTTGAATCCTGCACGGTTAGATGACATGTAAACCCCTAGTAAACTTTGCTGCCTGGTGCCGCACATTGTGCAAATTCTGCTATGTATGTTAGTTAGATCCCATCGATGCTAGTATACTTGGTAATAGTAATCTCTACTAGAGATTTTCTACCAATTTTGCACGTTTAAAATAGTACTTGACGATCCAAATGCTCCTTAATCGAATTGGGTTAGTTTTCCCATATTATGACTAGCTAAAGCAAATACAGTATAGTGGTTTTGACCAAAGGTTCTTGGGCCAAGGAGTGAGAAGTCTTCACTGTCACCCAGCCATCCATCGTGAATTGCGAGTCCATTACTAGTAATATCCGGCAACCCCCATTCAAACCTTAATCGGTTTTGGAATGATAGTTCTAGTGACTAAATACCTCCTCCTCCAGTTCTCGTTCAAGATCGCATTAATTTGAACTAAGGCTATTTTCTTTCACATACGCTCTCCTCAAACGGAGGGGAAAGAGATTACTCAACTATGGTAGGCAAATCATGATAGGCAAATTAGGGGACTCGTGCCAGTGTATGCTTGATAGAATACTAGACCAATTTCCAAAGCTGCATATGGGTAAATGAATGTTTTTTTCTTGATGATCGACAACTTGAAACGTTTTTTGGGTATCCCGTTCAACCTTCACCCCGATGAATGTCCCTTAAGATGTATTTCGGTGCATTTCATCCCCCTGTCGGTCTATTATTTTCTCACTCCGTCGCATAAAGAATAACCGTTCTATCAGGCCGTGAATATGCGACGAAGGTGTCGTCTAATTACGTCACTCAGTATATATAGGTTTTAACTATATTGACCCCGATAAGGGATGTTTCAGTGTCCCATTTCTTTCTCTCGTCATTTTATGATCCGATCTGAAAGGTCATCGATACTACTATACCCGCGACGGGCATAACACGGCGTAAATAAAGTTAACAAATTAGCTGTGCACGAATATTGAACACCGGCTTCCAAGGTTGGTATTTAGTATCACCGCAACTGACCGTGTGCAATTGATTGGCGAAGAACTATCCAAACCACATTCAAAGTTATCTATTAACTTGAGTCTGAATTACTTACATGTGTCAAGCCTAATGAGGATATAACACCCTCGGAGCTATAGTGGCCGCAGGGTTACTCTCGCCGACCCCGAGATATTTCACAGAACGAACATCCCCGATTATCGTAACATGGAGTATCCCCTTTCTAGCCTCATTTACCTTTAAGATCGTAATACAAGATCTACAGCTTGTGTTCAAAGTATACTACACTGCACATGTTAAATAGGGGCCATTCCTTTCAAGGGGTCATCATGTGCTGAGAGTAACCTCCTTGTAAGATTCTCAGAATAGATTTTGTGGTAGCGGTCAGACTACTTGCTTTGTGGTTTCCTATGGAATATGAGGAGCTTAGTATAAATATGACCCTTTATTTCTCAGGCTACATGAATTATTCCTTCGATTTTGCAGGATTTATCCGATACAACACCTTCTCAATACTTTATCGCCGAGTCAGCATCAGTCGACATGCTCTACAAAACCGCCCTGTCTATCGCCTGTATCCTTGTCGGCACTCAGGCCCAGCAAGCAACCAACTGTCAATACCAATCCCTGAAGTGCGGTTCTGCACTTCTTGCTTCTCCTTATAGTTGGTCTTTTCCCGCATCATAGGTCATACAAACACTTACCGCATTCATTGTTCAGGCTATACTACAGCCCAGCTCACTGCGGCTATCAACGACACTACCTCCATTCCAATCCTCACAGTCGCTGAGATCTCTCAGACTGTTTTCCACTGCACCGATATTCTGGGCACGATTACTGGAAACTCGTACTGCTTCGCTGGATGCGACGGCAAGTCTGGTACTCGCAATGATCAATGCATCATGTAAGCTCTGGTTTGTAGAGCTCCGTGTCTTGCTCTAGCTGTGAAATACCCCTATGAGAGGGTGATATCCATGTTCAATCCATTTTGTGGGCCTAGCATAGACTCCCTGTCAGCCTCAAGTATACTGCTTCACTTCATATTTCTTGCAGCTTAGTAAGAACTAAAAGTATTGGATTTTTGCTAATCACTTTGCTTCGCTTTATAATACATGCAGGCAATAAAGAGCAGATTGCTGTGCATTACTAGCATGGAATTAACTTCGGGTCCTTTAGTAAGAGGTGCTTTTATTCCTTTTTGAATCGTAGCTTATTTGTGGATTTGTAAAGGGAAATTAGTACTATATGGCCTTGACATTCAGTTTCTTGCGTCTATTCCTAGGTGCCCAGGTGGCTTAGGGAGATGTTTCTGAGATATAATATGGCATAATGGTAATCTGCCTTCAAGCTTCTTTCAAAATTATTCTATTTTTCAGAGATACAAGCATGAAAAAGGTCCAGACAATCAAAATAAATTGAACAAACTGCCGAGCTAATTTCACTAGCAATCAAAATCAAGTCGACGAAATCACAGTGGTATCTGAGTTAATTCCGGTTCAAATATAGTTGGCATGGCTAATGGGGCTTGTGTGGAATCGATAAAGTTGGAGTTGTTACCAAAGCACCACGTCTGGCATTGTCGAACACAATAAACTGATCCACCAGATCCACTGACTGTTGTTGTCATTGTTGTAGTAGTTGTTGATGCGGATGTTATTGTGATTGTACCATTCCCTGGTGGACAAGTACCATTACCTCCTACCGCGCATTGATCATCCACAGTAAGCGTGAGGGCCGACAGACATCCATTCACGCAGTAAGAGTTGCCGGTAATATTCCCGAGGATATTCTGGCAATGAAATATCACTTGTGGGATTTGGTCTGCTTGTAGGGGTGGGATCGACGGCGTTTCATTTACGGCAGCCACCAACTCTAAGAGGTTATAGCCTAGCCAGAGTCATTATCTGTTGGTCTAGGACGGGTCTGTTAAGCGAAAGTATACCGTAGACTGAGATCATGGTGAAGCCACATTTTTCAGCTTGATAGACACATGGTTGCGTGAACGCAGTCGTTCTCATTAAGAGCATCGGCGCCATCCATGCCGCAACCCAATGAAGCTGCCGCATAGTGATTCAGCCGGATTATTTCTTTTTTCTTCTTCAATTGTCGATAAATTGAAAAGCTGCAATCGGATTTCCTGGATGCGAACACCATTTCTAATCACAAGTCACCAATATTTCAGTATATAACAGACTCGCCGCCCTTGCCCGGACTAGTACAATGTCACTTGGCTCTGGGTCAATTAAGCTTCACTTGAATGCGAAGCCCAAGAACTTGGATGTTGCTTGGATCCCAGCGTCCTACATATAGAATGCAACCCTCGAGTCTTGATTTGGCCGCAATGGTGTCATTGTAACACTGAAGGCATCTATGCCCCTGCTGCAAGCTAGCCATTTGAGGTACTGCAATGGATCGGCCTTTAAGAGTCAACATCTAGCCGTTGCGATCCCAATGGCAGGTCACATCCGAGCTGTTGTACTCCCGGTTAGAACCGCAATGAGTTTGTCACACCTGTTCGAAAACAGAGTTGATAGAGTCAATCCAGTTGTGACCAACGAGTTGAGTTGAGTAGTGGGACTGTCGCTGGTTGGAGGGTCACGGCAGTGTACTACAAACTAGTAGTAAACACAAGGGAAGGTAGGCCATTTAAGTTCTGTGCGTATATGGATCTATACATATACCGATGCTATAAGCTAGAGCTTAGCGCTCTTCGCATTGGGAATGATGGGTCATGGTGTACTTTTGTCTGTTCACCGCTGCAAATCACCGAGCCGATCGTATAATCCGCATTGACAGTGCCTATCCTAACACCGATTGGGTCTAGTCTGCCAGGGCCTCGCCAAGTGCAGTGTTGAACATTGGCAAGTGTCGCGACCGAAGGCGGGATGGACGAGAAAGTGGCAGTGTGGAGGCCATTGAGCAGATTTCTCCCAATAGTTGGTATTGAAATTTGCCATTTTCACATTTGAAATTCGATCCCGCGTTTGCGCATTGCAAATCAATAATGATCGAGTGGTTCAAGACCCTGAACCGGCCTGAGGCAGCCATCGAAGGTGAGGCTGATGCGGTGCCCAACCGTGCACATGCGTGGTTTGATCAGATATGGACCAGCAGGTAGATCGAGGGGAAGGCAAGATCAAGATCTGATCATACTCATCTTCATCCACCGGAGTTCAGGGATCTCAGGGTGTATCGTGAAAGAGTACGAGGAGAGAAAGAGAGAGGAGAAGTTCCACCTTGGGGCGGCTAAGCAGGAGAGGCCCGCTTAATTTCTAATGGGATGGGCTTGTTTCTCTTTTTCCCTTCTTCAGCTCCCCCCCACGCGACAACTTCCCCCCCATCTTCCCTCGATCTCACCTCAACCTTTCGGTGATCTCAATCATCTCCATCACTCTGAGACTTTCTGGGATCCTTTGTCCCGCGCTTGAACCCGCTTCGCCTCCCCCCGCCTCCGCGCGGTCTTGTCCCCTCTCTCCCCTCCGACCCCCCCTCCTCCACACTCCCCCTTGCTCTTCTCTTCCCGGTCTTCAGCCTATTTATTCCTAATCGGAATTAAGTATCCAAGATGGAAAACAATCTCGCGCGCGCGGTGAGGGACAAGCAGCCCGTCCCCGAGATCGACTTTTCCCTGCATCAGATGGAAGATGGCTCACAGGTGTCAACACTGGAGAGAGTTGTCAAAGGTAACTTAATCTCCGGAATGCCTCCTAGCGGTCGCCCCTCTTTACCGCCCACAGGCACCCGTTGCGATCTGATATAGCTAACTTCCTCTGTGTCTGAGAATGATAGAGGTCCAAGCGCCAGCTCTAAGCACCCCTCCCGATGACATGTTTTGGTCTCCCGAAGACCCTTCGAAGCCCAATCTCCAGTACCTCAAGCAGCATTTCTATCGCGAAGGTCGTCTTACCGAAGAACAGGCCCTATGGATCATCAAAGCTGGTTCCGATATCCTCAGGTCGGAGCCCAATCTGTTGGAAATGGATGCTCCCATCACCGTCTGTGGTGACGTCCATGGACAGTACTACGATTTGATGAAGCTCTTCGAGGTCGGCGGAGACCCTTCGGAGACCAGATACCTGTTCCTGGGCGACTACGTTGACCGTGGTTATTTCAGTATCGAGGTATGCAACCCCCCCCCCCCGCGGGGACCTGGCCCTGTTTCGGGTCAATCCCCCATAGGTGCGCGCGCGAGAGATTCTCACCACTTTCTTTCCTGTAGTGTGTTCTATACCTCTGGGCGTTGAAGATCTGGTATCCCGATTCGCTCTGGCTTTTGCGGGGTAACCACGAATGTCGCCACCTGACGGACTATTTCACCTTCAAGTTGGAATGCAAGCATAAATATAGCGAACGGATCTACGACGCTTGCATTGATTCCTTCTGTTGTCTGCCGCTGGCGGCGGTCATGAACAAGCAATTCCTCTGTATTCACGGTGGTCTCAGCCCGGAGCTGCACACCCTCGAGGATATCAAGGCTGTATGTATTTTGTCCGACCAGTTCCAAACGCCGTCTCCGGTCGCTAACCAGAAGGACAGATTGATCGTTTCCGGGAACCCCCTACCCACGGTCTTATGTGCGACATCCTTTGGGCCGATCCTCTCGAAGAATTTGGCCAAGAAAAGACTGGCGATTTCTTCATCCACAACAGCGTTCGTGGGTGCTCCTACTTCTTTTCTTATCCGGCCGCTTGCGCATTCTTGGAAAAGAACAACCTTCTCTCCATCATTCGAGCACACGAAGCCCAAGATGCCGGGTACCGCATGTACAGAAAGACCCGGACGACCGGTTTCCCCAGTGTCATGACGATTTTTAGCGCTCCCAACTACCTGGATGTCTACAATAACAAGGCCGCCGTGCTGAAGTATGAGAATAACGTGATGAACATCCGCCAATTCAACTGCACACCGCACCCTTACTGGCTGCCGAACTTCATGGACGTCTTCACTTGGTCTCTGCCTTTCGTTGGTGAGAAGATCACCGATATGCTTATCGCTATCCTGAACACCTGCTCCAAGGAAGAGCTCGAAGAGGAGGAGACCCCAACCTCCGCCACTGCCCTCACTGGCCCAGCATCCCCGCCTCTGCCTATGGATACCTCCGATACTACCGAAATGAAGCGACGTGCCATCAAGAACAAGATTCTTGCCATTGGCCGTCTTTCCCGTGTTTTCCAGGTTCTGCGTGAGCAGTCCGAGAGTGTCACCGAATTGAAGACGGCGGCTGGCGGCCGTCTTCCTCCAGGAACTCTCATGCTCGGTGCGGAGGGTATCAAACAAGCCATCCACAATTTCGAAGATGCTCGCAAGGTCGATTTGCAAAACGAGCGACTGCCTCCTAGCCAGGAAGAGGTGTACCAGAAGAGCGAAGCGGATCGCAAGGCGGCTATGAAGCGCGCCGAGGACGAAGCTGCTAACGATGCTGGACTCGCGACGGTTGCACGGCGTATTAGCATGTAAGTAGCCCCCCTCAGGAACAATGAAGGAAAAGAAACACCAACTGACACAAATGATAGGTCTGCGGGCGCTGGTCGCAGTCGTCGCCAACGCGATAGCCAACGGGATTCCCAGGATGCCTAGGACATCCTTCATGGGCTTGAGTGAGCCGATATTACGACGATCCATGCATTTCCTCTTCCTGACCTCCAGCGCACACGCCTTTCTGCCACATCATGATCGATACCATACGATACGATACGATATTCTATCTATCTGCTTGATCCCATCACTTTGTCTGACTTTTTGTCGGCGGGTTCTACACGGGCAGTCCTCCGGGATTAGTCCACATATCCATCTATGCGCATTGCCCTCGTACGTTGGTTCTTGGGACCTTGTAGATCTACCGTGACCTTTTACAGCTGGGTATGACTTGGGGATTTGGGTTACAGGCGAAAAAGAATATCATGTAATGATGGCCTAATCTACACAATCAATTTCGATCGTTTCCGATTCAACTATGAACAATTTACTCCGTATCCTTTAAATATGTTTGTCAACACGTTGTCTACTCCCTAGTCCATAGTCTTAAGTCCATAAGTCCGCAGTGGAGCGATGCCAAGCCCCACCGCCCTCAACTCTCGCAAACCGCTCTTCCTCCATCATCGACCACTGGTAATCTCGAGGACGCGCCCACAGCCCCCAATGCCGTCCAGACTGCGCAATGCACTCCCAAGGAGCCTATCGCGTCCCTTGGATCCTGGTGGTGCCTATTATTGCCCTTCTTGCACACCCTGCCGACGAACGCTGGCAACACATACCCGTATAAACACCAACGGTGACAAATTCGACCGAGCGCGTCGGGGCCGTCGCAAGCTGGAGTCCGCATCGGCGACAAATCTACGCCCATTCACTACATCGCCTGCCATAAATCCCGGCAAGACCGTTCCGCCCCAGCTCAAGGAGTTGTACGATGCCCTTGGTGGAGTCAAGGATGCGGCGATCGAGCAGGTCAGCATCAGTCGATTGCAGCTTGCCTTGCGAGGATTGGAGTCGGAGGCACCATTGATTAGAATTGCCGGTGAGTTCCTTGACCATCGATAATTCGGATAGGCATTGCAATGTCTTCTCTTGAAGTGGTTAACTGATCCCTTATCACATCTAGTACTCGGGCTTGACAATGCCGACTCCGCGCGCAAGCTGGTTCGCCTTCTGCTAGCCGATCCACTGGGACCACGAGAGGACTGGGAAAATGTGCTAGAAGGATACGAATCCGATCCTACGCGAGGTTTGCTGATTCGGTATGAACTCGAAATCGCTGCCCTATATAAACAATACAAACTAATGCTTGATGCGACCTACAGATACGGCGAAGTTTCTGAGACCACCCCCCAATGACCTCCTGCCAACAATTACGGTTCGATCGCCTCTACTAAAGAAGGGCAATATGGAAATCCTCGTCAGCTCTCTTGGTTCTGACTCAGGTTCCTCCGGCACCACCCTTTCCGCCGACACCTTCCTTGTTCCAAATGTCACGATTCAAACATCCCACTCGGGCAGACAGAATGTTGTGCGTTATCCCGTTCATCGGAGCATTGTGTGCGCAGAGGGAGTCGATGGACTCCTAGCGTTCAGTACGCTCATGGGCCGCTCAAACCTCAAGAACGAAGTGGAATCAATTCGAGGAACGATTGAGCTCTCGGTATCGGAGCAGAATGGCAGTGGCAGCCGACTCTCTTTTGTGAATATTGCACAGGCCTCGACGGCCCTGGATAAGATTCGTGAGACCGTGAAGAATGCCACAGAGTATGAACGAGGGTGGACCGGCAGCGGTGTGCAGCCTGTTATTGATTGGTTGTCAGCTTCTGCCCAGAGTTCCAGGCATGATGCGTTGAATCCAGCATTGGTTCCGCTCATTGAGTCTCTCCTCGACTCAGCCGACGAGGGGTACAATGCTCAAACTGCCAAGGCGATCTATGACCAGACTATTGGCGTCGCCCCAGAGGAAGTGCGCTCCGAGCTCGCGGGTGGTGTTACAAACTGGGCAGAGAAAGCCCACTCAGAACTCCGCAGCTCTCTCGAAGCAGGCTTCGCTAGCCCACGATGGCGTGGCCTGGCTTGGTGGAAGCTATTCTGGCGCGTTGACGACGTGGGTATGATCACATCCGAGATCCTGGAGAAGCGATTCCTTCGCCGCGCGGAGCGGGATGTCATTTGGACGTCCGGCAAATTCCAGCAGGCTGGCCTGTTGGACGAATCTTCTCCGTCTACCGAATCTACCTCGGATGGCACTGCCCCTGCCAAGTCCACCCCACCCCCTTGGCCAACCCAGATCACTGATACCCGTGCCAAACTACTCAGTACCACCGTCCCCTCTCTCCAAGCGCTTGCCCAGAGCCTGGTGCTCTTCAGCATCTCCACTACCACCCTCACATCTGCCCTCTCTGCCCTCACATACGTCTCTATTCCCACCGCCTCGGTATACGAGACATGCACACTGGGTGCAGTGGGTTTGATATATTCTCTACGGCGTCAACAAAAGAAGTGGGATGTGGCTCGTGGTTTCTGGGAAGACGAGGTTCGTGAGGAAGGTCGGAACTCTCTTCTCGATACAGAGGCCTCCTTGCGGAAGATTGTCCGCGAGGGTGGCAAGCAAACTGAAGATGTGACTGACCACCGCACACGAGACGCCATTACTCGTGCCCGCAAGGCTCTGGAAGATGTCAAGGCGTGATAGATGTGACATTCAGCCTTTTGCGCTGTATATGTACTATGATTTTAGAATAGATGTCGACTGGATGTACAATCTACTCTGTTATGTATCACCAAGTGAATGCCCGACACAACAAGCTCGTGAAGGGATATTTAAGTCATGCCAACTACCCTACTACTAGTAGTCAGTAGTAGTCGATGTGGTATATATACTTGTCCACCGGTTCTTATTCTCACTCTCTTCGAGGCCGTTATGAGAAATCTGCCGACCGACAAGCTTTGCACTCCACTGGCTATTGTTTCAATATTATTAAGGATGATCCTTATCACTGTTCGAGTCAGAATCCACCAACCGCCCCCGCAAGCCCCGATAATGCCCAGGTGCGGCCCCCCATCAGTCAGACTTGATCCCGCAATCTCAAACCATGGCCGTGTGAGATCCTCCGATTCGTACTGGGAGTGACAAGGACTGTCCTAGATAGGTGCCCAGGTGTACCATCAGTGGCAACTTGAACCTTCAGCCCCAATATCGATCATCTTTGACTCGGACTCCACTGGCACCTGGCTCGGATGTCGGGATATATACTTCGATCTACAGAATACCAGTGCCAATTAACAGAACCAACAATGACATGCCCAAGTGCCCAGGAAATTAAATATTGTACTAACACGAGCATATTAAGTCTATCGAGCATCTCATTACCGACTCGGCCCCAAATTCGAGCAGAGCAAACCCCCAAGACCCCGTTAATATCACGAGTCGTTTCATGATGCGCCTGCGCAGCCAATCCAACGGGCCAGCGTGGGGCAACCCGAGACGGTGGAGGTCAGGTTGGTGGAGGCCACTGGTCAGGAACAAGTTCGTTTCTAACGTTCTGACTCGAAGAATAGCAAACGGTGGGCAATGCTGCGAGTTAGAGACTTCTAACTATGGAGTTAGTCCCCTGAGAATTGCCCAAAGGACCCCCCCCCTTTTTCCGCCCTGCGCAGTACCCTCCTGTCCACCCATCGCAGTCGCTCCAGTGGATCGTCGCCGGGGTGGGCTGCTCATTTTGATTCTAATTCCGAATGAATCCAATCGTCATCAGTATAGAATGGGGTGCTAAGGCCTTACGGAGGGGCAGAGGGGCCTAATATCTGGGTCCCGAAGGGATTGGCCGAATCATCTAATCTCCCCCAAGACAAAGCGACCGACCAAGGGGCTGGCGGAGTCGCTTAGTGCCTTGTCAAGGTCTGAAGTACTTGATACCCTTGATCTGCCAGTACATGGGCAGTTTTCTTTGCCTTTTGATTTCTTGTGCTTTCGCTTTTGCTTTCCTGGCTCATACGTTCCCTTTTTAGCCCTATCTCAGGGCGCCTTTGTCGCTCGTTGACCCCTACGGCCTTTTCAACCCTCTTTTGCGTCTACTTATTCGATTCTACTACACCTCCCTTGAAAAAGGCAGTGTCTTATTCATCAACTTCAGTCAAGTGGGTCTAATCTGTTTAATTTCTTCCGGAAAGGCTATAAGGCTGGGAGAGAACATTGCATCTAATCGGGCCCGATGTATAGGAAACAATATCCGATTTGGAACCTCGACGGTCGATTGTGTTTATTTGTTTATGTCACAGAGAACGCGTTTAGAAACTGAACGGTAAGCTGCATCCTTTCATACTCTATTTCATGATTCTATTGTTTTTTATGGGGCGTCTTCCTCAAGGGTGGCTATCCCGATGCAAGGGATCATTCTTGCCTCCCCTTAAGGGAGCATCCCTATCAATCCACCATTTTCTCGAATGGGATCATTAGAATGACGCATGATAAAACGCGCGGAATCCCATTCTGCGACGTCGCGGGCTGTTGCCAAAGGACTTGCCATTTTACCCAACACCACACACGGCTTTCCTCTGCCATCGACTAACATGATACATGATATTTAGCGACAACTTCTCCGACTTCGTATACACCTCAATTCTTGCCGTTTGTAACGCGCTTTCTCGCGTCTAGCCGGTTGACTCGGTACTCCTGGCGAGTTATTTTTTTGCCATTCTTCACAGAAGGCGCCACTCCTTTTCTCAAAAATCCATTTTCGAGCCCGTCGACGCGGCTCAACCCACCACCGCGATATGCAGGACCTTCGTCGCATGGCCGTTCTACTTGCCTCTTTGGCTGCTTTTCCCGTCGCCGATGCTTTCTGGCGTCTTCCCTGCCGTGGGCGAACTGGTGTCGCTCGGCTAGACCCCATTGTTGACCCTGGCGAAGTCTCGTCCCATGTTCATGTTATCCATGGAGGTGGAAGTAAGTTGGCTAAAACAAGTCTCTCTATTCATCATGCTGATTCATTACCAAGGCTTTGGCATGTCGGCCAATTATGAGACTCTTCTCAAATCCGACTGCACGTCCTGTGGCGTTGAGCAGGACAAGTCCGCCTACTGGACCCCTGCTCTATATTTCATGCATACGGATGGTAGTGCTGAAATGGTTGATCAGGTTGGAGGAATGCTTGCGTATGATCTTGACATATCCTACCCGACTCGTTGGTTGAAAATTAACAAGGCGCAATATCCAGCTACTACTTCAACGATAAGGCCCCTGGGGAAAAGATCCACGCTTTCCCGAAGGGATTCCGCATGCTTGCAGGAGACCCTTTCCAGCGTAACTTCACCTGGCCTGTTCCCGATCCTCCAAAGTCCAACTGGGCCGGCGCCCAGATTTCCCAGAAGGCTCTTGAACAGAAAGCCCTTGGATTTAACTGCCTGAATTACGCCACTACCGCCGAAGGAACCCTTGATCGCCATTACATGCCGAACAAAACCTACCTCGATGAACACTGTACCGATGGTATTCGTTTGGAACTGATGTTCCCCCAGTGCTGGAATGGCAAGGACGCGGACTCGGTCGACCACAAATCTCACGTCGCGTATCCTTCTCTCGTCATGGAAGGTGAATGCCCCAAGGGATACGAGAAGCGCCTTGTCGGGCTCATGTATGAGACTATTTGGAATACTTATGCCTTCAAGGATGTGGATGGATACTTCGCCCTTGCCAATGCTGATCCTACTGGTTACGGCTACCACGGTGATTTCATGAATGGCTGGGAATCGGGCGTGTTGCAAGACGCGATTGATACCTGCAAAAACGAAGATGGCAACGTCGACGAGTGCGCTGTCTTTGACATCCAGACTCAGACCACGCAACAAAGGTGCTATTTCGACATGCCTGCGGCGCTCAAGAGTGAAGAGACCGAGAAATGCCCCAGTGGAATTCCCGGCAATATGGCCATTCAATGGGGGCCGGCATACGCCACGATGGATATGGGGTCGTCCGAAACAACGACTACCGCAATTCCAGCTATCCCTTCATTGAGTATCCCGTCTCTTTCTCTCGGCATCTCAGTGGATTCCGGTAACATGCTCGGCAACGCGGCCGCCATGGCTACTGCCGAAGCGGCCACAACTACGTCGACTTCCACCTCCACGTCGACGTCGACACCAACACCCACCCCAACTACTTCCATCTCCACTAAGCCAATCACTGAGGAGATTGTCTACCTTGAGCGTAAGATCGAGGTCCTGATTGACACGGAGGGTGTGCCCTACACCACAATCACTGGAGCCCCGACCACTGTCTCTACTGCGATGACAACCCTCACTGAGACATCCACTGTTGTCTCGTATGTCGAGAGAGACACTGTTCCAGAAGAGCAGAAGCCTGAAGAGCAAGAGATCTCTGGTCACGCACGACGACACCTGCACCACCATGGTCGTTTGCACAGAAAACATGGATTCTAAAGTGTGAATATAAAATCCGAAGTAACAGTTCACGTTGAGCGTGACATCTGTTGCTATATTTTTGGGCCCAGATACAGTTACAGTTCCATCGGAGTCATTCAAAATCTTGATTGATATGAAACTGATCAGGGTTATTTTTATTCATGTACATGTTTCTCCTCTGTCAATTTGTAGAGACCACAATACTCTTCGTGTTCAAAGTTTGAATTTGTCCTGGCCATAAGCAAAGTCATTCTTGTCATTACCTGACACAGTCAATACACGAATTTATTTGCCATTGTGCCTTTTTTCTCAACTCTACCTCATGTATTACCAACGCTCTCACCCGCATAGTGAAGTTGAATGAAGTGAAACAGTGGATAGGTTTGAGAAGCCAGTATCGCATCCTAAAAATAGTCGATCTCTTTCAATCAAAAGCAGACTAGCTAGCTGAGGTCGCCGAACGTCATAAGTTTGTCTCAGATGCGAGTATTGTGCTCTGTATACTTATCGTGTCACCTTGACGCAGGTTGGACGATACACGGAAGTTCGGCTTAGCATGCAGTGTAATGAGTTGATTACAAGGGCCTTCATCTCATACAAGCCAATTAATTAACTTAATTGGAAATTCTCGCCTATGCATAAATCTCTTGGTTCCATAGTTTCGCCAAGACCTATCCCTTCGGGTAGGTTGCACGAGGGGCTGCATGGCTAACAACGATCTTGGTGCCTATTCAATGCATCCAAACAAATTATGCACTCATATGAGGCCATATTAGCAGGCTTATCGTAACAGTACTGAGCCTGCTAGAAAATATTATTTTGTCTCCGAGGCACCATAATCTGATTCTGCCATTTACGCACAGAATGCTACTTTTACTGCAATTTGGTGCATATATCATTTTACCTCTTTGGAAATATTGGTTGCATCCATAAACCTACACGCGGTGCAATGGGGTACTTTTGAGGTAGCTTTGTGGCTCTATATCGATGGGTCGATGCTTACTACAACCAGAAAATTTCATAGTTCGGTGATGAAGCAGTCGCATTTTTAGCTGTCTGCTTATATTTTATAATATAATTAAGCGCACGATGGACATAAAAAGGCCATAAATTCCCACCTGGAATTGTGGTCCAGCCATTCCCATAGTGATACACTCCATAATATCTGAATTGGCTTTGTCCTCAGACTTCAGAATGTGCAAGCTGACTCTCTATATTCTCTCTTGGGCCACTTTATCTTTAACTACGAATGCATTCCCTCGCGAAACCACTAAGGGTGGATTATCTTTGCCATTGGTGTTGGCGACAGCAACCCCTGCAGTGCCGATGGTGACTGAAGGCCCTAATCTCCATTGCTCGGATGGCTCAACAGTTATACACACTTCAGACTGCACAATGGGGACCCCTGTGGCTTATTGCTTTAAGCCACGTCGTCCAATCATATGCGGTCCTGGCTACTTCCCCTCTGTCTGGCACCCTGGTCACTGTATGGAGGAATCGACCTGTTTTCCCATCGATGCAGACTGGATCACAACAGAGTGCCATAATGGCGCATATCCGTTTACAACCTCTACATTGTACGAAGGGACACTAGCGGATGGAGATTGGACAGCAATAAGCGGTATGGTAGCTAATCTTATTTTTTCAAGAAAAAAGCAGTGCATTCTGCTTCGCGGACGCTGTTTGAGTTTGCTATTGAATAATGCAGAGCTAATTTCGAATACTTGCTCGATTAGTCGTCTCTTGCGCCTGCGCTACAGATCAATGGTATAGCATGACCATGCTTGAAGGCCGCTCCAAGGATGAGACTTTCTGCATGCCTCATAGATCCTGTCCTCCTGGGATGACAACATCTGTCCTTACCAATCAGTACTGTGCTACGGCCCCAGCTGGTGCTTGCGCAGACACCCAATACAAGCCCGATTATTGTTAATGTGCGAATCCTGTGCAAACTCCTGTGTACGACGATGACTTTGAAGGGGCAATTGGGTGTAAGTAGTAGCGTCGCTTTCAGATCTAGCTTTTAGTGCAGATCTTTTCTCGTGAAAATTGTTGGATTTGCTGAGTCTAGCGACTCTTAATGTTTAATAAATCACACCATTCACTTCAGCTATCGTCTTCGGTATACTTCTCAAACACATCGCCATAAAATCTCCGTCCCACATCGCGGTGGCTGCGGATTTTAGTTCTCAGCTGAGATTCACCCCATGTATCGTATTTGCCTCGTAAGAAAGCCGAGTCGATGTTTGCTCCAATATCTGTTTCCACCGATGATATTTCGGTAGGAAGGTAGCCCCGTAATGTGGATAAGGCTTCTGATTTCGTGAGATTCGCTCGAATGCCCTGGAAAAAAGGTACACTGAATCTCTCAAGTGGCCCAGAGAGAACTCTATGAGTTGTCGCTTTGCAAACGCCATGAGTAACCACTTCAAAAGCTTGTCCAATATTTACAACGAAGGTATCTTGGATTACTGGAATGTCGATCCAGTCGCCATTTTTGTTGAGTGCCTGCAAGCCTTGGACATTTGGAGGGGATGCCTGTAGCAGAAATGTCCACCAGCCGGATGAATCTTTGTGAGGACCGACACCTTGACCGATGGAGAGAGTAGAAGTATCAGAGGATGGGTAGTGCACAAGCTTGAGGCGATGTTGATCTGATAAGAATGAGAATAGCAGTTCGTCTGGTATACCGAGAGCCTCGGCGACCAGAAGTAAGAACCTCTCGCTCAGCTTTGTGAGCTCTTTGATGTAGTTCTCAACTTTCAATCGGATATCCGGCTCGCCCCGTGGCCACTACGTCGTTATCAAAAATCAAATCAATGTTCAAAATCCACGCCTAACGACCATGCATACTTGATTAGGCCCTTTCAATAATTCATACTGTAGTTTTCCCTCAGACCAGGTATTTGGGAGCTCTGTTGCGAATTCAAACTGCTCACGCTGATCTTGTACCCCGGCAGTTGTTTCTGAGCCGATTTGACTGTAGCCCAAGAAATGGGGGGGAGTTGTGCAAAGCCACCTCCTCCTTGTGCTTCAGGTCCAGATTGAAAAGCCGAGGAAGGACTCCTTTCAGATCGGATACGACATTTTGTGGGACCTCGTGATTCGAGACGTACAAGAACCCCACTTGGATGAGAGCCTGGTGGAGCTGTTGCAGGAGTCCCGGACGGGTCGCGGGTGAGTTGGCAAGGGAGAGGTCAATGATTGGAATGGATTGGAAGTTGGAGGACATTGTTTGCTGGGGTGAGCTGGTCGCCTTGCAGTAAATTGCCAGGATTTAAAGGCGATATTGCAACGTTCCAGGTTGAATGGCGTAATTTGGCACGTTAGGCCAACCCCACATTGGCACCTGCCAGTGCGGGGCACTATTTAATAGGGAGAGTGACAGGTATTCCCATACTAGTAGGATTGGAAATTAGACTGTAAAGGCGATGCCTAAGATAATATGCTTTCTACATTCAAGGTGCAGAGCTAGAAATTTGAATAATTTGAATCTGGACATAAGACAAAATCTATAGAACGATCGGTATATTGGTGTAGTAGATTTCACACAACAGTACTAGCTGCATAAAGAATCGGATCAAATAACAATCACTGCAACAGTGTCGCAAATGCATATTAACTCTGCATGGGCGCTAATATAAGTGGTTCTTCCAGGAGACATTGAACTCAAACGCATTTTCCGCCATCAACCACCATCTCTGTACCATTGATGAAGCTGCCTTCGTCGCTGGCAAGATAAAGACACATGTTGGCAATATCGTCAGCTTCGGTCAAGCGACCTAGAGGCACATTGCCGAGGAACTTGGCGCGGTTTTCGGGTGTATCTTCCATCCCGGTGAACATGGAGAACAGGCCGGTACCAGAAAGCAAAGGAGCCACACTGTTCACGCGGATGTTTTGGGGACCGTACTCCGCAGCCAGACCTTTGGTAGCATTTGTAACCGCGCCCTTGGAGGCATTGTACCAGACGAGGCCTGGGCGTGGGCGAGCTGCACCGGTGGAGGAGATGTTGATAATCGAGCCACCACGGCCCTGCTCGATAAGACGTGGGATAACTACCGTGCTCGCCAAGTAGATGCTCTTGACATTGACCTTGAATACACGCTCCCACTCATCATCGGTGACCTCGGCTGTGGGCTGTTCCAGAGTTAGCTTTCTACATCGTCAATCCTTTCGGGTGGGCCAATGAAGTGGGGGTTTCCAACCTTGTTGCGATAGGTGGTTCCCGCATTGTTGACCAGGATGTCCAGTTTGCCAAACTTAGAGAAGGCCAGGTCTGTCACTTGTTTCCACTCCTCTGCTTGTGTAACATCCACGCGTTGGAACACCAAATTGGCGGGGTTTTGGGCAGCCACCTTCTCGCCTCCCTCCGTGTTGATATCGGCGACAATGACCTTGGCCCCCTCTTCGCCAAATCGACGGGCAATCGCAGCACCGAAACCGGATCCTCCTCCTAATAAGTAGAAATGAATGTGTAAGCATGCTGGCTGTTATACGAGTAGGAGAAAGATTCGGTGGGACACCAGTTTGGGCTTACCGGTGACAATGGCGACTTTGCCCTGCAATCTTGAACCCTGGGCAGACATATTAATGGTGAGCAGTGAGAAGAAACAAACAATTGAATTGAATTGAAATCCGAAGGCAAGACCAGCTCGGTAGCTTTAAGGGTTCCCCGAGCTGCGAAGAGGGGAAGTCAGCGATCGGCATGAATTCCGTGGTTTCCCCGCAGCTGCAGCCGCGCCCTTCAGGAACTCGTCCGATAAAGCCGTTATGCCCCAATAGAGTTTGGAGTTACTTGAGAAGAGTTCGATACAACCATAACATTAGGGGAACGAAATCAACTAGTCCCTTTTCCAATCTTCAATGTCGAAGAAGGATTTCCTGGAAGCCTGGAGTTACTACATCTCAGAACTCATATAATGGGAAAGACAGGAGTTTTATGCTTCTCATACCCTCTTTCATACGCTAGGTGTAAAGCCGTCAACTTTTACAGACCAATCCGAAGGGAAGTGTGGACCCTCTTCTCCATCCCACCCACCAGCCATCATGGCAGCAGCGAGCAACAAGCCCCCAGCATTGGGCATGTATGGAGTTGGGACTCGACTTCCCCCCTCGGGATATCCTGCGTCGTCAAAGGCGAATAGAGGATCCAAGAGATATGCTATGGCTTGGTCCACGTCACCCAAACGTAGACTATTCATCGCGAGCATACTGAAGTCCCAACCATAGGAGTCATCTAGATCCCACTTATCCTTGATGAGCTCGGCTGTATGTTGCATAATAGTCAAGTTGAACAAAGCTTTATCCGAGGGAGGTGGAAGAAGACCATAGATACCGGCCATGGCAGGGTGATCCTGCAATGTCGTGCTTCCATTTTTCCACATATCAGGAATTCCTTCGTAGACGGCATATGCACCATCAATAATAGGTAGCGGGGCAAGGTTATCCCTCACTGTAGACCATCCCTTGGGAGCCGAGAGACCTTGACGCTCTTTCCACTTACAAGCGATCTCTAGACCAAACCGCCAATAAGCTAGTTCGAATGCCGGATTGAGCGTCGCATTGGGGTTGGTATTTTCACTGACAGGATACATGGGAGGTCCCAAGTCGTATACCTTCGTCGTTTCGTTCCACCAAGCGTACGATGCCATAAAGTCTGCAGAAGCGGTAATGACTTCATCCCAATCTTCGAGTGTTTTCCTATGAGGAGACTCCCGGTAGAAGTATTCCGCAAAATGCATCACATGCGGTTGTTGCCAAATAAGGAGAGCATTGATTTCGCCAGGGGCACTGCGGCCTGTATCATCTGTCATTTTCCCCCAGCGTGCACCATCATATCCTTGTGCAGAGGCTCGGTCAATGCTAGATTGAAGAAACTGTTGGTATGTGCTAGGAGCACTTCGTGAAAGTAAATCTAGGTGCCCCCATCGTGCGAACTGCAAGGAATGCCAGAGGAACATCTCAAGCTGAAAGGGTTAAACAAATAGGTTTATCTAAAAGGGCCAATCCGAAGTGTCTTACATGGAATTTCCCATACCATCCATTGTTGACGAGTCCTATCGAAAGGTTATTCAAGCTCAACATTGACAATCCGTCGGGCAGATGTGTTATTTACCGGATTCTGTAACCCAAGTCAGTAAATCTCACCGGATCTCTATATTAGCTGGTAAAAAACGTAGAGTCTTGTCAAAGTTCAACTTACCCTGCGGGGGGTGATAAGACGCCTCGTTGACAGCCACCAGATACTGTGAAAGAATGATCCGTCTCTGTAGCTCTCTAGCACTCGCGTTTTGTGTCTCGGAGAGATCTATAAATGCACCGGATACCCAATAACCTGCCCACCATTTCTTCGATGTAGCAACAATAGTCTGATATTGTGGCAGAGTTTTGCGTGTATTGCCTGCAGGTGAGAAATCCGCAACGAAGCGCAGAGTATTGGTCCCGCTAGGGCGAAGAACAAACTTGTTTGATCCGTTTAATGGCGCTGAGAAGGACCCTGCAGTGTTCCAGGTGGTCCTCACCCGGTTAATATTTTTGTCGATTGTATGCTTGAATGAGGCAGTGTTCCGAGCAGTGTCTAGGGTTACCTCGTTATTTGAGGTATCGTTCCACGCACCAACGTAAGGAGCATCGAACTTGTTAGTATCAGAATAGGGGAAGTCTAAGAAGACCCCTAGTCCTCCAGAAGATATCAAATCTGATTTGATCTCTATTCCAACCACAGCTTGGTCAGGATGACACCAGACTTGAACTGATACATCAGATTCATTGTAGCGGAACCTTGACAAGATGGACCCCTCCCATAAATCGAGATATTGAGACTTGTGAGAAAGGTGTTTTTCTGTGACACGCTCATCGAAAAAGGAAAGACCGATGTTTGCCATGTTTAACCTCTGAGGATTTTGAATTAACCAATTGGAGATATCAGGCTCTGCCGGGTTGGGCATGTCATAGTTCACGAGTCGATCATATGCCCACCAATCTACCCCGGTGAAATCTATTATCGTAGATAACAAGATGAGTACCAGGACTATCCGTTCAATTCACAAAGGCATTTTGACATACCTGAAGGTGAGGTCTGGCCTGTGACCGTCGGCAAGCTAAAATTATGCCATGCCCACGAACTTTGGATGGCGAAAGGTGAAAATGTTTGCAGTCCAGTTATATCTGAACCAAAGGCGAAATTTCCATTTCCAACTTGCAAGGGTGTCGTCGAAGAGCTGGCATTGCGATGAGGGTTGAAAGAGCGAATGATCTCTCGTCGCTTAGAGGCATCTATAGCGGCCGAAGCTCCGATCGCGCAAAGTAGAAAAAGACCACATGTTTGAGAGAGTAGCATGGCCAAAATGCATATATGGCTATATGGTATGTTCAAATGCTTAAAATATTTTTGGTGGGCACCCGCAATATAATGGGTTGTGATAAACTGCCGAAGTACCGAGTTTAACTGGTGGAAATGAAGCAATTCCGGTTCTCCGCATGTCGCCCACAAGTTATGCCCAAACTGGAGATGATCTGAGTATTATGCCATACCCATCTGTCTGTGTGGGGGAGGGGCCAGGAGGACCGGGAACAGGTGGGTGACTTTCAGCCTGAATATACAATATAGTATCCATTTCGATTTCCTCTAATGTAATTCCCGCCCGAGTGAAACACCCCACCAGAAATCGCGTCTTCCTACCTACCTACCAATTTCAACCATCTACCATGCCACCAAAACATATTGAATATTGGCACAAAACGACCGAGCAAGAGGGCAGGGTTCTATTAGCCCTACAGGCTCTTAAAAAAGGCCAGTTCAAATCGATTCGCGTAGCTGCAAAGTAATTTGCTGTATCTCATATTACGTTGTCTCGGCGGGCTAAGAGCCTACCCTTACACGTTGATATACGCCCAAATGGCCGTAAATTAACCTAATTAGAAGGGGATTCGCTTACTGAGTGGAATATCTCTATAGATACGCGTAGAGCAGCGCCTAGACTAGCTACTGTATAAGAAATAGCCAATATTCTACTAGCTGTACGTGGTAGCTACCCTCCGCCTACTGTTAGTAAGAATTAGCTATCAATATTTATCAAACGTTGTAATAAGCTTCGTATATATTTCTCAAGGCGCTGTGATTTTCAGCGTGTACTAAACGAGGACCCAGAATCTCTTATGTATACTACTTACTGTCCACCAAATCTTATACTTATTGGATTGATAGTCTTCAACGACTCCCTCTATGACCTTCGACATTTTATTTGGTCAATCTTTTAACGGCTGCCTTCAACGACTCATGGAAATCGGCTCTACTGAAAATTCTCTCTGTGGGTCATTTCACCGACTCTTTCCAACGGTGTTTTCTAAAACTAGGTCCGCCGTCGATTCCTCGATTACTCGTTTAACTACTTTATCGAACTAAATCTGCCAACAAACGCCTCCGTTGATTCCTTCAACGACGCTCAGAAGTCTGCCCTAAACGAGCCATCAACGATCCCCAGCCCCGGTTAGTTCCACCGATGGAATTTCCTTCGCTATTTTTTTAAAGAATTCCTGAATTTAATAATTCAACGGCTTCGTCAATCAAGCCTTTCAACGAATATCTAGAATTCGTTCCCTCAACGGCCTTCAAAATCAATATTCTCAACACGGATCTAGTTTTTTTTTTTTAGTTTTTTTTCATTCAAGCGACCGCCTTAGATGATTTACCAACAATACTCGGATAGTTCCTCAAACTGACACCTCTACAAAGATCTTGGAAACTACTGCCAACGGCTCCTTAGAATTGACTTCAATGGCTCCCCGGAATTGTTCATTTCCCACTTACCCCCTCAACAAATCCCTCGGCCCATTATTATCTTGTTCGTCAACGACTGTTCGCAGATTTTTCCCCGGGTTAACTTCCAGGGATAGCCTTCAACAATGGCAGGTGCCAAGACAGTTCTAGAGCTTCACTATCATTCCTATATACTCGCTGGCATAGTGGAATACGAGGCGGACCGGAAAAGTGGGTCAATCAGACTTTCCGGTTATCCTTGATTCAAGTTCAACTTCCCACGGACCAGACCCCTCCGGCGCAAATCGGAAACTAATCTGATCTTTCTGTGATTGTGGGATTCAAGTTCCCATTTTTATTTTATTCCCTCTTATTTCATCTTCTTCTACCACTCTTACCATTGGCCCAGGTTTGTATCTTTCGCTACCAGCACTCTCGGAAATCGAAATCAGAATCAGAATAGGAAAGAAAAATGGAACCATCTTCCTAAATAAGCTCTCTCCTGACCAGCTGAAGCTAGAACTAGCGCAGTGGACGCAGTGGACCGTGGGCACCTCCAACTTCCCTAGTGGGGTGCTTTTAGTTCGGGGGCCAAAGTTTATCGGGGAAATTTTTCATCGCTTCGACTTCTTCCTCCTTCGAGTACTTCAGCCCTGTCTGCTTTGGTTTGGTGTGGTCTGTTTGCAAGGAATCGATCCGTTTCTTCTTTTCTTGTAAGAGAGATGGCGCACGAACACGAGGACCTCGTCGTCGGTCGCGATGCCGCCGTTGCTGGTGAAGGCGATCGCGACGAGACCGCGTCGCAGGATGATGCGGCGCTGTTGGTGAGTTCTTCTTTCGTACACCATCGCCCGTTGCAGGTTGTTAATTTCATGCGATAGCGAACAATGGGATACAAACCGGTATGTTGCTTGCCCGATGGTATAAAAGTTAAATGGTTGAGAATCGGCAATTCTGATTTTCATAGGTGCTGCACCGGACATACACATTGTTTGAGAACTTCGCCACAACCTTTGGTGTGTAGATCCTGGATCCTATCATTCGATTCATACATTTGAAGAAGTTTCCCTAACGATCGCATATAGCGGCACTGTACTTCGTTGGCGGAGTGCGCGTGACCTTCAGCACTGGTATCGCCGCTGGTGGAAACTTGGCCTACTGGACCAGTTACCTCGTCACCATGGTTTTCACCTTCATTACTGCCGCAGTCATTGCCGAGGTGTGCTCTGCATCCCCATCCGCCGGCTCCATTTACCTTTGGGCCGCCGAAGCCGGTGGCCCTCGATTTGGCCGATTGATGGGCTTCGTCGTGGCCTGGTGGAGTACCACGGCCTGGACGACCTTCTGCGCAAGCAACACCCAATCCGCCGTCAACTATATGCTCGCTGAGCTTACCGTCTTTGACGTGGACTTCCCCAAGGATACTGACGATGTCAAGTTCCGTGCCGTCCAGTGGATTTGCACTGAGGTTTTACTGGCCCTGGCTGCTTTACTAAACTTCATGCCGCCTCGCTACTTCAAGGCCGTCTTCTGGCTCTCGGCCGGTGTCGTCATGCTTGACTTTTTCCTCAACCTCATTTGGCTCCCCATTGGTACTGCTCAGACCTGGGGTTTCCGTACCACTCACGAGGCTTTCATGACAACTTACAACGGTACCGGTGCTCCGGCTGGCTGGAACTGGTGTCTGTCCTACCTGGCCACTGCCGGTATTCTGATCGGATTCGATGCCTCTGGCCATGTTGCCGAAGAGACCAAGAATGCTTCGATCACTGCTGCTCGTGGTATCTTCTGGAGTACTGTCGCCAGTGGATTTGGTGGTCTTGCAACGATCATTTTGTTCCTGTTCTGCGCGGTATGTTACGACTTTGCTGGATCGACTTGTCCCTTATCTCAGGTGTCTTTCTAAAGCTTTTTTGCTAATTTTATATATTCACATCTAGCCTGATCCCGATACGCTGTTTAGCTTCGGTTCTCCTCAGCCATTCGTCCCGCTTTACGATGTCGTTCTTGGCAGGGGCGGTCATATCCCTATGAACGTCGTCTGCGTCGTTGCCCTGTGGCTTGTAAGCGATAATCATTATCAGTCTCCCTCTCTCTCATATTCTAACCCTTGCTTGATAGAACACTGCGATCGCCATCATTGCCGCGTCTCGCCTGGTCTTTGCTGTCGCCCGTGATGGTGTGCTCCCCTTCTCCAGCTGGGTCTCCAAAGTGCACAACGGTCAACCCCGGAACGCCGTCATCGTCGTCTGGGGCGTTGCCGCACTCATTACCTGCACCATCCTCCCATCGAACGTGGCTTTCACTTCTCTCGTCTCCGCAGCCGGTGTTCCGAGCGCGGCTGCCTATGGCCTCATCTGTCTCGGCCGGCTGTTGTGCACTCCGAAGCGCTTCCCCAAGCCTGCGTGGAGTCTTGGTCGGTGGAGCAAGCCGTTCCAGGTCATCGGTGTGCTCTGGAATGGATGGGTTGTGGCTATTCTGTTCTCTCCCTATGCCTGGCCGGTAACTGGCGAGAACTTAAACTGTGAGATTCTTTCCCCCCCCCCCTATCTTGTTCCTTGTGAGGATTCAAACTGACTCGTCTCGTTAGATGCGCCCATCATTATGGTTGGCGTAACCATCTTCGCTCTGATCTCTTACTTTATCATGCCCGAGAGTGCCTGGCTTCCCAGCGACCGCATCTCGCATTTTATTGACACCAAGGGTGCGGTTGAAACGGTGGAGGAAGTCTCCCCTCCTGCCTACAGCCACGGTGAGACTAGTGAGGACCAACGATGAAGGATATGTTTTTTTTAGATCTCTGATTCAAAAATAACGACGGAGGCTGGGAGAGGAGGAGAAGGATGAAATGGCCCTGTGCTAATATTTCAAAAAGACTACTACCATCATGTCGCCGATATGGCTGTAATTAGATGTTCTTGCTTGAGTTGGTGGGGATGTAATTTGAACTAATGTAACACAATAAACAGAAGCACTGAACAGCCATAACTTCCGGAGCCGGCACTTGTTTTCCTAGCATTGACCACCGTCTCTTCTCGGCGCGAACCAAGCTGATGCAATGCGCCGTGCGGGGAAATTGAGCATCGCATGGCATCGCATGGCATCGGCCTGGAAGTATTGGAAGAACGAGTATTGTTCTCCGCCTCAGATCTGGTATAATTATTCATTCACTAGTAATCATCATAGATCTCTCCTCTCACACGGTGTCGGGCCGCTGGAATGGAGGAAGATGAACCAAAACGTCACGGTGGAGAATCCGGGAGATCCGACCCCATCTTCCTCCACAAAACCCCGCGGGGATTAAGTGTGGCGTGAGAAATGGGCCAATCCTTTGTTCGAGAAAGCCAGGGCGCAAACGCAGGCCAACCGCAGAACCGACGCGTACCTCGAGGTTTAAAGTCTTGGGGAGGTTTGAGGTTTGAGGTTGACTCCGATCATCGCTGGTTGCCCTTTTGGCAGTCGCAGTGGCTGCTCCTTCCTAACGTTCCTTCCTTCCTTTCTGCTCCGAGGTGACTCCACCTTTTCTCTCTCTTCTCCTCTTCTCCTCTTTTACTCTTCTCCTCTCTGCTCTTCCTCACTCTCCTCCTTCAATGCCCTCTTAACCCTTGGTCCCTCTCGACACCATCATGAGTGTCGCGCTGCCCTTGCGGTCGCTGGGACCTTGTCTCGTCCCCAATGTGACGCGCGCGGGGAAATCTTTGTCGACGCACGGTGAGTCATGTAATGGACTATGCTATGATATGCATATTTACATTCATGCATTCCAGTTCAGCCCAGTCCAGTCCAGTTCGATTGCTAATTCTATTCTCTTCAAAAATACTCAGTCTCCCAATTTCGACAGTATGGCTTTCTTTCATCTTCCTCGAAGAAACAGAGACTCGCGCTCCCTCAGGCTTCACCTCAATGGTCTCTCTCCAAACGCTCGGCCTCGACCAGCCCTCCCAACTCGGATCCTGTCGCAACCACTCCGTATACCTCGTTAACTGTCGGTGTGCCCCGCGAGACCCACGAGAATGAACGCCGTGTCGCCATCACTCCCCAAAATGTGGCCTTGCTTCTCAAGAAGGGCTTCTCCCGGGTCCTGATCGAACGCGGCGCAGGTGAAGGTGCTCAACTACTGGATGATGCCTACGAAAAGGCCGGGGCCACCCTGGTCGACCGCGATGCTGTCTACGCGGAGAGCGACATTGTTATGAAGGTTCGGAACCCCCAGGTCGATGGCCCATTCAATGAGGTCCAGGCTCTCCGTAAAGACTCTACAATCATTTCTTTCTTGTACCCGGCTCAGAATAAGTCCATCGTGGACGCTCTGGCTGCTCGGGGTGTGACTTCGTTTGCTATGGACAAAATTCCCCGGATCTCGCGAGCCCAGGTCTTCGATGCCCTGAGCTCAATGGCCAACATCGCTGGATACAAGGCTGTTCTCGAAGCGTCAAACCATTTTGGACGCTTTCTGACTGGTCAGGTTACTGCTGCTGGAAAAATTCCCCCGAGTAAGGTTCTCGTCATCGGCGCGGGTGTGGCCGGTTTGAGTGCCATTGCCTCGGCCCGGAGGATGGGGGCGATCGTTCGTGGTTTCGATACTCGTCCCGCTGTGCGCGAACAGGTTCAATCGCTTGGTGCGGAGTTCGTCGAGGTTGATTTCCAGGAAGATGGCGCTGGCCAGGGCGGCTACGCCAAGGAAATGTCTAAGGAATTTATCGAGGCCGAGATGAAGCTTTTCATGGAACAGGCTCGCGAGGTCGACATCATTATCACCACTGCATTAATCCCCGGAAAGCCTGCGCCGAAACTGATCACGAAAGAGATGGTCGCGGCAATGAAACCTGGCTCGGTTATTGTTGATCTTGCCGCCGAAGCAGGTGGTAATTGCGAAGCAACGATTCCTGGTCAACTTGCCAACTACAAGGATGTCACGATTATTGGTTATACCGATCTGCCCTCTCGATTACCGACCCAGGCCTCGACTCTATATTCAAATAACATTACCAAATTGCTTCTGTCGATGGCTCCCGAGGACAAGTCTTTCGGAATTGACTTTAACGATGAGGTGGTTCGCGGATCTATCATCACCCGGGATGGCGAGGTGATTCCACCGGCTGCTCCTCCCGCACCTCCACCCGCTCCGAAGCCGGAGGCCTCGGCCGTTGCCGCGAAGAAGGAAGAGGAGGTTGCTTTGACTCCTTGGCAGAAGGTTACTCGTGAGGTGACTACCGTGACGGGAGTGATGGGGGCTACCCTGGCTCTCGGAAAGGCTACCGGTCCCGCTTTCATGAGTAACATGATGACATTCGGTCTCTCTGGTCTGGTTGGTTACCGCGCCGTATGGGGCGTAGCTCCAGCCCTACACTCACCTCTGATGAGTGTGACCAATGCAATCTCCGGTATGGTTGGTATCGGTGGACTATTTATCATGGGTGGTGGCTTTGTTCCAACTACCATTCCGGAATATCTTGGTGCAGCTTCGGTGCTTCTGGCTTTCGTTAATGTATCGGGAGGCTTTGTGGTCAGCAAGCGCATGCTGGACATGTTCAAGCGACCCACTGATCCACCAGAATACCCCTGGCTGTATGCTGTCCCAGGTCTTGTGTTTGGAGGTGGCTTTATCGCGGCTGCAAGCACAGGTATGGCTGGTATCATTCAAGCGGGCTATATCGTTAGCTCCATTCTCTGCATGAGCTCTATTTCCGCGCTCGCTTCGCAGCAAACTGCTCGCCGGGGTAATATCTTCGGTATTCTTGGTGTTGTCTCCGGTATTCTTGCATCGCTGGCTGCAGTGGGCTTCGACACCGAGACTCTGGTTCAATTTGCCGGCGTTGCGGGTACTGGTGCTATCGTGGGAGGGCTTATTGGTCGTCGTATCACTCCCACCGGACTTCCCCAGACTGTAGCCGCGCTTCACTCTGTGGTCGGTCTCGCGGCCGTTCTTACCAGTATCGGCAGTGTGCTGGTCGATATTCAAGATATTACGACGCTACACATGGTCACGGCGTATATGGGTGTTCTTATCGGCGGTGTCACATTCACCGGTTCTCTTGTCGCATTTATGAAGCTCGCTGGTCGCATGTCCTCCACCCCGAAAATTCTTCCAGGTCGTCATGTAATTAATTCGACCCTCCTGGCTAGCAACGTCGCCACGATGGGTGCATTCTTAACCATGGCACCCGGAAGCATTGGTATTGCAGCTGCGTGTCTTGGTGGCAATACCCTGCTCAGCTTCTTGAAAGGTTATACGACAACCGCTGCCATCGGCGGTGCGGATATGCCTGTGGTCATCACTGTTCTCAACGCCTATTCCGGTTTTGCGCTCGTTGCCGAAGGTCTCATGCTCGATAACCCGCTCCTCACTAGTGTGGGATCACTGATCGGTGTTAGCGGTTCTATTCTCTCGTACATAATGTGTGTTGCCATGAACCGTTCGCTCACCAATGTTCTTTTCGGTGGCCTCTCCACCCCGACCTCGCAAACGCAAAAGAAAATCGAGGGAGAAGTCACGCAGACCAGCGTCGATGATACTGTGGAAGCTCTCTCCGGGGCTGAAAACGTGATCATCATCGTCGGTTATGGAATGGCAGTCGCCAAAGCACAGTACGCGCTCGCCGAGATCGTAAGCATCCTGCGTTCCCGTGGTGTCAATGTTCGCTTCGCCATCCACCCGGTGGCCGGTCGTATGCCTGGTCAGTGCAACGTACTTCTGGCCGAAGCATCCGTACCTTATGATAGTAAGTCCCACTCCGAGGTCAGGTAAGACAATACTAACCCTTTTTGCAGTTGTGCTGGAGATGGACGAGATCAACGAGGACTTTAACGATACGGACGTTACGCTAGTCATCGGGGCAAACGACACTGTCAACCCCATCGCGATGGAGCCGGACTCTTCCATCTCGGGAATGCCCGTCCTGCATGCGTGGAAGAGTAAAGAAGTGATTGTCATGAAGCGGGGCATGGCAAGTGGATACGGTACGTCCTTCATTTACTTTATATTAATCCCCCGGTACATGCCGTACTGTTGAGTGTACTGTTGACTAACGACATTCCACCTCCCCAGCCGATGTCCCTAACCCGATGTTCTTCATGCCCGGGACTAGAATGCTGTTCGGTGACGCCAAGACTTCCTGCGATGCTATCAAGTCTGCCCTGGAGGCACGAAAGTAGGCAAAGCAAAGCTTGCCGAATCGAATGAAATAACCCCAACGCTTCAAGACCGTTGTCGGATGGATTCATTCTAGCTCAGTCACCACGTAGATGTGGGCTGTCATATGTTTCCTTTATGCTCTGGCTAGCAATATCATCGCGATCTACACATTATCTACAGTTTGCTGTCCTCCGTACCCCGAATGTAGCTTGTACTTCTTGGCTTCGACTGGTTCCCCCGAGGTTTCACCGCAGAATAGAGTACAGTGAGTACGTAGTTCTCTGAACCTGTAACGTGAAGATGATCGACAAAGACAGAACCGTGTGGCTGGGAACAAGTAAGTACGATACATAAAATGAGAAGAATGGTGCAATTTATCTTAATTTGCACAATGAACTAAGCAGTCACTAATTCCAACGCTTTCCACGTGGTGTGAATTGCATTCAATTTTGGTTCCTTCGATTGTGAAATCGCAGGGCATCAAAATTCGAACTCGAATGCCAAAGCGAATCAGAAGATTAAATCTCATTCCGAGAGTAACTCTATTCGGGCATACCCTAGACGTGTATTCATCTTCAAGTTATCTATAGCTACAAATTAAATCTCAGAGAAGTCACTATGTACTGATTAGTACTCGCCGATA